TGTTCGGGCAGGGGTGGGTTTTGCACGCAAATAGTTTGCCGGCGAGGGTTACGTATGTATCCTCGTTGTCTTGGACGTCGTAAACGTGCCGAAGACCGTCGCAATCCAGGGTGTCAGAAATATTGGACAACCTGCTTCCTTTGGAGACGCCGTAGGCCTAACCCCCGTATCACGTCTCTTTGGGATTAAGGCTATCTAATACTTCTATGTGAGGGACCCCAAGGACCCTTATCCTATCACAGGATTCTTAGAGCAATGTCGTGGAATATCATGGAATGATCCGGACTAAAGTCACATGATGTAATCTAGGCAAAGTCCATCAAAGAACGTATGTAATCTGACATCACAGAACATAAGTCCATATCCGTACATAACTGATAAGATAAGAACACTGAAAACTCGGAAGTTCAACACTCCCACTTGTTCAAGATGTCGAGTATCTCATCATGCCAACCGAAGACCTGAATTTCTCGATTCCGCTGAAGGGAACATTCTTGGTCAAGGCATCAGCAAGTTGGTCTTCACTTGCGACAAAATAGATGTCCATCTCCCCACGTTCGTAGAACTCTCGAATGTAGTGATACCGGATTTCTATGTGCTTGGTGCGGCGATCCACGGCGGGGTTCACCGCAAGGAAAATGTTGCCTTGGTTGTCAAGACAAAGTGGAGTTGGATGAGACATGTTGTCTCCCAGTTCTTCTCCAAAATGACGCAGCCAAGCCATCTGACGACAGCAGTCGGAGCTGGCCTTATACTCTGCTTCGGTTGAAGACAAAGATACCGTTGGTTGGTGTCTTGACACCCAAGAAACGACACAATTGGCCATGAGGAAAACAAAGCCAGATGTAGAGTGCCTATCATCACGGTCTTCAGCCCAGTCTGAGTCTGAGTAGGCAATCAGACCAGAGTTTGAGCCTCCATCGTAGCAAAGTGCAAGTTCCTTTGTCCCTTGAAGATATCTCAGGACATAGTACGCAAACTTCATATGCTCTTTAGACGGATTTGAAGAAAACTTCGCCAGACGCGTGACCGCGAACGAGATGTCTGGGTGAGTACCAAGCATAGCATACATGATGCTGCCAATAATGCTCTGGTAACGGGTTCGGAAAATTTCAGACGCAATGTCGGTGTTCTTCTCTAATACTGCTCCAGCGGGAAGAGGCGTCCTTGCAGACTTGCAGTTGGACATTTGGAACCTCTCCAAAACAGACTGAATATAGTCTTCCTGGTCAACGAAGATACGACGTGCAAGACGTTCTCGACGAATGTGTAGACCAAGGAAACGCTGGACAGCTCCCAGATCAGTCATCTGGTATTCCAAAGACAGTCTCTGCTTGATGTTGTCGATGAACAATTTCGAGTCGCCCATGAGGAGCAAGTCGTCGACATACAGAATGATTAAGCAGGTGTGTCCTTCAGATTCACGAGAGAAGACATAAATTCCGGCATCCGAATACGTCCGTTTAAACCCTAAGTCGAGGAGAGACTTGTGGATCTTAGCGTTCCATTGACGAGACGCTTGCTTCAAGCCATAAATGGCCTTCTTGAGCAGACAGACCCAGTTCTCCTTCCCAGGTACAGCCCATCCTTCGGGCTGTTCCATGTAGATTTCCTCATCAAGGTCACCGTTAAGGAATGCCGTCTTGACATCCATAGACTCAATCTCCCAATCTTCAAGTGCTGCATGTGTCATGGTATGACACGGAGGCCCCGTATTTTTGCTTTGTTTTATCCTATTTTCGCTCATTTTCTACGGACTTGTATGATACGCTGTACGGTAGACTTCGCCTGGAACGGCTTTCTGACTAGTCACGTGACACATCACGTGCTAGGGTTCGTCTTGTGACTCATTCATCATGTGGCCTTGCTTATGTAACTTATCATGTGCCCTGCGGCAGCGCCTAGCCACCTGACTCGTTCTGACTCGTTCTGACTCATACGTACACATGACCTCAGTTCTCGGATCCAGCGTAGGTAGACCTGCCCTCAACCTGGCCAGTATATATAGGGTCCTGTACGCTGCCTAGCACTCCAGCTCGTCCTCTTGGAGTTGCTAGGTAAGCACTTCACATTGTACTAAGTAGAGTGCAATGTAACTAACTTGGAGTTGCTAGCATTGCGTTCGACGCTGTTAGACTGTTGTTGACTTCGGTCCAACACCTTGAGGTCAAGTGTTTCTGTTCCCAGTTCTGTTTCTAGTCGCGTCAGACCTAGCTCCGCGACATTAGGACGAGCTCCTACATCTTCTTACCTGACACGCCGCAGTTGGCCGCGTCGTCACCTAAACCCTTAGCATAGTACAGAACTCCTAGCGTTGGTACCCCGTGCGCACGCGCATAGTCACACGGAAACGTAAGCGCTTGGGTTACATCCCTGAGCCCTGCATCTGGACACGGCCCTACCATAGGCTATAGGTCGGGTGTAGATTTACGTGGAAGTCTTGGTCTTCTAGACCTTGGGAGGCTGTGAAAAGCGGCAATCGGAAGCCAAGGTTAGCGCCACAGAACTCGTGTTTCTGTAGGCAGACAGGCGCAATAGGTCGAGGAGACTGAGCGTATCCAAGGCAGTCAGCTTAGCTACGTTGCGTGAGCTGTCGAAGCGGTTCCTGGAACCTGCGGGCTATACCGTAACAGGCATAAAGCAGCCAGCGGATTTCTGTCGAGTACGTACGCTTGTCCTTGATGTTCCATGACGTTCCATATCATTCCTTGATGTCCCATCACGTCCTATATCACTCTTTGATGTTCCATCATGTCTCATATTATTCCTGATGTTCCATCACGTTTCATATATCTCTCCACATCAAACTCCGAGTTTTGGCTTACTCATGCTGCTTACCAGCTTACTCATATCCCCAAAACCTCGGACTTAGTGCTTACTGATGAACCACTGATACAGCATGTGACCTGTATCAAATGTGTATATATACTGGGCTGGTTTGCCCTGTAATGATAACGATCCTTCGTCCTCTCCTCTGCCTGCCAGCATAGGATCTTCCCTTTGGGACTGGTCTGTTCACTCACTCATTAGTCCTTCACTGCCACTGGGCTTACTAAGCCTAAAACCTCTTTCTTCAACATTTTATCCTATTTTTGCTCATTTTCTATGGACTTGTACAATACGCTGTATGGTAGACTTCGCCTGGAACGGCTTTCTGACTAGCCACGTGACACATCACGTGCTAGGGTTTGTCTTGTGACTCGTTCATCATGTGGCCTTGCTTATGTAACTTATCATGTGCCCTGCGGCAGCGCCTAGCCACCTGACTCGTTCTGACTCGTTCTGACTCATACGTACACATGACCTCAGTTCTCGGATCCAGCGTAGGTAGACCTGCCCTCAACCTAGCCAGTATATATAGGGTCCTGTACGCTGCCTAGCACTCCAGCTCGTCCTCTTGGAGTTGCTAGGTAAGCACTTCACATTGTACTAAGTAGAGTGCAATGTAACTAACTTGGAGTTGCTAGTCATTGCGTCCTACGCTGTCTAGACTGTTGTTGACCTCGGTCCAACACCTTGAGGTCAAGTGTTTTCTGTTTTAGTTCTGTTTCTAGTCGCGTCAGACCTAGCTCCGCGACAATGCCATGGCGGTCCTGTGTGCGTACGCTCTGCGTCTGAGCGGTCCAGAACAACATCAGTATGATTCTCCCCTAATTCGGATCAGGAAATCCAAAGGCACATTTGGTATGCCCTCAATCCTGCCCTCAAATTGTCTGCATTTGCGTTTTCCCGCCGCTTCAGCCGACTGCTGTGTTCCCATTTTGCTCCTAAGGTGCGTGTGCGGCTCCGACGACTCGGAGACTCCTCGGATTGCTGTGCAATGCTGCGACAGTGCCACACCCCACTTCCCCAGATTCGCATTGCGGGAATGATGTATACTTCGATCCATAGATAATGCAGCAGGATGATTCGCCGGTGAGTACCGTCCTCCAAGAAATGTCTGCTCAAAAGGCAGTGTTCCTATATGATACTGGCCGTGCATAGGAGGTAGGCTCGAAGCACTCGAGGAGCAGCGTCTAGGCACGAGTGGACGAGGCGACGAGATGTCCCGTGCGATGTCGCGGTGTCCTTCTGGAGTGCGATTCGACGTCCGTTCATACCCGTGTGTTGAAGTGCCAGTCCCTGGATAGGTGTCACTGCGAGTAAGGACCGATGGGCCAGGTTTGGTGAGGTGGTGCGGTTTTGTATCGTCATCATCTATGGGGACCTGAAAGCGCACCCGGCGCCCGGCGGCACTAAGGGGGCCGGGAGCACTTCTTGATGAAGTACATGTCTGAGTCTGTGTTAACTTTATCGAGGGCTTAATTCCACCGTTCGGCCTGTGAAATGCAAACCATGAGTATCACTATTGAGGACAAGTTATGCGTGCTCACATGGTTCCCGCGTCATGGTCAGGCTTGGCTTTTGAGAGCATCAAATTCGAGGGGCGGTACGACCGAATACTTGTGTGCTGGTATGAGGCGATAGACAGGATGGCGGCACTGCAAAATGGTATCATGGCGTCAGGCAATCCCTTGATATACCTCAACCCTACTTCACGAGTCAAGTGTCAACGCCGCTGCCATTGTGATAACAGTGATATTGAGAGATATCCAGTCCTTTTCAGGGAAAGGTCACTGGAGGGCCGCCTAGAGATAGTATTGTGTGCGACTTCTGCTCGTGACAATACGAAGATACAGCGCTCTACTCGCCACGCGCATCTGAGCCATCAGGCTGCCTATCGATGAGGTGGCCGCCAAGGCCTTGTGCAATGGAAAATACGAAAGCTAGAAAGTAGTCACGTCTATTGTGCGTTCAGCACTGCCAACTTGGTCCATTACCCTCCCGGTTTTCTGAGAAATAGACAGCTTATCAGTAAGTAGACTATAACGCCCTTGTTCGTATGAACAATTTGCGATATCGGCAATCGTCTTCTATTGAGGAATAAAGGATTTCTGTCGATGTGTTCGCGCCCGACGTCCCAGTACTTGCGCGAGGCTGAGTCTCAGGAGGCCTGAACGACTGGACCTGCCGAATACGGAACGCGCCTGTCACGAGCCTGGCGCGAGTTCATCAATCCTGGCGGTGGCTGCATCAATCTACACGTCGACCTCGCCGGTCATGCTGTGGCTCCTCCTTGCCTTGCCTATCCCCGCGCTCGCTGGCATTGAGAAGACCAGTGGTGTACCGCCGTCCCTCCTCTCGCGGTACCAATCTCCTGGTTCGGACTCGGCTTCGTGGTCGTGTCTCAATGGCTCGAAGTCTATTCCTTGGTCTGCGGTGAATGATGACTACTGCGACTGTCCGGATGGCAGCGACGAACCAGGTCAGTGATACCTGCTGGAATCACTGCTCAGTCAACATTGACACACATCCTATAGGAACTGGGGCGTGCCCTAATAGCATGTTCTACTGTAGAAACGAAGGCCATATCGGTTCATTGATACCCAGTACACGGGTCGGAGATGGGCTGTGTGGTATGTTCCCTTGTTCAAGGGAAAGCTGTACGCTAACCTTACTATCTCCAAGAGCCGGAATGCTGTGATGGCTCGGATGAGCGATCGGGGTTGTGCCCGAACATCTGCAAGGAAGTGGGCGAAGCCTACCAGAAGCAGCAAGAGGCGGAAAGGAAAGTGCGGAGGACGGTACGTTGTGCATCTACTTTGTCATGTCACCCATAGGTTGAGCGCGCCCTCGCAGGGATCCAAAATTCGCGCCATGTACATCGCGCATGCGCGGAAGGAGAAGAACCGCTTGGAGGGCCAGATCACCGTTGCCGAAGCGGAAATTGCAGTGAGGGAGAAAGAAGTAGCTCGTCTGAAGGGTAAGCCTTTGCTTTGAGCTGTGGCGCACCTAGTCCTCAATACCGTCACAGACATTGCGGATACAGCTGAGTCGCTCTCGGAGGCCGCTATGGAACACAAGAAGGAGTCTCGTGGGTCTAACACTCGCTCCGTATCATCCCCGTACATCTGATCACCTGGTTCCTACAGCTCTCTACAAATCGCTCATAGAACACTCGCTTGCCCTTCAGTCCCTCCAGCGTGAACACAAACAGCATCTGGAGCGCGAGAAGGCACTCGGCGACATTCTCGATGCTCTCCGGCTTGGATACAACCCGAACTACCAAGACATGGCTGTTCTCGAGGCTGTCCGCGGTTGGGAAGCGCTTGCCGGCCTCCCCCACATCAATGATGTCCGTAAGGAGGAAGGCTCGACCCAGAGTGAAGGTGCCGTTGCGCAGCAAGAGGAGGAGGAACTCGAGGAGGGGATGTGGTCTACGGAACAGCTCGACAAGGAGCTTGACAAGCTGCTGGCGACGGACTACGACACGCTGCTCATTGAACACGATAAGCACATCGGCGCGCCTGCGCATGACTCCCTGTGTGAGTTTCCCGAGATGGCTACGAGAACATTTCTGACCTTGGCTAGTGTTCAACCTGACTGCTTACATGCCCGATGCATTCCTGCCTCAATATCTAGCATTACGTGATACTGTGGTGTCTTGGCTAGAGACGTTTGGCATCGCGAAAGGTATTGATGGCGACGAATCTTCAGGTCAGTCACCCTCCCGTATCTCGCTCGCGCCCGACCTCAACATCTAGCCTATCATATAGATACCTCAGCGGCACGGAAGGCGTACCAGGATGCGGAGAACACCTTGAAGTCGGTGAAGAAGGATCTCGACAAGGCTCAGAACGAGCTTGAGCGGCTCTTTGATCCCGAGTGGTACGGTCCGGAAGGCGAGTGGAAGAAGCTCGATGGCACGTGCCTAACGAAGGATACTGGAGAGTGAGCACACAGAGCTTGTCCCCTAACACACTTGCTTACGTTCATTCTCTAGGTACACATACGAGGTCTGCCTCTTCGGCGAAGCTAAGCAAAAGCCGAACAAGGGTGGATCATTCCAGAGCCTTGGGTGAGTATTTGCGGACTACCGCCGAGGACTACTGTTGACGTGCTCTTGGAAAGTAAATTCACACACTGGAACAACGCTCCGGGTGTCGAACCAGGTTCGCCTGAGTACTACGGCAAGCAACACTACGAGCGGGGATCCAAGTGTTGGAACGGACCGCAGCGCAGTGTCACGGTACATCATCTCCCATAACATCTATGTTCTTCCACGCTGACTGCGTTCGTGCGTCGTTACCGCAGGTTTTGATGAGTTGTGGGACTGAGAATGCTCTTTTCACGGTCGCGGAGCCCGAGAAGTGTGAGTACCAGTTGACGATGACGTCTCCTGCACTCTGCCTTCCTCTCAGCGAAAGCGAGGCGCTCCGAGATGAGCTGTAGGCTTGTGTAGTTGAGGCATGACGTGCTCATATAATAGACCACTATTGGACCAGATCTACAGTATTGTGTGAGAGGAAGCTACTAGCTGCAGGAAACAATCTCAGAAATACATGCTACAGTGATTAAATGCATGTGTGCTCTGAGTGAAATTGAGTTCATGATGTGAAATTTACTGATATATATGGACATCACCCTCATGTGCTTCCATGAGAGGACTGGGAGTTGTGTTGAAGCACAGATACACCAACATTGAATCCCCAGTTTGATACAATTATGAACAATGCGAGTAACTTGGTAGTCAGAAGGTGTGCTCAGGCTGCTGAATCAGCGTTTTCCCCTCTAGTGCCACATCATGTGACATGAACAAGCATATACAAATGCTGATTCAGCTGTTGGCTCAAAACATGTGGCTTGGCTCTCCTCTCCTATCCCCCCCACCTCCCACATCATCTTCATTGACATTTTGTACTACCTGCTTGGTGGTGAGTTGTTTTGCCTTGAGATTGCCTTTTCTATACATCCAGCATCAAGCACACTTGATACAATAACCACTAAGCTGAGCCACACATTGCTTGTGCTCAGAGTGGTCCATGTCTATATACTTGTTATTCTTACTCTAATCAATAGCTCTTACACTGATATGTGTTTATGTTCAGGTCTTGCCAAGACTCCACAAGATGCTCAAGATTGTATCACCCACCGCACTGCATGTATCACCTCCCCTAGGTCATCCATCCCACCAAGCCACACCAGCCCAAAGTTCAGCACACTGGCCAGCAGACGATAGTCCCTCATGGACAATGCTGCCCATGAGTTCTGGCACAGCAAGACTCCAGTCAGATGAGGTTCAATCAAGTGCAACACCTTCACTTCATTTACATGCCAAACATGTGCAAGCACTCACCCCACACCACCAATTACCTGGTAGTAGTAGGAACACTTATGGCCATATTGTGAGTCTTGATGTGGCATCCTTTCATTCTGCCAGTTCATATTGTCTTGTCAAGGTTGACCACACAAAGCCACATCATCACAACATGGGAGAAATCCCGCAGCAAGCCAGTTCATCAAACCAGATGTCCAAAAAGGCAAAGACTTCGAACACGGCAAACACCGCGAAACGGACTCGGACAGTATTCGATGGTGTCGTCATCACCGTGCCCGCATGGTTACTTGCACACAAGCGCAAACTCGCCGATGCCAGTACCCGCCCGCGGGACGTCTCGCCTTTGCATTCAGGTGTCAATGAGAATGACCATGCTGTCCATTCTCGGTCTGTCGGTGTTGTGTCATCCGACCACGAGCATACGTCAACCGCGGGTGACACCGAGGCGCAGTCGACACACGCTTCGGAGGACCAAGAACGACGTGTTCTGCGAGAGCGGCCTCGGACTAGCCCAGACGACTATGCCGGCTCATCGACGCGGAGGGCAGCAAGACATATTCATGAACGCGTAACAGACGCAGAACGTATTGACCGACTGCTGGAAGCGCAAGTTGCACCCACCGCGATCATCCCGCAATACGCACAACCATACGCTGCTCCGGCCATTGGTCTGTGGCCTATCTCCACGTCTGTCACGAAGACTGGCCGCACGGACAGACGGAGAGCATGGACGTCATATTATATGCCTCGTTACTCGCAAATATCGGTGTTCAAGGAACGTTTGGACTCTCGCCTCGGCCCGGGCGATCTCAATCGTGGCCTATACAGGCGGCCTAAAGCCGTGAGTGGTATGGAAGACTCGGAGACTGACACATGCTGACGGCGCGCACGTTCTAGGTTCCTGGACAGGTACAACAAGAGAGCAGTACCAGCGACGTCATGGACGCGAACGAGAGCAACGTGGATGCCGTAGCGCGGAGCAAGAGACCGAGAAGTCCGGAGATAGACCCAGCGGCGACGGGGGCGGACGCCTCGGATGCGGCAACAACGGAGGATACACGGCCAATGAAGAGACCATTCAGGCGTCACGAGCGCGATCTTCAGCGGATTGGCGGACGGAGGTTTGGGTCGGAAGACTGAATTCCAAGTTCAAGTATGCATGTGGGTTGTGCGAATACGTAAGTAGGGGGCGGGCCCCGTTTGCTGAGTCACTTAGTTGGCGCTGACCTGTACTTGAGGCAGGACAGAGGCGGGGTATTCTGCGGAGGATCCGCGCTCCTTAAGCCGGTTGCTTGCGCGGCGGCAGTCCGTTCGGATATGCGAATAATCATCATTAATCATACCGCCGCAGGCCAATAGGTCAGAGCCACTGGTGCCATTAACTGCGTTCGTGTCGTCGACGGCTGGTATAACATACCAATTATAATGCATTACTCTCTTTCTGTTCGTGCGTCGAGCGGGCAGGAATGTAGGCTGCGATGGTGAGGCGATGGAGGTGAGTGAACAGCCGCATTCACCGACGGGCTGCGCGGATTGGCAGTGGCACTCGATCACAGCCGCGCGAGCCGCGAGGTGGGTCGTGACCCGAGTGCGTGACGGTTGTTGAACGCGTGACAGGTCGTGGGCGTGACATGGCGCGGGGAGGCGCCTTGTGGGACCTTGTTTTTTGCCCTGCGAGTCGACATATCATACCCATCCTCCGCCGCTTCCTCGCGCCTGCCTGCCCAGCTCACCTTTGTACTCTCCCCGCCTTCGCCGACGACGACTTTGTTTGACGGACGATGCTTGCGTTCGCTCCGCCCATGCAACACTCAACCCTTGCAACCACCGTGACGGCGGTAGATCTGCCGCACAGACCCCAATCATCCACACCGGGCACCTCTTCACGTCCTCCGACACGCCCGTCACAGCGAAAGCTGCACTCGTCCATCATCATCCCCCATCCGCCCCCGTCCTCGTCGTCGTATATCAACGTGACCGCAGGCTCTGCCAGCAGGTCGGCGCCCCTCGAAGCCCAGCCTGCCCACCGCCCGACGCCACAGCGCACTCCTCCAACCCACCCCATCCCTGCCGTCGTGCGACAGCGCCAGGAGGATGACGACCCGCATACACCGCCCGCCTCCGACTCGGAGGATAACGAACCTGTGCAGCCAGACGTCTCGGGCGCCGACGTTCATACGTACGAGCCAGAGACGCTCTTGCGGATGCTGGCGACTGCTCTGAAACGCATAGCCGATTTGAATGCTAGTATACCTGCAGAGACATACATGCCGCACCCTGGTCATTCGCATCAGGTAGATCATAGCAATGGTCACCATCCTCCTATATGGCGGACACTCACCAGCGCGTCTCGTCACTCATTGTCAACCACTTCATCCCTGGCCTTCCATGCACGAAACGTACCCACCATTGCCCTCGAGGGGTACCTGAACCGCATACACAAGTATTGTCCAGCTAGCAACGAGGTCTTCATTTCGCTGCTGGTATACCTAGATCGCATGTCAAAGCTAGCGAAGGAGGCATGCGAGAAGACGTTCCCGATCGACATGTACAACATCCACCGTCTTATAATCGCGGGCGTCACGGTGGCCAGCAAGTTTTTCAGTGATGTGTTCTATACGAACTCACGTTACGCTAAGGTACGCTCCTGTTGTTCCACTTTTTCGGGTATAGGGGCGGTGCTAATCAGATTCTACAGGTTGGCGGTCTGCCGCTTGCTGAACTCAATCAGCTGGAACTACAGTTTCTCCTTCTGAACGACTTCAGCCTCCCGATATCGTGCGAGGAGATGGAGTACTACACGACCATGGTCGACCTACAGTCGAAGATACCTGAAGGTGTGGACCTTACCCCCTATCTCCCCTCCCCGTCCTCCGATACGCGGCAACCCGTAAGCCCCACGGAGTTCTTCGCCGCCGTCGATGCATACCTCGGCCAACATCACTACATTCGTCCCTCCATCCCACCACGACAGTTCGACGACGACGAACTCAGCCTATACAACCTGTCATCTCGCCGGTCGACACTCTCGATGTCGGATGCGGCGAGCGAAGCGGGCACGGAGACGGACTTCGACGGTTCCACCGACGACGAGCCGACGATCCGCCCACCACATTCCTCGTCCTCTTCGGAGACGATGAGTCTTCACAGCGCCAACGGCGATGGGGACTCTATCTTCACGCAGGACAGTGATATGAGCCGGGAGGAGAACGGCGACGTTAGCATGCAGCGGCCGCCAGACGGGACGCCGGGCAGGGATTACATGATGGTGAGGACTCCGAGTTAATCGACGGGACATTCTGGGTAGACGGTAGAAGGCAGCATAGACTCCGGGCATTCTGTTCCAGGACTTGTATTACTACTGCATCGTTTGCTTGCACTGATGCCGGATATCATAGTATCATAATTATATGCAACCGTACAGTACAGTGTGCCATGTTTACTTCCCCTAGCAAAGTGTACGTCAATGCAATTTGTCGAATTTGTCAAATCTCTTTGCGTGTCGTAGCCAACCATGACACTGACAGACTCCCGACACATGATCGAGGCTAGACCAATAAAAACCAAACACACCGCGGGCAAACCAGGTTTTTCGGGCTCCGAAAATGCTAATAACATCGGTCCTCCATGGGAACCTTTTCGGAGAGCTTGACTGACTCCGAAAATGCTCCCACATTTCTCATGTTCGTAGCATGTTCGCCGAAAACACGCATGTTCGGCCTCCGAACATGCTGAAATCGGCTGAAACGCATCATGTTCGCAGCATGTTCTGACAATATTCGGAGTCCGTAAAGGTTCCCAGGCGGGACCGATGTTCGTAGGGGTTTTCGGAGTTCGAACAACCTGGTTTGCCCGCGGTGACAGCTGTAAACGAATTCACCGGATATCGGTTGATATGCGAGTAATTCGCAGGTTCAACCTGAAGGGTTTGTGGGTTGACTCTTCCAACTACTCTTCCTGCCCCAAGCATCGGTTCCGTGACTCTAGTATCACTCCTACTACGTATACATAGGTCAGATCTTGCTCAACCCCGGAATTATCTCAAATGACTGACGTGACATTGTATTTGTGACTATGCGCGAGTAGCCAACATGGGGCAAAGACACCAGGCTTTCCTGATCGCCCGAGTCGTCCCTCACGGATCCAAAGATGGTCGACCCAGATACCGCTGCATCGCTGTATTTCATCATCAATACTGCTGTGGTAGTTTGGTGTTGTCCGCCGTAGACCGTTTGCTCCCTCTGCTCAAGCAGAAGGAGAACGCGGAGGTCGTGAAGGCGGAGATCCAGAACATCCAGGGCAAGTACGGCCGATGCAAGCAGGAGCCCAAGCTGCCAGACTTCCCGTGCCCATTCACTGCGTCGTTGCTGGGCCTGGCGTGGACTATGGATAAGGGCGAGGAAAGGAGGGGGTGGCCATATGTGAGCGGCGTGTCGTTCACTTGGGTGAAAATGCCCGCGGATAGTAGGCCTTGGGCCCCAGACTGTGGTAAGTCTATCTAACGCTGTTTTGAACGGGACTAGACGCTATTCCCTGCAGACAACAACGACGGAATCACCGTCATAGATGTTACAGATCCTGGATCCCCTGCCTACTGTTTCATGTCCGGTGAAGGGTCCATGCGACCCATCACCGCGCGCGGCTATATGCTCTACTATGACGATATCGGCGACGTACCGGCACACACTTTGCGTGCCTTCGACCGTATCCCTTTGGTGACGCAGGATATAATCGACGAGGCGTGGCCTCCGCAAGACAAACTCGAAGGCGCGGAGACCGGACCTAGTACTGATGGCGATAACTTCCCTCGAGACACGGCAAACAGCCTGATCTCTTCTCTCGCTGAATTGTCATTAGGACTCGCGCTCGACCAAGCTATATCTATTGGCGATACAAGCGACATCGAAAGGCTCTTGTTGCAGCCAGAGAAAGTCGACCTTGTCCGTTCGCACTTACAACGCCACAAACCGTTCCCAAACAGCGCACTATCCCTGCTCGAGGCTGTGTTGGCGGATGAACACGACTCCGAAGCGGTCAACCTCTCTGGCTTTAACCTGTCTGGGGAGCAACTACTCCAGGTTTTATCCTCCCACAACGAAGCAGTGCGCACGCTGAACATCTCATTCAATGAAGTCATCACGTCGGAGGGCATGTCGAAGCTCCTCGCCGCGATGCCGTGCCTGCGTCGATTGGTTCTCATTGGCTGCACGTCTATCATGGATGACGATCTCTGTGATCTAATGCGGACGGAACCTGAACTGTTCTACACGCTAGACACCCTCTTGCATCCCATGTTGCTGGAGATCAAGGAGCCTCCACAGTGGCCTGTCGCCTTCACGTTTGCAGGTTCATTCGATATGCCCGGGGAGATGCGCGGCTGCTGCCTGCCTGTCTTCACTCCAACGAGTGTAGTGCAGTCCCTCCTCGACTTCCACGACATGGCCATGGCATTCCTCCAACTCAGTGGCTTGAAATCAGCGAGCAGAGGCGGTATGACAGCTCAAGCTGCCTTCACCGCGGTGCGCGAACCGGACGTGCGGTGGTCCCGGAGGGCCCTCGCGGCTGCGCCCCTGTTCGGCGTGGACGAATGGAATATGCCCCCGAACTGGGTGTGCATCTCTCACTATGGCGACTGTGAACTACCCGCTGCCACTGCATTTCAGTACGCCTTCGTCAAACACAACCGCGCTAGCCATTCACCGGATGGCAAAGCGGTTAAAGCCTCAGTTCAGTATTTCGACTTACCGGGCTTTCTGACCATGCTGAAACGTGAAAGGCGGCCACCCGTTGACAAGGTCCTGGCCGCTCAACTCTCGCGAAGACTGCTGTCGAAGGAGGAGTCCTGAACGCGTTGCTGAAGAGAAACGCGCTAAATATACGTCGCCCGACTTAGAGCTCGCGGAACCACCTGAAAACTCGATGGAAGCCTGGAAGCAGAGACGGATTCGAGACTGCTACTCCGAGAGGCGAGAACAGTCACAACAGTTGACGCAGCGGGAGATACTATGGATACGCGATGCCGACAAAGACCCGAGGGCGACATTGTTGCGGGCTCATGAGATCGACCGGTTTATGGGGCCGCGGGGGAGGTATGATAGGTCCGACACAACCCCTCACGCCGTGTGGAGGGCCTTGGTAGACTAGGAGTCAGCAGAGGACAACAAGAGAGAGAGCAGCTTCAGACGATAGGTGTCAAGCTCCTCGGTAATCGGCCATATTGTACGGTATCAGCTCTGACGTTTGTGAATACAATGCTGTGTCTTGAATTTCAGAATGTACTGCCTAGTGTGAGCTGACCTCAGAAGTCTTGCTAAGGTTCAACAACGCATCAAAGTCCATCGACATCGTCTTCTACAACGACCTTCATCCTCCAACCTGGATGATCATCATCTGATTCCTCAATCGCCCATACGATATCTTCATCGTCATCAGCAACTCGCTGTGTAAGATCGGCAGGCTTGCTCGACTGATCCTCCACCAGGCCATCGATGTCCACTTCTTCATCTTCGGCCTTCTGCTTGCGGAGGGCAATCTCACTCTCATCTTCCTACGAGAACCTTTAGTACACGCGCGTGCATGGCTTCAATCAGATGAAAGCATACAATGTCGAACTCATCCTCCCTCTCCTCGTACTCCACATTTTCGTCGACTTCTTCGAAACCGCCTGCGAATGCGCCCCATCGCTCCGGAGTAGGACAGTGCCAGACGAGGATATTGCCGACATTAGTAGTCGAGACTATAGAAGCTTTTTTTGGATGCCACTAGCATTCTCGTCAATTGTGCGACGATGGCTGCGCTCAACAAGCGAAGAACTCACGTGAACATGCAGCAATGGTTCTGGTCCACCGTCAAGAGCAGTCGCAAATTGACCTTCATTCGCGAGGTCCCAGATGTAAATCTTGTGAGACGCGTTGTCAGCCGCACCTGCCAATCGTCTGTTAGCTTCACACTAAATCAAGTAAACACCGATCAGGCATACCTCCAGCTAGCCATTCGCCGTCAGGACTGTAAGCCATAGCATGCCACGCGTTCTTGTTGATAGGGTCATTGAAACGATATGTTGGCTCGAGCTCCTGCTCGATATACTCCCCCTCAGCAGTCGAAGACATGTAGATCGGCAAGTTGAATTGTCTGAGAACACGGTCTGACGAATTGGTGACTAGTCGCCTGCAAAGTGGAGTTGAGTGGGTGTGTCACATACCCGGTGACGGTACCTACCGACCACCCTTGGCGAAGTCTAGACCTCTGATGATACCTGCTCCGGATATCTTGTGCCGTGCGATCATCTAAAGGAATCCAGCGGTAAGTAATGTAGGAGTTACAGGTTGACGAATCATGTTGGGCTTACAGTCTTGGTGCGCGTATTGAACACTATATTGGACCCTGCTGAGGTACCAGCGAAAATGTACCTCCCTGTGGGATCGAACCGCACGACCGTCATTGTAGATCTGTTTGGCAGTTAGGACGACAGTCAGGCATCCACAAGACATAATTACCGTGCTCTGCTACCCTGTCCTTCATCCTCGCTCTCCTCTTGGATTTCACAGAGCTCTACCCGACTACGGTACTGTTTCCGCAGATCGACTAGGTACGCGTCTCCGGGACTGAGCAGCACCACTACTATCTGGCTGGTTAAAGATATCAGCTGGCCAACACACATGATGTGTAATCCAGTGAAGGCTCACCTATTCCGCGGGTGAAACGAGGCAGACACGACGGGAGCGTCGAACCTGATGGTAGCCCTCCGGCGTACGGGGTCCGTATCCGACGCAAGGTCCCATATAATCACGTTCCAATCCTTCGATGAGGTTAGCAGATAGCGTGAATTCCGCGACCAGCTGAACACAATCTAGTGAGACTCACAACTCAGAGCATGAACTCACGGCTACGCACTCGACGCTTGTTACAGCCTTGACATGCCCCTCCAGCCAGCGTATCGGTGCTTTCGTATCTAGATCCCAAACGACGGCCGACCCATCTGGCCTTCCGCCGGCCACATAGCTGCCCGAAGGGTCGAACTTTGCGAAGGAAGCCCCGGAGTTGAGGGAGGTTTGGACGGCAGTGGGGTAGGATATGGTGAACGGGTCTGCAAGATAGCATTGAACCTCAAGGTAGGTCATACACATAAACGCAACAGACCTGATAGTACGCCGTTCATTATCGCGGCGCGGCTAGTCCAATAGTCAGGTAATGATGTGAGCAACGGCGCGGCGAACGCTGCGAAGTTGGGCGTCTACGCGACGCGCTCACGAGCGCCAGACGCGACTTTGACCGCGACTCGCGATAGTCTGCGGCGCTCTTTCTTCCCGAACTCAACATGGCCGACTCAAACGCACTCCTCCAAAAGCTTGATATCCCATCTGAATTCAGGAACTACGCCTCGATAACTGAAAGCGATGTCATCATCCGCTTAGAGGAGTGGCGACGACAAGCCCATGCAGTGCTCGCGGAGCTGCGTGAGCAGTTGAAATATCGAGAGATTCTGTCGCAGGCAGAAAAGGCTGAACTCATCGCCGCGGCGGTTCCGTTTGACGGCGACGGCCCATGGACTTTGGAAACCACGAGAGCGCAGGCTCAAGGTACGTATTTATGAGCCTCGTCTTGTTCTCGCTAACCGAATGTGGCAGAGATTTTGCGTCCGTACTCGGATCCGGAGGTATCGCTGCTCGAAGAGCTTCTGGTGCGACGTGTTAAGCCAGCGTTCCAAGCCGTTCCGCATCCGATGCTGAATACATCGACTGGTCGCATCCTTCCTAGGGCGGCCGGAGGACCTGACGCCGTCTTGGATCACTTTGACAATCAGACTTGGAAGGATCGTCCAGGAACGATTGACTTACTGGCCTGGTGTGCACGGCATTGCGAGGTAAGCTGGCTCTTGCTCCCCTAATGCTACAAGCTGAATGCCCATATTCTCAGAATGTTGCGTACGAGAAGCTATGGCACCTCCTCATCCCGCCAATAATGACACTGCTAGACGACTACGAGACTTCTTACAGGCTACGCGGAGTCAATGTCGTTTCGGACATGATCCAGCGGGTTCCAGCAGACCTTCTACGGCGCACCGGCGTCGATGGTCTTCTCTTCTCGGTGCGTTGTTCCCAGTGTTCGGCAATTGTTGAAAGCCCTCACACAGTCTTCCATACATACAGTCGCTGAAGAAATGCCTTGCATTCCTCCAGAACCCCGAGACACCAGAACTCATACGTGCCTCCGTGCCTGCATGTGTTACGCTGACTCTCCTCACCACGCCTCCTGGCTCCGCTAAGCGATTCGAGCAGCTATGCGAGGTTCTCGGCGACGGCATCATCGGCAGTATCTGGTTCTACGCCATGCATGAGCGGGACGCGATTGAGGCTTCCATAGACGTCCTGCCGGGCATCGTGCACGCGCTGGGCATCGGCACCGCGCGGTATCTGAAAGTGCGTATCCTTCCGCCGTGCGACGATTTCTCGTGCCGTTAACCTTTTCGCTCGCTACCTCCTCGTTGGCACCCCGGACCTAGGCGATCGTCCCGCAGCTCGTGTTCCCGCTTGCGCCTACGCCAGAGAACGCGGCGAGCCCGCGGCTCCAGCTGAGCTCCCTCCGTGCGCTTGCGGCAGTCATCAGAGCGTGCGCGCCGCGCGTGCACAAATGGAAGGGTCAAATCCTGGAAGGGGCCCTGAAATGCTGGGTCACTTTGCTCGACAAAGGTAGCGAGGATGATCGTGAGTACCTCTCCTGTCATTCCGGGCTTAGCATGCCTGAGCACCGAGATCCGGCAGTGACAAGGATGTTACGGGATGCGATCAAGGATGTGTGCGACGCACTAGCGATTGCATGTCCATCGGTGATAGAGGTGAGTTCTCCTACATCCCTGTCGCCGAATGTGTTTAGCTTATATACAGAACAGGTCGAGTACTCCCGGTTGCTACAGGTCGATCGACAGATGTTCGAACCACTCCTGGACATATCTGTCAAGGCATGAACGACGCGCTTCCAGAGCTCGGCATTTGTTCAGCGGGCGGTCGAGCGCAAACCTCGGCGAATCACTCCTGTCCAGCCTTTGATCCCCGAGATTTGTCCCGTGCTCCAGCAAGTACATCACTTGCGCGGTCGTGTCCACCGCTGCTGTGGCACTGGTGTACGGCACAGCCGTACGCGGGGTGGTGGATGACCGTAGTCTATGCAGCGGCGGACCGGCGGGCCACCAGGGAGGGGGAGGAGTGCCGTGAGTGACGTGAATCCAGGTGTGAGTGCACAGGGAGCGCTGTGTCAGAACTCAGGAAGTTGCCAAGGACTAGGCCTCCTGTCTCGTTACGAGGTCTTCTCGATGTTCGCTGGGACTTTGTGGCGTAATCCCAGGGGCCGTGTATCGAACGAGTCGCCGCAGGCCGACGTCCAAGATGGTATGTGGGGGCGCGAGTACGCATCTCGATGTGTCGCGAGTCATAGACCAGTGTAATCGCATTGAAGTGCTCGTATTGGGAGGGCGCCATGGAGGCCCAGATGACCGACAGTATTTGTGCATACTTACTCCGCTTCGAGGTCCATCGCGCTAGTGGGATTGCACCCCGGTCCACGCCCGGAGTCACTGGCGAGTCTTCGATCTGGGATGTGTCTGACTACGGACGCCGTCTATGCATGCCAAAACAAGGTTCCTTCGTCCGCCTGCGCGCCGACTTCGGAGGTGCTAGCCTGGAGGCTAAGCCGAGTTCGGGTCACGGGAGTGGACGCAGTGGCAGACATGGAGTAAAAGGGCAGGCACTAGGGCCATATGGTACCTGCAGTGACGTCGGTCCCCCTGACGCGACGGATTCTACACGAGCCTGGCCGTAGCGCGACGAGCCGACGGGCATCTGCAGCGGGCGATGTTACGAAACAGAGACGGAGACGAACGCACTCACGGCATGCGGGCATGGCTGCATGGGCGCCTGCAGACGGAGGGCGAACAGCGCCGGGGCGGGCCGGAGCCCAACCTGCCAAATCGGGGTTGCCTGAGAGCGGTGCCGATCCGGACCGGGAGTAGCCGAGGGTGGCTAAATCAAGGCTAAATGAATGTTTCCAGCACTTGCATCCGCTGAAATCCTGCACACCCGTGGCGGTACCATCTCTCCTCGCCCCACCATCCTCTCCTCGCCCCACCATCCTCTCCCCCCCTGCGTACCATCATGAGCGTATCCGTAGACGACCTCGTCGCGTCTTTCAACTCCAATCACATCGGCCAGGAGGCCATCGACCTGGCCAACCTCCAGGTATGTCTCTCATCTCGGCACGAGAGTAGAGCGCGCCTTTGAACAGGATTGTCCCAGGCACAACTCGCGCAGGCCCTGCGCAACCAAGCCTCTACCAGCGCGCAGCCCATTCAACGGCGCGCGTATCCACCATCCAACACGCCCCTTGCGCGTACGCCATCGTCCAGCATGTGCTGGGAGCCCAGCGACTTCATGCGCGCACGGAGCTCGAGTGCCGCGAATGCTACTCAGTTGCGCGGAATCGACGAAAACAAGCAGGACGTGGACGCTATGGACGAGGACGAGCGCATGGTAGAGGATATGCTCTTTGCTTCCCCCGTCAACAACGGTTTCTCCAATCCCGCTCTGCCATCTTCCCCTGCGACATACTCTGGGATGGTCTCGCGGCGGCCGAGCGTTCCGCACGTCTCCAGCACCTTTGACATGGCTCCAGCTGAGCTCCCATCGCCCAATACGTCACACTTTGCCACAACCGACCCCTTCTTCATCGCTCAGATGCAGGCAGCCCAAGCACCCGCGCCGTCTTTCTTCGCTCACGCAGGCTGTCCCTCAGCGCACTCGCCCTTCACACTTCAGTCGGCATTCGGTCAACATGCCCACCACCCCATTGCGTCCGAGGTTGACCCGGCGCACATGTTCGCGTCCTCACCAGCGGCATTCAGCTGCTAATCAGGCCCCGAGTATCTCTAATCCTACTGTGCCAAGCCCCGTCCTTGCTCAGTCCCGGGCATTCGTTCATCTCGCCTTACATCGCATGACGCGCATTGCCTACTTGCATCAGCCTGTTTTGATACCACCTGACACCACAACCACGACGATCGTCTCCTCGCATCCAGACCCAGGTCCTCCTCGTTTTCCGAGAGTGCCTGGTTGTACATTACGGTCTTATCACCACGCGCATACGGTGTCGCCACCCTCACCGCCTCCTTCCGGGCAGTCCGGTCCCGGACGATGGCTTAACGCTGGCTTAACGGCGAAACTACAAGGACTAGTGTATGCTTGTCGCGATCTCCATATTTATCCTCTCCCCCCTCTGTCATCTTTACGCATCCACGTTGTTATCTTAGAAACCCACATCCACGTCTCCTCATCTTCTGTACAGTATAATCATCGTTCAAGTCTGGGGCATTTGTTGTCGGATTCGATGAAGAGGCCATAAACAATAATGTGTACTATCTTTTTATTCACCTTGGTAACCATTGCAACTCGTGTGATGATGCCGTGTGCTGATGATCTACTATGAATATGTAGGTAGGCTTGTCCAGGCTTTCGTGCATGCTTGCATTGCTCCAGCAACGACCTCGCTAACACCACGCACTTCGCAACGCACTCACACAAACTTGCACTGACACCTCCGGGTCTGCGCATGCGAGCGCTTACATCGCCCGTTCGTCCCGTACACCGAAAGTCCAGAGAAGATAAAGGCGACGGCCCGCGCGGGGTAACGTGTCGCTCAGGCTAGAACTCAACCAGATGGCCCTTCCAGCTTCCAGACTTCCTATACACTATCCTATCACCACAATGCCTTCTACGTCAGGTAAGATAAGCCCTGCGAAGCTCGCTCCGCGACAGAGGCCTCTCATATGAGGACTCGGGTACGCGAATGTTTGCAGGGCCCACCTTGTTCCCTGTACCCGTCTCTCCCTGCCTGAGTGTGAGCGCGATGCCGACATATACACTGAGCTTCGAGACCCTTGGAGTAGAGATGGTCTGGGATTGGAAGCTGGCGGGGGCATGTGTATACGTACTGGCCGGCCTGGCGCTCGCCGCGTTGTGTCTTGCAGGATCGGTGTACCGGTTCTGTATTGATCAGCCTGATCGTCGAAAGAGCGACGAAGGCGAGACAGTCGTGCAAGAACGGAAGGCGATCGCGAGCCAGGATCGCGAGCCCGGAGGTGAGCGTATGTCGAGCTCTAAACTTGTTCAGTGATCATTGACGCACGTTGTGTAGAATGGTCGCCAGTTGCGTTTGACTACCCTGCCATTGAGCCATTCAACGAAGATATCATGAATGTTAAGCCGATACCCTACCGACCCTTCAAATGGGGTGAATACCAGTATGTAAGAATCTTCTCTCCCTCACTCGCACATACGCACTTCCGCTGCAGTGTCACGATGGGCATCCGGAGCATGCCCTGGGATGAATGGATCGAGGTTCGTCCACCCAGATCTGCGCCTCCCATGTCCAGCTCAGTCTAGGTTGTTCTTCTCTTCTCTTCTGCTCGCCTCCGCCCCCGCGGACGGTCACTACCCCAGCTGGATCAACACTTCTACGAATACCACAAGATCACCGACTTCCGCATCCGGGCACGGCCCAATCGCGTTATCATGTACCATCCTCCCCAGCCTGAGATCGTGGGCTCCGCCCGGCCTGCAGGTGCGTTTGTTCTGTTTATCCCACTTCGACATGTATTCAGATGACTGTTCACACTCGATAGCGGAAGAATTGGTTCAGGAGCTTGCCGAGTTCCTCGTCAGAAGATACCCCGCTCTGTACGCTGTCACCCGATACGAGAAGGGGGAGCGGAGCAAGGAAGGGTGGTATAGCGCGGGACAGATCAGGACAATCACGATTGTGCCGTTGAAGGTCACGTACGACCTTGAGACGGAAGATCCTCTGAAGGTGGCGAATCTGCTGTTCGTGTTCCTTCTACGAAGCAGGAGTCAAAGGATTGAGCAATTTACAATAGTGTGCAAGAAGACTGGGCGATCATGATGGAGGGTGAGTTTGAGTGCATGGCTGATTGACTCTCGTTGACCATGCGCCCCTTGGCTCTAGGCACTGATGGACAGTATTGGCTACAAGCCGGTGCTGTTTGCAAACCCGGTGAGTCTTAGTCTCAGTCTGTGTTCGCTCCGGTCCGAGTCGTTCGTCAGACTGATCGAGTATGATATGCCCAGGCTTCTGGAGACTACAGGACAAGCTCGGTATGCCCTTGGACGAGATCCACTTGTCCGGCAATGTGCCTCAATGTCAGTACCAACTCTTGCTGTCTCGTGTCTGGCTCATGTGCGACGGGTCTTCAGTCAAGAGCAAGCTGCAGCTCAGCATGTCTCGGTTCTTCCGCCGCATGCCCGTAGGCAAGCCGGTGACCCGCAATAATTACTTCTTCCAAGTTGTGAAGCAACCAGAGCTCCAGCCACAAGACGATCCCGCGGTTCACGTAGACCCAACCGAGCTCTCCTGGGCGCGCACGATGCACGGTTTCGAGGACAAGAAGGACTTCGAGCGTGCAGCATTGATCCGCGAAGAGACGGAAGCCGAGACGGAGAACGTCGCCGATCGCAAATCCACCGAGCCGCTTGACCCTGCGACAGTCTTTCTGCGCACAGAGCGGCAGACGCTGCGCAGGCTACCGAAGACAGGCGCGATTGTGTTCACGATACGTGTGTACCAGACGCGGGTGACGGACCTCGTCAAGGAACCTGGCGTGCCCGGACGGTTAGCGAGCTCGATAAGGGGATGGTCGGAGGACGTCGCGCAGTAAGTGTATCGATGCGTAGTATTCGCTTTCAGGTTAAATGACGAGTTATCCGAATACGCAGATACAAGGATCTGTTCGCGTACAAGGATATACTCCAATATCTCGACACGTCGCATGCAGAACAGCTGGAGAAGGGACTCGTCGGATCGCAACCTCGCAACCCTCCGTATCCGTTTTGACGACGGAATGCATTCTTACATCCTTGGCAAACGGCGAGTGACACTACTCCACCGCTAGCTCGGAGGTGTTCAGGAGGAGGCTCATCGGAAGATCCATTCACGAAGGTACCACTGTAGGACGAACTTGTCATCCATCATGACAATAAACATCTCAATTGCATCTGTACTTGATCTGTACATATATACGCACATTTGTATTTGAGTAACGTCACTGAACGAACGCCCCTTACGATGCAGCCCAAGATTGATGTGATCGACTTGAACGGAGGTCCGCACCCATATCTCCGTCCCGCCGGCAAGCCTGAGCCTCCTCGCCAAGTTCTTTGTGGCCCTGAGTCCGAGTCATACCGAACACCAGAGCGTCTTGATAAGTATCGATGAGTATTTGGCCCTGAGTCCCTGTCGCACGTCCCTCACCACTGCTTGACCCGTTCGATCCAAGTTCGATCTGAACCGTGTTGTGAACGCCACGCGATCATGCACATGTCTCCCCTGTTTCGGTTTGATGCCGTCCCTTTCGTTGTTGGTCTGCTAGCGCTGGTAGCGCTCGGACTCTTCAAACTGAGACAGCGATCCTCGCGCGTGCACTCAACGCGCGATCAAACGACTGTAGCTGGGAAGCCCCGCACACAGGAGAGAGAACCCGGAGGTGAGGATAGAGCTACCCGGCCGGGGCTACCGGATACTAAGATTGAGCACCGCAGAGTGGACACCCGCAACATTCGACTATCCCCAGCTCGAACCATGCACCGATGAACTGAACACGATCAAGCCGATCCCGTATCGTCCCTTCCGATGGGGAGAGTACCAGTACGTCTCAACTGCCCCCGAACCTGCACGTACTACTGGGCCATGCTGATGGCTGTTTTAATCGATATCAGTGTTACAATGGGCATTCGCAATATGTCCTGGAACGAATGGATAGAGATCGACCAGAACTTCGTGGCTCATCACCGGTTGAGAGAACATCGCATCCGTACTCGTGGTGAGCGAGTGGTCAGAGTACATGATGCTCAACCGGGGATCGTCGCTTCCGGCCATAACGCAGGTACGCAATAATCTGTAGCAGTTGCGGACCGAGTCCGTCAGTTATTCACGATCGAGTATCGCAGCGCGCGAACTGGTCTACGAGCTCGCAGAATATCTGTCCAGACGCTACCCTGACATCTACCATGTTACGCGCAAGAACAAGAGTGAGAAGGGAACATACAGTTGGTACGGTGAAGGGCAGGTCCAGACAATCACCATCGTACCGCTCAACGTTACATACGACTTGGAGAAGGAAGACCCGATGACACTCTCTGCATCACTGTGGGTGCCGCGAAGCCCGTACCACCATTGGGCCACCCTGAGTGATGAGGCTGACACTCCTCCTCAGGATCCAGGAGGACTTGGCCATCATGATCGAAGGTGCGTACGCTTACCTAGTCTATCGCAGGAGAATTCAACCATAGAACGTCTTCTGGCCTACAGGCAGCGATGGCCGGTATTACCTACAAGCAGGAGCGATTATCATCCCAGGTAGGCTGACTACTTGACAATGTCGAGTATCCACCTGATTGCCCGCCCAGGTTCATGGAGACTAAGCGACAAGATCGGCATGCCTCTAGACGAGATCCATGTCACCGGCCATGTTCCACAGTGTACGCGGTCACATTCAATCCAGAGACTCACCTATCTCACTGTCTCGCCTCAACAGATGAACGCAAGCTACACCTCAGCATGTCCCGCTTCTTCCGCCGGCTGCCCCTGGACAAACCCGTCGTCCGGAACAACTACTCGTTCCAGCTCGTCCACCCTCCACTGTCCTCCACCACGACCGACCCTGAGATCGCGCTCGACCCGACCGAGCTCGCCTGGTGCCGCACGATCCACGGCGACGAAGATCGCGACGACTTCGAGCGCCGGCAGAGCTCCGTACCGCCCCTTGAAGAAGCCGCAGGCAGCGCGCCCGTGGACCCGAACGAGGTGTTCCTGCGCTCGGAGAGGCAGACGTTGAGGCGGCTCCCGAGGACGGGCGCGATCGCGTTCACGATCAGGGTGTACCAGACCCCCATCATGGACTTAGCGAGGGAGCCGGGCGTACCAGGGCGGCTCGCGAGCGCGGTGAGGGGCTGGTCGGAGGATGTTGCACAGTGAGTAGTCGTGTTGCTAACGATGCGGACTGGATGCTGATGGATGGCCCTGTGATGATTGCAGATACAAAGGGGTCGAGAGGTATAAGGACGTCTTGCCTTACCTAGATGAACGCCATAGAGAACAGGTGGAGGCGGGACTTATCAAGGAAGACGATCATTCGTCTTCCTACCCGTTCTAACGACACAATGAATATAATTTATACTGTATTGACACGCGGAAGTAGTCAGGGTGCATTCAGATAAACGAGGTGTACGCTGAGACAAACAGTACCGAAGGTTGTTCGGGTTGTCCTTGACGTCATGTCTTCAACAACCGAGTTGATTTTCAGGATTCGCCTATTGAGCTTGCCGTAAGCTTATCATACATACGTAGCGAACACGACGCAGATATGGAAGTCCAATAATACGGCTCGGAGAATCCCCTCCAGTCGAATCGCGTAAGGAAGCGCGACGGACTTGGGATGAATGCATTGAGACTCCACTCACCCTTTCGCTTGAACATGTTGAGGGGTTATTGCGAGGTCGAGGCGGGAAGACGATGACGACATACTCGACTGCCATGTCTCGACAGCCACCCGCATGTTGAATGGTGACAGCGACGTCCTAGTGAAACATCCATCGCAGTGAGGCTGATTGGTATTTGGAGATAAGTACTTCGCAGCAGCCGGCGGAAGGACGGCTGCGAGGCATGAGATGAGATGTCGAGTGGCACACCTTCTATGCCAGCGGCGGGAGTGGCATTTTCAATGGGACGTTGCAGGGTACCCACGGAGATGTGAAGGCAAAAATAGCCTAGTCGAGTCTGTGGGATACCTAAAGCAGGGCGAGGGAACAGTGGTCAGTAGAAGACGGCGGTGGTACGGACACCGCGGTACTGTGACCACAGACAGACAGTTATCAGCACGGTCGCCGCCAAAGGGGACTACAAATGTATGGCAGCTGGTATGTTCGGAGCAAGGGCATACGATTGAGCTGAGCAAGATGAAGACCCGGTGATAGTCATTGTACGGGTGAAATGTAATCCTCGAGGCGATAGGCACATCGTGCCAATGCTACCGGAGCAAGAAGGCTCGTACCTTAGGTCAAATGGGAACTATGGCAAGCATCTGTCAGATAGAGCGGTAAGTATTGGCATGTTCCGCACGATTGTTCAGGGCGAGCGAGGGCGGTGTCGGCTGCGGCAGCACGTTCATGCAACAATGCGAAATGAACGTGCTGAGCGGTCGGGGGCACCAAAGTTGTGGCTGCGGCCAAGACACTAGTCCCAGGCTGTCCTGAGTACCGGACGATACATCGACTATCTGAGAGGAAGCCCACCATCCCCAGATTACCCCAGAAGAAGCGCGTACGAAACCATGTCGACCCCGCAGCGTCAACTCGCCAGAGGGAACTATATCGAGCATAGTACTGCACGTTGCTACCTCGATAGTATGTGAGAGCGGGCGGGGTCTTTCACAGATAACAGTCGAATGTGTTATGGATGAAGGCAAGATGCAGGAAACGCACGGCTGCTTTCACACAGGAAGGCGGCCGCGAGGCTTGTTGGCCTTGCCCACCGACCTTCCGGGCTCCACTACATCATCGGTGATTGTTGCCTACCCTCCCGGAGTAGAAAATTCGAATTCGCTGTTGGAACTGCTTATCCTGCGTAGGTGCTCCCATTACCTTGTCCTCGAATGGTGTATACGCAATCACGTGACCGTATTGCGACGACCGGCGTTCGCAAGCAACAGCGCGGCGGAAATGCACCTTCCTCCAGCACAATGAGTGCGAGATACACAGCATGCTCGTCATCGTCGTTAGCGCTTTTTCTGGGACGCGACACGATGCGCATCAAACCTTTCTGATAGAGACAATGGCGTGTGCATTCATCGAAGGGCGGATATCGCGCGCGGACTGCCACGTTCGTGAAGATAGCTGCGGTGAGGATTGATCTTGGACGGCTTCCAAGGCTTCGCGCCGTGCTTGCTTCAGAAGGCGCAAAAATAGGTAGATTGTGGTGCTGATTGTGAAACTGTCGAGGGTCGGACAGGCCGGACCAAGACGCGAGACAGGATTTAGCTAGTGCGCTGCGATAGCGCGCTGAGGTGAGCTCGGCAGGTCGGGAAGCGCAGCGGCCGGTGGTGGGAGATAGGCCCTGCTGGGACGCTGGCCATGCGCGTCGCAGGTGGGAGTCAGAGCCGGGCAGCGGGCAGGGTGGACGGGGATGAGGCTGGTCGAGGCAGCAACTGCGCGGTGGCTGAGCGGGCGGCTAGCACCACTCCACTGCGGTGTTGACGCGGTGTGCAGCCACCTCGCGTCTGCACCACTCCTTCCTCCTTCCACTCTCGGCTGTGTCCCCTCCATGCCGAAGCCCACCATCATCCAAGCCCTGCTAGGCCGTCCGTCTCAGCATTATTCCTTTCCCGCAGAGAAGAACTACTACTATACTAAGCACGACCTTATCCGTGCCGCCACCGAAGATCGACATGGGAGTGAGGCCGGCCCTTCTCACAGACACAGCAGCGCCTCTCCCACACCCGCGTCACCCTCACAACCACGCTCGCCGACCGCTCGTGAGCAGCCCGAAAGGCGTCGCTCGCCCAAGAGGCGACGCACGTTGACCACACCGCTCGTGGGCCCGGAAGACGCCTCGGAGGTGAGTGTCGGCGCGCCCTAACGCGATCGTACCGGCTAGTTGGCATGGAAAACTGGCTTATCTTCCGTCCCAATTTTTATCTTTGATGCTCCCTCCAACTAGTATTTCGTTAGCCGATCCGTTATCCAACAAATCGCGTCAACCGAAGCATCATCACAGAAGCAGAAGGCCGACCCATACCATGCTGTTCCTTCATCGCCATACATAAGTCCCGCAGGGTACCCAGGTTCCTCAGCTCGGCGCCCTGTCGACCTCACCGTCGGGCCTCCGGACGACACCCGCGACGACGACTACGAGGTCTTTTACACGCCCTCCTCGTCCCTAGTCCCGTCGCCCCAAGAGTTGACCGCCGCCGAAGCCATGTTGTTCGAGCCTCAAGCCCTCGCGACTGCCCTTCTTCCCATCCATGGCCGGCCCAAGCTCAAGTCCTCCATAGCTCCCCCGACGCTCTCGAGGGACTCTTCCTTTGACCTGGACTTCGCCTTAACGCCCGGTCCGTTGACACGCACTTCCTCAGAGGTTGAACCCCCGCCGTCCGCGGTAGTCTCTCGGTCTTCTTCGGATTCGTCCCTTTCATCTTCCTCTGCTCTGTCTGCGTCCCCTCCTGTATCTGATCAAGATGCTGCGTCACTCTTTGACTCCGGTGCGACTACTTCGACTCGCATTACAACGCCACTGGGATCGGTGGGCCAGCCGAAGTCGGACGAAGGTCATGACGAGGCCATAACAATCCTCTCTTCGTCGCGCAAGGCTCGTCCTTTGAGCATCGATCTCTCGCCTGCTTCCCTGCAGCCTCGACCATCAGTTCGGCATGACCGTCGCGCCTCGCACCCCACTTCGCCCCTACGCTCGGACGAGGACTGGGCCAAAGACGTCCGTTGGCTTGTCCCCTCTGGTCCGGCCCCCACTGCGCCAAGCCGCACCAAGCCCCTCCAGAATGCCCAGAATGCAGACTCGCCTGTTCGCATTGCCCGTCCTCTGCACCCCGATCTTCTCCCTCCTCTCCCGACGGACGCGATGCCGATCCCCGCGCCCCACCAACTTGAGCGCCAGGCGTTTTCGGACCTTACCTCCGTCGCGGGCACGGCGACGGCCCGCCCGCGTCCCAAAGAGCAGCGGAACAGCCGGCACTCTTCGTCTCGGCACTCGAAGACGCGCATGAGCGCGCTCTGGGAGGAAGACGAGAGTGAGTACTCGGACTGGGGCGCGAGCAGCGCGGATGTCAGTAGGGCGAGTACGCCCGCGCCAACGCCGTTCGCGGACGGTTACATGGGCGAGCGCGCGGGCACCTCGACGCCGCCGATCGGGTGGGGATACGCGGGCATAGGCTCGATGAGTGGGCCTGTCGTCACCTCGGGCGTCGGCGCGGTAGGCCATGGCCCCCTCCACCCTGAGTTCAGGAATTCGCTCCATCGACGCCCGTCCATGTCTGAGTCGAATCTGCTCGACCGGTTCAAGCATGACCCTGAGCCGCCCTCGCCCACGGAGTCGCCAGATGTGAGGTTTCAGGACTACGCCCGCCGCCGGAGGAACCATTTGCGTTCGGTTTCGTTGTCTAACCCTTCTGCGCCGTCCCTTGGCCAACAAGTGACGCTCAGCAGCTCGCTTCCTACGCATTCGATTCCGGCACCCTTCCCGATCTCCGAACCAGGTCATGGGTCCGGCTCTGTTGGATACACAAGTCTTACTCTCCCTCATGCGGCGTACACTGGCAAGAGCGGGAAGACGCGCCTCGACGGGCAAGTCGACCTCGTGCGCTCTGGCAAGGCGCAGAGCAGCATGGCCACCGTCGAGATCGTGCGCGGCGTCGCCGCCAGCGTCGGCTCCTCGCCGCTCTCCAAGACGCGCCGCCGGCTCTCGTTCAGCGTGGGCATCGGCAAGAATGGGCGGCGCCGCGAGAAGGAGAGTGAGACCCCCGCACACCTCCGCGCGACGCTCCCCCTGCCCGTTGCGTTCACTGCGCACATCCCCCCGCCGAGCTTCGTGTCGATGGACCACATCCTGGTGCAAATCTTCGCGGTCGGCTTGGATGGCGTCGACTCATTGATCGTGCAGGAGAAGGCGGAGAAGCGCGGGTCGGCGGGCTCAGTGAGGGGGAAGAAGAGAGGCTTCATTCCTGGCCGCAGCTTTGTTGGTCGGGCGGTGGAGTGTGGGTTCGATGTCGACAATGCGGTGTGCAAGAGGGGTGAGTGGGTCGTAGGCTTGTTGGACGTGCGCAAGGTCAGTTCCACAACGCTCGCATGTTCTTCACACACTGATGAGGTATGTTCATTCACAGTGCGGTGCGCTCGCGGAGTACGTCGTCATCGATCGGCACCGTATGTGCCGGTGCAAGCAGCCACGTACGAAGGGTGCGACGCTGTTCCCTCCTCGTCAGCGCACCCGTACACGCACGCTCTCGCTGCCGCCCCAGGGTAGCGTGCCGAGTCCTACGCAGTCGGGTGTGATGCTACCAGCATCCAACCAACTCACTCCCCAGGATCTCGCCCTTATTCCGCTCTGTGGTCTTCCCGCGCACCGCGCAGTGCGGTCTTTCGCCGATGTCATCGCCGCGCGGAAGAGCAAGGGCGGTCGTGCCCGTATCCTCATCCTGAACGCTCACGACGGCGCCAGCGCGATGGCGCTGCAGATGCTCGCCAAGAAAAAGGTGGATGTATGCGCGCAGATCCCTGAGTCGGCCGTGCGGGACGTGGACGAGAGCGAAGAGTCGTCGGAGGGGAGCAACTCCGGTGCGTCGCTGACCAGGCGCGAACGCGTCGAGACGCGAGTCCGGGGCTGGGGTGCTGGGGAGGTCTTCGTCGGTGAGCCCCTCGCGGTGCTCGAGCAGCTGTTCGAGGAGGAGAGGTCGTTCGACGGAGTACTCGACACCGTCGGGGGTGTGGAGATCTGGGAGGCAGCGCAGAGGCTGCTCGCAACGTACCCGTCGATGTCGTGCGCGGTGTCGGACGTGGAAGATAACGCTGATGACGGGCGGAAGAAGAAGGTCTTCGTCTGCCCGGCGCAGTTCACCACGCTCGTCGGCGACATGCCGTCGCGCGCGATCCCGAGTGCGAACGACAACATCCGTATGGGACTGCGGTCCCTGCGGCGCGCCGTCTCGACGAGCCAGGCTCCCGCGAAGGGCAGCAACCCGAACGGGACCTGGGGCCGCAGGCGGGCGAAGGTCAAGCGAATGGTCGGGTACGCGTGGGTGAGTGTCGCCGCGGACGTCGACGAGGGCGAGGACGTGCGGGACTCGCTCGCCGCGGTCGTGGAGATGGTCGAGGGAAACAAGGTGCGGCCTTGGGTGGGCGCCGACGATGACGAAGACCGGGTCGTCACGTTCGAGCGTGCTCCGGAGGCCTTCAGGCGCGATGCAGATGGGCCAAGGGGCGTGCTTCAGGATGCGGGCACCTGTGTCGTCAAGATCGGCGCGTGGTCTTGAGCCCTGAACGACTGCTACATGACTGATCGCCGTGCGAGGGTATTCACGGTTTTGCTGATTATTTACGACTCGCGCTCACTGTTGGGCTGTTGCCCGCAGTGGGTTACGTTCTCTCTTTTATACGACCCTTGGGGTTCTTGGTTCTCTCTTCATTCATGCATCTACTTCATCGTGTTTCAATGCATCGATTTGTATCATCATCCCATCACCCCCTTGTGGGTTGCCGTATCATTAGCACTTGTCTCTTCCACCCGCATACCCATTATGTTATTACCCATGCACGGTAGATAGTGGCGACTTATAGACAGTCATAGACGGTTTAGGGACTAGATCATTGGTGCCCAACCTGTACTTAGGTAGTAGTTCCAACTTGCATACATTTGCGGAATATCCGAAGCATGACTAGTACCGAACACGTCCACCGAAAGCATCTAAAAGAATTTGCTGAAATCGTACGTCTCCTCGCCATCCTTCGTCGTTGACGATGGCTGGGTCGCCTTCTTGGGATTGGCGATTTTCTTCATCGCAGAGGCGATGGAAGGCATCTTCTTCGGTGCTTTAGTGGGCTTTGCATGAGGGGCGACCTTGGCTTTTGCTTGGGGTTTCGCTTGAGGGCTCTTCGCTTGAGCGGCGGAGAGCTTAGAGCCAGCTGCGCCCGCTGCAGATCGTGCCTGCTTGGTACCCTTGGGCTCCGCCGCGAATGCAACCTTTTTAGCGGGACGGGAAGGAGACTTCTGTGCGGCGCGTTTGCGCTTGCCTGCAGCGGGCGCGGGCTCCTCATCCTCCTCATCCTCTTCCTCTTCATCGTCCTCGTCTTCGTCAGAGGCCTCCTCATCCTCATCACCTTCCTGCTCGCTAGACTGGTCCAACTGGTCCACTTCGCCATCGTCACCCTCGTCGTCCTCGTCCTCGTCCTCGTTGCCAAAGTAAGGAACCCCCAGCGCGACCTCCCTACTCTCGACCTCCCCAGGGCTCATCTTGACTGACCCGCGGGACTTCCGCATCTCCTTACGCGTTTCCAAGCGGGATAGGATCTCGTCGTTCTTCGCGTACACATCCGCGAAGCTCGAGTCAGGAGACGGAGCGGACGGAGCGGACGGAGCGGAGGCGAGCGAGGGTCTGGTGTACCGCGGGAACTTGCCCGTGCTCCAGTCGCGCAGGACGATGCGGGATGCGACACCGAGGTCGAGAACGCCACCCTATTCGTCAGATACGTCAGTACTGAGAATGTGAGGATTAAAACGAAGCGCGGACCTTCTTGATTAATGCGTTCGCGCGAGCGACGCCAGACAGGAATGCATTTGAGTCGCCCGCCGCGAAAGCGGGCAGGTTGTAGAAGAGCATGAGGTCTTCTCTGTCAGCGCGTGAGACCAACTCAGCAACTAGACGAAGTCAGTGCTAGGATGGATCAGGCATCCGCGAGTCTACGTACCAACTGGTGCTGGGTCCTTGAGGCGCTCAACCCGACCCCTGTTGCGCTGCAGGATGTCCCGCGCACGGATGCGCTCCAAATCCTCTGCGGAGAGGTCGTCGGGCGCGAGCCATGCGAGTCCGGGAGTGTCGATGATGCGAACGGCCTTTCCCTCGAGCTCTAGAGATACCTCTTGGGGATATGCAGTAGTTGTAGGACCGTCGACAGGTGAGGAGGTCAGCTTGTATGTAGGGAGGGTGGCCTGGCGGAGTAGGGAGTTGATGAAGGAGCTCTTGCCCGCCTAAAGACAGATCAGTGACACATCTGGGCACAATGTGAGGAGTTACATACGTTTGTCACGCCGACTACGGCAACGACCAGTGCACCATCGCCTTCCCTCTCCTGTGCCCATTTGCTCAAAACTTGCATGGCGCTGTCGACGCCCCAAGCGTCGTCCGCTCGTTCCTTGCCTTTACCCTTTCCAGCCGGCTCAATCAAAGATGGGAGGAAGGCAGAGGCGGAGCGGAAGAGGGCAGTAGGATATTGAGCTCGCAAAGAGGTCGCCCATTCTTGTACGGCTTCACGAGGACAAGCATCTACGCACATTGTTTCAGGCGGAACAGCCCATGACTATGGACACAACAACACATACCGACTTTGTTCAGGACACACAAAATCTTCTTGTCCTTAGCAGCTTCATCCAACGAGGTACTCCTACACCGCTGAGGATCGCGCGCGTCCAACACTTGGATGACAACGTCCGCCTCCTTCAGCACCGAGCGCAGGTCTGGTAGGTCCCGGTTCGCCAGAACGGGAATGTCGTCGTCGACAGCGCCGGTGGACCCCTGGATGGCACTACTGCTGCTCGTGCCCTTCCCCTGTGAACCTGCGTGGGCATCGACCTCGCCCTGCTCTGCTGCCTGAGCCTTGGCTGCTTTCTTCTCCTCCTTGCGTTTCTCCTTCTCTTCTACGGTCTGTAGTCATACTTGAGCAAATACTGTGAAGGATGGGTAGGCCCAACGTACTCTTCTGCGTTCCTCTGCGACCTCCGCTAAAATCTGGTCCTTGTATGGGAAGTTGTTCGGAATGCCGAGATCCTTGGGGTTCTCTGCACAGACAGTTGAGCATTGATCAGTAAACATAAAACATTGCTACTCACTCGTTTTCCATTGCGTGTTCTTCTTAGCCTCCTTCTTCCTCTTCTTCCTTGTCTCCGCGACCTTGTGCTTGATCCTTCCACGTTGGTTCGAGGTCCCTCGCTTGCTTGTCTCTGGCAGACGTACGTTAAAGAGTTCGAAGACTTTTCATCTGTAAAAAATACTCACTTTTTCGTATGCGAGGCATGGTCTGTGAGCGGAGGGAGGTGTGTGCGACGCTGTACGGTGCGCCTCTTGCGAAAGCGCAAATTCTGTTCTGACTGCCCGATTGGGAGGAGATCTCAGATCTCAGATCACATCGCTACTCAACGCCGCGGCGGCGTGGCCTACCTATGAGTACAGTGAGGCTCATCCGTCCGGCACTTCCTCAGGCTCGCCTGCAGAAAATTCAGGAGAAGGCGACAGCGAATCTCTCATGCCGGTATAAACGTCAAATTCATTCTCATCTATATTGTCAGCCCTCACTGGTATTGTACTTGATATAAGACCTGAAACCCCTTCACTACCGGGTCCGGACATAGCCCGTTCTCTGGCAACAGAAATCCCAGATGGAAACTAAGTATATACTACGTGCGCGAAGGCAGACTGTATAGGGTCCGAACGGAAGATCTCGTCCTAGCCGTCGAATGCTCTAGCGAATACAGATATACGAAGCAGATCCCTAAAAGATTGGTGACGATGCACAGGTAACCCAGAGACATCTTATCCCTCATGACCCGTTCACGATTCACGATTTTGTTCACAATCCGAGCAGCAGCATTACCTTGTGATGTGATCTCTCCGTGCCCACCGAGTACTGCCCCAGGCACCTGGATCAGAGGCTCCTGACTTCACCTCATATCCTCCTCTTCGTCCTCTGCCACTTCGTAGCCTACCCAGACGACTTCCGAGCAACTGTTACACCCGATGAGATGTTGACCATCCTCCAGGACCTCCTCGGTCACAATATACCCGCCGCCACAGCGACAAGCGTAGGTCCACACCACCCGTTCGGCACCGTCCTCGCCCTCTTCAAATTCCTCCAGCGAGACGACTTGTGCCGGGCGAGGCCCCCCCTTTGTATTCGCTTCCGTGCGAGAGACATCGTATACAACTCTGTCGGCCGGAGAAGCGAGGACTTGGTATGCTCGCTGCAGCAGGGCGATGTCAACACCGCTGCTATGGTCTGAGGTACTGGTCCCCCGCTGGCTGTGCTGCTTGTCTGGGTGGTAGATGAGCAAGGCTTGATGGTAGGCTTGTTTTATCTCGGCGGAGGAAGCAGTGGGCGAGACGGAGAGGATCGCATAGTAGTCCGGGGGCGCATCTTCAGCCAGCTTGTCGAAGGCGATACTGCGAAGGGGATCTAGACAAGGAGGTCAGGCAGTTCGTGTTAGGAGAGAAGGGAAATCGCAGCGGACCTAGCGTTTCACTTAATGAGGGTGGAAGATCGCTCCAAGATTGCTCTGCTGGATTTGGAGCCCGTTCCGATATGCTAATATCGGGTCTTTTCCGCAACGTCCGAGCCCTCGCTTAGTCAGCACCGCGTTAGGAGAATCGCGACATTGGACAGTCTCATTGGACAGAAACGTCGGACAGCTTACATCATCCGCGCGCTTCCGAGTCAAACATTCAAACCGCCTGTTGTAAGATTCGAATTCCAGAGGTGCAAGAGCCTGCATCCGGTAGCATTGACTAGTCTGGTGTCGTAGTAGATTCTATCTGTACTAGTAGGGTTCTGGGTGAACAAGGAAAGTGGTAATATGCCTCTGATTGCGGCATAGCTCCGAATCGCCCGGGGCGGCGAAGCCGCCGCGGGCGAGAGGAGCACTGTACTGTACATAGGTGCTCACAGGTCACTTGAAATATTTTTGTGTCGTTGCCTTCACATTGGTGCATACAACAATATGCATATCGGATCCTGCCGGGCGTAGCAGCGGCGAATAAGACAAGTCTACGAGGAGAGACGTGGGAAGTCCTGCCCTGTTTGGATCGACCTTCATATAATCACATTGTCGCTGCACACACCCTTGTATGATCACTTCGTACATCACATCACTACAGTGCACAATAATACATGTGGTCTCGAAGAGATTTGGACCCATGCGACACAAGAAAGTTGATATGCAGAGCAAGGGTCGAGGATTGGCTTTAGAAGAAGAGTGTAACGATGCTCATCTCCGGGGCGTCGATCTCAAGACTCCCATTCGCGCTCAAAGTCGGCACCTCCGCCTCCGCATAGTCCTCTGTCACACTCGTGCGGTACATCGCAACGGGCTGCGTAAGCGCGAAAGTGCCATTACTTGTCAAAGTAATGCTCGACGCGTTCCACTGGGCGTTCATAGCGACGACTGAGTACGGCACCTGGGCGCAGGTGCTATATTGCTCGCAAGCAGAGTCATAGTCGAACGCCAGAACGCGCCATGCGTCGTCAGTGGTGTCGGAGTCTGGCGTGACAGCGCGGCGGACCGCCCCGACAGGAACTCCCTTCGTGAACTGCTTGAGCACGGAATAGCGCTTGGTGAGCTTGATGTTGTAGTTCTCTGTGCTATTGTAATCTGGGTCGTAGTAAATGAGACCTGACCAAAGGATAATCAGACATGACAAGTTGGCACTGTAAGGCATTCTCACCGTCATCCCACCCGCTAGACTGGATATTGTCCCAACAAGTGGCATTGCTACTGAGCGTGCAACCGATCTCGTTGGACAGCGCTGTCCACCAGTCCCTTAAGACGGGTATGAGCGTCAGGCCGAAGTGGGATGGCATAGTGATCACCTACCAGTGAGAGTCCTCAGCATAGGTGAATGACTGCCAGACCAGATGCGCCATACGGAGGCCGCTCAGCATCGTAGGATCGTACTGCGAGCTATACGTGAGGGTGGCAAGTGGATCATCGGATTCGTTTGAATTTGCCGCATTGTAGCCTGGACACAGACTATGTCACATTGTGTGCCTAACCTTCCAGATAGCGTCGTACTCACAACATATCTCCGAGAACCAGGTTGGCACACCACCGCTGAGATTGCGTCCGTATTCAAAGACCTCTTGTTGCGTCGCAGCGCTTGCGAAGTTATATAGGTGATGACAGTTCCCACCGAGAGACTCGCCGACGGTTGCATTGAGCCACACCGGTTCATCATTGTTGTAATTGGCTGCGTGGCCTTAAATCAGTATTTCAGGATTGATCCAGGGCAATGGATGCACTCGCTGGTATCAGAAGACTCATCAGCAATGACCAGCGTAGAGAGTCCGGCTGCTTTCAAGGACGCCGCCAGTGTGGTGACGACCTCCGCACGTTGACCCGGGACGACCTGCATTCCTTCTTGGTTGCAACTACCAAAGCTATCGTCGGGCTCACTGACATGAAGGCTTAGTCACGCTTATCGTCTGAATGGTAAACAACAACTTACTTCATGGGCGAGACGTGCGTGATCTCAACACCCTCGCTCTTCCAGTGGCTAATCACGTCAGTCAGATACTGGGCGTATGCAGGGATGCGTTCCGTGACAAGGTCGCCGCCACAGCTCTGATTGTTGCTTGTCATGGTGATGGGCTACATGCTGGAGCGTCATGTCTCGGCAGCATCATCGAGGACCAAATAGACTGACGGCACTGTTCACGAACAACGTAATCACGGGCACCCCTTGTCGGGCTGCTTCTCGGAGGTAGTATGTGCCTGCTGCGTCTGCAGACCAATTGTAGACGCCGTCACTGAACATGAATGAGACATCAGTTTGACGGTGTATATAGTGGTAGTATACCTGACGTATGGTGTCTCCGGTGCCCTGTCCCATGTGGTGACACCGACACCACCGCCTCCGAGATTGTATCGGTAGTCTGTGAGGCCGAGACCTAGACAGAGTGAAATGAAGACCATGACGAGTCTGTGATACATTCGTACCAGTAGTTTGGTTCAAGAGCAGGTCGGAGACGTTTTGGCGGACGTCGTCCGGATAGAGCGCGAGGTCATTCACCCACCACGCTCCCGATGCGCCAACACCATGTATAGTCTGCCGCGTCGTGGTCGTGATCTGAACACCACGGACACCTGGAAGCAATAGAGACACGAAGGTGAGTAGTCGTGCGGCCATCTGTAGATGCTGACCGAGTCCAGCACGGTCCGATACGTTGCCTCTATATATGAGCCCAATTCTCTGGAACCGATGCGATTCCCTGATGGAGGGAGTGACCGCATGACGGATTCCCAGCCTGCGGCTGCGGTCATCTTCGCCGTCGCAAAAATTTCGAAGACACAAGGGAATCGGAGGTAGTGGAGCAGTGGTCTCTCGCGTGTCTCCAATGGCAGAGTATTGCTGGCTTGTCGGGCAGTCCTTAAGTTTCTGGGTTCTAAGCGATGTAAGCCAGCGACTCCTTCAGCGAGAGACGGTTACGGACGACACCAGCAAACGCAAACAGGCCGACCGCACGCACCCTGCTGCCTGAGAAGTCCGGAGTACGGTCCGGCGTGAACTCGACAGGCGACACCGTTGTCACTGTCAGATCATGGAGTTCCGTACTAGAGACACTGAAATTGCGATGATCAGACTCATACTGTATCAGAAGGCATGCTACTGAATCTCAATGTGTCATTGACAATTCCAGACAGTTAAAGGTCCATATTTCTGTGGTTGGGATGACATACCGATGATCCACCGATGGCGGGCTTCCATTTGCCATGGTCACTAATAAGTACAAGAAGCACGTTGACTCGGATGAGGCGACGGAGCGGAGGCTGACATACAACCGCATACAACCGTAGACGTATACTACCACATCAAGTAGTGGGTAGCTCGTGGTGATACGTCGCTTGCCTCGAGTATTGCTAAAACTCTTTCTCGGAAAAATCAGAAAACCCTACAAGGTTGAACTTCACGCTGGTAAATCAGCAAAAGTTGCATGACGGGGCACTGAACGTGCTCACTCACCACTCGAGCGAACGTGTCATACCATCCTCGAGAGGTCCCCCTCACCAACATCCGAGATACTTGCTCCCTGGATGCTTACTCCCTGGATGCCTACCGGCGCAATGTCGAAATAGAGTGGAAGAAAGTCGTCTCAGCTGGACTTGGAGTGACCTTACGATAGCATCGAGCAGGGTGTCTACAGGGTCGGAATGCAGGCGTGCGAATTGACACCTTGTTGTGATCTGCTTGTCCCCTACCGAAAACACCAGCCACTCGCCCTAAATTCTGACTGAAGTTTCACGCGATGTTAACGACTGAACTGTCAGTAAATCTCTTCCCAGTCGTAAGCTATTGCAAGGTCCACAGCTGGCGCCATTCGAGTTCCTGGGCAGGGCGCAACTTCTGGCAGGCGGCGTAAGACAGTCGGGACTCGGAGGACATCCTGCGACACGGCCCCGCGATTGAAACTACCGCGTCACTCGACGAGATCAACACGATCAGGGAAGGATCTACTGTATACCGGACACAGTATTCCTACGTGCACGTACCCTTGCGATACGTCATTAATGTGCGAGTGCCACGTCTCCCTCGTCATGTCCGAGTCGGAACTCGGCGGCAGAGACACATATAAGGGCACTGCTCGCGGCCGGACACGAGAGGGTCAGAGGTCATATATAGCCGGCGGTTCATGCTCAAACCCCGCTGCAGGCTAACCCGCACTCTCCGGGCAAGAGCGTGCTACGCTCGCAGCAGTTCTAAAGGTCTCCGCATCTCCTACTCATCGCGCCTTCACCACGGGAGCTGCGCATGCATACGCATCCGGCTGCTGCAATGGTCTCGAACGCCTGAGGCCCAGGGGTCACCGTAAGTTATCTCACTAGCAAACCTAACGCACACACTTACCTCGTGCCTCTATACCAATATACGCGCTTGAATCCTCCACGCGGACGACACCCGGACCATGCCAGGACAGGACCCGCGTGCCCGCTAAGCTCCGTCCACGCAGCGCAAGAGCCTGCTAAGCGGTGCGTTTCCCGTATGAGGGAAGCGAGTGTTGTGTACAGCATCCGTCGAACATGCAGGCTCAAGTCAGTGAGCTATACTCACCGACCATGCTGACACTGGCCCACGGTGTGGGCCTTGACAGTGCCTATTGCAACTCGATCAGGTCTTCAAGCGACGGCAGTCCATGGCTGTGAGTGGTGCGATGAGGTGCGATCTGCACCGGTACGCTCGCTGATCCTATTGCATATAACTTATCAGCACAACCACAACGACAGTAACGCAGCACCACGCACCACATCCTCCCGCACACCTCCCTCTGACTTCGCCGCCGGCACACGTAGAGCGACATCTATGTAACAGGCTCACAGAGCACAACAAGCATATATTGCTCACGATACAACTACACATTGACATAAGTATACGCGTAAGTATGCTATCCTACTTTCTCTCACACAAGAGCGGCGGCGAGCACGCGTCGTATACGGCGGCACAGCTCAACAGGGAGGGGGCAGAAGGGGAAGAACACAAAAAAGTCCAAGACACATCCGACGACGACCAGCCCACGTGTATACACCGACCTCGACGCTCAGTAGCCATAACCCCGGCCCCCGCCACCGACCATCGCCGTCGCGCTCTTCCCCGTGGGCGGCATCGTCACGCTCACGCTGATCGGCGGGCCGCCGTTCACTGGGCCGTGCGACCCGTTCACGCCGACATTCGCCCCGCCCATGGAGACCGCAGGCCCGACGGACGCGGCGCCCACGAGCGCGGACAGCCGCGAGATCTCCTCGCGCGAGGCGACGAGCGCAGCGGTGAGCCGCTCGTTCTCGTTCGAGAGATACTCGACTTTCGCTTGGAGCTGCGCGAGCCAGGCCTTCTTCCGTTGCCGGCACTTGAGTGCAGCTGTCGGACGAGGTCAGCATGCCGCAGCCAGCATCGCAACGACCCCGGCACTCACCTTGTCGATTGCGCTCGAGGAAGTTTCTCCGCTTCTCTTCCTCCGTCTCTGGCTTTTTCTGCCCAGACCCGCCCTTCTTGGGCTGCGGCAGAGGCTCCATGTCGTCTTCCTCCTCCTCCTCCTCGCCGTCGAGACTCAGGATGCTGCCCCTCCGTTGCGTGGAGCTCGACGCCGTCGACGAGCGCGTCCGCTTGCCCGAGGTGGGCACCTCCTGCTCCTCCGCATTGGTGACGACCGGCGAGTCGATCGCCTTCCGTTTCGTCCCCCGTTTGTTGTTCGCCGAGGCGTTGGGGGCCGGAGTAGGGGCAGATGCGCCGTTGGTAGCAGCCGCACCCGGGTTCGCGGAGCCGTTGGCGTTGGCCGCGGCCGCGGCCTGCGCCTCGCGCTTCGCGAGCTCCTGGTGCGCTTGGGAGAGCAGGAAGAGGCCGTTGGCGGCAGTGTTAGCAGCGGCATTGGAGGCGTAGCCGTTGCTTTCCCTAGATTGACCCTGGCTCTGACCTTGCGCTTGCGATTGGTAAGCGTGCATGGACAGCGGGGACGGGGTAGTGGTTGCGTGCGAGTGTGGATGATGTGATGTCGAGAGGACGCCGGTAATGGCGGAGAGGGTGTTGGGCGTGATGGTACCCGCGACATTGGAGAGGCTCGGAGTGGTTCCATTGGAGTTTTGCATCATCGCGAGGAAGGCTGCCGTATTGGGAGACGGCGGAGGGAACGAGACGGGCCCACCGATGAGAGGAGTGAGCCCCGTGCCCGGCGTGAGCCCCGTGCGCGGAGTGAGCCCTGTGCGCGGGGTGAGCCCAGTGCGGAAGGCGGTGGGGTCGAAGGCGGGCAGCGGCTGGTCGTTGTGGGAGTTGGGTTGGGGCCCCGCGAGCATCGCCGGAGATAGGGGTCCCGATCGCAACGAGTTGGAGATGCTGGACGTTGAGTATGCCCAGGTGTATGACGGGTCCGACGGGGAGGAGATGCTGGCGAGAGGCGGGAGCATAGGCTTGGGGTCGGGCGGGGAGCCAGAGCGGTCGCGGTCTGGCTGCTGCTGGGAAGGGCGGGCAGGGTCATCGCTGGTGGCGGTGGAGTTGGAGGAGCGGGCGGATGAGCGGGTGGGGGACTTTTGGAGGGTGCGGACGGAGGAGTCGTTGGAGGGGCGGGCGAAGGACTGCTCGAAGGGGTTTGGCTCGAGGTCGAAGGTGGTGCGGCGGGGCTGGGACAGCGACGGGTGGGTGGCCGAGGCGGACGGGGGGCGGGCGTCGGGGTCGGGGGCAGTAGGCGTCGGGCGGTCGAGGTCTGGCGAGGGAATGCGGGCGGGGGCTTGCACCTTGGTGGCCATGACGACACCGGTCTGGGACGCAATGGCGGTTTGGAGGATGATGTCGTACGTGGCTGGAGGAGGATGACGGGCAAGGAAGGTGATGCAGCGCAGGCCCATGACGAACGCTGACGTCGTTATGTATTTTCCCCGACACGGCGGAGTTCCAACGCCCATCACCTCCTGCGATCCCCGCCCGGACTCCCGCCACCGCTCTCCCCCCTGCCGCCCGCTGTCCTCCTCCGCCCATTCGCCGGCCCCGCTCCACTTGCCCCACACGCCTGCTGCCATTTGCTGCCCGCCGCCTCAGCAGGTCGCCGCGACCCACGGTGGCCCGGGTCCCCCCGCCAGATGTGCGGCATCTTACGTGAGCAGTGTGCGAGTGGAGAGAGTTGCCTCGCGCCCGCCCTGCCCCCAGCTGCCTCCCGCCGCCGCCTCGCCCTCCGAGCGCTGCCCGCCGCGCCGTCCGGCCAGCCGTGCCCGCCGCTGCGTGCTGCCGGAGCCGCCCCGCCCGCGTCGCAGTCGTCGGAGGACGCTCCTGGGATGATCGGCGAACACAATGCTGTCATCCGTCCGTCCTTCACCCTATCGGGACGCGTGATGTGGCCCAGGCCAGTCCCGCCCCCGAGGGTGCCGGCAGCCCTCCTTCGCGTCTCCTGCCCGGCGCTGCTCGCATGCCCAGAAGACGTCCGTCCGTGCAATATACTCGCAATCTCGACCCAATCTGAACTATCGATCCGGCCCATTCACATTGCCCCGCCCACGATTGGGCCTATCCGCTGCACCAGCAGGATGATCGCGCACTGGCGACACGCCCTGTCCGTGTCGAGTGTCCGGACCCCATGTCAATGTCGCGTGCGGCTGCCCACATTCAGTCCCAGCTGCTAGGCTATCCTGCAGGAACGCGCGGCCGTTCTCCTGGTCCTCGTCTCGCGCGAACGTGCAAAGCTTGGTTATGAATGCAATCGCGACGCGACGCGACGGAAATGGGCTGCCCTTCCAGCCTTCCGTTCTTTGCGCTGGCTAGACCGTAGCTGCTTGCTCCAAACCCGCACGCTCGGTCATACGTGACGCTCATCTACAAGGCTTATCACGCCTGCTTCTCAATGTATGTCGCGGCCACCCGTCGCCCTGACTGAGCCTGATAGCCATCGACGTCCATCCCTTCTCCTGCCCCCACTCAGACAGCCTAGCGTCTTCGCATGCCATTTCCTCCCATCCGCTGCGCAGAAGCCCTTCCCGTCCTGCTGACTCCCCACCTCAGCCGTCCCAGCTCCAAAAACGCGACGAGACCGCGCCTCCGGCGGTCGCCCACCCCGTTTTGAAAGATCCTCCTCCCAGCGCAGCGGTGCCCCCTTCGCGCGGATGCTTAATGCGGCTCATCCCCGGTTCCTGGTCGCCACGCGCGCGCCTTCGCGAAGCCCGCGTTCCCATTGTCCGATCGTTATGTATAGGTGCCCGGGGCGGTTCCCGTCCGCGACGCCGCTTCCCGTTCGGAGGGCGCCTCGCACGCTGCTGATCAGCTGGATGCCTGCTTTGCCTCGAGCTCGCCCCCTTGTCAGACCATGTCAGTGCGTGAAGAGGTCGAGTTCCTTGCTTGTCTGAATGACTACAGTCACATTGCTTGATACCATCTCACGCTGCCGAATTGCGTGAGCACCCTCTGGTGGAGACGGTCGTCCGAGACCGCACACGTCTTTGCTTTGCTCTCGATAAACAAATTCGCCCTCGCCCTCGCCGCACGCCACCGCGACCTCCTGGCGAACGTTCCACGCTCAGCACCGCGGCACATCGCACACCGCCCGGCCAGGCAGCGGCCCATCCAAAAAGGTATTGCCCCCGCCTTCCATCGCGTAAAAGATTGGCTACGCCAGATGTCGATCACACAGGCTACTTACTGCGTCCTGTACAGCCTCCGCTCGCGCTCTAGCCTCCCCGAGCGGGTCCTGTCGACGCGCGTGCCCGATCCCTGCTCGATCCTCGAAGCCGCAACAGATCTCGCGCTCTATCGGAATCGTCGTCGCTGCACCCGCGGTAGGGCTGCGAGGCCTCATAGTAAGAACTGCCGCGGCCGAGACTGCGTTCGCTCACGTTGTGCGGTGCCGCCGGGCGCGGGTGTCTCTGGGCACGCGCACCGGTCCTGACGGTGTGCGGAATCGGGATCCCGGCGGCGACGCGACGTCCGAGCATGGATCCGGTATGTGGGTGCCGCTGTTCGCGTGGGCGTGGGCGTCCTTGGAATGCCGCGAAGCAGCCAGTGAATGTCCCCGCGTCACTCGAGGGCGTTGCCGCGGTCGTGGCCATCCGGCGGCGTCATTCGGACTCGGAGGCTGTTCTGCCTGAGGTCGACGGACCTGCATGCGGCGCGGGCGGGCGACCAGATGCTTCGGGCTAAGTTTGGGTCCACGTTTCCGAATTCCATAACACCCGTCCTAGCTAGCGTTCGTTTTGTCTGCGCGCGGATTGGCTTGGAGGAGGCGGCGAACAATGGCGGGCGTCCGGCACGCGTCGTCACCTGTGCGGGATGTACCTCGCGCCGTGGAGCGACTTGTCGAACGGGGAGCTGAGGTCTGGACTCTGGACTCTGGGATGATCTGTGCACGTCGACGTCCGGCACCGCGTTGCGCCTGCGTCGGACGCGCGTCGGGCGGTCGGTAGGATCTGGATCTGGAACATTGTGGCTGTGGCTGCTGTGCGCATGCATAGAGATCTGTCCGGTGTACGCGATCGGTACCTAGAGGCTGCGAACTTGCCTATTTCTGATTGACCTCGGGCTGTGCGGCGCTTCTAGGTATGTATACATGTCATTTTGGTACTGTATTCGAATTGGAGGGACGGTTCCGATCACGACGAACGCATGCCCATTTGGCCATGGTAATGCCCGGATCCGCAAATAGGCTTTGACACGGCAGACGTAGTCTTCCGGAATGGACGGTCATGGGGGCTTCGCCGCACTTCGGTTAGCCGATTCCCCACATGAGCCACATGTACGTAGAATTCGGACGTGTATAGACGACCACAGCGAAGGTTGGACGAAGTTTTCTACTGGAACAACGCGTCGACAATGACCGCGGGGGCGCCTCGAATGGGCGCACGCTGCACAGTACCACGCTCGTCTGAAGGGCACCCGGAGACACTTACGTTGGGTGTTCGGGAACCGGGGGCGATTCCACGGAGCTTGTTGACTTGCCCAATCCGGCCAGGCGATCCTCGTCTTCCTACGGGACGCGCATACAACAATCTCGCAAGAACGCACTGACACGACCAAGTCTGCCTCCAGATTACCCCTCACCTCATCTCCTCCGTCTCGCGCTTCTTGTAACGTGTCCGCCTGATAAACGCGCGGCTGATAAGTAAGGTTCGACGTTCCTGCATCCGTGGCCAGCGAATGCCCTTTCTGCGGTTCGCGCCGCGCACGGACCGATCCCGGCGTAACTGCAATCGACTTGCGGGGGCAGGCGTGGCAGGCGAGCGCGATCTACGCTGCTTCTAGGGCGAGCGAGGACGCTTCGGCGCCCAGGCTTGGCCGCCCTGCGGCCTGCGTCTCCCAGGATGGGTGAGGGGCGAACGTGCCCGTTCCCGCGGCGATAGCAGCGCGAGCGTGGCGCCATGCATGGCGAGCCTCACCTCCCATGCCGGGCAGGCGAATAGAGCCTGATCCGCGCAGGCCCATAAGCAGCGTCGTCATTTCCGAGCGGGAAGCTCTGCCTGAGCTTGTCTTGGGAATCCCGGACTGGCCTTGACAGGACAGGGAATTTGACGGACGAACCTGTGCGATGCACCCCCGTCGCCCCTACCCCCTTCTGCGGGCCCGCGCGCGGGCTCATAGATCATATCGTGTGCACGATCGCAGTCTATCGCTGGGATCGCTCGCTTCCGCTCTCATGTTATGTGGGACGAGTCTGCGCGCACTCGGTCAGCTGCGTCGATCACTTGGTATGGTGCATAAGCTAGGACGCACCTGGCGACCTGGCGTGCAGCTGAGAAGCAGCGCTGGGTCGTACGGACGCTGCGGAGGCGGACATCGGAGGACGCACGCCGGCCGTGTATGGCATTCTGGCGTTCTAGCGGGGAGGGCGTCCTGGCGGGGGGAGGCCTCGGGCCGGCGGTTGTATGGCATTCAGTGAGTATGACAAATAGTCTAACGGGTGACGGTGAGCCCCTTCATGGGTGTGCTGTACTTATGAACGCGGGAAGCGTCAGCGCATCAACAGGGCTCACCCTATTTTTCTAAATTTTTGCCATATCGGCGAGGCCATTGTATCAGTTCTCAAGAAGCTGTCGTAAGGGCTGTCAGACGAATCTAAATCGGGAATTGATGTAGAAATAAATTCGAAATGAGAGGGTCGGAAAGCAAGGCGTACGCCTAGTGACGCTGTAATTTGAGCGGGTTATTACCGTAGACGGGAGTCAATGTGCACCATATGCGCACCGGAACCAACGTGACATGCATATGCTAACACTTCGACCAGCACCTCAAAGAATGGATATGAATCCTTTATCACTCACCGCCCGGTGGGTCCACTGCGTACAGTGCCAGGCGGCCAACGTATACCCCAATATCGCGATTGCAGGCAATACGTGCCGCTTGGGAAGAGGGTGCAGATGCCACAATCCTGTCCAAAAGGAACGGCTGTTTACCGCGGACCAGCCCAGAGCGCAGGAAAGACGAGAAGGTGATGGCAAATCGCCCTGGTCTACCTCCTGTAGGCTGAATTGAATGACACTGGCGCTTGTTCTCCCACGAGTGGGGGTCACAAGCCTGCTAGCTAATGCCGCTTCCCATTCATTCAGCAAGCGCGGTTCCTCGATCATTAAACTGTACGTGCCTACGCCCTGGAGCTTCCGTGGCACGGTGTAGTCTTCTTGGCGCCTTGCGTTATGCCATTCCGCGCTTCTTCGCGGTGTCCTACACGGACAGAGGTATGCCAGTGCCATATTGCCTCCGTGCTTGCGAACTTACTGGGAATGCATGAAGTCGGGGTCTTCGAAACGTAGGTGGGTGTCATATAGAAGCTCGTCTGGAGTTGAACGATGTGGGAGTCAGCTGAGCCTACTCTATGGAAGAAGACTCACACTTCGCATATCTCTCTCTCAGCGGGTGGAGCAGTCAGAAGGGGCAAGTCGCCTGTCCTACCATCTTGTCCTTAGACCGCATTCCGAGTGCCCAGGAGACATCTGGAGACATCTACGCTGTTATATGAAAGCTTACGTGGTCTCGGCGTGCCATGATCAGAGCTATACCTTATTGGGATACAACGGTCGGGCGAGACCTCGGTGAGTCGATGGACAGTTGGTCGTTGCACGTCGGGCACAGATGGCTGGCTGACTGCGGTGCGTGGCGCACATATCGTGTCCGTGCATGTTTCGTTATTGTGCTAATTGAACAAAAATCAATGCGCTTCCCGAACATAGGCGTCGTACCTTTGTTGGGATTGCATTAGTAGACCACCGTGACACGCCGTTCACGTGTACCGTCAAATTAGATCGCTCGGTGAAGCAATTCGGGTCTGAGACTCTGAGCGAATTAGTTCACCGAGCGCGAAGCTGATGAAGTGGCGTCCAGTGCTGCCATGTGTCGAGCTTTAAAGACATCAAGATCCATGTGCCCATCCGGTTTATGAGTCCTACCACTTCGCAGAATCCAGCTCCGAGGCCAAATCGAGAGCCACGGCGGGTCGGAAGACGTCAAAAAGCCCTTCGCAACGCGAAGTAGTCGCAGCGGCCATTGGCAATGGCCTTGGCGCTGGACCACAACGTATCACGTCAAGATAGAGTAATGCGGACGACAGGTCAGAGAGACAGAGCACGGCGACCGCCGTAAGTAGACATCGGAACCGATCACATGATCGGTGTATGGCCGTAATGCGCGTAGCGCGCACAGACGGTCGGTAATAGACATCATCTTCTCAGCGACCTCTATGCCTTGACAGCGTCTTCCGCCTTTTCCTCTCCCACCACCCGCCCCCCACGCTGCAGGTACGCTCTCCTCTTGCTCGCAGCCATCTGTCGCCTGCTGACCATGCCGCATGTGCAAATCAGCGTCCGTGGGCACGCTCCAGACCTCCGACTGCACCCTTTGCTCGTGTACGAACCTTCCCCATTTGCGACATGTCGGCGGTGCGCGATAAGGAACCCGTCGAGCGCGTTCGCGAACAAATTGACCAGGAGATTGCGCAGCTGCGACAAAGCGTGCAAGTCCTCATCGCTCGCCGGAACGAGCTCGCACCCGTCCTCCGCTTACCCGTCGAACTCCTGTCCGAAGTCTTCGTCCTCAATGCTACCACGCATTCCCCGGACGACCTACGCTGGACCAATGTGGCATATGTCTGCCAGTACTGGCGGAGTGTCGCCGTACAGACTCCCCGGCTATGGACGTGCATCAACTTCAAGGCCGAGCCCTGGGTCGCACTGCAGCTCGAGCGGTCGAAGAACATGCCGCTAGTGGCGCATGTCGACCTCCGCGCCCGGCAGTTTGTCTCAAAGTGTGAGGGATTCGGACTACTTGCCAGGAGCATGGACCGCGTGCGTCGTCTGACCATCTCCTCGGGCGAGATGCGTGGGACGGTGCACAAGCTCTGGCGACACATGACATACCCCGCGCCCATCCTCGAGTCGTTCGTCTTCCACAATCCATCCCAGACTCGGGCTGGTCCCACATCCCATGTGCCGACTCAGCTATTCCGAGGCGAGTGTCCATCGCTCCAATACGTGGAGCTTCGTCAGTGCACTTGGTGCTGGGCTACGACCCTCTTCTCCCACACCGTCACTCACCTCACCCTCGACGGGCACAATGTTCAAATGCGTACGTCGCTGGAAGAAATTCTTAGCGCGCTCGAACTCATGCCCAATCTCGAATGGCTCGACCTCGACCATATCACGCCCGAGGTACCGTGGTTCTTCATCCCCAATGTGGGAGTCGGCCAGTTTGTTCATCTCGCACGTCTCAAGTTTCTGCGCATCGACGCGCTGGCGCTGAATACGGCGATCATGCTGTACCACATCTCGTTCCCCATGGAAACTCAACTCGCTTTGTGCTGTGATGCATTCCGGCGTCTTGACGAGTTCATTGCTGTCGGACACGCGATCTCCTCGAAGTACCGCCGGGAGGAGGGCATGGAGGACCGCAGGCTGAAAAGTTTCACGTTCAAGCCACATTCAAGCCAAGCGTTGGAGCTGATTGCGTGGAACCAACCCTACTCCGCGGACGAACTGCACAACGATGCGCGGTCAAGTGATGCAGCGGTTCGCCTGCTCCTGCGGTGGGAAGGCCGCGAGCCTGACTTCAGCGTAGCAAGCCTACTATACGCTTGCCGCGCGCTCCCTCTTGAAACCGTCCGCACATTCTACGTCCCCGAGTACGTCTCGTTGACAGGCCAGGCGTGGATCGAGCTGTTCAGCGGGATGAAGAACGTGAGCTCGGTTTGGGTGCAGGGCCGTTCTGCGACACACCTGCCGGATGCCTTGCGGAGGGAGAACTGCTCCCAGTGCCGCATCGATATCACTGGCGAGATGTCCGTCGGCGACCCTATGCGACAGCACACCCGCGTGCCGTCGCTCTTCCCTCTCCTACACACGCTGACACTCGAGGAAGTCGACTTCACCGGCGACACCTGCCCGGACGCGTGTTTCTTCTGGCAGCTGCAGGACGTGGTGCTCGAGCGCACAAAGCAAGCGAACAGGCTCAAGTTGATCATCCATCGCTGCCGCAACTTCATCCTCGAGCAGATGCAGGACCTGCGCATGGTCGGCGCGGACGTGACCTGGACCGGAGAGGAAATCCTCGACTTCGACCTGCGAGACGTCGATAGCGATGACTCGGAGGAGGACTACGAGGATTATTATGACAGGGCTTATTCTGACGACGATGACTCTGACTCTGACGATTAAAACGCCAGATTGCCCTGTGCCTATGCGTACTTCTGTGTGGGTGTGCTTTATTGATGACTTCGTCGCCACTTTATGGGATCATTCTACGTACTACTTCATTAATCTGTACTAATAGTGTGCTTCCTTCGTCGTGTATCGGTACAACCTGGATCGCTGTCGTCGCATTCTTTCTGCTCTCGATACATGTATGGTGACATATGCGTGTTTCTGCTCTCGATAACTGCGGGGCATGTGGTGACTTTTCAGTATGTGTGGCATACCATGCCTCAACCGCGCGCCATTTGCGAGCTCGAGCGTATCGGCGCCTACTAGTAGGCATTTCCTACATACCAGAATTTGACCATAACCTTGCCAGAACCTCCACAGCGTGCACTGCTCCGGAGTCAGATCCAAGTCAGAACGCATATCACTGGCCGTCATGAGCGAACGTGTAAATTCTAACGACATTCCCTCGGTCTCCGAACTGAATGACCTCCGAGTGGTCGACGCGACATCGTCGCAGCTGGTTGATGCCTTGGCTTGGAGATTGAGGCAGGATGCGCCATCCTTGAGGTTCGTTGCTGTTTAATCCTCTACTTTATTCGCCCCGCTCACTCGATGTACATCGACAGCCTTGAAGCGGTATGTACTACAGCGCAAGCCAGGCACTGGCTGTTACTGGTCATTTGCACCCGATGTTTTCGAGTTCTTCGCTGATACTGCCTTCTGTAGTGGCGACGTATCGAAGACACTCTCTTGTCTGCGTCGCATGTGGTCAAAATTGCCGTCAATACAACGTCTCCTATCCATCGCCTTCCGGTGGAGACGTTGATGGCGATATTCCTCTTCGTCCCGAGGGGTGACCAGGATCGGTGGAGGTATTCCTACCTGACGATCCTCGATGGTGGCATGACCCACCCCAGGGAAGTGGTCAGGCTGACACACGTCTGCCAACACTGGCGAAGCATCGCCATTGGAATCCCTGCCCTCTGGACCAACATCCGCGTTAGCGACCACACCGTCTCCGCTGAAGCACACGCTACCTTCATCGAACGCTCCGGCAATGCATCGTTGACTGTCGGTCTGCGCGGAGATCCACCGAATGCCCCTATAATCAGCTTGCTCGAGCAAACGCCGAGCCGCATCAAGGACCTGCGCTGGGACATGGTTACAAGCCGTGACTTCGAAAAATTCATTCGGCCCCTCGCACCGACGCTCGAGGCTCTGACATTCCGCGGAAACGACTGGTACTACGGGCGATGGGAGAAATTACGTCTGTTAGGGAGATTGCAGCCACAGCTACGCCTTCTTTGCTTGAAGGACTCATCCCATCTCCCATCGGATCAATTCACGAACTTGACATCCCTCTGCGTCGAAAACTTCGACATCACGCAAGATGACGACAGTCGAGAGGCATTCGTATGCTTGCTGAACGGCGCTCCCCTTCTGGCTACTCTCGTGCTTGCCGGGACTCGCAGACTGAACACACCCCAAGCTATTCGCACCTCGCGACGCGTTGCCATCCAGCCCGCTACCGTTCCCGCTCTTCAGCGATGCGTCTTTCGAGGCGTGCATGTAGAACGGGTCAAGTGCTATCTATCGCTCATGACACTACGACCTACCGTAGCCATCAGTGTCGACGGCTATGGTGGTGACTATTGGGACATGCATTGGGACCTCAAGGAGTTGCCATTGATGTCGCGAATGACTCGATGTGCGGTACGCAGCGTACAGGATGGGACAGCGGATATCTTGGCCGTCGGTTCCGCGTCGGGGTTCCGATGCCATTACGAAGGCGATGCGACGAAATGGAACTCCTGGCGGTACTCAACAGACATATTCACGGAGACGATCTCCTGTAAACAGTTCCGTGAACTGTGGCTCACGTTTTGGCCAGAATACACGAACCTTGAACGAAGTGCCAGTGCCATGTTGGGCTTCTTCTATAGCTTCCCCAACCTGGACACAATGACAATAGCGGACAAGTACCTGCCCGTCTGCGTCAGGGCATTGGCGGGCCCGGAAGGGACGAAGAGCATTGTCTGCGGCGACTTACGAGTTGTGCGGGTCATACTGGGAGAATACGACGCAAGGACTGCCTTGGACATGATGGCGGACGAGCTCACAGACATCAATATCGTCCTTTCGGATGTTCCGCCACCAGCACCAGGACAAGAGGCGGACAATGCGAACTTGGAGGAGCTTTCCCCATCGGTGACGTACCTACCGATGTGCCCGAGGATGGAGATCCCCGCAGTCTGTGAAGCCGACACCGACTCTGTGGCATGGCCAGCATGGGCTTGACCCTGCAGCGCGGGGTGCCGCCTAGAATGGGAAATCGTGGTCAAGTCAGGTCTAAGTTGTAGACCGTGACGTCTGTAGCTCGTGGGTGGACATTTACGATTTTAACTTATTCGCCCTTGTATCCGTACCGACCAGATGGCATCGACAAAGGGGTTACATCCATATCCGTCGCGTGAAACGTTAGACATCAAGCACCACGCACAACCACGTACCGTGAGCACCCTCTACCAATGCCATGGCGGAACTAACGATGATGGGAAACTCTCAGGACCGAGCATGGACGCACAAGTATCTGCAGATCAAAAATGGCAGTCTTGGTGTACAGGTCATCTTCAGTACGGCCGGCACGGCACGTATCCTGTGAGAGATGATGGCCATACAGCATTGCATCGGGATAGGAGATAAACATAGAAGTCGTAGAGTAGCGTCACCCTTTTGCATGACATGCATATAGAGGTACATATCCCTGGCCATCCAACTGTACTGGCGCACGCGAACCGCACCCAGACACCCATCGACTGCACGCCGATTTTCAGAGGGTGGCTTATACCTTGAAGCCACGCGACTTTCGGCGACCACGGCCACGCTCGAACTGGACGCAGCGTTAGTAAAATCGCTTAAAATGCACATAGTGTACGCACTTTGCGACCCTTGGATATGGTGAAGGGCTTCTTGTGCTTGTGCGGGCCCATACCGAAGTGCTTGACGGCCTCGCGCGAGTTGCGCTTGCCGCGGAGCAGGATTGTGTTCGAGCCAGTAGGGGCGCGCATCGCGAGCTGGTCGAGGGTGAGGACCTCGCCACCAGCTTTGAGGATGCGATCTTTGGCGGCAGCGGTGAAACGAAGAGCGGCCACGGTCAACTTCGGCACCTCCAGGAGGCGAACATCGTCAGTGACAGTGCCGACAGTCACGATGACCTTCGAATCGCGGTCAGAAGCAGCCGATGTCTCCTTCACGATACGGGAGAGCGAGATGGGCGGGTGGTTGGTCTTGGAGAGGAACAGGCGGTGGAGGATGACCTAAAATACGGTGTGTTAACTTCCCAAACTCTGTTCTGCAACCATGAATGTGGACCTTGTTGAAGTTCGAGTCCGTCCGCCGAGCGAGGAAACGGTACAGCTGGATAACAGAATTCAGCGATGATACAACTTTTGCGAACTAACGGTACGAACCTTGACCAGCAAGAGAAGGTAGGGATCCTCACTCTTGGGCGCAGTGCGCTGGCCCTTCTTGACGTGGTGCTTGGTGATGTCAATACCCTAGCATACCGCCGTCAGTCTCTGGCTGTGGGGCGCCGTCGTCGGGCAGCACAACGGACTCACCATCTTGCGGTTGCTCTTGCGGCGGCTTGCTGGGCGGACTGTAAGTTACCAACGGACGATCACGCGTGGCTGCTGTGGCTGAAGAACTGCCTAGTTTCTTCATTAGAGTTAGCGCCTTGTGGCGAGAGGGGGAATCGTCCTCGCCACAGTCAAACAAGGCCAAACACCTTGCAAACCCGAACCACCATGGTGCGTTGTCGTTGCCCCCCGACCTGCCGCCACTGTTGCTAACGGCGCCCTCATTTCCCTTTCGTCATTCCATGCTGACCCACGAACAGTACGGAGAATCTGCAGCAGCACCGGTTGATCCCTACACTGATCCATACAACGAGCCCCCGCCGCCCGCGGCTGGTGGCAATGCTGACCCTCGGGACCGGGACCCTCCTCCCCCTCCCCGAGGTCGCTCTCGTTCCCGCAGCCCCGCGCGTGGCTCGTCTTACCGCAGGTCTCCTGCACCTCGCCGCCCTCCCCATGCCCCAATTGTTTGTTATTTTGTGTTTTCATGCGTCACAGCCTTGTACTTATCCCGCGAAGCAGGCGCCCAATCCTTCCAACGTGTTGGGAGTGTTCGGCTTGAGTATTCGTACCACAGAACGTGACCTGGACGAAGAGTTCAGTCGGTTTGGACGTGTTGAGAAAGTTGTTATCGTCTATGATCAGAGGGTGAGTGGCATTTACGTGGCATGCGTTGTCGCTCACTCATACTGTAGCAGTCCGACCGCTCCCGTGGTTTCGGATTTATCTCAATGTCGGCTGTCGACGAGGCGACACGTTGCATCAAGGAGCTCAACGGAGTGGTTCGTGACCTCGTTCTATCTCGCATGTACAGACAGCTGATCTTTGCTTGTCAACATAGGAGTTGAATGGCCGTCGTATTCGCGTCGACTATTCAGTAACCGACCGACCGCATGCGCCGACCCCAGGGGAGTACATGGGCCATCGTCGTCGCCGGGGTCGTGACACGTACTCAGGCTTTGGGGGCGACCGTCCCGACGACGTTCGCGATTCTTACCGGGACTCGTACAGGGATCGTCGTGACCGGGAGCCCTACCGTCGGGACGACAAGGATCGCGACCACTACGGCCGCGATAGCCGAGACTGGCGCGACCGCCGCAGCCCGCCTCCGCGCAGTCGGTACTCCCCTGATTATCGGAGGCGCCGAAGCTACTCCAGGAGCCCCCCTCGTGGCAGCAGTCCTACGCGGGCTCGTGACTACGATGCTCCTTCCTCCAGCGCTCTGCCCCCCGCCAACGGAGAGCCTCGTTGGTAAAGCGGCTGAAGACCTTCTTGGAGCAAGTGACGGAATGCAGGTCAAGGGTGTATGTGGCAGAATGCTGAGAACGCACGTGGTGATTCCCTGGCAAGACGTTTCAATTTCTTCAATTTCCTCAATATCAAGAGCACTTTCGTGAACATGCGTCGTATGGTTCTCAAGTAGCACAAAAAAGAGAAAAGCGAACATGTCAAGCTTGCCCTTTGGTATCGCCTCGAATATTCTATACCTGCACGTTCTATGCTACGACCATGTTGAATTAGTTGCAAGTACAAGGCACCAATCATCCGACAATTGGTATGGCCTCCGCTCTGCAGTCGGTTTAGCGTTTGCCGTTTACGGCGTGAGTGTCGTTCTCATGCACAGCCTTCGGAGCTTCTGGTGATTCATTCTGCATTACCTGACTGACGACTCTCTAGGTTTCCACTGGGGCTCCCGATGTGTCGAACTTGCGAGGCTGTCCATCTTCAGTGGCAAGAGTCGAATGCAGTTGAAAAGGGGAAGACCTAGACCTCGCGTCGTAGCGAACAAGCAATCGGATGCGCTTCTCTTTCGGACGCAGTCTCTGGCGCTTGCGTTTGTTCGCGCTCCCTCTGAACGGCAATACAAGAGTTTATCGCGATGACCTGCCTCGGACGGCGGTGAGTCATTGTTTACTACTTTGTTTGCCTATGCGTCACTGTGGAGATCTTCGATTTCGAAACGCTTCATATACCAGAGTGTACATATTTTCGATAATCAATAACATGCCCTTCCTTATACGCGATTGCGGGCCGCAAATGTGCGCTCCTCGTACCACTGGGGTACGTCAGTCCCAGGGATATATCTCGTCAATCAGTTTTCAACCATACGTATGCTACGTGCTGAGACCTGTGACCGCTCTAACAGCCTTGCCATCCTGGCTACTCGGGTAGTATTTCAACAAACGTGCTACGTTGGTCGGCCTGGATGATCTCGGTGCATGATATCACAACTCTGACAAAAGTGTATGTGCTGACACCAGTGCCAGGCAGTCTTTTCCCAGCGGTATTTGGAATCGGTGGGTCTGGCAGCGACGGGAATCAGGGTGTGGTGGTGCTTGGCTCATCTTGCTGGGCGGAAGCCTGCGGGCTCGACGAGGCAGACCTTGGGGAGCGAGGCGTTCTGTGAGTTCTCTGTCGTACCCGGCGTCGTTGAATATGACGTCGACCCGCCCGAAGTGCGCGACGGGCTCATCTCCTCGCTGTTCGTGCATGAGCCTCCAACTCCACAAGAGGCTCCAGTGACTATATGCGCATCGTCAGGACCCTACTGGAACGTTGCAGTGCATGACACATTTGTCTCGGGTAAGCCGACACTGGTGTGGTTTCTGTGTTACTGAGCTCAGTGGATATTCCGCGCACCTGGTTCCTGGGGCTTCGCAAGTCTCAGGGAACGAAATCGATTATGCTCATATCCGTGCCGCTCAACATTGCGGGTAGAAAGGTAGAGGCCACCTCCTCGTTACTCAAGAGACATACAGCATACGGCGTAATAGCAAATCACAGGCCGCGGCGTAGTGACTCAGTATCTTGTCGATGCCAGTGGAGGCGGGCGCTGCTCAAGTTTCAAACCGCCGCGAAAATTGCGTGCCTCGATAGGGCAGCTTGGACCTCCCAAACTTGATTGAGATGGAACAATTACTAACGATAAACGTGAAGCCTGAAGTATGTAACCTGGCAAACTGAGTAACTCGGTGAGAGCATTCATGTAGCGCCCACTGTGCGCTTTCCCAAAATGGCGCATCCAATTCAGAACAAGGATCTCCAAACATGGATCAACAACCTTCTGGCGTCGAGCTGTCTCCAAGCAGCTTCTGCAACGGCCCTCACACATGCGTGCGTCCTTTATTCCTATGCACCGGACCATATCCTATCAGTCGCTCTATCGCCCTATCTGCCCTTGCACAGGTGGCCCCAAAGGCAATCCTAGTACCGGACAAAGGATCGCAACGCGTAGCGCTGGCTCGTCGCGTTGGCCCGCCTTGTTCCTGCTGCCCACCGCGCGCGTGCAGTGTTTCTCACCTGCGGTTCGAGGGAAGGCGTGACGTGGCTCTCGGCCTTCGACATGATTGTATCTGACCACTTGATTCGCTCCGCAGTCACGGTGGCACTGGTCCGCCAATGATCCTGGTCGATCCGACGTGCTTTCCGTTACTCAAGAGCGGTGCGACCTCTGCATCGATGGCGTCTGCGGAATCCGCATTCATGTACGCCTGCTATTCGGAACGTGCCTGCTGGTGCTATCCAATTGCATTCGGCGGCTGTGAGTGCATCCGCTCGTACTCATCGAAGGTGTACATAACGACCTGGAGCGGTGTACGCGTTCCGGATGGCCCCCAGTTGCCCTCGTTCTGCACTTTCGTTACGCACAGCATGGACTGTTGCGTTCCTGCGAGTGTGAGCAATGCCACATTGCCTGGGTTGCGGCTCAAAGATGCAGGCACAAGTACAAGGCATTTCCAGCTCGTATGAACAAGAGTGGATGGCTGGAGACGCCTCAGGCTGTCACGCATAGACACGTTATATTTATCTCCGGGGCAGTGAACACGAGTCTTCCCTGCGGCATATGGCGGGCGCTGGGGATGCGTCCGACCGCAGCTCGCACTCCGTCGCGAGGACAGGCTGGACAGCCACCAGAGGCTTTATCAACCCCTACGCGGCTCCAGTGGACTAGCCCAAGCCGCCATGAAGCCTCAGTACAACGTCAAGCTCACTTTCGACAAGACCACTCGCAAGCTTCCCTTCGCCTCCCAGCCAACCTGGGTACAACTCGCAAGCCGCATCGAGTCCCTTTACCGCATTCCCGCGCATGCAGCCGCAGTCAAGTACACAGACGACGACGGCGACGAAGTCACCATCAGCACGGAGGAGGAGCTGCAGGACTACTACGAGGCCCTGGGCACGGATGCGGTGATCATCAAGCTCGTGGTGTGCAAGCTCCAGGACGCGCCCAAGTCAACGGCCGGAGATGGGGATGATGCCCGAAAGGGTCATCGGAAAGATCTTCAGCAGGAGGGCGAACCTTCAGGTGAGCTCATTGATCCTTGCGCAAGGTCCTGTGCTGACGCGAATCCTCGTTCATCTGCAGATTCCGACGAGTCTGCCGATCAGGGCTCTGACCGCGGCTCTGGATCTGTACCTGCACCCCAGCTCAAGGGCTTCACTCACAAGAGCAAGGCCGAGACTGCCCATGGGCATGGGACACACAAGTCGCCACCGACCACCATTGCCCCACCTGAGCAGGATGCCACTAAGCGCGGAGGCAAGCGCCCCAAGGGTCGCAAGGGTGGACGGCAGGTGTCACCTCCAGCCACCGACTACGTCGTTCCTGCGAATCGGACTCGCGGCGATCGTCATCAGGCATCGCCTCCTAGCCGCAACCGTGGCATGGAGCAGCCCATCTCCAGCGCGCGGGGTCACCATCATCACCACAAAGAGCATGACGATGTTGACGATGATGCGGACGATGATTCCGATGGCGACGATGCTGATGATGACGATGACGAGGGAAAGAACAAAGGAAATTCCTTCACCTTGGAAGTCGACGTCAACGGCAACAGCACCAGCAGCAGCGACTCCGGATCTGACGACGACGAGGCCGATAACAACCCCGGCTTCGGGAACGATTTCGGTCACCGTCGTCGCGGAGAGAAGCGCGGTCGACACAACAACCGTAACTCTCAGCAGGACTTCTCTGCACCCTTCGGTGGCCAGGACTTGGGCTCGTGGCCCAACAACAACTTCGCCCCCCAACCCCCGAGCTGGGACCCGTTCACTAACGGCAGCTTCGGTGGCTCCTTCTCGTTCTCGGGACAGGGCCATGGCCATAACAGCCATGCACGAGGATCGAGCCGTGGAGGTGGGGAGCCGAACTCACCGTTCGGTGGATTCAACTTCGGCACTTGGCAGCCCCAGCCGACTCCCCTCACGGAGATGATGGCGAGCTTGAACTCGTGGCGCCGGTAGGCGGTGTTCGTGGCGGACTTGTGGATCGATGCTTGAACTTTATGATTGTATGCCTTTCCCTGATACCCAACAACTCGACTTCACTGAACGAACGTTACGGACGCTGAATGTCTCCCGCGCATCTCTTCATGTGGATCATATCATCTCCCAGAAACACATATGCTTACCATGCTGTAAAACTAACACACTGCACCTCGGCTGCGTTTTACTTCTTGCACTGTACATACCTGTAAATTTATGGTACATACTGAAGATATGGAATGCTTCATATCGACATGGGCCTGCCTTGCAACATGCGCGAAGTCGGTCCCGTGCGCGCTCCGTGGAGGCGCCCGCCGTTCAGTAGCCTCGTGTCTGTGTCGTCGTAAGTTAGCCGAATCGGTGACATCGCGCGCTGTCGCCACTCCGCTGCTTCAAGTCTGCTTTACTCTCTTGCATCCATCGTACGACGCAGGCCTCGTCTCCCTTTTTACTCACGGATACCTCTCGGTCGTCCGAGTCAAGTCCAGGGCCTGACTTTGCTAGTCCCCCACCGCCATGTTTGGGACGCTTACACACCTATGCCTCGACGCCGTGCTCTTGAGCGCGTTTCTCGCGGGTGTCCGCCGGACAACGGGCCTAACGTGCGTTGCAATTGCTGGATGGACGTTCATCTGAGCTTTGCTCAAAGAGTCTCGGTTAGTCCCAAGCTCTCTGACGTGCCCAACAAGGACATACGGCGTGAGTACTAAGCACAAGCGTCGCGACCGAACATGTTGCTCATCTCCCTTTCATGCAGAAATACTTCGGTCATATTTGGAGTTCGGTACGTAGTCAGGCGGAAGGAGATGTCATGCATTGACTGAGGTGGCACGATGTACAGGCGAATATGTCTTTGACTTCGCTGTGGTGATATTCGGAGTGCGTATCTCACGTCATGCTCTTTCCATCCTCCCCGCACTCACAACTGCCATTGACAGAGGTCGTCGTCGTTCGAGCGGAGACGCGACTGAGAGTGTACTGTCGTTGCCCCATCTCCATGACTATATGCATGTTCCCTTGCCTCTACTCGATATCTTCGTGGTTTTGCAATTCTCTGTGTCGCACCGCCTGCTCGGACAGTCTCGGAGGTTTATCTTAGTAAAATAGAGCGCCGTGTAACAACAATACATTCCATCCAGTCGCTGTCCGTCTCCGTGCACCAGTGCAATGCGGTGGCAGAAGGCTCAGCCCAAGAAGTTGTACACGAAGAAGTGGAGGACGATGGAGCCCAATGCGAAGTCTGCAAAAGCACTGCGTGCTCAACAGCATGAGCTATTATGGAGACAATATTGGCGTGTCTAGGAGAAGCATACCGTTCTGGTGACACCTCCTTGAACTCAGCCCTGTTCGCAGGGTTCACTTGTGACCGCAGTGAGGCAGTCAGGACGAACTGTCCCACACAGCTGCCAAAGCTAGGACAACCTTCAGCACTTCACAGATGGACATGTAGTAACGACAATCTCACCCAGCCAAGAACGCGTTGAAAGGGAAGTTCGTTACCAGGACACAGTAAACGAACTGTATGATCCCGGAGAGCATGAGAAAGAGCAGGAACGCGTCGATGAGTTTCAGCCGCGGCAACGTGGTCTCATTGTAGGACCTGAGTAAAGACTGAAAAGAGTTGGTGGTCGCCGGCGAGGAGACTGTTTTGGGTGCCATGGCGGAGAGATGAGCGTGACGGGCTCGCCACCGCCAACGTGGAATGCGCCGTCCTGCGATCTCGGAAGCCGGGCCTGCCTTTTTGGGTAGTCACGCTGGCGAGCGCGTCTTGTCCGCGTCCAAAAAGTTTCGCGTTCAACACCTCCTCGCCCTCGCGTTCGCGCCTCCTCCTTACACTCGCTTTCGGGGTCCTACGCGGGAGCTTGCATAGAAGGAATGTTACCCCTTGGTCTTCGGCTCGGTGCGACCAGCTCTCGCGGTGCAGCACGTCTCGTGCCAGCGTGCAAGCACGGTCGTTGGGTGCGGTCAAGAAAGTACCACGAGCGGAAAGCACTGCCATATCCAATCGAGAATGGCCTTGGGAAATTCTTGTCACCGGCATCCCTGAAGGTCATCGCATCGGACTATCAGAATGGGCTGTTGGACAGGCTTAACGACCAGGTCCGAGGTGCGTCTATGTAACCCGCCGCTGCTGGGCCGCAAGTCCTCATGTGCGACCAGGTACCGTATTGGAGAACAAGAGTGTCGTCCAGACTGCCATCGAGGCAGCCCGCGACCCTCACAAAGTGCTGGAGTTCGACTACGCCTGCGAAGCCCTCAACAACTCGTTCTTCCTCGAGAGCTTGGTATGTCCCATATCCCTTCCCCGCTTTATGATATGACCGTTCATACACGACCAGAAACCCCCAGCAGATGGTGCACTGTCGAACGAGGACGCCCTGGGCAGCCAGAACACCGTCTTCTCCGCGATCAAGGACCAGTACGGCAGCATGGAGCAGTTCCAGTCGAATTTCAGCGCAGCGATCCTCGGCATGTTCTCCTCCGGGTGGTTGTACTGCGTCGTGGACAACGTCGGCGAGATCGCCTTCTACCCCATCTTCGGCGCAGGCACGCTCCTCATCCGGTCGGGCGAATACCAGCTACGACGTGAAAAGATCGTCGGCGAGATCATTGCTCGGGGCCTCAGACTTGGCCAAACTTCCCCAGCACCAGCGACTGGTGCTGAGACGGCCGAGTCCCCCATCGCGTCATCACCAGTGTCCGGTGTCTCGCAGAACCCCTTGTCGACCCCACCGCCCCCGCCGCACTCGAGGACATTCAGCACGTCTGGATTGGCGAGGTCATCCTTCAGCCATGGCTCTATCAGCACCGACGACGTGTACGCCGCCGATAACAACCTGCCGCCACGAGGGCCCACGGACACAGCGTCGAGGATCAGAAAGGTTGGCGAGACGCTCTACCCGCTGTTTTGCGTGTCTGTGCACGAGCACGCGTGGCTGCCCGAGTACGGCGTGTGGGGGAAGGAGGAGTACATGAAGCGCTTCTGGACGGTGCTCGATTGGGCGAAGGTCGTCGAGAGATACAAGATGTTCACGGTGAACTCAAAGTACTAGAGAGCGTGTGTGGTCGTCTTATGTGTTCGGATTTACACTGTATGCCGGCACGGGGCGGGGACGGCTCCAGTGGCTACACATTCCATAGATACTAAAAGTACACCTAATGCACCCCTACTCCCATGGGCTCATCTGACGTGATTACTCTGGATGTTAGCCTGTATGGGCGGCTTACAGTCCATCCTTTGTATCCCATCGCTCAAGACGTGACTTGCCGATAGGCCCAGAGATGTCATGCCACGCTACCATCGCCACTCGATGTCTCCAGAGGATCTCGGCCTCATACCCTTGTATGGCTTGTACAGCTCTCCAGTCAGCTTGAGTTGATCAATCTTCAACGCTGAGAAGCTGTGTTGCATGATATCGAATCGCACTCGGAAAGAACGAGCTGGCCGTGGCGTTTTGACTCTGTCAAGAGGCGAATGAGCATGCTAGTACGGACACGCGCGAAGAAATACCGACGTCGACGCGAATGTGCCTCGAAGCGTGTGTGTAGCCGAGGGTGCTACGTTCTTGAGCTCCCAACGCAAGCTCTACGAGAGAACACGAGAGATCAGTACAACTCGTCCAGGACACTGGTGAAATGACTTGCCAGGGTCCTGGGGTCGAAACTCCACGATGCGTTGTGAGACGCTGTGCAGCTCGCACCAGAAGCACCCTCCCCAAGGTAAAGCTCGATCACGACGCTCTCCATTGTGCGCGTCGTCAAGCGGGATGTGAAGGAGAGGTCAAGTGTACCTATTGATAGAGTGATCAGTAATGTGCCTTCGGACATGCGAGCCTGAGTTTTTTTCATACCGCCGTGCTCCTCGATCATGACGTTTGTGCGCATGGAAAGTGGTACCGCCACTTGGTGCATAGTCGAAGCAGATGTCGGGGCGTAACGGTACTCCAAGAGCTTGAATCGACCGTCTGGGGGGATGAAGGACAGGGTCTTGTCGCGAGCCCATCGCGAAAGTCTGCAAAAATTATGGATGTCAGCTACTCGAGCGCTGTACCGGATTAAAAAAACATGCCTGACACATGGGTGAAATGAGCAGTCCGTGAGCGACTGTGAGTTCGACAATGTGAGCAATAGGTCGGGAATTCCTGTGATTAATGAGTCGACCAGTTAGGTATTATCAAAGGAATTCTGCACACCCGAGAGTTTGCAATTCGACTCCACTCGTCCCCATACATTGCTGGAGGCAGGAGTGCCGTTCCTAAGAGTAAGATAGGTTGAGCTCCGTGAGCGAAAATATGCGAAAGCTGATAACGTGCATACTTATTGACGATGGCCTCCAGGGTTTCTACGACGTCGAAGTAGATCTCATTGTTGTTATAACGTACGCCGGCCTTCCTCCACGGAATCGGGGATGCGAAGGGTTGTGGACCCACTAGAGGCGTAGCAAGGCCTGGCACACCGGCGACGGATAGGACCTTGTTGAGTAGCGACGGTGGCAGCACGATGTCTCGCAATGCATTCGGAGACGTTGTGAGAGGATGACCACCTGCGTCAAGGGTTTCCTCGAGAAGCTGGGACCTACATTTGAGTATCGTCTGCGGAGGAGCGTTACAACCTGACCAACCTGATAAACGATGTCGAAGTTCTCTTTGAGCGTTTCTGCAGAGATGTATCCGAAATACTCCCGGAGGATGTCGACGAACGTTTCCATGAATGCAAACGCGTAGAGTGGGTCAACTGTGGGACAGTCATAAAAACACGCCGAACATATGAATAGACGATAACATCACCTTCACCACTGATGGGACAGAGTATCCGCATGTCCCCTACCTTTGCGTGGCAACACGCGCAAGGGATATCAATGTTAAAGCCGGACACATATATCACCGGGTCAACATCCTCGGGTTTGGGCGCATTAGACAGCGCATCGTTCACTGCATCGATATGCAGTAAAGGGTACGTCGATGATGTGGAACGAAATCCCGACTGTATGATGGGTCGACTGTTCTTCGGTCAATCCCATGTGAAGTGCAGCACACACACGAAGACGTACCCCGTAGAGTCCAGCATGACAATTCCGTCGATTGCCATTTGGAATACGATCTTAGGAGGGCTAGCGATACTAGTGCAGACTTCGTCAATGCTATTTCTCGTAACCCACCCGGGCCCTTGGGGAAGTTCCCACCGGCTGGCACACGCTGTCGTCACAACTTCCGTGCGTCTGTACGAGCGAGTTCAGTAGCTTGTCTTGGCTAATCCACGCGTGTAAGGCGGCGCAGGACGGAATCTCCAACCTGACGGACAGTCCACGAAGTTGGTTCCAGGCGAGAGAGTCGCGGCGGCCTGAGGATTGGGCGGAACGTCGTCGATCTCAATCCCGATTGGGATCTTCAGCCACAGCTCTGGGCGCTCAGCGTCATCGTCCTCCAGATCTTCCAAGTCAGCTCGTTCCGTCGACGTCGTCAGCAAACATACGCGAGCCACGACCTGCTGTAGTTTTGTGATGAGCACATCATCCACCTATCTTCAATCTCTTGCTTGCATGCTCATGTCTAATGGGGCATCATGCATCATGGTGCGGTGCTCCTCCTAGCGCACTAGAGTCAACTCAGGACGTCTCATTCAAGTTGTTGGTTGTGCAGCGTGCACCAGTCATTGGGCAAATTCCTGTACCTGTTGCCATTCTACAGCGGGCTTATCTCCCTCATTATCACTCTCCTTGATGTAAGTTCGACGTTACGTTCTCCTGGACGTCGGCGACGAAGCATCGTCGCTACAATGAGTCATGACCCGGGTGATCAGGCCTCGGGAGCTTATCGTAGTATGCCCATCCACTTTCTCGATCCAACGGAACATTACGCGCTTCTCCCTGCACTGACGTCTTTCTTTTGCTCAGCGCAGTGCTGGTCCCTGGCACAGGAGGGCAGCGGCAGCAAGGTGAGGAGCCGCTTGCGCGCCTACGTCACACGGTTAAGGCTGATTGGCAGGGGACGCCAGACAATGCTCCCGCCGCCCCTGTCTGCGTCGGATAGAGCGGGGGGATCGCTCGTGTCGTGGTGCGGGGCATTTATAGTGACATTCACTCCACGTTCCGATTGAATGGCGAAGGCTTTATCTTTGTTGCTCGGTTCGCCATTTGCGAGGACCCGGCCAGCCACTGCCAACCCCCGTCAGCCGCCGCCGTCGACCGCACTCATCCTTCACGACTCTTACGACTGCTACGTAGCCAGAAAAGATGAACAGCTCACCAGTTACCGCAGGTCTCTTCGCAAATTGGCTCGACGACGTCAAGGCGGCGTTCCTCGAATTCATTGGGACGACTACCTTCTTGCTCCTCGCCTTCGGTGGTATTCAGGCGGCCAGTCCAGAGATCGAGACCAGCTCTGGTGCAGGAACATCCAATGTCATACACAACATGTACATCGCTCTCTCGATGGGCTTCAGCCTCCTCATCGCCGTTTGGATATTCTACCGCGCTAGCGGAGGAGTCTTCAACCCGAATATCAGTCTAGCGCTATTCCTTGTCGGCATCATTGGGCCTCTCCGCTTCGTGCTGTATTGCATAGCGCAATTGGTAGGCGGCATCGTTGCTGCTGCGCTTGTCCTCGCGTTGACTCCTGGAACACTCCAATCTGTGTATGTGCTTCTCCTGCATTGTCTTCTTCGAGCCTGACGCGGAATCGTAGCACGTTTCTCGCACCAGGGGTCAACCCAGCGCAGGGTGTGTTCATTGAGATGTTCATCACCGCGGCCCTTGTACTCGCCGTGCTGATGATGGCCGCGGAGAAGCACGCCGTCACGCCCTTCGCACCGGTAAGTTGTTGTCTTGCTACTCAGGCGGGCTCGTTTCTGACGTCGTTCCCCAGGTCGGCATTGGCCTTACGCTTTTCGCATGCCAATTGTGAGTGCGCCGTTCTAGTGCCACTACGCCGGCCGCTGAAATCATCATTTAGGTGGGCTGTGTACTACACTGGCGCTGCTATGAACGTCGCTCGCGCTTTCGGTCCTGCAGTGGTGACGGGATTTCCCCATGGCACTCATTGGGTGGTGAGTGCTTATCTCGGTAGGAGTATATGCTACATCGGGCTGATCGACGCGCTCAGTACTGGGTGGGTGACGGTCTCGGGTCGCTGCTCGGCGCTGCCCTCTACATCATTTTGAAGCAGTGAGTTTTCGGCTTCTGACTTCTGTGTACATGACCATTGAGGACGGACGCATTATAGGAACCGCTACTGGCTGTTGACTCCCGGCCAGGACACGACTGACCCCAGTCAGTCGCCCATCGTCCCGCTCCAGGACGGTGTATCGGTTGGCCGCCGTTCGGGTTCCCGCTCCTCTAGGCGGTCGGGTTCTTCGCGCCGGAGGAGTACCGCCGATGATACTTCGCGTCGTGAGAAGGATGCTATTGCCCGCGCGAATGGTGACGCAGGTACCGCCAATGTCTCCTCGCATGGCCGGACGCGCGTCAACGACAGTCCCGTCTAAGGGATTGGCCATCCACTCAGTATACGTCTATACTTGGAATCAAGGAACGGAATGTCGAGATCGACCGCAGTCATATGAATGAAGCAGATCATCCGAGCGACGGAACTAGCTGATGGAGCGTAGTATGAAGTACTGTATACAATACCTACGGGACATTACTCTCAGTTGGCCTGTAACGATATTTGGTTCCTCGCACCCATCATTGCAATGTATAATCACCGCATTTCTACTGTACTTATATGATGAATCAGTCTCTCAATGAAAAATACACCGGACATCGATGCCGGCCGCTGCTGTCTTGACCGCGGCGAAAGGCTCCCGAGAATATGTATCCGCGCACGCCGGACGTCCCATAGCGATCCAGAATGCATAATGCAGGGCCTCGTTCAGGCGCTTGCTGGAGGTAGCTCCGGTGAGAGGCGAGGCCTGCTGAGAGGCAGCGACTGGACGAGAGCTAGCGGCTCTCCAGACTCTGAAGCCATTCCTGGACTTGGACTTTGATTAGGCGCGCAAATCGGAGGGCGATCTCCCCACGTGATCGGGGTCGCGTATGTCATAAGAGATTCAGTCGGCTTTCGCGCACACTCGACTACTCTACTTATCCCTCGCCCCCTTCTTTCCCCATCCATGACCAAGCTAGCCGCACTGTCTGGCGTGTCCGTGGAGGCGGAACGCAAGATCCTGGATGACATCGAGGACCAGTTCCGCCTTGAAGAGGATGCGCTCATCGAAATCACGAAGCAATTCCTTGAGGACTTCCGCGCTGGACTGGGGGAGTACAACCATCCGATGGCCATGATGTATGCTTTCTACGCGCATATGTCCTCGTGCTCGCTTGCTCATGTTGAATGGACAGCCCGACGTTCGTGACGGGTGTACCGGACGGCACGGAAACTGGGTGAGTTCGTCTTTCCCCTCCGCCGTGGACCGCTCGCATCGGCCGCACTCTGTCTGCTACGTGTCAATCCCCGCTTCTGCGCTACTTTGGTCGGATCGCGACGGAGCGTGCGTCCCCGCTGTCGTCCTCCCGTTCTCATGCGGACCCGGTCTACTTCCGCGACCAGCGCTCCCGAAAAGGCAGCTCGGTCTAACTACGTAGCCTGCTGGTCGATCGTCCGCTGTGCCTATTTCGGATAATCCCTGGGATTCTCTATAACGACGCTTACCGATCGATACGCGTCCGCGCACCGAAGATCTGACCGAACGGCGCGGCGCGCCAGAAGTCCAATTGTGTCGCGTTGCATGTGATCGCATTCGCCCATGGTCGTGTGCGAGCCACATGCACTCGCGAATACTTCTTCACGCGACCACGAAGAGCGTGACATGCAGAAGTCTTGGAGTTTGACGAGGCGGTCACTCGCAGTCTACACTGTGTAGTATATTGAGGGTCAAGTACTGACGACGTCATTCAGTACTTTTCTAGCGCTTGATCTCGGAGGAACGAATCTGTGGGCACTCATTTTGCTTCATCTGAGAGCGGTACCCTGACCGGCTTCTGGAGGCGAGTTTGCGAGGTCACGCTACTCGGCAACCATGAGTTCTCCATGAAGCAGCAGAAATACAAGGTGTCTGAAGCATTGAAGACAGGGGAGGCGTCTGTGCTTTTCGGTGAGTCCATCAATTTGTGGCGTAGTTTTTCTCCGTCTGATACTGGGATGATCTCGCAGATTACCTGGCAGATTCTGTTGACGCATTCCTGACGGAGCACTCAAGCGTCGGCTCTCCCATCAGCCCCTCACACGACGTCGCCAATCCCTTCGACACCATCTCTGCACCTGCCGTACCACTAGGCCTTACCTTCAGTTTTCCGGTTGAACAAACGGCATTGAACCAGGGCAAGATTCTGACATGGACGAAGGGATTCTCAGCGAAGAACGCCGTCGGAAATGATGTAGTTGGGCTCCTGCAAGATGCCTTCAATCGGAAACATCTGCACGTCCGTTGTGTCGCGCTGGTAAACGACGTAGGTGCACTGATTTGTCTCGATGAACTGGCTTGCTGATACCTGTGCTAGACTGTCGGTACACTGCTTTCGCGAGCGTACAGTGCCGGATCGTGTCTTCTGGGTGTGTATTGTACGCCTTCAATCAATGGTATTAGACTAGACACTCTTTCCATAAGGTGGCATCTTTGGTACTGGCACCAACGGCGCATACGTTGAGAAGGTGGACAACATCACCAAGCTTGGTGACTCTCAAGCACGGAAGGAAGGTGGACTGATGATTATTAACACGGAATGGGGCGCATTCAACAACACCGTATGCAAAGTCATCATATGAGTTCTGCAACGTCTGACATGTATTTCTTTGTTGCCAGCGCACGAGGCTCCCGACGACCCCATACGACAACAAGCTGGACCGCGAATCGATCAACCCGCGCTACCAGGCGTTCGAGAAGTTTATCTCGGGCATGTATCTTGGCGAAATCACGCGGAATATCCTCCTTGCCCTCATCGACGCCGCGCCGAAGCCGCTCCTGTTTGGTGGCAAGGCGAGCGCGCCGCTGAACACGCACTACGGCATCGACACCGCTATCATGAGCGAGGTCGAGGAAGCGTGGGAGTCGGGGCGCAACACCGAGATCAAGGCAAATGGACAGACCAACTGGCAGAGCGCACACTTCACGGATGTGGAGGCGCTGGGCCCCCAAGACCACGCGCGTCTGGAGCGGATTCGTGGCATTCTGGTGCAGAGACTGCTGCTCGACCCCGAGGATGTCTCTCTTCGAGATGCGGCGACGGTCCGCTGGGCAGCATCGTTGGTGGCGAACCGCGCGGCGAGGCTGAGCGGTACTGCACTTGCAGCTGTGCTTGTGCAGACCGGGCATGCGGAGCTTGGCGGGGGCACGCCCGAGCCGAAGGGGAATATCATTATTGGTGTCGATGGCAGGTACGTCGTGACGACGTCTCAGACACGGGGCAGCAACTCACTGGCTCGTTCCCAGCTTGATTCAACACTATCCTAACTTCCAAGCTCGCCTCCGATCTTCCCTCCGATCCCTCGTCGGGGAGCCGGTGGAGAAGCGAGTCGAGATCGACCTGGCCAAGGACGGCAGCGGTGCAGGAGGTACGTATTTCTAATTTCTGCCGGTTACCATTCCTCTCATTCACACTCACTCGGTGATGCCCTAGCTGCATTGTGCGCCCTGCAGGCTGTCAAACAAGGCCTGTAATTCCCACTCGGGGACCGCAGTCATAATAACGGATATTGTATTACCACACACTTTAATGTTCAAGTAGTGCCAATTGTATCGCTCCGACATTTCCCTGGCGTTGTTGTACTGGTTCAGAACTAGAAGTGGGGGGAGTGGGGAGAATGGAACGTGGACTTCGCAGTAGCAGTACTATTGAACGTAGAATGTATCACAACGAAGAGAGGAGAAATCACATTCACTGGTGTATCAATTACTTACTCGTCTTGTGTCAATCCCTCACCATACAACATGCAGTAAGTAAGTCGAAGAATAGACGGTTGTAAGTACTGTGTCAGTAGTACTCACGGTTGGCAGCAAGTTGCATCGCTCGCAGAGGACCGGAGCGGAAGCGCCCGTATCGGCTCGGCCGTTTCCGGCGTGCCGACAGAGCTCGACGGCCTTCGTGACGACCTCCACGACTCACCACTCATTCTGTAAGGCTGCCCCTGCTTTCCTGCTCCCTTCGCTGGGCTCTGACTGACCCTCGTGTAGCTCGCCATGGCCTCAAAAGCAGCCACTGCAGCGGTGGTGAGTCCTGCATCTTTTTCTCGGTCGTACCCTCGGTTCATGGTTGGCACGTCATACAGGACTTCACCCGTGTCTACACCTCTCTCGGTCTTTCCAAGGGTGGGTGATTCTGCTCAAGTGCGAATGTATGAAATGTTGATTAAATGTGTACAATCAGAGACCGTCGCGGCTCTTCAGGCCTTCCGCAAGCGGCACGCGGACGCCCAGCGCGTCCATGCGCACGCTGCAGCGCAGCCCACCACTGTTGACTTCGCGCACTATCGCTCGCTCCTGAAGAACAAGGCTATCGTGGACGAGGCTGAGAAGACCGTCAGCGGCTTCAAGCCCGTCACGTACGACGTGAGCGCGCAGCTCAAGGCCATCGAGGCGTTCGAGGCGAAGGCGGTATGTATTCTGCGCTCTATCCGGAGGCATCACTGATCATTGTGTCGCATTATTTCTGTGAATTATTGGTGTTGGGAGAATAGGTCGCGAAGGCGAAGGAGACGACGGAGAAGATCGACATCGAGCTGAAGGACCTCCAGGCTACCCTCGCTAACATTGAGGATGCACGACCCTTCGAAGACCTCACGGTACGTAATGTACATCTTTCACGTCTCGTCACGTATTTACACGTCCGCAGGTGGAGGAGGTTGGCCAAGCGCACCCGCGCATCGTCGAGGCCGTCGAGACCATGATGAAGAAGGGCAAGTGGACCGTGCCGGGTACGTACCCTTCTGCGACGCAATTCTGCCCGCCGCTCACACTCACGCTATGCTTTGCACAGGTTACAAGGAGAAGTTCGGCGATCTCTCGCTCATGTAATTTGTCGCTACGATGCTTTGCCAATAGAAGTCGCAGCCGCATAATAGCCGCACATCAGATTGGTTATCCTCACCTGCCATCCCCTGTGCGAACTTGCCCATCGTGGACCTGTGCGTAGCTGCAGATTCTGCAAGCGCAGTGCCGTACTCGCCTCATCTGGGCGATCAGGGCTCCGCTAGCTGTGGCTGACCTGTTTAGGATTATCATGAGCGATACTGGCTACGTGATAGTGAAACAGCAGAGTCACAAGTCGCACAAGGCGTGAGTGTCATTGCAGATCATGAGCGGTAACAATGCGCGAGGAGTAGCGAGACACGAATGGGTATAGAGCTAATGGGGAAACTAACGTACACCAGAACATACGACCGGTTGGCACTAGAACAGATCCTCTAGCGTCATCTGCTTTACAATATCCTACAGGTTTTGCTGGTCAGTGCCACTGAGAACCATGATTATAATTGCATTGACGCACCGTATTCGACACCATTTGAACGAATTCCTCGAAACTGAGCTTGCCATCGCCGTCCTTATCCGCTTCCATTATCGTCTTGTCAACGATTTGTTGTAGTTGTCCGTCCTTGAGGTTATTTCCGACCATCATCTTCAACACGAGGAACAGTTCTCCGTTCGAGATATAACCATCTCGGTCCATGTCATACACCTTGAAGGCAACTACTCGGGTGGCGTATGAGTTGATGGGGCATATACTTGTGAGGAGCACACACGTACATCTCAGCTTCTCTTCTCGACCTCCTCGGCTACTGAATGCGCTCAGACCACCGACGAACTCTTGGAAGTCGACCGTCCCTCCTCCACTGTGGATGAAGCATTAGAACGCTGCACCAAGGTGCGGTACGGTTCATCATACGCACTCTTCGTCGAAGATAGCGATTAGTCGTGATGCGAGGGGGTTGTTAGCGATTTGGGGGATTTGAAGGAACTCTTCGCGATCTATCGATCCAGAGCCATCGCTGCAGGTGCAATATTTCGTGAGTACCCCGCATATAGTACACGACAGGAGCACACACCTGTCCAGCTTCATGAAGCGCTTCTTCAGCCGTTCCAACTCGTTGGCATTGACTGGGCGATAGAACATGAGACAAAAGGATGACTAGCAGATGAACGCGCACTTACAGTTGGACCGCCTCTGCATGTCCTCCATGAACTGCGACGCTGCATGTGGAGCACGACTCGCTCAGTCAACAAGGCAGGCCGGCAAGTGTATTGCACACGACGTACGTGATTGACCCATGGTGTCCGAGCTTTCCTACACGTTACTTTGGTAAATAACAATCCGTGCACAACGATGCTTGAGAGGGGGAGCAGAGGCAGGAGGATCGCAGGCAAAGTTCAGAGCAGGCTGTGTGGTCGACCGCTCGCGCCCAAGACCCTCCGGCGCGCCCGTGGGAACTGGTCGCTTCGCGCTTGAGGCAGCACATATTCGGCCTCCGCGACCTGACCGCGTCGTCCACCGCGAGATTCGAATGCTGCGATGCCGGCTCTCTGCAGCGACCCATGCACTCCGTAACACCTCTGCGCTGCTGACGAAGGAGCGGTTGATCATCAGAACCCAAACGAAGCACGCGGACCCGTTCCGACGCTTTGGCACTTCTGGTAGCAGCAAGTCTCAGCACGACCCAAGCGCGTCGACAGCCTTCCATTTACACGACGGCCAGCTGCCCTTGTCGGACAACCAGCGTCGGACTATATATGCGCTTTCAACGCCTCCCGGAAAGGGCGGGGTAGCTGTGGTCAGGATCTCGGGGCCTGACGCGCTGCAAGCATGGAGGGCAGTGGTGAAGAGAGGAGCACGTAAGGACGCATCTGAAAGCGATGTCCCAACGCCGTGGCAAATGTACAGGTGCAAGGTCACTCACCCCGCGTCTGGTGAGGTCCTAGATGATGGTCTTGCAGTCTACTTCAAAGGTTCGTTGTCCCGCACGTTGTCTCGAGAGTTCCTTCACTCGAAGAGTCTGTATAGCACCGAAGTCCTTTACCACCGAAGATGTCGTAGAGCTGCACATCCACTCTGGTCGAGCAGTTGTGTCCTCAGTGCTTGCGGCTCTGTCGCGCATTCCGGCCTGTCGTCCCGCAGAAGCAGGGGAATTTACGCGTCGTGCCTTCAAGGGTGGTCGCCTTGACCTCACCCAAGTCGAGGGCTTGAAGGACTTGATTAACGCGGAAACTGAAAGCCAGCGGAAAGCTGCGCTGATCGCGGCAGGGGTGTGTGATAGTTCGAATATGATACTTCTTTGCACTCGCTGAAGTCACACAGGGTGCTATGCGAGACCACTTCGAGAAGCTCAGGAAAGACGTCATACAGTGTCTTGCTCTCGTAGAAGCACTCATCGATTTTGGTGAAGGCGAGGATATCGAGGAAGGCGTATACGAACAAGGTCGGTGTTTTTCCAACCCGTGCGTAAGAGCTACAAAATAAATGAGCGAATGGCAGCCCGAGAACGTGCTAGAGATATAGCACAAAATGTGCGTGCGCACCTTTCTGACAACCGCAGGGGTGAAATTCTGCGCTCGGGCATACGGCTTGCTATCTTTGGACCACCGAACGCGGGCAAGAGTAGCTTGCTGAACTTTCTCGGTAAGTGGAGAGGATTCAGCGCCGCAACGTCCAAATGTTCTGATCGAAACCTCAGCGCAACGAGAAGCGGCCATTGTTACTTCAGTCCCGGGCACGACTCGAGATATTTTGGAACTCTCCCTTGACATTGGTGGCCTACCCGTGATTGTCGCCGACACAGCCGGAATACGGCAGACAGATGACCTGGTGGAAAACATAGGGGTCGAACGCGCTCGTAACCTGTTCGTAATGCCGCAAGTTTCTCAGAAGCTATCAAAATTGACACGTCATTGTCAGGGTTCAATCGACAGATATCTCGTTGTGTGTGCTCTCCTTGCCGGATATCATGAACAGCACTTCAAAGGGCTTGGGAATCTCGTCCTCCGTGTCCCCGCTCATCAGTCCGGAAACCTACGTGCTTCTTAACAAGTCGGATATGGCGGATGTCACGCCCGATCAGGTTTCGTCCGTTCTGACTGCCCTTGGCGTTCGTCAAGGATGGGTCGTCAGCCTCACGACTGGGAAGGGCACGCAGGACTTCCTGGATGGCTTTGCACAAGCCTTGCAGCATCGGTCAGTGTCCGCGTTCCCGGTCGCGGCGTGAAGTCTAACCGTGCCGTGTTGCAGATATGATGTGTATCAGGAGCATGACTCGCATGACCGTCCGCTGATCACACATGCCCGGCATCGTGTCCATTTGGAGCATGCATTGCAGTTCTTATATGCCTTCCTGACTTACAGTGAGCGCATGCCTCGATCGCTATGGAAAGCTGGGTTGTTGATCAAGCGAACCATTGCAGATGCGGAGAATGTAGTGCTTGCTGCGGAAGAGCTCCGCTACGCCGCTCAGGCCATTGGTAAGATTTCTGGGGTCATTGATGTGGAGGACGTCCTCGATGCTGTATTTCGTGATTTCTGCATCGGCAAATAAGGATATGCTGTCATCTCACGTTGGACACCGAGATCGGGCGACCACTTTATCCACAGTACGTTCCATTTTTTGATGACGAGTCTCCACGTTCGCCGCGAACGGACATCTGGACATACTTACTGTGAGATAGAAGCTTTATCTTCAGACGCCCCTGGCCTCGTATATATAACGCAGTTTGGACGTTCGACTCCAGTGACCACTCGACGCTGTGGTTTTAGTTGTTAGGTATGTTTCCAGTCCTGTTGCCTAAAATTTCAATAATTCCTCACAAGTAGTCCGACGGGCAGTTCGTCATTGACTCGAGCATGAAGTCTGGCTCTCGCAAGAAAGGTTCCAAGAAGCGCGGCGGTGCGACTGCCTGCCAAGTGGACACTCCGGCTGTAAAGTCTGGACGTGGATCGCGCCTCAATCTCGTGTGTCACGAAGAGTATAAGCGCAAGAACGGGCAACCGAACGAGATGCTTCGGCTGCTTTCTCCTTGCTATTGTACCTATTCGGTGGACGACGGGGAGGCGCGGATGGTCATAGTTGGAACCCGACTGGAACTTGAATGCATCCTGCCGTTCGGCGAGTTCGCGTTGCAAAAGCCGCTCCCGGACGGAGACGACAAGTCGAAGCCTTTCCGCATCGGGGAGAGCGAGAAACAGGGTCTAGGGATGTTCGCGACGCGGCTCATCAGGGCCGGTGAATTGATTATCGCAGAACGGCCGACCGTACTGGCCTCCAAGAAGGTCTCTCCTGAACCATCGTTCAACGATGCCGCCCTTGCGGCGCTGTCCGATGGTGCGCGGGCGTCCTTCATGGCCCTGGCCGACTCTTGCTCCCCCGAATTATCTCACCCGCTCCTTGGGCGCATCGCCATCAACTCATTCGACTCCGGGCCTATGACCGACGACGAAGACACGCTCGTCGAATTCGCCGCGACATACATCACCTTGTCCCGCGCAAATCACGATTGCGTCGGGAACGCCAACTACCAGTGGTTGAAGACGCGGTGGTGCGGGCAGTTCTTCGCCAAGCGGGATATCCCCGCGGGCGAGGAGATCACCGTCAGCTACACCTTCGCGCTCACGCAGGCGGAACGGCACGCGGCTTTGAAGGAGCGGTACTCATGCGAGTGTCTCTGCAAGACGTGCTCGGACGCTACGCCGGAGGACGTGCGGCGTAGCGACCAGCAGCGCAAGATGGTCGCACATGTGCGAGACGCCTTGCAGAGTGCCTTGTACTCCTCTTTGTGTCCCACCGTCTCGGAGGAGTCCCTCCAACGGGTGTTGGAGCACGCGCAAGAGGAAGGCATGATGATAAGCTACGCGACCATCGCCTTTCTGGCGAGCCGGATGTTGACGAAACGGGAAGGGCCTGTGGTGGCGCTCAAGTGGTTGAAGGTCGCTAGGCAAGCGTATGTGACGACGCTCGGAAAGGAAGCATGGGAAGTCTCGCAGGTCGATAAGCATGGTTGGTTCTTGACGACAGTCTTGCGGTCGCGTGGCGCGGTATATAGCTGGCCGTAAATCTTTCTGCTTAAACTAGGTCCGACATGTAACTTGTACAGGTATCGGACGACATACACCGAGAGCACAGTGGAATGATCATAGATGGCATGGCATGGCATGTTCATTGGGCATTCCCGGCCTGTGACGGTGAGCGCAAGTTTTGTGTCGTAGGTAGCCAGATTGCTCATCGTAAGAATCATCCGAGGTAGGGGAGTATGCCCGAGGTATGCTGGCGGCGAAAAGCGCGACCACGAATCCGCTATGTAGGCGATTGGCAATACTTACTTCTGGAGCATCCACGAAGAGTCACCTGAGCGAAGGAAGCACTCTTCAAACGCCGTTCGCTGGCATCCTATATAACTTCGGCCAGCCTGAGGTAGCTTGATCAGCTTCACTTCAAGATCGACGCACATCCTCGACATCATCGTCGCAGTACTAGTATGCACCACCCTTGATCACCGCTATGCCATGCTGAGTCACAATTTGTAGCTAGACACCGTACAGATCATCATGTACTCGCAGATGAAGCGTGGCTTCCTCAAACAAGGTCTGGGCGCAGAGCGCAAAGCACTGGCGCCGTCTCGCGACGGCTCGTCGACCAAGTCAACTCAGGCTGTGCAGAGCCCGGTCGCGGAGGCTGGCACCCCGGTATCTGCAACGGGCAGGGCCCCTCCTGACGAGGGTATTTACGCTCAAATGAAGCGTGGCTTCCTGAAGGAAGGTTTGAACAAGCGCGCCGAAGCAGATAGTACGGCCGCCTCAAAGCGCGCCACACCACGACCAGCGACCGTGCAGCCTGTGGTAGACACCAGTACTTATCAAATGCACTCATCATTCCGCCTGGTTTGTCCTGAGGAAGACAAGAGCAAGGGAGGGCAGCCGAACTACCGGCGTCAGGTGCCCCCGCCTTGCTTTTGTGCTTACTCGAGGGACGGCGGAGAGACGGACATGATCATGATCGGGACCCGTGCAGAACTCGAGCACATCATCCCGTTCGGCGAGGTCGCCCTGAAGAAACCACTCCCGAGCAACGGGGGAGAGCGGCCCTTCCGCGTGCAGGAGACGGAGCAGAAGGGCCTGGGGATGTTCGCGACGCGGGTGATCAAGGCGGGCGAGCTGGTCCTCGCGGAGCGGCCGACGGTGCTCTCGCCAAGAGACTCGCTGGGCAACAAGTACTTCGCGCCCCTCGAGCCCGCCTTCTACGACGCCGCGCTCGCGGCGCTGTCGGAGGGCGCGCGCGCGGCGTTCATGACGCTCGTCGACCGGTGCTCGCTCGGCAAGCGGGCGCACCCGCTCGCGGGGCGCATCATGACGAACGGGTTTACCGCGGGGAATCTCCTCGGCGAGGACGCAGAGGACAACCCGCAGGACGTCGTCTTTGCCGCGACGTACCTCCTGATATCGCGCGCGAACCATGACTGCATCCCGAACGCGCACTACCACTGGCACAGGGCGCGCTGGTGTGGGCAGTTGCACGCGACGCGGGACATCGCCGCGGGCGAGGAGATCACGGTGAAGTACACGACGCTCACGACGCACGCGGAGCGCCAGGCATTCTTCCAGAAGCAGTATTCGTGCAGCTGCCTCTGCAGGACGTGCCTGGACGCCTCGCCGGAGGACGTGAGGCGCAGTGACGAGCGTCGGGAGGCTGTCGTACAGCTGTTGTGCAGGTTGGAGAACGCGTTGGACCCCTCGGCGTACCCTCTGCTGCAGGACTCCGAGGAGCGGGCAGTCCGGCGGACACTGGAGTGCGCACGGCGGGAGGGTATGATGTTCCAGTATGCGAACATCTTGCATCAGGGTAGTCGGATTATGCAGATGCAGGACAGCCCACTGGTGGCGTTTGACTGGCTGAAGGAGGCCAGGAGGGCATATGCGATGATCCTTGGGGAGGACTCAATAGGGGTCGTACAGGTCGACGATATTGGTCAGTACTTGGTGGATCGCATGCGGGCTCGCGGTATGCAGTGTAGTTGGCCTTAGCCGAAGGCCAGGCTGTCTGAGATGTGGCCGGCAATATGGCCCGTGGCACGGAAAACGCAGAGCAGTGACTTGCGCGTGTTGCAGTTATGGACATTATTTGCGAATAGATCTGCCCCTCGTACACTCGCAAGTCCTGGATCATATAGGCATCATTTCGCAGCTAGCTTGTCAAACAGGGTGCAGCAGCTTACTCGCTGAAGGGTCCAGTCGCTGTGGAAGGTCTTAGAAAGGTCTCTGTCAGCTACCAGACACGGCGATCCAAGAACTATCCGTGCGGTACGTGATTCGTAAACGCACCCGTTTGGCAAAGATCTCCAGGCTCCGAGCGCACTGGACAGCGCACGAAAGCGAGAGGGCCTCCGGCGACCGCTCCGGTGCGAACAGAACACTGCGGGGCCGCCGTGAGTGCGACCGCGCGCGTACCGCGGATATAAAATAAGCAAGCGAAAGTCAGCAGCGGCGTCGGCGACGGTTTCGCGGTCAATTGTGCGAGGATCGAGCGCGGTTCCTGAGCTAGCATGCCAAGCAGCTCTACCAGGGCGATCGGCAGCAGCTGTACCGATTGCTTGGGGAATCGGGGATTCAGAAGTGATGCGGTGCTTTCTGCAATGAAAGGTTGGACGGATCGTTTGCACGCTTGCTGACAGGCTGTATGGTCGCCAGTAACAACACTGACAGTAGTATTCGGTACGCGTACTGACGTGAGTTGGTTCCCAAGTTGAATCGATGAAGTCCCTAATGTCCAATTCAGAGACAATTTGACTTCTGACTGTTTCATCCTACTCACCAGTGATCAACTTGACAAATGACGATGACCCTCTCGCGGATGCTGTCAAATAGCGGCACTGCTTGACTTTGGGCGTCCGCCAACTACAGTAGTATCAAAGATCAGCAGTGTCGGTGCGTCAGCCGATCCTGCCCATCACGGCTACAAGCACTGTTGCACGAATTCAGCGGACTGCCCCTGGCAACAGTTGGAGTGCGCTGCTCATGCAGGGGTTTGAGCGCTCTTATCAGTTTGATGGGAGGTGCGAATTGCTTCTCCCTTGCCCGTGGATATCGGTGGACGCTGTTGCAGGCACTGAAGCTCATGGAAGAGGCAAGGCAGCATCGATGTGGCTCGAGGCGCAGGGTGCCGATCTCGGGACCACATAGCATATCAACGTCGTGATGATGAAATGCACCACGCACTGACTTCGAGATGCATGGAAGAGTTCGGGATGCGCGTTACACGGCTTGGGTTTGTCAAAAGACTGGCGATGGCCATGCGCGAGACTGGGACCCGTGCGCCCTGCGGTGTCCAGCGAATGTGCAGCTGAAGTCTATCCACTGGAGATGGGACCTTGTTGGGACGAGAAGTCGCGGGAGATCGCCGTGCAGAATGAATCGCCCAAACTAGGCCACTCGACTGAGCATGTCCGCGGACGGGGTTTCCTAATGCACGCACTGCGGAGTCTATCTTGAGGCAGTGTGTGAAGCTGCCCGGGAGGGGATTGCTGCTCCTCGCAGACCGTCGTCGACAGCCAGAGCGACGTCGACAACGGTGCAGCGTACAGAGTCGCTGGTTCGAGGAAGGCCGGCGGCGGCACAGCAATGGTGGTGATGCGACAACGCGATCAGGAGCGATCCCGAGCTGGGCACGCTAACGCTGGGCGCCTGTTGTGCCGCGGCTCTGTTCGCATGGAGAGCAGCGCGCATCATCTCAGATGTCTCGCCGGAGCACAATCCGCCGGCGAACGCTGCCAGAACGCTGTCTCTGCTATCGTTCCTGCCCAGTCAGACGCAGAAGATCCAGCGCCCCGCTCAGCACCGTGCAGGTGAGACCTCGTCCGATCCAGCGCCTCGTGAGTTGTCCGTGCGGGGAAGCGGCGCCCTTTTGGACAAGCGACCTGCGCAAGCCGCCTCTCTCCAATCTCTCTCTGCACCCCTCCTCTCCGCCAACGCGCGACCCTCCGAACGATGTCCAGGCCCGAGGACAAGCCCGCGTCACGACCGAACAAACTGCGCCGACCCCACTCGCCAGGCGCCCCCGACCCCGAGGACGGTGATCGCGCGGACTCAGAAACGCGGCAGCCTCCACCCAAGCGGGCACGCAAGGCTATCAACTGCGAGCCATGCAGGAACAGCAAACTTAAGTGCGATAGGTGCGCCCTCTTCTAATCCACTCGTCCGCGGCGTCGCGTCCTACGTCAACTCGCTCGTGCTAACACGATCTCCTCGCAATCCTCGGTCTTGTCAGGAATCGCCCGTGCTCGTCCTGCGTGTTGAGAGGTGCGCAGTGCGATATTGATAGCTACCTAAGCGGACGTGGATTCTGACTCGTCCCAAACACCGCGTGTAGGTACGACAGCTTCATGTTACCAAGGGCAGGACAACGGACCGGCCAGTCAAGATGAAACGAGGTGAGCCTTCGAGGTTTTATGGCGAGCTGGTGCAGTCATGTCCCTGTGGCTCTGAGAATAGCTACAAGGGTGTGCGTGTCTGGTCACGCAGCTCGGGTACGATCCATTGCGTCCTTTGATGTCGGATGTTTCGTCAAACTCAGCGTCACGCCTGAGAAGCACGTACTGCTCTTACCGCGAACCAGACGGATGGTGTTAAATACGAAGGCCTCTATACGATGTCCTCAGGTTGTCTGGGGCAGACCTATTCAGCGCGCTCGAGGGCTGCACGAGGCACCAGTTGAACACAGACACCGCAGGTGTATTGCCTAGGCAAGGATGTATTCGACGTGCCGTCATTGCCGGAATTGCCCTCGATCAATTCCTCGGACAACGGCTTTCAGACGACGATCGTGGAGGCATCGCCGACGGGCGTCACGCTCGGGGTAGTTCGACTGCCCCATTTGCACGAAATGGGTGCTTGTGTGGCTCCCCGTGGGCAACTCGTGCGAGCCTGCAGAGTACGGGGCGAGTTGGTTGTAAGGACTGCGGGCTTCAACGTGCACCCCAGCATATAACGATTCTTCCGCTGCAAATGTGTTGAGCACTGCCGAACGCCCTGCCTTGTGCGCAAAATGCTAGACCTGTCATCCGACCCCACTCTTCGTCTGCTAACACAACTCTTCCGCAGGCCACTCGATCCGCTATCGGAAATCTCGCGCATCCGCCAGTCCCTCGTACAGCTCGAATCCTACATCAAAGTAGATAGCTCGAATATCCGACCCATTATCGGGTATGCACATCTCCCGCCGAGTGCACAGTCAGGAGCGCACCCGCTCGCTCCGCTAGCGGCTCGGCTAGACTCGCTCACCCGCGGAGATGCTGCCGACCGGACGAAGACCGAGAGCTCCCCAATGGTCGGGACGCCTGGTATGTTCGGAGGGCGGATGGGCGGTCTATACCTTGGACCTACCACTCCGGGATCGCTCATGGTTGGGGTACGTTCATCGCGCTCGTTTTCGTGCGCACCATCTGACCTGTAGCAGAACCACGACAGGGACGAACCCGACTCTGACAGTCCCACCGCACACATTGAAGAGGTGGTAGAGCCCGGAGCACAATATGACAGCGACTTCCTCGCTGAACTGCCGGCCTTCGACATCATCGACGCGTTGATCGCGTACTACTTCGACTACTGCAACTGGATATACCGGCACATCAACGAGAAGTCGTTCATGGAGGGCTGGCAGCGGTTCAAGAAGTGGGAGTCGGGCGACCGCGTCGTGTTCGCGACGGCGTGCATCGTCATGTGCCTCTCGCTGCGCTACCTGCCGAGCGGGCACCCGCTGCTGGACCGCATGGGCTCCGGGACAGTCGAGGACCACAGTAACAAATACCACACGCTCATGCGCAACGTTCTCAAGCGCCACCGCGAGTCGGCGGAGAGCCTGACGCGGACATACACGCTGCCGCTTGTGGAGCTCCTCCTCGCGCAGTCGCACTATTTGACGTTCGCGAAGGAGGACCCAGAGGAGGTGTGGAAGCTCGCTGGGGAGCTGATCAGCATCGGGACGGCGGTGGGCCTGCACCGCGACCCGTGCAAGCACAAATTCGACCGGCTCACCGCGGAGCGGCGCCGCTGGGCGTGGTGGCACATCATCCTCTTCGAGCGGTGGCAGGCGTTCATGTTCGGCCGCCCGCTGCACGTCGCGTCGCACCATTTCGAGACGGACCTGCCGACGATACGCGACCCCGAGATCGAGAAGCAAGTCGGGCGGCTCTTCCTCCCGAACCTCGCCCTCTTCAGGCTCGCGTTCATCCTCGGCCATATCATGGACGACGCGGTGTCGTTCAAGGCGATCCAGTACACGTCCGTGCAGGAGAAGGACAAAATGCTGACGGACTGGTACAGCGACCTCCCCGCGGAGCTGAAGCTCGACGAGTACGCGCTGCGCGCGGGGCTGCTCAGCCAGGAGAAAGCGACGCGGCGGCTCGCGGTGCAGAGCGTGATCGACCGGTGCGCGTACCTGCACATCCGGTTCACGCTCCACCGGCCCTACATCAAGGTGCAGACGAGCCTCGACGCGGCGGTCGAGTCGGCGTCGGAGCTGATCACGCTGTCCGCGCACGCGTACAGCGTGCAGAGCGTGCCGGGGCACCTGAACTGGTTCCCGTTCCACGTCTTCTCCGCGGCGATGTTCTTCTCGTTCCAGCTCATCACGAACCCGGACGTGCCCGGGAAGGACACCTTCCGCGAGCAGGTCCGCAAGGCGATGGCGCTCCTCGAGCGCTGCCGCTGGCTGCCCGTCGCGGAGAAGGCCCTCACGATCCTGCAGGCGCTCCAGCCGCTCTACTCGGAGGAGCTCGTCGTGCAGAGCGCGGACCAGCGCGCGCAGAAGAAGGCGGAGGTGCTCAAGGTCGTGAAGACGCTCGCATTCCCGTACCAGGACCCGCCGACGGCGCGCGAGACGGAGGCGCTCCGCGGACACTCGTATACACCGGCCTCCCAGATGAGCAGCGCCTTGGCGTCTGCGGGCGTTCAGCAGCAGCAGAGGCTCGAGGGATGGGTGGCGCAGCCACAGAGGCCGCCCCAGACGATGCAGACATACGGTCAATCGTCCATGACTGCGCGCCCCCTGCAGCAACAACTGTCGATGGCAGCGGGGCCGTCTACGGACACACTCCCGTATTCGCATGCGCAGGCGATGCAGCCGTCACAGGCCTCGAGCAACGCGCTGGCCCAAACAGCGGGTATGCTCTCCCTGCAGAACGGCCAGATGTCGGCGCAGTCGTATTCGCAGATGAATATGAACGCATACGGGATGCCGCCGCTGCCGTCGATGATGTCACAGCGTCAGATGCAGCAACAACAGCAACAGCAGCAGCAGCAGCAGCAACATCACGCGCAGCAGCAACATCAGCAGCAACAGCAACAGCAACAGCAACAACAGAATTACTCCAATGGGACGATGGACGGGCAGAACGGCCAGCCGTCGTACGTGCCACCGGCGGACGAGAGCTCGATGTGGGGTGCGTCGGTTGGGTTTGGCATGACGGAGTGGGCGCAGTTCCTTGATGTAATGGCTCGTCCTGAGGGGGAGCAACAAGGTCGATGATGCTCGCTGTGGTTGCTTTCGTTCGGCGGTGTGGGTGAGGACCCGGTGTATTAATGTTCTTATGTTTGATTTCGTCTCTGCTGTGTTCGCTCTTGTATATCTTATGCTGTTGACTCTACCCTAGGTTCCTCATGCTTCGGTCCTCGCCTTGATCAACATATCCTTGTACATATATACATTTGTTGTGCTATAATTAGAGAGGCTCTGTTCTGCTTTGGCTCCGGGCTCAGTCTGCTCAGACTATTGTTGGACTATGTAGCGCCTGAGTGAGCTTCGACGACTGCGTTTCACAACACGAGAACTGCCTCTAAAGATAGACAGCTGAGATACTGGCTACGTCGATGCGGCTGCCGGTACCAGTACTTGATATATGAATACTCGTGAGGAAGCCTGCCGCGTCGAAGCAACGCCCACAAGGGACAACTCTCGTACGCGCCCGGAACAAGGATGATATGATCCAGTGTAGAACGGCTCGTGTACCTATGGGGGCACACGCAGACGGGGTTGACCGACTCTGTAGTATTTACCGACGATGTCTGGATGCGATCCGGATGATGGCCTTAAGTCTGTGTCTGTTTGCCCCTCCAGCAGGCCCCGGTCGTAATGACGTAGCAATGGGGAGACCTTCGGTCCAGAATGAGGAGGCCAGCTGTTTCGGGGCGTACTGAGTTCAGTTGTATTCCACCTGAAAGATGATACGGGCGTACCTGCTCACAGGTGGATAACGCGCTCTCAAATGCCTCTCCTGGGCACTGCCCGTTTGTGATGCGACAGCGCAGAGACGAGTAGGCTGGCAACCTGGAGCTTTGACAAGTGATGACTCTGCACATAGTCGGGCAACCGTCCCAAGGCTTTGCAAACAGTCTGAGAAGCACTCGTCAGCCGTGGTCGACCGTCTGCTCCACGGCGGGACGACCAATGGTATCCTGGACTGGTACTATTAGTATCAGGATGTCGAGAATCACCGCTTACGGGGCCTTTGCCACAGAACGTGAAAGGCAGCTTTGGCTTCCATTCGGCTCAACGACGCATGCTAAACGCGTGTATATTGATGCTACCAGCTCGGGAGATTGTCCACGTAACCTGTTACACAGACAACGCACAACTCGATGGACGGTGGGTCGACGTGTCGAGCAGCCATCGACCGGCGTCGCGGGCGTCCGCGGACGCGTTCGTGTTTCGCGTTGACCTGATGGGCATCCCAGATTTGGGGAGGTGGAATTGCATATTATTGGGTGCTGTGCGTTCTCAGGCTGACCGAGTAGAAGTGCACCCTTGCGCGGCGCGGACCCGCAGCGGTAGAGTGCGCTCGATAGCAAAGGCAAGAGCAGAGGCGGTAAGCAGAGCGAGGCGGTAGGCAGAGCTGAGGGAGCTGCTGAGGGCATTCGGCGCCCGCTGAGTCGGCAGAAGATCGCGCGAGGGCGGGACGCGAGAGGGCGGGCCACGTGTTATGCATGAAGATCGGGAGATGCCGCAGAAGGCTCTATTTGTGTTGGTTGGGTTGGGGCGACTCTCCTCAGGCCGCCATCTGCTCGCCGTCTTCATCCCTCTCGTCTGTACTACGGCGTCCTAGCCACCCGGTCCTGTCTTTCTTTTCTCTTTACGTTCGTTCAAGAACAGCCACTCATTTACGCCCCCAACACTCTACGTGAATACCATGGACCACTCCGCAGTCGCCAGCAACACAGCCAGAGAGGAGGCGCATGTCCTCGCCGATAAGATGAGGGTGTGTGTTCATTTCATTTCCAGTCTCGGACGTCATCACTGCAGGTTCACTTGGTACGCGACGCCGGGGAGGTCGTGTACGCTGCTTTGCAATGGGAACCAGTCGTGAGCTCGCGTTCTTCCTCCAGTCCTGCATTACAGTTCCGAGCCCGAGCCCTCGAGCTGTCTCGCACAAGCTGCTTGTGAGTGCATAGACAGCGACGAATTCCACACCTCTCGCCTGGGCAGACGGGGTTTTCGCCGTCCTAGGGCAGGACCTAGGCAGCGCCTGATGCTGGTTGAACCTGATACGCGTGGGTGCGCGGGCGCCAGGATCTCACACACCGGCTTCGGGGCTTTGCAGCGTACTCCACAACAGACGGCGGGTTCTGGGAGCTTGGCCGAGTTCAGGACTTTGCCCGATTGTTGGACTGGTCGAATGAGTGCGGGGAACCCACGGACGTCGCCAGGCACAAACAGTTAGGCTCGGCCCTTGGATGTTCCTCGGAATGCTTAAAGTGTCCTTCTAGCGGTGTCCGCTGCAGCGTGGCAGGCTCGACCGTGTTGCATTGCGGTCCATTGTGCACCTGTTGTGATCGGCGAACATTCACTGTAGCTTGACATGGTGTTCTTCGGAAATGCGCGGCCTATTGAATGTATCAGCTGACCTGAATGCATAGATGGATTCGTTCAGAATGGGCGGAGCACCCCCTTCCACGAATAATAGCGGTCCGAAGCCACGCCACGCGCGTTCTCACTCTCGTAATGGCTCGGTTTCTGTCCCCCTCTCTTTCCCTACGCCATCTGTGACGACAACCGATGAGCCTCCTTCCCCTACTCGCACCTCGGTTTCCTCCAAGCGCAGCTCTCATCATCACCGCCGCTCTTCCGTGTCCACTCGTCGGGAGTCTGCCGACATGATGGGCGTTTCGCTGCCCACCATTCCGCAATCTGTCTCTGAAGATAACATCAATCTCGGCGACAAAGACTCTGTCCGTCGGCGGGCATTGTGGGCGTTGGAAGGCAAGACCGATGTGGGATCGTTCTCGAAGGTCGAGATACCAGAATTTGATGCAGATGAGACCAACAAGCGTCCGTTCGAGTTCCGTACGTGTTATCTAATAAGTCACGTAAAAGCTTCCTGACGTCCTATGAAGCCAGCAAGCCGTCGTTCCCACCTGCGCCAAGCAGCAAACGCGAGTCGTTTGGCAAATTCATGGCTTCTGTCTCCTCAAGTGAACAACTGGGCACGCTTGTAGAGGAGGAAGAGGAAGAAGAGGAGCAGGTCCCTGTGTCGGAGTCTCCCGTGGAAGTCACCGTCACCTCGCCGTCACCTGCACCCGCGAGGCGTCGGCCAGCAAGCCTCAACTTGCGCCCTCTGTCTCTTGCAGCTGGTAGCGTCGTGACTGGCGACCTCCCTACCCCGACGCTCACGCCGAGCCCCAGCGCACGCTCCGGCCTGCGTTCGTTGACCCTGGCTTCTAAGCGCCAGTCGCTGAACCTTCCGTCGTCGTCTTCGCCACTGTCAGGCGCCCCTACCCGCCGGCCGTCTCTCAACCTGGACCTGAACACGGAGCGCCAGCAGTCCTTTCGTGGCTCGCAGCTATCGCGACGCTCTAGTATCTCCTACGTTTGCTCAACGGACACACCTTCGCAAACCATGATTGGGCTGCCGACGCCCGAGATGACGCCGACGAGCACATCTTCGCGTACGCACGAGGACATGGAGTCCTTTCTTGCGAGCCGGTCGACCCGGCCCCTCTCGACCAGCGAACAGCACTTTCTTTTTCAGGCCCATGCCACGCTTGTGCAGCGCATTTCGGACCTGGAGCGCGTCCTGTCCTCTCGCAACAGCAGGTCTTACTCGCGCCCCGTTTCCTATGCCTCCGATTCGTCCGCGGTGTCCGCCGTGAGCAGCGAGCCCAGTGACGAGATGCTGTCCTTGATTGCAGACCTGAAAGCGGAGCGCGATGAGCTCAAGAAGGACGTCGATGGCTGGCGCATGCGCGTTAGCGACCTCGACAAGCAGATCAGCCTGTACGCGAAGCGCATCGATGCTGAGCGCCGGGACGCGTGGGTCGCCCGCCAGCGTCTTGGCCTGTTAGAAATGGAGAAGGCTGGGCTTGAAGAATCCCTTCAGGCCAAGACTGCTGATGCCAAGCAGGTAGTCGAAGAGCTTGAGCAAGTCAAGACGGAGAAGACCACTGCGGAGCAGGAGGTCGAGCGGCTGAAGGCGGAGCTAGAGCGCATGTCCACCACGCAGAACGAGTGCGTACGTCTGCAGGGGGAGCTCGACGCGGAGAGGAAGAAGCGGGAGGAAGTTGAGAGGGAGCTGGAGCATGCAGGCCTTATGAACACCCCGCGGCCTTATGAGGTCCCAGTGGCGATGTCGCGGACCATGATGTTCGCCAGGAGCCGCGGCCTCGGTTTCCAGTCGATCGATTCGGAAAGCTCGCTCACCGATGTTGAGTCGGTGGACACCCCGAGGGACAAGTTCGATTTTGGGCTGATGTCTGTGGCGGAGGAAGACGAGGAGACACTGTCTAGCATGTCCGAGGAGGATGAGCTCGCCCGGTTCGAGGACGAAGAGGAGGGCGACGCAGAGGCGTTTCCCCAATCTCTGACCACGTCGTCGTTTGGTTCTCTGGCAGACGACAGTGAGCCGGCGCCTCAGCTAGACGACTCGCAGGTGCCTCAATTGACGCGTTCTCCGTCAGCGACACCGTCGCCCCTGCCGAGTCCCACTCAGCAAACACACTCTCGCCACGCGTCCCTCTCCAAGGCCTGGACTTTCCCGTCGTCGGAGCCTGCTGTCGCGGTGTCTCGTGTCGACGAAATTGACCACTTCTTCGGATGCTTAGAGGATGTTGACAACTCGCCTCCCATGGACTCCCGCCTGCGTTCGCTGGAGAGCGGCAAGACGCTTTTCGCTCAGGCTCTGGCAGAGGCTGACGACGAATTCCCGCCTTTCTTCATCCCTGCTGACGTAGGTGTTGAGGTTGCGCCGGAGTCGCCCAAGCGCGAACTCGATGTCGTCATGGAGGAAGATGAAGAGGAGGATGAGGAAGAGGCTAATGTTGAGGATGAATTTGTCGGTGAAGTCGACGAGGGTGGGATCAAGTTCACGTTCACGATCCCGCCTGAGTTCCGGGTTGTTCAAGAGCCGGAGCTCGCCCCTGCGCCGTCGACCCCTGCACAGAAATCCTCGCCGGCCGCTCAGACACCTGCCGCTGAGGACGCCGACAGCTCCTTCACGTTCCCGCAAATGCGGACGGCGAGTGCGTACCCCTCGCCATCGTCAATACCGCGTCTCGCGTCGGTCAAGATGACTGGTACCCCGAAGTCGCCTGTGCTCTCTACGCGCAATACCAACATCCCGAGTCCATTCCAGACTCCTCCGACGAAGCGTGGTGGAGCGTCGCCGACGTTCATTCCTCAGCCGCGCGTTCAGGCGAGCTCCGCGCACAAGAGCCCGCCCCCTTCCGCCGGGAAGACTGCTTCTTTCATCCCGCAGCCACGACGTGCCTCTCCGACATCTGTCAAGCTCTCTGGCATTCCCGTGATGAGCCCTCTCAGTACGCCCCTCCCCAGCCTGATGTCAGTCATGCATTCTGACGGGGTTCGCGTCTCGTAGACTCTGCCTCAGCATCGACCCGCACTGTCATGACCAAGGCTCCTTCCGCATCTCCTGTTATGAATGGTCATGCCCTCCCCGATACCGAGGATCCCTTCGACTCCTCTCCGTCCTCCGCGCCTTCTTCTCAATCTCCGACCTCTCCCTCCTCCATTATATCCATGTCTCCCACGCTTGCCTCACGACTTTCATTCCAGACCTTGACGAACTTCATACCCATGCCCTCCCTCCCCTGGTCGCCGCGCTCCAGAGCATCCGCCACTGCAGCTGCGGCCGCCGCACTGTGTTTCATCCCGGAGAGCGCGAGCCACTCGAGCTCTCCGAGCGATGCTTCTGTGAGCTCGACTTTCGTGAACGCGCCGCAGCCTGCGCAACCAAGGGCCACGAGGCCTACGCCAAAAGATAAGGCCTTCGTCCAAAGGGAGAAGCAATTGGAGAAGTTGAGGCTCCGGATGGAAGATGAGCGTCGGATACGGCACCAACGTGTCTCTCCTGTCGTTCATGGGAAGACGCAAGGCGCCACGACACACCCTTGAGGTGCGTAGAGATCCTTTCATTGAGTAATAATTCGATGCTGACACCATGCGACCCTCAGCTCTGGTTTTCTTCCCTCGCATCCGCGGACTACTTTGATTCATGCTGTTCATGGTCTCGCATCACCTGGCTTTCAATCGATTGTCACGTCTCGCATCACCCACCCCATACATCCCCCGAACACCCATTCCATTCACGAAAATCCTCATTGTGCCATAACCATCGTTCCCCGTCCTCCCCGTCGTTCAATGCCTTTCCCCTCTGTCATTTATTGGAGCTTGACGCTCCGTCGGTGGCGCGAACCCCGGTCATGGACTTTTCTGTATCTGATGCGTGGTCTTCCGTCCTGTACTACTATGTTTGATGTTCTGCAAGCTGGCACTGTCCTGCAGTTATATGCCTTGGTTATGATCACCCATGCAAGTATTCCTCTTAGCTCTTCGTGTTTTGTTGTGTGCTTTCTCCTTTCGGTGTGCAGGTGTGCGGCCCCGTGGTAATTCCGGGTGTGCGATGGAACCACGGCCTGCGTAAATCACGGGTCTAGTGCATACGTCGTTTGCCAGGGGACGGAGACAACGGACGGTGCGTGTCAATGCGGATGCCCGACAAGGCTGCGGGAACGGCCGCCCGAGCTTCATCCAGAGCTGTTGAACATTTAATTGTGGAGGACGCACAACAGATTCGATGTATATATATGCTCGAAGCCTAGCGCACACAGTCTGCCTCCCGTCTGCCCCACCACGTAACCCACAGCAGGTCCTCGAGCCATGTCCGTCGCACGAGTGGTCAAAGTCGTTCCCGGTCGCACTGTGTTCTTCGTGTGCGATCTACAAGCGAAGTTCAGTATGTGCATCTGTCTCTTCGGTTCTGTGTTACGGTTCATTGAGATGACTGGACGTGTCATGAACAGGACCTGCCATTCATGCCTTCGGCAGTGTTGTTGCAACTGCGACTAAGATGCTGAAGATGGCGAAAGTAAGTTAGGCCTTGCATTGGCGTCGGAATCTCATGAGACGACCTGAAACACTCTGCATTATACTAGGTTCTCGATGTCCCGGTTCTAGTCACAGAGCAGAGTCCACGGTGTATGTATCCGACTGCATCTCGTACCGCTTCAAATCTGATCGTACGCAGCTCTTGGACCGTCTGTCCCCGAGCTGGAGTTCTCGCAGCTTGGACAGCTACATCTAGGGACGGTCTCGAAGTCCGCCTTCACCATGTTTACACCAGAGGTCAGCAAGATCTTGACCGATCGCCAGTTGAGGTCAATTGCGATCTTCGGCATCGAGGTGAGTATCGCCGATGCAGTGGCTCTATGTCGGGTTTGTTGATACATGATATCTGTTAGTCGCACGTCTGCGTTCTGCAGACGACACTCGACCTTCTAGAAGCCGGGTACGATGTTCACGTCATCGCGGACGGCGTGTCTAGCTGCAATGCGGAAGAGGTGCCGCTTGCGCTGGAGAGAATGCGCCAAGCCGGTGCTCAGATAACGACCAGCGAGAGCATCGCTTTCCAGCTACAACGTGAGTGTTTAGAACGGCGCTTCGTCAGATGTATTCGAACTGATGTGAATGTACAGTCGATGCGGCTCGTCCAACCTTCAAGGCATTCTCGTCGGTCATCAAGGATGAGAAGGAGACCACTAAGGAAACCCTTCAGACTTTGCTATCGCCACACACGAAACGGAGCATGCTATGACATGACGCATCGAATCTGGATTGCAGCCAATATAGCCCCTCGTACAGCGTCAAAGACACTCTTGCGCGTTGTGTCTCGTATGTCGCTGATCGCACGGCCGGGGCGTTGGAGTCTTAGGGAGAGCAACGTTCTTGTAGGCTTCGTCACATTGGACGTTCAGACTTCAAGTTTAAGCCTCCCACAATCTGGCCGCTGGGCGTCAGAGATCGAATAGACAATGTAGCATTGTGAAGCAATATAACAACCTTCGATGACCAGGGATGGGGTATCATTCTAGAGATAGTCATGACGAACCAGTGCCCGAAGTGTGTCAGTCAGTGTCCAGCCAGAAAACATCAGCCTAGAAGACCTGTCTCATCCCCTCGAGAGGCATAGTCTCTACCAAAGCTTTTGCCGCATAGCAGTATCCCTGCGGTGACTTGATACCAAAACGTGCATGGAGTTCCTCTCGAGTCACGGGTGCCTCGAGCTCGTACAACGCTCGCACAGGGTACGCGTAAGACGACATACGCCCCGCGTCGAAGTCGTCGTTCCCTACACCACTAAAGTCGTTCAGCTCCCCCGGTACCTTGGGTAGTGTAGTCACAACGACGAACCTACCGTAGGGGATAGTTCGTTAGCGTGACGTCCTTAATGATCATTGATGATTTCGCGTGGATACGTACCGGATGGCACACCGGGGTGAAGACTCGTACAGCCATAGCCTCTGGACCGTGGAGCGCAATTTATACGATCTGAATTCGTGGTTCTTCCTTCGCTCGCGAATCCACTCCACGAATTCTGATTTGATGGCGAGGACCACGTCTGTGTAGATACGCTCTGGCTGCGACGCCTGAGGAGTGGAGGAAGCAGACCGGGATACAGAATTCTAAGAGCGCCTGCGTAGCGCCGGCATCAGGTCAGAGAAGATATTCAATGAAGCTGCGAACTCTGTGGGAGCATGAGACGATCGCCTTGCGATCACCGCCAGAGTAGCGACGAAGTGCTAGTGCCAAATGCGGACGGTTTGTTTGGCAAGAGCTTCTGATCCTAATAAACCCACGTGCCCCAGATCTTGCCACATGAGATGATCGAGATTCGACCCTCACCCGACTGGTCCTCACTGTCTGTACTCTCTAATGCCCATCCGGTGAAGGTGAACACAAAACGCGCCTTATCTCTCTTGTTACGGTTTTGTTGCCGCACCTGACCAAGTCATGTCCGCTTTCACATCATACTATGTCCCGCACGTCATCTACTCGCTAGCCATCACATCACTAGGCATGCACCTCCTCTCACAACGGAAGACCGCCGAGGCCGAACGGTTCCAGCTCGCGGCGCAGCTATCTCTATTAGAACCCACTGCGGCACGACTCCGGTCAGGGGAGCGGATACCTTCGCAGGAGCTCGACAGGATAACGAAGCTCGTGCGAAGTCACCGTGCAGGAACCTCAGAGCGGGAGGAGGGTAGCGGAGAGGAGATCTCGTGGAGAGAGGTGATGTTAGGTCGGAAGAAGGATGCGCGTGAGGCAGTGGAGGAGGCGAGGAGGAAGCGGGCGGAGGAGTGGGATAGGCGAGACTTGGAAGCCGGTGAGCACGCCCGCACCTGCTCATTGTACGGTCTAGTCCTCACCCAGGCTAATTTTCGGGGTTTCCAGTTCAAAAGGAAGTACGATCGTCTGGCTCATAGAATTGAAGAAGGATGCGCTTTGCATACCCTAGCGGTGTTTGCGCTAGACTTCGTCGACGTCGATAAGGAGCACTTTGCTGAATCTCAGAGCCGTTAGGGATCGAGTAACGTGGCTGCCCAAGAATGATATCCATGTGTGCACCAGTGGTTCGACTTATTGCGACAGAGACTTACAGTGACTCGGAGCTGACTGCAGAATCACAATGTACACCGACTTGTGAATGTCTTGCGCCATTCTGTACACCTATGAGGCCTGGATGCTACTTGACAATAGTGCCCAAACTGCTGCCGTGACCGAGTCTGTCGTGTGGATCTCAGAACTTCCCCAGTGCTTGCTGTTGGATTGCGGCGGATGAGAAGAGTAGAGCTTTTTTGTAGTGTATAAGGTTATCTGATAAGATTGGGGATGTCGAGTACGTTGGTGCAAAAAAGGCAATCATTCTGGAAAGTTCTAGGATTGGAAAGCGCTTGGAATCCGGACTGCAGGCCATAAAGTCCTCCAGCCCGCGTCTACAGCCCACACACTGAATCCTCTCCCACCTACCAAAATCCACTGAATGGCCGACGCGCTCAAAGACCAGGGCAACAAGGCCTTCCAGGCCAAAGACTACGATAAGGCGATCGACCTCTTCTCCCAGGCGATCGCCATCGACCCAAATAACCATGTACTGTTCTCGAACCGAAGCGCAGCGAAGGCGGGGAAGCGTCAGTACTCAGCAGCGCTCGAGGATGCTGAGCAGGTGTGTGACATGTAGTGGGTAGCGTAGACCAGCCACTGACGCGTCCGCTTCACAGTGCATCAAGATCAACCCCGCATGGTCGAAGGGGTACGCGCGTAAGGGTGCTGCCCTCCATGGCATCCGCCGCTACGACGATGCCATCGCTGCGTACGAGAGTGGTCTCAAGCTCGAGGACAGCCCAGCGCTGAAGAAGGGTCTGCAGGAGGTCAAGGACGCGAAAGGTGCGCGCACCCGCCATTTCTGCACTCACTTCGTTCTAACACCTACCGATAGCGGCTGACGAGCGCGGAGACGGCGGAGACGCGCTCGGCCTGGGCAAGATGTTCGGTGACCCGAACCTCTTCGGCAAGCTCGCCGGGAACCCTCGCACCGCCAAGCACCTCGCGGACCCCGCCTTCGTGCAGCAGCTCCGGACGGTCCAGGCGAACCCCGGCCTCGCGCAGAATGCGCTCAACGACCCGCGCATGATTGACGTCCTCGGCGCGCTCATGGGCATCGACATGCAGGGCTTCTCGCGCGAGGAGGGCTCGGACGAGCTCCCGCCTGGCGTCACAAAGGCCGAGCCGGAGCCCGCGAAACCGGCGGCACCCCCACCGCAACCCGCCGCGTCGTCGAGCAAGTCGCCGGAGCCGCCGAAGACGCAGGACGTGGAGATGGCGGAGCCTGACGACGAGGACGCGGATGAGGCGAAGGCGAGGAAGGAGGCAGAGGCAGAGAAGAAGCTCGGTGCGGAGGCATACAAGGCGAAGAAGCTGGACGAGGCCGCTGTACACTTCCAGAAGGCTTGGGATACCTGGCCGAAGGACATCACATTCCTCACTAACCTCGCAGGTACGTGACATTCTGCCTGCATGTCCCATGCAGGTATGGCTAACCCGCGCGCACAGCCGCGTACTTCGAACAGGGCGAGTACGACAAATGTATCGAGGCATGTGACAAGGCCGTCGACGAGGGCCGCTCTCTGCGCGCCGACTACAAGCTGGTCGCGAAGGCGCTCGGACGCACGGGCAACGCGTACGCGAAGAAGGGCGACCTAATCACCGCGATCAAGTTCTACAACAAGTCGCTCACGGAGCACCGCACGCCGGACGTCCTCACGAAGCTGCGCGAAACGGAGCGCGCGCAGGCGGAGGCGGCGCGGCTCGCATACATCGACCCGGAGAAGGCGGCGGAGGCGCGCGAGGAGGGCAACGCGCTCTTCCACAAGGGCGACTTTGCGGGCGCGGTCAAGGCGTACACGGAGGCGATCAAGCGCGCGCCGACCGACCCGCGCGGGTACAACAACCGCGCGAACGCGTACACGAAGCTCGCCGCGTTCCCCGAGGCACTCAAGGACGCGGAGGAGGCGATCAAGGTCGACCCGGCGTTCGTGAAGGCGTACATCCGCAAGAGCCACGTCCTCTTCGCGATGCGCGACTACACAAAGGCGATCGAGGCGGCCCAGCACGCGGCGGATGTGGACACGGAGAAGAAGCATGCGAAGGAGATCAAGGACCTCATGACGAAGTGCGAAATGGAGCTGTACAGCCAGCGTGCGGATGAGAGCGAGGAGGAGACGCTCCAGCGGGCGATGCGGGACCCGGAGATCGCGGTATGTCTCCTTTGCTTGTTGCTAAAATGCATGTGCTCATTGCTGACGTCCCACAGAAAATTATGGGCGACCCTATCATGCAGTCCATCCTCCAGCAGGCTCAAGCGAGCCCTGCAGCACTGCAGGACCACATGAAGAACCCGGCCGTGCGCAACAACATCATGAAGCTCATCAACGCAGGAATCATCAAGACACGATAGTCGAGTAGCTGCACGGACTGTACTCTGCATGGTGCTCTCGGGAAGTTCATAGTGTTTGTTTTATCATACCGTACAATATCCTGTATCTATAGACACATCTACATTGCTTCATTGTCTCAACATGAGAGTGTGCGAGGAGAGTCCGGGGCCATTCAAAGTGGTGTTACGTGAAGCTCTCTACAACAAGTTGTCGGGAGGCGAAGCCCACGACCAACCTTGGTATCCGTCGAAAATTTCGAAGGCTTTCTGCTCCTGAGCAATCCTCTTCTCTGAGCTCTGCTTCAGATCGCGCCAGGCTCGCATGCTCTCATGAACCTCGCGCGGATTGCTCAGGCCGGCCACCATCGGCACACTCAGCTCAGCCGCCTTCCTGTACCCATACCCCACCGCGATGTTCACCATCCTACCGTCCCAGTCCGCACAGGCCTCCTCAACCTTTTTCACCGCCTCCTTCAGTTCAGGAGGCGCGGGGTGCCACTTGGGCGGGTTCGGCGTGAGGAGGCCCATGTTGAGCGGGGACGCGGTGAGCAGCTGGCCGACGCGTGCGCGCTCGCGGAGGAGCGGCGCGAACTCGGCGAACGCGCTGTTCTGGAGGGTGAGGTGCGAATAGGAGAGGAGCACGTCGAGCGGCTTGTACGGCGCGGTGTGCAGCACGAGCAGCGCGAGGCGGAGGAGGGTGGGGAGCGGGTAGCCTGCAAAGCAACGTTGGTGAGATGCGACGGCAATAGAGGAGGGCGATGCAGACCGGTGATGCCGATGGCCTTGACAATCCCCTCGTCTTTCATCTTCTGCAGCTCCACGAGGCCATCGAGAACGAGCTGGTCGCCGTCGCCCCAAACCTTGCTCTCCTGGCCATCTGCGAGTCCGTACTTCTCGAGGTTCTCCGGCTTCAGCGCGTCAGTGGGGTGGCCATCTTCGCGTGGGCCAACCTGGGTCGCGACAAATTCGACGTCATGGAGATAGACCGCGTCGAGATAGGTCGTGTTGAGCCGCTTGAGGCTGCGCTGGATGCTGGCACGAAGGGTCGCGGGCGAGTAGTCAAAGTCTGAGCGGGGACTGCCGTAGCGGCCGCATTTGGTCATCTAACGTCCACAGAAGACGGATCAGTGACGTCGTGGCCGACAATGTCGGTGAAATGGGGAGGTTGTGGTACGTACGAGCTTGTATGCGGAGCGGGGGAAGTCGACCTCGAGGGCTTTGAGCGCGGTGCCCAACACGATCTCGGACTCGCCATAGTAGGCGGACGTATCGAACGCGTTCACTCCGTAGCTAGGCGCAAGGTCAGGGTCTCGACGCACGCTGATTGAGTTCGGACGCACCGCAGAGCCAGCCGGACAGTGCGCACGGGCGTGAAGCTGCTGAGGTGCTCGTCCTTGTTGTAGATCGTAGACAGCGCGGCCGCACCGAAGACAATCTCCGAGAGTCCCAGGGAACCGACAGTGCTCTTGGGGTAATATCTCAGCTACACTCACGGCCTCCGCTCAGGCCGGACCTTACCAGCGAAGAGCCGTTCGCAGGGCGATCCTCGTCTTCATCAGGGACGTCGAGGCCAGGCAGAGAAAAGACGGGCTGAGGGGAGTCGAGTTTGATGACCATGGTGCTATACGCGGAGGGCGAGCGCGGAGATGAGGACAAGCTGAACCACCACACATGTCATCTGAGGCCGACGCCGCAGTCACAATGTGCAATCACACTAGCACGTCACGCGCGCGATATGTACAGACAGGCAATGCCAAAGCTGACCAGGAACATTCACAACCATTTCGTACAGCAGACAATGAATCAACTCGAGGCCAGAGCCCGCGCAGCGAAGGGGTCCACTCTCAAAGCTTCTTCCTTTCCCAACTGCAGCAAATGATGCGGATGAGTCGGAGCAGCGCGGCGACAGGGCATGCGGTGGGACACATACCTCTTCTCAAAGTGCTGGTTCACTGTCAGAAGCTTGGTGCCCTCGTTGGGCTGGATGTCATTCCAGGGAGTTGGGTTGTCCCTCGTCCATATGACTGGAAAGGCATCCGATAAGTCACTTTCAAGAACAACCCTCAATCGTGTCAGACTCACCTGTTGGGCCTCGAGCCAGCCGTGTAAGGTACCAGCCTGCACCCAGTACGGCCACTCCCATGACCGCAAAGCTTGACGAGATTCAGTCTTCCGCCATTCGCGGCCAAAAGCACCGACTTACATGGGTGTTGCCTGCAAGCGCAGCTCGCGCGTAAGCCCTCCACTCCCTCGCGACGTAAAAACGACTTACCTCAACGGCAAACCAGTTCTTCATAAACGACTTGCGCAGGTTCGGCGACATGTTGGGCAACAGCAAGATGTAGTTGCGGTAGAGGGCGTAGTGGTCAGAGTCCGCACGTCCGAAGCCCACCGTATTCCGGCCGTCGACTGATTCCCACGGGGACCGACGCGTCCCGTCACGGCACGTGCTTTGCCCAGTCGCCTCTCGGCCGGTCGCAGTGTGACCGCTCTCCCACCTCTGAACCGTCTCCAGACACGGGTGATGCAGCGACGCCATGACAGCATTGATTCACAGCACTGAGAAGTGAGAGAGAAAAATACAAGATCGTCGTATGTTACTGCTACAATAGCGTGGGTTTTGAGGAAGGGGAAGCCTGTACACGTTCCGCTGCAGCACCGAGGAAATGCTATTCGATGTACTGTCCTCAACGGCATTCGCCCTTCTACCGATCATCTTGCAGCCTGCGAGAACTTTTGAACTCGCTTGATTCGACTGGTTATCTCGCTGCGCAGCTCCTTCTGCAGGACTTTCCCACGAGAGGACAGGTCTTCTTGGGAGTCGGCAGCGAGCAGAACCTGGTCAATGAGGGTATACGGCAGCCATGTTGCGGCAGATGTCTTCGGCAGTTCCTGGGCGAGCCGCGCGTCGCTCTGCGGAGAGTTCAGTCAGTCGAATGAATGGAAGTACGGGAAACCCCACCCTTCGCATGAGAGCCAGAACATGATCGAGGGCTGAGTCGAGGTTGTCATACCGTAGACATGTCCTGATTAAGTACTCAGGGTGCTGCGTCTATGGACACCAGTTAGGGTTGCTTGCTACTTGGGGTGTCAGGTACCCACCTCGAGCGTGTGGACCAGCCACGGCGGCGGTGGCGATGCCCTATCGTACTCCAGGATAGTCTCAAGAGTCACCTTACTGTACCTGAAGTCTGTCTCTGATCCATCATGACGCTCCAACGCCTGCCTAAGAAATCTCCAGCCCCGATCCGTGGGTGTACCTGGCCACGAGGAAACTTTATCGGTCAGGAGCCAGTCAGAAGTGTCCTCTGCACTGCTCGCCAGTCATTAGCACCGCATGCGTAGAAGACGAGTGAATGTACCCACACTACAGCATCTGGATTGCGGGCGAGCCGCAGACACTGTCGAGTCAGGTGTCCGAATAGGTCAGTCATGTCCTCCTTGAGGCAGCGAGCAGTAGCCATCGCTACGCTGAAAAGATTGTTCTGGGCCAGTCTCATGATAATGGACGGCGGAGACAGTGTCAATCCTGCGGCCCGTGCGGTCAGTGAGGATGTGCGAGACGCCAGGGGAAATATTTACCGACCTCCGGCAGACAACAACGTGGGGTCCCTCCCGATCAACTCCAGACGAGCGGACAGAAGAGTGTACTCGTACTGCATATCCGACAGGTGCACGATCTCAGCGTCTCGTTTGCCCGCAGAGTAGCGGTTCTCTGGTACATTCCTCGATAGCTTACGTCGCTTGCGCGGCTGCGAACGATCGACCAGCGGTTAGCGAGCCTGCAATGAAAGACGGTCGTCTGCTCACCTCATGTTCGGTTTCTCCCGTCACAGGAAGGACTATCCAGGCGTTCTTCTGATCGATTAGGGCGAGAGCATTCATGCCGACAACATAAGCTTCAAGCTGCAGCTCAGTGAGGCTAACGAAGTCTGACAGGTCGCCGATCAGAGCGCCTAGCTTCCGAGCCCGCTGGTACATAGTGAGTGCGGCTGCAACGCGGAACACAAATCTCGATGAGCACAGGTACCGCGCAGGGAGCTTCCCAGCGATGTTTCTCGTCGACTCACCGTTACGATAGTCGCCTCTGGAGATGTACCACGTATAGAGGATGCGGGAATAGAATGGTCGGATCCGCGGGTCGGCATTCCGGACCTTGAAGGCCAGCGCATCCTCCACCTCGTCCGCCAGACCAGCGAAATTGAACGACATGAGCCGCTTCACAGCATCCTCTTCACACATCCGATAAATGAGCTGACTGATGCACTCCCGTTTTCTGACACACGATCAGCACACACGGGATTAGAACATGAAAGCGAGGACCTACAGCTTCTCATACGGTGTGGAGACAAGCGAGGCGTACGCATCCTCGTAGAGCCCCAAGTCCGTGAGGCCCCGAATGACTCCGTGCCATAAGGACGCGGTGTCTGTTCCAGGCGGCGCGGCTGAGATCGCGAGCTGCGTGAAGGAGACTTCGTGCAGGGTATCCGACGCTGTTTTGAAAAGCCCGGCGGTGTGGAGGTAGCAATCGAACTCAGTCCCAAAGAGCTCCGCGCCGGGTAGGACGGCAGCCAGCGCCTCCGAATCTTCGTCCGATAGCGCGCCTCTAGATCCTGCACGGAGGGTTAGATCACATTATCGATTGACCGGAGGAAGCGATGTGACCCACCGAAGCTACCCGCCAAGCACTCCATGACAGTCGCAGCGTCATCGAGGCGGCCTTCTTCCAGCCACAGACGTCCCTGTACGTAGGTGACGCCAGGAGTCCTCGGGAGCCAAGATAGCATTTCTCGGGCAACTTCATGATACCCAAGGAGCCGCAATGTCTCACAGACTTGAACCTCCAACTTGGTCGCGTGAGACGGGATGACGGACTGAAGTAGGCCCGTAGCGTCGAGGAACACATGGGCCGCCTGGGGCAGCTCGTAGACCGGGCTGCTGTCCTGCGCGAGTAATCTGTGTACGAGCGAGAACGTCGGCTTGAAGCCATAGCGGCGTGCAGAGACATGCATATTGCGCATTCTCAACACCACATCGTCATCATTGCCCGCTCCGTCCGCTAGAAGGGACGGAGAGACGATGTCGCCTGCGGGTTGTCGCGTGATATAACGTAACATCGCTGCGCCTCTGAACACGACCAGTATTTCGCCGAGCAAGGTCGGATCCCAGGTGTGCAGGTCGTCCGCAAGGTAGTAGAGCAGCCCGGCGAGCGATAGAGCCAATTCATACCTGGCCTCGACGCTAGCCGTAACGTAGGACGCGATGGATGCCCTTCGCCACGCCGACACCGCTGGGACAGGAGGTCTGGATTCGGCCAGGTCAGGTTCTGTCTGCTCGGGCTTCACGATCGTCTGGTCGTAGCCCCCAATCGAGTCCATGATCGCACGGATCCCCGCGTCGACATTGCGAATAGCCGACAGACGCATCGTCACCCAGCTCTCCAGGCCTTCGTCCACGTAATCACGGTAATGCATCCTCGCGGCGGAGTCGCTCACCACATCAGCGAACGCGAACGAGAGCTCCTGCTGGAGCATCATAACGAGCTGGTCCTCCAGCTTGCGCATCGTACGAGGGCCCAGCTTCTCCCGCAATTTCCAAATGAGATCGAGGAGCTCGTACTGGCTGTTAATTTCGGACTCCCGTTCGAGGTCCTTGTGCAGCTGCAACGCGAAGTCGCCTGGGACAAGGGTAGCCACGCGTTCCCGTTCGATTACGAGCACGCCGTCCTTCTCGCCGCCCAGCCCAATGGCGAGCGGCCAACGTGCGCTCCTCTCGACCTCGCGGCACCGTGCTATGAAGCCTTCCCAGTCCCGCTTCAGGGCGTTCCAATACTTCGTGTGCTGCGCAGCCCCAGTATGAGGATCTCGTGTTAGTCTGACCGTGCAGCCGACCACTGCGGCAATCTGCTCCGCCACGTTCGTGTACGCAGCCAGCAGCTGGGGAGGAGCTGGTCCCGGTAATGAACGGCACGAGTCGGTGTACTGGTCGATGGCGATCTGTAACGTTAGTGGCGAGAACATCCCGGGTCGCATGATGGCTTCGAAGAACTTGTCGGTCAGGGACCCGGCGGCCAGGAGCAATTCATCGAGATAGGCCGGCGCGAGTTCTATCTCGGAGGGGTAATACGCGGTTTGCCATTGCTGTTCGGCCATGCTTGATTCATCGAAGGCGAGCTCGATCTCTTGGACCATCGACTGGCCTTCTTTGTCCCACAACGTATAGAGGGTCGCATCTTGCACGATGAAATCTGCGAGATGGGCGTGCCCCGTGGTTTTCGGGGCCTCAAAGGTTACCAAGGGCCGCAGGGCAGTACCAGCGCTAGAAAAGAGGTGGAAGAATCCACCAGATGTGGAAGAAGACTCCGTCGGAATGAAGACTAGAACGCAGAGCGTGTTGGTGGTGGGTCCGGGAAACGCGCGGATCAGCTTTTGAGGGTCGGGCGGAAGTAATACAGAAGGCTTAGTCGAGGCCTGGGTCGATCCTGGATCGAGCGTGACGAGTTTGCCAGGGGGAACCGCCGGCAACGTTGTTGAATAGGACACCGCGCCCGAGGGGGTAAAGGAACGGAACGTCCTGTCCCGTGAGAGTGCGTAGAGGTCCCCGACGTCGGTGGGAGGAGGGAAGGACGTCATGGCTACGACCTGGCTGCTTTCTGAGCTTCCGATGCCCTTGCTCGAGAGCAAGTAGGAGAGCCCGGAGAGGGTGCGGGCACCCAGTCTCGTTTCAGTCCAGTGATCTGCTGCTCTCGGGATCAGCCACGCGCATGTACAACAGAAACACGACCCTCACCAGTTGAGGGGAACTGCCCAATCAGATTACTGTCGACACGAAGCAAAGATCCGTCTGGCAGGGCGATAACAGCAAAGTGGATGTCATGCACATGGACGAGGGCGTCGGTGTCCCGGGGCATGCCCTGGATCTCATACTCGCGACACCACAGGTTTGTGTCCTGGGGTTGCCATGACGGGTTGCGGTCACGGACCGGGAGGGCGATGTGGTAGAGGGACGCTGAGGCTGTCACGGCCACGAGAAAAATGCAACCGAACGCGCGTGTGACCGCAGGGTAGGGCAGAATGGGGGAAGGGAAGTCGAATCGGAACGGAGGCATGTCGGAGTGGAGACATACTACTTCGAGGACGCGCCGGCCGTGGGTGAGGCGCAGGAGGACGGGGCCGGTGTCTGGCGCGTGGGCGAGCGCGACATGAGTGGCGTGCTCGACGGGGCAGTTTGCGGGGATCCTGCCGTACGTGTCTGCGACGTCGCGGCGGGTGGTGGGGACGGGGATGGGCTGGGTGGGCGCGAAGAGGGCGGCGAGCGGGGACGCGACGAGGAGACGGTCGTTTGTGGCGGCCATGGGGTGGCCCGTGCGGGGGCGCGGGCGTGAGCTGGGCGGGGCTGGGCCGTGGTGTGGTTGTCTGATGGGCGAGCTGGCGAGCGGGGGAGGCAGGGTGCAGGCAGGCGTCGGAGGCACGGCGAGTGCTGCGAGGGCGCAGACGCCGGGCGCGAACCGTGAATCGACGCGTGCCACAAAGGCGGGCGCTACACGCGCTCATGCGGGAGGCATGCACCGATCTCGATCTTGTATGAAGCAGGCTAAGGCTCAGGCAGCGGCCCTCAGGCAGCCAGGGCACTCTCCACGCAAGGCCCGAGGCGGCTCCCCCACGTCCCCCGAGCGTGCTCAGGCTGTACAGGCTACAGGGACTTCCTCTGTGGGCGCACATCCCACAACCCTGATGCGCCCCTATATAACAGCCATGGACGCAGCCCACCGCCGCCCAGCTCAGCCTCGCATTCCCAGTGTACATAGTTCCCCTTCGCTTTCGCCTTCTATTTCGCCCAGCCATGGACCAGATGCTCGCCTACGACGCCATTCTCTTCCCCGCCGACGAGCGGCCCCCCCACCTTGTCTCCCTCATGACTAGTCCGCTCACTACGCCCATGCCCAACCCGCCCGAGCCATTCCGCTGCGGCCGCATGCCCCACCCCGAGATGTACATGGACTACATCGCGGAGGGCCTCGGGCCTCGTTCCTGGCGATTTCAGGTACGCGATCCTCGGCCGCACCCAGCAGCACTCACCCACTGACGCGCGATCCACAGGTAATCGAAAACCTCGAGGGCATGACCAGAAAATTCGCCACGCCCTACATCGTCTTCTACCCCGTCGTCTCGCGCGACGGCATGCCCTTCCCCCTCAACAAGGGCGTCCGCGAGATCCAGGGCGACAACTACGAGGAAGCCAAAGCCTGGCGTGGGAACCTCGTAGTGGCCAAGTACCGCGACCAGGAATACGCTAGCATGATGGACGCCTCCATGGCCGACTTTCCCATCGTAAAGAACTGGCTCTCCAAGAAGCCTGCGCCATGAAGGTACGCATGCCGTCATCATGAGATCGTCCACAACACACCGCTCACGCAACCTTGACTGATAGACTGCGCGCAGGCCCGGCCCAGGCTTCATTTCGCTACGCCCAAGCGACACGCCTCTATGCCTTCCTTCTTACCTTCCATTCATGGTAGTTTGCACTCGCGTCCCATGTGTTCCCTTGCACACGGACTTTCAGATCGACATTGGCCGTGCAGATCCATCTCGAGTAACGATACATAATTACTATAATCTGTAGATACACGTCGACAGATTGGCTATAATATTTGTACCACCACCCCGGACCCTCAGTTCATATACGCCCGCCTACAGCTCATTTCGCCCGCCCGGCCTCGACCGCTGCTGCGTCCGCTCGTGCTGCTTCATGTCCTCAACCTGCTCGGGAGACCGCCGCGCTCTCGCCTTCTTCGGATCACAGTGCTCTGGAATCGGGCTCTCTGGGTCGATCGGGGGATGCGACACTCGCCCGACTTTGACGTACTTCTTACTATTCGCGTAGAACCGCTTCCACTTCTCGACGCCCTGCGTGTGCAGATGTTCAGTCGTCGAGTCAAAGCGTCCGCCCGGGGGTGCGCTGCGACGCCGTCCTCACCTTCAGCTCGTCCTCGCTTAGCCCGCGAAGGTCATGTGTAAGATGCGTGCTGAAGCACCCGGTCCCGTAGGCCCGTGCGGCATCCGTCCCAGCGCTGCAGCGCGTCCTATCAGCGGGCGAGCTCGGTCGCGGAGCCATAACGTATAGGCTCACAACGTATGGTAGGGGCCGCCTGGGCCGTATGTTAGGCGACTCGGACTAACGTCGAACACATCGCCATCGATCTGCATGTCCGATGAGCCGCTGTAAGCGATTCCCTCTATCCAAATGCTCGCGGGCTTAATTGAACGTACGGCAAGATAGATAGGCTTCGTGTCGTCCGACCCATCAAAGGTCGCGAGCATGCGTTCGGAGAAGAGCCGCTGATTCGTCTGCGGGGGCCGGTGAGCAAAGCGACATACGCGATACGCATGGCCGCGGGGGAAGGGGAGGAAGAGGAAGGAACGGGGGCAAGGCAGGGGAACGGGGAAGAACGGGCACCGCGCGTGCACTGACCGGGATCCACTTCTTGAAATTGGGAAGTTCTTGCTCCCAGAGGAAGCTGCCCGTGATGAACTTGCCGGCAAGGAGGGCGAACACCGTCGCGTAGAGGACGAGCTTGAGCAGGCCCAGACACCCCACCTCCGGCTCACCGGTCGGGTCGGGCTCCTCCGTACCCACCTGCTCGCCCCGCGCGAGCCTCTCGTCCCGCTCCTTCTTGCGTTCGGCCCACGCCGCATGCTCCGCCTCGCGTTTCGAGCGGTACTCGGAATAGCTGGGCCCCAGCACGCTGCGCCATGAGTGGGGGTCATACTGCGAAAGCGAAGAGAACGCACTTCAGGAAGGGGCGATTCGCCTGCTTCGTCGACACCATCCTGTCCGGGAACGCGGGGTCTGGAACCTTGGGGTAGTCATCACGCCTCGGAAAGTCTGGCATGGGAGAGGGAGGCACGTCGGTCTCGTCCGACGTCCGGGTGTCGTGCTGCGCAGGAAGCTGTATACCGTCGCCCTTTCGTGTCGTGCGACTCGAAGACCCCTTAGCCATTATGTTACTGTATGCACAGGTATACCTTCTCGCAATTCAACACAGTCGCAGCCTGTAGCAGAGGTGTGCTTCCAACCACGCTCCCGCCACACCGCGCGCCATATCATATCTCCGTCATGTGATTGGCGGAACCAAAAGCACCTAAGTACCAGAATCCAGATCAAGTTTCAATGACTGAAATGAATTCGAAGATGGGACCACAGACAACAGAACAATTGTCCCCATAAGACAGCGCGCAAGCTAGGATCCGGATCGAGCTAGAAGGCCATTCAGTACACTTCATACACCCGACGCCCTAGTGGCGCGGTCGATCACGATCGTAGCGCTGCACACGCGTCGATGGGAGCACACCTGCCCGCGCAGCTCAACATGGTACAAAACATCGTGATACGATTCGTATTAGCGAGTAACAACCCCTAGCGATGTAAATAAGAGGTACGTAGTATAGTATAGAGTACAGATGTATAGAGGGGATTGGAATACCAAACGTGCACGATGGGCTCGTACAGCACGCCGTGCAGCCAGATCGTCTTTGGTTAAAGGGAGAAAGAGGAAGATGCGGTGATGGGACAGATCAAAAAAATGATTGGAGATGCGATTAGTGGTGACGAGCAGAGATAATTCCTGGGGGACCCAATGCCAGTTGCGACCGAACGAAGTGTGCAGATGCGAATCGAAGATGAGAGCGAGCGAGGACTGACGAGACCATAGCGTCGAGCGGGATCATAGTGCGGAGCATGTGAGCATGTGAGGATGAGGCGGCATGGCGATGGCGAACGAGACTGACATGAGCATATGTGGAGATGCGCAGTTGGATCGGTGGGCATAGATAGAGTCAATGAGGCACGACACTGTCGCCACCACCTCATGACGAGGCCGCCGCCGCCGCACGTTCCGCTCGTTCTTGTGCAGCCGCCCGCTGCGATACTGTCACGTAGGCACCGCCCACTTCCTCGTCGCTCAGCCCTGGTGGCACCGACGGTGATGCCGTGCTCGACGGCACCAGCGGGAAGTCCGCAAGAGGTCCATCGTCCTCGCTGTCGAGCTTGATTCGAAGCGCGAGGAATCGAGGCGTCTTGATGAACTAAATCGAGCTGTTAAGAATGACATTGAATAGCCACGACGAACGACATACCTTCGGCACCGAATCGGTCGCCATCAGACGGAACACATGCATTTGAATGCGCTCGTACAGTTTGATCATGGTCTGGAGCTGCGTCGCGTTAAACGCGTTCGCCTGCTCAGCCTCGACTCGTCCTTGAAAGCTCTTGCCCGTGAGGTTCGTGATCACGTCGCTGAGATAGCCCGAGAGCTCGTTACGAAGGCCGTGATCGATGTTCAACTCGTTCTGACTTGAAGGGGCCAGGTACGTGTTGTAGATCTCAAAGGCCTTCTGGATAAGAGCCTCGTGGTGGCGCTCCATCGCGACTTGACCAGGTGTCGTGCCCCGGCCAGGACGCACGGGCGCCGCAGCGATGGCACTCGACGTGATGTTGAACTTCCGCTTGAAATCGAGGACGTCCAGGTAGAACGACAGATTCTCCTCGCAGAAGTTGCTGCGCAAGAAGTCGCGGAACAGCGAGCGCAGCTGCGGCTCCTCGATGATGTACTTGAGACGGTCGGTGTTGCTCTCCTTCTGGTTGCCCTTCTTGTCCGCGTCGTAGCTCTGGTTCAGCTTCTCCGTCATGGAAATACGACGGTGGAGCTTCGCCTCGCTGCTGGCATTGGCTTCGGCCGCAACAGGATCGATGCCGTGGTCGTCCGACGAACGCGTGCCGGCGACGTTGGACGCAGAAGCGTTGGGCGATCCCCGCATACCGTCAGGTCCATCCCACCGAGCAAGGCGGCAGCCCTCTTCAGTCACCTTGTAAATTGCCTTTGCCGTGCAACGGAATTCACCAATCGCCTGAGAGAAGGCGGTTAGGATGAACGCAAAATCCATAGAAAAGGCAACTTACAGCCACAGAGGAGTTCCCGCCTCCCGCAGCGCCCCGAACTGTAAAGATGATCGCAGAGTCGTTGTTCTTCCTCTTGTCACTGACAAGCTGGATCAGGCCGAAACGCACAAACTGCGCTGCCATCTCCGCCGCTTCTTCACGGCCAATGACAGAAGTGAAGTCGCACAGCCATTCCAACGCCGTCACCGCCGCGAAGCAGCTCTTGTGCGGCACGTATGACTTCGATCCCATCGGTCGCTCGCTGACGTCCATCAACGCGATGCCCTTCGACCGCTCATGGTACTTCTGGAACACGTCCATCGCCTCGATGCTCTCGGGAGGGTAGTTGGGCTTGCGACCAACGAATCGACGGAACAATGCGGTGATGACGGAATGCGAGACGATGATCTCGTCGTCGACGGACCGTCGCTCGAGGTGAAGCAGCTTCATGCAGATAGGTTGGCTGGCGAAGACGGGAGCAAGATGGTCGCCGTTGATGCCGTTCTTGCTCATGAACCGCTCCAACACATGGAGACCCTTTGGTGTGAGCACGTAGACACCGCGATCCTTAAACAGGTTCGAGCCGGGGTCTGCTGCGTTTTCGATAAGGCGAGCGTCCATAAACTGTTGGCACATCGCCTTCGCCATTTCCCTCGTCATGGAGAACGTGGTCGTCGTCGTGGTCGTCACTATCCTAGACGGCTCGCGCGGATCCGGCCCACGATTTGACTGCGAGAACTTGAGCGACGCGAGATTCCTCGCTGCGTCATCACTGTGGGAGGTATATGAGTGACTTCGGTGCATATAGCCAGGCCACGGGGATCGACGCACGTAGTGAACGAATTGTGGAACGTCCTGAAGAACTGCTTGTTCGACGTGAGTTCTAGCGAGACGATGAGCGTCGCGAAAAGGTCCAGCGTGTCCTACAAAGAGAGATGAGATGTGAGCGGGACGCGACACGGTGTGGCCAGAGTCGCCCACCTTGAGGAACGGCCTGCCCCGCTTGGTCGTCTTCATCATGTGGGACGACCCCAACGGCTGCACTGTGTCTGCAGGCATGGTCACTGCGATTCAAGAAAAGAAAGAAAAAGGCGAGGAATACGAAGGAGGAGAGGAGGAGGAGGAGGAGGGCGCTGGGGACGAAGGGGATAAGAAGCCTGGGCAGGGGACTCGACAGAAGATTGGCCCGAGGCGACAACAGAAGACGAGGCGCGCCGTGGGAATTCTGTTGACAAGGCCCATTTGCTGCATTTTTGCCACGTGCAGCGGCTGCATTGGGACACCCGAAACAGGGGCGCATCACCTCATTTAGCCTTCTTCGGACATAGCTGTGCCTTTTCGGGCTGGTTGTCGCTTACGTGTGTTTCTACGCATTTTGCGGGTACCGGCCGCCGTTGCCATGCATTGTTCCACGCGGCAGGCGCGCTGCGTCGTCCTCGACCGCCAAACAGCCGCCGCACAACGTGGGGAGCCCGGCAGCGTCTCCCCCAGCGGCGGGAGCGCCAGCGCAGTGCCAGCGCCCGCGCCGCCCTGCCCCCGCGCAGGGTCGCGGTCGCGCCATCACTCGCCCCCGACCACGAGTTGCAACAGCGGCTGTGGCGGTCGGCGGCGCGGCTGCTCTCCGACGCTGCGCCAGACGACCTATCACCCGCGCACCCTGCCCCTGCCGGTACGTGCGTTGTCCGGCTGCCCTATCGATGGAATATCTGGCGACGGCCTCGCCGACCACGCCTTGTCCTCTTTCCGGCTAGTTCGGAACCGACTCCGAGCACGACGTGGCATTTCTCCGTGATATTCTGTGCGCAGAGACCTCTGCAATCCCTGAAACGTGTCGAGGGCGACACGCAGCTGTGTCGCAGACGCAGTCGTCGACACATACGCGAGGCCTCGTCCGTCTCCTTGCGACGGAGTACGTACGAGTTTTGTAACTCGTCTGCAAGGCGGGTTGGCGATCCCGGGCGTCTTGATCTGAGACAGCTGCCATTAGGCCGGTGACCATATGCCGCTGCGCTCCACTTTCCATCAAATCTGGCAAGTTTGTTGGATCGTAATCTCAAGTTCCGATACTGACGGACGGCGGGACCTAGACGATTCAGTAAGGTGCCCGTGACGACGGCTTCTAGTGCCCCGTGTTCAGGGCACATATCCAGCAAACGTCGACCTTCATCAACTGGCTCTACAGGCCTACATTTTGTGGGTCTTTGTGGCCCCGTCACAGCACAACCTGGCCCCGAGGTGAGAATTTGTTCGCCGTGCTCGGTAGTCGCGAAGATCTCGCCGTGTCGCAGACGCAGCGATGGCTGAAGCCATTCCCCCGCAACGACCTGCGGCGCGTTTACCCATAAGGATCTCCTCACTGCAAATTTCGCGTGCTGCGGCGAGTCTCACAAGCTCGAGCATGGTCGACCGACGCGTTCGGGGACAAGTCTCGCTCTGGACCGCGCATCGTCATGGTTTCCTCATAACAGGTATGTTGCCAACGCTGATTGCATATCCTCCGCCCTAGTGCCGTATCACTCATTCATGTCGCGTAATAGGATCATGGTAAGCACCGTACGTAGTGAAGCTGACGCCCACTGTCCGTCGCTGGTCTGTCCAGGTGTGTCCCCCTGTGGCGTTTGAATGGCGTCCAATCGCGTTTATGGTGGCTGACCTGTAACTAGAGCGTTCGTGAGCAGCCTAATCAAGCCACATATGTCAGTGGACTTGTTCAAAATCAAACTACGATGCTACCTCCTCCGACTTCGGCTCCGAAGGCCCCCACGGGACGCTCGCTGCCATTCATTTGCAGTAGGTGAGGATTTCGCAACTGAAAGCGCCCTCGTAACCTTACATACCCGGTGCAATAACATGCTCTGCAGCAGCCGGTATCCTCGCCCCAAGGAGGATCACCGGTGGCCATGCATGGTATGTACGGTCCAGATCCTCTCGTTGCACCGAATCGTTATTTTGGCTGTAACTTGACGACATAGGTGTTGACCAAGCGACGTGAATTCCAATAGCGACAGACTGGTCTCACACATGTCAAGTGTATGCCGGACCTCCATCATGCGCGATGGGGTTCGTCATTTGGTGAACAGACTCCGCAGCATTCCTGTGAGGCTCGCTAAAATTGATGACTCAGATGCAGGTGCGTTGTGGTCGACGGATGTCGTTAAGCAGGGGGTAACTGCCATTCGCAAGCCACATGCGGAGGTACCGCCGTATTAGCTTCCTAGCCCGTTATGTCATGGACTATTGAAGGATGGCATCCGGTTGCCTCGCCTCTATCACAGACCGGTAGCTCTGTCACCTGTGTTCGTCCGACGGCATCCATCTAACCGTCCAACCTTCTGTTCTGTCACTGTGTGCGGCCATTTTCGATTTCGTTGTACTGCACCGGTACAGTACGTAATACTGCACGGCTCACTACGACTTCTGCTCCGAACCTCTCTTCTCCGGAGACAGCTTCAACTTCGGGCCCTTTTATGGGGAACGTCAGGTTCTGCCAAGGTTCTGCCGTTCCAAGTTGACAGATACTGGTTCTGCCAACTTAAAGTTCCGCCGCTCAGGAGACCCTAGGGGCGACCATGTACAACCACGTATGGACGCCACCTAGCGAGCTTCGAGTGCCTGCTGCTTCTACACAAGGATTAATATTAATGCCATTGAGCGGCAGCTATCCAGGATCCTGCGCTTCGGTGCACCCGTCGGGCCCGGCCGATCGGCGCGAGATCGCTGCCAAATGCTTCCGGCGTGACGCGCTCTGCCGGATTCTGTCACGGTCACGATCTAACTCAGGCAGGTACAGCGCGATCGACACGAGCTCTCACGCTCAGTTCGAGGATGAACTTCACGAACATCAACGTGAGTCTGTCGTTTCTTGCTCGTCGCGCGTTTGCTTACGTCTTTCTAGGACCCTGCGGGTGTGAAGGCTCTCCTGGAGCAGCTGAGGGCATCGCAGGCATGGCAGGACGTCGTGCAAACACCGCCTGAGAATGTTCCCCAACCTGCGCCTGGGCCCAGCAGTGGCAGCACGTCTAGTGCGACCACGCAGTCGTCCTCGAGCACGTCTGATCAGGCAGTGCATTCATCCACTGCCGCGAACCTTGCCCATGACCCATCCGCATCCCTCGTCCACTCTCCTGGCTCAGACTTGCTCGCAGACTCATCGGGACATCCACTGGACGCACCATCGCCCTCGGTAGCGTCCCTGTTGTCGCAGCTGCAGAGCTCCTCCACGCCTCCTCCCCGACACGTGTTCACTCCGATCTCTTCAACCAGCTCCTCTCTCCCCCTCGCCCCGGCACCCCCGTTTCATTCATCAGCTACAGAAGCGAGCGCGGCACCGACCACCGGGCTGCCCGTGCCGCGGCTGTCCTCCGCGCGCAAAGACGATCTGCGTAACCTGACCTTCCAGCAGGCCCTCCCGCATCTCGCCCAGCTCGCTGAAGATCCTGGGTTCGTCGATGCGATCTCGACGGTGAGTCTATTTTGCGTGCCGCGCGGCTGTCGGACAAAGTGCTCAGCGACGCGGCCCGCCTTCCTGCCTTCCTGCCTACCAACTCCCCCACGTGATGCAGATGCGCAAGGACCAGGCCGACCTCGAGCGCCAGCTCTGGGATGAGCGCCGCGCGATCCTGAGCAAGCACGAAGAGAAAGTGAAGGTGGCGCGTATCAAGTGAGTCCCCCTTATCCGACGCTGCGCGTGTACATGTCCGCCTGACTCTCCCTCTTTCCTACGACCCCAGGGCGACTTTGGTTGGGGGGACTGGCCTCACGCAGTACGAAGCTGATGTGCGTTTGCCAAGCAACCCATGTGCCCGCTTGCGCGCCGCAGCGGATGGCTAACGACTGCGTCTGGTGCTTTTCCATGGAAAACAGGTGATGTCAGACGCCTTCCGTCAAGAGCTGAGAAAGTTCGATGCACAGCGCGTCCTTCCCGCGTGGGATGGGCTAGTCGCGAAGCAGCAAGCGAGGCTGGAAGCTCTGGGGGTTCCGGCCATGTTCCCTTCGACTGCAGCCGCGGACAGAGAGGTGAGCAAGATAGCCGCAATTGATTCGAATGGGCGCGGATGCTATCGTCGTATTTATGGCCCAGCGTCAGCAGAGGGTTGTACAAGTGCTCGCAGGTATTGTCGGCAACGAAGACTCATGACCGTTTGGTGAGATAACCGGTCTCCTATGCTCGCTCCTTCATGGGGCGCTGCCGTAAGTCAATGTGCCTGTAAATCCGAGAGACCATCGTTACCATCGGATTTGTACGGTGCCCGATGATATGCATCTCTTCTGTAGAGCGTGGGCGTCCTTCGTGTGCAAAGCAGGTGTAGGGATTTTGCAATGCGGGATGACCACGATCGGGTAAGGCCAGGGTAAGACTGCAGGGTGCATCTCGCTGTTCCGGTCTTGAGGGGAATCTAACAGCGCAGGGCCCCTTGTGGATACTGCGGGGTCAGTTCGTTTCCTCAAAGCCGAGTAAGGGTTTGAACGTTTGCCGGCGACAGCAGGCATGGGCGTGAAGAGGCGTGAAGCCACAGGGCAGCGCCGCCGTACCTGGATTAATATGCATGGAGAGCTTATGTACGTAACCTCGTGGTTAATGGTCCCGCGAGTGTGCTTCGATTCCTGATGGGCCTGTCTCCACTGAATGAACATTGCCCGGGTGCCTCCCACGACGATGTTCTGCAAGGTTCCAGGCTATCGGGACGGCTGACAGGATGCGGTGGCATGCATGCACTGCGTCGGGCGATCCGAAGTCGGGTCCTCCGAGTCGCCTCGAGTATAAGGAGAGACAGGTCTCAGTGGTTGTGTCGGTGTTGGGCTTCTTTCCTTATGGCGGCGTGCGATCATGATGGTGGTAATGAAAATTAATGATCTGAGAGAAACGGAGGCGGCTATGAAGGGCTAAGTGACGGGATCGCCAAAACGCTAATCGCGTGGCCAGCCGGCGCTCAAATTGATGGCGGGTTTTTTCTTTTGTCGTGGTGGCCTGGTTCAAGTTGCCGCGGAGGGCGCGTGCGCTGGCCCAGCATGTGTGATACGGTGCAAAGGCAGCGATGGGCCGCAGCGGGGACGGCGAGTGAGAGAACGCGGGGGCACGGTCACGTGGGCGCAGAGAGCGGGATAGGGGCTTCGCGTGGGTGAGAATGGCTACACCCCGCTAGCGAGATTGCGATCTGCCTAGAGTCGAATGACATGGCCCGCCGCCGCGCTTGTCCGCATCCGCCACCAGCGTCCCTCGTCCTAATCTCCTCCTCCCGTCCTTATGCCGTGAATCCTCCACACACCACACACTGTCGCTCATTTAACCCGCAACTATGCCCTACGTCGACCTCGTCTCCGGCGACGACTACGCCTCCATCTGGTACGACACCAACGCGCCCAATGGCAACGTCGGCGGCTTCGACCCCGCCAAACCCACCGTCGTCATGCTGCACCCGCTCTTCCTCGACTCGAGCTGGCTCTACCCCCAAATGGACGACCATCGTCTCAACTCGCAATTCAACGTCATCGTATTTGATACCCGCTCGACTGGCAGGTCAATCGCAAGGCCGACGGGCAAGTTCGACCTCTGGGTGACCGCTGCTGACCTCGCGCTCTGTTTCTACGTATGTTCCCGCCCGTGTCACGCTTGCTGTCCGGTGCTGAGGAAAGCACTAGCACCTCCGCCTACCAGCCGCACACATATTTGCTCCCGAACTCAACGCATACGCCGCCCTGCGTTTTGCCGTCCTGTCAGTTGCCCGGGCCATCATTCGGCTTGTGTGCGTAATTGACGCTTCAATTTACAGCTTCCCCGAACTCGTTCTGAGCCTCACGCTTTGTAACGTCCCCGCGCAGACTGAGTACGTACAATCACTGCATCCGAGTAACACGCGATCGGCTGAGCCCACAACAGAATTCGCTCAGTTTTCGAAGCGCTAGAGGAACTCTGCCAGCTATGGGCATTCTCAGAAGATTTGGAGTCCTTTGAGTATTCTTGCAAAGAGGTCTTGGATTTCTTTGCGCAGGATGCACATCCGGATTTACAGGACGACGTGAGTCTTCTCGCCTCATACGCAACGGCACGGTCATAATGACATCTTCTATTCAGCTTGTTGCGTATTGGGAAGTGCACTATCCGCCCTTCCGAAGAACATATGTCATAACCAACGTGAATCTGTTAATGAACGTGAGAGGACTCCCCGCCTTCTTACGTGGCGCACATTAACGAGCGACCCAGCGAACACCGCTAACTCCGGTAGAACTCGCGCGTATCACCTGTCCGGTCTTCATAATCCAGGTGCGCCTTCGCTTGCGATTCTGACAATGTGACGGAGGCTCATCGGCGCGTTCCAGGCGGAGAGCAGCCAGACACACCCCGTGGTGTACGCGGAGCAGATATCGCAGCACCTCGCCAACGTTCCCGGTGGCTCAGCATCCATCTTCCCGGTGAAGGGTAAGTTCGCCTGGCCGTATCCAATTGCGATCGCTCCTGACCCAGCCTGCGTGATCCTCGCCAGCTTCGCAAGGTTACCTCTCGCTGATGAGCGCGTCGATCGTGAACCAGGTCTTCATGAAGTTCCTCGTCCGTCAGCCGCCGGCACGCTCCGATCCGCTGCGCCTAGAAGGACCGTTAGTGGACCGCATGCGGACTGCGCTCTCCGCACTGGGCACGGTGCGCAATGACCCGTCGATAGCTGATCGGGACCCGCTCTCTCCCCTGTCCTTCTCGTGCGCGTCGGCGGAGATCGTACGGAGCCAGGAGGAAACGCGCACAACATACGAGAAGGGCCAGCGCACCGCGTTCTCGCCACTTGGGCTTGACGGACGGCCCCTGCGCAAGTACGTCTGCCACGCGATCCGCGCTCCGCTCCGAGCCTGACCGGTCATCTTTGTAGGTTCTCAGAAAGGAAAGATCATTGGCTGGATGGCGGTGCGGATGGGTTCTCCTACTCCAGTATGTGCCTTTCCTATCCCCTCTCCTTGTCCCACCACTTCCACTCCTTCCATTTGCGTCACCGTGTGCGTCTTCCTGGCTTCCCGCTGATTGACTTCACTATGTGTCCGTTTCCCAGGCGCGAACAACTTCCGGAAGAAGGCCACGAAGCAAAAGCCGCCGCGCCGGCGGGAGGAGCTCGAGCCGAGCATCGTCCTGCCGCCGTCCGAGCCCGTCTCGGAGGAGCTCCAGCAGGTCTCGCGCCTCCGCCGCGCGACGATCAACCCCAGCGCCGTCGACAAGCAGGTCATCAAGGGCACGATGGCAAAGGTCGTCTCCACCAGCCAGGGCGTCCCGAGCCTGCCCCGGCTGCTCAGATAGCGAGCCTGTCGCTCCTGCCTGTCATTACGTCGTGCTCGCATCCGCTGGCGTATGGTCTTCTCGTAGGGTAAGGTTGCTGTCGGCCGCCGCCATCCACATACGTATGTGTGCTCATGTGTATACCATCGCCGGGAATTCCCTGGACCAGCGAGTACTGTAGTTAGACTGCCTTCTCTGGCCTATCCGGGCGCCTGTCGGTGTTAGACTTTCACTACCTACATGCGCGCGATCCTCTTCTGCTTATGGTTATCGATTCACATTTTGGGAGCGGGTGTACGCTGGAGCGCAGGTCGGAAAAGTAACCTTGGTTGTAAGGGTATATAGTTGTTGTATAGGCTTTCGACTAATCGTGGCCCTCGGCGCACGCTTGTATCTAGCACACGTATGCACGTCGCACATCATCTACATAGCAGCATTATCCAACGTAGACCACCCATTTTTGCCGATTATTTATAGTAGCGGGACCCCAGATGTGAAGCGTTCGTTTCGTTCGAGCATGATCAGAATACGTATACACCCCTTAGATGCTGCCCTCGGCCATCTTCGCCTTGTAGTAGCGCACCATCTCCTCGACACCCATGCGCACCGTCCAGCGGGGCTGCCACTCTAGCACCTGCTTGGCGCGGGTGGTGTCCGCGCGGCGCTTCTGGGGGTCGTTGGTGGGGAGGGGCTTGTAGATAACCTGGACGCGGGGCGTGGGGAGTGTGCCGTCCTCCTTCTGCACCTTCTCGACGATCTCGCGCACGAGGAGCGCGAAGTCGCCGATCGTGAACTCGTCGGAGGAGCCGATGTTGACGGGGCGCGTCTCGTCCGAGTTCATGAGCGCGATCAGCCCGTCGACGAGGTCGTGGATGTACTGGAAGGACCGTGTCTGCGAGCCGTCGCCGTAGATGGTCATGTCTTCGCCGCGGAGGGCCTGCATGATGAAGTTCGACACGACACGGCCGTCGAAGGGGTTCACTGGGTGGATCTGTTAGTGTCAAGAGCACCTGATCGTGCTGAACAGGGACTTACTCCGTGGACCTGGAACGGAAATGCGTTGGATGAACTCAGCTTGGTCGCTCATTGATACACGTACCGTAGGTGTTGAAGATACGCGCTACGCGGACATCGACGCCATCCTGGCGGTGGTAGCCATATGTGAGCGTCTCCGCGACACGCTTACCCTCGTCATAACACGCGCGAGGACCGATGGGGTTCACATTGCCCCAGCTGTGGACACACAATCCTCAGTCAAGCTGCTTACGGCACGCAGCACGGCCAACACGCACTACTCTTCGTGTTGTGGGTGCACCTCAGGGTCGCCATACACCTCTGTACACAAAACGTCAGCGGCCATCTGCGATCGGCGCGGGTTTCCCATACCGGACGTGCTGGTAATCAGGAAGCGTGCCTTCGTGCGCTTGGCGAGGCCGAGCATGTTGAGCGTGCCCATGAAGGACGTCTTGACCGTCTTCACGGAGTTGAACTGGTAGTGCGGCGGGGACGCGGGGCACGCGAGGTGGTAGATTTCTAGGGCAGCTCGGTGTGAGAGATCGAGCACATCGAGGAACCAGGGGTACTCACGATCGCACTCTGTCATGTATGGCTCCACGACATCGTGGCGGACGAGCTCAAAGTTTGGGTGCCCTACCCAGTGGCCTACCGTGGTCTTCGAGCCGGTGAAGAAGTTGTCAAGGACAGTGACCTCATGGCCGAGCAGCATAAGGCGATCGACCAAGTGGGAGCCTACGAATCCAGCGCCACCGGTGACAAGGACGCGCTTACGCTTCTCAGGCGCGACGAGCTTGACCGGCGGGAAGCGGGTGAGGGTGCTGTAGGAGATGGACTGCGAGTCTGGGTAGTAGATCGCGTCGGACTCCAGCTCCTCCTTGGTCTTCTCTCCAGGCTTCGGGCTCGTGGCGTTCGCGCTGCGGACGTAGTGGGGCCGCAGGTAGATGGAACGCAGCACGTCGAGGGGGACCTCGCTGTCGAAGCCGAAACGCTCGAAGCCGACGGTGGTCATCGACTGTCCGTAGCGATCGACGGTCGTGAACTATGATTCACAGAGCACATTAGCATATCTCCAACAAGGTAGGTTCCCAGCCAAGTGCAATGAATGCGCGGATACTCCTAAATGGGCAGCATCCGCCTCTCGTTCCGGCATGTCCTCGCCGACCACCACCCCGCGCCAACACACAATGCACGCCGAAAGTGAAGACACGTACTTGCGAGGTGTTGGCAGCCATTGTCGCAGGGAGTGAGAGGGACCGCGGACAGAGGAAGACAGGAGGCGGTTGAGAGACGCGACAGCCAACGTGCAGCAATAAATGCAGTCGAGAGTCGAGACGGACGTTGGGCGGCGATCGCCGGGCCAATCAGCGCCGCCCCTCTGCGTCTTTTGCGGCGGCTCGCCAGGCCGAGTGTCCTTCTCGTCCTCCGCACTCGCTGCCTGCAGGCCATCCATCGCGGCTATCTGTCCAAATCGCATCGCAGGCCCGTCAGGAGGCCCAAAACGTGCACTAGCACCTACATAACCTCACACGCGGCGTAGAACACCCTTGGACTTAGCGCAATGCCGCGAGCAACAAAACCGACCGGGAAGTCAAGACATGACCCTCTGCACGTACAGATCGGCGAGGACGAAGTGTACGCCAAATATGGGCGGGTGTCTCATCCAGGCAAACGGTCGAAGGCGAAGGGGAGGACAGACGAGGATGGTGAGGATAGCGGAGAGGTAAGCTGCTCGTGCTTCTTCCCAGGCGATGTTACGACCCGTCTCGACTCACACAGCTGTAGGTGATCCTTGACCCCAAGACGTCTAAGAAGATCTTCGAGCTTGCGAGAGATCAACAAGAGGAGGTTGGCGCATGGGAAGACGATGAAGAAGAGGGGGAAGAACCAGAGCGAGCCAGCTTTACCGTTCCGCGGACACAAAACTTCAACGACGATGAAGAGGATGATGACTTAGAGCGGTATGACCAGGATGACTACGAGGAGGAAGTGGAAGAGATTGTAAGTCTCCGTCTGATATGTTTGCAGAGCACCGCTCACGATCAGCAGGAAGTAGATGAGGGCGACCTAAAGACACTTGACGCACTTCTGCCCGCGAACGCCGGCGAGCGCAGAACATTAGCAGACATAATATTTGCAAAACTGGATGATATGGAGTCTGGAAAGACAACCGTCATTCGGAAAGTTGAACAAGGTCCGTGTGCTTTCCCTTCTGTAGCCTGCCTCGCTAACTTTTATTCTCTAGATCCTAACCATGCACCAGACCCTGCCGCGGGGCTCAACCCAAAAGTCGTCGAACTATACACAAAGTACGTGCACTCCGTACTGTTTTCCTGTTCTCGTGTTGACCGATCCCACCAGAGTCGGCGTCGTACTCTCCCGATACAAATCAGGACCCCTTCCCAAACCCTTCAAAATCATTCCCTCCCTCCCCGCCTGGGCGCGCATGCTCGCGCTCACCAAGCCAGAAGAGTGGACGCCTCAGGCATGCCACGCCGCGACACGTATATTTGTCTCGCAGATGAAGCCTCCACAAGCGCGTGTGTTTCTTGAGGGCGTGCTCCTTGACGCCATCCGGGAAGACATCCGGCTGACGCGCGAGGGTGCGAGGAAGAACAAGAATCATCGGAAGTTGAACGTGCACTACTACGAGGCGATGCGGAGGGCACTGTACAAGCCTGCGGCGTTCTTCAAGGGCATCGTGTTCCCGTTGCTCAACGTAAGTCCAGCCTGCAATCATACTCCTTAAGCATCGTTGACCGCATCGCGGACAGTCTGGCTGCACGCTCCTCGAAGCCGCCATCGTCGCCTCCGTGCTCGCCAAGGTCAAGGTGCCGCTCATGCACTCCGCCGCGGCACTCATCCGGCTAGCGAACATGGACTACTCCGGGCCGAACTCGCTCTTCATCCGCGTGCTGCTCGACAAGAAGCACGCGCTGCCGTTCAAGGTCGTCGACGCGCTCGTCTTCCACTTCATCCGCCTCTCGAACACGTACAAGGCGCGCCGCGCGGGCGACGCGGAGAAGCTCCCCGTGCTGTGGCACCAGTCGCTGCTCGTGTTCTGTCAGAGGTGAGCAGGATACGATCGCCTCGGTGTTGTTCGTCGGCGCGGATACTGACTGCTTGCTCGCGACGGGTAGATACGCGTCGGACTTGACGCCTGACCAGAAGGACGCGCTGCTCGACGTCGCGCGCGCGAGCTCTCATCCACAGATCAGCCCCGAGATCCGCAGGGAACTCGTAAACTCGGTCGCGAGAGGCGAGGCGAGGCCGGATGCTGATGAGGACGTGATTATGAGTTGATGGTCCGTTTGGAAAACCATCTACAGACCGCCGTGTCTCGCACAGTGATCAGCGTGCTCGCCGTCTATGTCGGCTTCGTATACAGTGCCTGATGTCCTCGATCTCGTCTGTTGAGCCAGTGCTTGGAGTATGCGAATACAATTGTCAGACTCAAACACGACAGCGTATGGCGGGTCTTTCAGGATCTTCGGGAGGTTAACTTATGTTAGAGTGGATGACGACTGCATTCCCGGGTTCAAAACTTTGCGTCAGGCCTCGGAACCTTACCCCGAGCCCTGCAGACGGCGAGCAGACCAAAGATGACTTGATTTGTGCTTGGAGGCCTGTGGTAAGCCTCAGTATACAATTGGACCCAGCATCATCCTTGTCACATCTACGGTGTAAAGTTCCGCGCGGTTCGATCGAACACATCGTGAACACAACGATATCCTCTGCGTCGAGGTCCAAACATTCATCGACATCGATCGGGGTACCCCAGCTGAGCCCCTTGATTTTGGGCATTGTAGCTGGATCAGACACTGGTCAGCAGAGTGATACTTAGACTAGCCTCATATCCTCAGTGATATTCGGTACGGGCGAACTCCTTGGACGCGACCGACATAATCTCGTCGCAACCGACAGGTGACCATGTCGGCCTACGCGGCTCCACTAACTTATGAGAGAGCGGATTCTGAAGTCGAGCTTGGCATAGATACAGTCATGCTCCTCGGCGTCGTCGAAATCGATGATACACGGTTCGTGATCGCCGTTGACGGTTGTGCGAACCAGTATGTTCGATTGCTCGTAGTAGGCACCATGCTTGATGCCGATACGGTGGATGTTTTCATAGATGGTGAATAGGGACATCCTGCCAGTGGGTAATTCGTCAGATCAGGTAAGCCCCGGCTGCAAGAACCACTACAAGTGAAGCTGCGGAAATCCCAAACCTGAAATGAAGGGGCATATCCAAGAGTTTCCCGACCACGCGGGGCAGGGGGCCACCGCCAGCGGCATATTCCAGCAAAAGGCAAGCCTTCTCCAAACGTTGGTCAGGATTATCCACCTCGACATCCCCTGCCTCGACGAACAAACCGTAGCACTTCGGGATACCTTGGCCTTGAATCTTTTGGAGGCGTCTATCTGAGATATTACGTTCGTGGACAAGACGTCTTGTACTATCATCGCCGTATGCGATCTTGCAGACGGCAGGGCCACTCGGGACAATGATTCCTGTGTCGCCGAGAGTACGTTGTCGGCATTCGACTTTACAAACGGTCGTTCCGTCAGTCCGGTGAATCTCCTTTGGTTCGCTGCCTTCTATAAGCAGCTCGGTAAGGCGCTGACTTGTAGTGCTTTCAAGTCCGTCGAGAGTGAGACAAGAAAGCGTCTCATACGTGACTGCAGGTCGCTTCAACATTAGTGCTTCGTATTCCATGGAGGACGTTGTGAGCCGCTGAATTGACAATCCGGGGAGTTGGTATGTCGCAGGGATAAGGATGCAAGTCCTGCTGCGGGCTAGCTGGAATGTAGTGTATGTGGTGAACTTGAGGTCGACTTGTAAAGACATCCGGAGTTTTGACTCTTGAGGACACGTTGTGTACATGCGTAAGGAAGGGAGGCATGGCGAACCTGAGTTACCTGACCCACTTACATCGGTTTACTTACCAACGGCGATTAGTCGTATTCAGGCTAGAACCAGCACAATGCATATGCAGGGGCACACTGGAGAGACTCTTCATTCCCGTTAACACAGTGCCTACACAAGTAATCAGAGGCGGCGGATCCACAACTAAGGAGCAGTAGCGCTATATGCAGTCTCAACGAACGAGCCCGGGGGCGAAACGTACACGTAGCACAAAATCAGGCGACAGCAAATAGTCCTTCAGAGAGTAAATGAAACCGTGTCCATATCCAGTCCGAGCGTATCCAGAGGAGGGACAGAGAGCAGAACGAAGAACGGGGAACACAACAGAACAGGGCACGGCGCGCATCCAGCGTCACCTCCCCAGTCCGCCCGAGTCGGCGGGGGCAGTCAACGAGCTCACCTGCGCGCGGGCACGGAGCCGAACATGACGTTGTTGACGGCAGAGCCCGCCGTCGCGACGGCACCCGCAGCGGCGCCCCCAGCGACGGACGGCGCCGTCGCCTCCGCGCTCGCCTCGGAGAGGATCGACATAGCCTGGGACGAGTTGATCGTCGTCGTCACGGCGCCCGACGACCCCGCGCCGGCGGCGGTGCTGACCGCCATGTTCGTCGACATCGCCGCGGCGGAGCTAGCCACCATGTTCGTCGACATTGCCGCAGCGGAGCTAGCCGCCATCGTCGACATCGCCGCCGCGGAGCTGGCTGCCATCATCGTAGACGACGCTGCCGCGGAGCTGCCCATCATGGCCGACGAGGACGAGGACGAGCTGGCCGCCATCATCGTAGACGACGCAGCCGTGGAGCTGCCCATCATGGCCGACGACGAGGACGAGGACGAGGCGGAGTTGTTGTTGCCGGAGCCCTCGCACGATGCGCCGGTCTTGGAGAGGCCCGCGAGGATGTCGACCTCAACGTCGATGAAGATTATCGTGGGGCCGGCGAGGACGGAGCCCGAGTTGGCCGCGCGCGCGACGACGTCGTTCGGGAGCGTGTTCTCGTCGCAGGTGACGAACACCGCCGCGGGGCCGTTCAGCCCGTCGGGGATCTTGCACGAGTCGATCGCCATCGACATCGAGGTTGTTGCGCCGCCGACCATGATCTGGCAGAACAGTTGCTGGGTTGCGGGTAATGGGTCAGTCTCGCGGGTATAGGAGTGCGTGGGGGGACTTACCGAGCTCGCGGAGCAGGTGCTGTTCGCGCTGGAAGTGCTGTTGGAGCTGCTGCTCGTGCTGTTGTTGTTGTTCGAGCTGGAGCCCGAGTTCTTGTTCTGGTCCTTGGAGCTGCTGCCAGAGTTCATGCCCTTGGAGCTGCTGCCCGAATTCATGCCCTTGGAGCTGCTGCCAGAGTTCATGCCCTTGGAGGTGGCACCGGAGTTCATATCCTTGGAGGAGGCACCCGAGTTCATGCCCATGGAGGCGGCACCCGAGTTCATGCCCTTGCCCGAAGACATGGAGCCCTTGGACGAAGTGCCCGAGCTGGTCGCATTCCCGGCCGCGCCCATGCTGGTGCTGTTACCATTCGCACCAGTGCTGCCCGCGCCCATACTGTTGCCGCTCGCTTTGCCCTTGTCGTGTCGGGCGGCGATGTTGGCTTGGTTGCCTTTCAGAGCGGTCGACGTGAACGTGAGCGTCGTGCCGGCCACGATGGAGCCAGTGTTCGAGATGGCAAGCGCGGTGTTGGCTGAAGACGGGTCAGCGATGCCTGCTGCGCCAAAACAACCCAAATGACCGACCTGTGATGCCCGTGGAGCAGCCAGAGATGAAACCGCCCGCGATGGCCAGCACTTCGTTAGGCGTAAGCGGGATGTCGAATGCCTGGGGAATAGACGTCGCGTTGTTGACGAGGTTCAGGATCGTCTGGTGGCGCGCCTCGACAGTCAGGATCGTTGCAGCGGCCGTGAGGATCGTGGGGTCCTTGATAAGGTTGGCAGCACCGAGGTACGCGGCGACACCGACGTTCTCGACCGTGCGCGCGATGGGCGCCATAGTAGCGACGTCGGTCAGCGCGCTCGAGAAGTCGAACTGACAGCCCGAGACGGTGGCCGCGCCGAGGGACTTGAGGGCGTCCTGTGGCAGACGGGAGCTTAGAACAGAACGGGCAGGCTACAAGCGATAGACATACCCCAATAAACGACAGATGGGTGGCCTCATCTTTTCCGATCGCCGTGAATTGCTGGATAGGAACGTTGGGGTCCGTGAAGCCGGCGGTGGTGAAGTCGGACGCCTGGAACTTGGAGAGAGCCTGCGTGTAGAACTGGGTCTCGAGGTCTTCAAGGACACCAGCGAATTCTGCGCGCGAAAGCCACGAGTGAGCACGGTTGCTACGAGAGCGCGAGACCATCACAGTACGCACGGAGGACCGTTACGTCGGCGCTATTCGCCCTCTTGAGGAAGGTCGGTACGGCAGAGGCCAAAAGAGGGACTGCGAGGAAAAGGATGGACGAGGAAGGACGCATGTTGATGTTGCTGCCGCCGGATTAAATGAAAACCTGCTGGATACCCAGTGTGTTAAAGGAATGAAGGATGTCCAGGGGCGCGACCGGGCAACCCAGAAAGTGGCTGGAGGCCATGGCAGGGTCAGACGCAGCGACGAGGAGCACGACGGGGACGACCTACCTCAGCACTTGGGAAGAAAGGGAAGAAAGCGAAAGGAGGGGCGGGATGGCGATTGACGGGAGACGGCGCGCCTTATAATAGGGCGCACCGAGGGAGGGTCTCCGATGGCGGTAAGTATCCGGTCGCTCGCCTGTCGCCTGGGCTTCGATCGTACCCGGCGCCTGACCTTCGCCATGGCAACTCCAATCCCCAGGCGCCTCCGTGCACACAGAACGCCAAGGCCGTCCGCCCGGCGCCCCCGCGGGCCACCAAGCGGGATGCTTCTCGCATTCCTCGACAGCCGTAGACAAGCTCATCACCGACATGGCCGAGGAACCCTTTGGGAACCTGCTCCTCGCCCGCCAGTCGTGCCCGGGCTCGTGCTTCCGTCGTCTGCAACTGGCTGATGGAAAACCTGCCTAGTCCGCCCGTATGTTCTCACACAGACCTTCCGTGGAACAACGCAACGCCCCTATGATATCCGCCGCGCATACCCTTGACAATGGACAGGCACTGGATGGGATTCATTCAACATTGTATCACGACAGTTAGATACCGACGCGTCGAGATAGCGACCGCATCCCGCGATCTCAAGGAGCACCTCATAGAGCGTTCTCATAGCTCATGCGCGCGAACGCACGGTAGGCACACCCTCCGTTGTCCGGCTACTGTATGCTAGACCGTAACGGTATAGACGGCAAGCAACGACGTCGGACCGCATGCCGCCCCCCTCCGCCAGAGGTCTTTTTAGCCCGCTCAGGGGCGCTCTCATTCCTCATGGTCTGCAAGGTAGCGCGCTAGCACATGTCGAGCGAGATGATATTGTGGACATGACGGGTGAGGAGGGGTAGAAGGAGGAGTACACGCAACAGCGGCTCGACTTCCTCAACGGAAGCGGCGAGGGCACCAGCAAGGATACTTGGCAGACTATAAACCACCAAAGCGATGAAGGTTTACCGTGCTGCTCAGAAAACTAGATGGTGGGGGATTGTGTGCGCGATTGCCTTCGTCAAACCTGATGCAGCATCCAGGCTTGACACAGACGTACCACTCGTCAACTGGTGCAAGCTTCAGTATTACGAACAGCTCTTGGTGCTGAGCCGGCGATGTGGGCTCCCCCAAAGAGCGGCGTCGTAGCGTGTCAGAGTACGTGTGGACAAAGATTGCCGTCGCCAACTCGATTCTGGAAGAAACGCAAGACAAGCGGGGCCTGTGTTTGTCACGGCGAGCTTCAGCAGATACATGCGTACGTACGTAACATGCCAGAGTCATGGAGAGGTGTACAAGACGTCCTCTCGTAGCGGCGTGAACCAAGGAAATAGCCCGTCAGACTGCGTAGAAACAGACACACCTATTGTTCGACGGATACTCAGACTCCAGCTGCAGAGCGCGACGCGGCAGCGTATGAAGCACTGCGGAACTTCGGTCAGGACACTTGCATCAACAGTAATGCATGGATGCTGGGGTCATCACGACAAGACTGGAGGCTAGATATAAGATGAGAGAGGAAAGAGGTCGAACGGCGAGCGCAGAGCAGTGGATGCAAGCAGGAAAGTGGATGGCGGCGCGTCGCGGCTCGCCGTACCGGTTCGTTAGACGCCGGAAAGCTCCCATCACGTGGTTCACCGACTCTGCAAGCGTCTAAACTGTGGCGAAAAAGTTTCGAGCAAGTCGGTCTGCAGCAAAGGTACAGTACACGGTACCGTACCGCACCGTCCGATCGCCTCGCCTATCCTTGAGAGGTCCTCTCGCTCGCCGCCCACCATGCTGGTTCTATACGAGACGGCGCTCGGCTATTGTATCTTCAAGCTCACAGACTCGGCAAAAGTCCAGAGCGCAAACCTCTGGGAGGAGTTCGAGACACCAGAGCGGGCGAACAAGCTGTGAGTCCTCGAAGCGTTCAGTCGGGTTGGGTTCTCGCTGACGGGGATCACTCGTGTTCGTGATCTATGCGGTGCTGGAATGAAGTCTGAAGCTCAAGTCCCTCCACCGCTTCACGTCCACCGCGACAGCCGTCGAGGACATCACCGCTCTCCAGGAGGGCAAGCTCGGGAAGGGCCTGAAGAAATTTCTGTCGGACGAGATTGTCGGCAAGGGCAAGGCAAAGGAGACACTGGCCGTGTTTGACCCGAAGCTCGGTGCGTGCAGCACGCTTGGTCTCTCGCAAGGCCGCATATACTTATACGAGCTTTGCTGCAGGTCACTCGATCAGCAAAAAGCTTGGGATCAATGTCGTCGCGAATGAGTCGATGGACTTGTTCCGTGGTATTAGGAGTCAGCTGGCTTCGCTCCTGGACGGGTTGGACCCGAAGGACCTTGCGACTATGAGCTTGGGTCTCAGTCATTCATTATCACGGTGCGCTTCTACTTGTGTTCGCCCGGTATATGCCTTTAATGCTTTCTCAGCTTCAAGCTCAAGTTCTCGCCAGACAAGGTTGACACTATGGTGGTCCAAGCCATAGCGCTGCTGGACGACTTGGATAAGGAAATCAACATTTATTCCATGCGTGTCAAGGTAATGTTTCTGTCCATGCGCACACACAGTCTTGTCGTACTGACGTCACGAAAGGAATGGCACGGCTGGCACTTCCCCGAACTCGCCAAAATCATTGTCGACAACCTCGCATACGCCAAGGTCGTCAAAGCGATGGGTTCGTGCACATACCTCCTGCAGTCCTCTTCGTACTCACACGCGCGTCCACAGGCTTCCGGACCAACGCCGCGACGACGGACTTCTCCGCCATCCTCCCCGAGGACCTCGAGGCGACAGTCAAGGCCGCCGCCGAAATCTCCATGGGCACCGAGATCTCCGACTCGGACATCGCGCACATCCACTCGCTCTGCGACCAGGTCATCGCGATCACCGCGTACCGCACGCAGCTCGCGGAGTACCTCCGCAACCGCATGAACGCGATCGCGCCCAACCTGACCGCGCTCGTCGGTGAGCTCGTCGGCGCGCGCCTCATCAGCCACGCCGGCAGCCTGCTGAACCTCGCGAAGCACCCTGCGAGTACGGTGCAGATCTTGGGCGCGGAGAAGGCGCTGTTCAGGGCGCTGAAGACGAAGCACGACACGCCGAAATACGGGCTCATCTACCATGTATGTGCAGTTGCCATCGTTTGTCGCCTCGCACTGACATGAGTTCTTGCAGGCATCTCTCATCGGTCAAGCACCACCAAAACTCAAGGGCAAGGTACGTTGCCAGCCGTGACGTAACCCGCGTATGCTCACGCACGCTCTACAGATGGCCCGCATGGTCGCCACGAAAGCTGCCCTCTCCATCCGTGTCGACGCGCTCTCCGACGTAGACAGCAAGTCCGAGCCGCAGGCACCGTCAATAGGCATCGAGAACCGCGCGAAGCTCGAGGCGCGGCTGCGCGCGCTCGAGGGCCAGGGCGACGCCGCGGCGGTGCGCTCCGCGTTCTCGGGGCGCACGCAGCAGAAGTTCCAGATGGGCGGCGAGGCGAAGACGTACAACGACCAGGCGGACTTCGTGTCGACGCAGCGCGAGCCCGTCGAGAGCGCGGTGCAGGCTGCGCTCGACGTGAAGGAGGAGAAGAGGCGCGCCAAGGAGGAGAGGCGCGCGAAGAGGCGCGCGGAGAAGGAGGTGAAGTCGGATGGCGAGAATGGGGTGGCTGAGGATGATGCGATGGACGTGGATGGGGAGGAGAGTAAGAAGGAGAAGAAGCGGAAGCGGAGAGAGAGCGAGGCGGCGGAGGTGGTGGAGAAGTCGAAGGTGTGTACCTCTGGGATGCCACCTGCGGTTCGCGCACTGACTGTAATCGTTCAGGATCTGGACGCTGAGACAGAAGCGGAGCGGAAGGCGAGGAAGAAGGCACGCAAGGCGGAGAAGGCGGCAGCAGCAGCAGCCGGTGAGGCAGATGGCGCAGAGTCCACAAAAAAGAAGCGAAGAAAGTCGGAGGCATAGTGTTTTTCTACTCCTCGCTTTCTGGTTGTATACGTCGTTCGCATTATCTTGTCGTAATATTCGCATTTCACATTGTTCACGCCGTGCATTGCACTCGGGTAACTTCGCCGTCTGTCATAAAGCACAGTTGAGCGCGTTGGGAACGTGCCCGTACGCGGTACCGACTCTGACTCTAACATGTTCCTCGTGTAAGAAGGTCTGCATACGTGGTCGACGACTCCACCCTTGCTTTATTAGTTCGAGATATGGAAGTAGTGGACCGTATGTATGCCAGTCAACGCAAGGTTCTGGTTGTTCGACAGGACCAGCGCAACCCGATTCATTCCGGTAGGGACAGGCTCGCGATGCTTTGGACCCTTTCATCCCTCCTGTTACTATGCGGCCAACCGTTCAGACAATTGTGGAAACCACTGCTTTCCTCCCTCACGGTGAGAATGCTCGAAATCTAGTGAGTACGTCTACGCGGATGACAACACGCTGTATGCGGTACATTCAACATTCCACCTATCAAGCTAACGTGAGCAAGAGCTCCAGCATGCGCTGTGGCTCGTCCCAGTGCGGCTGAAGAGCGATGCATTTAGAGAGGTCCCTTGCAATGCCAGGCAAAATAGCATGCACACTCACAAAGTGATTTGCGCCTTCAAAGCGCACAATATCGATCTTCCTAGCTCCCCGCGGCCAATTCTCCTTTACCTGCTGCGAGAAATGCCACGCGGCGAACACCGTCTCCGAGACGGACATGTCGCACCAAATCAGGGGGACGCGGAGGCCTGGCCATACGGACGAGTCCCACAGAGCGTCGTGCATGACGTCCCGATAGACCGACCTGTCGACGGCCATTATATAAAGCAGGTGAGAGCGGGCGGTAACCGTCGGATCGACGACATCGGCGTACTGCTCGGACGAGAGACGGTCCACGGTTGCGACGTGCTCCGGAGGCGGGTTATCGATCGGCTGTTGGACGAGACTTGCTTTGAGCTCGTCATACGTGAGGGAGTGGAGCGCCGCGTCCTTGGGGAGAGCGTGGGCGTAGTACTCGGAGACCCAGCGCTCGAAGGTGCGACCTTGCTGTTCGACGGGAATCTGCGCGTCCCGGAACGGATGCATGATGAACTCGGCCAAGTCGGTAGGTAAGCCCAAGGCATGACCGCTGCTGTCTATGGTATATAGCTAGTGATGAGTGGAACCGACTGCCAGTCTGGTGAACCAGACGAATGGCATGACTTACCAGAGGAACAAGGTCCGCAGATAGCTACCCAATATTTCCTGATCGCGCTGCGGAAGCTTCGCAGCTTGCGCTAGGAATGCCATCGTTATCGTATTGCCCCAGGACCACGCAAGCAAGGCCAGCTCGCCGGTACGGGAGCTGTTGCCAGTCTGGCCATTCGCGGTTTGCGGTATTTTCTCCTTCCCGATAAACCACAGAAGGAATTTAGCGACCTCCTTGCCACGCTCATCGAGCATAGCCTTCTGTTCCTCCCGGTTGCCGCTGCGCAAGGCCGCAAGCTCGGACGCAGAGTACGGGGTCGAACCGGGGTAGTCGCGGACGTTGACCAGGACAAGACGCACATTACGTGCGGCGGCATAGGGTATTATGGGCCTGTAGATGGCTGGAGTTTACCGCAGATTTAGCTTCCTTCAGTTCCCCGCGCTTCATAGCTTCTGGACTCACCGCTGTGGAAGACGCCGCCATGTATGAGGACCAAAGTCGTGTAAGTGGCGCATCGGGATGGAGCGCCTGTGTCCTCATAATAGAACTGCGTACCCTTGTCGTCTACGGGTGCGAGAGGCATGTCGTACTGCTCAGTGATCGTTATCAAGGTCCTTGCGAAGGCAAGAGCACTGATGCTGAATGGCTAGGACTTTATACCTCTGCAGCAAGGCATCGCCGGGTACCTCGCAGTACCTCCGCGCGTGTGAGCTGGAGGACCACTGGAAACGTATCGATGGCAGCTGAGCGGAAGTTGTTTTTGTTCAGAAGACAGCACGGCACAGCGGCAGTACTGTTACAGTCAATGCTTCTCGAGTCAGTATGCAAGGGTCCACTTAGTCTTCCGCAACGTAGTTGTTTACAAATGACGTTCTTGTCAGCTTATCTTATGCCTTTGTAAGGCTGAGAAGCTTCTTTCAGTCGGCTTCAGCGCAAAACGCATTGAGGTCCACAGGCTGAGGCATAACGGCGTACCACAACTTCCATCACAGTCCACGAGCATGACATAAACGAGCTGTCAGATCATGAATGTCCGTTCCGTTGGGTTCGGGCGGTGTTGTGTGATGTTGATCGACGTTGATATCGGGTGGGTTCAATCTGGGTTCCATGAATGTTGTCGCAGAATTTTCGCAGGACCACTCACTGACGGCTTCGAACAGCTTCGAACAACCAAATAACTAAGCGCTGAAAGCTCTTCGAAGCTGCTGTCATAAGCCCCAGGTAAGCTGTGACCGGGACCTTCGCATGTCATGAAGACCTTGTGCAGAGCCGACGGGGACGGTTGTGGGGCAGAACTGCAACGTAAGCTCAGTGACTCGATGTTCTCAGCCTACTCGAGGGGGGAGGGGACTAGCAAGGCCGCAGCGGTGTTTCGGCATTCCCGAGCATATATTCGATAGCGACACTGCAACAAGGTGTTGAGCACCGAAGGCTACATCGCTGTGACTTTCCGGAGAGCAGTCGTCGTGTCGTGACGGAGTAAGCGTTGCAACCAACGTTGAACGTGTGCGTGAGCGTTGACAACGTTGACAGTTTGAACTTGGACGCAGCATGCTGCATAAGTGCTGCATACCGGGCTATCCCGGGCCTGCCAGGCGGATCCAGATCGGATCGAGTCGTCGATCGCAAGTCTTGCCACCGTAAGCTGTCTGCCTTCTGTCATTCCTACCACTCGAGCCAAGTCGTCGTCTGGTGAACTCTTCCAAAAGGTCGAAACACGGAGCCACCCCTCTGTAATGTCCGATGCAAAAGAACAACCATCTCAGCCTCCAGCTCTGAACGAACAGCCGTTGTTCAACACACTCCTCGCGCCAGGGTCGTCCCTACATCCAACGTTGCTATTGCTTCTAGATGCAGCCTTCGTCGCTCTGTTCCTCGTTTTCCTCTCCCTGGCGATTCTGACACGAGGGAATGTACACCTTCTCGTGCTAATGGTCATAGAAGTCGCGCTGTGGGGCAGTGTCAAGTGGTGAGTCTCTCCGACCCGTCATACACCAGCATCAGGGCGAGGAGTCTAATGAGAGGTCAATCGAGGTTCGTGTACGAGCTGCAGAAGGCTCAACCAGTGGAAAAGGGGGACGCTGCGCCGTCTGTGGAATTGAGCGAAACAGCTCCGAAACCCAAGCAAGAATAAAAATACTCCGTCTGCAGATTTCGCCAAAGCCGCGTAGCAGTAACTAATTTTACAAGTTTGGAACACTACCCATATACCCAGGATACGTCCTACACAAGGTACAACAACAAAATCACGACCGTCTAGCCTTCTCACTCGTCTCGTACCAGCGCTTTGTTCTTCGAGCGTTTTCCTGCGCGAGCATGAACACTGCTCGAACATCAGCGTCCGACGTATTTTATGCGAGCGATGTGTCGTAACTCACGGTCTCGCTCTGTCCCATCGAGGCCTTCTCGGAACGCCATCGTCGCTTCGTCACTGCCAATGGCCCCGCCGCCGGATCCGGACGCTGCTGCGAAGTGATGGGCCTGGTCTATGACCTCCGGGAGACGGGAACGGAATGTCTGTAGGTGGCGGCGGATTGTATCAAGGAGTGGGTGGGTCAGGGGACAATTTGTGGTATAGGGCGGATGAGGGGTGATTCTGTGTACGCACCTTGGTCAGAACGTCGGAGACCTCTTGTGCGGGGATGTCGTTCAGTCTATCAAACATGTCAATGATGCTCCTAAGTGATGACGGAGTGCGGAGGCGTACAGTCGCATTATCATCCGTCCGAACCCGTACCACAGCCCACCTTGACCAACTAAGCCCGAGAGTCTGACGCTACGAGCCTCTGCGTTCAACGCGTTGCGTACGCGTGCGGAGAAGGGTAGCGGTATCGTAAAGTCAGCATAGTCGCTGATTGGATCGAAAGTCAGCTGCTGAGCTGGGGATGTGGGACGTAACCAGACATGACTAACGAATAGATGAGGATGTACGCCATCCACATGGGGATCTGTATCTTGCTCAAGGCCTTGATCTGCGGGAGCCGTCACCATATCGTAAATCATTCACTCTTGGACGGGCTATACAAGACGTATATAACACGTACATCGCGTTCGTTCCCTCCGTCCAAGTGACCCATGTCAGGGATGTCGATTTTGAACTGGCATTGGATCTTCTGGTTCTCCGCGAGGATGGACTCGACCGAGTAGTAATCGTCTTCCATCGTGTCGTATGAAGAGCAGATGGGTAAGATATAGAATCAACCTCAGTACAATATGAGCAAGGCAGACGTGACGCGTCAGGACGCGCCGCAGACGCGTCGAACGCGACGACACGCGCGTCACGCGTCTTTCTCACGCCCGCGGCTGCTCCTCGAGGCTCGCGCGGCCCAACGGCAATGACGATCTCGGTGGCTGCGGCCTCGCATCTCCCTTCTACCGTCCCCACCATGTTCGCCTGCTCACTACACCGCATCGCCCTCACTCGAATAACCGTAGCGCGTACCCTGCACCTGAGTGCAAGCGCAGCCCACTTCCCGCGCCTCGCGAGCCACCCACACCGACTCGGACACCGGCAACACGCCGAGTTCTCCACGACGCCGAGGCGAGATGCGGCGGAGGACGAGTCGGTGAATGTCATGCTCGAGACACAGCGGAAGTTCGACCGGATATTCAAGGAGAAGCCGGAGCTGAAGCAACATATGATGGATTTATACCAGGTGTTGAAAGATGAGGGTGCGTTGAGGCTTGCGGCGCGTGGTTACTGTCTACTGACCCATGGCTCTAGGGGTTGACTTTAACGGTGGTCAGGCACCAAGTAAGATGCAAATGCTCGGACTGGTGTTCAAGCCGAAGGTCAGGGACGCCCTCATGAAAGTCTCCGCTTCTTTCCACGAGATGGGGATTAACCCCCAGGTACGCGTGTAGCCCTTTGTTTTGTGGTCGTCTAACTGTCTGATCTGTGTAGGAGATGCAAGATGATCTAATAAAGATAGCGAAGTACTGGAAACCCGATTCGAAATGAAGGACTGTTGTCGCTGTGTGGTACACGTTGTTCTTTGCATTCCTGAGAATGCATGGCCTTGATGATATCCGTGTGCCCATTACGGGTGCATGCAGGTCATATTTCGTGCTAGCCGGCAACGTCAAGACCACTTCACAAGGTACGTGAGGCTTGTTAACGGGACGAGGTGGTGACATGGGGTCCTGTGCACCTTAGTCGATGGTGTTGTGCTAAAACAACAAGTTCAACCAGCTTTTGGCCGAAGGGCGCATAAGAGCATCATTCATACGAACCGGAGGAAGCGTAGCAGGCCAACTCTATGACATGACGCCCTCGCAAGTCAGTCACTCTGATGCCTCTCAAGTCTGTGTGGCTTCTTTATAGGACTTGGCCGACGGCGACGATACGACTTTCGCACTAGAAATTCATAACTGCCCCGAGATCCCAGGCGTCGTGCGAGGCTCGCCCTCCCGTGGAATACTACTGGCAGTCGCGCTAGGTATGGTTAAAAGAACACGGTTACATGCTGCGTCCACGCTATAGATTGGATCGGAAATTGTCATGGGCCGGCACTGACAAACTATATTTCAGGTGCGAAGACAGGCTTCTAGCACCAGGGGTATATTCTTTACCTTCGCGACGTCTATATGAGGCCCCGAGCAAGTATAAAGCGCGGTCATGTGTTGGATGCAACTCGTATTTAAGACGGCAGGCTAGCCGCCCTGAAGACATTCTCGCAGAAGGATCACGCAGAGGAAGCCACGATAGGCCGGTTCCTGAATACGAAGATATTCAGTTAGTAAGTAGGGGGTTCAATGCTGCGGATGCGTTTCGGTCCCTCCGAGCAGTCGGCGAAGCTGTGGAATCTCTTCAAAGTATGTCTTGTTTCCCTTGTAACGCCACAAGAATTTTGATGTCCCATCGCCGTGAAGGTCCTGCAGTTCATGCGTAGACATGATGTTGCCCATCGGTAAGCTGCATATTCGCTCAATGCTTGGGTAATAAGCGTCTTCGCCTAGGGATGGACCCCGCGCGATGTTTCCGGAGATATTCCACCTCGCTTCACCGATGTCTTATTGCGACTATAGTGCAAGTTGTAAGCATAGGCCGCAAGGTGAAGACATATTGAATGTGCTCGGCCACGAAAACTCTGAACAACCCAAGGGCAGTGTACGTAACGCGGTAGGTCACATAGCAGCCATTCCACATTGCTATGAAGCTTGTTTGAAGTGCACTGACATGCTTACCGTCTCGCTCTCGACCTGGATCTGAACTGCGCTCTAGAAATACGTCAATTTTGCATTCATGAAGTCGTTGGTGGACGACATGATCTGTGTGAACCCACAGAGCGACCGACGATGGACGAGGTCATGCAACACTTTGACACGATTCGTAAGATTCTAGAAGCTGCACTGGCGGAAGTTGCGCGCGCGGTTGGTGCGTCGTGAGGAGTGGTTCATCGTCCGGTTTGTGTGGGATATTGGGCACGTCGTTCGTACTGCCCACTATACCAACCCCTGTTTCGACATGACTGCCATACATACTTATGTTACATCGTTCTTCTTGTGATACCAACTTCCGCATCATTCATCATCCCAGTCGTCATTAATTCATTCCTCGCTTCCTGCATTACTAAGATCTCTGTTATTGTTATGCTGTCCTAGTTAAACACTCGCTGCCAGATGTCTTTGGTCGATGGCCGGCCGATTGATTGAAGTTGTACATAGTTAAGCGCGCGCATTCCCGCCTCGGACACGTACCAATATGAACCCACCTGGACCCATTGCCGGGCCGTCCACTTTGCAGGCACCCCTAGACGATATAGCTCCGGAACGGCCTCTACCGTCCGCGCACTTCTACTCTGTCGAATACCCTGGCTATGTCAAGCCTACATCCATTCCTCTCGCCGTTGAGCGTCTTGGTGGTCAGTCGAGAGTCGAGAACGCGTTCAAACGCGCGTCGTCCAAGACGGAGTCGCTGCTCGAGCTGTCTCTGCGCCCTGGGAATCCATTCGCGCATCCTGTGCATGGAGATGTCGTGTCGACGAGCAATATCTTGTTGAAGGTCGTGAAGCGGAAGCGGAAGCGCGGGGCGGATGGAGCGGCAGCTACAGACGGGACCGTTGGAGACTATACGGTGGAGGCTCTTGGGATGATACCGAAGACGGCACGGTTTCGCAGTATGTTGACAATGAACTATGTTTTGTGCTCGCAACGATGTTTAACTGCGTCTCTCGAAGGCATGGTAGACTACCAGTATCAGCCAGACATGGACGATCCTATTGCCAAACTTCGTTCAGCCATGGACACCATGGACGGTCAGTTTGTCTTTATCATCTTGTTCATCACGCCTTCATGAGCTTGTAGTGGATGGTATCCTTCGCTACCGCATACCTGAGGAGAAGGAGGACTACTATGTGCCCGAAGACCCGGCTGCAATGGACATAGACCCACAGCTCCTCGGCGCAGACGAACCTGCGGGGCCCAAGATGAACAGCAACCTAAGGCTCTTCACTCCCCCTCTGTTCAGTCGCCAAGCGATTCCACAAAATTACAAGTAAGTAGTGTCTGGCATTTGTCCCACACCTCGCGTTGACTGTATGCGCGTCAGCTACAAGTCGAATCCTGCATCCGTCGTCACAACTGTCGTTGATGAAGAGACCGGCGAAGAGAAGAAACGTCTGATCAACAGGATGCGGTGGAAGGGATACGGGCCCATTTCTATCTCATTCTCCGACGCTGGAGTATGTTGCTACTGTTCCACCATCGTGTATTGGACTTGACCTAACTGTGCTTTAGGTTCCCGACAAGCCGTCTGCAGCGGTTGACGAGCAACGTGCCAACGCTGACCAGAAGATTCTGAAGCGTCTACAAGAGGTAAGGCTGCCCATCGTAGATGCACCAATGAACACTCAGACCGATCAACTTTCAGCTCTTCCAGGAGCGACCAATATGGACACGCGCTGCGATCTTCAACCAGTTCATGCCCTTCGAAGTGCGGGAGATCCTCAAGTCAGTGCAACCTTATCCTACGCGAAGTTCGCTCCTGACCATAAATTCATAGCTCGAAGGTTATTCTCCCACTGGTCTCGTATGTCTTCCAGGACGGTCCCTGGAGAGATACGCAGATTCGGCTTGGTTACGACCCACGACAAGATAAAGAGGCTCGCTTGTGAGTCGCATCATCTTACAGAATTTTGTAGCTCAGCTGACCTATCATCCTTGCAGCTATCAACGTCTCTACTTCCGTAACAGTAACCATCCCATCGTCCGGCCTTCCGTTGTCAGCAAACGCCAAGAGGGTAGAACCGAGCTCGCTCAAAACCGAACGGAGGCTGTTAATCAAGATGACAGACGGTAGGTTGTCTGCAACTCGATCATTCGTGACACCCACCATAACGCGATGTACGTAGGTCGCATGTATTCGATGGCGTCACTGTCACGAAGGAGACGGCTGCCTTCCAGCTATGCGACATTATCGACCCGATGCTCAAGGAGATGATTGAAGATGAAGAGGATCTCCGCGACGTGTGCAATGTCTGTGTTTCTCGTTGCCATAGGTCGAACCTTATATTGACGCACTTCGCTATGCAGGAACGCGATGGTTGGTATTCGACGCACGCCTTTGAGCGAATCAAGACCGTTCTCCGCCACAAGTTTTTCTCACTGCTTGGTGGGCACATCGCGACCCGTGAGGAATGCGAAGTGCTCCTTGTCCCGCAGGAGGGAACGAACAAACTTCCTCCACGCCCCACGCAACGGCTCAGGTTCGGGAAGCACAATATGGCAAAGGGCGCGCTGCCGCCTGAGGACGCCGCGGCGCATCGACTCATGGCAACATTGCAACAAAAGGCGAAGGATGGACGGTTCCACGAGCAGAGCTGATACTGTATCCTGTTACATTATTAGTGCTGTATCGTTATCCCACTTGTCCACGCAATCATATATCTTGTAGCCGTAGTAGAGTTCGCTTCACACCATACGACTGCGTGTTTTTAGGCTTTTGTTTTCTGCGTGCGTGGAGGTGCCTAAGCATACTGCAGTGCATACACATGGTGGCTGAGACGATAGCGGGAGCGATAGGATACATAGTGACGCGCAATGCCCAAGAGTGGGTGGTTCCCTCCCTCAACATATGACGCTCTCGACGGCCTCTCGAGAGAAGAGAACCAATGATCGACGGGGAGGTCATGCCTCTACTTCCGAACGCGCTTTTCGCTGTAAGGAAAGAAACTTGTCAGGGCCAGCTAAACGGAGAGGTGTGATGTAACGCACTGAACCGACCAACGCATACTTCGCGTTACGGCGGAACTGGAGGGATAGGTGTTTGTTCATCTGTCAAGACGCGAATCATCATAGTGGCTTCAGCGTACCTTAGGGTCAACCTGGAAAACTACATATCAGTATCTGAGCTACTCGATACCCGACTGAGCACGTACACCCTTCATCGACCTCGTCCGGTGGCTCGTGGGGTTCTTGATACCATTGCGATGAGCCTTACGGCTCTGGTTGTGGTTGGTATGGCTGTCACGGATCGCACAATCAGCATTTGCGAAGAGTACTAGCTCGTTGACTACGTACTTCTTGGACTTGGCCATGGCGTCGAGAGCGTGTCTTGAGGATGGACTACTGGCGCTTAACTTCCGTGGCTACACAGTAGCCTGGGAAAGCGCGCGTGAAGGGTGGCTGAGGAACTGTGCAGGTTCTCGGCTTTCCCCGTGGCTGTTCTCATTGGCCATTCGAACCTCACTGGCATTGAGTCTGGGCTTCCAGTGCGATTAAGATGTGGACATAGGCAGCCATTGAACATATGGGTCTACAGTCGTAACAGCATTGAAATGGTGCGATACAAGCGGGTACAGTAGCGATGTATCTCAACGTCAAGACGATACAGCATGCAATGGCGGAACGGGGTCAACGGGCAACCCTCTGACCTCGGACATAGCAAGCAGTGCGAATGCTTTTTTCTGAATCCGAATCTCAGCACAAATCGCGTATGATATACCACTCGCTACGACGTACCAACCTGGCGCGGAATTTCCACCAGTGCTGCTTCTTGCGAATGGCCTCGAAGCGTTCCACGACCTCTTCCATCCGAGTCGTCGTTCGCCTCGCAGGATGCTCATGAACCATGCCATCTACGAGCGACGTCACAAAGCCAAAGTTCGAATAATTATGGGACGCAGATTACGGTCAGAGTCACGACAGCGACGCTCCGGGAGCGGTACCAACCTGTAGGAAGTACTCTCTTTTGGGTCTCCGACAGTAGACGTCCGTCGAGAATGGACCGCCGCAGGGCGGCACTATATACAATGTTCCCCGATGCTCAGGAACACCCGTCACCGCCCTTGATAGGGTATTCGAGGGCAGGCCCACCAGCTTCCTGGTCATACCTCCGTGACCAACCGAAGTCTGTCTCGAAGTACCTCGTTGGTCGTTCAGTCCGCGTGTAGCACTTTGCGGGTCTGGCTTGGTCGCGATCGTATGTGGGAAAGAAGAAATGGGACATGTCAGGAAATATTGGCACGGGATCCACCATCATATTGAGCATCATGGCATCACTGAGCAACGGCTATCAGCCACTGCACTGCTGAGGCCAGCGAGGAGACAGCCCACTTGCCGGTGTGCGATATTATGCCTGTGCATGAACCGTAAGCCCTTCGTGATACTCAGTATCAGGTTGCGGTGGCTAGGAGACAAAGACCTACCTCCAATGCTTGCCTGCCGGAAGAACTTTACGGCTTCGCCGACTGTATCGAAGGGAGGCTCGATGCACCGTGGTGACAGTCACAGCATCGGCATGACCAGCAGCAGGACAATCGCCGTTCTGAGGATCACGTACTACTACCACAAGTTCGAGGATAGGAACACAACAGTGGTTATACGGCCGAACACCAGAGGTTTGGAGGACAGGTAGTTTTCCGATCTCGGCTTCATACGGGACACTTTCTGCGGTACTTATTTTCTTGATGACCACACATTTTCCATCTGAGATGCGAATGTCATCCATCGCCTGGTCTCGCTACAAATCAAATCCCTTCAATACTAGATGAAACTCAAGCGGCAAAGCGGCACTTACTCTGGCACCTGGGTCTTCGCACTCGTACCACTGCTTGACGCCGCTTATCCATGGCGGCTTCCAGTCTGGAGCATACTGCGGGTGTAGTAACATATAGTCACACTCCTTCAACCATGTCTGGTGGTCGCACTAGTAGCGTTCAGCCGATGTCAGTCTAGTGTTAAACCTAGGTGTCAGTGATGATTGAACTGAGGTAAGGATACATTGACTCATGGGCCCCTCACCACCGCTATGCTAGCGGTATGAAGACGCGCAGGTGGCAACGCTTACATAGTCAATACTGTCAGCTTGCGAGCCTGCAGAACGAGGATTGAAATATTGAAGGTGCTCACAGACAGAAACTGAATTTAATGGAATGACGCGGACGTCGACAGCGCCCCCATGGAATGTTTTTGCAATTGCGTTGTCGACGTCAGCGTCTATCTAGATGGTGTGGGTCCAAGTTTGGTTCGGTTTGTCACCGAACCACTCCGAATGGATTACTAGTACCGGTGCATCATATGATGACACCATCTATCGTATGTCGCGTCAAGGCTTTCAATCCGTACTCTACTCTACTCAATGTCAGCCGTGCAGGCTCCACTGCATGATCAATCCGACCTCAATGGGCCAGAGTACAAGTTGCCCCCGGTTACTACCCCGGGACGTCCAGAACTCCCTATTAGTGACAACGTCTTAGCACGGCTGAGAAGTTATGAAGAACGCTGGAGAGGTCGCCAACAGTCCCTCGCCTCACGGCCGAGATTCCGACCGGACTACCAGATGCCCGGGCCCGTCATGGCTCACGTCCGGAGAACATCCAATCCGACTCACATATGGCCACTTCTTGTAGGTGTATCGCATAATATCGTAGGACCGAGTGCTCAGTAAGTCTGGGACATCAGTGCTCAGTACTGACTTAAATCATCCCATAGACGCGACGCACCTGTCCAAGCTCGCACCAATATCAACGACGATGCTCACTTCCGAACCGCTCACCCTCGATCCTCGGAACCACTGCATGCCTATCCTTGATGTTCTTCCAGAAGATCCTTTGCCTGATTGATAGGGTACCAATGGAGATGTAGAAGAATCCATCGACTCGGACTTTGCAGATCAGAGGTGAGTAGTACCTGCGCGCATCTAGTGAAATGACAAGAGTTGAAAATCCTAGGAGCCTGCCAGTCTACATGAAAACGGAGTTGCTCACCAGGTCCAGAACGCTTTCTGACCTACCGGTCTGCTCAGCTGAGACGGCGAATACACGAATATCACGATGGACTCGAGTATGATGTAGTATCTGCAAGGATTTCACCCCATCAATGAGACTGTGCCTTCCTGGTGACAAGGGGTGGGCGCATAACGTCTCCTGGAAATCTGTTTGGGTCAAGAACTACTTCGTCGATTTCGGTCTGTCCGCCTACTTTCCCTGCCGAGGTCCGATGGCAGCGGTTGGAGTGGCGGGTTGAGATCTCACAAGCATCAGAGCTATCGGAGGATCTTCCGTATGACCCATTTGAAGTCAATATGTTCGCGCGAATTCGTAATGGGGAACTTACTGCGGGACGAGTTCTGGCAAAAGGTAAGAACATTACTGTTACAAGGATGATGCCCACACTCGCTCACCACTGCCGATGACACATCAAGTCCATCACGCGAGAGGATCCTGCGCTCAGGCCCAACGTACAGCAAGAATCAGTGCGACGGTGTACCTTTCGTGAGAATATGAAGTTCCGGGTGCGATACTGAGGCTCAAGCTATGCGCAGAGGAGCCGTTGATCGAGCTTGTACGTATGCGATGCACACTCACTCCTAGTCGCAGCAAGCAATGTCAGTAATAGCTTGCTTGGTTGACTTCAGTGTGTCTGGCATTGACGTCCAATGACCTAGACGAACATTCGATATGATTGAGCAACCTGGAGTCGTGGGATATGAAGGGACAAACTTGAACGAGGAGGCGGCTGCACGCGATGTCCGAGCGGGACCAAGCCGAAGTTTGCCCTCTGCTTTCGATGCATGGCACGCACATATAATGTGAGTACATTACTCGCTTCCAACATACGGACGCAATTCGGCGTAGAGTCAGAGTAAGGATAAATGCGAAGTTGCGGTGACGCCCGTGTTGCCGCTGGCGACATTGATTATGGGCGCCTATTCGATCTTGTGAGATCTGAGATGCCGTGGGGTCGGCCGAACCCTCCCCCTCATCATGTTCCTTGTCGAGTCATTTTGCCCCGCTGACTCAACAGACCGCACGCTGTTGGTCGGCTGCTTTAAGCTGCATTTCTCGACTCATCACTTTCAAGACTCACATCTCCTCTCTTACGTCCACCATCATGCCTGCGCCAGTTACGCAGCCTCGCACGCTTTACGACAGAATCTGGGATGACCATGTCGTGTATGTTGTGCAGTTACTGGCTTCATAACGAGTCGTACTGACGGGAGTATAGCGATGTCAAGGAGGATGGTCTTGCTCTCATCTACATCGACAGGTGAGTTACCACGCCTGCTCTTCATGGTATCCGCTCACACTCGCTATGCAGACATCTCGTTCACGAAGTGACGAGTCCTCAGGCCTTCGAGGGCCTGTACGTCTGAGTCATCTTGCAGGCTTTTGTGCATGGAAACTAATTAGCACCCTCAGTCGTAGCGCAGGTCGTCGGGTGCGCCGAACGGACTGTACTTTGGCTACTGTCGACCACAACATCCCGTAAGTATCTCATCCGCGCTCAGGTATGCCAAATTTGCTGATCATCCTCTGCCAGTACGGCATCGCGCAAGAATCTTACGTCTGTCGAGTCATTCATTGAGCAGCCAGACTCAAGAGCGCAATGCCAGGCGCTGGAGGAGAACGTGAAGGATTTCGGCTTGACCTACTTCGGCATGAAGGATAGGAGACAGGGTATCGTCCACATCATCGGGCCTGAGCAAGGCTTCACTGTGCGTACGCTCGCTGCTCTATACGAAATGTGTCTGACACCACCGCAGCTCCCTGGCATCACATGTGTCTGCGGTGACTCGCACACTTCGACGCACGGCGCGTTCGGCTCCCTCGCGTTTGGTATTGGCACGTCCGAGGTCGAGCATGTCCTCGCCACGCAGACCCTCATGCAGAAGAAGAGCAAGAACATGCGGATCAGCGTCGAAGGCAAGCTGCCGGAGGGCGTCACCTCGAAAGACGTGGTCCTGCACATCATCGGTGTGATTGGCACGGCCGGTGGCACAGGCTGCGTCGTCGAGTACGCCGGGAACGTCATCCGCGACTTCAGCATGGAGGCGCGCATGAGCATCTGCAACATGAGTATCGAGGGTGGCGCGCGCGCAGGTATGATCGCGCCGGACGAGATCACCTTCGCGTACCTCCGGAACCGACCGCTCGCGCCGAAGGGCGAGGTCTGGGACCGCGCCGAGCAGTACTGGCGCACGCTCAAGACAGACGAGGGCGCAAAGTTCGACATCGAGGTCAACATCCGCGCGGAGGACATCCTCCCGACCGTCACCTGGGGCACGTCCCCGCAGGACGTCGTGGCCATCACGGGCAAGGTGCCTGACCCCGCCGCGATCGATGACGAGAAGAAGCGCGCGGCCGTTGAGCGCGCGCTGAAGTACATGGGCCTCACGCCAAACACACCCATGGAGGACGTCACGATCGACAAAGTCTTCATCGGCTCGTGCACTAACTCGCGCATCGAGGATCTGCGCTCCGCCGCGCGCATCGTTCTCGCTGCGGGCCCCGATGCGAAGGTCGCGCCAAACGTGTCTGCGATGGTTGTCCCGGGCTCGGGGCTCGTCAAGCAGCATGCGGAGGCGGAGGGCCTCGACGTCATCTTCAAGCGCGCGGGCTTCGATTGGCGCGAGGCGGGCTGCTCGATGTGCTTGGGTATGAACCCGGACCAGCTGAGGCCAGAGGAGCGCTGCGCAAGTACGAGCAACCGCAACTTCGAGGGCCGGCAGGGCCCGCGTGGTCGCACGCACTTGCTGAGCCCTGCGATGGCGGCTGCGGCTGCGATGACGGGTAAGCTTGCGGACGTGCGGAAGTTCCTGGGTGTCGAGACGACGTCGCAGGCCAAGCTGAAGGTCACAAGCGCCCTGGATCTGTTGTCCGACGACGTCCTGCCGCCACCTGAGCCCCAGCAGGAGACGACGAGCACGTCCACGTCCACCGCTGACAAGCCCTTGCCGTCCGCGGAGACGCCCTCTAGCATGCCACCGTTCCGTGTGCTCAAGGGCATTGCGGCGCCCTTGCACATCGAGAATGTTGACACGGACATGATCATTCCTGCGCGGTTTTTGAAGACGTTGAAGCGCACTGGGCTGGCGAATGCGTTGTTCTTCGCTCTGCGGAACAACGCGCAGACAGGCGAGAAGACCGACTTCATCATCAACCGGGAGCCGTACACCCAGGCGAAGATCCTCGTGTCGGACGGGCCGAACTTCGGTTGCGGTAGCTCGCGTGAGCACGCGCCATGGGCTCTGTAAGTCTCGCCTGCTCCGTAGAGCGTGCCAATGATACTCATGCGGTGTGGCCTCTAGGAAGGACTTCGGTATCTTGTCCGTGATCGCTCCCAGTTTCGGAGACATCTTCCGCAACAACTGCATGCAGAACGGCATGGTTCCAATCGTCCTGCCCCAGGCCCAATGCGCCGCCCTCGCAGAGGACGCTGAGGCACAGAAGGTCCTCGAGGTCGATTTGGAGAAGCAGGAGGTGCGCCGGTCAAACGGCGAGGCCTACCCCTTCGAGATCGATCCCTTCCGGAGACATTGCCTGCTGAACGGCCTGGACGACATCGCGCTGACGCTGCAGAAGGTGGACAGTATCGAGGAGTTTGAGAAGCGAAGGAGCGAAATGTGGCCGTGGCTGGATGGCTTTGGCTACAAGGGCACGAAGATCCCCGTGTCGCCGAAAAAGAACACGAAGATGGAGTGGTGAGCTTGTACGAGGTGGGAGATGTGAAAATAGCTGCTCGTATGCGAGCTTGTGTACTTCTTGTTCTCACTGCTCAGTGCTTTTGTATTACATTGTCACAGTAGTCGCGATTTACAATGATGTGTCAAATACATAAGTCAAGATACCTCAGTCCAAGTTCAGACAGAGGGTGTTGCTTTCCGCTATACTTACCCGAACGTCGGAATGCTGTTGACTGTAACGTCGTATGCATGACGCTGCAATACTGACGTGCCTTTTCTCGGCACTGGAACCAAGTATCCAACGCCAATCGGACTCAGGGACTGTCTTTTCTACGTCACTGCTGCGCTGAGTGCATGGGAAGTGTGACTTCCCTTGGTCACCTTCTTCGTGATCAAGTCCTTTCGATACGACTTGGAAATGAGCTATGCTCCAACTGTTTATCAATACGAAAGCAATGCTACTGTTCTGGACAGTGGACTCGTTGGTGTGCCTTGTTTAATGGAGCCCGCACGTGTGGTGGCGGAAGCAGGGGTGGATGCGTCGGCCGTGACACCAGCAGCGGGCGCCCCGCCTGACAGGGACAAGGCCGCTGGCGACGGCCCCTCCTCGTCCTCCTCCATGCTTTTCGCCCTCCAGCACAGACCGTCCCCCAACACTCGCGCGCGATGAGCACCGCGCTACAACCACCGCCAAGCGCCGGCTACGCGCTCGCTGCCGGCGCGGAGCAGAGTGAGTACGGCGGGAACAAAAGCGCAGGCGAGTCTAGCTTCTCACCGCCCTCCTCGTGGTCATCTAATGATCCCCCGCAGTGGCCCATCTAAGGCCACAGCCCATCAGACGCGACACAGACAACATTCTATCTTACTACCAGTCCGAATATGCTGGCCGGACGCTGTCCTCTGATGCTGCAGCTGATTCCGTCTCACCACCATCAGTTATGAGAGCAGACTCTGCTTCTTCGTCTGAATACTCTTCGGACCCCCGAGACCGCGCGATTGATACTGGCCCCAGGCGGACCCACGAAGCACGACACGATTCCACTAGTACCATTAGCACGGAGGGCGAACACAGACGAAGACCTAGTGTGCCATCGGAGGGCGGCGCGGATAGGCGACGGCTTGCGATCGTTGAGTTGGACGATTCTCTTCCCGCTTCTCTCACTCGCAAACGCAGCCAGGCCTCGCGAGACCAGCACAATGCAGACATGTCAGCGACGACGACGACAATTTCCTCGCGGCGCGGCATGCACGTCGACGGCCTCGCGCTTGTGGCCCCACCCGACGCCTCGCCGCGAACGTATACGGATCTCACGCCCCCCTCCACCGCTCCTTTGTCCACCGAACGACCCCCTCCCTCCGCTCTCCGCCCACCTCTCGCGCACCAGCGCTCACAGTCTGAGGTGACCTCCGCGACCCCCAAGTCTCGCCACCAGCACAAATCCTCGCGTGACATCGGCATCGTCGACGCCGTCCCAACGACGGCTGAGTCTCAAGAACGGCCGATCCTGACCGCCATCGGCACTCAGCAAGCGGCGCTCAAGGTACCCATTTTCCAGACGCCCACCGACTCGCGCTCCCCGACGCCAGGTAGCAGTGCCAGGACGCCCGACCCGTCCGAGTCAAGCATGCTCAGTCCCCAGGGCCCCTTTAGCGCGGAATCAAGCGCATTGACGACACCGGACGACGACGGACGTGATCGAGAACAACTGACACCTGCCATTGGCGAGTCAAAGGATATATCCCAGCCTGTCGTTGGACCTGTCATTGTCAACACGTCGGAGGCGCTGCGGCATGGCATACAGAACAGGCAAGTGCTGTCGAGTGTGTCCAGTCCTGGTGACGTGTCCGCGTCGCGCCAGACGCAGATGTCGCCGCTCTCTGTGGCGAGCTCGTCGCGTTCTGCGTCCCCTTACGTCCACTATGAACCTGGCGTACATTCGCGAGCGGGTCCTATGCCACCGCCACCACAGCCTCTCTATGACGTCGATCCTCGCTCCGGAACGCTCACTCCAGCGCCGCCGCGTCCACCACGCATGTTCACGCCGCTGCCACCATCAGTCCAACGCGATCCACAGGCCCTGCGGGAAGCCTTGCAGCTACCGCAGTCGGTCTCCACAGTGCTGGCGTCGAAGCAACCTTCGCGGTCTCCGAAGCGCAATGATTCCGAGTTGACGGAGGATTCGGTGTACTCGCAGGAGGAGAGGGAGCAGGGCACTGGGTGAGTGATACGTGTCTGCGTGTTTCAATCGGCTGTAACGCGTCGTGCCTTCAGTCCGTCGCGATCACTGTCAAAGCGGTCCATGCATGTCAGGGAGGGCGCGCATCCACCGTCGACTGTGACCAATACGCCGTCCACGACCACGGAGGAAGTGCCAGAAGCTAAGAGCGATGAATCGAGCAACGTCCGCCCGGAGACCGGCAAAGCGCCTCCAGTTTCGTTCACATTGCAAGACGATGCTAGAAGTGCCGAGTCTGTTTCATCCTCGTCGCAAGCACCCTCTCTTCATCCCACCAGATCCCGCAAGGACCTCCGCAGAGAGAGCAGCTGGGTAAGCATGGCACAGGAGAAGGTCCAGCGCGCGCTCTCGCCTGGGCGCGTCTCGAGTATTTCACGTTCACCCTCCACCTCGCCGTCCATGTTCTCGCCGACTCCGCCGCCGAAGAGCATCTACGGCTCACTGGAGGACGTACCGCACGCCTCGGGCTCCGGGATCAATCCGCTCAGGGGCGCGCTCACGAATCTGAAGCGTTTCTCCGCGCTACCGCGCACGCCCTCGGTGACCTCTGCGCGCGCGAAAAGCCCGTCTCCCAGTCCACAAATCAGCCCAAGGCATTCAGAGTCGAGGGACGCCCCGTTGCCGCCACCGCCTCCTGAGAGTCTCCCTCCAAAGCCACGAGTCGTGCGTACAAGGATAAAGGCGGAGTGGCCGGAGGCGATGTCGTGCCGGGATGTGGCGGCGAAGAGGAGTCCGCTCGAGCGCTCGATCGGGTATGCGAACAAGATCAACGAGCTGGCAATGTATGATTGCGGATTGACGGAGTGGGTGCAGATGCGGCGGTACTCTGGTGAGTATCCACGTGGGTGACTCGTGCAATTCTCTTGACTCGTCTACAGCGACTGGCACACGCAATGGGTCCTCCAGTAAAGTGAGGCTCATGGTGACACCGGCGACACCTGCATCTCGTATCTTTGTACCACAGCCACGACATGCATCTAGGAGCTCCGAAGCGTCAGAGATGACATTCCCAACGCGCCCCGACGCGTACAGCGCTACTGACCTCACGACTCGCGCAATAGACGTCCTCCCATCAACCGCCTCTCCCCCTCCAGCCCTCCCCTATCCATCACTGGCACAAGCGCAACAAACGCGCAGCCCCTTTCGTTCCTCAACAATGATGCCATCGCCTTCACGTTCGCTTCTACCATTACCGGGCAAGTCCGGTGGAGGTTTCTTCTCGTCTATTGGGCGCAAGGCGAGCGTCAGGAAGGACAGACCCGCTCTACCTCCCCATCCCCCGGGGCGTGTGCTCTCCAAACGCAATACGGCCACGCCCACACCTACGGCGACTCGCCAACCTCCTGTGCAGCCCGTGACATCGCCGTCTGTGCCTGGTGGTCCGCGAGCCGCCCCAGGTCGCATACGTCGATCCCAAACATTCTCAGCTGTGTCGGCCCCGACCCCTCAGCCTGATGTTTCGACGATGCCCACAACTAACACCCATTCACAACGACAAAGCACCATGCGTCGCCCGTCGCTTTTCGCGCGTGCGAAGAACCATGGGCAGAGCCAGGTGCCGTCGGGCGCCGTGGTCGCCCAGCCTGCGCTGCCGAACCCAGAATTCGACCGCCAGGTGGACAAACTAGCGGATTTGCTGCCGCATGCTGATAGAGAGATTCTTGCTGGGTATCTGCGGAGAGCGGGCCAAGACATTCTCGCCATCGGGCAATACCTCGAAGACGAGAAGAACGGCACGTTGCGACGCGATTAACATAGATGCTTCTATCCGACTGTCTGGTGCTTGTGCATCGCCTTATGCTGGCCAAGTGCTTGCCTAGCCCGAGCGGCCGCTTGTATTGAGTATCTTTTTTGGAGAACTGATTTGCGATACAGGACATGATTCGACGTATAAGGTTACATTACGATATTGTGTATCTATACCCTTCAGACTTTGTACTCGTACACACTTCTCGTTGCTTCTACAGACCAAGAACATGGATGCGCGCGTCACAGGGATACTATATGCTTGCAGAATGTTCTATCGACCGACTGAGGAAGGCTTGAACCCCCCGGAGCGCCTTCCGGAAGACTGGCCGAAAACTTGTCGGGCGTTGGTCAGTCCTTTAAAGATTCGGTAGGTTGAGCGTACCTCTCTGCATTGGGCGGGAGCTGCTGCGAGCTTGGGGGGCCTGCCAGGTATGCAGGTTGTTTACTGTGCGGCCGGACTGACGGTTGGCGCTTCCGAGTAAGTTCTCTACCTCGGTCGTACTGTCCGGCGTCGTCGTCGATCTGAAAGAGCGGTCCGCTGCCACTGCGCCGGCGCTGAAAGGCTGGCGTTGAGGGTGGTGGCGTTGTTGCACTTGCACCGATCCTGGCTGTCTCCATGCCGAGCTAGGCTGGACGCCTGATGGGCCCGCAGTACGGTTGACGATGGGCGTGCGTTGGATCTATTCAAGGGGTCTTTTGTCAGCGGATATCAACATAGTGAATGGGAGAAAGCTCACGCCATGAGCTTCCATGTCACCGACGACGGCGCCAACATCGAGGCCGGCCCCGAAGACGCCTCCGGGTCTGAGCTTGTTGGCCTGATCGTTCAGTACGTGTCGCTCTCCAACGTGAGGGCCGTTAGCGGTGCCAGGGACAACATTGTCGCCGCCGACGACGTTGGGCGCGAGGAGCGCCTTGCGCTTGATTTTGTCGTACTGTGCCTATTCGCAATGAGTCGATTACTCATTCATGTAAATGGCTCTAGATGAGTACAATACCTTGAGCTTCTGATATTCCTTGTCTCTTTCCTTGAGCGAATCTTGAAGGCCAGACAGCTTGCGGCGTTCAAGCTCTAGGTCCCGCTCCAGTTCTGAGACTAGTCAGCCAGTCACTTGTGCGGGAAAGCCTTCTGTCGCGTTACCAGCGATCTTGTTGTTCATCAGGTTGATCTCCCCATTCGCTGCCGTACATCCATGAGCATGTCTTGTCGAATGAGGTGAGAGTAACCCCATCCACCTTCTCTTATTACATTGTCTAGCTGTTTCTGCAACTGGGCGTTCTTCTCGTTGACATTACGATACACTGCATGTTGGAATGATCTTCGGAGGTTCCAAATGATAAGGCGGACAGTCACTACGAGAAAAGAGTACTTCGTACGCCTCCTGGTGAACTTGGTATTGCCAGAACGACATTGCCCTGTGGAAGTTTCGCTATGTGTTGGTCTGTACAGTTGCGGTGACATACCTGCTACATATCTCTAGGATGATTGTGGGATTCAACCCAGACAAGACAGACTATACAATCGGGCTTTTAGGCGTCAACGTGAGCGCATATATGCGCAGAGCTCACCGTCTTGTAGTCGTTTGACGGGTGTAGCGAACACACCTGTCGAGGAATTCATCATTGAGCGATTCCGTGGGCTCCGATATTCAACGCACCACGACGTCGTCGCTGAGACGCCTCAATCAACTCTAGCACTCACTAATGCCTGAGCACTCACGGTTCCGTCAGCGAGGTCTCACATGCTGCGCGAAGTCGCTATGAGTGAAACTGGCAGCGAGGTTGAAAGTTCTCAGACGAACCAGGGCACAATCTTGATGCATTGAACAACTCATTGGCGCAGTCCACTAGGAAGTCGTCCACTCAGTTCCGAACACGTCGTTCCATATGGACGGGAGCACGGACCGCAGAAGATATGAGAGCCTTCTCGAGCATTCTTTGAGTAATATTCATCAAACAGAGAGCACCATACATGTTGTCTGATCGTTTCGAGATGCGTTATTTGCACAGTGAACACGTAGGTTGGGACTCACCACCACAGCTTTTTCTGCCAGTGCCTTCCTGCACGTCAGCCTGTTGCACTTGAGATTATCCATCTTGACGAGGAGTAATTGGGACTTTTCGTCGTATCTCAGAAATGAGATATGTAATGCTTCATGAGGAACGAGGTCGCCGACGAGAGTTCAAACTGATCACTCGGGCGGGTGATGTAGTCCCGGCGATACTGCCAGTGGTTCACGGTGGATTGAGGGTTCAAGCAGAGTCTAAGCAGCACAGCGCAAGTGCCTTTCAGTTCAGTTCTTGCCCGGATTTGTCAAGTCGGCCTCTGGACGGTTGAAGCGACGATGTCGAACAGATTGTGTGCTGGGAGAGGCTCCGCTGAGAGCGCTGCGCGCGCGAGCGTCACAGTGGAAGGATCCAATCACGTGGGCGTGTCGATGGCTTGCGGACTCGTCCGAGTCGATGAACACCTTGGAGTACTCAGGCTACGTAATTTTGTTCGTACTCAGTACATTCAACCTGAAGTTGATCTCGGCGTAGACGCACGACCGCAGCATGATATATACCGTGTACTGGCAGTGTACTGGCCGGCGGCGCTTTGAGGGCATAACCGGACCAACAATGGACCCACAAATACCAAACTCGGCAAGTGCCTTCCACTAAGCGCTTGAGTATAAAGTCCGCCATGAGAAACACGGTCTATCACATACATCCATGCCAAGAAAGCCTGGTTGTTATTATATCATGTACGGCACTGTCACCTCTATGAAAATTGCGAACCTTTCCTGCACTGGAAGCGGTCCATGAACAACGAGAACAAGAGATTCAACCCGCCGTCAAGGTCTCACCAATCTTAGACTCCGATTCTAGCGCAGTAGCCTGGGGCACAGTGATCAACGGGAATTCGGTGTCCACCTGGGTCATGGGCGTAATGTCGGTCCTCAAAGTACTGGTCAGTACATTTGCTTATGTTGAAGGTCACTCCGTCGGCGGGCTCGTATGGAGAGGAAGGTCACAGGTGAGGCGACTGCAAGACTGCTACGCAAAGCTCAGCCTTTACCAAAGCGTAGCAGGCCGGGATACGCTCGAGAATTTCATGATGGACGATGATACGAAAAAATAGGCCCATATTTCCATGCTTCTGACGCACTATTCCATCAGGCTCGATCAGTGGTTGGACAGAGTCGAGTACGACGTGAGCAATGGACGCATATACAAGTGGGCGCAGTACGGCCCCAGGTGGATCATTACCATCAAGGGCAATTTGTACGACAAAGAACAAGACATGCTGAAGATGATATATCAAGACTGACTGGTAAGCTCGGTCGTTCATCTACTTCGCTGGGGTAGTACTGGTTTGACCGTTCCTCAGAAAACAAGCGACCAGCCCGAGGACTCACCTGTCCGCTCGTCAGAGTCCCTAGTCCCTGCGTACCCACTAGAGGATTCTTTTCTGAACATGGGTTTAGTGTTCAAGTGTTGCCACCGTGCTTTGCCTCTGCTCTGTTGATACCCTGCAAAGACGCACCCGATCACCGGGGCACATAAGGCTGCTCTCCAGACAGTACGAGAAGCATGAAGACAACGTGATATTACAGTCCAGCGGTCCGTACCTTACGATATGTAGTCCTCGGCAGAGACAAAACACGACAAGATAAAGTAAATCAACAAACAAACAAACAACAAGCAACTACGGTCTCCATACGGGTTGACGTACAGGCATATTCAAGTTGGAAGCAGTTCCGGGCCGTGTCACGTTCGATGGAGTGTCTGGTCTGGAGATCGCCTCTCTGTCTACTCGTCGAAGGAACTGGAGGGGAGTGAGCGGAGAGCCCGGCGAGGACGTGGTCTTGATAGACTTCGGGCTAGCTCCTCCACTCGGTGTCGATAGGGAGAAAAACGGGACGAAGGAATCGTTCGGCTCGGGTGTCCTCGGGGGGTGCGGAGGACTCATGATGACGGCCGCTTGTGAAAGACTCGTTGAATTGATCCACCTCTCCTCCCGAGAGCCTAGGCGGGGTGATTCTGGGAGAATCCAGAAAGCATCAGCAAAGTGGTCCTTGATGAATCTACAAGAAACGACAGTCAGAAAGGTTCCGCGGGTGTTGATTAATTACGCACTTTGAAAGTTCTGACCATCCACCTCCTACTCGGACCATCACGGTCTGCGAGCGAAGTATTCTACAGAAGCAAAGCTTGGGGTCTTGATCACCTATCCAGTATTTACCACTTTGATCTTTCCATGTATCTGCGATAAGTTCGACCCTGATGTTCACTGGCAGCCTGTTCAACACTTCCCCAACAGCGACATCCAGCTTGTTTTTAGGATTCGCGATGTATGGTTTCTTCTCGACCGCGGGTCCTTTAGAGCGCGGCGGCGATCTTGGTGCCGAAGGGAATGATTGCCTCGGCGCACGCGCCCAAGAGGATCGAGAGGTTGAGGAGTGAGAGAGATGCGACCCGGGACGTGACACAGATAATGCAGAGACATCAGAGAACGCAGGCGACGCGGTCCTCGGTGTGTTAGATGTGTGGCCAGTCTGGGCGCGCGGCCGGGACGGCGTAAGGTGCGGTTGTCTCAGCGGAGTCTTCACAGAGGAGTTTGACGTTGTACTATTCGTTCTCTGACGAGAAGCGAATGTCGAGCCATGCAGCGTCGAGGATGGAGATGCTGTCGGTCCCGAGACAGATCGATTGGCGGCAGCAAAAGAAGGCTTGCTCATGGTGCGCGCATGACCGCCCGATGACGAGCTGGAGGTCGAGCGACGTCCGCCAAGGGACGGTGGCGCAAGGAACCCATTCGCGGATCCGATTGATAGCTTTCCGTAACTCGAGGCCTTCTTCTTGGCTGGTGTGGACGCAGTGCTAACGCCCGATGTTCTACTGCTGCGCCCCGAGCTCATGACGCTACCAGGTCTTGACTTCGTGCCACTAACGCGGTCGTTGCCCATGGCTTCCAACTCGCTCCAGGTCTGCAGAATACGGTCACGCTCGGGGACCGCGCGCGGGTCACTAGCGACTGCAGCGCACGCGCTCTCCATTTGCGCAACGAGCCCCCTAGTGAACGCTAGCCGAGCATTCATTTGCTCTTCGGGGATGAGAGTAGTATCCGCCACATGTTGCGAGGATAAAATTCCGAGAGGCGGAGAGGGATAGCTGTCAATGTGTTCTAATAGATCGCTCAATGCGTCATCGCAAAGTCGCAGTGCGAGCGTGAGGTCTGCGAGGCGATGCACAGTTCGCATCATCTCGGAAGAAGCGTCGACCTCGCTCAGTAGACTCTGCAGCTCTGCTTTGACTTGTGGACCATCGGCTTCTGTACACGTGAGGAGTTTGGCTTCGGTCGCCAAAACTGTGAATGACTGGTCCATCGCCCGCCGAAGTTCGTCGCTTGGGAGCGACTGGTCCGACGAACCCGAGCCAGGTCTTGCAACCTCATTGATGTGTATGGACCGCAGTCTCTTCCGCAGTGCTAGAATTCGCACCTGCAATTCAGAGGGGCCTGATGCGCCAGAGTCCCCAGAAGGTTGAGCGGCGGCGCTGAAGAGATCTGGAGAGGGCGAGGATGAGCATGACAGCGAATCAGTGAAGATATGGCATACCTAATTCATGTCCGTCTGGGCCCACAGAAGACTCCATTTCAGACTCGGCCACGGGTTCGAGATGACTATCTCTCGCGCGGTCTCCATCCCCGCCACCAGAATGTTCATGAGAGGTGACTGTTGTTGGTACCGCAGGTGTCGCCTCAGGCTGAGGAGCAGCGGCGTCAACAAGTGAAGAAGGCTGCCCATCTTCGCCGGCAAACTGTTCGCTAATAGCATGCGCCTGTGTTTCGGCCTCGACCGCTGATCGCTCCTGCTCTGCGGCAGCTGCCCGGGCACTTTCTTCTTCGAGACGATGTTGCTCCGCCTGAAGAGCCCGTTGCGTTTCTTGTGCCCGGGTGATCTCTTTCCGGAGGTCGGCCACGCTCTCCTTCCATGTCGCATGTTGGTTTTCTACGTCATCGAGGGCACGCCGACGGGCTTGCACGATGCTCTCACGGAGTCCAGAGCCAGAACTGTCCGGCATCGACTGTAGACGGTGGAGCAAGCCACGGACGGGTGAGAAAGAGCGGGGGATCTCCATGCCATCGGTGTCGATCAAGTGCGCAACCTCGTCCGCCAGCTTGTCCAGGTGCTCCAGGCTGGACGCGCTAGAGGAATCCGCGAGGGACTGCTTGAAAGCTGCAACAGCTTCAACGACTCGATGGACGTTAGTGACTATGGCCGACGTTGCGACATCGATGGTTTTGGCGGCCTTGACCAGCTGGAAGTGCTCGGACTTTTGTTCCAAATGTTTAGCCGCGCCAGACAGCAGCATGCTGTAACCATTAGAGTCCGCTCGAACGGTACTGTCCAGAGAAGCGGGGTCAACTAATAGGTCATACGAGCCGGCTCGCCTGACGCTCTCGAGGTCGAAGACGCTGAGGAGCGGTGAATGTCTCTGCGAAGGCGAGGCTCCGGTCCTCGGAGGAAAGTCCTCGCTCACGAACGAAACGCGACGAGGTAGAGCATGGTTGTAAGCGCGGACTGCGTCTTGACAGCGCTTCAGCTCGCTTGACAAACCGCCTTCCGTCAGGAGCAGGTCGTCGCCCACCAAGGAGCTCGAGAAAACGTCCTCTATGCCTCGATCGAAGCGCACCTTGAGGTCCTCCATTTGGACCTGCAGCGCCTGGGCTTCATCACGGACCCCCTCCATTGCAGCCGATTGATTCCGGACGGCATCCCAAAACCTGGCAGATCTCCGTAGGTTGTCTAAGACGCTGCTCAGAGCAGTAGAGCATTGGGCCAGATGGTCTGCAAGCGGTCTACCAATTGAGGGGGTGACTGTAGTGATGGGGCCGGAGACTTCCTGCTTGAGCTGAGCCTGCATACGGTCCACCCTCGCCAAAACAGACCCAGGCGAAACGGACAACGGAGGTAGAAGAGTGCTCGGGCTCTCCGGGGTGGGTGGAGCCTCACTCGACCGCAGCTGCTGCCGCCACATCTGCTTGTCGATGGCGGCGGAGACGTTACGGCGCAGCTCCTCTGACTCTGCAAACGCCTGCTTCATCGACGCCCAGACTCGCCTCGTGGTGCCTAGCGCGTTCGTTCGGGCGGTGATCTCCTCTCGTAGACGCACTCCGGCCTGTTGGGCGGTTGCGAGATGATCAATCTCAGCTGCGGAATCGGTCTTGAACAGAGGGTCGATAGAAGAGTGGTCCAGATGCAAGAGCGCTGCACGGGCATTCGGCAACAAGCTGGTGGCCTCAGCGTCCGCTTGCTGCAGCTCCTGCATGATGGAGGGCAATGCAGCCAGGAAGACTGCATGGCGTGACTCGTCGAGACACGCCTCCGTGCTCAGATCGAGAGGACCACCGTCACCATGATCTGTTGGAAGACCATTCTGCAGGCGCTCGAGGATGAAGTCGTACTGAGAAGAAAGAGCCGATGCAGCCTTGCAAGCTGCCTCCACGCGCTTGACGGCTTCAAGCGTCGCGTGGTACTCCTTCACAACTGCCTCGGCCTTCTTGACTTGCTCCATGGCAGCGGTGAGCTCGGAGGAAATCACGTTGATAGCTGCGGCGGTTGCGTCAGGTTGGTCAGGGAAGAGGGGATGAGTTGGGCGGGGAAACAGGGATGTCGCCAATGAAGGGTTTTCGCGCGACTGCAGCCGCTTGACAAGGGCGAGAGAACGGGATGAGAAAGCAACATCCTGGCGCGATGTAGGGTGTCCAAGTCTCGCAACCTCGAGCTCTTCCAGCAGCGTCTGAACCGCTGTCTTGTCTTTAAGAGTCTCTACATACAACTCGTCGGCCCTTGACAAATTGTTACTTGGGCGCCACAGAGAAGCGAAGCACGGACATACTTCTTCCACTGCATGACGACACCCATGACGAACTTTCCAACATCCTCCATCGCGTTGATACCATCATTCTCTAGCTTGTCCTGTTCATCGAGCAGCTCGTCCGGCACGGGCTTGCGGCTGTGGTCGATCAGTTTGTCGAGTGTCTTACCCGCGCCAGCAACCTTAGTGTGCTTGAGAGAGGACACGCGGCTCACGAACAGAGCTGCATCGCGAGAGAGCAATTCAGCCAGCTTGAAGCGCGTGCCACGAGAGAAACCAGGAGATGCTAGGCTAGACGAAGTATCGGAGGCCATAGAAGCAATGGAGACGACGGAGTTCCTCCGTTTGGGTACGGACCCAGGTGTCACTTCTTCCTCAGCAGCGGCTGTGTCGTACACGACTGGTGACCACCGTGCACGCGTTTTCAGAAAGTCGCGGATGTCAGAGAGGACCTTGCGAAGTTCAGTCCATGCGCCGATGCGGCGCTCTTCCCAGGTCAAGCGGATGCCCAGTAAGTCTAAGTTGTCGGAGCGGTCTCGCAGGAGATGAAGCAACTTGTCGAATCCGTAGATAGTCGTCAAGGTTAATTCGATGAGGTCCGTGTCCGCCGGGGACAGGTTGCGCTGGGCAGCGGCTTGGGTAGAATGTCTATTTGGATAAAATCCCACCGCGAGTACACATTTTACGTACCTTTCGTGAACTTCTTGAGCTTCCTCAGCTCACCGGAGTCGAAAATCTCGGTCTCCTTCTCTATTCTGTCATGTTCCGCGACCCACTCCTCCAGCTGAGCGCGGCTGGGCAGTCCTGGTATTTCCGCAGCAGACGCGCGCACAGCATCTAGTCCTGCAAAGACCTCTATTGGCGGCAGGCTCTCCAGGAACTGTGCAACGGTTAGCAGGAGCGAGGGCGACGGGATGTGCTCCGGACCTTGATCTTCTCCTCAATCCAGGCTTTCCGCTCGCTGAAAGCCTGCAGCTCTATGACCTCGTGCCATTCCAAGGCCTGCTCGTCCTCGGGAGCCTCCGACTCGGGCTTAGGCTGCGGGGAAGCTGTCGTTTCCTCGGGCGTAGTGTCTGGCAACTTCGCGATACCGTCTACATTCAAAGAGCCGCTGATCATGCCCTCCAGCACCGCGGAGGGGGAGGCGTCCTCAGTCATGGCTTCGAGTCGGGCTAAATGCCGGAAATATTGCTGCTAGGGTGTAGTTCGCGCTGTGATCGTGAAGGGCGTGAAGGCATATAGGGAAGCGGGGTTGCAGCAGAGGGTATGAATTAAAAGAGTGGGCTGTTGCAACGAGGCATGGGTGGGTGGAGAGTGGGCTTCCAGCGACGGCTGTACGGTGCGTGAGGAGGTAATGGGGAAGGCCAGTTACGGTGCCCACGAAAGCGCGCCGTCTCCGCGCGTCTCACGCCGCGAGGTCCTTACGCGGGGTCGCGACGAACGCTCCCTGCAGCATATGTACACGGCAACGGTTGCACAAATCTGTTACAAATGAATGAACGAAGTACACGCTGTTCCATCTCAATCAGTGCTACAGGACAATCAGGAAAACTACAACATTGTACGATAAAGAGAGGACACAGCTAGAGGCATGTTCTGTTCGTAAAGGAGACTAGGAGAGACATTACAAATGGTCGAAGCTAGCAAGGTAATAAGATAGGGAGAAATGGCAAAGATGCAGACCGAGCAGTCAGTGCGCCCAATCAACCTGCGTAGAGGACGTGTCGTTCTGTACTGTCCAGCCAATAGCGAAGATCCTCATCACCTTCCAAGTCGACGAACGTCTCGGATACGCTGGCTCGGTACCGCAGCTTCACCACACGACTTTGCAATCGCTCCGAAGCTTTGGTCATGAGCTGCGCGTGCGATACGCGTGGGTGGACGCGAATGGCGACGATCTCCTCCGCGTTCTGCGCAAAAATCTTGATCTTGATGTATGCAATCTGCGGGTTGGACGCCGACACAGGAGGTGCATATGCTGCGGCATGCGACGTTGACCGCGAGCGACCGGACGTCGATGTCCGTGTAGACTCCGCCTGCGAAGCTCGCCCGGATCCATTCGTCGGGCCTTGTGAGGAGGCGAGCGATGTACGAGACTGACCGTTCTGGTACGAGTCTACGCGCGGCGGTAGGGTGGAGACAGAGGCGTGCGAATACATCGAGTTGCCGTTCTCCCCTCGGTCACTGCCGTTGGCGTTCCTCGACTTGGGGCGCAAAGGCTGGGTAGTATTGTAATCCAGCTCCGCAGGCAGGTGTGGCGATACCTCGTCAACGCCATAGCGGTAAGAGTCGCGGCCCTGTGGCGGAGGGCCGCCGTCATCCCCGTAGTCAGAACCTTCGCTCCGGTCGTCCGTTGCACTCGACACACGTAGCCGGGACATGCGCTCCGTCTGGTAGTCCGTCTCACCATCATCGTACACGTCCTGATCGACGTATGACGTCCTGAACAGGGCGTCAATCTCCTTCGTCCGAGGTTCAACCTCAACTTCGGCATCGCCGGGCTTCAACGAGAGGAATGATCGGACCAGGAAGTGCTCGAGCAGGTACCGATATTCGTGCCGGAGTTCGCAAAGGTTGCGCAAGTATTCGTCCAGCTCTGCTCGCCTCTTGTTGGCAATCTCGTTGTCGACCTCGTTAACGGGACCTGGCATGTACGGCAACACACGAGGACGACCCTCGACCCTCCCAGCCTCCTCGGGATGAGCATCAAGGAGGTCTACCTGGAAGTCGTAGAAATCGTTATAGGAACGGAAGAGTACCAGTTGTCTGGCGGGAGGCAGTGCTTCGGACCCTGGAGGCGGATAGGGCTGGAAGATGGAGTGCACCCGGTACCAGTACTCCTCCATCTCGTAATGGAATGATTTAACGTCGGCGGACAAGAGGATACCCTCAGGTAGCGACTTCGGCGACGGGGGACGCGAGTCTTGAACGGGGGGCGGCGATGGCTGCCGTGGTAGAGGGGGGAGCGGTGGCTGCGTCACAGCAACGGGCGAGTTAGAATTCGAAAAGGCCGACTTCAAGCCAATCGCTGCGGCGGAATCCTCCAGGACGCCGAGCGAGATGCTGTTCTGCTTGTAAGTCATCATCGCTCGCTTCCACTCCTCGACGCGGGGCAGCGCGCCTCCATCGATCAGGGCCCAGATGTCGCGTACTGGCTGCCCTGTTGCAGGGTCGCGCACCTCTACGAACGAGACGGGTATGAGGCCTGGTCGCCCGAGCCGGCCGATGGGCTTGGCCACGAACCACTCCCGGTTCGACTGGGCGACGACGGTGATTGCATCGCCCGCCTTCGCTTCGAGCTCGTCCGCACGCTCGGCATTGAAGTCGTGCAGGACGACGGCATAGAACGCCTGAGTTTTCACAGGAGGTGCAGTGAAGCCCATTGGTGGGCTCGTCTTGAAGCCCGGAGTGGTCGGTGTTCGAGGCCTTCATCCGCGTCAGACTCCAGTCATACCCCTCAAGCCTAACCGACTCACTTTGCTGTACCCTTCTGAAACTCCTCGAACAGTTGGCAGGGGACGAGGCCGCGAGCACCGGTCATTGGATTGTGGGCCTCGTACCACACTCCCTGGCTGTTCACATCGTTGAGAACGTGAAAGAAATCGCCCTTCTCAAAGGACAGCTCTTGCGGTGCGGTTGACTTGTAGGAGCTCAGAGCCTTGATAACCTTCTTCGGAGGGAGGATCGCACTGGGCGGTTTCGAGAGAGACGGTAAAGGGGTAGTTATGTGTTGTGGTGGATCTTTGTGACTATTGAGTGACTTCCGCAGACTTTTCATCATCGAGGCTAGCCGTTAAGAAAGCAAGGTCGTTAGGGGGACGTGAACAGTGAGCAGAAGTCGTCGAAGGGGAGGCATGAGGAGATGTTCGCAGGATTTCCCACCATATGGTACAGCCAAGTCCAAAAGCGGCAGGTCTTCCACGCGTGTGTCGCATTTCGAGTATCATACGAATAGTCGAGAACAATAGCCTGTCGATGTCGTGCGCAGGTTACCGCCTCCGATGACATACATCATACCGCCACGACGTGTCAAGCGTCGTTCTGAGTATTTACATATCATGTCAAACAAGACGGCCTAGCGGCGTGAATTCTCATTGCACTACTGCTTCAAGCCCGTGACCGATATAATGTTTTTCCCGATTAAGTAAAAATTTGATTACGTTGAACATCTACGCTTTTCGTCTCGCGCCATCGGCAGAGAAATAGCGGTGATGCAGTCTGACTCTGATGCACTAACGCAGGCACTACTTGTAGTAGTACGTGGTACGTGTGCACTACTAGAGTTTCTGTGTGCTCGCCATGCGGGAACCTTGATTGGGTCTGTCTGTGACATTGTAGAGATCAAGTACCGTATCATCTCACCATATGCAAGTCGGCTTCTGGGCTGCCGCGGAGTGCTTAGAATCTATTATAGTAGACCGTCCTTCCCCTCACTCAAAGACCCAGAGGCTGCCTAGGTGAGACTAGCGCGTAGTGCACGACGGTAGACCTAATTTATCGGACTCATGGGCAAGCAGTTCCACCACCATACAAGCTTTAAGTACTGGCAGGGCCAACTTAGTGTGAGTAGTAGGTGTGAGTACAGTACACTGCATACAGTACAGTAATTGCACAGTACTTGCACGATGACATCTATCCGCTGCGGCTGTGTATCTCTGACCTCGTTGTCTCAGCCTTCTGTTATTGTACTGTAACGTGCGCAGTGCTCAACGACTCTGGCTGGGTCTTTTTGGATGAGATACACGGCGCTATGTCCATCACAGTTGCAGCTATCGTCGAATATTATTACTATGAGAAACGGACCAGAACTGTGCTCCCACCGCGGGCAAACCAGGTTGTTCGAACTCCGAAAACCCCAACGAACATCGGTCCCGCCTGGGAACCTTTACGGACTCCGAATATTGTCAGAACATGCTGCGAACATGATGCGTTTCAGCCGATTTCAGCATGTTCGGAGGCCGAACATGCGTGTTTTCGGCGAACATGCTACGAACATGAGAAATGTAGGAGCATTTTCGGAGTCAGTCAAGCTCTCCGAATAGGTTCCCATGGAGGACCGATGTTATTAGCATTTTCGGAGCCCGAAAAACCTGGTTTGCCCGCGGTGTCCTGAGATCTTGCACTGGCACTGGCAGTGAGACTCGACTGACCGACTCCGAGTTCCCTAACCCGGCCGAGATCCAGACTCGATATGAGTAGTACTTGTGAGCGCTTAGGATTACTGACCATGGTCCATGTCTGCCACAATCGTCACGTGCGTATGTGACACTAGGGTGTCACAGTGTTCCTCCCACTTCACGCGCCGAGCCACTGCTTGCTCTCCTTTGCACAACCTCCTCTTTATATATCACCATGGCGGCGAGAAAGCTGCAAAGTGAGTTGTCAATGCCGGATGCTCATTAGGGTGTATGCTGAGATTGTTGTAGCGGAGATTGACCGCACCCTCAAGAAGGTGGCTGAGGGTGTCGAGCTCTTCGAAAGTATCTACGACAAGATGCAAGCGTCGACAAATCAGACGCAGAAGGAGAAGCTCGAGACAGACCTTAAGACACAGATCAAGAAACTGCAACGACTGCGCGACCAAATCAAGACGTGGGTCGCGAGCAATGACATCAAGGACAAGACTGCACTGCTCGACAACCGAAGACTCATTGAGACGGTAAGCTCACTTCACACATCATGCATGCGTGTGCTGTGCTCTCTATGTGCGAGCACGCGTGTAGTACCATGCTCCAGACTACACTGCGGACGCTGACTTGCCCTTTCTGCCATGTCGGACGCGGTCTACAGCAAATGGAGAAGTTCAAGGCGTGCGAGAAGGAGATGAAGACGAAAGCGTTCTCGAAAGAGGGCCTGACGCAACACGCGAAGCTCGACCCGAAGGCGCAGGAGAAGCTGGAGGTGACGCAATGGGTGAACAACCAAGTCGAGGAGCTGCAACTGCAGCTTGAGCAGGCGGAGGCAGAAATCGAGACGTTGCAGGGCGGCGGGAAGAAGAAGAACAAGGCAGGAGGGGCCGCTGCTGAGCGTCTCGAGACCCTCGAACAGCTCAATGAGCGACGGAAGTGGCACATTAGCCGTCTGGAGATTATCCTGCGGTTACTGGACAATGGCACACTACCGACAGAGAAGGTGCTCGGGCTGAAGGAGGACGTCCAATACTTTGTCGAGAGTAATATGGTGCGTCTGTTCCAGTGGTTTGGTGTGGCATTCGTGACCTCCTGGTAGGACGAGAACTTTGATGAGGACGAGGGCATCTACGATGAGCTCAACCTTGATGAGGAAGAAGAGAAGTTCGGCTTGGCGAACGACGACGATAGCGATGAGTCTGAGGCCGCGAGTGATGGTACGTGGTCATGTGTGATTTCCGTCCAGAATTTGACGACATTCGTACGTAGACCTGCCTCCACGGACACCAAGCAAGAAGCACGATGAGGAAAGCGTAGCAAGTAGTAATAAACGTGACGGAAGTCCTGTGCTCAAGAAGGCGACCGTAACATTACAGCTACGAAGTACGTTTCGCGCCCTTCCCACAACACCTCAATGTTCACCATCCGCAGAGCCATCAATAGCGGGCGAGAGCGCGGTAACACCTGCCGGGCGCAAGAACACAATTGAATCCCCATCAGCGAAACCACCAAATGCAAACTTCGCCGCACAACCCATGGCAAGTATTTTGAAGGTGGGGCTTCCTCCACCGCTACGGCCGGCACCACTTCCCGTGCGTTACGCTGCAGCGGCAGCGGCAGCTGTTGCACCATCTACACCACAGTCAGCGGTGCAGCCACCATCAACACCGTCGGCAACAATAGCATCGTCATCCAACCAGCCTGCAGCACCGACGGCCCCGTCAATAGCGTCGACAACAGCAGCATCGTCACTCACACCAGATCAAGTCTCGGCTGTTACATCCTCGCCAAGTTTGACACATTTGTCCGTCACAAGCCCGATGCTGTCGTCTGCAGCATCGGTGTCTGCGCAACACGCGGACGGCTACACAGACTCTCCAGCATTATCGGAAGCGGTACCGAGCTCGATAGGTGGTCCTGCAGCGACGTCGTCACCTCAACGCATCCAGCGTAAAGGTTGGTGGTGTTGTGTTTGCGATTATATGGACTCGGTCGAACTTACCCTCGTCAGCGTCGACATCATCACCGACAGCAGTGCAGGCTTTGGCATCCGTAGTAAGTTGTTGCCTTGTCTGAGCACGGGAGAGTAGTTTATTGTGTACGCAGCAATCACCCACAGAAGCACCGCCACAATCACTAGCAAACGGGCCACCACAACTAGCACCGGGCGCGATTCCTTCTGCAGGCTACTCACCAATGCCCCAACAAGCACAAGCGTATCCTAGTTCGTCGGCACCTGCAGCAAACGCACAATCGAGTAGCTCGTCACCACTGCCACCAACTCAACTGCCTCAATACCCTCCTGGAGTGAAGGCGTCCGGTGCAGGGCCTGCACTCGACCTTGAACACAGTGTACCACCAGGCGTCATTCCACAGCAGAACCTAGGCGTACAGCGGCCTGGCTCGACAGTGCCCACGCAGATGCCCCAGCAGGCGCCACCAGCGCGGCCGAGTGCGTTCCCTGGTTCGCTCTCCGACCTTGTTGTCTCCTTCGAAAACGTGAAACAAAAGGGTGCGTGGTGGCACAAAGCATGTGTGGGCAGGCGTGCTGACGTGCGTATATATAACGCGTCTGCAGCGCCCCACCGGATGTCGAACCTCGACCAGGTGCACAAGCTCTTGCAGGGCAGCTATTCCAGCATGCCGCAGCCGCAAGACACCGAGAAGTACGTGAACTGTTGATGTGCGTGTTCGGTGTGGTGACTGACGTTTGTGGCGGCGTGTGTGATACAGGCCGAAGTATTACGTGCCGAGGAACCCCATACAAACTCCGGCGTACTACCCACAGACACCCAACCCGATCTTGAACACGGCGGGTATCTTCTCGCAGCTAGACGTTGAGACGTTGTTCTATGTGTTCTACTACCTCCCAGGCACATACCAGCAGTACGTGGCGCCGACGTCAGGTAACTCATGCTATGAGCTAACGTGTGGCCTACAGGTACCTCGCAGCCAAGGAGCTGAAGAGGCAGTCATGGCGTTTTCACGTGAAGTACTTGACATGGTTCCAGCGACACTCGGAGCCTCAGGCGATCACTGAGGAGTACGAGCAGGGAGTCTACGTCTACTTCGACTGGGAAGGCTCCTGGTGTCAGCGCAAGAAGAGCGACTTCCGCTTCGAGTACCGATATCTGTCCGAAGACTGAGCTGCCGATCCATATTGTACCACCCGCACAGCGCGCCCCTTCTTTCTGCCACCTATTATCAATCTCATTTCTCTCTTCCTTGAATGTTTATTTTCCCCGCTACGAGTGCCGTTGCGGGACTCGTGTATAGTATACCGTCATTGCGACTTACAGCGGACAATGCAATACCGTCAGCATCTCTCATAACCATATGTCGACGAGGGCCCCGAGCAAATGCGAATAGTGATAAGAGGTAGGCTATGCAGATGTCTATGATCAATCGAGCTTGACGACAGCTCCGATGTCCTTGAAGGTCTTTTCCAGCTTCTGGGCATCCTCCTTGTTGACGTTCGTCTTGAGCGTTTGTGGCAGCGACTCCACAAACTTCTTGGCCTGCGGGTGATGTTCCATCAGCGAGAGCTCTGGAAGGATGACGGAACGGCGTACCTCGATGAGGGTCAAGTTGGGGATCATAGCCTTCACCTCCCGGATGATTTTGGGCTTCACAGCGGCGTCGAAGGACTCGAGCGTGACGTTGAACATTGTCTTCTCCTTTGGCTTCTCCTATAATGCGAGTATACGTTGAGCTCATGGGCATGTAAGCAACTTGAGAATTACGTACCTCCGGTGCCTCTGCCTCTGCCTGTGCAGGGGCCGCGGCCGGCGCAGCTGCCGGCATGGCAATCTCCTGGATGTTCAGTCTTGACTGGCGACGGGAACCGAGTGAGCATAATTTGTGCGGTCGAGGATGCACTCTGTTGACGCACCTTCAGGAGAGCGACCAAATCGGCCGCCTGCAGCAACGTAAGACCAGAAATGTCATCCACGATCTTGTTCAGCTTAGGGTCAGCGGCTCCAATGGGTGCTGGCGGCGGAGGTGGTGATGATGGGTCCGTTGCGGTCGCGGTTGCGAGACATCTTGACGAGCTCGCGAATGCGCTGGGGCTAAGATACAGTCAAGACGGGTGCAACGCTGGCAAGCCTAGAGACGTACCGAGCCACGCGATGTGTGCGGGCAATCGCCCTCAAAGCAGAAGAGCACCGTGTCTGAGCAAATGATAAGTGGTGAACAGGTGTGCGCGCGGACGACTTACGGCCATGTTGTATACGCGGAGTCGCGGACGTCGCTGCCAGAAAATCCGGGCTGCAAAGGAACAGGTCGCGTCCGAGCCAGCCACGTGCATCTCACGTGCATGGAGTCTAAGCCGGAGATGCGCCCCGATCGACGGATCACTGCAGCTGGGATATCTTATCAGATACTTCGCACGCTCCCAGCCCTCGTCGACATCGCACTAGCCCCGCAGATATCGCCACCGAAGCTGTACCTTTTTGCAGGCCCTCAACGCTTGTCGGCGACAATTGTGCGGACAAACATCGATGAACCAGCTAAATTTGTCCGTATCCAATCAAGGCTTTTCTACTATGCGATCTCATATCCCGAGTTCGGCCGAGGGGACTCGGAAGAGGTCCATCTCAGCCAGAAGCTCTGGGATCTAAACTTCTGTCCTGAAGGCCTGACAGCGACATCTTGACTCGGATGGCGACGTTGACAGGTGCGAATCAACGTTTCATCAACCCCGGTGCCGATGCGCCGCGCAGGCGCACCAGATTGATCGTATATAAGGTAGTGCTACCAGTGCAGCCTGAGCACCACCTGCAGACGACTCCGAGTCCCGAACCCTACAAGCGCTGATCATCTCTTTCGTACACACATCTCAATGGCTACCTCGCCAATTCCTGTTCTCATTGTGAGTGCAATCGGGACTAAACAATATGACTTCCAGCTGATTACTGCCAATGTCGTGATACAGGCAGGTGCAGGGCCCACGGGACTCGTCCTGGGGCTGACGCTCCTTCAGAACGGCATTCCAGTCCGCATAATTGACAAGGACGCAAATCGCCACCCTGGCCAACGCGGTGCCGGCTTGCAGGCAAGTGCTCCTTGTACGACCCATGGATACGGTGTTTACTCACCAGGGACCGTGCATTAGCCACGGACACTAGAACTGTTCCACTTCCTCGGGGTCATCGACGATGTGCTCGCAAAGGCATTGTTCATCCAACCGAGGCGCGAATACAAACTCCCAGGTGGGACAGAGGTACTCAAGACATTAACGTTGGTTACAATTGAGGAGCCAACGCCTTCAACCCCCCACGTGAGTCCAATACATAGCGATTCATCTAGTTCTCCAAGCAACTTGAGCACACGGTAGATCAATGGGAGGCTGCTAGGCCAATACAACACGGAGGCGATCCTCCGTTCGCACATTGAGCGCCTCGGCGGCACGGTGGAATACGGCACTGAGCTACGTGGCTTCGTGCAGCACCCTGACCGCGTCGAAGCGGTGCTTGCCACCAAGGACGGCGAAGCGGAGAAGACGGAGACCGTGGTCGCCCGCTGGCTTGTGGGCTCGGACGGGGCACGAGGTAAGCCGTCAGTGTCTCTGAACGTCCGGTACGCCCATACATTTCAGGCGTCGTCCGCAAGCAACTCGGCTTGTCCTTCCTCGGTGAGACTCGTACAGAAGGCCAGTTCTTGATCGGTCTGGTCGAGATCCAGGGACTTGTAACCGAGGTAAGTGTCAAGTCGGCTACTACGCTGCCAGCGTCCCCCGACTTATCGCAATACCCGGCAGTACTGGCATCAGTGGGGCGATCTGGGCCGTGGCGGGTGCGTTATACCTAACGTATGCACTAGCGCGTAGAACCATCTAATATTTCCGCAGTCTGGTAATAATGCCTACGGAAAGGCCCGGCTGGTTCAGCTTCATCTTATCTGGGGCCGCGGATGAGGAGAAGCTGCTGGTAGACAGGGATGCACTCGTGGACGTATTCCACAAGCGGGTCGAACGGAAGGATCTGGTGTTCGGGCAAGTCGAGGCGGTCTCGTTGTACAGGTCAGTTTTGTCTACACATCACTGGGCGAATCAATTGACATGGTCGGCCTAGACCGAACATCCGCATGGTGGACAAGTTCGGCGAGGGCCGGGTCTTCGTTGCTGGAGGTGAGTCTGGCAGTTACTAAAGACGTGGTGAACTTGTGACCCACGAACACCGTAGATGCGGCGCACGTTCACAGTCCTGCCGGTGGTCAGGCAAGTCGCACCCGTCGCTGATCTCACGAATCTGCCAGTGGTCTGACATGTTGTCCAGGGCTTAAACTCCAGTGTCCAGGATGCCGTGAGTATTGCGATCTCCTCCTGACATCTGCGCCGAACTGACTGAACCGCACCCAGTTCAACCTCGCATGGAAGCTCAGCCTCGTCGAGAAGGGCATCGCCTTGCCCTCCCTGCTCGGCACATACACCGAGGAGCGCCTCCCCGTCATCGCTGTGATGCTGCAGAAGAGCACGAAGCTCCTGGACGCGATGAACAAGAACGCCGAGGAGGGCTGGAAGCGCGGCGGCGACCTAAGGATGCTCGGCGTCAACCACCGCTGGAGCTCGATCGTCGTCGACGAGCGCACGCCCAAGGCGGAGTCGCCCGAGAGCGTCAACCCATACGGCTCGGGGAATGACGGTGAGCTCAGGGCAGGCGACCGTGCACCAGACGCGCCGGGCCTCGTATCGGTGCGTGGAGGGGCGGACGGCGCGACGTCGCTGTTCAATGTATTCCGGCCTACGCATCATACGGTGATGTCGTTCAATCTGCCCGCGGAGGAGACGGAGCAGCTTCTGCAAGCGGTGCAAAAGTACCCGGCTGGATCCGTCAAGACGGTACTGGTCTTCCCACAGGGCACGTCCGACCCGCAGGTCGCTGGACAACCCGACCTTGCGGTGGTCGACAAGGACGGTCATGCATACGCAGGATACTTGGTCACCCCGGAGAAGCCGACTGTTGCTATTGTGCGTCCGGACGGAGTCGTCGGAGGGATTGTGTACGACTTGAGCGGCTTCGAGAAGTACTTCCGAGGCGTTTTCTCTGCGGTGATTGGTGATGCGTTGTGATAGTACCCGCGCCCATGGTTTCGAATTTCGGTGACATGTACCAGTACCAGTAGCAAATGCTAATCACGAGTCTCTCGCCACTCATCCTCTCCGTTCGAAGGCCCTTGGAAAGAAAGCGACCCGTAAGTGTCTCAAGTTGATCTCGAATATAGCCGTGACGTACAACTGGCACATACATAGCAAGTGCGAGACCTGCAGGAGCATTATAAATATTGAACGCACCTAAATGATGTACGCCGCGATGAACCGCTCTAAGTGCCACGTACGTGCGCGATTGCTGAAGCTGCGTTGCTCATATTGCCAGTGGCGGCAAGTTGCGGCCGTCAAGCGTCGCATTGCTTGCGATTCAAGGATACGATTCGTACCGGCGGTCGGCCCCGATGCGATCTACATCTCGTCGTTGTTGAACTTGTAGTATACGTCACTTTATCAGGAGCGACAAGGACAACCATCGGCGCACTGCGTGGAACGGCGAGTCCAAACCTACTATACGGGCCCTGTTGCGACTCGGGCCGAGGAGAGACGTAGGTTTTCCACATGTCCTGGGGTCCACACTTCTCTCATCCGAGTAGCGACGTTGACAGCAGGCTGTGGCCTAGAATGATCAGACACTTGCGCCGACGCGCCGCGCGTATCGCTGGGCTTGTCGATTCTCAGCTTCATGGTCTGCAAGGAGACTAAAGCTAGTACGTACGCAGCCGTTCGAGCGGCGTATAAGAGGCCGACTAGGACTCTGGGGTAGCCCTGCAAGAGCGGCTCTTCCAGCTTCAGCAGACGACCATTCGGGCATCATATTTCCGACAACGCAATGAACAACACCTCGCCAGTTCCTATCCTCATCGTAAGCGCGGCTAAGAGTGAACTGTTACAATTTCGTGCTGATCATCTTCGACGTTGTGACATAGGCCGGCGCAGGGCCCACTGGACTCATCCTGGCGCTGACGCTCCTTCAGAACGGCATACAAGTCCGCATCATTGACAAAGACGCAAATCGAGACCCGGGTCAACGAGGCTCTGGCTTACAGGTGGGTGATTTGTGCATAGCCAACCGTGCTTCCTCACAAAGAACACGCAGCCGCGGACATTGGAGCTGTTTCGCTTCCTCGGCGTCCTGGACGATGTACTTGCAAAGGCATTGTCTGGCTTTCAGAGGCGCCAATACAAACCAGGTGGGGTGGAGACACTCAAGATAACGACAATAGCTCCCATCGAGGATCCCACTCCTTCGACCCCCTACGTAAGTTTGATCGTCAACATCCAGTAATCTTTCCTTGATTGACATGAATATGCGGTAGATGAATGCGAAGATGCTGGGCCAGTACAACACAGAGGCGATCCTCCGCTCACACATCGAGCGCCTCGGCGGCTCCGTGGAGTACGGCACGGAACTGCGTAGCTTCGTGCAGTACCATGACCGCGTCGAGGCGCTGCTTGCTACTAAGAACGGTGAGGCGGAGAAGACTGAGACCGTGGTAACCCACTGGCTTGTAGGTTCGGACGGGGGCAGAAGTGAGCCGTCGGCGCTGCTAGCAGACAGTGTCTGGTTTGTTGATACAGGCATAATGCCGCAGGTGCCGTCCGCAAGCAGTTAAACCTGTCCTTCGTTGGAGAAACTCGTACGGAGGGCCAGTGGAAGGCGGTGCTCGGTCTGGTCGAGACGCAGGGACTCGGTACCGACGTAGGGGCCAAGATATACACACTGTTAGCGCGCTCCATGACTGACCACAACACCCTGTAGTACTGGCATCAGTGGGGAGACATTAACACTGCCGGGTGCGTTGTCCCTCTCGTATGTGCGGGCGCATATGACCATCTGATATCTTCGTGCAGACTCGCGATGATGCCCACGGAGAGGCCCGGCTGGTTCAGCTTTATGTTCAAAGCGGCCGCGGATGAGGATAAACTGCTGGTGAATAGGAATGCACTTGTGGAGGCCCTCTACAAACAAGTCGAGCGGAAGGATCTGGTGTTCGGGCAAGTCGAGGCGCTCTCGTTGTACAGGTAAGTCTTGTCCACACGCCGTAGGCCGGCTCACCTAATGGGTACCTAGACCGAACGTCTGCATGGTCGACAAGTTCAGCGAGGGCCGGGTCTTCATTGCTGGAGGTGAGTGGCAACAAGCGCATAGTGATTTGACTCACGAACGACGTAGATGCGGCGCACATTCACAGTCCCGCCGGTGGTCAGGTAAGTGGAACGCCGACGTCGTTGAGCTTGAAAGTCTGTCTGACATGCTGTTCAGGGCCTGAACTCCGGCACTCAAGATTCCGTGAGTGTCGTGGCATTGCAACCACGTCCTCCAAGCTGACAAACCGCCAGTTCAACCTCGCATGGAAGCTCAGCCTCATCGAAAAGGGTTTGGCCTCTCCTTCCCTGCTCGCCACGTACACCGAAGAGCGCCTCCCCGTCATCGCCGCCATGCTACAGAAGAGCACGAAGCTCTTCAACGCGATGCAGAAGAACGCCGAGGAGGGCTGGAAGCGCGGTGGCGACCTGCGGATGCTCGGCATCAACTATCGCTGGAGCTCGATCGTCGTCGATGAGCGCACGCCAAAGGCGGAGTCGCCCAACGACGTGAACCCGTACGGCTCCGGCAACGACAGCGAGCTCAGGGCGGGTGACCGCGCGCCGGAAGCACCGGACCTCGTGCCGGTGCGCACTGGAGAGGCGGACGGCGCGACGTCCCTATTCAACGTGTTTCGGCCTACGCATCATACGGTGCTGTTGTTCAATCTGCCCGCGGAGGAGACGGAGCAGCTTCTGCAAGCGGTGCAGAAGTACCCGGCTGGCTCCGTTAAGACAGTGCTGGTCTTCCCGCAGGGCACGTTCGACCCGCATGTCGCTGGTCAACCCGACCTTGTGGTGGTCGACAAGGGCAGTCATGCGTACGCAGGGTACCTTGTGTCCCCGGAGAAGCCGACGATCGTGATCGTGCGTCCGGACGGAGCTATCGGTGGAATTGCGTACGGCTTGAAAGGCTTAGATAATTATTTCCGAGGCGTGTTCTCTGTGATTGGCGAAGCATTGTAGTGTTGTAGATATACTAGATGCTAGTGCTATGCGCCACCATAACCATCGCCATTTGCATCGTCACCACTGTCGTCCTCGGACGGTTCCGGCGTCAGTGAAACGGAGCGTTGCCGCTTGCGCTCGGCCGACACCTTCGTGTTTGGCTGGTGAGCTGAGGCTGCTGGCATCTTGCGCTTTGGCTCTGGCGGTGTGAAGTATCGATAGTTCCTCGCGAGAATGCGCTGGAATTCGATGTCGTAGTCGATGCATTTCATGGCATATACGACAATTTCCTAGACATATTAGACTGTTCTGTTAGTACGGCAAGTCCGCAACCAAAGGCAGTGCACATCACCTACCTCCTCTCCGCGCTTGAAGGCAGCTGTGACATCTTGCCAAGTCAAGTGGCTCCGTGCCTCCTCTAGACGCTTTTTGTCATTGGCAAGTGTTGATACTTGCTCTCCGCTCGGTACTCTGCCGTGTACTTTACGGAAGAAGACTCGGGCAGATGTCAAGTGTCCCCATGACTTCACAAGAATATCTTTTCCCCACGTCTTCTGCACCTGCAAACAATGTTCACATTACTAGTATTCTGAAAAAAAACACAAATACTACCCATACCGCCACTGGCTGGCTTGCAAATTCATCTGTTGTTAGTGGGTCTGTGTGGTACAAACGGTACTGCCCCATGTAGCACCACAGGGACTTTGGTTTGTGCTTGATTCGCACCACCAAACGCTACAACTTGCGAGATCTATCACCTTCACCTAATGAGAAATATAATCCGGGGTCGCCAGGATTGACTGGAGCGTGGGGGTTGAAGGTGGGCTTGAGGCACATGAGGTCGTTGATCCCATGTACTTGGACCTTGTCTTTGTCGATGGTGGGGAAGGTGCCCACAAAACTACCACCGTAGAGGTTGTGGAGGTAGTGCTTGTTGAACATGAAGTTGACCGTCCGTTCGTCCAAGTCTATCGGGCGCCGATCCAGCCCTACAACCTTCAATCGATCGGTGACGACTTTCCAGCTGAATTGGCTGTCCTTCTTGAATTTGACAGTTGGCTGTGAGACTACTACATCAGCAATGATATACTTAGTAGAAGTAGGTGCAGACATACATTCTTGAGCCGCAGGGCTACTTCCCGCAACTCTTCTTCAGACAGATTCCGGTCCGAGTCTGCCGGTCCGACCTCCGGCAGGAGACGCGAGTCGTCGATGGGCTCCGCCTTCACACCCACACCTGGGAACACGCTCGATCAAGACTACGGTACCGCTTGTAGTGACACGCAAACGACGTACCTAGTATGCCCTCTTTTGACTCCGCGGACGAAGGGTTTCGAGCCCGCTCTTCAGCGGCCCGGGACGCTCGGAGCCTCACCTACCGTTACCCGCTAGTCCGTGGATGAGCGCTCGAGCCACGCGCCTCCGCCACACTGCCAGCGCCGCGCGTCGCGTCAGTCTTGCGGCAGTCCCACCTCCGTCAGACGTTGTCGACGCTTCCATAACTGTACCAATGCCCATTGGGCCGATCCGTCGAACGAGGGGTTACAGCAATAACCGCGACGGCAACAACCAGCACGGCGGGAAAGTCCGTGAGTCATTTCCCCGGCGCGCGTGTTGCAACCCTACAGAGTACTACTGTACCCAGATCCCCTCAACGACTGGTTGGCCGGTGTCTTGCGCGGGTACTACAAGACCAATGTGACGGGCTATGTGGAGATCCGGGCGAGGCTTAGAGAGGACCATGGGGTTGATATCGGGTGTGTACATGGTGTACTCCATGTGAAGCGATGGTACTGACTTGAACGCAACCTCGAAGTCGTACGAAGGTTGCCGAGTATTTACGCACACTTGGCCTAAGTGTCCGCAAATGCCAGTTGCCCGAGACAGAGCAGACACAGCTCGTTGTCGACGAGATGGAGCGTGATCCTGCGAACGCAAACGGACCTCGCTGGGTGAAGTCGACGCTCGCTCTCAAGGGCGTACATATTCCGCGGTATGGCCGCGGTAGTTCTATGATTTGATACAATCCGATCACTGACGATAATGTAGGTCAACGGTAGATCGCGTCATGCATGCCTACGCACCACAAGGGTTTGTAGATCGCCACCCGCTCTCACGCCGCAAGACACTCGTTCGAACACCGCTGACCTCTGTCGGCCCAGACGAGGAATGGTCGATTGATGGTCATGACAAGCTCGCTCACGCGGGCTTTGGTATCTACGGCATTGTCGACAAATGGGGTGGCGGGAAGCTGCAGTTCAACGTACTCCCATCCAACCGTAAGGCGAAGGCTTGTCTGGTGGTATACCTTCGTTGTGCGAAGGAGCGAGGTGGTACGTCACAATGTCACGTAGTGTAACTGTGAAACTGATCAAACATTCTCAGGTGTTCCTGTTCAGGTTACAAGCGACCATGGTTCGGAGACCGGGGACATATTTGCCCATCAGACAGCATTACGGTGAGTCTCACGTACTACAGTGAATACTGTGAACTCATTCATTGCAGCCAGAAGTATGCGCCGGAGCTCGATTCCGATGTGATCCCTGCGTACCGGTATACATCAAGCCCGCGGAACATCACAGTTGAGCGACAATGGCGCCCCTTGTTCCAGAAGTGGGGTGTCAATGTCCTGGCCGTGTACAATGCTGGTCGCTACAGTGCAGACTTCGACGCGGGCAATTACATGCATGGGTAAGTCCTAGATCTCCATATGGGCTTGATATACTTGCTCAGCTATACTCATAGGCAGCTCGCGAACTGGATCTGGTTCCCGCTCATGCAGCGCGAGCTTGACGCTTGGTGCAACAGGGAGAATGGTCAGTACATCCGTCATCAGCCAGATAAACTTCTGCCCTCGGGTGCGAAGCGTTTGGACTTCTATCGTACACCTGCAAAGTGGGGTGGTAAGCCTTGTCTTGTTCCTGTTCCTCAGGCTGAGTTGGAGAGACTGCTGAGCAAGGCTGAGAAGGAGGCTGAGAAGGATATGGAGTATGTAGATGAAGAGTATGAGGCCTTGGCTGAGGAAGTACATGCAGCAATTGGTAAACCAGAGATAACACTAGATACAGCTTGGATAGTCTTTAGGCAGATGGTTGCTGCTGTTGAGGCAGAAGCTTAATACTGTCCTAGCATTAATATACTGTGATTGATGAGACTACTCAATGGCACTTATGAACTGTGTAACAGTCTGTAGTGAATACACACATCATATGAGGACTTAGCAACAGTGTTGGGTGGTCAGATAATGGGGAATGACTCACAGACATTGTCTCATATGGCCCAATATCAATCACACAGGGAGTACAAACCCCAGTTTACATGAAACAAAATTAGATTTGGTATGAACTAAAAGGCTGTAAGTAAATGGCTAAAGGAGTGTTGTATGTTACTGCTGGATCCATCTGCTGTGCATATTACACCAGGAGCTTCACCTAGACTGCATCTACACAAAAGGCTGGAGCTTGAGTTTGGAACAGAGTCCTGAGCATGCATGCTGTAGCTTGAAGGCCAAGATAGCATCTGGGCCTTGATCTTGGGGCCCTTCATCACCAGAGATGCTATGGTAGAACATCAATACAGTCAACAGAGACAGCTGAACAAGTCATGCTCACGAATGGATCACAGGATCATATATTTGCAACTTGGCCCCACCCTCTGTTATGCTTGCTGAGGTATTCATCAGCTATCAGTAGGATGGACAAACAAAGACTGGACTTACTCTTGAAACTTGCATACACCTTATCACCACCACAGCTATGAAAAGTATAGTGTGAGAGGGCTACAGTGAGGTCATTGATCTCAGCATGGATCTCTGGTGCAAGGTTACCAGATAGCTCCTCAGCAACAGCATTTGGGCAGCAGTCTAAGACTGTCTTGGGTACTTCACTGCTGTCCTCAAGTTCCAAAGCAATGAAGTGATTGGGAACTTCAATGTCTAAAACTGAGGGAATGTTAGCACTGATCTACAGTGAAGAAAATGTTCTCTTACACCATGCAGACTGCTTTCCCAGCACTGTCATAAACTCTGACAGCAAGCCTCCAAGCTTGGCTAACCGAAGGACTTGAAACTGCGCAGCATCTAGCGTTGAGTTGTAGACATTGAAGCATTGGGCTCCGAGGAGAACAGAAGCATCATCGTCAACAAGAAGCTACAGGATAATTCTTAGTAGGCGATACTGTACACAACAAAGGCATACCTCTCGCACTCTGCTTGAGTTGCCAGCAGCCAACGGAATATGAAGCTTCCCCTGGAATGCATCAACAGATCTCTGAAGTGACCATGTTCCATCCCGAAGAACAGGCTGCTCGCAGAAAAATGTGATTGCGCGATGAAGGGTGATAGGACGCAATGGTGATGATTTCGATGAAGGCTTGACTAGTGGCGCCTTACGGCGTGCAGTACCTGTGAGAAGATGGACCTATTAGCGTGTAGATGATACATAAAAGACATGCATACGCCGAAGTTGCTTCCTTGGTCGTGCTGGCTCAATAGGCTCTTCCTTCACCTCTACCTTCACTTCAACCAAACCGTCATCAAGCTTCTCCTTCTTGATGGGTGGAGGTGAGGCTGAGTCAGACAACCGTTCCTTGCGCTTGCGAGAAGTCTTGCGTTGACGGCCACGGCGATCATGATCACCATTGTCATCAGACGCCGCGTCGTGACGCTCAAATGGTCATGAGCTTGTACCTTCAAGGTCTACAAGAACAAACTCACTGGACGAGTGCAGCTTATTGGCACGAGAACACCAATGGCGGGCGAGAAGTGCTTGATCTGATGCTCACTGAAGTACAGCCCCTTCCGTTGCGTATGCATGTCCCAGAACTGCCGTACAGACCCATAGTTCCTCGGCTTGATCTGACTGTACTGTGACGTGATCTTCTGCTTGAAGGTGAGGCATATATCACCGCTACAACTGATGGTCAGGAAATCAAACAAACACGGCCAAAATACGTACAACGCAATGACGGCATCATCACCATACACCTTCCTCCACTGACTATCCTCGCTGTTCAACTCCTCCATGACCTTGTCCACCAATACATCCATTTGCTGCCTCATGACGGTGAGAATGCTATCACTTGGAACCGATGACTAATCACTCACATCATTCAGCGCAACATCGCACCGGAATGCTGGGATACAAGTACCCGATGTTTTGCCATTCTCATTCATCAACATGACGTCGCAGTGGAATGTCAGCAACTGGACAGTTGACGTGGATGTCTTCAGTGTGGCAGCCCTCTGTTGGCCCTGCCGAAGCTTGCTGAACTTCGCTGTCGTAAGCGTAGATGAAGACGAGGGCGCAGCCGGGATGCTCATCGACCTCCCCTTCACTCGGTAAGACGTTACCGTCTTCCTATGGCGATTGATGGCGTTGTCGATAGGTTCCAGCTCCGCATTCTCCACTTCCTCCTCCTCGTACTCAACAACTTCAATATCCGAAGACTCGGCGATCTCGAGCGGCGTGTTCTGATTTCCATTTCCGGAGACAATGCGAGGGCCCTTTGCAGGAACAGGGCGTTGTCGAGACGGTGAGGCGGTGGTGTGGCGCAGCTGTGACTGCTGACCGCGTCGTATGGCCGTGCTTGACGTCGACGCTCGTACAGGAGCCGCAGCAGTCCTTGACGTTGATGCCTGTGCCACGGCTCCACCAAGAGACGGAGCGCGCGCTTGCCCCGCTGCGGACAGTCTCGAATTAGCTCAATACATGAAAATAAGGTTAATAGAGGACTCACCGGAAGGCGCTGCCGCGCGTTGGTCTTTGTCCACACAGAGTGCACAGAGTTCTGCCTCCAGGTAGCGGAACGTGACTCCACACCCCCCGCACTGCAGCAGTTTCTTTTGTACAACATATCATCAAGCTATGCATGAAGCAAAATTCAATCATTGTACGCACCGAGATCAGTTCCAAAGCCGCCGCATCTCCCGCACCCTGCCGTTTCTGACACTTGGAGCAGTCATCTCCGTCCATATGTCGGAATGATTTGCCACATCCTGAGCAGAGGCCCATAGGTATCAAAGAGTAATATAAAGAAATGAGTGTGTTGCGACGAGAGAAGACGAGTACCAATCCCCGCCGTGAGCGACTCAGAGCAGACTGAGGTCTCAACGCGAGGACGGCGCGTGTGGCGGACGCGTGGCTCGAGCGCTCATCCACGGACTAGCGGGTAACGGTACTCACCGAGTCCTCGTACGTCGGGACAAGAACAAAGTCTATGAGCTCACGCGAGCGTCCTTTGATCCGGGACTTGAACAACGCGTCGTCGAGAGGTTCCGGCGCCGGCTCCTCCTTCTTGCGCGACACCCTCGGGCGGTTGTCGCCCTCCGCGGTGAGGTCTAGGCTTGCGATCTCCTCGACTTTGGGGCTCAACATAATGTCCACTGAGCCGCGGCGTGGGGAGCTAATGAGCAAGGTTGAAGGAAGTGGGAAGACGAGAGCCCCGTGCGGTGCGACACTGAAATGAGCGAGGCTAAGCAGCAACACTAGTGAGACTCGGGCGTCGGTCGAGTTGAACTTGAACTTAGAATTGCCGCCCGAGTACTGTCCTTCCATACCTGGCAGGGCATTCGCGCCGCCCACGAAACGCTCTCGGACTCTCGGTGTCTGTGGACTGCTGCTGGATTATGGGTGCACTAAACGCGTTTTTTTGCAGTCCTGCTATCACACTCCGTTCTCAGCGAAAGCGAAAACATTGTAACTACAGCCGAGTTACATAGTACGCTGAAGATGCCGCTGCGACTATAGTACTGGTACTATGACCGTCCAGAGTGTTACGTTCATCAACTAGCGCTATAGTCACTACATAAGGGGCGAAGAACTCATTCTCGCGAAGCATGAGGGAAAGGGATGCTGCACTGCACCGATGCTATAAGGAGCGCTTCAATTTCCCAAATCTGCAACGAGATGCGTAGCTTCGTCGTGATCTTGCGGTAATCATAGCGATGCACGGTCACGTCGCTGAATATCGCGAAGTTCTGTGATGGCGAATCCTGATACGGTCGGCAGAAGCAGGGGTTGATAAAAGCGTGTTTAAGCTTACCGCTGGCAGTCTCTCGAACATTGCACTTTGCGACAGATCTGAGAACAGACGAACAGCAGACATGATGATATCGAGATGGGCGGAATACATGCCTGTATTGGCCAAGAACCTCGTTGACAATTCGAGGTATGTTCCTATCAGACGAGCAGGGTGGCTGGACCGCCGGTCTGTCAACCTTGTCCGCACGAATGCACGAACACAGAGCGGGCTCACCTTGTCCCCGATGTTCCCTTCGTCGCAAGATGACAGGGGCTAGCAGGTCAGACAGCTGATACGCAGTAGAGCAATGTCGAGTGGGCATGGTGGGCGGGAAGGCTGACGGAAGGATCTGTTGATCTGAATGGGGAGCGGAGGGCGGTCTCGACACTGACAGGCAGCAGCCACGTTCCGCGACCGAAGAGTCGGAAGCCCTGCCAATACACTCCCCAACCGAACGTCTCCCATCACCCGCCTATAAACGGGCCCTCCTCTGCCAGCCCCCGCCCCGCCCCCCGTCCGGATACCTTCCTCGTCGTCGTCAACGTCGTCAAAGTCGCCAGTGCGGTGAGTGAGCTAGCGTCTTCGAGCCCCGCATCCAACAACGCGCTTATTCATATTCTCCGCTGCCGCCCCGCGTCACGCGTCCATGGTCGATGTCATCTCCAGACTCCAGCACCTCCAGCAGCAGCCTGCTCGCTGCCTGTCAGCCCCCGCACATTGCGCATACACTCACTTCCGCCCAGCATAAACGCACCCATACACCGCAGGAACCCCCTCAACGACTAATTCACGACAGTGCAGACGGCGATGACCGAGCTACACGAGATTACTTTCCGGTGGTGCGTAAACAAGCCCCTCTCCGGACGATCGTACACGCAGGCTGACAGGCACACCCATCCTTCACAGGCCCTACACCGACGCCCACAACGTAATCGTCACGGGCTCCTTCGACGGGGTGAGTCTTCCCATCCACCGCGCGCGTCCGTCGCTGACGCAGCGGACCGCTATCCTCCCTTCGACGTGACTATATGCGTGCTGGCAGTGGTCGAGCTCGACGCACCTCTCTAAAACGCCCGCGGGCTTCGAGGGCACCGCGCGCGTGCCGTGGGGCACGAAGGTCGTGTACAAGTACATCGTCGACGGCCGCTGGACCACCGCGGACGGCCAGCCCACCGAGGTCGACCCCATCGGCAACCTCAACAACGTCTACTCCGCCCCACCCGCCCCAGAGCCGAAAGCAGAGGAAGCGGCGAGCGCAGGCGTGGTGGACACGGTGAAAAACGCGGTCGCGGGGCTCTCGCAGACCGCCGCGGCGATGGTCGAGGCGATGGCGCCTTCCGTCGAGAGTCCGTCGCCCGCCGCAGACTCCACACCCGCTGTGAAACCCACATCGTTGTCTTCCCCGCCCGCAGACCCGCAGCCCGCGCCATCACAGGTAGAGCCGACACCAACAAGCGAGCCCGTCGCACCAGGGGTTGTCTCACCGCCCTCCGAGCCCGCCGCGCCGGAGCTCGCACCGGAGGCCCCTGTGCACATCCTCCCGCTCGAACCCGCGCCCCCTGCATCAACGATCGTTGAGGGCACTTCGGTTGACCCAGTCCCAGCTACGAACGGAGTGAATGGCACGAGCAAGGCGTACGGCGGGATAGACGGGGAGAACGCGCCGTCGACGCACGAGGTCGCGGGGGAGTCGCTCGTGGGCGAGGCGAAGCGCGAGCAGGCGATGGAGGGCGAGCCCGCAGTGGTCGTCCCCGAGAGCGCCGAGAAGCCCGCCACGAACGGCACACCTGCACTGGAAGAGGCGAAGCCCGCCGTGAACGGTTCCTCCGAAGAAGCGAAGCCCACCACCAACGGCACCTCAGAAGCGAAGCGCGCCCCCAACGGCACCCCCGCGCCCGCCTCCCCGTCCCCACCGACCACACCCAAAGAAAAGTCCAGCCGGATGCGCTTCCCCTCGCTCTCCGCGCGGCACAGCCGGCGTTCGAGCTCGAGCGCGCACGCGTCCCTCACCGACCTCGGCGACTCCCCCACGTCGAGCCCCGTGAGCAGCCCGAGCAAGGAGAAGCTGGAGACGCACGCGAGTCGCGCGGGCGCGGGCGAGACCGTCAGGAGGAAGCGGACGAGCATATTCGGGAAGCTGAAGGGGATATTCGACTCGCCCGGGCACGCGAACGGGCATGGCAAGCCAGCGACGAATGGCGCGTGAGCGTGCCTGTTGTGGAACGAGCGGACGGGGAGTGGTGGAAGTGGATAGACGGCCGGGCGTAGGCTCGGCGTTACGACTCGTCATGCCTGTAGTTAGTTCTCTGTGTCTCGGTTCTGCGTCTGCGTTTGTTCTCTCGAGTCCCGTCTCTGGTTTGGATTACCCCTCTTGCTAGTCAGTTCTCTCGTAGATAGTACATATTAACTCGGTATGTTGGCATTCGCCTTCAGCTGGATCACATGCATAGCGGACAAACGCGTCGATACGGCATCTTGCCATTCACATTCATAGGATCGGTCCCCCGTCGTAAGCCCCGTCAGCAATGTGCTTGATGGTGCCCGGAATGCGCGTCACGCAAGAATTGGTTGGGGGGAGAACATTGGGGTCAAACGCGTGTACAAGATACAATTGAATCGAACAAACACGCCGTCAACGAAGCAGGAGCATTTGGGCGCACTCTACACATGCGAAGGGGGAACAAGGTGGAGCGGGCAAGAAATGTCCGAACGCAACAAGTTGACGAAGGGGAGTACAGTAACGGCAAGCCGAACAAGAAACCAGCCAGACCGACCAGGCAAGCAGAGCCAGACCCGCACCGCATTCACGCCTTCCCGCCCTTCTTGTCCGCTTTCCACTCTTTGAAGATCCCGTCCAGGCTCTTGTACAGCAGATGCGACGGCAGCGAGCGGATGATCTCGCCCGCACGCTCCTCCACCTCGTGCTTCCCATTCTCCGGCGAGACACGCTTCGCGTACTCCACCGCGAGTCGGAAGATCGCCAGCACCGCGAGCGAGACGTGCGTCTGCTGCGCGCCGTGCGCTGCGCCCGGCGAGAGCGCAGTCAGTAGCGGGCCCGCGAGATTCGGCGAGGCCACGGCGGGCGTCGCCTGCTGGAAGCCTGTGCCCGAGCGCTCTCCCCGTACTAGCCGGAGGAGGATCTCGAGAATGTTGTCGGTCTCGGTCATGTGCGTGCGGAGGAAGCGCTGCCGCTCGGTTTGTTGGCCGATGTTGGAGTTCTGCGCCCATGTCTCGAGGACGGTCCAGATGGTGGGGGCCTGCAGACTGCGTGAGGACAAGATAGGTGACGGGGAGCGTGAAGGACGAACCGGATCGGGGTCGACGACTTGGATCTTCTTCTCCCAGCCTTCAGCCGCGTCGCCGGCGACCCAGAACATGCGTCCGAACATGCTCTTGAGCCACTCGTGGACATCACCGGTCTTTACCCATCGGGGCTCAGACAACGGACGTTGACGATCGAGCTGGGCGATCAGGGTCATCTTCGTCGGAAGCGTGGCTTTTGAGAATGGCGGCACAGTCGGATCAGCTTCCATGGCTTCCGACATCTCGAGAGGCAGGTATGATGCAGCTGCCTCCGAATAGGCTTCCATCTGTGGGAGGAAGTGAGCAAGAGAAGTTGCTGATGATGAGGTGCACGAACCATGATACCCTTGTATCCCCCGGCATCGTCTCTGTCGACGTTCATGTACACCTCGATACGAGCCTCGGCTCTGAACACCTTCAGCGACTCGACAATCTCAGCGTCGACCACCATTCTGCGCGTGCCCGCGGCGTATGCCGCAGAGAGACGGTTCGCAGATGCAACGCGGCCAGACTTTCCGGCCTGCGAGCTAGATGGATCGGGAGCGTAGGGACCACCATTCGATAAGAACGATTCGTCGACCTGGTAGGAAGTCTCGTCCGCAGGCTGCGTTTGATCCATGGCGGATTCAGTAGGCGCAGTATCTTCGCGGTCTTGTTTTTTGCCTTGTACGTCTGTATCGGGCACGGTAGAGGCGAGCGATTCCGTAGCTTGCAACGGCGCAACTCCAGCCTGTACTGAAGCCTGAGCATCACCGTTCGAAGAAGGGTTAGTGACACCGACAGCAGAAGATACGGATGCTGAATCCACAGAAGTAGGAATGCCGGGAGATGCAGATGACGGAGCGGGTGCAGAGCCATTGACAGCATTGCTAGAAGGGTCTCCAGCCCCTGATGAAGCGCTAGGGCCGCTGTGCGCCGAATTCTCTGGGCCAGGGGCAACTTGTGGATCGACGGACATACCGCCCTGTTCGGCAGACGGTGCATGCTCGTCATGCTGCTGTTCGCCCGCATCGTGAGCACCCTCGTCGCCACCCACGTGGTACTCGTCATGACCCTCTCCTTGAACATCATCATAGCCAGAAGTGTCTTTAGAATGAGAGAAAAGGAATCAGTGGTGCGAACGCAGCCGTTCGAGCGCGCTCCGCGTCCGCACTGCACGGGCCCGAACGAAAGAGGGAGCTTACCATATTCGCCCTCCGCGTCTGCGTCAGGATCATGATACTCGTCGCCATTTGCATGGTCTATGCCCTCGCCCTCCCCTTCTTCGCCGCCAATGGCAGCCATGAGCCAGTCGCCTTCGCTGGCCGATTCCGCAACACTCGGCGCGACGCTATCGCGGCCGAACGCAGTTTCAGTCCCATCCATACTAGCAACATCATGCTCGTGTCCCATCTCTGAGGAATGCGGCGCCGGCGGGGGAGGACCACGACCATCCTCGACATCACCATCATCATCCTCCAGTTTTTTACGCTTGCCCTTCCGAGAAGTGGAGGGTTGAGCATATGGAGCGGCAGACGAAATGAGATGCGAATCGTCAGCAGTCACAGGCGTGTGGAAGTAAATGCGAACCCGCGACGGCGGAGGGGGCAATATGGCCGTTGGCTCCGACTTAATGACAGAGGCCTGGCTAGGGCCAGAGACATCTCCAGACGCTGACGCCGCACCTGCAGCAGGCGCGTCGGACGTGGTAGCTACAGGCTCTGTCTTGACAGGAGAGTCGCCCGTGCTTTGAGCACCCGCAGTCGCAGTAGACGAAATAGCAATCGGGACGTCCTCCGTCTTGACCGGTGCATCGGCAGCATCAGACTTCGAGACACTCCAGCTCCAAGAAAGCTCGGGAATCTCGAGCCCCACGATCTTAAAATCGGTCAGCGTGCGCCGATTCTCTTCTTTCTTACCGGACGAAAACCCGGCAGAGGCTACGCTCGCGTTGTCTCTGCCGTGGCTAGCATGAGAATCATGCCGAGCTCCGCGCGAAGAATGCGTGAAGCCCTGGTTGCGGCCGCGGAAACTGTTGTTATTCGAGTAACTTTGGTGCTGTTGGTGATGGTGCTGCTGCTGCTGATGGTGTTGGTGTTGGTGCTGCTGCTGGTAGCCTTGCTGGTGGCCGTGCTGGTGGAAGTTACCGCCAGCATTAAACGACCCACCTCGACGGTTGTCTCGGTTGCCGAAGCCGCGGTTCGAGCTGTGGCCTCTGAAGCTGCCGCCGCCCTGTCCACCTCCACCACCTCGTCCACCCGCGTTGTTGAATCCTCCACCCCGTCCACGGGCAGCACCCCTGTTCATGCCCATCGGCCCACCGCGACCGCGACTACCCTGGTTGGTGCCGCCGCGTGCGGCATTGAAGCCTCCGCGACTACCGCCCATAGGTCCACCTCCACGACCAAAGCCCTGGTTCACGGGACCTTGCTGGCCCTGCCCGAACATGCCTTGCTGCTGCATCGGTGGAGGCGGCGGCGGTGGCTGGAACTGGGGAGGCGGAGGCGCGGGTCCACGGTTCTGGTTCGGCCCGTCGAACCGTTGTCGCTTCGCTGGAGGCGGCTGAGGAGGCGAGGCATGATGGAAACTGCGGTTGTTCTGGCGTTGCTGCTGCGGCCTTTGTTGCTGCTGGAAGAACGTCTGTTGCTGTTGTTGCTGGAAAGGGGCGGGAGCAACAGGAGGCTGGTAGGGCGCAGCAGCGACTTGCTGAGGAGCAGGGCCGCCTTGGGGAACATATGGCTGCTGGTACGCCCCCGCCTGGGGCTGATACGGGTTGTATGTCGGTTGAGGGGGTGGTGGTGGTGGCTGCGCGACGGGCGGCGGCGGCTGCGCCTGAAAATGCTGCTGAGGCTGGTGGTGTTGCTGTTGCTGCTGCCAGTTACGGTTTTGCTGGTTGCCGTATCCATAGTTCGCATACAACGCAGACTGGTCTGCGGGAGGTCTCGCGGTGGCAGCTTGGGCCGCCTGTGCGGCTGCGGCCGCTGCAGGCCATTGCTGCGCCGTGTATGATTGCGCCGCCTGAGTGTGCTGCGCTGCTGCAGCGGCTTGCCAGTACGCAGAATAGTCAGGTTGCGTGGGCTGAGGCGGAGGGGGACCAGGAGGCAAAGGGGGTTGCTGAGGGGTATACGCAGCCGTCGTGACAAAGGGGTTTTTGTTCATCGTCGCCGCTGGAGAGCCAGAAGACAGAGATCAGGGTTGATCTCCAACTAAGAGAATGAGTAAGGTAGGCAGTCGTTGCGAGCGGTGGCGACGTGGACGTCTTCGACAGAGGCCGGCGGGTTTTGCATCGTAGCGGAGTAAAGCGGGAAGTCACCTTGCGTCACTCCGTGACACCACCCAGCTTTTGCGTCACGCTGCCCGCCGAAACGACGCTCAAACCACGAGATAGAAAACGTGCGCAGAAAGTTGATAGAAAGTGTAGAAGAATGGGAAAAATGTAACATCTACAGCGCTGCCATCCACTAGGACTATGATGCACTCTCATCTACGCCCTCGACTCTTGCCTTCTTCTTCTTCTTTTTCTTCTCTTTGCGCCCTGAGTCGTCGTGGGGCGCTGCTTCCTCCACTTGCTGCTCCCGCCGCCGTTTGCGCTTCTCCTCAACCGTTGGGGCAGCATCTTCGACCGGTGCCACGAATGCCTCGGCACGCTTGACACGCCGCTCTTCAGCGACTTGTTCTTGCTATGAAAACAGTCAGAATAGCTGCGAGGACAAGAGGCGAGCACCCCTTACCTTCTCTTTGCGTTTCCGCTCTTCACGATCAAGCTTCTCGTGCGCTTTGAGGAAGTACTCTCCAGATTCTAGTTGCAGGTCGACCTTTCGAGGCATCTGCGGTGGGGGGAAGGGGGTATAGACCTTCTTTGCAGGCGCCTCCTTCTTGCCCGCCCCAACCGGTTCCAAGCCCGCAGTCTTCCGGGCTTCGTCCTTCTCCTGTATCCGCTCGTTCTTCCGTGAAGTCTTTTCAGAGGTCTTGAGGTGGTGTCTACGGAACTTCGGTAGAAAGCGGTCCCATGACTCGTTAGCCAGCTGGGGGTCTTTTGCAAGTTCGCGCTTGATCATGAGCTCCTGTATATGTAGGCACATCGTAAGAACCTGCCGCCCACTGAAGGACATTGTGCTCACCTTGATCCTGTATATAGGGTGGATATTCTTCATGCAGTCGAGTACTATCCGTCGGACCTCCTTAAGGCCCTTGTATGGCCCCATCACACTGACGGTGTTCCCTTGTACGAGAACGTAGCATTGTGTCAACAACTCGATTGCCTATGCTTGCCGTTAGGCGCATTCAACTATACAGACACTTCATGACTCACCTTGAGCGTACTACCGTCAGGTCCTATGATCCTCTGTCTCCGCTTCACGAAGCGCTCCTTATTCCGGACGATATTGCCTATCTTAATGATATCGCATGCCACAGCGTCGTCAAGGATCTTCACAGCTTGGCCGATGGCTACACCACGCGCGAGGAGCTTGATCATATCCCGAGCCTTCAGGATGATGTAGGGGTCGTAAGTTTTTCGTGTAGTCCGAACCGACATGGATCCATGGATCAAATCGAGCGAGCAGGCTATGCCCTGTAGCGTGCGGTCAGAGGGAAGACGTTAGCGTTTGGCGGGTACGCACATGTGCATCCAAAGCCTGTGTAACCGCACTCCATACCTCCCGCAAGTACTTTTCTCTGTACTTCGGGAACAAGGTGGCGAACGAAGACTCCTCCTTGAAGGTACCGCCCTTGTTATCCTCATGCTTGAATGTTTCGATCTTCCACTAAACAGGGCTTAGGAAAGGTTAAGACAAGTTGACAATCAAGCTTACACTAACAATCACTGTGAGTATGGAGAACAAGGCAGGCTTCAGAAGACGAGCTCACTGGTCTATGTCGTCCGTGTCCCAAGCTATCCAGTGTATGAGCGTCGGAAAATGTGGTCGATGTAGAGTATACGTACGCTTTTCCTTCCTGTTCTTCTTGTTCTTGTTCACCACAGGGGCTGTCTCTGAGGCTTCTGCCATTGAGGTGCTATGTGTGATCGAGGTGAAGCTGAAGTATTGAAGACGAGTACTCGACGTTCGGGCTTGTTTCGGGCCGCTCTTTTGCGACAAGGGAAAACGGTGTGACGTCACGTGGTCGTGACATCTAGCGGTCCGGGAGTCGTGCACGGTGCTGTGAGCACAGACAAAGACCACTTCGATTCCACTCAGACCTCTCCTGTACTTCATCTTCCGCCCCCGAACATGGATATCAATCCAGAACTAGCTGAAACCGGCGTAGAGACTCTTTCATACGATGATATTACCCCATATGACCAGCTTCCGCCTCCACCGCCCGCCGAACCTGGTCACGCCCAGCTCGCCGATCGAATAGGCAACACGAAGGTATATCTGCTCTCTGAAACGGCGGGGACGCGGCTAGGAAAGGTGCGCCGGTCGAGTGGTTAACGAACGCAAACGCAAGAACCTAACGAGAGAGTCACCGATGACTTGCTCGACGCTCCGGACCGACCAACGACCAATAGCGAAACCATGTGGATGCTGAGGACGGAGACCCGGAAGGAGACATAGAGATGGAAGAAGGTTGCTCGCATGTCCGAACATTGCTCTCCGTGTGTCTGATGTATGTCTAGACTCTCAGTACAGAGGCAATGCCATCCTGCTGAAGGGCACACCGATCTCGCATCTACCGACACAGAGCATCTTTGCGTACGTCTCGCACTTTGACTCGCGCCCTATGGCACTAGAGTGGATCGACGACACGACATGCATCCTCGTGTTTCCGTCCAAAGCCGCTGCGCGGTCTGCCCACCGTCTCCTCACAAAGTCTATCGCGGAGGAGCCGTCACTCGAGGACGGGTCCGTCACTGCGAAACCCATCCCCGTCACACTGTGGCCTCCCGAAGACAGAATCAACAAGAGTCTCGGGAAGGGGGAGGGGCTCAAGGGCGTGATCCGCATGCGATGGGCCACGCGGCAGGACGTGAAGAAGCGCGGCGCGAAGAGCGAGAGCACGTTCTACAAGAAGTATGGAGACAAGGCTGGGAAAGTTGGTCGGGGCGATGAAGATGAGACGGATAGAGATGATGGACGGCAGCGGAAGCGGAGAAGAGGGGGCGAGCTGGAGGAACGGATAGAGAAGGGCAAGTTGGACGAGGAGCTGGACTCGTTCCTATCCAGAGAAGCGCGACCCGAATCCCCTCCGTCAAGGATGCGCTCGGACCGCATACGGTCGAACGGGAAGTCCCTCCTAGAACGCACGTCCGCCGCGCCTACACGATCGCTCGCCGATCGCATCATCGCAGATCTCCCTCGACGCGCGCGTTCTCCAAGGCGAGACAGGCGCGGTGGGCACGAGGAGAGGACGGAGCGGGAACGAGGGACTCCGCGGCCGCGGAAGACACAGGAAGAGCTCGATGCGGAGCTCGACGCGTTCTTGCAATCGAGAGGTTGAACTACTTACACGCTAACTTATTGCCTTGTTACCTGTTCTACGAACCCAATTCAGCTACCATTTATTACCGAATCCGGTCCGTCACAAGCTGTACAACGTCATCCTTCCCTGCATTGGCAGCTATCCTGGATTCCTATACACGGTATCGCCAGGCCCTCTATAGATGATAATCATATTGTCCTGCGGCGCACGACGGTCATTCAGCGCATGCTGAGAGCAGCAACGTCCCAAGAGAAACACTTCGTTGCATGCATGACTAATTATTCGAGGCTAGAGATATTATGTCCAGTGGTATGTACTACCTCACCAGTCAAGGTCGCACTCATATGGCCGCAACGCACACCACAGAGGCTGCAGCGGTATCGAGCGCACACCGCGCTGTTGCATCCGGAACGATACGTCGTGTAAGCGTGGCAGCGCAGCTGTGACGTTGCCACCCGCGCCGCTCCAGAACACCTCAGCGGAGGCGGCAGCGCGAGGCCAAATTATCGGGTCGAGGTTATCGGGCCCTGATTGTTCGGTCCAAAGCAATTGCTGACCTGAAGTGGTGTGAGCTCATTGTCGACGAACTAGAACCCAGGAGACTCACCGCCCATGATCTGGGAGTACTGGTCGGATGTCAGGTTGGCGAGGGGATCGAACGTGTAGGCGTATTGCCAGGTCTTGAAGGGGTCGCACCAGCTGTTGCTGAATGCACGGGGCGTATTGTTATTTCGTGTCATGCATGCCGATCGAAGGAGAACCATACCCAGTCGGGTCGCCACCGACCCACTCGCCTGCACCGCAGTCCTAGATCGCCAGATGAGCCTGAAGACAAACTCCATCACATTGCCATCACTCACAAGGTAGAAGTAGTTGGATGCCGCGTGAATGACCCTGAAGCCTTGGTCCACCACTGCCTTGACATCGTCCGAGGATATCCAAACGCTAGTGAAAAGACAAGCATTAGCGGCGAGTCGTGCGTATGTTCCAGGTACACTGACAGGACAAGCGTATCGGATGAAAGGGACAGGTTGTAGTCGAGCACCATCTCTACGTAGGCTCGCACATCAGTATCGAACTCCCATTGTAAGATATCCTACGCGTACCTTCCCAGACAGCAGGTGTCTTCCCAGCAGCAGCGAGCGCGCCATGCGTCCCACGAACGTAATCCGTCAACGCCTCGTTGAATGTCCGGCCGGTGCTATTCAGGTCATACTGGGTCTCCTCGTCCATGTCGTAACAGTACGTCTGAATCTCATCGCCGCCCGTGCTGACCATCGATGACGGAAACATTTGCGCGACTGCCGTGAACAGTTCCGCACTCCAGTTCGCGACCGTCGCATTGGCGAAACGGAGCTGGCCGGCGGGTGGCTCTGAGACATCCGATTGAGAACCTCACTGCGAAAATCATGAAGGCTTCCGTACCTCCGGCATACGACGCCCAGGGGCGAGCCAAGTAGCAAGCAATGAATTCCGGATGAGATTCCCCTATGATGGAAGTATGCCCCGGCGTGTCGACTTCAACCATTACGTCGATACCTCGCTAAACAACGTTCTGTCTATCAGTTCCGCGTTGTACATCTAGCACGGGAACTCTCACCGCGCCTGCGTACGACACGATATACTCGACGTCATTCGGACTGTAGATCATCTGTGGCGAGTATGCGCCATACTCGGAGAGTTCCATGTACCCCGGAATCTGCAGAGGAAAGCTCTGGCTGTCGGAAATGTGCCAGTTGAATTCATTGATCTGCGACGGCACTTAGCACTGTAGATTGAAGGAAGAGCTGTGATGCTGACCTTGACCAAACTCATCGTGTCCAGCGTCCGTAGTATGTCGGATACCGGGAAACTACGTCACGCCGAGTTGAGTGAGACACAACGCAAGCCTGAACAGAGGTAGTGCGAGACGCACTAGTTACGTGCTGTGTCTAGCATCAGACCACGATATGGCTATAGCAGGAACGAAGCAATGTGAGAGTCTGAGGAACTTCGACGATGTACATCTCTCGTACGTATGCAGGCACATCCTCAATTTGAATAGGCGTGTTCACGGCGTAGATGGTCCCATCATATTCGTACCACAGTTGTTCGAAGGTTGTTAGCCCTCTGAGGAGTCCAAGCGTAGAAGTCGCCGTGATTGACGCGACACTGCCATTAGACGGAACGGTCAGGGTGTACGCTTCGTCCCTCTCCTCCAAGGGCTTTTGAGCTTCGGCAGTGATTGACAGGACGGAAGAACCAGGTTCCAGAGACAGCGTCAAGCTAGACAAGTAAGCCGCCGTCTCGAATGTACTGACGTCGCCTGCTCCACGACCCACAACAAGTCTTCCCAAATCGTCGGTGAACAGATGGGACCTTGTTCGGGAGATAGCATCGTATAAGTCTTGAGGAGGTTCAGAGATGCCGGGCGAGATCGTGATGTCGAAGTTCCCAGAGAGGCGTAGAGCGGTGTTGCCCTGGGTGAGATTCTGAGGTAACGGCCAAAGAGCACCGACCAGTGAAACGGCGGCCGACAGGACCAGCCATAAAGACATCATCGCGGGGTTCGTGCAGGCCCCAACGCTCTTGTGGCAGGGTGCCCCGCTCCTTAAATACCCTACCTGTGAGCCAGAGTCCGTCCAATCGTGCCGTTATCGAGACCACATGTGCGGCTTCTTTTGAAGATAGCCCGGGAATTTGCTGCAACCCTCCTAAAATAAGTCGACACGAGTTCTCTGCCGGACGGACGTCCATATAACCCATTAGGCCTACCTGTCATACACACTGTGGTCGCTCACGGCGTGACGAGATCGACCTGCTTGGGTCACAACTGTCGCTCAAGTGCGCACTCATCTGAGGCGGTTGCAAGCCTAGAGTCTTGCTGATCTATCAGGGATAGGCGCAGACACCGAATCATCCGATTCTCGCATGAGTTTTTTTTGTCAAGCCGTCAAGATTACAGTAATATGCAGATCGAAGGACTACGTACCGAGTCCAAGTTCACGAACTTGAATTCGCGGTGATCAGTAACATGTACTCGGAGAAGTATATCATCTGCTGGTACGGTTGCAGAGACTGCGGTGCATCAGAAGGCGGCGTCGTCGACAAGCAGCTCTGGAGGGAACATCGTCCTGTCTGAGGAGGTGCACGATTGGCCAGTGACTTATGTGGCGGAGCAAACGACTCGGACGAACGTGGGCCGTGGCCAGGTTCAGAGGCGCGCAGAGCGTCTCGCAGGCGGTCCGGCTCAACCGCTTGACAAAAATGGAAGGTGACTTGCCGTAGCCAGTACTGGCGCCGATCGACTCGAGTCTCACGTCGCTGCTTAGCATCGTTCATAACAGCGTCACACCGCACGGGACTCTCGTCTTCGCAACACTTTCAACCTTTCTGGCTAGTACTTCCCACGACGTGGCTCACTAGGAATATGTTGAACCCCAAAGTCGAGGACATCGCAAGCCTAGTAGACCTCACCGCGAACGGCGACAACCGCCCAAGGGTGTCGCGCAAGAAGGAGGAGCCGGAACCTCTCGACGACGCGTTGTTCAGGTCCCGGATCAAAGGACGCTCGTGTGAGCTCATAGACTTTGTTCTTATCCCGACGTACGAGGACTCGGTGAGGCCCCGAGCGTCCCGGGCCGCTGAAGAGCGGGTTCGAAATGCTTCGTCCACGGATTCAAAAGAGGGCGCAGGTGCGTCCTTTGTGTGTCACTTCAAGCTGTAATCTTGATCGAGCGTGTAGTCCCAGGTGTGGGCGTGAAGGCGGAGCCCATCGACGACTCGCGTCTCCTGCCGGAGGTCGGACCGGCAGACTCGCACCGGAATCTGTCTGAAGAGGAGTTGCGGGAAGTAGCCCAGCGACTCAAGAATGTATGTCTGCACCTACTTCTACTAAGTATATCATTGCTGATGTAGTATTCTCACAGCCAACTGTCAAAATCAAGAAGGACAGCCAATTCAGCTGGAAAGTCGTCACGGATCGAATGAAGGTTGTTGGGCTGGGTCGGCACCCAATAGACCTGGATGAAGTGACGCTCAACTTCAAGTTCAATCGACACTACCTGCACAACCTCTACGGGGGCAGTTTTGTGGCTACCTTTCCTCGGCCGGACCCCAAGAAGAGACTGGTACACAAAGTCGATGACTTCATGTGTGTGGTGTTAGACCTCAACCCACATGCGCCTATCAATCCTGGTGACCCTGGGCTGTTCTTTTCTGATGCACCAGCGGATGACCTGGGCAGCTTCACCCGTACTTCTTATCGTGTCTGTGTGAGGGTACAGGAGAAGCCTGCACTCTGGCGCTATATGGGGCAGTATCGGATGATTGTCTCAGAGTCACTGACAACTGACGAGTTTGCAATGCAGCCAGTTGCTGTACGTCACTTAATTGTCATTGCAACATTGGCTTTATGGTTGACAGAGCAGCACATCTGCTACAGGTGCAGAAGACGTGGGGTCAAGACATCCTTCTGAAGACTTGGGGCTACGAAGTTGCTGCTCGAGTCTGGTACCGAAAGAGGCATCAACAGGAGCCTCCTGAGGATGAGATCTCCACACTTCTTGAGAGCAAATCTCATATGGCCACAATCTGCAATGAGCTCTCCTGGGAGGACATTATTACAGCATTCAAGATCGGAAAAGAGGTGAGCTGTGCAGTGCTCCAATCACGGTCTTGAGCGTACAATACTGACCACCAGTATAGGTTATGGGCATATATGTAATGAAATGTGTCGGCTATGACATCGAGTTCCAGCAGATCCTTGCAAGGAACTACAAGCATTTCACGCCACCAAAATCAAAGCAAAAGCCGCGGGGTGACACGAAGGCGGCTCTGAAGCGCAAACACAGGTCTCCCGATTCAGTGACACCGGAGCCATCCGAGGACGACAATATTGACGACGCGGATGGCAATGACGACACTACGGTTGTAGTAAACTTGGTGGATGTGGGGGATCAGTTGGATGTTGAGCCTGAGGTGCTGTGTGTCGCACCGAAAGGAACGCGCTCGCGTGCACCGGCGAAGCGGTTGAAGATCGAGTAGGATGCGCACCGTGCATTTGGGCAACGGTACCTCACATGAGTGCGTACTAGTGCTTTAAAGTTTGCATCGTCGCTCAGCCTGCCTTGCACCTGTTGTTTTTACGGACTTCAAGTTGCAGTTCTTTGCTATTGGTCAAACGGATCTCATTCGCCAGACATGCGAGGACTTCGGAATAACTAGAGCGGGGAGTCAATGATTATTACTATCGGCTACTAGTACAGCACAGGTTGAATTTCGGGTCCGCGGGTATAAACTACTATACTACAGCGCATCGCCAATCACAGAAAATACGCCCCGGAAGTACGTCTCGAAGCCTTTCAAGCCGTATGCAATCCCGCCGATGACTCCATCAGGACGCACGATCACGATTGTCGGCTTCTCCGGAGACACGAGGTACCCTGCGTACGCATGGCCACCCTTGTCGACCACCACAAGGTCGGGTTGACCAGCGATGTGCGGGTCGGACGTGCCCTGCGGGAAGACCAGCACTGTCTTGACGGAGCCAGCCTGATACTTCTGGGCCGCTTGCAGAAGCTGCTCCATCTCCTCCGCGGGCAGATTGAACAACAGCACCGTATGATGCATAGGCCGAAACACGTTGAACAGGGACGTCGCGCCGTCCGCCTCTCCAGTGCGCACTGGCACGAGGTCCGGTGCTTCCGGCGCGCGGTCACCCGCCCTGAGCTCACTGTCGTTGCCGGAGCCGTACGGGTTCACGTCGTTGGGCGACTCCGCCTTTGGCGTGCGCTCATCGACGACGATCGAGCTCCAGCGGTAGTTGATGCCGAGCATCTTCAGGTCGCCACCACGCTTCCAACCGTCCTCGGCGTTCTTTAGCATCGCGTCGTAGAGCTTCGTGCTCTTCTGTAACATGGCGGCGATGACGGGGAGGCGCTCTTCGGTGTACGTGGCGAGCAGGGAAGGAGAGGCCAAACCCTTTTCGACGAGGCTGAGCTTCCACGCGAGATTGAACTAAGGTGGTTCGTCAGCTTGTAGGACGTGGTTGTAACATCACGACACTCACGGAATCCTGAGCACCGGAGTTCAGGCCCTGAACAGCATGTCAGACAGATTTTCAAGCTCAACGACGTCGGCGTTCCACTTACCTGACCACCGGCGGGACTGTGAACGTGCGCCGCATCTACGTCGTTCGTGAGTCAATTCACTATGCGCTTAGTAGCCGCCAGACTCACCGCCAGCAAGGAAGACCCGGCCCTCGCTGAACTTGTCGACCACGCGGATGTTCGGTCTAGGTACCCACTAGGTGAGCCGGCCTACGGCGTGTGGACAAGACTTACCTGTACAACGAGAGCGCCTCGACTTGCCCGAACACCAGATCCTTCCGCCCGACTTGCTTGTATAAGACCTCCACAAGTGCATCCCTGTCCACCAGCAGTTTCTCCTCATCCGCGGCCGCTTTCAACATAAAGCTGAACCAGCCGGGCCTCTCCGTGGGCATCATCATCACTCTGCGCAGAGATATCAGGTGGTCCTACGCCCCGCACATACGAGAGGGACAACGCACCCGGCAGTGTTAATGTCTCCCCACTGATGCCAGTACTACAGGGTGTTGTGGTCAGTCAGGGAGCGCTAACAATGTGTATATCTTGGCCCCTACGTCGGTACCAAGTCCCTGCGTCTCGACCAGACCGAGCACCGCCTTCCACTGGCCCTCCGTACGAGTTTCTCCGATGAAGGACAGGTTTAACTGCTTGCGGACGGCACCTGCGGCATTAACATCGCATCAGCAAACCAGACACTGTCTGCTAGCAGCGCCGACGGCTCACTTCTGCCCCCGTCCGAGCCTACAAGCCAGTGGGTTACCACGGTCTCAATCTTCTCCGCCTCGCCGTTCTTGGTGGCAAGCAGCGCCTCGACGCGGTCAGGGTACTGCACGAAGCTACGCAGCTCTGTCCCGTATTCCACTTTGCCGCCGAGACGCTCGATGTGTGATCGGAGGATCGCCTCCGTGTTGTACTGGCCAAGCAGCTTCGCGTTATTCTGTCGCACGTCCGTCACGGTGTCAATCGGGGATAAAGAGTCGACACCCGAACTCACGTAGGGGATTGAAGGCGTTGGCTCCACGATTGAAGTCATGATGACTACTTTGAGTATCTCCACCCCACCTGGGAGCTTGTATTGATGACCGGGCATAATGAGCAATGCCTTCGCAAGCACGTCGTCGATCACCTCGAGAAAGTGAAACAGGTCTAGAGTCCGTGGCTAAATCACGCGTTTTCTTGTGAGCAAATGCCGCAATCCAAGGATTCTACAAGGAGCACTTGCCTGCAAGCCGGCACCGCGTTGGCCAGGGTTGCGATTTGCGTCCTTGTCAATTATGCGGACTGGAATGCCGTTCTGAAGGAGCGTCAGCGCCAGGATGAGTCCAGTGGGCCCTGCGCCGGCCTATGTCACAACATCGAAGATGATAAGCACAAAGTGGTAACAGTTCACTGCTAGCTGCGCTTACGATGAGGATAGGAACTGGAGAGGTGTTGGACATTGCGTTGTCGGAAATTAATACTACGTGTGATGCCCGATTGGTCGTCTGCTGAAGCTGGAAGAGCCGCTGTTGCAGGGCTACCCCATCCTAGCCGGCCTCTTATACGCCGCTCGAACGGCTGCGCACGTACTAGATATAGTCTCCTTGCAGACCATGAAGCTGAGAATCGACAAGCGCAGCGATACGCGCGGCGGGTCGGCGCAAGTGTCTGACCAGGCCGCCTGTCAACGTCGCTACTTGGATGAGAGAAGTGTGGACTCCAGGACATGTGGAAGACTTACGTTTCTCCTCGGCCCGCGTCGTGATAGGGCCCGTATAAATCTGGACTCGCCGTTCCACTCCGAGTCATGCGCCGCAGTGCGCCGGTGGTTGTCCTTGTCGCTTCTGATAAAGTGACGTATACTGCAAGTTCAACAACGACCTGATTGAGATCGCATCGGGGCCGACCGCCGGTACGAATCGTATCCTCCAATCGCAAGCAATGCGACGCTTGACGGCCACAACTTGCCACTGGCAACATGCGTGTGAGCAACGCGGCTTCGAATTCAGCATTTGCGCACGTAGGTGGCATGCGCACTTATAGCAGGCCATCGTACATCATTGTCCTGCAGGTCTCGCATTTGCTATGTTGCAGTTGCCAGGATAGTATCGATATCAACTTGAGACACTCATAACTCGCTTTCTTTCCACGGGCCTTCGAACGGTCGGAGAGGATGAGTGGCGAGAAACTCGTGATTAGCATTTGCTACTGGTACTAGTACATGTCACCGAAATTCGGATTCATGGGCGCCGGTACTATCACAACGCATCGCCAATCACCACAGAGAAAACGCCTCGGAAGTACTTCTCGAAGCCGCTCAAGTCGTACACAATCCCTCCGACGACTCCGTCCGGACGCACAATAACAACAGTTGGCTTCTCCGGGGATACCAAGTATCCTGCGTATGCATGACCGTCCTTGTCGACCGCCGCAAGGTCGGGTTGTCCAGCGACCTGCGGGTCGGACGTGCCCTGTGGGAGGACCACAACCGTCTTGATGGATCCAATGGGGTACCTTTGCGCAGCCCGGACAATTTGCTCCGCTTTTTCCGCAGGCAAATTCAACAGCAGCACCGTGTGACGGCTAGGATTGAACACGTTGAACAGCGACGTCGCGCCGTCCGCCACGGTTGTTCCAGCGCGCACTGGCACAAGGCCTGGCGCATCGGGCGCACGGTCGCCCGCCCTTAGCTCGCCGTCATTGCCCGAGCCGTACGGGTTCACGCTCTCCGGTGACTGCGCTTTGGGCGTGCGCTCGTCGACGACGATCAAGCTCCAGCGGTAGTTTACACCGAGCATCCGCAGGTCTCCGCCACGGTTCCAGCCCTCTTCCGCGTTATTCTGCATTGCGTCATAGAGTTTGGTGCTCTTCTGCAACATCGCAGCGATGACGGGGAGGCGCTCCTCGGTGTAGGTGGCGAGCAGGGACGGGGAGGCGAGGCCCTTCTCGACGAGCGCAAGCTTCCATGCGATGTTAAACTTGATGGGAATCGTCAGCTCGATGCAGCCATTGTAAATAGTGTGACACTCACGGCATCTTGAACGCTGGAGTTCAAGCCCTATCATGGGTGTCAGGCGGGCTTCGACGGATGGATGATGTCTATGTTCGGCTTACCTGACCACCGGCGGGACTGTGAACGTGTGCCGCATCTACATCCTCTGTGAGTCGTTCTGCTGGCATGCCCAGTAGCAACCGCTAGACTGACCTCCAGCTACGAAAACTCTGCCCTCGCCGAACTTGTCTACCATGCGGATGTTCGGTCTACAGACAATAGCGAATATCAGTGAGCCATCCGAACGGCCACTATATATAGATGAGATTAACCTGTAGTATGAGACTGCCTCAAGCTGACCAAACACCAGGTCTGTTCGCTCGACTAGCCTGTAGAAGGTCGCGATGAGTCCATCCCTGTCCGCCAACAGCTTTTCCGAATCTGTGACCCCCGTGGTGATGAAGCTGAACCATCCAGGCCTCTCAGTGGGGATTAACAATAGTCTACGTGAGAATGTTAGGGTTTCACACGTTTGCCAATACACATGGGGCAACGTACCCGCCAACGCCTATGCTTCCCCACATGTGCCAGTACTATCGAGCATCGCAGTGAGTCGGCGGTTAGCGAGCGTCGGTAGATCAAAGCAAGTAGCATGGCTGGCTTGACACCCACCTCCGTATCGAGTCCCTGTGTCTCTACTAGGCCCAGCAGAAACTGACCCTCCACACGAGTCTCTCCGAGGAAGGACAGGCCCAGCTGCTTGCGGACGACACCTGTGGTGGTGCAGATGCGTCATGCGTCAGTGTATCAGACGTCCAGGAGCGCTGACACGCTGACGGCTTACCTCGAGCCCCGTCAGAGCCCACGATCCAGTGGGCTACCACGGTCTCCGTCTTCTCTGTCTCGCCGTCTTTGGTGGCAAGCACCGCCTCGACGCGATCAGGGTGCTGCACGAAGCTACGCAGTTCCGTGCCGTACTCCACGGAGCCGCCGAGGCGCTCGATGTGCGAGCGGAGGATCGCCTCTGTGTTGTACTGGCCCAGCATCTTCGCGTTCATCTACCGCATGTTGATGTCAATCAAGGAAAGATCACTGGGTATTGACGATCAAACTTACGTAGGGGGTCGAAGGGGTGGGGTCCTCGATGGGAGCTATTGTCGATATTTTGAGTGTCTCCACCCCACCTGGTTTGTACTCGCGCCTCTGAAAGCCAGACAATGCCTTCGCGAGTACATCGTCCAGGACGCCGAGGAAGCGAAACAGCTCCAATGTTCGCGGCTGCGTGTTCTTTGTGAGAAAGCAGTGCACGGTCAGTCATGCACAAATCACCCACCTGCAAGCCAGAGCCTCGTTGACCCGGGTGTCGATTTGCGTCTTTGTCAATGATACGGACTTGGATGCCGTTCTGAAGGAGCGTCAGCCCTAGGACGAGCCCCGTAGGCCCTGCCCCTGCCTGCAATGGATCGTCAGCGATGATCAGTCACGAGTGCTGATCATCATTGTGACTAGTGGCACTTACGATCAGAACGGGGGTTGAAGAGGTAGCCATTGAAGCGAGATTCAGTTGAACCAAAGTCGAGTGTGGCTCTACGAGTCGTCTGCTAGAGGGTCAGTTCAGCTTTAAATACGGGCGCGATGCTGTAGCACGGCGGCCTATGTGTCTCTCCCCGAGCATTCGAAACACTGTGATGATTGACATCTGAGTCAAGCTGTCATGGCAGTAGTGTCGAAGCTGTGGAGGTATACGAGGGTCTCCACCTCGGCCGACGGGGTCGGGCTACACTGTTAGGTGCGCATGCGGGCAACATGCGGGTGTAGATGACATGACCGGACGTGTCCCCCCTTCGATTGATGGCCCAGAAGACTCGAAGCCTACGAATTGCGTTCTGTCAAGCAACGCACGGAGAAGGCGTGGGTGGGACACTGGTACTTATACGCAGTGCGCAGGTTCTTCGACTGACATGATGGCAGGGTTGACAGACTACGCCCGGGGATCGCATGATATGCCTTAGCCGATACCGCATCCAACACAATCAACTCACACTGATATATGAGCGAGCGCAATGTAGCAATGCTTACTGCAAACGATTCGGCATTGGGCAAGCAACCTCAAGCGACGTTGCGCCGCGGGGGTGGTCCGGTTCCGAGTCGGAGGAAAACAACGCGTCCAGGAATGCGCATGGTATCTGATGAGTTGGATCTACGTCCTAAAAGCGCGCACTGTCAAGACACTGATGATCGCATGCGACATGAACATCAGCAGGTGGTGGAGGTTGATGGAGGAGGGGTTTGAGGAGAACAACCAATTCGCCAGCGACCAAACTTCACCAAAGGCCTGAAATGAGAACAGCAAACTCATTATCCCAACATTATACCAAGCTCACCCTGTCCGCTAGGCGTTGCATGCACTTGGCTACGAGCTGGTTTCATGCAGCCCAGGTTCCTGGGCTACGACTTGGAAGTCTTGACGACGTCCGCGACCACGAACATTGACAACATGGAGGAGGGAGCCCGCCGGGCTGGACGGACCGGCGCTTCAAGCGGGCCCGCCGGAACGACTCGATCGCGCCGCTAACGGCCCTTGCCCCTCCTCTCGCGCTCTCTGATACATATTCACGCCGACTCATCTTCGATTGTGTTCGTCGCTGTTGGCTTGCTCCGCGACAGCCAGATAACTGAGGAACTGATAACTCTTTGTACATGAACTATGCAACCTCAACTTGAAGAGGAACCGACGGTTGGCAATCAGGCTGTGCAACACATGAATTCCGAGCCTGCCATGGCCAGTGAGCAGATAGTGGAGCCACCACTGGCACTAGATGCAGATGTCGATGTCGGCGCTGCGTATGCATTGCACGCAAAGACGGAGCCTCTCGGTGACGCTTCTAATTTTTCTAGGGCCCTGGGATCTCGCCGTGCGCGCATGAGCCACATCCTCTTGCCCACCTACAAAGAAGTCAAACGCGAGGAGCTACGGAAGGCCGCGCTAGGACAGACTCGAGATAACATATGTGAGTAGTTTTCCATGTGGCCGCCGTTGCTGTGGTCGCCAATGCTACATACTCACTAAGTATGGCATTGAAGCCGATGCCACCATTAGCAAGGCAGAGCCCGCCGAGGACATCAGCTTGGACCGCATCCCGTCAGCTCCGGGTCGTGTGGTTCATGTCTTATCCGACAAAGAAGTGCAAGAAGCTGCTTCACAGCTAACGAACGTAGGTTCTTAACGATCGCTCTGCATATAAGATTGCTGAACAAGGTCCTCAAGTCGGCTGTGAAGATCAAAAAGGACTCGCAGTTCAGCTGGAGGATCGTCACCGACCGCATCCGCGCGGTCGGCCTGGAGCGCCACCCAATCCAGCTCAACGACGACACCACGCTGAGCTTCATGTTCAATCGGCATTACCTTCACGACCTCTACGGTGGAAGCTTCGTCGACACGTTCCCGCGGCCCGAGCGGCGGAAGGTCCACTTCCACAAACTGGATGACTTCATGTGTCTGCGGCTCGACTACAACCCACACGCCCCTGTGAACCCAGGAGACCCCGGCCTACTCTTTACATACAGATCTGCCGATCGCCTGCGCAAGTACGCAACTGGATTGAACCGGCTCTTCGTGAGAACGCAAGCCACTCCGGCGTTGTGGCAATATATGGGACAGTATCGATTGTACCAATCGGAGTGTCTCACCAAGGACGAGTTTATCAGTCAGTCTCCCGTGGTGCGTCCTTCCAGTGATACTGCTATGGTTTTCAACTGCTCAAGACGTCGTGTCATGCAGGTCCGTAAGACATGGGCGAAGGCTGTTCTCAAGAGAACGCAAAGTAACGACATCGCCGCCAGGGTGTATCTCCGGAAGACCCACGAGAGAGAGCCATCACAGCGCGAAGTGTCCAAGATGCTCGATAACAAAAAGCAGATGAAGATGGCGAAGACGAAGCTGACGTGGGCAGACGTCGCAGCTGCTTACGAGCGAGGCGAAGAGGTGGGTCTGATTCGCGCTTACTGCGAGAGCCATTCTAATATAAATGAACCAGGAAATCCGTGTGTACGCGATGAAGTGCGTCGGCTATGATGTCGAGTTCCAGCGCATCCTCGCGAGGAACTACCGTTTTTTCACACCGCCGGAGACGAAGCGGAAGACAGGGCCATCTAATTCGACAGGTGCGAAAGCGTCCTCGAAGCACAAGCGACGCCGTTCGGTGTCAGCGACACCTGAGCCATCCGAGCCCGAGTACGATGATGATGCCGATGGCAGCGAGGATAACGGGGAGATCATCGACCTGGTGAACTAACGGGGAGATCATCGACCTGGTGAACTCCGCGGGTGAGTCGGACGTCGAGGTAGTGCAGTACAGACCGAAGGGGACGCGGTCTCGGGCACAGGCGAAGCGGTTGAAGACGGAGTAGAACACTGCCTCGATGAAGCTCATATTCTTGTTACGCTTGTAAGTGTCTGCCGTCTCGGTGTTTTTGTGCAGCGTGTTGTTACCGGCTGGGGATTAGTAGGAACCTCTTGTTGACATGCAGAATCGCAGAACATATCTCTTGTGTACAATACGCATGGCCTTTTCTTGGCCTATCTCTGCATAGTAGAACAAAGCTGAATTGGGATGTCAAGCCATTATGAAGGCCTCGAGGTTGAGGTTGACCACACTTTCCACTTAGTGATAACGTTGAAGTCGTCAATATTCGTGTCGTGATAGTATACACGAGGTCATCGCACATCATCGCAAGGCCGAGTGAGCGTACAGCTCCAGCGTTCCCGAAAGACTCCCTCGTGGCATAATAAACACCGTGACTAACACGCAAGATACTCACCTGCAAGCCAAAGTCACCTTGCTAGCATTTTGGGACGAAACCGCGCCGCCGATGCGGACTTAGATGTCATCCTCAAACAGAACGAGCCCTAGAACCTGTCCTTGGAGGGCTGACAATAGTGTGCGGGGCGATGTCAACAAGATTAGGATAGAAGTGCCAGCACTTCAGCTCTCCTCAACAGGACCCAGCTGTAGTACGCTCTCTATAGTTCCCTGTCATAGAATTGCATATATCGTACACAACTACACACCATCATTTATCGGCTTCTCACTTCTCGTCGACGTTCCTGCCTGGACCCTTGACTCCGGCTTTAGGAAGAGTCTCAGGCATCGTCACAATCCCAGTTCAAACATACAGTCGGCTGATGACGTCGCTCAGCGTTTCCTCGTGAGTCGCAGGAGCGAGATCGCTTCGCGAGCGTATACTTCGCGGTCTGGGTCATCTGTCACCTACGGAGTTGAGTGGCAACGAGCGACAAGTTAAGCGCAGCCTTCGTGAAGTATTGAGCAAGTGCGTACCTCGGTCCAGGTGAACTCTCTCTTCAGCAACGTGAAGAACCGCTTGTCGGCCTGCATCAATCAGTCAATACCACCCATACACATCGCGCGTGCGTCGATATCGTAGACAAACCGTACCTTTCGCCGCTTCTTGTAGCAGAATAACACCTCTGGTCTGTCGGAGGCAGCGTCAGAATCGGAGGGGCGCGGGACAAGCTCGGCGAGGGTGTGCACGAGGAGTGGGAACGCAGGTTCGAAGTAGACGCAGTCGGCAGCGAGGATCACGGAGGGACGATGGATGTCCGGAGGGAGTGGCGAGCCCCTGCCCTGCGAGCGGTGTTAATAAATATTCACGTGATGCACGAGCCGAACAGGTAGGACGGATGGGCGACAATACTAAGGAGAAAAGGAAGCAATGGAAGAGAGGGCACAAACCAATTCAGCTCGGCGACGTGTACGTGTGCGGAGAGGTCGTTCATGGCTACGTTGCGCCGCATGATCGACAAGAGCGGCCTACGTCAACATGTTACCAGCCAATCCATATTGATCGCACGCGAGAGCTGGTACGTACGCCTGGTCGGTGATCCATACCTCCGCTCCTAGCTTGCCCGCGACGAGCCCCACGAGGCCCGTGCCGCTCCCGAGCTCGAGCACCGTCTGCCCCTCGAGAGAGCCATGACGCGATATGTATCGCGACAGTACCTATCCATCGACAGGCTCTGTCAAACCCCGGCTTCCTGATGAATCGAGCTTTGAATAGCGCACCTCTCCCGCAGGCCAAGCAATACCCCCGCAGCCCGGCGAGGCGTCCACCACAAGCTTGATGAGGATGTCCCCTCTGCAAGCATCCGCACTTTGACCGTCTTCCGGGCCCCGAGGAAACGCGAGCTCGATTCTCTGGTTGAGGATGGACGGGATCTGGGCGGGGACTAAGCCGTCCGATGTGCGGGTTGTCTTGGGGTCGGAGTCGAGGTCGAGGTCGTCGCGGAGGTGCCGGAGAGGGTCGAGGTCATCGAGCTTTTCTTCGAGGGCAAGGTCAATCATGTTAGGCTAGGCGGGGTTGCTGCACTCTATCATACAGTACTGTGTGAGTTACATATGCCGCTGCGAGCAGTCACTGATGATGATGATGATGAAATCTGCATTTATTAACCGCCACAAGCAAACAAAACGTGCTAAGACGCGGCGACTGCCGGTGCGTACAATAGTGGGCATTATAATGCGCCACTTGCAAGCCGGTAGTCCTGTCGGGTAAGTGAAATCGTACTGGTAGTCTATGGTCGTTTGTATGTAGTAGGTGACGGGTTACGAGGCGCAATGAATGCGGTCAGGCGGGTTCGTGTGTAGGCGCGTGTGCGCGATGTGCGCGGTAATCAACCGGTTCGTCCATAGTCATGATGCATGAAGTTTAATAAATTAGCATGGGGGGAAGAGAGAAACAGAGAAGGAGAAAAGCGGCCGGGTACGGTCCTGTCGATCGGTGTCTTCTCCCGAGGTCGCAAGTCGGGATTGCACCCTCGGTGCACGTGTTTGTTGGGTTTGGTATGGGTAGAGGGGGTACGGGCGGCGTCGCCGTGCAGCGTCCGCCGACCGTGCGAGCAGTCACTGAGTCAGTAACACTAACAGAGAACCGCGCGGCGATCGCGATCGCGCACCACGTGATTTTATGTCAGGGACGCGTTCAATCCGAATTCATCTCGTTTTCTCGTTTCCTGTTCAATCCGACTCGGACGCACCATGATGCATGAAGCTTTGAAGCTTTGAAGCCCTGAGCTATGGCTACGGATAGTAACAGCATGGAATGCGAACGTTTGATGGATTGCAAGAGCGCAAAGTTGCTTTCACGAGACGATAGTGCATTAAAACACGCACGATGTATGACTTGCACATCAATTGTCGATGGTCGTTACAACGAAAGAGCTTACGGCCACTTCGCCGTCTCCGATTCCCAACCACTACACTTCATATCATCCACTGAGGAGGTTCTTTAGTACTCATTCCCTACTCTCCAGTCCTTGTAAAAGTACCCCATGTGCACGTTACAGCGCACCGTCTGCACCTTTCAGCTTGACGTTATAAATGCCCGACGCTTCTGGGCTATCAAGTTTCAGGTGCGCCTCCAGCAGTTCAGATTCGCGCTCGACGCCTGCGTCTTTGATGCCGTGTCTAGTTGGTTGACCACCCGATAATCAATGCACCGATAAGCAGCTCATGATAGACGCAGCTTACCGTACTTCGAGGTGACGCAGTGCGGTGCTCCGGTAGTCGAACTTTTTTTTTTTTTTTTTTTTTTTTTTTGATTCACCGAGTTTAAAGCCCATACGCCGAGGTACATGCAGGCACTAATAGATCACTACCGAACGCTAAGACCGTTCCTCCCGAGCCCCATTTCCCCTTGTGGGTCCCTGCGGGTTACTCTCCTTCGTGCCTTGTTGAGTCCGAGGACGGGCAGTACCGTTGAGTGCTGGCGTCGAGATGTCGGCGCCAGACGCGACCCCCCGTAGGTAAGCGCTCCAGTCTTCATGATAGCAGGCCACGTGAGGTGCGATACCCCATTCCATCATAAACTCCCAGCTGCTCCCGCGAGCCCAGGAGCCTTGAGTACCGCCTGCAGAAGGATGGCGGCTTATCTGATGCAATTCACGAGAGCCCTTCCAAAGGCCCCCGCCTCCCTCCCCCAACACGTCCAGACATACCACATACCGCCAGAGACCCAGACCCCACTCCACACCATATCCTATGCTCCTAGGCTGTCGCTGTCATTCCACGGGTTCATCCCGCAGTCGCGACTGCCGCTTTTGCGGTCGAAACCCGTTGCGGGTAGCGTGTAGGGTCGGCCGTAGCCTCCCCGCAATTGGGGTGTGCTGTTGGAGGTGCGCGTGGCAGGAAGAGTGGCAACCGTCCTGAACGGAAGAGGGAATTTACGACAGGATAGATAGATGTCGTCCCGACGCGGAGGGCGTGGCGGAGTCGGTTAATGAGGGGGTGAGAGGATCGAGTGGTGCAATCTGCGAACAACGTGAGGCGTCCGCAGTCCCGATTGTCGATCGAGTTGGTCGATGGTGTCGTAGAGACTGTGGGGGCCCCGTTGGAGGGGTCTTGACACTAGGGAGGAGGGAACGGGCGAGAGATGGGGCAGATGGGGGCCGATAAGCGGGCGCCTAACGGTAGATGGTGGAGGTACGAGGTCAAGGAGGGATGCCGGTAGTCGAACTTGTCCTTGCATGTTTTGCACACAAACCGACTGGCATTCCTTCGACGCTCTGCTTCGAGTTGCTTGGCCTCGTCGAGCTCTTCGGCATTTGCCAGCCGCCAACTCTTGGAGTAGGACACGGAGTCTCGGTATGTCATCTAGAAGGGGCCCACATGTTGAAGAATCGGATCGTGATATGACATCAACCAGACTCACCGCAGCACGCCAGGTCATACTGTCTTTTTCGTTTCGTACGAACCTGACATCTAAGGCATCCATCTCTTCCGCACGCACAGTTTGCGTGTTCTTTCCGCATAGTTCGATCAGCCGCACAACCTCGGCAGGAGGATTGGTTACAGCGAGTAAACCTTCGGTGATGGTGGGTTGCTCAGAGGTACCGTAGCCACGGCCTTTGAATTGCCTCGAGACGAACTGCCAGTATACGTATACGTCTGATCCCGCTTGCAGCCGAGGTGGATTCCGGCGGAAACATCCGTGCTTCATGACCTGCGAGTAGAAAATGGTCTGGGCGCATATCTTGCAACGGAACATTGTCGTTGCGAGCTCCAGTGCGTCCACATCCGCCTCGTCAGGTGTAGTTGCTCCATTTGAGTCTTTGTTGGCAGATTGGGCGAGCAGCGCTCGGAGCGAGTCTTGCATGCGCGTGTACCGCTGCTCTGCGTGCTTCCCGATATTCGCTTCCAGCACCATGAAGCTTTCCTTGTTCACCTCCACACCGGGCAGAGAGCACACGATCTCGCGGAACTCTGGCATGAGTGCGATATCGCCACGGCTCAATCCACGGCTGCGTGTCTCTTGATGATCATGGAGGATCGACAAGGCACACTCCATGGCCTCCCAGCGCCCGTTCAGTCTCTTCGTAAGTTCAAGCGCGAGGCGCCTTGCACGGACCGCTTCCATACACTTGACCATTTGTTCGCATATGTTTTGCCAACCTAGATCGGTGCGACGAGATGAACATTCGTGAAGGAGAGAGTGACTCAGAAAACGTATACGTACTGCGTTCTGTGAGCTTCCTGGCCGCCCGAACGTGCTTGTGTTCATAAAACTCGTCGTAGTCATTGAGTTCAATGAAATCAAGTTCAGGTCCCCATCCGAGATCACGCAATCTGGACATGATTCTGCAACATGGAACGGCTCAGCGTGGACAGCATGATGCATTACGCCGTAACATACTCTTGAAGCCGATCCCCTTGGATCCCAGCTCGTTCCTGTTTGTGCATTCTGGCTTGCTCCTCGGCCCACTCCGAGCATTCCAATGCGTGCTACATGGCGAAGCGGTCAGATTTATCCCATGACCAGTACTAGTATAACATGGACTTGCGATACTTACATCCTGGATTTTCCGTACTCGCAGTATCTCTGTGCCGATGAACAGTGCTAACTCGTGTTCGTTGTTTGCCTTGACCAATTTGTTCCAAGTGTCCATGGTTTTCTGGACCTCAGACTTCAAGTAAAGCGCCTTGCTCTCGCGAGGCCTGTTGACGGAGCACTGAATGGAACAGCATCCAGCTTATGCACGTAACAGATCCTATGTTTGGATTTGCATACCTGGTTGAACATGTCCATTGGTATGTCCTCGAAGTCTGCATCTCTCGACTCAATTGTGCTGCCGAAATAACAAGGTCAATTTGCATCCCGGTGAATGCATGAGGTGACCGTGACTGACCTCAGACGAGAGCAATCTTTGCAGAGACGCATATAGCATTCCCATAATATGCCACTATCTGCAATGTTAGCCTGTCCGCATGCCTGGAGTAGAGTGAACGACGTCAAAGCGAGTCTATCAACTCGAGGTGCTATGGCTTACGCTGCAATGCTTCGCGAAGAGGAACGAGGTCCAGGTAGGCTCAATGAGATGTTCAGGACAAGAGGGTAGCCCTTCCACGTTTTTCAAAGATAGCTTCCATATATATGCGGAGCTCTTCTTCATCAAGAACGCGTGAACAGACTTCGACGACCATGAGAGACTAAGAAGATCGCGTGGGCGAAGATGCCGCAAGATCTACACCAACATGACAGTCAATAGGAGTCAACGGTTCTCAAAGATGGGCATACTTCGTGAATAACGTCTATTGGCATCTCGAGCATGTCTTTGAGTCCACCGCGCCCGCGCGTAGACGGGGCTTTTCCGCCACCCTTGCGCTGCGTTGGGGTCGAGCCGCTGCCACCTTTCACATCGGATGATGCAGTTGTGCGCTTGACTTTCTTCGGCGGCATTGATGAGTTATAACACAGCGATATAGATGAATGAGTGATGAAGGAGTACGGCGCAGTGACGTTCAGATGCAAGTTCAGGTGGCCCACGTCGCGCGACGACGACAGGCCAGTGGCCACGGTGCCACACGGTCACGTGCGAGACGCGATTGTGGCAACAGCGTCTCAAGCAATGCATTCATCTTTCATGCTCTGTTTGAAAATTTAAGCTTCGAGACCGTCCGTCGACCACTAGCGTGGTCATTGAGCGCCTAGAGCATGTTTCTTTGCTCAAAGTCGGGTAATTTGTTATATGCATCGAGAGAAGTCCTACATGATACCCAACGCTGATGCATGCGTCGAGGGATTGCTGAAATGCAGAGAAAGACAATTCAAAGTTCCAAGAACTTTTAGGTAGTATGTGATGGTACGGTCTATTGAGAGTAGTTGCAACGAATAAACAGTTGTCACGTCACAATTGGTATACCCTCTTGGCCTTCTCGTCACTGTCCAGCGAGTCCAGCTTGAATCGGAAGTCATCTTGGGATTTATCGTACCCCGGTAATGCTTGCAGATGCTCGCACTCTAAGCTGAGAGTCACCCCTCCATGCCTGGAACACGAATGCTAACTGAGAGACGTAATAGAATCTAAGTGAACTACTCACATCGTTGCAAGATGTCGAAGTGCATCGCGACAATACCATCCCCGTGCATGCTGCGGCTCATCACATGTTCTGCAGAACCATCTTGCTTCTTCTAGTTGTATCCTCCGCTCGTGTTTCTGGGCCTTTGAAGCCTCGCCAGATGTCGCCATTCGCCACGTCCCGTCAGGACCCTGGGATGAGGATGTCTAGACGTGCAGTGTCGGTCAATGCGAGACATCCCGGAGCGATATATCAAGAGAAAGACATACAGCGGCGCGCCATGTCATAATATACTCCTCATCCCGCACGAACCTCACACCAAGTGCATCCATTTCCTGCGCTGTAACCGTGTCCGTGTCCTTGCCACAAAGCTCGAATAGCTTGCGAGCCTGAGTCGTTAGCGGCACCGCGTGAAGGCGGTATGTGTAGAACCCCTCCGAACCAACATATTCCTCGACGAAATGGGCGTACACTGTGTCTGTCTCGTCGTCCATCCATTCGGTCTCGCCATGCAGACAGTCGTGCGACAGGACGCTAGGATAGTACAAGTCACAATCCCACCCGAATTCGACAGCGCATCTCTCACAGCGAAACCGCGTTGTCGCTAGATCTAGTGAGAGCAGCCTCTTGTACGACTTCGCGCGTCTTGGGTATTCATATTCGTCAAAATCCGGGACATACTTATTGAGCAGCTGATCGTCCACATGGGCCTTCCACCTTCTGATCATGTCACCGAATTGTGTTGGCAGCGCTGCAAACTTGGCGTCGATGTCCTCCGAGTCGGGCGCGCACATGATCTCGCGGACCTCTGGCATACGTGCGATATCTCCAAAACCTACGCGGTAAGGCCATAGTTCTGGACGCCTCAAAAGGGATTTGATAGTGGACTCCATGATGTCCGCCCGCGAGTGCAGTTTCTCATCCAACTCGCGTGCGAGACGTCGTGTTTGAGCGCTTTCCATACCCTTGATTATCTCTCGACCGACATTACTCCAAGCTAAATCAAGTGAGAAGCAGGGATTATTGTCCAAGTCAACGAGGGACGGGTGAACAAATGAAGTACCTGTGTCCGTCAGCTTCTCGGGCACGTTGACCTCGGCCAATTTGGAGAGGGGAGCGTAGTTATCTTCTTTCATGAGATCCAACTTGTCGCCCCAGCCAACTTCCCGCAGCCTAGAAACAACGCTGCCAGGCAAGATGACATCAGCTCGATTCCATTGCTATAGGCTTCTTGCTCACTCTCGAAGGCGCTCCTTTCGAAGCTCGACGCACTCAGCTTCTGCCCACTTCTCACAGAGAGCTACGTGCTGTGTGCCGTAACAGTCCTGAGTGAGTCTCGACGCAGCGATACGAGGAGGGCGAATCACTACTACCTTCGCAGTCTTCCGCACGCGTACAAACTGTTGGCCAACTAAGGTGGCCATCGCTTCGTCGTCATCTTCCTTGACCACCTTCACCCAAGCATCTATGAGATCGTCGATCTCGGACTTCATGTATACATTGCGAAGTTCACGCGGATAGTAGGGGTTCGGAGGGACACGTCTCTGCGAAGAGCATATATAATCGTCCATGCGAAGCAAGAGTGGCACTGCGGAACGCACCGCATTGAGTATGTTCGTTGGAATGTCTAGGCTGAGGTTCCGTCTCTCGGAGACACGACGGTCATAGTGCGGGTCCCAGACGAGCCTGTTCGTGGGAGTTGCACATGTTCACCGAAGGCCCACAGCCAGACGACTCGCAGTAGTAAGAGCACATTCATACTGACCTAGTATGGCGGCAATTGTCGCAGAACCGCACATAGAACTCCCAGTACCATTCAGTGGAACCATCATATCCGCATCCCTGCCAGAATGTATAGAAAGTCCATGAGGGAACACGGAAAAACACCTGACAAGGGAAAACTTACCGTGCAATGGGGCGAATACAGAAGCGTAGCCCACGCGGGCTCAATGAGCAAGTCGGGGCAGGGAGGTACGCCTGGCACGTTTCTGAGTGTCACTGTCCATAAATATGCTGAGTCCTTTGTTGAGAGAGCAGCGTGGCATGCTTTTGATGTCCATGAAAGGCTGAGTAGATCTCGCGGATGAAGACCACCCAGTATCTAATTGCATGAAGACTTCACGGCATGTCCTTGACACTGGCAACGGGAGAACCAAAACATACCTCGTATTGGACGTCGGCGGGCATCTCAAACATCTCTTTCAAGTTGAGGCCATCCCATCCGCGAACTTCTTTTCTCTCTGAGTCGACTGGCACAAAGTCCTGTTGCACATTTGCCGGGGACACGGTCTCTTGATCCTTTGCTGACATGTCCAGAGGTCGTCGTCGCTGCCAGCACGGAGAGCACGGAAGCACGAGGCGGCTACGTGCCACTGCACTTACAAGTACTGGCACGCGGTGGGCACGAGCATGTATGCCAGTGAGAACACGGTCACGCGCGACCGTGCAACGCGGTTGTGGCGGGGCGCCCACATCATTCACTGGCAGAGCTCGTAAATGATAATATTAAATATTGTGCGTATCATCAGTGGTCTTGCGAATCACTCCGTTACACGATTGCCTGAATAGGTGGGGCATCTTCTGGATTGGGAAGGGTGGCGGAGGGATGGAGTGATGACGTCGGGCACGTCATGGTGGCCGACGTGAGCCTGCAGCTGCCTCTTCCTCCTCTGAGCGCGTCTTCTCCTCGCGTGCATGTATATATACTGTCGTGACTGCCATGAAGTCGCCCTTCATATCCCCACCCCGCTACACTCAACCTCACCATGACCTCCATCCTGCCCGACACCGTCAATCCCGCCACCCTCCTCAGCGGCCGCTTCCGCCCCGACCAGATTCCTGACCTTGCAGGACGCGTCGCCATCGTCACCGGTGGCTCTGCAGGCATCGGGTACTACGATGCCCTCGCCCTCGCACGCGCGAATGCACGGGTCATCATCGTGTCCGCGAACGAGGAGCACGGGACGCAAGCAGAGGCGGACCTCAATAGCGCACTCAAAGATGCCAGCTCTAGCGGCACTGTCAAGTGGTACGGCGTCGACTTCGGCACACTGAAGGACGTGGACACGCTTGCAAAGCAGCTTGCGGGCGAGCTGGATCGACTTGATATCCTCATTTGCAACGCGGGCATCGGGCAGGCGCCGTTCGGCTTGACGAACGACGGGCTGGGGCGGCACTTCGGGGTGGGTTTACGCAGCGCATACATGCATCAGTAAGACTTGATAAAATGATTTCGCAGGTTAACAACCTCGCCCACTACGTCTTCACCCTTCGATTGCTGCCGCTCATGAAGAAGACCGCACTCTCCGCACCGCCCACGACAGTGCGCATAGTGATGCAGTCCTCCGAGATGCACCGCATGGCGCCCAGCACGACCAAGTTCGCCTCCAAAGAGGAGATCAACGCGCCCGGCGACGGCGCGCAGCTCTACGGGCGCACCAAGCTCGGGCTCATCTACTTCGCGCGTCAGCTCGTCAAGCGTCACCTCGCAGACCTCCCGCCAGACCGCCCCATTCTCGTCATGAGCGTGCACCCTGGGACGGTCGACACGGACGTGCAAAAACAATGGGAAGAGTCGTACGGTGCGATCGGGAAGGTGCTCGATGTGGTCACTAGGAAGGTGGGCAAGAGCGCGGCGGAGGGCGCTGAGGCGAGTCTGTGGGCTGCGGTGAGCACAGACATATACGAGGGCAACTGGAAAGACTACCAGGTGGGTGTATGCGGGTGGACTCGGACTTTCACTCCCGAAGAACGGGTACTTATGCTAACGGCCCCTGCAGGCTCACTATTACTCGGAGGCGTACGGCAAGCCCGACCAGGAGAGTAAGCTAGCGAAGGATGAGACGATTGCGAATAACTTCTGGGAGTTGTGTGCGAAATTGACAAAGGAGATCACTGGTGAGGAGCTCAGATGAGCCAGGCCTATATATGCTACACGAGGATAAACGTACCGTACAAGTCTTCGCATGCCACGGTTGATTGCAATTGTATGATAGATCACAGAGTTTCTGTACGAGTAAACCATGAAACATTGCGCCAGATCTCAGGTGTCTGCATGATGATGCCAATTGGTTGCCTCGACCATTTACGCGCCTAGTCTACACGGGCCACAGCGAGTGTCCCAGGCAGGCATATGATAATAGTGCGACTGAAACATACTTTCATGGAAGCATAAAAGGGCTCGTCTTCGGCTCTTCAGCTTCATTCTCTAAATCGAACCACAACAGAATAATCAATAATGATAATGATATAAATCCAGACCTATTCTCCCGCCTATCTATAGCACGCAACAGACCACTCCGAGATGTAAGCTCACCTGAATCCTCAGTCACAAAGAACCCTCGAGACAACCCAGCCACCGGCAGTGTCCGTGTCCTCGCTCAGCCTTACCGCATCACAGCCGAATCTCACTCAGACGACGAGCCGCATCCTCGCCCGCTCCTCCGCGGACATCCCCACCATGTGTCTGAGCCGCAGGCGCGTCCGGTACCGCACGTTCCCACAACAGTCGCGCGTTCCTATGAAAGCAGCGTGAACACCGGGATCAGCGTGTGCAGTTCGTGGAGTAGGGAGAGAAGGAAAACGTACGGCAATAGTCCTCATCGGCCTCGCGCATCAGGACGCGGCACGTCGTGAGCCGCGCGAGCTCAAGCACGTCCTGTTCCTCGACGAAGCAGCAGTTAATCGCGGCGACCTCCTCGATGGGGTCCGCGGGCCCGGATCCTTCGCCTGCACTCGCACTCGCAGCAGCCGACCCAGAGTGCAGAACTTCAATACCAATCCCGGCCGTCGAGTCCTCGTCCTGGGCCTCCGCACGCGGCAGCCGACTCCGCACGAGCTCAACGAGCGCCTTCCCGCCGAGATGCCCGCACCACCGGAAGTCGACTCTAGTGAGCCGCGGGCAGAATCCGTGGGGACCGTGCAGCACGCGGAGGGTGCCGTCCGAGATGGAGCTCTCGTGTAGCCGGAGTTCGCGGAGGTGAGGGAGCGCGCGGAAGGCCGAGGCGAACGCCTCCGGGGCCAAGTCTATATCATGCAGCTCGAGGAGCTCCAGCGGGACCGCGCCCGTTCCGAGGTCGGCCGCGTCGGGAGGTTCTTGAGTGGATGGGGATGGGGACGAGTCGAGCGCGGCGAGGTCGGATTCCTCTGTGAAGGACGAGGGCGCGGAGCGCGCGAGGAAGCGGAGAAGGCTGGGAGCAATGGGCTGCTGGCGGTAGCCCAGGTCCTCGAGCGAGCGGAGGTGTAAGCGTTTGATGCGCGGCGCGCGGAGGTGGAAGAGGAGCTCGTTCAGGTCCGTCGGGCCGTACATGGTGAGCGAGGTCAGAAGCGGGAGGACGACCGTGCGCGCAAGGTCGGGCCAAAGCAGGTAGGGGTGTTCATACTCGAGCGGCATCGAGAGCGTGAGCGAGCGCAGCTGCGGGACGCCCGCGAGGGTCGCGAGCAGGTCGCGAGCAGAGAGCGGGTGGGCGAGCGGTGACTCTGTTGCGGAGAGCGTGAGGTGCTGGAGATGGGCCGGAAAGATGGGCGTGCGCGGGGCAACGTTGGCGAAATAGCGGAGCGTCGTGAGCGCGGGGGCGATAATGGGCGAGAGCGCGTCGGCAAGCCCGACGACATCCGTCGCGCCGTCATCGACAGTCTCGTCAAAGTGGACCTCCGTCTGAATGGACACTTCGCGGAGGCCCGGGGCGCGTGTGCGCGCAAGGGGGATACGCGCGAGGAGGACGTTGACCTGGTAGAGACTTGTTGACTCGATGGCGAGTGTGCGCCAGCGACCGGCGTGCTGCAGGAGGAGGTCCATGAGCTCCTCAAGCTGCCAGGTCGGGTTCCACACCGAGACGAGGGTGACATCGAGCGGCGCAGCGCGGGCCATAGTGACCCAGTAGCGCGTGCGGGCAAGTGCGTCCGGCGAGCTGCAGTTCACGTAGACATGGCTCCATACGCGCGGGGCGCGGGCTGCGCGCCTCCAGGCGGAGCACACGGCGGAAACGACCACGGGGGCACGCGTCCAGCCGTCGGCGACGCATTGCTCAAAGATTTGTGCGAGGAGCTCGTCGGGTATGCGGCGGGCGAGGGTGGTGACGCCCTTGCAGGTGCGGATCGCTTCGTTGTGCTGGGCCTCTACGACCCGGAGCCGGGCGACGTCGGCGAGCAGTGCAGCGATGCGCGCGTGAATTGAGGTGATTGCCCGCTCGTGTTGGTGAACTTGAGCATTGGCTGCCGCGATGTCTTCTGGGGTGGGCTCACCGCGATACACAGAGAGATCAAATAGGGGCGCCATGCTTGACTAACTGGCTCACGTCGGATCTGTTGTCGTTGCTAGGTGCGAGAGTCTATATCGATCGTGTAGGTACACCCTAAAAGCACAGTCTGTGATGGACCGAACTTGAAATTCGGAGTGAACGAGTGAGCCTACGATGGTCGACTCGTACGTTGTCGGCGATATTGATATGGTGGTCACCTGCAGCAAGGAACAGCGATGAGACCGTTCGCACTTCGAAGAACAAATGAACGAGTAGCCTAAGTTGACTCAAGCTTACTTGCAAGTGTCCCCTTAGTTGAGACTTCCGCTCAATAATTGAGGGTTCGCGAAGAGTCAAGTTCGCCGGTACCGGTGCCCACTGGGTAGTAAGTACTTTGGTTGCAAGCCAATCTACGAGCGATATGGCTCGAGGCTAAGTCTCGGATTGTAGTGCGGCCTGCCTCCGAGTCCTAAGCTCGTGCGGTCAGAGCGTGTGCACGAGACTGAGAGGGGGATGTAGTATTGCACTTACGTACGTACGGCGAATTCGGATGATGCCTGTGCACTGGCAGTGCTCGGGGTCGACAGACACGATCGAACCCCCAGCGCGGCGCGGAGGATTCCGGGGGCGATCGGCGACACGCGCACGTGCGTGCAACGAATCCGTCCTGACGCGACGGGCGCGTCCGACGCTCGTCTGCGTCTTCTTCACCAACCCCCATCCGCACGCCCGCAGGACCGCAGGTGAGCAGCTGGTCTCCCTTTCTTGACCCCAGGATGACTCAGAGTGGAATCTTCATTGACCCGCACAATATACACCAAGCGGGGTCAACAAGGAGACTGGAAATGTTCGAGATACTGCTGATTTGCTCTTTCTGCCCACCCTATCGGCCGAACCCTCAGTGACTGATATAGACCGTCTCTCTCACAGCACATCTCCGCACCGCAACCCACGAACAATGGACCCGAGGAGAGCGAGAGACCCCCGCCTGGCGAGGCAGCGCGGCCCGCCACAGCAACCTCAGTACCCGCCTCAGCAGCAGTATCAGCAGCAACAGTCCCAGTACCCGCCTCCTCAGCAGTTCCAGCAGCAGTACCCGCCTCCGCAATATCAGCAGCCTCCCCAGTATCCCTCACAGCCACCACCTACCTTCCCGCTGCCCCAGTACCAACAGCAACCACCTCCGTTCCCGCCTCAGGGACCGCAGGGGCCGTCCTATCCAGCCCAGCAACAGCAACAGCCACTAGCATCCCAAGTACCTCCCTTTCCGCCACAGCCCACACCCACATCCGCCCCGCCCTACCCAACCGCGACGCCCTCGCAGTACCCAGCACACGCAATCTCGAACCAGCAGCTGGCAGATGAAGCGCAGGGCGCCGCAGAAATTACTAAGCCGGACGAAGAGGTGACGCGGACGATATACAAGCCGCGCCCGCTCTTCTGCGTCGTGTGTGCGAGCAACCAGGTGAGCATCTCCGTGACGCACGTGTGAGCCGGGGAGGCTGATGTGATCTGGCCGGAATAGAATCGGTCGATGGAGGGGCATTATGTGTTGTCGTGAGTCTCGCTTCCGCTGGCTGTGCCTAGCCGTTCTCACCCATGGTTCAGAAAGGCTGGCTTCCGCGTTGTCTCCTCTGGGACAGGCTCGGCCGTCCGCCTGCCCGGCCCTGCTATCGACAAGCCAAACATATATCCGTTCGGCACGCCGTACAATGACATCTATGAGGAACTCGAGAAGCAGGATCTCCGTCTGTACGTTGTGATAGATTTGACTCTAGGTTTTGTGCTCATGGGTATGGGTGATACAGATACATGGCAAACGGCCTCTTGCAGATGCTGGACCGTAACAGGAAGCTGAAGCTTGCGCCTGAACGGTGGCAGGAAAGCAAGACTGTCGCAGACATTGTGATTACATGCGAAGAGCGGTGTTTCGATGCGGTTTGTGACGGTCAGCCCGAGGTATCGGATTTACCGGATATGAAGACTCATGTTGCATTTGCAGATTTGTTGACAAGAGGAGGGGATTTCAACAGGCCCGTGCACGTCATCAACATCGAGATCAAGGACAACCACGAAGAGGCACATCTTGCAGGGAGGGCCATGGTTGACCTCGCTTCCGCGGTGCGTCCCTTCTCACCTCATCGTCCCTTGTACCTCGTCATTCTTTGCCCCGTAATTATCGGGGAAAGGTGACGATAAGCGGGGGTGAAGTCCCCCACCAAATGATGCTGACATACATCCTCCTGGGAAACAGATCGAAGCCTCGGACGACATTGACGAGGACATGGACAAGATTCTCCAAACACACCAGGAGAAGCATCCACACTCGATCCTACACGCGGTCGCATACTACTAAGGCACCCGCCGCTATCCCCCCAGGTCGCTCGCACACGTCGAGCACATGGCCTTGCACCGTCAGGATTGTCAGGTTCTGCTACGCAGGAAGCACAGGATAGGTGGGCGCCGCAGCCATTCGGATGCCCGTCGTTTGTAGGCTGGGACGGGGGAAAGGCCCGGCGGCCTGAGGTTTCCACGGGCGCGCCGGATGCGGTAGATTGAGAATACCAGCGGGGTGGTGAAGAGCATTGGTGGGTGCTAGTGATGCTAGACTCGGAGGTGAATGGGTGCCTTCGTGTCCTTGCGTGGGTACCCCCCGAATCTTTCGGGGTTGTTGGCGACTTGTCGCTCCGGGGCGACCTGCAGTGTCGGAACAGACGTGGGGTGCACGGTATGCTAGCACACTGTGCCTCGAGGCAATCGGCAAGTCTCGGGCTTGAGCCCCTGAGAGCATTCGAGCATGCGCAGGTATGTGTTGAAGAGTACCCGCACAATGTCCGCAATATATGTTCTGCACGCATGGACGAATGAATGCATACTGCAATGCTTCTCTATTTTCCGAGTTTCTCGTTGTCGGCCCCCGTACGAGTCTAGGAGATTCCCGGCTCGAGGTCGAGGTTGGGCAGGAAGGCGATCGCAGCGAGTCTTCCGAGGTTCTCAGCCACCGAGGTGGTCTCGGCGGCTCTCACACCCACACTGCTGAGGCATTTGTGCGCGCGCTGCGCGTTTCTGCGACATCCAGACTGGTCACGCCGCCCCGCGCGCACGACGCGACGGGCTTGTGGGCGAGACAGGATGAGGAGGAGTGAATGGAGGGATAGCAGCCGTGAGAACCGAAGACGCGATCCCATCTTCGCCATCGTTCATCATGTCATCGTCAGTGGTCACACATCCTTCGCCACACCCGCCCTCGTCACCCGCCGTGCCCGTATATAAATCCAGCCAGTGCGCTGCGATGTCCCCGATAACGTCTTCCTTCCTGCCTCCCACCCCCATTTGCAGCCCACAGCAAATTGACTGACAGACATGCCGGCCTCTCTGCGCTTGGGTAGCATCGCGCCTGACTTCGAGGCGGAGACGACGCAAGGGTCGATCAAGTTCCACGAGTGGATCGGGAATTCCTGGGTGAGTGCACGAGGCCGATTGCAAATGAAGGGGATCGACGGTGGTGATCTCGGACGCGACGCACTCCGTTCCCCGCCCCCTTCTGACCTACTATGTTGCGCCAACGACGCTAACCACGACTGCGCCCTGCCCAGGCGATCTTGTTCTCGCACCCTGGCGACTTCACCCCCGTGTGCACGACGGAGCTCGCGGAGGTTGCCCGGAAGTAAGCATGTGGTTTCAGATTCGCGGTCGGGGCTGACGAGGGACCTATCTAGGTCCGATGAGTGGGCCAAGCGCAACGTGAAGGTCATCGGCCTCTCCGCGAACGACCTCAAGGACCACGCGCGCTGGGTCGAGGACATCAACGAGTACGGCACCAAGGCCCTCGGCCCGACGAGTGTCAACTTCCCCATCGTACGTATCGCCGTCGCGTCTGCCAGGTACGACGACTGACCCGTGACGCACACCAGATCGCCGATGCCGAAAGGAAGATCTCGACGCTCTACGACATGCTTGACGAGCAGGACGCGACCAACCGCGACGGCAAGGGCCTGCCGTTCACCGTCAGTCACTCAACGTTAGACTCCCGCGTCGATGTAATGATCTGACAGGGGCATAGATTCGTACCGTGTTCATCATCGACCCCAAGAAGGTCATTCGCCTCAGCCTTTCGTACCCCGCCTCGACTGGTCGCAACTTCGACGAGATCCTCCGGTAAGCGCGGTGTTGTGCCCTTGTGCTATCTTGGTGTTATCGCGTCGCTAACGCGAATGTGTCCGACCGGCAGGGTTGTCGACTGTACGTACCTCACCCACTAACGCGCCCGAGATGGGGGTTGAAAACATCGGAGCTAACCCACCGCCGATGCGCAGCTCTGCAGCTCGGTGACAAGTACAGGGTGACGACGCCTGTCAACTGGAAGACTGGTGACGACGTAATTGTGCACCCGTCTGTGAACAACGAGGAGGCGAAGACGCTCTTCCCCGACGTTACGTTCCACAAGGTCGGTGTTCATCCAGTGTGCGTCCGAGTGGTCGGGGCTGATGATGGACCATTAGCAACCCTACCTCAGGACGACGCCCCTCAAGCCGTGAAAGGTCGAGTAATCCCCTGTGCGCTCGGCGAGCAACAAATTAATGGAGAGAAGTTGTCTGTTCATGTATCTGTACCGTACCTATGTCTGCCGCAGCTCCGGCGACTATATCTGGAGCGGTGTATACTAAACTACATATGAATGTAACAATGAAGCGTGGCCATCTCAACTGTCCGACACGCCTACGACGAGCGCGCGGTGTTGAGGAGGAGCCCGTGCCCTGACCGTTCCGTGGCCCGGCACTGGTATTTGTTACCGAAAATGGCATTTACAGAGCTGCGGGCGCATCAGACCAAGCTCACATTAGTTCTGGGTAGCACGCTAATGATGATGTCGGCCTTGTGCACGATGTTAAGGTGTCGAGCGAACTGAGGCCCGAGTGCAAGTCCGAGTAGTCGAAACGGGACTGTATGGGCGTCTATCCTGCGCGTGCGAACACGTAATGTCTACGTCATGTGACCAATCAAGGAGACGCGACTGCAGCGAGCGACGCGCGTACATCGCGAAGTCTACGCTGCTCTGTACGCGCAACACCCAACTCCTTGCATCCCTATCCAGATCCTGCTAAATACACGCAATGGCCAGCGCTGAAGGAGGTGCCTACAGGCGAGTAGATTACGAGGTCATGGCGGGTAGGTGCTGAAGGAGAATGCAGCTACTCGCTCACCGTCTTCTCGCCGAGCGGAAAGCTCGTGCAGATTGAGCATGCGCTTGCAGCAGTCGGACAGGGAACAACAAGTCTAGGGATCAAAGGTGCGTGTCCGACGAGCTACCGTTCACGTTTGGCTGAATCTGCGACGTACAACCTCAGCCACAAACGGCATTGTCATTGCAACTGAGAAGAAAGCACCCTCCATACTTATCGACGACTCCATGATCGAGAAGGTCGCGGTCATCTGCCCCAACATCGGTATGGTCTACTCGGGCATGGGTCCCGATTTCCGCGTGCTGGTGGCGAAGGCACGGAAGTCCGCACAGGCGTACTGGAAGATCTATGGCGAGTACCCGCCCACGAAGGTGCTTACGCAGGAACTCGCGACGACCATGCAACAGGCGACGCACTCGGGGTATGTCCTCGTTCCGCCGATGCTCGGAGGTCATGCAGGGCTGATGCAACCCCTGCTTCGCAGTGGTGTCCGGCCGTACGGCGTGTCGCTGCTTATTGCTGGCTGGGACATCACGCGCGGGCCGACCCTGTACCAGGTAGATCCGTCAGGGTCCTACTGGGCCTGGAAAGCTAGCGCTATTGGGAAGAACATGGTGAACGCCAAAACGTTCCTCGAGAAGCGGTGCGTGGTATTGAATATTGTGGTTGCGAAGCACTTGATCTTCGCTGATCCCGACGATGTGGCGCTAGGTATAACGACGACATCAGCCTTGAGGATGCTATCCATACGGCACTCCTGACGCTGAAGGAAGGGTTCGAGGGACACATGACAGAGAAGACAATCGAGATCGGCGTTATTACAGTCCCCACTCAAGCTGACCTCGAAGGAGGCCATGTCGAGGGCACAGGGCGGATACAGCCCACGTTCAGGAAACTGACCGAAGAGGAACTGCGAGACTACCTGGCGATGTAGACTTTGTGGATTTACGTTCTATTGCACGGACCGTGATGTATATCTAGCGCCAGATCCTGTGTGGTGTGGTTCAGTAGCGCCAAGCCTGCAAGTGAAACCTCCGCACCGAACACGCAAGTATGATCGCTGCCTTCGATGCTCTTGCCTCTCATAGCGCGTACCTCGGTCCCCGCGGTGAGGCTTAGTCGCCAGACGGTGAGCATCGTCAATGAAACCAGGACGATCCTGCTTCTGGCTGACAATTCTCTCGACTACTTACTGTACGCGAACCCTTGTTTGCTTGCTGCGGTTTATAAATGCTGAGTTCATCATCATACTGTACGCGAACCGCTTTACTCGGATTTAGCTGACCACGCAGGTCTGTAATCCTGCGCCTATTGCGACGTGCACGGACTTATCAGCTCGCACAGCAATTGGCGACTTCTTCGTAGGCCGGGCGATCTGTTGCTGCAGCGGTTCGTATGCCTCGCAGGAAGAAACCGACTCCGCGCGCATGTCAAGTAGGCGTGCTGACGCTGCGCCCGCCGCCGACAAGGCTGCCTGCCAGTGGCATCGTCATAAGTCACGGAACACCGGTCATGGCTATGCTCGCTCGGCTTTCGGTCTCTTCCTTCCTTTCTTTTCTCATCGCTACTCCGACGCGAGGTGCAAGTACGCGCGTCCGACGGCTTGCCCGACCTTCTCCGACCGGTCAGGAGTCATCTTCTTCGCCTACTTCCTCTTGGACCTTCGGCTCTCAAGTTCTACGGCGTACCTCGGAAGGTACTCTGGCACGGGCATTGCGGCGTAGCAAAAATGACAAATTGTCCAGAATGGGCCATTGTGACCTACGTAGTTCCAGAGGCCCCCGGAAGCCCGACAACAGCGGCGGAAGGAGAATTCGGCCCAGCGTCAACCTAGGGGGCAGAAGCCATGGCCGAGACTAAACCACTTTGGGTGAGGTGCCTTGCGCACGCTGATCATCTCAACTGGTCACGGTCCCTAACTGGGCCTCGCCAAAGTGTTGTGGATAGGGTGTCTTACCCACACAGAGGATCGAACTGTCGATTGCGGTTAACGTTGCAGTGTAAGGGGCACTCTTGATACTACGCCATAGTAGGAGTTGTTTCACGTCCGCAATCTCACTTCCGACCTTTCCGTGGGCAACGCGGACTTGAATATGCTGTCTGGCCTGCTGTAGTGCTTGACGTGTCATTGCATAGCGTTCGCTAATATTTATAACTCTTCCACAGTCGCTCAAGACTCATCAAGTCGGTTTCCCCTCGGGCAACACGCTCGAGGACATTCAGAATGATTACAATGTCCGACTCGCACGGTGTAAACAGTCGACGAGCCTGTCAGCGCCGGTGGTTCGCTTAGCTTTGGGCCGCATCAAAGGGCAGCGCCCCAGCAGAGGCGTGGGCGTCTCGACCACCACGACATGATCTGTTGGATGTTTTATGGTAACGCCCTCGTGGACGGCGTGGGGCTCAAGTGAATTTCGTCCTAGATCGTATCTCAGATCTTCCGACTGTTTCTACCATTTCAGTCGGCTTGGTGCGGATTAGTCGTTGGCGCCCGCCCTGTTACTCGACCACCTGTTCGTCGTATAAATCGCACCGATGCTAGATGCAACCTCACAGCCCCATTCTCCGTGCTACTCCCCACAATCTTAAGTAGATCCCCCTTCAATCGACGCCATGACAGACGCTAGCCCCGAGCGCAAGGCCAGTTCGAGCAGCAGGAAGTCCAAAGATACCAGCGTAGGACCAAGATCGAACACCCGTAAGTACTTTGTGTGTCTTTCCTGATGAAGGTAGAGCGCAGCTTAACCTACCCTTTTATGTCTTCTGCAGCCGGCGATCCGGCCGACTCGAGCCTGCTGACATCTATGGTCAGAAGCAAACGGACGCCTATCGCATGCACTGAATGTCGCCGACGACAGGTCAAAGTGAGAGCCTTGGCCATGATGTCACGCCGCGTAGCGTCTCACTTCTAGCGTAGTGCTCTGGAGGCACACCCCAGTGCGAGCGCTGCGAAAAGAGGGGCGTGAAGTGCGAGTACGTCCCGATACACGTCCAGCGGCAACAAGCCGCCGCGGGCGCTGCTGGTGGCCCAGCAGCACATGCCATGTTGTCAGGATCATCGACATCGCGGTCACTGCCGTCGACGCCGATGCCCTGGCCTCCATCAGCACCAATGCACGTCGGTCCCACCACGCGACACTCCCCGAACTCGATGCGCGACTGGCCAGAGTACTACGACATGTCGGCGGAGATGCTCCCCGAGTCACGGCGACAGACGCTACCCCATTCAGCGCCATCGTACGTGGGGGCCGACTCGTTCAGCCAATCCCGAGCGGGGCCATCTTACGGACGCTATCCTAATTACGGGCACGGCATGTCGAACGCTCAGCACTACCCAGGGTCTTTGGCAGATGCCTATAGTTCTTCGACCGGCAACAGCGGCAGCCCCGCGGGCCAGGCTCTGGATTTTATGTTGCCCACGGAGAATACCTCGCAGCTGATGCCGAGCGCCAGTCAGAGGTCAGTGTGGTCATTCCCACATGGGATGTGCATTGATTATTCATCCACAGCACGTCTTATCCGAACCAATACCTCCAGGGTCAGGGCTATTACAACGCGCCTTCGGGCGCCACGGGCATGCACGGGCATAACTTCCAAGGGTGGATGGATCCCAGCGTACGTCCATCATACAACATACTAAATCCGCTCGGACTCACTCGCTCGGCAGAATGCGAACTACTCTGCGTTTCAAGGTCAATCCTATCGTCGTAACGCGTGAAAGAGCATTTAATGACATTCGCCCCGCTTTCGTCCCGAACATGCACCTTGCTTTCTTGCGCGTCTGCTGTATACATAGTCACGATGCTTCCACCATCTATTGCACAGTCCGCTATCTATTGATTGTAGCTCTATGTAACATATATCCGCATGCGGTCCTCGACAGGCCGACTTACACATACCCTAGTGTTTATGTCTTCTTACGGTGCGCACGCGTCCGCTTCCTATCTAATGCCGTCCTATGCTAGCTCGCAGCTCCTTCGTTCATAGCGAAGTGCCGACTCGGTCGGGCGAGCGACGCATGAAGTTAGGCGTCCTGGTCTGCGTGCACGTGTCGTATGGCCTGATATTGACTATTAGACGGCCCTCAGAAGGACGGTGTCTGCTTCCTTCCGGCGATCATCCGACTGGCCGGGTCCGCTCTCGCAGCGAAGACGTGATGGCAGATGGTGTGGCCATCACGCAGTCCAGAAAACCCGCGCTCCTCCCCGAGCTTCTGCCCAATGCCTGGCGCGCACGATGTGTGCTTCTCACACAGTGCCCATGGCAGTTCCGACCACGCAATTTCATACACCGCGACGATTGACGTTCACGAGCAGCACAGTTCGCACTTCTCGCATTCCCAGGGATCTGCTGATTGGCCAGTCTACTTCCGCATCCCAAACGACGGAGTTGACAAGCTGCGCTTGACTACGGGAAAATACAGGGTAACGGGAGGCACGCTCAGGTGTTCGTTCTATCCGTTCTACGTGGCACCAGCATGAAGATGGGTCGTATGTGCGTACACCGGCTTTTCCTACCTTTTTGATAGGCTGAAATGATTCACGCGTGGACACGAAAGGAACGAGTTACGAGAGGAGCGACGCGACCGTCGATCACTCGACTCGGTCGGCCCTACCTCCGCCCGGTGAAACACAGTCCTCCACTGCACCTCAAACGAGCTGAATGCGCGTAACCAGCAGACATAACCGACACCCTAGCTAGGCTGCGTGCGCCAGGGGCTAGCGGCCGCTGCGGCAGACGCTCCCGGCGACCCACGCAGTCCAAGGCCGATGATCATGATGCACTCAGCTGTACACGTTAGAATTTGAAGTCGAGGCACCCGAGATATCAGACCCTCGACTCGGGAAGGGTATGCTCAGTGCGGCATCGCTTTTGAGCAAGATCTAATTCCCTAAGCAGCTGCTGCAGCGCAATGTATGCTTCAAGTTAGAGTCACCGGTGGCGATGCCGCAGGGCGGGAAGGTCGGTAAGCGGCATGACGCTACTCGCGGCAGTAACTCGCCCCACGACATTTGCCGCCGGCTTGGATTGTCTTGGTCGTTGTTGGTACTGAAGCACCCGCCGCGCAAAGGCGACGTGAAGAAACAGCGGTGGCTATAGCGGACCGGTGAAACTATCAGAAAAGGCAAGTGTACTGATTTGAGTACTTGACCCAACTTTGGTCACTTCAAGCGTGCAAACGACGAATATCCAGGTGCGATGTACCGTCATGCAGCGACATCTGGTAGTACCCTGTACTGGAGCGACAGCGTCTAATATGTGCGTCCAGTAAGTACTGAAAGACGGCGCGGCGACGCAGACAAGCTCGGGGTTTGTCTACAATCACAATGTCCAGTCACGGCCCGGGCTCGGATGAGGACGTAGCACTCGCCACGCAACGTGCACCGTCGCAGCATGATACATTCGATGCGTCTGCTGAGAGGCACGTGGACATGAGTCCCTCGGGCGGCCTTCATTATGGTGTCAAAAGGACCGCTCACGAAGAACCATGGGCGATCAGTGTGTCGGGAGCGCATGATCGACAAGGACAGTGCCTGATGATCGCCGCCGGCCCCAGCCTCCGCGTCTCTTCATTGCGGGGTCTGGCAGAACGTTCTCGCATCGAGACCCAGGTCGCACGTTTAGCTGCATGGCCGAGCCCATCCAGAGCGCATCACTGATTCACTCTGTTGCAATGGTCATCCCGCGGCGAGCGGTACTTACGTATGGATTGACTTAAGACGAATCCACGATGCACGCGCGTATTTGAAGGTTCATTCGAGTAAGCTACGCCACTGACGTAGGCGATTAATACTGAAAAATGCGGGCCGACGGCACAGGGAAGGCGGATTGCTCTCCGTTAGACTCGGACTCAACGTCGGTAGACAACAAGTTAACAGCTATGATATATGACGATTGACAGAAGTGCTACTTGCACACCCTTAGCCAGCCCTTAGCTGAGGTTACGAGCCTTGCGGGACGTAATATGCCCGGGCTTCCGAATGCCGCCGTGTTGCTCCTCCGAGGTCTTCGGTGTATCAACGTTCTGGAAGGTAATCACTTGCGATAGCATTTCAAGTTCATCGAGTATCGCTACTGGTACATTGGTATACAATTCGTCTTTGATACTCCACCCCGCCATCGACAATTCGGCCTAGATCTCGCTCCTGCGAACGGCAAGCCTAGAACGGGAAGTCGAGTTTCTCGCCAAAGTTCCACTGTACAGCCTTCACGGAGGTGTACTCTTCCAGGGCATAACTGCCGAGCTCCCGACCTGCGAACGAGTGGGACGATGAGCAACGGCACTCCTTCACAGCCCCACGCCCCAGCCCGACTGATCCGACCGGCCACGGTGAAGACATCGCGCAGCAAGGGGGATCACTCTGACCAGAAGACGACGGCGCAATTGAGTAGTCGGGGGAAAGATCGTGAATCTCACCGATGCCACTCTGCTTCTTTCCGCCGAAGGGCACGTTGTTGTATAGAAGGTTGTACTGGTTCACCCAGACCTACAGCGCAAGGGGTCAGTCACTTGCTAAAATACAAGCAAATCCGCGGAGGGTCTGCGCTAGCAGGCGAGGGTGGGAAGAGCTTGGGGTCACCCCTGCACCAACGCCTCCACTGGTATGTTTGATCAAGGAGGCTCGCATATGATCCGGAACATGGCGCCAGGGTCTTCGTGAGTTTCCCCTCTCTATCTCTTCCGCTGACTTGTACTAGAAGCCAAGGGTCCAAACTTACCGTCCCTGCCTCGAGCTCGTTGGCTACGCGCATGCACTGGTTCGCATCATCTACGAATCATGTCAGCATCCAGTCGAGCGGGATGACATAGCCATATGGGAGAAATCACAAAAGTAGAAGCGGCTCATGGAAGGGACTGAGACGCACTGGAGTGGAGGCCTGCACCGAGGCCATAGGTGGTGTTATTCGCATGCGCAACGGCCTCTTCCTCCGTCTTGAACTTAGTGACAGACAGCACGGGTCCGAAGATCTCGTCCTGGAACTATACATCACATGTTAGGCCCATGCCAGTGCTGTGCCCAGACGTTGGGTGATGGCAGCAAGCACGCACAATCTTCATCTCCGGCGTAACGTCAGTGAAGACTGCGACGGCGACCATTTCATTTGATTACTCGATAGAGGAGCAGCAAAGCGACGCACTCGTCGGGTCCACGAAGTAACCCTTGCCTTGGCGTTTTACTCCGCCGAAGAGACATTTTGCGCCTTGCTCCTTGCCGATGCCGATATACTTGAAGATCTTGTCGTACTGGATTTTCGATACCTGCACCCACACGTTTGACCATCAAAAATCCGCCTCGAACACAGAGTCAGAAATAAGAGCCTCGCACGGCCGCTCCCCGAGAGGTGTGGCCGTTTCAAGAGATTCCCGACCACCAACTGAGGATCGACGTCCCCCGCGTGCGATCGCCGGGAGCGCCGGGAACCACCGCTTGCCGGCGAGACGGCAGGGAAGCGCCGATCGGGCATCTCCTGACGATCCGTGCACCCGAATTGGGGTTAAGGTTCGAGAACCCCTCCGACAAGGTTCAGAAGCTGGTCCTCTGCCTGGGATCACGGCGAGACACACACACGCGCGCCCAAAAGGGATCCAGCCTGACGGCGGATCCCGGCGTGGGGCGTGATAGAGTGCGCGCGGAACTTGCGTGTATATCCAGCCACAAACGCGCCACTCACCACTGGCCCACCAGACGCCTTCTCGTCGAAGCCGTCGGTGACCACGAGTTGCTGTGCCTTGCTCACAAGGATCTGAAACAGCGCCTTGAGCTGGTGAAACCGGAGGGCTGCTGACGGAGCCACGCACCGGCATGAACTTGTCGTAGATGCTCTCCTGCACGAACAGACGAGACCCGGCCGTGCAGTCCTGGCCCGTGTTGTACAGGATCCCGAGCGCAGCCCAGTTCGCCGCTGCGGTGCAGAAGCACGAAAGGACCGATAAGACAACGCACGTTCCCCCGAACGTCAGCGGAACCGTGTCGCCAGAACACGGGCACACGCACCTTGGTCAAGATCCGCAGACTCGAAGATGATATGGGGAGACTTGCCACCAAGCTCGAGGCTGATCTAATCACACGACACAACGCACCGGACGAGACGCGGAGATCGCCCATTGATAAGTTGCGCATTAGAGTTGTGCTCGGAAGCGGTGAGCGCGGAGGCCTGCCGAACGGGACGCACCTTCTTCAGGTTGCTCTTCGACGCCGCCTCCATGATCTTGCGCCCCGTGACGGTGCTGCCCGTGAACGCGACCTTATCGACGTCCATGTGTGATGAGAGCGCAGCGCCGCCCACGGAACCGAGCGATGGCACTGTGTTGACCACACCAGGCGGGAAACTGAGGTCATATTGTGAGCGTGAGCAGCGGAGGCGGAGATGTGGAGAAGAGCAAAGCCCATACGGGCCAATTCGGTCACCAGCAACCGAGAAGGTGCACTAAACGGGCATTACGTACCCTGCTTCGACGATCAACTCGGAAAGTTTCTGTGTGGACAAGCGGAGATGTCAGCACTTGAGCCAAAAGGATTCACATAAGAAGTCGAATCTAATACAAAACCATCGCAGACAGTATCACCAACGTTCTGACCAGACGCCGCAGGAGTGAAGCAGAGAACCCGTAGGGCCTAACACAGGCAAGACCCAGTAATGATCTCGGTCCCTGCGTAATATCACATCGCAAATCATACCACGCAGGTGAGACAGTAACGTCTGCGACCGAACATTACGCAAAGTGACAAACGAATGTGCACGCGGTACAAGCTCGGACAGGAAGGTCAGCCTACCACCGTCCGCAAGGAGTATCACGAGCACGGTGCGCAGCACGCCGACCACCCGAACATTGCTTGCGCGCGACCCCGAGCATCCCTCACCACCTTCACAGTCATCGCTGCGCATGCAATAATTGGAAGTTGCACTTATTGCGGTAAGTACGGGCGCAAATGCCAGTCCTCGGCCTGTTGTGGACATGCAAAAGCGCAAATTCCGACGAGCGAGGTGGGTCCAATATGGCGCGAGGTGGTTTTAGAGATCCTGGAGAAATATAGTGCTTCTTTGAGCGCAGAAGAGTGACACTACCTGGGAAATTAGGGCAGTGATGATTCCGTGCCCAATGGAGCCTGACACCCAAGCGTACGTAGGGCGACACGCTGCAGTAGGATGCTACCCTGCAAACCTGCCTGCGCACACCGTATACAGTGTCCGGCGCACTCTCCGCACGCACCCCAATACGCAACCCACGCAGGACGCAGGACACACACATCCGCTTCCGAGTCAGCACCGTGGCCAACAGACCCCTCGGACGGCAGATCGCCGCCAGCCTCGGGCGCAGTTCGGCGTGCGGGCACACTCGCGCACATACTGCCACATACACGCGCACACCCCGGGGCTGCGCGCGCGCACGTCGCTTTCATATCATGCGCCGATGACGAATCAATCAGTCCCCCAGTGCGTTCTCACTCGGACGGGGCTCCGGAGCCTGGTCGAGGAGGAGGGCCGCATCCGAGCCCGAACCCGAGCGTGAGCCGACGGAGATCTGTGCGCAGAAGCTGATCGCGCGATCGAGCCTCCACGGAGCCCTAGGGAAGCACACGAAAGGAAGCGACGCAAAGCTGTGTCCGAGCGACGGCTCACGGACGAGGCGCAGAGGGCCATACTGGCCCCGGCCTCCATGGGCGTTCCAGCGCGCTCGGAGACACGCCGAGGACGTGGACGTGGACGGCGCAGAGGAAGTCCGCGCTTGACAACGATCACAGAGATGGGGAAACGACTCGGAGGTCTGAGGGACGGGCGGGGTATACGCACCAGGGCCGTCAGCGGCGTGATCTCGCTGGGCTTCATGACGATCGTGCACCCGACCGCAAGCGCGGGGGCGACCTTCCAGGACCACATGTTGATCGGATAGTTCCATGGGATGCTGTAAGTGCCGACGCCGCATTAGCAAAGACTCATCAATCAGCTACAAGCTGCGGTGGGTGGCGGTGGAGGGTACGGTGGGAGGGTGCGAGTAAGCAGATCAAGACGTACATTTGGCCGCAGACACCAATGGGGTCATGCCGAGTGAACGCAATCTTGTTCTTGTTGTCAACCTCCAGGGACTGTGGTGTGGCGAGGCGTCAGCTCGAAGTTCGACGATGAAATTATTCATTATACAATAGAGCGAGACTAAATCACACAGATGAACCCCGAATCCGCATCGGTTCTAGCCCATGCACAGGTGCACCGGCATGAAGTAAGTATCTCGCGCCTGCGCCTCGAAACTGACGCATACACAATGCCGGAGTGCCGCGTCGAGGACCTGGAGGCCCGACAACTTCGGACTCTGACTGTCCGGCGTCCAGCGTCGAGCACAGCTTGCCGCAACCCACAACCCACATCACACTGATTTCCAGCTATTGAAAATCACGGTGCCTACCGCCCCTGGCACACCGTTTCAACAACTGAGCAACGGAGCACATCGGCGATCGACGGACTGCACTGACGCGGGGGCGAGGCGGCTGTGCGTACTACCGCGGTCCCCGCCTGCGTAAGCGATGTCTGGAGGAATGGATGGGTGTTTGGGAAGGGTTCACGCTACTGCACCCACGCGTGTCCGGCGAGAGCGGTTCTGCCTCGCCTCGGAGGAGTGCTGCGACCGATCCCTAGACCAGCTTGGGATCCGTCTCGCTCTCTAGCGCAAACGAAAACCAGACGCGCCAGGGCCTGCAGTCAAATCGAGCATCCCACGAGAGGAGGCGCGCCCGGAAAGACAGAAGAAACGGGAGACGAGATGGCGGTTGAAGGGTGTCTCAGGTAGAGGTGAGCGGTACTGACCTGACCTGCGATCTTGTCCGCCCAGCCCGCGTAGTACCTCAGGCACGAGACGCTGTCGCCGATGTCAAAGTCCCTACCCGCCCAACACCGCGGTCGCACGACAGACAAGCAGGCCGGACTGCGTCAGCACGGCGTGCCCAGGAGTGCGCCGGCACTCACCGTGCGATGCGGACGGGCTTGCCGTTGTTCAGGGTCTCGAGCTCGGCGAGCTCCTGCGCGTCGCGCTCGATGAGGTCCGCGAGCTTGTTGATGAGCCGGGAGCGCTCGACGCCGGTGACGTTCTTCCCCCACGTCGTCTTGAACGCCGTACGCGCGGCGGCAACTGCGCGGTCGATGTCTGCGGCGGACCCTGGGGGTGGCCGCCAATGCGTCGGTCAGCAGCGCGTTAATGGAAGCGGGAGGGAGTAGTCCGGCGGTGGCGGGTCCGGGCGAGCACGCCCTGGCTGAATGCGTGTCTTTTCGATTGGGGCCAAATGACGATCCCGCCGACACATCCTCCGCCGACAGCCCATCGGCGACGGAGGGCCGTACGCGAGATGAGGGGCAGCGGCGCGGACGCAGGTATTGCGAGAAGCCAGGACATGACATATATGGACATAGAGGCGGGGTGCGCGGCAAGAGATTCAGGGACGGCGCACCGATCTAGGGACGCACTCTGTGGGGAAACGCGTCACGGCACCCAACCTGCCAGTGGCACGAACGAGGGCTCTCGCGCAGCGTGCCTAGGCCCACATGTCAGGCGCGATGCTTCCGAGCTGCCTGTCAACGCGTCGCACGTCATCCCACCGACGATGGCTGGCAGACGAGCGGGATGACGTAGAGCACGGACCGGCCGCGTGCGTCCTCGACAGCTTTCGATGCTGGCGAGAAGGAGCCGTATGCATCGCGGGACGAGTCGTTGAACTCCGGGACTCCGCCTCAGACACACAGCTGGCCAGCGGCGTGCACGGGCTGTGGCATCGATCGAGCGCATACAGCGGCCTCGACCGACCGCTGCTATCATTAGGACACAGGACCGTGATCGCTCCGTCGCGGGACCGAGTCCAGGCAACGACGGTGTGGGCGGACGTGTGACAGACGAGGGCGTACCTGCAACGACGGAGCAGATCACCTCTTCCGTGGCGGGGTTGATGGTCCTGTGGTGCAGCAGACACAGTCAGTCCAAAGCAGGAAGATAGCCGGGGGAATGACGGTGGTATGTGGAACGCGCCGCGCCGTGCGATGCTCCGCGCGGCCGGGCTGTGGGGACTACAGACAAGTCGCCGAGACACGCACTCGATGGTCTCCTTCGAATCGACGGATGACACAAACTCGTTGTTGATGAAGAGGCCGGTGGGCACCTGGATCTTCCGGCCCGTCTTGGGCACGGTGATCTCGACAGTCTGCGCGGACATGGTGGTCAGTAGTCGCGCGAAAGCGGTTCGTCGATGGGGCGTCCGAGCAGCAGGGCGATGCAGGGAGCGATAGCAGAGAGAGGGCGCGCGCGAAGTCCTCAGAGCGAGCATATATGGACGCGTCGGGCAGAGGGGCCGGACGCGCCGTCGGACGCGCACACTGAGATAAGATAGAACGCGCCGCTCACGTGCTTGGTACGCGTGGGTGGCGCTCATCCGATGCTGGGAAATATTGCTGCTGTTTGCTGTCACTGCTGCTCTCTGTACTTACTTGAAAAGCTACATAGGGATGAAAGCAATCAGACTTGTAGCTACACTGCGGTACACTCACCATGAGCCCGCGACTGACCTTACCCGGGTGAGATCCCGGCCCAATACGGCGTGTGTGCCGCATCGCGCATCCAGTATAAGGTTGTCATCGGACTGGCACAGAGTCTGGTGCGCACGATCGAAGCCCCAGGCGTCCCACAGGCGGCGAGCCCCCGGGGAGCCAACGTGTGCGGGCGGTCTGGAGCGCAGGCGAGAGGCCGTTTCTCAAAAGAGGACGGAGAGACGCCCCGTCCCCGCGTTCACCTCCACTGCACACCTCCGCTGCCCAGGCTGCTCTCCTCCCACCGCCTGCATGACCCCCGACGCCCCGTCGCGTCCCCTCCACCCCTCCCCAGCGCCGGCGACGGTCGCTTGAACGCATCCCCCACGATGAGCACTTCCGCCGCCGCCGCGCTCCCCCGCACGCCCCTGCGCAGGAGCCCGCCCCCGCTCAGCCTCGACGACTGCGGGCCCAGGGCACCCGCCGTCTTTCACCCCGCGTCGCCGCCGACCAGCCCCGGCGCCGGCGCGACGTCCTTCGTCTTCACATCCTCCCGCACGAAGCAGTGGCCCTCCGCCAGTACCAGCCCAGACGCCGTCCCCCCGCCCGCCCGCCGTCCGAGGACACCCGTGTCCGCGACGGCGTCCACGTCGACCAACAGCACCGTCCGCAGCCTCCACAAGCCCGCGCTGACCGCGACGCAGCTCGCCCGGCACAGCGAGGGCGCGACAGACGCTCGCAGGCTGCTCGGGCCCAACATGCGCGCAGCTGGCTTCGTCCATCTCTCCGACTCCGTGGGCAGGTCGAGCGGGAGCAGTGCTGCAACCAGCCCCGCGAGCTCGCCGGGATGGCAGGAGATAGCTGGGCCGAGTAACTACATGGGGTCGGCTCCGGTGCAGGTGAGTAGCACTTGGGACCGTTGTACATGCAGGCACTCATACTCCGCCACGCAGCTCACACCGACAGACCCGCCGCCCTTCCCACCGCTCGTGTTCGTGCCCTCAAGCGCCGTCAAGCAAATGAGTATGTGGGAGTACCAGAAATGGCCGCCGGGCCAGACACCGGGGCTCTCCTCCCCGCACCATCCGCACTTTCCCTCCAACATCCCCGCCGAGACCTTCCATGCCCGTAGCGTGAGCGAGGGCGCGGCCGCGGCGGCAATGGGACTCGGCATCACCCCCGCACGCAGCCCCTCGCACTCCCCGCAGTTGTTCAGCTCGTCAGAGTTCAACGCCGTCCCTGCGCCGTCCCGCTCGACATCGTTCTCGGCGTCGAGGAGGCTTCTCTCACCCCTGAGCGCGATGGAGAAGGGCAAGGAGCGCGAGCGCGATGGCCTCGACGAGTACCCCTTCCCACGGGCCCTCCCGTCGCCCAGCTCGCACTCGTCGGGGTCGGGTCAGCGGAGGCTGAGCGGTGCGCACTCGCGCAGGAGCAGGGACGAGTCGCCCGAGCTCGCGAGCAACGCGGCGTGGGCGCGCGAGCCGGGCAAGGCGAAGCTGCGCGCGAAAGACAAGAACGTGAACCGCGACAAGCGCACGGGCGACCGCGTTGCGGGCCTCATCGCGGAGCGCGTGAACGCCCCGCAGCCGCACGCGCGACCCGCCGCGCATATCGTGCAGCCGCACGCGCCGTCCGCGGCGTACGCGCTGAGCGTGACGGAGCTGTGCGAGCCGGGGTTCGCGTGGTCGACGCCGAACGTGGACGTGTTCTCGCCTGCGCTTCGTGCAGGTGCACGGGTGAGCGGCGAGGGCGCGCCGAGCCCGCCAGAGCGGGAGGACGTCGTCGAGAAGGCGGAGGAGGAGCAGGGCGCGCCGAAGGAGGCCGTCGTTGCACCAGCGGAGGCTGCGTTGGTTGAAGAGGAGGTGGAGGCGCAGCGGTTGGTAGAGCACGAGAGGGAGAAGCGGAACCACAGGGACCACCGCGACCAACGCCACGCGGAGAAGAAACACATCGCCGTGCTCGTCGCGGCGCACCGCGAGCGCGACGAGGACCACGTGCGCTATGTCGCGGCGGAGCGCGAGAAGGAGCGCGAGAAGGGGAAGGAACGTGCGGTGCGGCGGTCGCCCCATGGCAGCCCGAAGGGCAGCGGCCGCTCGTCGCCTGTCCACGAGAAGCCGGAGCGCGAGCGGACGTCGCCGAAGCGCAGTGGGCGGACGAGCCCCAAGGAGAGGGAGCATCGCGGAAGCGAGAGGGGGCGGACGTCGCCTGGGCACAAGGAGCGCAAGTCTGTGCGTGTCTCGTGCTCGGATTGTGGATGTATGCTGGGTATGCTGATGTTTCTTTGTTGGCAGAGACGACAGTCGCCCAAGCTTGCGATGCACAAGACGAAGAGCATCGTGTCGGACATCACGAACGTGAGCGACGCCGAGACCATGGTCGGCGACGCTATTGCCGGCGACATACTTGTGGCCTGATCCTCCATAATTCTCGTTCACCCCATGTATTGGCTTCCCTCTCGGCTTCGATACCTTCAGAAGTTCAGTCCTCAAGATTTCCTGCTTCACTCGCGCGCATACAGCCACACAAGCTCGTATCTACTCCGGCCCGAAGGCCGGTGTGTACGTATCTCCATGTCGCCGTACGTCCAACAGTGCTCGCCTGTTCTCTTTTTCGGCCCTTCTGCTCGCCCGCTCGTCTCTGCCTGCTTGAAATACTCAAACATCGCACCGCCCTATCGTTCGGCCTACCCCGCGTAACCCACCCCGCGCGCAGTATCTATCACCATGCAAAATACGCCCACACCACCCTCGACCTCTGGCCGCCCTGTCCCGCCTCGTCTCATCATCGCACCATGCATTCCATTTCGCCTCGACACGTCAGCATTTTTTCTGCATCCGCATCATCTCGTTACACATTTCCTTCGGCATCCCCTTCGCACCCGCTACGCGGGCTCGGTTCGCGCTCAAAGAAAGGACGGATTTGGCGGGCGGCTCGGTCCACCCGCCTGGACCCCCTTGCTCCCGGGTCCCAATAGTTTCTCCAGTGATCATCACCATCACCCATGCACATCCCTCTCATGACTTACAATACGTTCATCTCGGGTAGTATCGTCGTCTCTGTCTGGTCAGTTTCATCGTCTCTGCTCTGTCTTGTGCATCCCTGTTCATTTGTCCGAGTCTGCCCGCTCTGTCCCCCTGCATCTGACACTTGCTCGCTGTTTCCCTCCCAGATCCGCATATGCAATAGACGTCACCTATACGCTATGTTCGCAGCCTGGTCCACACGTTTCGTGCACGCTTTAGGTTTAGGGATATGCGGACGCCGGCGGCGCTCGACCGGATCCGGAATGTAAATGGGGTCGAGCGGCTGACACCGGCGGTCTGTCTACTGTAAAGTATCGTTGTAAATGACCGCATTCACATATCTGTCTTCTCTGTACTTGGTATTCGGTTGCGTCCCTTCGAGGGCCGCTCGTCATGGATATTGTTCGCGGACTGTTATGATCGTACGCACGCGGAGCCCACGTATGTGCGCACGAAATGTATACATACACGTACGGCGTCGATGACGCCTGGTAATGATCAAAACGCGGATGCCATGGAACGAACGCGGATGGATGGGGACTTCTGGACGAGGAGAGGAGCCCGTTTCGTGCACGACGAGCATCGCATGTCACTATCGCAGTGGAGCATCGGTGCCCAAGAGAGTCCAGCACTTCTCGAGGCTTCCAGAGGCGAGCGAGCCAAGCCGTTCATTTCCAGACGGACGATGGCGATCTTCATGCGCGATGGGCCGTTGAAGATGCCTGCACAGCGCGCAGTTCCAGCGGGTTCCGAGAGGCGCGATGGTGCTTGCAGATCCGCGCGCTGTCATAGGCCGGGGCTTCGCGTTGCGCGGTTTCTGCGAGGTACGGTGATCAGATTCAATGTCTCCGTCCGGTGGTGTTTGCGTCCTTGATGACGTGCCCATCCGAGCCTCGTGGCTCGTGGGTGTGCTGCAGACTCCTGGTCAGGCGTGCATGCTCCTTTGATTGAGGATAGAGTGCTCAAGGACGCAGCGGGCCTGGATGTGCTTCGCGGCGACCTAGGGGTCTTCTCGAACACGGAAGCCTTGGTGAGATCCGGTTGTCCGTGGTCCGGGAAGGCTTACTGTATGGCGGGGTCTTGTCCGAGCATATAGCCGAAATGAAGTTGCAGCTGTTGTGCGACATCACATGGCTAGAGGTGAGGAGAATATGCAGTGTAGACAGTACCCAACCTTGCACAAGCGCGGTGAGTACGGCAGATATCTCATGATGTCAGAAGAACGAACAGACTCACTCTCTTGTAACACAACAGCCCCCGCAGAGGACAGATCGCGGAAACACTGGGGATGGCTGCATGATTCGATATGCGCGTTCAGGTGTGCCTTGCGCATTCACTGAACGCCAGATCTAGAAGACTCCGTCGTCTTCGGCGACACGAACATGACGCGCTGGTACACACGACCGTTGGATGAATACGCATGCTTTCATGTTTGCTGTAGTCACGGGTGCGCCAACCCACGATCTTCATGTGTTGAGGGGATAAAAGTAGCGCTGCTATTGACGCGCGTTGAATGTATGGTGATCATACAGTGCGGACCTTCCAGCTTCACGCGCACGTCCCACGCGACGCCCTTGGATGCACGGTCTTGACAGTTTACGTCCACTACGCTACGAGACGTCCTTTCTTGCCTTCGTTCTGAGCGCCTGGCGTCGCGATAGCTCCCGGATCGCACGCTCCTAGTACGCTGCTGTCATCCGATGGCATACTGCCCGAGACTCTCGTTCTTGGCCAGGGTGCCTACCATGACAGTGTGAAGTGCAGGAGATCGTGGGCAGGGTGTTGTAGGTGACCAGAACAGACAACGCATCAACACTGTCAAAACTCGGCACCATCAGCAGGGCTACCTAACAGAGTCCATGGGAGATGAGTCTTCGAAGACGTCAGCACAATTTGCAGTGATTGACTTTCGCGAGTGTTGTATGAGGGAAGTACGGTCATGGTTTCCGGACACAGTCCGTGCGCGCAATCCTAGTCAGCCTCCGCTCCGAGCCGTGCCACCACGTGAGATTGACGAAGGTATGGATAGCGAACCTTGCACGAGCGCTGTGCTATATGCAACGACTCAGACTCCAGGCCACATCTGTACTTCTCTTCGTCGCAGACACGAGGCGACCTGTCAAGTTCAGAATCATTGGGTTCTAGCCAATGAGCAATGAAGAGGAATGAGCCCCAGGGTTGTCGAGGAGGCGCCTAGACTAGTGCAGGTTTGTTCTCTCAGCGATGTTAGCAACGAAGCGACTGGTCCGATTCCCACTCGCGAAACTCACGTTCTACGTCTCGCTCGAATTGCAGGTCACATCCGCCTTTTCGCCGAGCGTGAGACAGACTTGGTATGGGTATTGCCAAGCATACAGGCGTAGCACAGATAGTGTGTGCGTGTGTGAATGGCGGAACATGAAGGGCAGATGTTCACCGGCAGGGAGAGCAACGTTCTCCCTTCGGCATTCAATGCTAGCGGGGGGGAACGAGTTCAAATCTATGAGATATACTAACCCCATTCTCTCGAGAGCTCACCGGGAATGACAAGCGCAACGTGTTTCCGCGTTACCGGAGCGTTCTCCATGAAGTAGCGGGCTGACGTGCGATCAACATACGCTCTGACGACATCGCGCAGCAATTCGAGATCTAGCGGAAGCACCAGCGGGTCTCCTCTGGAAGACGTTGAGAGAGGATGCTGCGGCTTGTCAAGAGCACGCATCGAAACCGCCCACTCCAAGAGACAAATTTAGAAATGAACGTCCGAGTCCGAACGCAGCGTCGTAGAGACGTCTGGAAATGTTTGGAATTGGAAGTTAGCCCTGATCAGCCTAAACCGTGTAGAGAGCAAGCAAGCAGCCCATGACGAGCGAGTCTGGTGCGGTGCATGTGGGGACTAATCCCAAGACCAACAACACCGCGCACTCTCCAGATGGTGCGAACGTGCCTAGGATTGATCCCAAACATTTGCACGAAAGTCGGATGCATATGGCAAAGACACGTACCAGTGACGTGGGCGAGAGAGAACATCTATGACATACGGTACCATGACAGTCCAGAAGCTTCGATCAGGCGCGACGTTCGCTCGCGGTCGATGTCAGAGGGTGATCGTGAGAGTGCATGCGCGAATCCGCATAGAGGCGGCCTAGGAAGGAAGCACCATTGCAGCGGCCATACCTCCTGAGCAACAAGCACGATAGATCCAGGCACAACAGGGAGGCAAGGTAAACGTTGAAAAGGATGAAGCTACGTGAGCACTCACCTGAGCCCCTGGCGTACATATCCTACGACTCCAAGCTCGCAGTGAGAAGAGGACAAGCTGCAGAACAACTCGCGGATCGTCTAGACGCGGAACCGCCGGAACTTGAACAGGCCAGGCCGCCAGTAGCATGGCGAAGATGAACGCGGCGTCGTCATCGACCCCGAGTTGAGCAGTTCTACCAGATAAACGCGCTGCTTGAGTGGTACGGCTGGCAGACCTCGGCATGTCCGAACACGCTCGAGTCGACCTGGCAGAACCTGAGGCAGTGTGGCATAGTCGTGGCTCGTGCCACTGCGAGAGCGGCAATGGCGACGACTAATCGCCCAATCGGCCCTCGTCATGCAGAACCGGACGGCACGCCTTCATACCACGAATAGTTACTGACGGTGTGTTTCGGCGTCGTATCCTGCGGATAGTGAGAGTTCCTGGCATCGATGCAAGTAATGACCCATGTGCCGACGGCGGGAGGCAGGATCCGTGTGCGCGAAAGCCAAGAGGACGTCCTGGGCACCCAGAGCACCGCTTTTATAACATCGCGGACGCGTTACTGTTTGTCTGAACTATGACATCAGTCGTGCACTACGTCACCTTCAAGAAGAAGAACGAAGAAAGGGAGTACACACGCCGCGGCGTTGCCTGTTCGCATTTTGCCACAATCGCGTCTCGCACGTGACCGTGCCATGCAGCCCAACCAACCTGCAGCTGTCGCGCGACGTGGGCCACCCGAACTTGATTCTGAACGCCACTGCGCCGTACTCTACCTGTATCACTCATTGGTCTACATCGCTGTGCTATACCGCATCAATGCCGCCGAAGAAAGTCAAGCGCACAACTGCATCATCGGATGTGAAAGGCAGCGGCTCGACCCCAACGCAGCGGAAGGGTGGCGGAAAAGCCCCGTCTACGCGCGGGCGCGGTGGACTCAAAGACATGCTCGAGATGCCAATAGACGTTATTCACGAAGTATGCGCATTTTGTAGAACCGTTGACTCCTATTGATTGTCATGTTGGTGTAGATCTTGCGGCATCTTCGCCCACGCGATCTTCTTAGTCTCTCATGGTCGTCGAAGTCTGTTCACGCATTCTTGATGAAGAAGAGCTCCGCATATATTTGGAAGCTATCGTTGGAAAACGTGGAAGGGTTGCCCTCTTGTCCTGAACATCTCATTGAGCCTGCCTGGGCCTCGTTCCTCTTCGCGAAGCATTGCAGCGTAAGCCATAGCACCTCGAGTGAATAGACTCGCTTTGACGTCGTTCACTCTACTTCAGGCATGCGGACAGGGTAACATTGCAGATAGTGGCATATTCTGGGAATGCTATAAGCGTCTTTGCAAGGATTGCTTCTGTGGGAGGTCAGTCACGGTCACCTCATGCATTCTCACAGACGCAAACTGACCTCGTTATTTCGACAGGACAAGTGATTTGAGATATATAAACTTCGACAATATACCAATGGACATGTTCAACCAGGTATGCGAATACAACATCAGATCTGTTACGTGCGTAAGCTGGATGCTGTTCCATTCAGTGCTCCATCAACAGGCCTCGCGAAAGCAAGACGCTTTGCTTGGTTTTTGAGGTACAGAAAACCATCCACACGTGGCGCAAGTTGGTCAAGGCAAACAACGAACACGAGTTAGCACTGTTCATTGGCACAGAGATACTGCGGGTACGGAAAATTCGAGATGTAAGTATCGCAAGTCCATGTTATAGTACTGGTCATGGGATAAATCTGACCGCTTCGCCATGTAGCACGCATTGGAATGCTCAGAGTGGGCCGAGGAGCAAGCCAGAATGCACAAACAGGAACGAGCTGGGATCCAAGAGGATCGGCTTCAAGAGTATGTTTCGGCGCAATGCATCATGCTGTTCACGCTGAGCCGTTCCATGTTGCAGAATCATGTGCAGGTTGTGTGATCTCGGATGGAGGCCTGAAATTGATTTCATTAAACTCAATGACCACGAAGAGTTTTATGAGCACAAGCACGTTCGGGCGGCCAGGAAGCTCACAGAACGCAGTACGTATACGTTTCCCGGGTCACTCTCTCCTTCTCGTCACACTGGTCTAGGTTGGCAAAACATATGCGAAGAAATGGTCAAGTGTATGGAAGCGGTCCGCGCAAAGCGCCTCGCGCTTGAACTTACGAAGAGACTGAACGGGCGTTGGAAAGCCATGGAGAGTGCCTTGTCGATCCTCTATGATCATCAAGAGATACGCAACCGCGGATTGAGCTATGGCGATATCGCACTCATGCCAGAGTTCCGCGAGATCATGTGCTCTCCGCCCGATGTGGAGGTGAACAAGGAAAGCTTCATGGCGCTGGAAGCGAATATCGGGAAGCACGCAGAACAGTGGTACATGCGCATGCAAGACGAACTCCGAGCGCTGCTCATCCAATCTGCCGACAAAGACTCAAATGGAGAAACTGCACCTGACGAGGCGGATGTGGACGCACTGGAGCTCGCGACGACAATATTCCGTTGCGAGAGATGCGCCGAGGTCATGTTCTACTCGCAGGTCATGAAGCACAGATGTTTTCGCCGGGTTCCGTATTGGCAGCAAGCCGGATCAGACGCATACCGGAAGTTTGTCTCGGGGCGACTCACAGGCTATAGCTATGCCTTTCAGCGACCCACCGTCGTCGAAGGTCTCCTCACTGTAAACAATCCTCCTGACGAGGTTGTGCGGCTGATCGAACTATGCGGAAAGAACACGCGAACAGTGCGTGCGAAAGAGATGGATGCCTTAGATGTCAGGTTCGTACGAAACGACAAAGAAATTATGACCTGGCGTGCTGCGGTGAGTCTGGTCGATGTTATATCACGATCCGATTCTCAACATGTGGACCCCTTCCAGATGACATTTCAAGACTACATGTCCTACTCCGAGCGCAAGGATTGGCGATTGGCAACAGCCAAAGAGCTCGACGAGGCCAAGCAACTCGAAGCAAAGCGTCGAAGGGACGTGAGTCGGCTTGTGTGCAAAATATGCAAGGAAGAGTACAACCACCGGGCGGACGCACTGACTCACCTCGAAGTACGGTAAGCTGCCTCTATCATGAGCTGCTTATCGGTCATTGAATATCGGGTGGTCAACCATCTAGGCACGGCATCAAAGACGCAGGTGTCGAGCGTGAATCTGAACTGCTGGAGGCCCACCTCGAACTTGATATCTCAAGTTCGAAGCGTTGGGCATTTATAATGTCAAGCTGAAAGGTGCTGACGGTGCGCTGTAACGTGCATAGAGCAGACTTTTCTAAGGACTGGAGACAAGGGAATGAGTACCAAAGAACTCCAGTGGATAATGTGAAGTGTAACACAAATATTAGTAGTGGTCGGGAATCGGAGACGGCGAAGTGGCTGTAATTTCTTTCGTTGTCACGACCATCGACTATTGATGTGCAAGTCATACTAGTACACTGACTCGAGTGTTCTGATGCGCGACCGTCTCGTCAAAGCAATCTTGCAATCCGTGGACCCGTCAAATGTTCGCATTCCATACTGGTAGTATCCGTAGCCATAACTCAGGCCTTCTGCGTCGCGCGACGCGCGACGCGAGGGGTCGCTCCTCGGATCCACCTTCAACTTGCAGCTTCATTTGCAGAGCGCAACACTACCGTCTCGCATTTCGCCCGTATCTCTGCTTTGCATCTACAGTTAGTGAACTCCGAAGATATGCCCCCGAGGAAGGTCAAACGCACAGTTGCAACGTCGGATGTGAAGGGCAACACGCCGCGATGCAAGAGTGGCGGCGGCAAGACATTGGCATCTAGGGATAGGCACGGTGGCCTAAAGGATATGCTCGAAATGCCGACGGACGTTGTTTACGAGGTATGAAACTCAGTCGAGCTCACGCGTATTTTGCCACATCCCTCTGCATGCAGACACTACGGCATCTTCACCCGCAAGACTTGCTAAACCTCTCATGGTCATCGAAGTCTGTCCACATGTTCCTCATGAAGAAGAGCTCCGCCTATATATGTAAAATATCCTTCAAGAATGTAGAAGGTCTGCCTTCGTGTCCTGAGCATCTCATCGAGCCTGTGTGGGCTTCGTCCCTTTTCTCGAAGCATTGTATATATAGCCCAAGCTGAAGAGCGTCAATGGGCCAGTACGCGCCTCCCCGAAATGGCAATCCGTTACGCGTCGTCCTCGTGCTCTCTCGCGACGCGTCAGTCCGTCCGCCCGTCCACTCGCCCCATTGCACTTGTCCTCAGCTATACGACATGGTGAGTACTTGGGAACTCAAATTGCTCCATGATACTCAATCATTTCTCTTCTGCAGTTCCGCAACACATACGACTCAGATAACGTCGTCTTCTCCCCGCAAGGACGCTTACACCAGGTCGAATATGCGTCTGAGGCCGTGAAGCAGGGTTCTGCGGTGGTTGGACTGCGATCGAAGACACATAGCATTCTCCTAGCCCTGAAGGTACGCGACTCGTCGTATACTACACCTTGAAGTGTCGTTCAACGGGGGGACGCAGCGATCCTTGGGCGAACTCGCTGCGTACCAGCAGAAGATGCACCGAATAGATGATCACGTCGGCATTGCGATCGCGGGACTCACATCTGATGCCCGTGTATTGAGGTCTGTCTTGGGTGCTACTCAACGTCTTACGCGTCCACTGAGTGTCGTTGCAGTAACTTCATGCGCCAACAAGCGATGGGCTCCCGTATGCAATTCAACCGCCCAATCCCCGTCAACCGTCTCGTATCCTCCATCGCCGACAGTACGTGATTCAAGTGATTATGCAGTCTTGCCACTCACGTTACGAAACACAATGATCAGAGGCCCAGGTGAACACACAAGAGTACGGACGGCGACCATACGGAGTCGGCTTCCTTGTCATCGGACAGGACAAGAACGGCCCACACCTCTACGAATTCTCCCCATCCGGCAACTCATACGAGTACTACGCCATGTCGATCGGCGCCCGCAGCCAGAGCGCGAAAACATACCTCGAGAAGCACTACGAGAGCTTCGTGGACTGTACGCGTTCTCTCCTCCATGCTCAATCCATCTCACTCATCACGTCCGTGGACAGGCACCCTCGAGGACCTCATCCGACACGGTCTGCACGCGCTCCGCGAGACACTGCAACAAGACAAGGAGCTCACGATCAACAACACGACCATCGGCATCGTCGGCCCCGTGGGCGCGCACGAAAACCAGCTGCTCGCCGAGGGCTCCTTCCGCATCCTCGAGGGCGAGCCCATCCAGGTCTACCTCAACACGATGCAGCCGAAGCGCGCGCCGGAAGAGCCCGTTGTCCCAGCGCAGACTGACAACGTGGGCGAGGAGGAGGGCCCGACACACGGAGCGACGGCAGACGAGGACGTGCAGATGGGCGAATGAGCGCTGTCGCGGGTGAGTGCCGGGCTGTAGGGATGTGGCACAACGCGTGCTTGTATTGTTCTCGGACTGAAAGCAATGTTTTCGATTGTTACCGAGTGTGATATGAGCAGGGGTGAGTACGCTACGATGCGACGATCAGCTGACGAATAAATACTACGATCTACCCTGTATGCTCTGAACAGTGAACTCTATGGCGCCTTCGTTGGCTTGGCACCCTTCGCAAGCAACGCCTGCCTCCATGCCCGCGCCGCCGCGCCTGGTCTCCTCAACGAAATCAACAGCTGGACCATCGTAGTCAAAAGCAACACGCTTCCGGCTTGGTGTGCCGCCGCGAGTGGGACAGGGACGAGGTAGAGCAAAGTGCTGATGCCAAGCAGGACCTGTACGTTCGCCATTGCGAACGCGGAGACCATCATGCGCTTGACGAGGGGCGGAAGGACCGCTTTGTACGCCGAGCTGCGGCTCAGTGCGTACAGGGCCGCGGTTGCAGTGTAAGTCGTGATGGCCTGCAGCGGATGTTGTCAACACTAGTGCACTCGCAGAGTATATGGACTTACCAGGCATCGATGGTTGAACTGTACGGTCGTGGGGTTCTCGAAGATGTTGCGCCACCAGATGTCTGAGCCGTCGGGACTCTTGGCATATGCTGTTGAAAAGAGCTCGTCTGCGGGAGGCGCGATGCGTCCACCCATGAGCGGGAACTCGTTGTACAGCAGACCCGCGTCCAGACCCGCGACAAATGCACCTATGTCAGGCATCAGCGAGATGCTGCCGCTCACACTGACGCCGACACGAACCTGAGAGTGCCGTGAGGAAGACGAGCCCCGTGAGCAGCTTCGAATACCGCGCGAACCGCTTTACAGCTGGGTTCTGCAGGATATTGTTCCAGTTCGCGGCCTCGCCCTTCAAGCCAGCCCACGCGCCGCTCATGCCATACCGCCAGTCGTACAGCACCGCCATGCCCGTGCCCAGCATCCCCGCGTACACGACGAACGCCGTGCCGAGGTGCGCCGCGAGCCGGTACTGCGACACGCGGGGGACGGCGCCCGGGGTGTCCATGAGCGATTCTTCCAGTCCGGACTTGACCATGTACCACCCGAGTACGCCCTGCGCGCCGATCAGCAGGGAAATGCCCAGGAGCTGCTTCGGGAGCGTGGCGGTCAGACGGTTGCTCAGGATGAAGTACGCGAGGGGCCCGACGAAGGTGATCCCGATGAGACGGCCTAGGACACGGTGTCCCCATTCCATGTAAAAGATATCCTTGAACTCGTCAAGTGTGATCGAGTGGTTCAGCCTGTTCTTGTCAGTCGTGCGCGCGAAAATATGCAGACTAGACGTACAGCTTGAACTCCGGAGTTGCCTTGTACTTGGTGAATTCCGCGTCCCATTCCGCTTGTGAGAGAGGGGGTAGGATACCGGTGATGGGCCGCCATTCCGTGATACTTAGACCAGACTCAGTGAGGCGGGTGACTCCGCCCACAACGATGACAGTAAAAACAAGAACCGAAGAGGCTATGAGCCAGCCTGCGACCGGTGGCCGAGAGAGCACCGGGAGCTTGGGTATTGCTGCAGCATTGCTGGAGAAGAACTTCGCATCGAAGGGTCGGGGTTGGCTACTTTTCGTACCGAGACTAAGGTGCCTCCCTTGCCTCCAAAGACCTTGCTGTCGCAGTAAACCACCCAGCGGTCGGGAGCCTATTCCGAAGGCCGTATTTGCTGGCAGCTTGGATAATGCCTTCGATACACTCCGCTGGTGAAGTGCTCGGATGCAAGGCGGTCTTGAGCTTGCTGCAGGCAGCGAGCGGCATCCGAAGCCTCTCCACGCGGAGAGGAGCGACATCCTGGGGTCGACAGTCGAATGAACACCAGAGCCCGTGCTAATTGAGGTCGTCTCAGAGGCTCATGGCAGGCCGGAATGGGTTTGGAATGCGGAGGCCGGGAGTGGTCGAGCCAGACTTATGTAAGGTCGAGCCCGGCGGTCCCGACCAGCGCGTCGCGTCAACCCTCCGTCTCGCCTCCATGTTCGCGGTCGCTCTCGCTCGACGCGTAGGCGCAAGCCGGGCCCCTCGTCTGCTACGAAGCTACGCGGCCGCTCCCCCAACAGGGCTCTCCGAAGGAGAGAATACGATCTACCAAAAGCTGACGGAGAAGTTCTCCCCTGCGGAGTTGCAGGTGCAGGATGTGTCAGGTATGCAGCAAGGTCTCTGGCAGAATTGGTCTACGACGGGGTGTTGTTAGGTGGCTGTGGCACGTTCTACCAGATCATCATAGCGAGTGAGGCATTCAACGGAGTGCCGACGGTGAAGCAACATCGCATGGTCAACGAGGTGCTCAAGCAAGAAATAGAGGGCATCCATGGACTACAAGTGAGTCGCTATCTAGTTGCCTACTGGCCTAGCCCCAATTACTGATCTGTTATACTAGTTGAAAACAAGTCCGGCATAGGTGTACCTCTTCAGCATGTAGGAATGCATAACAGCACATGAGGCCGGTCGGCGGCAGCCTGATGTTCGTCATCTTAGCGTATGTCTTCGGGAGCGCCATTACATTACCACCGCATACAGGTCAACCCTGCAAGACTCTTCGAAGTCCTGGCTGCGCAGTGTACATGTACACGTAGCGACATGCTTGATCCGTCTACTCGACATTAGCAATACAGCTCGGTCTACATCGAGAACGTTCACCTTCGCATGGGCCTCTCAGTCACTTACCGAGACAAGCACAGGTTACTATTATCATGCGAACCGTTTCAAGGGTTACAGCTAGAGACCTCGTTTTTCTATCGCTGTATCGTAGCAGGTATGATCATACAGTATTCCCATCCTTGTCACCGAGGCTGCACTCTGACTCCGAAGCTGTGGATCATTGAAGTTCCTCGCCAAGGAGCTCCTCCGTGAGACTGGCGCACAGATTCCAGAAGTTATCGCCGATGTTCTCATCCTGGGCCTGCTTCGTCTCCTTTCCTGACTTGCCATAAGGGACAGAGTAGTAGTTGCCCTGTGCGCAACAAAGCAATATCAGCGTCCCAAGATCGCATGTTCCATGACAAAAGACGAAGTCATTACCTGGAAGTCCTTCCAGTTGCTCTCATTGATGTCCGTACTGACTGCAGCCCACAGACTGTTCTCTGCACCCTCCTCTGCGCTCTTGCCAACCTTGCGCGATAGCGTTTCCATGACCCTGCCGAGCTTTCCGTAGCCCTCAGTCCACGTCCTCTGCAGATCCGTGTCGACCGTTCCCGGATGCACGGCGATCGCGACTATAGACCGGTCGGGCGGAAGGTCGGACAGCTTGCGCTTAATAAGCTGCCTCGCGAGGCAGATTAACCCGAGCTTCGTACGGCCATACCTGTCGAGCAATAGGGAACGTCAAAGGTTGCATGGGGAACAGCGAAACATACAGAGGTCCGCCGCTCTTTTCTGTTACATTGTTGATCTCTTCTTTGTTGAGGAACTTGGTGCTGCTCGGCGCCATGCGATGCATCTCCGAGCTCTGCATCACGATGCGCACAGACGCGGGCTGCGCGGTGAGTGCGGTCTTGTTCATGAGCGGAAGCAGGCGAAGGACGAAGACATAATGCGCGAGGTTGTTCACCTACGTATGGCGCCCGCGCGTTAGCCCATCCGCGAACCTCGCAATGGGGAAGCGTACCTCAAAGTGCCTCTCCAATCCATCATTCGTCAGCTCACCATACGGAGCCTGCCCAATGCCCGCGTTGCATATGAGTATATCCAGCCTCTCGAGCTCGCTTGCAAGTCTCTGTGCGAGCGCGTCCACTTCCTTCAAGGTGCCAAAGTCCACGCCGTACCAAGTGACGGTGCCCGTTGAGCTAACGTCTTTCAACGCTTGGTTCGACTCCGCTTCCGCACCATGTCCTTTGTCTTCGTTTGCGGAGATGATGAGGACTCGAGCGTTGGCGCGTGCGAGCGCGAGTGCGTCGTAGTAGCCGATGCCCGACGAGCCTCCTGTGACAATGGCGACGCGCCCGGAGAGGTCGGGGATTTGGTCGGAGTGGAAGCGGCCGCTCATGAGCGTGGCAGGGTTCTTCGTGTTCGGCATATTTTCTATACTTCAATCATTTGAGTATGCAGCGGTAGGTATGGGTATCGCAGTGCTAGTACGGTTACGGTGAGTATGTGCGCAGGGAGTCTCTGAGAGAACGACACGGCAGCCGCTGACCTTTTGTATGTGTCCATTCAACATTGGAGATCCTAAGCACGCGGAGTGGCGACGGGGACTTGTGGGGACTCCTCGTTGCAATGATGTGCTATTATACGTCATCACAAGGACACAAGATAGGGATCCACACCCTTTGGCCTTGGCTTCCCCACTGGGAAGGTGGCTTGCCTTTTGAGGTGAGTTCATCAAATTGGACCAGCGAAGCAAAGACATACAGGTGAGTCGTTGATGGTTTTGTGTGCCCTCCCTCTCCAGAACACCAGATATGCATAGCTTAGGTATTCTCTGAGTTTACGCACGCCACACCGGCGCCATACGGAACCAGAAATGACGTGGCCTCATCGCTATGGTGAGTCGGCCTCTCATGTCGAAATCTTATATTGACTGTAGGCAGTTCAATCGATGCCCAGATCACAACGAGCAACATACATAAATGTCGCTGTCGTGGACAACTTGATTGAGACGGCAGATGGGTACGTATAACAACCGCTCGAGGTCTCCGAATTAGAAATAAGCTTTACACGATGCACAGAAGGTACGCGACTCATTTTCCGATGTTCCCTTTCTAGCCATGCTTATCTTCTCTGCACGTTACTTCTCTTCGGCAAAGCCCTTGACATCGAATATTTAACGAGGCTGGGTACAGGGCAGCCGCGCCTCTAACACTCATCATGTCTGCCCCCGCCCTTTCCTCTGAGAGCGCCGGGTACGCTCAACGTCGAAAGCAATTGCACACGCTCACGAGAGATCTGCATGCCGCTGGGTAAGTTACATTCTGGACTCTGCACCGTATTGTCTGTTGCTTGCCTTAAGGATGCTCATGGGACGTCGTGGTCGCCGTGCAGCGCGCATATCCATCTTGACTTGCCGCGCATCGTGGTCATCGGTAATCAAAGTGCTGGAAAATCCAGCGTGATAGAAGCTATATCGGAAGTGAGATCGATTCAGTGCTCGTTGTATGCTGTTCGTCTCATGCAAGCACTTCATAGATAAAAGTGCCGCGTGATGTTGGGACTTGTACGCGCTGCCCGATGGAGTGCAGGGTCCTAGAGTCAGCCTCCGGGAAGTGGTCGTGTCAAATAAAAATACGATGGGAATATGACCCGGCCGGCCGGCGCAAACATGATGTCGAAGAAATACTTTTTGGAGGCCTCCTCACCGACAAAGCAGACGTTGAGCTGATGCTCAAACGCGCTCAAGCCGCTGTTGTGGACGCCGGGAAAACGCCCTTGGGTCAAATTTTGAACATGAGTCCGGATGACCTGACTGCGTTCTCTCGTTCCTTCCCAGCGACAACTTTCTCCCGAAACGTCGTCTGCGTCGACATTACGGGACCTGGTTTAACTGATCTATCGTTCGTTGATCTGCCTGGTCAGTAACTGTTGCACTAGATACTCATAGTGTGCATGAGATGCTGACGTTGCTGTTAGGAATTATATCGAACGCTGATCCTGCTGTCGTGCAGTTTGTCCAGAACATGGTTCAGTCGTATATATCGGGCACCTGTTTGATTGTGGTTGCACTTCCCATGAGCGGTATGTTCTGCTGCTGTCGTCTGACTCAGTCAACATCTTCGTCTGACACCAATGGTTTCCAGATGATATCGAGAATCAATCCGCTCTCAGGATGGCTCGGGAGGTTGATAGAGATGGTTCACGAACCATAGGTAGGCATCTTCCGTGTAGTACCGCTCAACACAAATTATTGATGGGACTACTAGGGGTGATGACCAAACCAGACACCTTGTCTCCGGGTTCCATCAAGGCAAAGAATCTCTGGCTCGAGATTCTGGAGGGTCGTGCACAAGGCCATCGGCTCCGTCACGGTTACTATTGCACTCGCCAGCCAGACGACGGGGAACGTACTACCGGCATTACATCTGCGGAAGCACGCGAGGCAGAGAGACGGTTTTTCGAATCGACGGGCCCCTGGAGCACATCTACTGAACAGCAACGCTTCGGGACAGGAAACCTTGTCAAATACCTCAGTAAGATGTTGACTGAGATCATCAACAAGGTGTAAGGATCCCTGCTCGCTCCTTTGCCGCAAGCCATCTGAACTGATATGTGATCGTGTTCTCATAGTCTACCGCGACTACAGCACGATGTCGAGCAGAAGCTGTCCGCGTGTTGCGCAGGTCTACGGAAGATTCCGAAAGAAGTGACGAACGAACCCGCATCTTACGTGCTGGGGCTGCTTTCATCTTTCTGTGTTGATATCCAGTCCCACGTGGTAGGTGTTCCCGGCGCAGAGGTTCTAGTTCAACATAATCGGCGTACATATGGGACCTTCAAACGCGCCATCCGAAGTACTGCACCTAGGTTCATACCACTACCGTCAGCAAGTGACGCTCCTTCGAATGCGATCCGAGTGGACGTGTTGTCTGACCCAGAAGATGACGAAACAATTGAGAATGATAGTCCTCCTGGAATACACACGCAGGTCGTCCGACAGATGTACCTCAAGGACATGCGGACCCATATCCAACGGTGTGCTCACTATCGCCTAACACGTGAAACTTGACATCTGTCTTACCTGCTTCTCCAGATCCACGACGCGCGAGTTGCCCTTCAACGTCCCGTACCCAGCTAAGACAACACTCATACGAAGGTTTCAGAAGACGTGGGAAGACGAATGCATCAGTTGCTTTGAGAACATTCAGAGGCATTTCAGGCTCACGCTGTCGCAGCTCATAAACCGTCGGTTTCAGCGTTTCAAGAACCTCGCAGGCAAGATTGAGTACGCGACTGGTTGCGTCAAAGTTACACGTGGCGCTCATGTATGACCCTTCCAGCGCCGCCATCGTGTCATTGCTGCAGGACTGCCGTGCTGCGGCACTCGAGCAAATCGGAATGTTGTTGAAGTTCGAAACCACACCCTTCACACAGAACACTCACTACCTCTCTGATGCAACGGACAAAGTACTTTCCCGGTACAAGGATGTCCGCGGAAGTAGGAGCTTTGTCCGTAGTTTGCCGGAAGTCGAGGTGGCAGCCGAAGAAGTAGATGGTACTGAAGACTTCTACATCGGTCAGTCTGACATGATTTCTCGAGTTGATTATACATTCACAAGGCTGAGACAGATCCTGGTAAGTTATACGGGATGCAACGTATGAAGAAGTAGCGGAATATGTAGCTAACCATCCCTCGAGGGCATTCTCCTGTTCCAGAATCCCCACCATTACCTCCGAGTCCGGACAACAGGGCGGAGACACCTAGAGGTAATCTAGGAGACTTGATGGTTCCTTACCTAATCTCATGTTTATCTTCCCGGAAACGCAACACATCACTACGGGAAGCACCAGAATTCGACCTTCCTCAAACCACGGCATCAGTATTCGGTATGTGTGCAGACTCAACCCCCGCAGAACCCCTATCCACCTCATCTATTGACATAGAAAACACAGAAGCCAACCCAAGAAACGCTGGGACATCGCACACTGCTCGTATACCGCATTTCACTCTGGATTGGTCCGACGGACCGTCCATTCCCAGTGAGACGCAGCGCGAACAGCAGATGGCAGAGGCACTTGCAGCGTTGGCGAGGGTGGGCTACACCGGGCTGACAGCGGACGACTTAGGGAAGCTTAAACCACCCGACGAATACGAGGAAGAGCTCAAGGTCATGGCGGAAGTGAGAGCATACTTCCAGGTCTCGTACAAGGTGTGTGCTTGCCAGCGTTGCCAACAATCGAAGGCCTCTGATCTTGCTTCAGCGCATTATCGACTACATTCCTCTCGCCATCGACCACACCTTCCTATATGCCTTCGCCGAGGCTCTCCAGTTTCACCTTATTGAGAACCTCGCACTCGGAGCGCCCGATGCTGCAGCCCGCTGCACGGCGTACCTCAGCGAGGACCTCGACATCGTCATGCGGAGGCAGGAGCTGACCGGGAGGAAGGCGAGTCTGGAGAAGGCAAAGTTGGAGCTGATGAGTGTGTCTTTCGCCGGTGTCGAATTATCTGCATCGTCGTGAGGCTCTGCTCAGCAGCTGCATCTAGCGGTCTTGGCTGTAATGCGGTCGGGTTTCTGGTAGTCTGAATTGTCCTGACGCTCGTCTGGTTTTGTTGTACAAGGAACTGCTTCGCTTCGCTCCGCTTAGCTGGTAGGGCTTCAAGTTGCTCAGAGGTTGCTTGTACGAGTATGAGAAAACCGAACGTGAAGGAGGAGGAAATGGTCACTCGTTGTTTTCGCGCACATAGGGGCGACAAACAGCTGCCCGGGCCCCTAATAACGCGGAGAGGAGGAGTAGGTTCCTAGCAAGCTGCTAAAGCAAATCATGAGGCTGACCATCATGAAAAGGGAAGGTCACCAGATGAGTAAAATGTCGAATATAAAGGGAAAGGCGAAGACGGCGGATGTGCATGTGGGAGATGCCAAACAGACGTCAACGAATTCACAGGATATGCGTATAATAGTAGTAATGTGCCTTTGACATGTATTGAACGTTTGTGGCGTGCGTAGTTGGCGATGGTAAAGATCTCAACATCCGTTTACAGTTGCGACAAACTTTCTCTCTTTGCTTGTCTACCTCACGAGAGATATCTTTATGAATCACAACCCGGTGTGGAGGAGAAATCCGGCCGAATGCTGGAGTGACGCGTAGCGTCGCGTTCTTATTTCTCTTCGCTCTCTTAGCTGTGTTAGCTTATATCATTTCGCATTCAGACATTAACCACGATACAAACCTCAATCTACTGTACCGTCGACTCTACCGGCGCGCTCGCGAGGAACCGGAAGGCGGAGGCGGAGGACCGACCATAGGGCGAAGGCGGGCGACGTCGAGCAGAGTGCCGCACCTGTCGGGGGCCCAGGTCGCGAACGTCAATAGCACCGCCCCGCCGCTGTCAGCCCCGCGCCGAGACCATGGTCCGCCGTCCGAAGCCGGAAGGGGAACCAACGGACGTCGTCACCCGGGCGGGTGTCCCATACAGTACTTTCCTTATTCGGTAATATTTCTTCCCGATCTGTCAACGATCGCTTGCCTGTCACTCATCGCCTTTCCTTTCGAACTTACCTCATCTTCCCTTCTGTCATCCTTTGCTCCTTAGTTCCTTCTCGCTCTCGTTGCGCTGCGTGTACTTATAGAGGGCCGCGTCGCCCGTTCTCGCCAGAAATCGTATCCCCCAGCTTCTCCCCTCTCGCTCACGCGCACTTCAAGGTTCGGCACGGACGAGCGACTCGACGTCGCGCGTGCACCTCAAGTCGAGTCAGTCGAGTAGTCGAGAAGATTAGATAAGTATTCGTTTGTTTCCGCGCGGCCACACTACTCCACACAGAACATCGCCCGCCGTCCATCTCCAGCCCGAACACCCATTCGCTCGACTCTATTGAACACCTGCACCCGGAAGTCGTTAGCACGCGTGTCGATACCACGCGCGCGCTATCTCTCCCACACCGGCGGTGAATTCTCCTTGCAATGCGACGTGCGGACGCGCTGACAGTGACTCGGAGCCCGTTGCTACTCGGGACCGCGACGGTACTCAGGACTCGGACTGCGACCTGTGGAGGTATAAAGAGGCCTTTCGGAGCCTGGGCAAAGCAGCACAGAGCACACCTACTTCACAATGGCAGAGCACCACCCTCACACGCACAAGCACGACGCCCAGCATGGACACGGCCATGACTACGCGGCCGCGAACAAGCAGTACTTCGACGAGAACATCGACATGTTCGAGCGCCCGGACATTGTCGACGCCACCCAGCGCATCGCTGCCGCGATGCGCGAGCGGTATGCGAGCGCCTTCAACGCAGAGAGTACGACCGTGCTCGACTATGCGTGCGGCGCCGGTACGTGTCACTTCAAGCTTCATCACGCAGGATGAAGACCATGTGCCTGCGAGGTAGTGCGGTATCGTCAGCCACATGGTCTTCATCCTGCGTGAAGTCGATCTTCGGTGTCGATATCAGCCAAGGAGTCGTGGACCAGTACAACCTTCTGGCGTCGAAGCATGAGCTCTCCGACAAGTTGAAGGCAAGCTGCGTCGAGCTCAAGGCCGATGGCCGAATCGGCAACTCGACCAAGCAGTTTGACATAGTCCTAGTCCGTGATTTCAGCGATGCGCTGTACGTGGGCTCACCAGAACTCCTACAGTGCACGATGGCGTACCACCACTTCGGCAACCCAGAGGACGTCACGAAGATCCTCGCGTCCTTCGTGAAGCCCGGCGCATCGCTCCTCGTCGTTGACATCCTGGCGATTAGCAACAAGGCCGACGTCGTCCTGGGGGACAAACACAGAGACACAGTCCCCCATCAGGGAGGCTTTGGCGAAGACCGTATGAAAGACATGGTCACAGCGGCTGGCCTTGTGGACTTCGAGATGGGAGGACTGATCTCCGGCCTGGTGATAGACGGGCATGCCGTCACTCCGTTCCTCGCTCGTGGCGTCAAACCGTTGTGAATAACATGCACTGATCTGTGCTTCCAGAGATAGGCATACCTGTACCATATAGACAATTGTCGAAGGCGACTGTATCGTCCTTGCTTCGGTGATTAGTTGTTATCGAAGAGGGCAAACTATGCGGTTGGTTCAATATTCGTCTCGTAGTCGCTGTTGAAAGCTACAAATGTATCAAAAGTTTGAAAATCAACTCTCAGGCTGGGCTTACAGACAGCTCCTTGCTGTAATATCAATATGAACATTCGGGTTTGGGTTCGGAGGACTGTTACTATGCATGTACGGAGGCAAGGATGCTTGAAGCAACTGACGCCCAGTACGGGACCCGGATCGCCGACCCCGAGTGCTGGCCGACGTGCCAGTGTGGCAGACGACCTGCATGTCTCTCCGTCCTCTCATTCTCGGCAGCGCTGCTCGGACTGCACGGACTCTTGTCAGACAATGTCAACGCACTCAAAGACTATATGCGACTGAGGCAACACAGCTAGCCAACATCGCGCTAAAGCCGACAATATATGGGCAACCATTGGACCCGTCTCATCCGCATCTGCGTATGTGTGTCGAACTGAGTCAATGGAAGACTCCACTGAAAGTAGTTTGGTGAATAGTGAAGAATGGGGAGCTGACACCAGGGATTACCTCGCAAGAGTACGAGACGCGGCGGCGGGCTCTCATGGACAGTCTCCCGCCGCACAGCGCCGTTATTTGCGCCGCCGCGCAGGTGAAGTACATGAGTGGCCGTGCGTACATCTTTTCCTCCCTATGTTTCGTGTCTAACCAACTGGATTAGAGATCTTGTAAGTCCGCCCATTCCTCCGGTGGAATGACCGCTCATCCATCGGCCAAGCTACAAGTTCCGCCAGGACTCCGATTTCTGGTACCTCACCGGCTTCGAAGAGCCAGGCGCTGCATTCATCATGGAGAAGGACAGTTCTTCGCGCGGGTATCGCATGACGCTCTTTCATACCCCGTCGACGCCTTCGACGGCGCAGTGGGACGGCGCCCGCACGAGTGCAGAGGACGTCGTGCGACTGTTCCGCGCAGACAACGCGCGACCGGTCGACGAGTTGCTTGACTCACTGAGGAGGGTAATGGCTGAGACCGACCATGTATATGTGGACCTTCCTCCTGGGGGCGGACCGAAGCGCTCGCGTTCGGCCTCGACCAAGTCGTTGCTCAAGGTATGTTGCTCATACAGATAGTAGAAGCGGCTATTAGAGGAGCTACTGTAGTACTTGTCTAGGACATCGCAGGAGCATGATTCTCTCCTTGAATCGCTCAGCGGACAAAAGCGTCGTCCACTTGCTCCTGAAGTCGGACGGCTACGCGCCATCAAGAGCGAGGCGGAGCAAAATGTCATGCGGGCTGCTGCAGACATCAGTGGTCAGGCGCATACAAAGGTTCCTACATTCTCCCGCCAGCGAACCTTCTACTGACTGCTAGTCAGACGATGCGTTTCGCACGACCTGGCCTGTCGGAACACGTATTGGGCGCGCACTTCGAGTACCTTTGTGCCAGGGACGGCGCACAGCGACCGGCCTATGTGCCTGTTGTCGCATCAGGGTCTGTGCCTCTTATCATGGCCAGTCGGGTTTCAGCTTACAGTGAATAACAGCCCAAACGCGTTGACAATACACTACACGTCAAACAACCAGCTCATCCGCGAGAACGAGCTAGTCCTCGTCGACGCAGGGTGCGAATACAAGTGCGTCACTTCCCCATCCACACCGTACAACAACTGACCCCTGACCCTGTCACCCACTGGCAGCGGGTACGCCTCCGACATCAGTACGTCCCCCCACCCCTGTCGTCCCTTGCCGCACTAACCTCCGCGGCAGCTCGCACCTTCCCCGTCTCGGGCGCCTTCACCTCCGCGCAGGCAGACCTCTACGGTGCGCTGCTCTCCGCGCAGAAGCAGCTCGTCGCGCTCTGCACGGCGCGGGCGGGCGTCTCGCTCGCGCAGCTCCACCACAAGTCAGTCGAGTTCCTCGGGCGGGAGCTCCGCCAGATTGGGTTCGACCTGGGCATGGCGGGCGGGCGCGTGGCGGAGCTGTACCCTCATTTTGTTGGACACCCGGTGGGCATTGGTAAGTGATTGGTGTCTGGTGTGCTGTACATGGACAATGAGCTGACCAAGGAGGTTGGTAGACCTGCATGAGTCAAGCCATTTTGACCGACACGCACCGTACGCTTTATTCGTAAGTGCTCCGAGCGTTATGTTGACGTGTGCACCATAGTCTGCAAGCGGGCATGGTCATAACTGTGGAGCCTGGTGAGTCATCTGCGTTGTTGGCTCCGGAAGCCTCGCTCATAGAAGTGAAGGCGTGTACGTGCCGCCATCAGCACACTTCCCAAAACACTTCCACAACATTGGCATCCGAATAGAGGTGAATGTCATCGCGCACATCATGCTGCTTGCATAGCTCATGCCTATGGACTCGCAATAGGACGAAGTGCTCGTGGGCGAAGAGCACCCCGTAGTCCTCAGCGTAAGTGCTCCGAAGGAGGTGAGTACGCGTTTTCTTGCTGGGACATCGTCTCAATGATTGTCGCCAGATCGCCGACGTGGAGGGAGCATGTCAAGGACTGCTAGGACTAGAGCCGTTCTGACGATTCTATTGACACGCCATGCATCTACACCAGCTCATTGTTCCACATCTACTGTATCGGTTTGCAAGAACAGCTGACGCATATATATATACTCTATCGATTCAACGCTTCTAATTCGCTCCCGTCGTGCTTCGTACTTCATCCCCTCAACAAACTTCAGTCAATGTCAACACCCTTGACCTTCCCGTTTACAGACTCAGCGCGGTACCTCGCGTTCTCGCTGGCAAAGCTGCCCTCCACGGCGGAGCTACCCGCCGCGTACGGTTCCTCGTCGGCAATCCGGAGTGCGCGCAAGACTTGCTCGCGGCGGAGCCACTTGTCGGCGGGGATGAAGTACCAACTGAGGACGCCGAAGATGGTGACGGCGCCGAGGATGACTGGGGCCTGTCAAATGAGTAGATGAGACTGTGGTCAGGGTAGGGTACGGCAGGGGACGTACGAAGTTGAAGCTCTGGGCTGTGACCGGGAAGTAGAACGGCGAGATTTGAGTCTGCGAAACGACGCATGAGGTCCACCAAAGAACGACTGATCACCGCAGAGAACTCACCGCAAAGACCAAACCATTGAATAACGCGGTCGCGATATACGCCGGGCGCCTCCACCTCCCCAAGAAATAGTGGCTGCTCGTGAAGTCATCCGGGGTGACGAAGAGCCTCAGGAGCGCGATTAGGCCGTACGCGGCGGTGGTCGGCACGCCGCCCGCGGAGGTGAGCGACGTGAACGCAACGTCCGACGGCAGGATCGTGCAGAGCAGCGCGGCGCCGAAGACGAACATGACCGTCACTGCGTTGCGCGGCTGGCGCTGATGGTCGACCTGTCCAATCCAGTGGGAAAACGGCAGCACACCGTCGCGCGCGACCGCGAAGACGAGTCGGGAGGCGGCTACGATGGAAACGCTCGTGTTCTGTGCGGGGCGGGTGAGCCGCTGAAGGCCAGGTTAAGAGGAGACGTACGAGGATCAGCCCGAGCGCGGCGATAGCAGTCATGAACGCGCCGCCGCCCTTGCCCAGCGCGAGCGCATAGAGCTGCACGAACGGCTGCGGGGCGTCGAGCGAAAAGAGGGTGTCCAGGTCAGGTGTGCAGAAGAGGAAGAGGATGTTGGTGATGAAGCCGAGGACACCAGTCGCGATGACGCTGTAGAGGATGCCTTTGCCTGCGATGACACTGCAGAAGGGTCAGTGAGGATGCAGGAGACAAAGAAAATGAGGTCGTACCTGGCATTTTTGGTCTCTTCGGCGATATGTCCGGACGCGTCGAAGCCAATCATCGTTCCAGAGGAGTACAAACTATTTTCGCGGTCAGGGAAGTTCTTGACGAGGATAACCGCGTCGTATTCTACTTACAAGCAGAGGATAAAGTTCCACGCGGGCGGTGCCCCCGTCAAGTTATCTACCCGGTCAATGAGCACACACATCACACCTGAGCCAGAGTAAATTGGACTCACATGTCCCCGTGAACACCTCCTTCGCCGACCTGAAGCCATACGTCCGCGAGACGCCAATCGGGAGCCAAATCAAGCACAGCAAAAAGTCCAACATATACAGGCCAATGGAGAACTTGAACACGGCCGAGTATAGGCGCGGCGGGAGGTAGTTGATCGCGACGGCGAGTACGAAGCAGCCCTCAGAGACGGCCCACACGAGCGCGCGCCACTTGATAGAGTCGCTGCCCGCCCCGTCGGGGTAGCTCACGCCGAAGACGATGAGCTCCGAGACGATGTAGTTCGCGGCGGTCTGTCGGGGAAGAGCTGTCAAAGCTAGGTGAGGGATGGTGCAAGATGAGGACGTACGAGGCAGCAGGAGGCAGAGAACGTCATCCAGGCCGTGCACGCCCACCAGGCGACGACGAACCCGAAGAAGCGGCCGTACTTGGGCCCCGCGCTCTCTGCGCTCCAGACGTAGATCGACCCGCTGACAGGTAGCGCAGAGCAAATCTCGGCCATGACCGCGGCGGTGATGAACATGAAAATCATCGAGACTATGTAGGTCGTCCTGTGGCAGATATGAGTGACCGGAGAGACTGCGAAGACCGCATATATGAAGTGTTATGAGATGGTTGACGTACCATACGGCCAAGGGGCCGCCTGCTTCGAGCCCGAGGAAGATACCAGACCTATGGACAATGATTGGTACGTTGATGGATGTACAGCAGTGTTATTCTTACCGGACACCTCCAATGAAGTTGAGTGCGACAAAACTGGCCGCGAAGCTCTCAAGAAGGTGCCAACTACGGTGAAGTTGCTACATAGAACGTTAGTCTACGAAACTTATTGTACGCCAGTCAGTCAGATGTGTACCTGTTTATATCCAAGCTTTTGCTATTGGGAGGAAAAGAAGGCAGGTCAGTACATTCTGCAAGGCTCCCCCGAAGGAGAGGCAATAAACATGGCGACACTGGGGGCTTCCCTACGCAGGTATGAGCGCTGATCAGGTTCAAACGGTATTATCTCAACCCCTGCCGGTCCTCTGCCATCCTCGCTCACTCGCTCGTCTGACGATCGTCCGAGACGAGAGACGGCATCGCGGCGAAAGGATACCCGTAGCCGTTTCCAGTACACCACTGAAAAGGACGACGTTACCGATGATACTTCACAGCGAGCCTCTGCCCTGTGTAGGTCTGGCCAGCTCTGCCTTCGGACTGGGCATTACCAGCTGGAGCTCGTCTTCGCCGTTTTCGGAGCCGGACGAGTCGCGCTCGGCGTCGGCGGGCAATCGCCCGACGTTCATGTCTTCTGAGGTCATGTTGCAGTCCTTCTGTTGCGGGGGCAAGGAAACGAGATGGTAGAAGGAGAGATAGAGACTCGGGCGATAGCGAGAAAATGGGCGACCTACTCAAAAAACAATCGCAAGCGGGCGCTTGCGACGTGATTCATCCAGGAACGACTCGGATAGTGAGAGCAGACGCCGTCCCGGAACTTCATCGACACATAGGAAAGCAATACTTAGTCGCAATCTTCTTTCGTAGTTAAGTCAAAGTTGAGCTTATACATGATGGAACCCCGTACAGAATCTACGGGTTGTTACGTTATACAAGCCGATTGAGCAGTGGACGCTTGTTTGAGCGCGACTCAGATCGAAGATGATCGGCTTTCCTCGACAACAGGCACGCTTGAGGAGCTAAAATCCTGCAAAGATCGATCTTCCGTCTTCGTGCCTCGGGAGAATCGAAGAAGCCATGCTGCCAGCATGCTACGGTCAGCCAGTCAACTGCGATCGAATCATAGTGGCGCGCGGCCGCGGCGCTTGCGGGCTGCGTGGAACTTAAGCTTAGGGCCAGAGGTCGACGGAAGACAGCTACAATTACTATTAGAAACAAAGATGTGCGTATAAATACATGCGTGCATGCAGAACTTCCTTCGATACAAGCATTGCGACAAACCGGAGCAGCGGGCATTGGTCATGAACCTTCGTGGTAAATTGCGTTCACTGGATGTTGAGGCGCTGCATGGCACACATTAGCTGGGTGATTGTAGCATTCAAGGATCACAACATACCGGCTTGAGAGCCTTGATGAGGAGCCACTCTTCGTTCGAGACGTCCTGCTTGAAAGATGTCTAGGATCCCTATGAGCGCGTTGTTCCACAGACACAACATCACAAGGCTTACCTTGAGGACATCGATACTCTGCCGTGTGATGTGGCTGTAGAGCTCATCCTTCTCGTCGAAGTGCCGGCCGAACATCTTCGCAGACTGGTAGACCGCATGCTCGATCTTCACGGCGACACCACCACCGGCTTGCGACTTCTTGACGATGTCGTGAGACTTGTGGTTGATCTCCAGTGAGGTGCTGTTCACGACCATCAGTCCCTAGACCTTGTGACACGGACATAGGCCCAACTCACATCTTGCCAAGATCGATGATGTCCTTCTTCTGCGTCTCCGGGTCGGTCTTGACGACACAGAGGGGAGTGCCCACGCGCAGTGTACCATCGAGAATATCGACACCGAGGATGATCGGGTCACGCTTACAGAAGGCCGCGATGGTCTTGAGACGACACGGCCAGACAGCCTGAGGAGCAGCGTCTCTCCGCTTCGCCTCCGTGATCTCGGCGTTGTACGCGGTGAACGCGTCGAACAAGTGGTAGATGATATCCGCTGCAAACACAGAGTCAGGCTCATATCCGACCACACGGCCGCATACACCCACCTTTGAACAGCCGGATGCCCATTTCCTCAGCGAGCCTCTCCGCATCCTTGTCAACCGTCACGTCGAAGCAGAGGATACATGCCAGCTCCTTCGCCTTCTCCAGCATCGTCGCCGAGCGCATAACGTCCTTCTTATGGACCGGCCCGATATTAATGCCAGACACGGGGATCTTGCTCGACTTCAAGAAGTCAAGCAGCGCCTCGAGCGAGCCGAGCGTCGACGCCTGCACGCACACGCCGCGGCCGGACTTGTCAATCGAGTTGAGGAGCGACGTCAGGTCGGACATGATCTCGTCCATCATCTCCTCCTCGTCGTCATCGGGGCCCACAACCATCAGCCGCGAACCCGCGATCGCCTTCTCGAGGTCCGGCGCGACGATCTTCACACCCATCGCCGCCTTGATCTCCTTGTGGTGCACGTACGCAGACTTGATCCGCAGCTCGCGCAAGGGCTGCGGCGTCAGCAGCGCGCGCACCTGCGTCACGATTGGCCCGTTCAGCCCGCAGACCACGATCCGGTCGCTCTCCCTGAGGATACCGTTCGAAAGGACGACGTCGATCGTCGTGCCGAGGCCCTCGATGACCTTCACCTCGAGCACCGTGCACTCGAGCTCGCTCAGGTACATCAGTCGGTCGCTCATGCGCTGCTGCGTGAGGTTCACGAGGAGCATGATCATGTCCGGCACACCCTCGCCCGTGATGGCGGACGTGGGTACGAGCGAGACGTTGCGCGCGAAGTTCTTGTTATCGTAGTAGAGCACGGCGTTGAGCCCCTGCTCGGCGAAGGCGAGAATCGTCTTCTGCGTGCGATCCTCGAACTCGCGCTGGACGGATGGCTTCTGCTTGGCGAGCGAGCTTCGGAAGTCGTTGTCCGGTGTTGCCTCCCAGCCGTACATACGATCAATCTGCATGTATTTGGTCAAACATGAAAGTGATCAAGGCAGTCCATATTGACATACCTTGTTCAGGGCGACGATGAACGGTGTCTTGCGATCCCTGAGCAACCGCAGCGACTCAAGCGTCTGGGGCTCCAAGCCGTGCATGATGTCGACGACTAGGATGGCAATGTTACAGAGCGAACTTCCACGTGTCCGCAGGTTCGTGAAGGATTCGTGACCGGGGGTATCAATGACGAGGAGACCAGGGATCTTGTACTCTTGATCTCCCTCCTTGTTGAGGACGGCCGTCTTCGTCTTGATGGCGTCGACAGGGAAGTAGGTCGCACCGATCTGCTGGGTGATACCACCCGCTTCGCCCTCCTGGACGTTCGTTTGCCGAATCTATCACAGGGCCAAAATGAGTGTCCTGTCTACCCCTAGCCACGATGGAGACGTGCATACCTTGTCAAGCAACTTCGTCTTACCCGTATCGACATGTCCCAAAATACAGCAAATTGGGCTACGCAAATCATTCTTATCCCTCGCAGCCAGCGCCGCCTCGTGCGCCTTCGCCCTGCGCTGCGCTGCCTCGGCTTTGCGCTGTGCCGCCATCTGCTGTGTTTTCGAGATACCCTCCTCCTCAGACGAATCCTCATCAGAGTCGGAGTCCTCGTCGGATGAGTCCTCTTCTGACGAGCTCTCTTCCTCGGAAGAAGACTCCTCTTCTGCCTGAGCCTTGGCGCCGTTTGGCTTGCCATTCGCCTTGGGTGCTGCAGGGGCAGGTGCAGGGGCAGCCTTGGCTGCTGGAGCAGCTTTCGCAGTAGGTGCAGTCTGCTTGGCTGATGTAGCTTTCGCGGTGGGTGCAGCCTGCTTGGCCGGTGTAGCTTGTTTTGCTGATGTCTTGCTTGCGCCGTTAGCTGTGACAAGACATGGTCAACGATTGCGTCTGCATCTCACTGACAGGAAGACTTGCCTGCAGCCTTAGCCGGTGCGGCAGGCTTCGCCTCCTCCTCGTCGCTGCTCGCATCCCACGAATCTTTCACAGCGGCAGACTTCTCCTCATCGCTGCTAACGTCCCAGTCAGACTTGACATCCTCAGCCTTCTCCTCTTTCTCCTCTTTCTGCTCAATAGGCTTAGCAACTGGGGCCAGAGCGGGCTCGGGCGTGGCGGACTTCTCTCGTACGGGTGAAGGTTCTCGTGTTGACGGACCGCTGCCCGTTGTCATGCTAGTGGTGCCCTTCTTTTTCCTCTTGTCGCCGTACACAGGTTTCTTGGACGCTTGGCCCTGCTGCTGTAGACCCTCGATCTGCACACCGGAGGCCAGGAGCGCTTGCTTGCGGAGTTCTGCCATGCGCTGCTCCTGCTTTTGCTTCGGGGTGAGCAGCCGGCCCTCCTTCTTCGCCTGCTCGCGCTTAGCCTAGAGGTATTGTCAGGCGTTGGATCACTGAAGAAGCAGGAGGCCACAAACCTTCTCCTTCTCCTTCTTCCTCTGTTTCTCCTCCTCTTTCCGCCTCTCCTCTTCCTCTGCTTTCCGCTCCTCCTCCTCGATCCGCTTCCTCTCCTCCTCCTCGCGTCTCCGTGCCTCCTCCTCGATCCGCTTCTTCTCCTCCATCAGCGCCTTCAGCGCACTGATCGCGCCGCCCTTCTTCTTGCCAGCGGCGGCGGCTGGTGCGGGCGCGGGCTCCTCATCTTTCTTCGCCTTCTTTTTCTTTTTCTTCTTGGAGTCGGTTTTGGCTGCACCGGCTTCGCCTTCCTCCTCATCCTCGTCTTCCTTTTCTGCTGATGCAGGCGCAGCGGCGGGTGCAGGTGCAGGCTCTGCTGCAGGCTCCTCTCCGGCTTGTGCGGCCTTCTTAGCTGCAGCCTGGGCTTTCTTCTTCGCCTATTTCTGCGTCAGGGTTGCGCGATCATAGTCATACGAGTGTGCACACCTTTTCCCTCTCTTTCTTGAGCTTCTCCTTCTCCTTCTTGGAAAGGACCTTGGAACCCTCGTCCGCCTCACCATCTTCCTTCTCCTCAGCATCCTCCTTGGGCGGCACCGCCGCCGGTGCCTCAGTGGGTGCAGGTGGCGCCTCTGGCGCTGGAGCTGAATACAGTCAGCACAGCGGACGGACGAGCGATCTAACGGTATCCTACCTTCAGCCTCTTCCTCCGCATCGTCGGCCTGGGCCTTGTCCTTCTTCCCTTTACCCTTCTTCCCTTTCTTACCCTTCTCCTTCACAGGGCCCCATTCCTCGTCCGCGAGGTCCTCGGCCGTCACCTCGACTGGCTTCTTGGCTGCACTAATGTCGCCTTTTGCAGCAGCAGCCTCTGTGTCGGAGCCTTCGCCAGGCTCAGGCCCATCAGCGAAGGAGACATCGGTCTTCTTGCCCTTCTTATCCTTCTTCTTACCCTTGGAGGCCGCCTTGATGGTCGACTAGAGTAGCGCACACATTGAAATTCAAAAGATTTGTCATGGCGCGAGAATGTAGGATACGTACCATGAGGCCTCCGAAGTCTTCCTCCTGTTCGGGCATCGCATCGCCAACGTCTGTCTCGAGTGTTGTGAACGCAGAGAATCCTGGCTTCTTGGCTGGCTTCAGATCGTCATCAGATGCCGCAGCAGCGTCTGCTGAAGGTCCAGCATTATTGTTGGCAATAGAGGTGCCAGAGTTCTCCCTAGATCGAGAGTGAGCGAGGCGTTTAGAGCGATGCTATACCGGCACGTACCAGAACTCATCATCGTCCTGCTTCTTTCCCTTCTTTCCCTTGTTCTTCGGAGCCATGTTGTCTGTGAGTTCAGCAGAGGTTCAGCACAATCGTCTAGCGCGAAGGCCACAAGCAGGGGCCAGAGGGAGATGATGAATGAGCAGAGGGAAGCTGTACCACCTCCGGCTCCGGGAGTGGGTGAGCGAGAAAAGTGACTTCGGCGCCCAAGCGCTCGTGATCCCGGGTTATTCTTGTGCTTCCACCATCTCCGTCCTCGCGTCCGCTGCCAATCCCTCGCACGCCGTTCGCCGGACTGCCTGACCAACCATGGGCCTACTAACAATCATACGGAAGAACCGGCAGAAGGAGAAGGAGATGCGCATACTGTTCCTGTACGCCGGATGCCCGAAGGAGTCGCTGGTCCTCACGCCGATGCATGTACTGTAGCGGCCTCGATAACGCGGGGAAGACGACCATCCTGAAGAAGCTGAATGGAGAGGATATTATGGGTATCAGTCCGACACTGGGCTTCAACATCAAGACCTTCGTCCATCGCAAGTGAGCTATGAGCATCTGAGTTGAGATTACTGGCATCTGAGCGAACGCATTATTACCGTATAGGTATACCCTGAATATATGTAGGTTGCGACTGTCATTTGTTCGCTTTATTGCGACCAATGCCTGCGTTAGGGGACGTTGGCGGTCAGCGCACACTGCGACCATATTGGCGTAACTACTTCGAGCAAACGGACGCGCTAGTCTGGGTCGTCGACTCGGGCGATCGCCTGCGAATGAACGATTGCAAGGAGGAATTGCACGGGCTCTTGCTCGAAGACGTGAGTATACCCCTTGGGTCAGCACGCCTCTCCGAAGCTCATCATGGACCACGTATAGCGACTGGCCGGTGCGTCTCTGCTCATCTTCGCAAACAAGCAGGACCTGCAGGGCTCGATGAGCAGTACAGAGATCCGAGACGTGCGTACACCACATCTCCCTCGATGCCTGCCGTCTCAGCGCTGCGCTAGGCTCTTGACTTGCTCTCCATCAAGTCTCACCGATGGAAGATCCTACCTTGCAGCGCAATGACCGGCGAAAACCTTGTGGAGGGTCTCGACTGGGTCGTCGACGATGTGGCAGGTAGGCTGTACTACTCCACGACCACCGAGGATGCGATGCCTCGCCAGGGGGCGAGTCCCGTCGTTGTACATTAAATGTATCTGTAATACCTCTGACATTTTTTCGAGCTTCTGGCTATGTGATATGCCATGATGAGGCTGGTTTGTATCGAACCCGACGCACAGTGCATGCGTAGGACCATACTTTCACTTACTACTCTATGTGTGACTCAGTCCAAATGAGCTGTGTACGATAGTAAGGCTGTTGCCTGGTTCGGCGGCACGTAACGCTATTTGCCTCCATTAATGCGGGCGCACCAAAAATGCAATCTTGTCAATATATAACGTGCATTGTGCACGATTTAGATCGTTTGACCTCCAAAACCCATGAAAGTATGTTCATCCACATGCACACAGCACTACGAGTACTCTTTCTGAATGAACTTTGCGATAGTCTGTAGCTGGATGTTTGACGTCCCCTCGTAGATCGCGCCCTACACACAACAGATCATCAGCAAACTCGCCCAATACAACCAATCCAAGCAAAAGGGGAATACTCACAATCTTCGAGTCCCTCCAGTATTTCTCAATCCCCGTCTCCCTCGTGAACCCAACTCCACCGGCCCACTCAATCGCCGCCCCGCTCACCTTCTGCGCGACCTCGCTCGCGACGAGCTTCGCCATCGCCGCCTCGCGCACGAACGACTTCCCCTCCTCCTTCCGCCGCGCAGCATTGTACGTCAGCAGCCGAGCCGCCTCAATCTCGCACGCCGCGCGCGCCTGCTGGAAAGAGAGGCCCTGGAAGGTGCCTACGGCCTGCCCGAACTGCTTGCGCTCGAAGGTGTAGGGCACCGCTTTGGCGAAGGCACCCTGGGCAAGGCCGAGCATCTGCGCGGCGATGCCGATGCGACCTGAAGGAGATGGAGACCGTCAGTGTTTTAATGCAAGAGCGGTGATACTGTACACACCCTCGTTCAGGATCTCGATGGCAATCTGCCAAACGGTACACCTGAGAATGGTTTCACGCATTTCTGTACTGTGGTGCTGACCTTGTACCCCTTGCCCTCACCGCCAATAATGTTCTCAGCCGGAACCCGCAGGTCATCCAGACTCAGTGCGCATGTCGACGAAGCACGAATACCGAGCTTCTGCTCCTTCTTCGCGATCTGGATGCCCATGTCCTTCGTCGCGATAAAGCAGGTGATACCCTTGTACCCCTTGCTTGGGTCTACCTAGCAGCAATATCACGGTGAGCCGCACGGTCGCTGGCGCGGTAGTAGAGGGCGTACATTTGCAAAGATGAGGAAGATGTCTGCCTCGTATGAGTTTGTGATCCACATCTTGCTCCCGTTGATCACATAGTCGTTCCCGTCCTTGACCGCGCGTGTCTGCAGGGCGAAAGCATCCGAGCCCGAGGCAGATTCTGACAAGCAGAAGGATCCGAGCTAATGCGGTTTCAACAAATTGTATACGCGTGATGCAGTGGACTGTAATTTACCTGGGACTCGGACAGGAGAGGCAGCCACTTTTCCTGCTGCTCCTTCGTTCCGTACTTGCGGAGGACGGTGTTCACGAGGGTATTGTGTACGTCGCACATGACCGACACTGACGGGTCGACCTTCGCGAGCTCCTCGATCGCGATGATTGCAGAGGTGAATGATGACTCGGCGCCGCCATGGTCGGCGCTGGTCTCGATGCCCATCAACTAATACAGGACGGCATGCTCAACTCTGGGGTGGACGATCATATAATGAGGTGCTCACCCCCTGCTCAAAGAGCGCCTTGATGAGCTCTGGGTCCATCATCTCGGCCTCGTCCATCTCCCGAACCTTGGGAGCTATCACCTCTTGCGCGAACCGCGCGACTGTGCATGATCATGGTCGGTGAGGTATCTGAAACCTGAGGATGGCAGCCGGCGTACCAGACTCGCGCAGCATCTGCTCCTCATCCGTGAAGGTGTCCAGCGACGTTGGTTGTACATCCGAGCGTACAACGCACGATCCCGAGAACGACCGAGCTGAACTGCGAATGCCCGTGAGCTCAAACGATCCCTCCACCATCGGGAATAGAACGACTCATACCTTCTCACGACCCTAGGGATCGAGCTGGAAGCTCGCAGAGAGGGTGTACGGCAGGCAAGTCGGAGGAATGCTTGAGACATGGTGAGCAGAGAGGGGTCGGAAGCAGCGGGAGGGCTCGAGAGTGTATGTAAATATTTGGCAAGGCCCGCAAGCGGCAAGCCTGCGGGGAAATAGCCTGGGGTACGGGGTAATCACATGTCGCCGGTCGAAGAGGTCGTCGGGGCTGATGGGATCTGTAAAGGATCTGCATGGATCTCCATCTCGATTTGGATGAGCCGGCCTCGCAGACATCCAAGGCATCCGGTTGTTGCTCGACTCCAAGTCGTTCATCTTCTCGCGGAAAGATTCCAGCCCTTTGCACCAACTCACCCAGGTACCGTTACCCGCTAGTCCGTGGATGAAGACTTCGCGCCACACGTCTCAGCCACATTGCGTGTCGCGGCCGTCGTCCTCACACAGCACTCTATACCTCGCTCAGTACTCATTTAATGGCCTTGGCGACCTGATAATCAGAACCTACGCATTAAATTCAGCTCAGGCGAGGTCTCAGAAAGGCCATATCAACGACGGAACGCTCGCAAGACCTCACGAGAGTCCGGACTTTTCGGGTGAACTTGCACTAGTAGCAACAGGCGCCACAAATTGCATATTGGGAGGCTAGGGCCCGGGAGAGGGTGCTGAGTGAGTACTTGATTCCGTAGTGGGACTAAGTATACAACAAGTGTGTTCAATGTTCCTGTGTCGACCTTCTGTAAAGTTGCTTGGAGCAGTACTATCGGGCTTCAGGACTCCGCTGTTTTGCAATATGTTGTGAGTCACAATTCACAATGTTGACCCACATTCCGCTGGCGATGTCACCTCATGTTCCGCGAGGGTTGCATCCCGCTCCTTAGGAGGTTCAGTTGCAGCCGATGCAGTGTTCATGACTATCGTGTACAATTCTGCATAGGTATTCATATTTCATGTTGACTTGGATCGCCCAAAAGGTACTCTACCGAGTCTATGTACATTGTGAACAGTATTTCCATCCCTACCACCAGTAATCACGAGAGGCTGGAGCGGAACTGAATGATCATCGACGAACTGGAATATTGCATATATAGTGCATCGCGACTCGGGGGAACCCGCCTCAACAGTTTCAAACTGTGAGCTCGAACTCCTCCTCGGAGTCCCTGCCATGTCCACCCATATAGAAGACATACCATCTGTAGCCTGCTCCACCCTCCTAGCACACGGTGAGTGCAGCACCCGTTCGCCGGTCATGTTGCGGCTTGCCTGCGGGTGTTCGCCGACTCCCCGTCCGGACTCTCGTGAGGTCTTGCGCGCGTTCCGTCGTTGATATGGCCTTTCTGAGACCTCGCCTGAGCTGAATTTTATGCGTAGATTCTGACTATGAGGTCGCCAAGGCCATAAAATGAGTACTGAGCGAGGTATAGAGCGCTGTGTGAGGACGACGGCCGCGACACGCGATGTGGCTGAGACGTGTGGCGCGAAGTCTTCATCCACGGACTAGCGGGTAACGGTACCCAGGGGTGCTTGTTGATGCAAATGATACCGAAGACTCGTTAGCAGTACTTTCGTCGCATCGAGTGGCTGTGCTAACCTCGCTTGCATACTCGACTAGTCTTACACTTTAAACGCCTAATTTAGGCCTCATACTTGGTTGCCCCGGTCCATACATATGACTTGCCGAGTGACGTTGTCCCATCTAGTTTACCTGCGTACTCAACTCACACTGGTTCTCATAACTATTCTCGTTCCAATCCGAATCCACACTCAATGGATCGTTTTGAATGCACATCAGATCGGGGCCCGCATGTCGACGAATGACAAGTCTGCCTTCTGGGAAGCAGAGATCTCCAGTGTGGGTGCTACAATACGTGTACAACAAGAAACACGCCTATTAGCATTAAGATGTTCGCCATACTGTATGCCATGCTTTCATAACGTGACGCACAATGTATCATATCATACTGACAGCCTCCGTATGCTTCGTATGCTTCTGAGGATTGGCCCGGGACTCTTCTTGGCTCCGTACCACCACCTTCGGCGATTTTCCCACGGTCAGACAGACCATCCGGGAAGCACGACCGAAGACCGGTGGACCTCTAGCAGGGCTCACGACGCCCAACCATCCACCAATACACCTTTTTACCCTACCTAGTGACCTATGGCCGACAATGGGAAACGAACGACACCGAAGACGGCTGACAGAGCGCAATCAGCGAAACCGCCAGCACCACGACCGTCCGCCGTATCGACGAGAAGCAACTCATCCGCGCTGAATGACAGACTCACAGTCCAACCCTTCGACAACGAACAGGCCCTCGACTTTCTAGCGAAGTATTCATTCGTCCCAGATAATGTCGAACCCAACACGGAGACCCTCGCCAATGGCCTACTCATGCTAGCACACCGGAGCAACTCAGCGATCGTCACCGAAGGCCTCCGAGCCTTCGCGACCTACGCAAGAAACATCACCGTCACCGACATCTCGAGCAAGATCCGCGAAAGCCTCGACGGAATGTTAGCAACAGCGCACGAGGAACAACGTCAGCGGCTCGACGACCTAACGGAGCGATGCGAGCAAGCATCGATAGAGATGTTTGGGAGTGCGAACAGAGTCCAGAACGAGGTGAGTAAACTATCCAAAACTGTTGAGGAAGTGTCGCGTCTCCACGCGTCGCTGGAAGAATCCGTCGAGAAAGCAGGTGCAGCTGTCCTATCCGCTCAGGATCAGGTCGCACATATCGAACACCGACCTGTTGAATCCGCAACGCATGCGGAAGGGCCTACCGGACCCAGACGCGAGTCATATGCAGCTGCCGTGAACCAGGCACTGCCTACGTCGCATGCGTCGACGCTGGCCACGCAAACCCTGCGAGCAAAGCAGGTACTAGTAGATGGTATCAACCTGAATGTGGCAGACGGAGTCACGCTCAACGAGCGAGACCTCCTAGAGAAGGCTAAGGTAGCCATTGATCTCATGCGCGAACATGGAGCTACCGCACCCGACGGAGTGCAGATCAAATCCGCCCGCATCATCCCCAATGGGGGAGTGGTATACGAGATGGAGAGTCCTGAGTCAGCACGCTGGCTCAGACGCCTGACCATCGCAGAGAGATTTGCCGCCTCTATGGGCGGCGAGAATGTCGTTGTCCGCGAACGATCATACCCAGTAGTGGTCGAGTTCGTGCCGGTCCAGTGTGACCTTACTGATGCTTTTGCGTTAACCGACTACGAGAAAGACAGCAATGTAGAACCCGGCACCATCACGAGAGCCAAGTGGATCAAGCCAGAAGCGCGACGAACCGAACACCAATCGGTAGCACACGCAATCATCAACTTCAACCACCCGCAAGCCGCGAACAAAGCCATACGACATGGGATGATCATGCGAGGTAAGAAAGTGTACGCGCGGAAACCCGATCAAGAACCGCATCGGTGTCACCGATGCCAGAAGTTCGACGCCAACCATAACGCTAAGAACTGTACGGCCCCGCACGTTTGCGGCACTTGTGGCGCAGGCCACGACTCGCGCGACTGTACCGTCAGCAACCCCCAAGACTTTCACTGCATCAACTGCGACGTCGACGGACACGCGACATGGTCCCGACAGTGCCCCCACTACGAGGACGTCCGCAGACGCAAGGTCGCACGCTCAAAGGAGAGATGTACAGGTACTACCCAGTCGAGGATGACCCATCATCGTGGGAACTCGTCCACGAAGCACCGATGGCGAAACCCAACCCATCGCACCCACCAATGTACCAACGCCACGAATACTCGGAGCGACGTGACGACGACAGATGGCGATTGACCGACCGCCGAGGACGCCACACGAACGAGCGAAACACCTATCGACGCAACGAGAGTCGACCCAGGGCCCGAAACAACCCGAACGCCATCCCGATCGCACGACCAAGCCAATCTGGCCGAGCTGCGAGATCCAGGGACGCCCAGGCCTCAGGTCCCCGACAGGCTACCCTTGACGACATGCGGTTTGGGTCACGCCCCACGTCCGCGCAGGACGTACGAAGCGCAGACTGGGCTAACACACATGATGATGACTAATACAGCACGGAAATCACTGAACGAACTACGACTCCTCTCGATCAACTGCAACAAATCACTCGACGGCCAACTCGCTCTCCTAGGCAACCTCAGCTCCGCCAAACCACCCTACGACCTCATCCTCATTCAAGAACCCTGTCTACCTCACACGAACGGACTTCGCCTTACACGCGCGACACCCGACTGGCGCGTCATCTACCCAGCCTGCCACCACGACACCGAACAACGTACAAGATCCGTCACCCTAGTCAACCGTCGCATCGCCACGGACGCATGGACCAGCATACCGACCGACAACCCCGACGTCACTGCCATCTCACTCGACACGTCGCTAGGTAAGATACACGTAATCAATGTGTATAATGACCAGACGCACCACGACACTATACGCATGCTCACCCAACTCACGGCGAAGCTCAATCGAGGACAGCCTGACAACGTAGCGCTGCACACGCTATGGATCGGCGACTTCAACCGTCATCACCCTTTATGGGACGAGCCACGCAATGCTCACCTTTTCGAAGACAGGTATCTTGACGCCGCGCAGCCCCTACTCGACGCACTCAGCGACCACGACATGGAGATGCTCCTCCCCGCCGGCACGCCTACCCTACAAGCCAGCAACACCAAGAACTTCACCCGGCCAGACAACGTCTTTGGCACGCAAGAACTACGCAACGCAGTTGTATCGTGCTCCGTCAACACCGACCTGCGACCACCGCTCACCGACCACTTCCCCGTCGAGCTCCACCTCGACCTAAGCATTCCCGCAACAACGACGCAGACTAAGTACAACTTTCGGATGACTGACTGGGATACCTTCAGGAAAGCTCTCGAGCACGAACTAACGAGATGAAGCATACCCGACACACCCGTCCTCTCGATTGCCGAATTCGACAAACGACTCCAAGACGTCACCAATGCCATCCAACAAACGGTACAACAAGAAGTCCCCGAGACCAAACCGTCCAAGTACGCGAAACGCTGGTGGACGAAAGACCTCGAGAAGCGACGCACTGCTGTCCAGAGGCTGAACCGACAGTCGTACACGCTACGTGAGTCCCCATCTCACCCTGTTCACACCGAGTACAAAGCGACCCGTAACCGCTACGTCGACGCAATACGCGCGACAAAGAAGGAACATTGGGAAACGTGGCTTGAGTCTGCCTCATCGCAGACAGTCTGGACCATAGGTCGATACATCCAGATGGGTGCTACTGACGGAGGACAGGCTCGCATTCCAGATCTCAAGAAACCTGATGGTTCCGGCACTGTATCGGGCAACGTCGAGAAGAGCAAGATTCTCTACGACACCTTCTTCCCACCTGAATGTCCTCCCCCCGACATACCCCCCGACCACCAACACCCTCCCCCCCTCTTCTCCACCCGCCCCGGAACCGATGCACAGATCCACGACACCATACGCCGACTCCAGCCCTGGCGAGCCCCCGGCCCAGACGGGATACCCAACGACGTATACCGACACTGCGCAGACCTCCTCGTACCCGTCCTCGGCCCGCTCTACCGAGCCACCTTCGAACTACGGTACTTCCCAGCTGTCTGGAAAGAAGCAAAGACAGTCGTCCTACGTAAACCTGGACGCGACGACTATCAACTTCCTGGCTCCTACCGACCAATCGCGCTAATGAACTGTATGGGCAAGATCCTATCAGCGTGCGTCATCGAATCCCTGAAGTACGAGCTCGAAACGCGCGGCATTCTACCTAACACGCACTTCGGCGGTCGACCTGGGCGAAGTGCCACCGATGCCCTGATGCAGCTAGTAACCACAGTACGAGACGCCTGGCGCGACGGCCTCAAAGCGTCCACCCTGTTCCTCGACGTCAAAGCTGCCTTCCCGAGCGCCAGCCCGGAACAGTTGTTCCACGACATGCGGGAAATGGGCATCCCCGAAGATCTCGTTGACTGGTACAGACGTAAGATGGACGGACGAACCACCGTCCTCCTCTTTGACGACTACCAATCCGAGACCTTCGTCCTTCGACGCGGTATCAACCAAGGCGACGCTGACTCGGGTGACCTCTACATCATCTATAACTCCCCGTTGCTGAAACACGAAATCGTACGAGTCACCAGCTCCGGGTTCATCGACGACGTCGGCGTCACAGCCGTCGGCAAGACCTTCCATCGCACGCACCAGCTACTTCGCAAGTACATGGAAGATAAGCGCACCGGAGGAGCACTACGATGGTCGACCACACGCCACTCTGCGTTCGAGATGCACAAGCTCGCGCTCCTTAACCACGACCCAATGGGAGACGACGAAGGACCCCCGCTCCGACTGTCCAACCAAACCATCCCCGCGTCCAACTCCACGAAGTACCTCGGACTCATCATCGACCGGCGACTACGATGGAAAGAACAGACAGCGCGAGCCTTGGCAAAAGGCACCACGTGGCTCAACCTGTTCCGCCGAATTGCGAAGCCTACCCAGGGAGTAGCCTTCCGCTACATGAAGCAGCTGTACCTCTCGGTGCTCGTCCCCCGCATGCTATACGCTGCTGAGGTATGGCTCACGCCCACCTACGACGTCCCGGGCAAGTCCCGACGACACGGCTCTGTAGGTGCGGTACAACGCCTCTCGCGCGTACAGAGACAAGCCGCCCTGCTGATCACCGGAGCTATGCGCACCACCGCAACGGATACGTTAGATGCCCACGCAAACCTCCTTCCCTTTGACCTTCTTGTTGACCGTGTTACGATACAGGCTGCTACGAGACTACTTACATTACCTACATCTCACCCACTATACGATAGAGTACAGAATGCACGCGTCCCAGTTACCCGTCACAAATCCCCACTCCACGAGCTTACGCAAGCTCTCCGCTTCGATAGGTGCCGCAACGTCGAGCAAGTCCAGGCCACACGTCAGCCCCCAGGATGGAGACCCGCGCACAAAACGGAGATCGCTGCGAACAAGGACGAAGCGGAGGAGAGTGATCGAGAATGGCAGGAGAAGAACATCCCAGCGGTGTATACGGACGGCTCCGAGATCGATGGAGGAGTCGGCGCATCTGCAGTCCTCTACATCCCAGACGACCCACAACCGCGCGTCCTCCGCTACTACCTCGGCACGGCGAAGCGACACACAGTCTACGAAGGTGAAATAGTCGGCCTAATCATGGGCGTCGAACTCCTCATCCGCCTTACAACCCACGTACTCGACCAGACATCCTGTGCCGCGGATAACACCCCCTGTCTTCGCGCCTCGCAGACCCGCTCTCGACAACCAGGACACTATCTCCTAGATGCCCTCCACCAGGCAATCGACCGCCTCTGCACGACTCACCCCACTGCAATGCTTACGCTCCGATGGGTCCCTGGCCACCGCGGTGTCGACGGAAACGAACACGCAGACGAGGAGGCAAAGAAAGCGGCACGAGGCGACAGCAGTCCCCTGGGCGACCTCCCCGAATACCTCCGCACGCCGCTCCCAGCAAGTATCTCAGCGCTACGCAGACACCTGCTAGACCAAGTGAAGACCGCCGCCTCCCAACGCTGGAAAGAATCCCCGCGCCACGCAGCACTCAGCCGTATCGACCCAGACATGCCCTCGCGGAAATTCAGCAAACTAGTCGCACCCCTCCCTCGTCGACACGCTAGCCTACTCATCCAAATGCGTACTGGACACGCCCCGTTGAACCATCATCTACATCGCATACGCCGATCAGACACGGACAGATGCCCTGCCTGCCACGAACGCCGAGAGACGGTTCGCCACTATCTCCTCGAATGCCCCGAATATAAGCCTCAGCGCGACTGGCTACGCCGCGAGATTGGCCGTCGAGCTGGATCGCTCCGGCACCTGCTGTCGAAACCCGACACCATACGCCCGCTCTTCCGCTTCATCCACGCCACCGGCCGCTTCGCCAGCACCTTCGGAGAGCTCGACCTACCACGAAACGCGGATGGGACTGACAACCCACCTTGACGGATTACTGAACATGACGCGTGCCTTCCCCATACCCTTCTCTCTCCTCTCTTCCTCTAACTCATCTCATCTCCTCTATTCATCTCACTTCATCTCTCTTCATCACAAGGACTCTATCGCAACGCTCTATACTGTACATACAACATACAACGCAATTTTCCTAATCTCCTTACTGTACATAACATATACACACCCTACGATAATCACACCCCACCCGGCGAAGTGTCCTCTTCGGAGGCTCACCGAGTCAATGTCCCAGCCGACCCAACGTCTCGACCTACCTTACTAGTACAGTACCCCGACAGATCATGTCTACATAGGGCTTCGCCCTAACGCGACAATAAATGGGAGTTACAAACAAACAGGATTGGCCCGGTACATGGAGTTGCCGTACGGCTCGAGGGGTGTGCGAGGCCGAACAGTATGCTTACTGTACCATCTTTGCAATCGATGTACATGCGAGGTGCGACGCAAGCTTCTCCGGAAACATCGTACGGCGGACGGGAGTCGCAGTGCCCGTGTGCCGGGGGTGACCCGTTGTGTGAGGTTTCGACCCCTGAGCCATCTGATTAGCGACGCGTATGTGTCGTGTACTCTACGAACCTCTCAGTCGAGTTGACGATAGAAGCAGGAGGATGCCGAGGACGAACCTGCACCTTCAAACCGCTCTGAGAGTTATGCCGTTATAACGTATTGCAGCCCAAGGGGGTGCCTGTTCCAGTTTGTACTTGTTAAATCTGCACAGCAGGGCTGCCTTCAACGCCAGCGATGACCAGGATGGCTAGCAATGTTCGGCAGGCATCACTGCAGAACCAACACATCAGAACGAGCGTATCTCATGTCGGGACCAGCACTCCACGTTAGAAGTTCCAAGACATAGCAATATACAGATTGAACAAAGTCGACAGCGATAGGGATAGTACACAATAGATACTCAATCTTGTTCTGACTGATCTCGAGGGCGATACCGAATGCCCCGGGATTCTAGCTCTACCTCGACATCTTCAGGCACGCGGCCTTTTACGCGGACGGCGTACATCCCGCGGGCGTACGTTTCTTATCGAACCAGAGTGTCAGCGGACTGCAAAATGTGAGAAGGATGACCTGACGCACTGATTCTCTGCCATGTCGCAACCCAACTCCTCTCTGGGTCAATGACTGCAATTACGCCGTCGAAGTGTGTTGTTGTGCATGTTTGGATACGGTCAGCGAATCCTTTCATCTTCGTGAGGTCAGCCCAAGCACATTGAGGGTGTATTGGAGAAACGAACCCCCATGATCTCCTCGCAGTTCGGACAGCCATATTTACGGAAGTCGGCTGGTGTCTGGATGATCGAGCAGAGGAGACATGCGCGCAACTGCTTCGCACGGGGCTGTGGCGGGATGGCAGCCTGCACTTGAGACATCGCAGCAAGCAGGGGTGTTCAGCGACTCTTGCGAGAATATGTAGAGGTGCAGGCAAGCGAGCAGAATGACTGGAAGGAACAGAGTCGCCACCTGCGCGCTCGTTTACCCTTTCAGGAAGGGCGGGCGTTCCCGATGGCTGAGCGCGCGACGCCGCAAGCCTCAGCGCATCGTCACCTGCACCGCGACGTTCACCAACCCAGGCGACATGGCCCGAAGTGCCCTCTACTTTCTCTTGACCTTGCTCCCGGCGGCGTCGTATGCGTACTCTGGGACAGCCCCCATTGTCGCGTGGTCGTCACATAGGTAAGTCGTGCTAGGCTGCGAGTTGGTGTCAGAGACTGACTGCGATGGTGTAGCTCGAATGCGCTAAGCTTAGCGTCTTCGGCGGGATACACAAACTCAGTCACCGCACTGGAGGATATTCTCTTGAATGGTGCGGCATGCCAACACGATGCCATTATTCTCGTCGACCAGAAGGGCGTAAGTGATGCTATGCAATTGCCCAGTGACCCTGAGTTAACCGGCATATTGCCTCCACAGCTGCATGCCTCCGACCTTCGCAATCTCCCTTCCTCGAGCGAGCTCGCACAGACTCTGAACTCGGCTGTGTCTACCCTCGAGCTGCCCTACGTACCCCGCAGCGTCTCGAACCCATTCTCGAACCTCGCTGGTGCAGTCGCTGAGCGCTGCGGGGCACGCGTGGTCACGCACGCACCAGGAAGCACCGATTCTTCTTTCAGCGCGAAGGAAAAGCACGTTGTATGCGTGGAAATGCCAGCGTTGGAGGGGGTTGAGGGCGCGGACAGGAGGAAGGTTGTGGCAGAGCACGGTGCGTCATCCACGTCTGTGACTGAACGGCAAGCTGAGCTCGGTATACTACATAGACTCGAGCCTCTCTTCTGCCATTGCCACGCTCGCGGAGACATTCCCAAGCCACCTCGTCGTCTACGCAGGCTGGCACCCCTCTCTCTACGCCCGCCAGTCCTCTCCCTTCGCCTCCAACCTCACCTCCACGGCAGCATTTGCAACGCCGTCAGGCGGCATCCTCGCACGCTACCAGTTGCTCACACCAGGCCTCATCCTCGCGCTCGCCGTCGGCTTCTTCATCCTCGTGCCCATTGTGCTAATGGGAGTCTCCGCCCTTGCGAGTATTCAATCTCCTCTGCAGGGCGAGGCGCCGAAGGGTTACATTGCTTCGGAGAAGAAGAACCAGTAAGGTTGATTCGTATGCATGAAAGGCCGGATATCCCGCAGAGTTGATGGCTGCCTACGGAGGGTTGGTGCGCATGTAATGTACGGATGCGTGTTCTGCAATAATGGCTAATTATTCCGCTATCGTCTGACTTCTCTCAAAACGAATGCTACTCTTTCTCAATGTCCAAGATGGCGCATCTTCCGGTTGTTCTACATATGAGACGTTCGAACGTTGCTCGTCGAGATCGTCGTCGGGAGCCCGACGACGGCTCTTCGGGCCGAACAGCGCTCAATCCTCGTCTCCTCTCTCTCACTCAGCTGCAGGATCTTCCGTGGTTTCCGCATCCATAATCCCCCTGACCATAATCGTTGACGCCGCGCATATATACTGACCCATAAGACAGCACGTACTCCCCGTTCTTACACACGTCGTCACCTCGGAGGAACTGCACAAAATGTCGTTCGTGTCTATCCGCCCACCGCCCACCGACGTGCGTCCCAATCTTCCACAAGTTCCTTCAGCGTGCTGACACCCTACACACAGCTCGCTGAGATCGCCGCAGAGGAGGCGCGCTGCACGTTCACGCGCTTCACCGCCGAGACCGCCTGGACGCTCGGGTCCATGCTCCGCGCACGGCTGCGACAAGCCTCGCCCAGGCCCGCCGTGGTCAACATCACGCTCGCGAACAGCGACCAGCTCCTCTTCCACGCCGCGTCAGGATCAGGCACGGGCCCCGACAACGACCAGTGGGTCGCGCGCAAGCGCCGCGCGGTCCTCCGCTGGAGCTCGAGCACCTGGGCGCTGCACAACAAGTACCGCGGAGACGAGCTTGCTTTTGCGGCCAAGTTCCAGCTGGGTCCGCGCGGCGGGGACTATGCGATACATGGAGGCGGCTTTCCTGTGAGGGTGAAGGGCGTGGACGGGGTGGTGGGCGTGATTGTAGTGAGCGGGCTGACGATGCAGGAGGATCATGAGGTGATTGTGGAGGTGATTGAGGACTACCTGCGGAAGGTTGCGAGTGGGGAGATTAACGACTGAGCGTCGTCGAGTGAAGCATTCATCAAAGAGGACACTAATGTATCTGTACCGTACGTTGGCACAGTGGAGATAATCGCGCGAATGATGCTACGGATGCACACGTTATCGCTGAGTTCACCACCACCGAGGACACAAAGTGTATATATCCAGGATGAAAGTGCACAAATGTAGTGACCGTAAAGGCGGCTAAGAGCAGGGTGTTGTCACAGACACTCTACTTCGGACCCTGCGAGACTCGTCCACATCGGCGGCCCGTGCGTACCCAGCAGGAGTGACGACCTCTCCACGCTTTCAAGCTTCGAGAGCGGATCTGCAGACCGGATGTTAATTCTTTAGGCCAATCCAACTTTCAAAGACCTTACTCACCAATGTCAGCCAGACGAGACACTGACAAGATCATATGGGAAAGGAGATATGAGTGCATAGTCATAGAGATTCTCGAATTACCATGGACATTAAGTAACGAAAAGGAGCCCGGTATCGCGAATACGTAACAGCGTTAATCACCACAAACTCACGCAGTCCCCACCCTCACTCGCTCGAGCGGCGGACCGAACCTATGACCCTTCCGGTTTGGGTGGGCCGGACGGTGCATCGCCGTTGCCCTTCCTATCGAACCCATTTCCCCTCGTCAATCCTGCGGCAGACAGACCGCGAGCTGCGAATCCGCCCCGCCCGCGAAACCCTCCACGGAACCCTCCACGTGGCGGGCCGCCGTTTTCTGCATTGCGTGACTCCTTGTCCGTCGCCTGCTTGAGCTCGGGGACGAAGTCCTTCAGTTTCTATGATGTGCACACGGTCAGCAGGAGCACGAAGTATCTGGAGAAAGACTCACATCGCCCTGCCTCTCGAGGCCTGCCTTCATCGCCGCTTCATCGCCGAACTCCACATAGCACATCTTCTGCTGCCGCCCTGGGAAGTTCTGCGGATAGGTGACCTTGGTGATCTGGAAAGACGAAAGTCAGGAAACGGACGCATGCACATTCACACTTCTACCTACCCCAGCCTTCGCCTCCCCGTAGAACTCTCGCACTTCTTGCTCGCTGGCGGGCTCAGCCATGCGCATGAAGATCGTCCAAGGGTTCCGTGGCGGCCGCCGGCTTGTCGGAGTCCGTGCGCCTGTGCTCTCGGTCGCCGGTGAGGTCAAGCCACCGTCATCGTTCTTGACATCTCCGAGAAGATCAGGAGTTCCCTTGCCAGACTTCGCCTGACCAGGCGGTGGTGGACTACTCGCGGCCTCTGGCAACGGAGTGGGGGGTTTGCTGCCGCCCTCCTTCTCCTTCGTGACAGTAGCAGCCTCACGTTCAGCGCGCTCCTGCTGCTTCCGCTCCTTCTTCCGCTCCTTCTTTGCACGCTCCCGCTCAGCCTTGTCCGCAGGGCTTGGGCCGCCGTTGGTTTTCGCGTCCTTGGGCGTCTCGCGACCCGAGCTAGGCGCGTTGGGCGGTGGCGGCGTTGAGGCAGTTGATTTGCTCGCGGCGTTCATGTGGGGCGGTACCGGTCTCTCAGGGACGGGGGTACCTGACGGCTTGGTGGCCACTGTAGGTGTGGCTGCGCCACCGCTGCTAGCGCCAGTTGTTGGCAGGGGGGACGTAGCAGAACCCGGTGTCGGGCCCGCGGTGGAGGGTGTCACCGTGCGGCGATATGCGTAGTTGAACCCTGGCTCTGGGTTAGTAGTAGAAGCACAGAGCTTGTCATGTACGCACCTTGGCTCTTCAACTCTGCGCTCACTCGACCGTCTTTGATATCGAGAATGAGTGAGCCGTATGCCGCGTCGCACAGGTTCCAGTTCCAGCAGTTCTTCCATGCGGGCTCTTCCTGGGGGAACTGCCCGTTCGGACCGGGCTGGTTCGTCGGTGCAGGTATCCGCTCGACAACGGAGAGCGCCTTGTCGAGCAGCACTCGCTGGTTCTCGTCGATGACAGCGTCCACCTGCGTCTTCACGCTGTCCCACACCTTGTCGAAGCCCTCCTTGCCGACGAGCAGCTTGTGCCGCAGACCCTCAAAGTCACCCTGCACGCTGAACTCGTTGTACGATGATGCGTACCGGAAGTGCAGCCCCGCAGAGATCGCGAGGTCTACTTTGAGCACAAGCCCGAGTTGGTTGATGATACCCTCCCGCCCAGGGCTCGCATGCGTCACGAGCATACGCGTCTCCGTCGGGTCGAACACTCGCTGGGCCGTGTCCACAAGCTCACCCATCTGCAGCGCCGTCGTCCACATCGTGCCCTGCCCGCCCGCAATCGTCGCGCTCCCGTCTCCATTGTCAAACATCTTGTGTGGCACAAGCGCGCCTCCCAACCCAAGGAGGCGCAGCTTCACGCCGCCAATGTCGAGGCAGCGTGTCGTGGCCTCGTCAAGGACGTGCAAGTTGTTGATTTCGTATTGCGCAGTGCGGAACTTCTCAAGCACCGTCACATCCTCGCACGCGCCCCAGACGGTGTACACAGGAACTTGTAGTTTGATTTGGCCGGAGAGGAGCAACGGGAATTCGGAGAGCAGCTGCACCTGCACCGTTGACCGAATGACAGACGGCGGGTTTTCCGGCGCGAGTAGGTGGTTCCGTTGGGCGGTCGGTATGAGCGGCGAGTACATGGTGAGGTGGCGAAGGGTCCTATCATTGATTCTGTCCAAACTGGAGGCCTCTGTGCCAATTCTCAGTAAGACCCGCGAATCACAGGCGCGACACGTACCAAAGAACCCAAAATCCCCAGTGTGAATGATAGCAGACGCATTTGCCTCTCGCGCGAGATCGTTGAGGGCAGAAAGACGACCGCGAATGTCTGCAATACAAAGAAGACGGCCATGGGAGGTGTCGAAGACTTTTGTCTCGGTGTTTACCTGGTACTGCGGCCGTGGGTTAGGCGAGGCAGTAGGACGCGTAGAGGTGGACGCAGGGCGCGATGCAGGCTGCATTTTGGGGATGGTGAGGGGAATGACGAGGCAGCGAGCTGAGTGGGTTGCTTGTCGTCAAAATGTGGCACGCGTTTGATGGACAAGTCCACACAAAATATCCGAATATGGCATGTCATATTCCATTTGTGAATTAGTGGTCGCTGTTTTCTCTATGTAGCCTTTTGGGCTTAGTCTACGTTGTTAACTCGCCGTAGTTCGACGGACTGGCACTACAGTAAGTTACACGCCCTGTGGCCGACGCTGTTTCCGGCCGTCCACAACGACCTCGTCCGGTCTCTTGTCGTTTCGGAGAGCGATGCCCTACGACGACACTCATCTTGCTCTGATGGTCGCAACACCGCCCTGAGTCTCTCACTGACCACGTCTTGCGAACGGCACCCTGTCCGAACCGAATCATGTCAACCTGTACACGCGACCTTACCTCCGCCAGCGCCGTCTGCGTTCGTGGGACAGCCTAATTGCGTCTTTATCATTCATCATTCGCCCGAAGACCAGCCTTTGACGAATCGCAGCCTCTTAGACAGTCAAGCGGTCAGCAGCCTCCCCGTGGCCACCCGGGAGGCAGTCCTCATTCACCCCTCGTAGCTGGACAATCAGTATGGCGGCCTCGAAGCCGCTATTAGCATCTCAAGACAATACTGGGTCAACTTTCCTTGCCCAATGTCCGCCACACATCTCTACGGAATCTCCTGTGCTAGCGTCAGCCGTCACTCTGCCGGAATATCCTCTCATCGCATACACTGTGTTCTCCGGCGACCCCTCAACGAAGGCAGACAATCTCAACAGCATCGAACACGCCCGCAGACACGTGCTTTCTCGGAATGAAGGCCGTGACATCCTCAATTCGCTGCTTCCTGCGGTACACATATCGAAGGACGCCTCCGCCCTCTATGTCTTCGCCTTCGGATCCTTAGACCGAACCTCCGAGACTCAGAGCGCTTTGGCCGCTCTACAGCTCGATGATCTACTTCGTGAGTCTCAAAATCACAGTTTCTCTTCGCGCTCTTTGTCTGCATTGCACAATTTGAATATTGTTGAGCTGCTTACCGCTACTGCGTACAAAGGCCTTCATGCATGATGAGATGATGCGCGCATTCGTCTAGCCATTGGTTAGGTGCGTGGACCACGAAAACGCCGTCAAACGGCACCCGCAATCCAAGAGTGTTATTGGCGTATGGCCGCATGTGATGGTCTGCCCAATTACCGGGGAAAGCGTCTTGAGGTCCTCCAGAACCTCTCAAGTGTGCTGCTCAGTAGAAAGAAATCGATTCACGAAAGCACATCCGCATTTCTTGGTCTATGAAGCGCTCATCAATCGCAAATAGCTGACGCATAACATCTGGCAGGCGTAGAAAGTTATACATTCCAGCCGTCATCTGTGTATCCATGCTCTGCCGCTTGCTCTACTCAGGATATACCGTGCTCGGCATGCCTGAATGTGGCTCACCCCTGTCCCACTCCTTCCTCTGCTCATCTCTTGCCACGCCAAACACTTCAGCTCCCGTTTCACTATTTCCTTAGCGCAGTCCGCGATCGCCTGATAGATGGAATCACGGAGGCGTCCAAGCACAGTCGAAGTTATAGGTCAGCGACGCGGTACAAGAATGGCTTCCTCCTTGGACCCTCCCCAGCATCGTCCGAATGGAGCGTTGGCTGGGAGCACCCTGAGCCCAGTCGACCGTTGATCTATAGCTCTCTGGAGGTCCAACTCTCGCACGCGTCTTCTCATGCACAACTTGTCATACACCCAGTCCTCAGGCCGACCTTCTACCTTCCGCTTGGAGAGACGTCGCCGCTACCAACAGGAGTACCGATACTCTTGGTCCCGTACGGTGCTCCAGCCTATTATCTGAACACGTACTCAGGCCCTACGTCTGCGCTCACGAGCCAGTTCCAAGAGGCGTTGCTAGGTCTCGGCGCCGGCGACTGGAAATGCGACCGATTCGCTGCAGCTTCTCGCGAAGGCTTCGCCTTTACGGCAGAGAAGTCGGGTCCTACATACGTGATCGCCTGGCTCTCCGTGCAGAACAAGCAAGGGGAAGATAAGGGCATGCCCATCATCTGGCCAATGCGGCTGTGCCTCTCATACCATTCCACTTCACCATCTGCACACGCTCGAACTCCCCTTCCGTACATACCAGAATTGCCAACTCAGCTGCAAGCGTCGCCTCCGCCACCAATGCCAGTGGTGCCCGCAGCGCTCGCAAATGGTCAACCAGGGTCTACGTCCTCGAGGAATATCAGTCGTGATGGTACACCATCTCAGACTGGAACAATACCTCCCGATCAAGGTCCACATCCGGCTACGATGTCTCGGCGGCCCGCCCCGCAGAGATCCTCGGCGACAGTGGACTCTTTGCGTGCGTTCCGGGGGATGACGCTCATCTCGACGCCCTCCACCCGCTCATTGCACACTGTCGCCAATGAGGTCAGCGGATACGTGGATTCTGTCGCGAAAGAACGTGAACGCGAACGCGAGAGGATGAAGCGCGAGAAGGAGAGTGCCAACATCCGTGCACGCACAAACAGTTTCAGTGGGGCCCCGGTCGCTTCAAGTCCTCCACAGCCTGAAGTGGGCGTCACCCCTGAACCTCAACCTGCCGCTGAGTCTCAGCAGAACGTCGAACCCGCACCGGAGGCTACTCCTCTGCCCAACGCTGAAGAAACACCGATGGAGCAGGACGGAGAACCCCTGTTCCCTTCCTCGCAGGGGTCGTCGTCCACCGATTCGCTTTTTTCACCTGCTGAAGAAGGGAGCCCACCGCCCACAGATGATGTCGCACCTGCAGTTGAGGAGGCGCCAATGCAGGTAGATACGGAACCCGCAGGCTCGCAGCCTAGCCAGCCAGAGCCCTCTACAGTAATCTCGCAGGACGGTCTTGCTGCATACGATCCTTTCGCGGGATTCGGAGACAACATGAACAGCTGGGCTGGGCCTTCGTCAAACGACTTCTTGGGCGTCGATATGGGCCTCGGCATGGATTTCAACGTCGGCATGGGGGCATTTGGAAACTCGCGTTCAGGGGCGGGCGTCGTAGGCGACTTTGACATGGACGATGGCCTCGGAGTTTTCACTGAAGACGATTTCAGCTTCTTCGATGCTCCCTCAGTTCAGAACCGTGTCACGGCACCTGTCGTGACCGCTAGCGTCGAGAACGTTATCAAGGCCGGAGAAGGTCTTACGCCTACGGCGGGCCCAGCTCCTCTTGGGTTTTCTCCACAGCGAGTTGGTGACGGTGCAGGTTCGTCTAGCCCTGGACCGCCTACCGCGGTGTTCAGCAACCGGTCCTCTTGGCCTCAAGGTCTAGTTACCGACGGCCTTACACCCCACCTGTTCGGCGGCACAAGTGATATCATTTCTCCCGCCCCGGACTTGATTCCTCCTTCCCCCACGAGAACCACTTCAACGCAGTCCGCTCCTGCCACCCCGAGCGTCCAGATATGTGATACCCAAGAGGGACCTTTACAACAGAAGGGCCGGTACTTGGGTATTGGTCCCAGCATCTTCGACCCGATACCCTTCGCCCTCGGCCATAGAATTGCTGATAGCAAGTACGCCTTCGGTAAATTCGCGCTGCCCAGCCCACCGGACACAGACGACCGTGTTGAGAGCATGAACTTCTCTCCGGCCAACGGCGGATGGATAGCCAAGTACAGCGCTGCCACGGACCCTCGGATCGGCGTGATGAAGAAACTCGTTGAATTCAAGCGCAAGGGGTTTGATCAGAGCAGGGCCAGTGCGTTGCCCACGTGGGGGCGCGAGTACAAAGAATGGGAGGGGGGCACAACGTCCCTCGTCGATGACGATGAGGCTAAGTCGGAGAGCGAATCCGAGGATGAGGGAGTGCTGGTGGATGAAGATCCGGCTGCAGCCATCCGCCCGTCTACCCCTCCCCCGTCTTACCTACCGCTTGGCCCTACGTTATTGCAGACGCGTTTCCACCATGGCAGGTTGCTTCCGCTGAGTGGTCCTCTGAGGCCACCAGGCTCCGCCGTCAATAGCGCAACTAGTGGTCCAGCACCTGTGTCGGCACCTACGCCTGTGTCGCCTGCTGCTGTCCTGGGTGCCACGTCTGAGAAGTCCAAGTCGCTCGAAGCGGCAGTACAGATACTCGTCAAAGAGATCGTCGAGAACAATGTCTGGGCGGAAGCGTGGCACGCCAATGCAGCAGCCGCATCGATGTCTTTGAAGCCTCCGTGCGAAGTGTGGCAGACAGACGTCAAGAGGGTCGGCAGATTGTTGGAGAGTATCAAGGCAACTCAGTCCCCCCTGGCTCTTCAGCAGTATTGTAGCCCAGGTCCGCAACTTCAGTTTTGTCGTTGACTGTTGCTAAGATACCTTTCGTTTCTCAGTCGTACAGTGCAATTCAGGCCTTGCAGTATCATTGCATGCTCTCGAACCTCCGATGCTTACGATCGGCAAGTCTGATTCGGTGATTCAAGTATTGCCGGCTGCGTTGCGGTTTTGGGAGAAGATTGGGTTGGGCCCGAGGGCAGGCAGGAAGGACGTCACTGCGTTTGTGGTTTTCGAGGGCTCTAGCGAGAGGAAGGAGGTAGCAATCAGCCAGTGGTTGGACAAGATCTCCGCAACATATTCGGCGAAGAACTACGGGACACATACCGCTGGGATGGCGCCAATGTGCACCAAAGCAGGCCTCGTCCCCGTGCAGTTCGATTCGCTAAAGAAGACGCTCGGTATGTCATACAAGTCTGCCATCGAATTCGCTACTGATCGCCATACATAGTCAAGTTCGTGTCTGGCCTTCCAACGTCGGCCAAGAACGCACATGTATTCTACATCGTTGCGCCTTCATCGGTCGTTGCACTGGACTCTCCACTTTTGCGCCAGCTCTTCTCGGCGGTCAAGCGCTGCACAAAGACGTATCCGGACTTCCGCATCCTCTTCCACTTCGTTCCGGAGGCTTTCCCCGCAGGAGCTCTATCTGATCCCCGCTATAAGCACGAGGGCCTCGAGTCGTTTGTCGCGGCGGTCTATGATCGGCTACTGCAGCCTGTCGAGCGTCCTGTGTCTCCTCAACTCGCAGCGCACATAGGACCCACGCGGGCGTTCTTCCAAGCACCTGCCTTCAGCCTTGCTTCAGCATTACCAGGCAGGAAGAGCTCGGCAAGCCATCGCGACCCAGTCGGCATTACCTTCATGCTCGAGTCACACCCTCGCTCCCTGGACGTAGTCAACAGGCACATGCTGTTCCATGTGGGGTACTCCGTCACGCCGTGTAAGCGATGGCTGCTCGCAGCTGGCGTGGACGAGCGAGGGGACTCACACGAGCTTGGGGCCTGGCTTCTGCCAGACGAATCAGTTGATGCCTTCATTGTGAAGCAGGTCTGGTCGTTTGCGCGGACTTGTACCGCGCGCGCAAGTGTGGAGTGGAGGGTTTCGCTAGCCAAGCTTGGATCGATGAGCGCCACGGAACTCAATGGTACGTACATGGGATTTACGGTTGACCCGCAATATGAATGCTGACGGCGCATACATTAGCTTGGATGTTCCATCTCGACAGCATATTCGTGAACAATACGGATGTGCCTCCCATGCGCGTGGTGTTACTCACCGTAGAGCACCAACGCTCCCTAACCGTCCTCGCGCCCTCCGACGGTCATCGCCCCGCCTCTTCCTACCCATCCTCCACTCGATCGCCTCCTCGCGGCTCCTCCGGGCACGTGTTCACAGACACAATGTCAACGACCTACGCGTTGTTCCCTCCCGCGCATGTGAGCTGCAACCCCGCCTTGGGCCTCGACCCCATGGGCGGCAGCTATCCTGGGTCCCTCGACTTGCCTTTCGTACAAGACGCAGAAGACGAGGGGCCGCCTGCGTACGAACAATCTGCGATGCGCGGTTTGGCGCGGAGCCTGCTGATCAACGTACCTGCTGGCACGGACTACACGTCTATCAACAGCATCGAGATCATCCAGCTTCACAGTATCTGCTCTAGGAACTCAACGAGTCGTGCTCAGCGTGCCGCAGACGGCGATGCCATGGTTGTCGACGACGGCGGTCCCGTGGACGCTAATGCGGACGACGCGTGCATGTTGCGTGACCTCACGCACAACTACCACGCACTTGCAGTTTTGGCTCAAGCGCGTTGGCAGCCTCGCGATCATGCAGGTCTGCCGTTGCATTTGTCTGCGCTGGAGGCAATGAAGATGGCCTTGTCTGGAGGTCCAGCGGACGCATCCTAGGGGTCATCTGTGCTTGTCGAACGACAACAGTTGGGACCAATCCCTTATACCTCTCTTGTTTTCAGAAACTGAGAGCCATACACGAGTTGCTTGGTCATGTTCAAGCTCCGTCGTATTGTACATACATATCTTGGGACATATGTTTGCAGGTCATCGTGTAGCACCACCATAGCAGTAAGGACACCGTATCTTACAATTCTGGAATCTAATGCAATCACCGGTGTAGTTTACATTTGCTTTCGTTGATGACTGCTTTCACAATGGTTGCGCCGTGTCACCAGTGGTACGACCCCGCGGCATGGTACCTTCTTCATACGGTCCTTGTCGTCATTCCCTCGCTCCTTCACATGCGATTTCTTGAGATATGTGTTAGCTCTAGCGGTGTGCCAATGGTCCTCATAAAAGCGTCCCAGGTATTATCCCAGTGCAGCAAAAGTAGGCGCAGGCTGACGGCGAGCGCACTGAGACTGAACGAACAACTGTGTGAACGTTGCGCACAAAGTCTACCCCAGCTGGGCCAGCCAGCATGAAATCACATGGTAGAGTTCTGTGGCTGCTACTTAATAGGTTGTGGCTGTCGCGCGCAACCTCATTGTGCCGCGAAGGTGGCAATGTCCTCGGGCACCATACTACTTGAACTCATACCATTAGCATCCAACCATAGCCCACCCTCAACACCTATGAGTTCTGGAGATGTCCTCGAAATGGGATAAATGGAGCCGTGTAGGTCTTGATGTCGCATCCACGGCGACAATGCTAGGCTTTTCCGCCGCTAAAGCAGGTACAAAGCTTGGTGTACGTTCTTGTTCAACTTTCGTCTTGTCACGCATACTGATCCAAACCAATCAGTTCTCAATCACGAGGGGTGTCGCGTCAACTGCTGCAGGCTTAACTGGAAGCGTTGTCGACAATGCGCTCTTCGGGGGGACCATCGGGGCTGGTCAAATACTCGGCGGCGCGGTCTCCACGGCCATATCTGCGGTTGAGTCTCTTGCTCTTGCACCGATTCTCATCGGCGAGTCTCTCACCTCGACCTCTCTGATTGCCGCGCATTCCACCTTGTCTGCGCTCACGACTATTTTCCCCGGGAGCGACGAGGCGAGCTTCTCTCTGGCTAGCTTCGTTCAACTGGTTCGAAGAGAATGGTCTGAGCCCGTGGACAGGGATGGCTTGCCAGAAGAAACATACGGGGTCGTCAAGATAGCGAAGGCTCTGATGGGCTGGGCGACCTTGCAAGGCGTCACAAGCGAGTACCAAGAGCGGCGTTGGTTCCAGGTATTGCGCGAGATACCCGTTCACGATGAGGTACAAACTCGGCGCAATTCCCTAGACACTCCCGACCGCCCCAGAGAGCGCAAGATATCTGATGTCCGCGTCATGTCTGACGTCGTGTATCCGAGCCACGGCGGTCAAATCCTGACAGCTGATATTGGCGAAGCACCCACATCTCCTCTGGGCAATTCACCGCTCGCGAGATCTTCTACAGATCTCTCTACGTCGACACAAATGAGAGCGACGAAGCAGACTCTGCGACGTTTGTCCAAACTCGTTCTGGGAGGTTACGGTGGACCAAGCCTGTTATTCTTCGGAGTATCCCCTTGGCCAGAGTCCGGGCTGGGATCTAGTGGCACACAGCAGAAGCAAGAGGAGCTCAAGCTGGAACAAGCAGTGAATGCAGCAGAAGAAGAGGTTCAGGGCAGTCCTCCAAAGGTTGTCGTAGACGAGACCCGACCGGGCCTAGGCAAAACATCGTATTCATGGTGGAATGTCGCCTTAGGTCGACATGATCATGAAATCTTCTTGAATTATGCCAAATCACATACGCACACTCCGGATGAGTCCTCGGTACGTCCTCACTTTGTCGATTCCATGCGTTTCTGAAGTTCCGCTTCGTAGGGTTCGTCAGCCAGTGGCGATACTGAGCCAACATCTCCTGCACGACCTCCAACTGCCTTCGTTGGCTCCGAGAACATGATGCCTCGCTTCTGGGTGCTGACCGACCACGTCCGGCGCGAAGTCGTCCTCGTCATACGCGGGACGATGAGTGTCAACGAGCTCGCAGTCGATCTCACCTGCGATCCTGCGCCGTTTGAACTTCACTCCTTTCCACCCTCGCCGGCGAGGGGAACGAGCAAGGGCAAAGGAAGAGAGCCGAACACCGCTGAAGAGGACGCGGACGCTGTGTGGAGCGAGTTCGACGAGGAGTTGGAGAGCATACCAGGATCGTTCCCAATGGACATCTCGACGCCTGCCCCGAGGAAGAAGCCTCGACAAGAAACCCCTACGGAGTCGGAGGGCGGTGGGAATGCACGCCGTGAAAGAAAGGAGTCAGAGACCACCACATATCTTGTGCATGGTGGCATGCTGAAGATGGCGAGGGCGATGGGCGCTCCTGGAAAGCCTGTGCACGTCGCCGTGCGCGATGCGCTCAAGCGAAACCGCGGATACTGTATGTCGTATTCTGGCATTCTCTGTACTGCGTTCACTCACTCATGCCCGCTATAGCGCTCATCCTGTGCGGACACAGTCTCGGTGCAGGTGTCGCGGCCCTTCTTGCTTTGGTGAGTGGAAGCCTTCCGTGAGTAAATGTCACCTTTGAGTCTGATGCGCTTTGTTCTCATAGATGTGGGCAAATCCATATACTCGCCTCACGCACCAACATTCGGGATTGCCCCGGCGGCGCATGGTGTCCGCATACTGCCTCGCCCCTCCCTGCCTGACCTCACCTGCACTCAGCAAGATAGCAGCCGACTCTGGGCTCATTGTCTCCTTTGTGTACTCGACCGACATCGTTTCTCGCCTCTCTCTTGGGAGCGTGCGAGACCTCACGCGGTGCGCGGCTTGGCTGTGTAAAGCAGAGGACGAACATGGCGAGGGATACTCGAAGGTGACCAAGCGCGCGCTGAGGTGGAAAGCCGGGTATGGGAAGGAAGGGTACGAAGATTGGGTACGTGCTGATGTGCCCATTTCGCGGAATTGATGTCTGACTGACGAACCTATGTTGCAGTTCCTCTCCATGCGTAAGACACTGGAAGCGAACATGCACATGACGCAGATGTTCCCTCCTGGCCGCGTCCTCTGGGCGATGCGCGACGGTGACCTGCATCCCGTACATCGGCTGCGCGACGCCGAAGGTCAACTCAGCAGTACCGAGAAGGGCGCGGATAAGGTGCGGCTGTTCGAGGTTCTCGACGTCCAGCGCGCCTTCGACCAGGTTGTCTTCGCGCGCGACATGCTCAGCTCGCATATGCCCCACCAATATGACCGGGTACTGCACGAGCTGCTCTGATGACGGGTTCGTCTTGGGTGTATCGATAGACTTGCTTTAGACCGGTGACGCTCTGCAATTATGTTAACCTTCCTGTCACAATATTGTTGTAGCCGTACGTGACCCTTTGAATAACGACTTCTGGTGATAGTACACATAGAGGAGCTATAACTACTAGTACCATTCCTGATTGGCTCCGTCGTGGGTCTGGTCCACTTATGATTGTATACATACCAACCCAAGCTGCTGTCAGATCGTTGAGAACGCATACAGTGGTAAGTGACTGGTAAGTACACGCGGTGGGGAGGGTGGATGGATGGATGGGGGCCAGGCGGCAAGTAGGTCACACCATGGGCCTCCCTCTTGCATTGTTCGATAAGTACAATGCAGCATTTGAGGTGCAGGCGACTCCACTGATCTTCTATTATGCCTGTTCTAGGGGATATCAGCTCAGATCAGAACACCCCTGATGCATCCCCGTCGGTGGCACTGGCATACTTTATCATTACGCCGCTCCTGGAAGAGCACAACAACAATTTGCATATGCCTCACCGTGACGCTTTGTTGCGTAGCCATAATGCCACTAGCGCATATCTGGTCACGGCAACCGCGTGGCACACAGGTGTGTATGGAAGACGTTTCATGCTCAGGCTGCAGGTCGCCGTCTCTAAGCGATACCCCTGTATTGACTATAAGAGAGACATGTTCAGTTTCATGTAGCGAGTCATTCAGCAAACGACTACAACCTACTACAACCCACTCGGCTTGAGGTTAGCCTGATCCCCTCTGCGACGTTTCGGGATCCGTCAGCACCCTGGACTCGATGCCACTCCCCACAGACGTGTCAGCTCAGTATCCGCGCCGTTCGCGGTGGACCCACGAACTTCCAGCGACCTCGGAACATGCCAACCTCTCTGGTCGAGGGCAGGCCACCAATGACTACCCTGTGACGCACGTTAGCGTGAGTAGGCACCATTCAAAGTGCGGATACAATGCGGGTACTCATGTCATACACCAGGATCCATTAGAAGCGTGGCGGCCTCTGGCCACAATCTGTGTCAGATTCATGCACGCCAATCTTCGATGCGTCGATCCGGCGCTCGAGCACAGATGCACCCTGCCGCCACTCCCGGACTTCATCGCATTTGCGCTGTATCGCTCGCATTCACTCGAGTGCGTCGTCTTCGCGACGCTCATGCTCATGCATCGCATCGAAGTCAGAAATGCGGGTCGTCCACATACGCAGCTCTTCGTGCCTCAGCATCTCTTCCTAGCGGTGTTCATGGTGGCATGGCAAGTCATCAATGACAACTCGTATAAGGCCAAGGATTGGACGGTCGTAGGCCGGAACATTCCTTTGAAGGACCTCACCAAGGCCGTACGGGACGTATGCGTCGACCTGTTGGACTGGAATCTGCAAGTCAATCCCGACTTGCTGGCAAGTTTCACGACTCACGTCAAAGGGGACTATAGTCAAGACGGCCCTTATCAACAATACGGCCCGGAGTTCGCGGACGGTCTGATTCACTCGGAGCCAGACGATGAAGACACCGCAGGAGAGTCCTCGGCACCAGCCGCGCGAGCAGCGGTAGTGTGTCGCTATCGAGAAGCGCAACAGTCTCCGCAAGTTCAAGGGGCCTCGGCACCATTGACGACACGCCCGCCGGACCGGGCAAGACACGCTTCTGTTACACAGAATCAGCGCAGGAACTGCAGCGGCCAGTCAACATACTGCGTAGCCACACCGTGTGCATGGTAGGTAGTCGTCCTGTATCATCTTTTTTCGCTCGTTTGGTATTCGTGATCTGGATCACGTACATTCGCTTGTCTTCCCTGTAACAACTCTTCCTACACATTCCTTTGCTCGCTAGTATACAACAAAACTGCTTAATGACATAAGTTAGATGCAAAGGATTCCTCATGTGGATGGTGGAAAGATGGTCATAGTGCTCCCTCGAAGAGCAGTTTTCGTGGCTTGCTGATGGCTGGAGCTGGCATCACCAGGGCGGGCCTGAAAACAAGGAGCGTCAGTGATTCAGCTTCTCACAGGCACATGCGCGGTACCGACATGGAAGTACCCGTCATTGCAGCGGGGTTGCCCATGATGATGCTTTCCGACACGCCGGCAATACTATCAGTCTTCCCATACGCAGAAGCGTCGAATAAGTGGTCTGTCGTCTTCTCGAATGACGCCAGCATGAGCACGCTGTCCTTCATTTTAGCCACGCCGAATCGTGTGATGCCCAGTACTTCGCCCTGTCGCAGCATGTGAGTCAACCCACTTCCGATAGTTAGCATGAACCGGCCAACCTTATACGACATGACATCTCCTAGCAGCATGACGTGTCGAGGATCGATACTCATACCGTGACTTGACATCGTGTACTGAATTTCGTTGATGATAGTTCGCCTTGCAGCCTCGATACCCAGGACCTGCGCAACCTCGATGATGTGGTTGGAGGTTGTATGTTCGCCGACAATACCTGCGAGAAGGAATCGATGTCATGGTCGAACGAACAAGTACGATCTTGCAACTAACCTTGCGTGGTCATGACCTTCTGGAGACCATAACCCTCGACAAGCAGCTCTTTATCGCCCTTCTTGCCGCGGTGGTCGTCGTCCTCCTTGAGGTTAATGATAGCACGTCGGATGGTGGGTACACCCTGGACAAACACGATTGGTCGCGGTTGAGCTACGTGTGATGTGATGAAACGCTCACCTTCACGACGACATCTGGGAGTACCCTCTTCAATTCACGTAAGCGATAGTACTTGTCTATACCATCAACATAAACGCGCAAACGATTTTTGCGCGGTATGACAGTAATCGACTGCAACACAACATTAGACGCGAGATATAGGGGGGCACGCGCTTCATCGCACCTCTTGTTTGACCTTCAGCTTCCTCGTGTTCACGATGGCCCATTTGATATCATCCAGGACCATTTCAAGCTATGACAGAGCATGGGTAAGATGATAGGACGAGCGTATCAGATAGCTGACCTGAAGGTCTTGGATGGTCTTCGTGTCGACGATGATACCTATGTAAGTGTACTCCGGAGCCCAAGCTTCCTCAAGCACCGCGGCGATCTACAAAGAGAGCTGAATCAGGCAAAACCGCTACGTGACATGGGTGAAGAACGTACGTCGCCAAGAAGTGTCTTCTCCAATCGCCCTTTGACGATGCGAGCAGACGCTTCGTTGTCAGCAGTCACCAGCTTACAACTGATGATAGGAGTACTGATAGCCTTTGCAGCATTGATAATTTCCTTGATACGGGGGACACCGAGGGTGACGTTCATGGAGGCGACACCAGCGAAGTGGAACGTCTTCAACGTCATTTGCGTCCCGGGCTCACCAATGGACTGCGCGCCTACAGCTCCGACGGTTGAGCCTGACGACAGTGTTGGGTCATACATCGACGATAGTACTGCAAGAGGTCTTACCTGGTTCGATCTTAGCCTTGACGTATTTCGTCCAGCAAACCTCCAAGAAGGCTCGCAGTTGATCCTCAGTCACCTTTAGCTTGTTGTTGACAACAGCCTTGTCGGCATCTGTGAAAGGGATAATGAGCTACTTTGTCATCAAAAAAGGAATGACGGAACGTACCGGACGCGCCCATGGTGAGATCTGTGTCTGCATCCCACTCATCGTCGCGCTCCAAAGCATCAAACATGCCATGCTCTCTCCGAATATCAGCGAGCTTGTGTGCAATGTGCTCGGAAATGAAACCACGAATAGTCGCTATATAAGCCGCCGTACATTCACTCGTGAACTTCCGTTTTGACAGCTCCTTGTCAACGCGTTCCATGATCTCGAACGGCAACAAGCCACGTGTGTGGCGAGATCCAATTGACTACCAGCGTCGAGATAGGTTAGTTGCGTAGTGCTGTGAGCACAAGACTCACCGAAGCATGACTCCATGCGCGCAAGAACTCAACAGGCTGAGCATCACCCTCGAGGCATGCGGGGTCAAGTCCGTCATCACCATACCGGAATTGCACCACACCGCCGACCGCATTCCGCACTGACGAGTCGTAATGCGTGACTAGATCCTCCAGAGCTTTCATCAGACGCCGTTGCATGTAGCCAGTCTCTGCAGTCTTGACAGCTGTGTCAACCAGACCTTCACGACCAGAGATGGCGTGGAATAGGAACTCTGTTGGAGACAGTCCTGTGTAGAAACTGTTCCGGACGAAGCCCTTAGACGGAGGCTCCCTCGACTTCTTGGGGAAGTGCGGTAGTGAACGATCTTGGAAACCATCCGGCACACGATGACCTGCAATGATCTGCTGGCCGACGCAAGCAACCATCTGGGCGACGTTGATGACGGAACCTGTGGCGATGTCAGTGCTGCAAGTGTGTCAAGCTGACAATATCCATACCTTTCGAACCACATGTTGCCATGATCAACGGAGCGTTATGCCGACTCAGCTCCTTCAGACAAATCTCGCCGACCTTGTCTCGGACCTTGGACAATACGCCGGAAATCATGGCTTCCAGGGTCTGTTCCTGGTTACAACCAGGTTTGTTCTCGAGCAGACCCTTCTTGGCTCGCGTAATTAAGTCTTGACATTCCGCGTACGCTGTGGCTACGAGATCTTCTTTCTCCCTGGATAGCTTCGGCCCCGGGATGACATCGTTGATGCCGAGGGAGAATCCATAGTTCGCTGTGATGGGTTGTGAGCATAACATACGCAGGAAGCACAAAGGTTGTACGCGTACCTAACCATCGAGCGCACAGCTTGGCGAGTCTGTTCATGGCGGCAGCAGCTTCATGCGGCCCGTAGTCCCTCATGATGATACCAAAGACGGACTTCTTTTTACCGCTACCGACTGTGGCTTTGTCCATGACGCCGCACATGATCTCGCTGTTCACGATCACCAGCCAACCGTCATTGGGCGAAAGATCCGGTGCAGGGTTCTTAATGCTTGGGTAGCACGATGCACTAGGCTTCTCCTGCTTGTTGCACTTGCTTTCGACGTTCACGAGGACCTTGGACTGCTTGTTCGGGCGCATGAGAACGTTGAAGATCTGTTTGCCCGTCCACAGGCGCACGGGCTTCCAGATGGTCGGTGGTGGGATGTCGATGTGCATATTGGCATCGCCGAAGTACGAACAGATCTGAGTGAACTGACGGCGGTCGAAGAAAGTGTCCTTCCGCGAGATGAGGAAAGAGGCGGTGATGAAGTCCTGAATAGCGGCAATGACGGGTTCGCCGTTTCTTGGCGTGACCAAGTTGTGTTTCACGCTCATGAGCTCAAGTGCTTCTGTACGGGCCTCTTCGGTCTGCGGCACATCTGCAGAAGTGGTCAGCTTAACGAGACGATTGAGAGAGGGTTAAGGTCCTCACGAAGGTTCATCTCGTCACCATCGAAATCAGCGTTGTAGGGTCCACAAACACATTCGTTCAGCCGGAACGATCGCCATGGGCGAACTTTGACCTATCCGACGTCAGTACTGTCAGATAACAGTAGAGACGATAATTGTACCCGATGACACATGATAGACAGTTTGTGCAGACTGGGCTGTCGATTGAATAGCACGATATCACCATCAATGACATGCCTCTCGACAACATCGCCGATTCTCAAGCCGTCTGCGATAGCAGCTCTGTTACCGAACTTCAGATACTTCTTGAAGCCATTGCTTGCGGCGGTGACATAGTTAGCACCGGGGTGGACGTCGCATCCGTTCCGAATCGCCTTCTGCAACATATCGATGTTGTGCGCGGTGACTCGCTCCGGATACGTCAAGATCTTCGCAACACGCTCGGGAACTGCGACCTCATCGATACGCAAGTTCGGATCGGGAGAGATGACGGTACGTCCAGAGAAGTCAACTCGTTTCCCTGAGAGATTGCCTCGGAAGCGACCTTGCTTGCCCTTCAGTCGCTGACAGAAGCCACGAATGGGCTTCTGGCCTAATTGTGACGGGACACCAGGCAGTTCGGAGTTGATGTACATGGCGACGGAGAGCTGCAGGAACTCCCATTGTTCCTAAACGAAGAGAAGTGAGCTGTAGCAATTGTGTAATGAGCGTGTCGAACTGACCATGAACTGTGCTGTCGGAGCACCTTTCGCGAGTCCCTGCTTGATGAGCACATTGCTGAAGACGATCTCGGTGAGTTTGACAGTGAGATCGTCCTCGTTAGACGCGCCGTCTTGAGCGACGGACGGCCGGATGCAGACGGGTGGTACCGAGATATACTGCCAGATGTACTCTTCCGGGCGACCATACTGCGGGCGCAAACCAAGCAGTTCGCAGTCCTCGTCCGATATGCGCTTGAACAAGTTCAGCACCTTCAACGGGTTCAGGTCCTCGTGCACCGCCTTGTTGACGTACATCCCGAGCTCCTTCTGCGCCTCCACCGCGGACGCGAACGTCGTCTTGAACCGCTCCATCTCCTCCGCCGTCTTCTTCGCTCGGAACTTGTCGTGGATGATCTTCAGAGCTCCTGCCTTCTTGACCGTGCCGTTCGTCGCTGCACAGTACGGACAGTACACGGTCTTCCGCGCCAACGTGTTGACGGCCTTGCAGAGTGCTTGGCGCTGAATGTTCTCGAGGTTCGGGCGGCGAAAGCGCTTCAGATATACACGTCTATCCGGTTCCTCTATGAGAACACGCGCGCATGTCTTGCAAATGCATTGCAGGATACTGATGGTATGCTTGAAGTAGCCGATATGGAATACGGGCACGCAGAGCTTGATGTAGGCGTAGTGTCCAACACAGTCTACGGAAGACAGTCCGCAGGTTTCGCAGAACGCGTTCTTCTCTGTCGTACCCTGGGCAAGGTCAGAGAAGAGAGTGCTATGATAGGCGCATGACATACCAGACGCCGATCGAGAACACCGTTCTTCACTGGATGCCGGTCGACTGCTGTGTAAAGGTCTCGATGTGTGACCTCAAACTCTGAGATCTTGACCGTGTCCTGGTTATTGAGAAGACTGAACTGTAGCTTCTTGCTGCAGGAGAGTCAGCAGCGGTAACATGCAACCTAAAGCGGAGGTGTACTGACATAACTTTCGGCGCCTGATGCGAGACCGGGTCCTTCATCTTCGCGTCCCCTCCAAGCCGACAACGATATAAGTCGGCAAAACAGCTAAAACTACTCTGAAAGAGCTCCTGTATCCACCTCCCGGTATTTGGGACGGGCTTTGACGCGAGGTAACGAGAACGAAAGAAGAGGAAGCCGGGACAGAGGCAAGTTTTGAGCCCTTAAACCTGGGCGCAAAGTAGGAATTCCAGGAAAGGAAAGTCATGACAATACGCGTCGCGTCCGGTTCAAGCGCCCGACTTGCGCGTCGCTCACCAGGCGCCTGCCTCCAGTGCTGCTCTAACTTGTCCTACACCCTCCCGACCCCGTCATGTCCAGAACTTCCTACGACAGGTGAGTTTATTAACATCGTCAAATGAATGAGTTTACGAGGGTACTGCCAGATATCTTACCGTCTTCTCGCCGGAGGGGCGGCTGTACCAAGTCGGTGAGCAAAGGACCTGAGGTCCCGGTCCGTCCAGAGCTTAGTCGCGACTCAACATCATCCCTGGTGCAGAGTATGCATTCAAGGCCATCTCTGGCTCTGGACACACGGCAATCGCCGTGAGGGGAAAGGACACCGCGGTCGTGATCACACAGAAGAAAGTACCAGTACGTCGCGCTGCATTACGCGTACCTCCGCTACCATCCAGTAACGCGCCATACACAGGACAAGCTCCTCGATGCCTCCACCATCACGCATCTCTTCAGCATCACACCTACTATCGGCTGTGTCATGACAGGGCTTATTGGTGCGTTGCCTTCGATCGCCGCTTCTCAGGGTCTTATGTCGGTCCTTTTCAGCCGACGCGCGCGCACAAGTACAACGAGCACGATCGGAGGCGGCAGATTTCCGCTTCAAGTATGGCTACGAAATCACCCCCGACGCGCTCGCTCGACGACTAGCGAACATCAACCAAGTCTACACGCAGCGCGCGGCTATGCGACCGTTGGGCATCTGTAAAGCTTCCCGCCTCTACTGTCTCATGCGATACTGATCTTTGTGTACAGCGATGATCGTCATTGGCATCGACGCAGAATTCGGCCCTCAATGCTTCCGGCTCGATCCTGCAGGCTACTTCGTCGGCTTCCACGCGACGTCGGCGGGGCAAAAGCATCAGGAAGCAATGAACCACCTCGAGAAGAAGTGGAAGAAACTCGACAATGGGCGTGGAGCAGAGGATGCTGTCGCGGCGGGCAAGACTCTTAGCAGAGCTGAGGTGATCGAGGTACGCGCTACTCATCCTTACCCAAGACGTATTGACGAATGTGAGGTGATATCGTAGATCGCGATCGAGGCGCTCTCGACAGTGCACGCTACAGACTACAAGTCAGGTGAGGTCGAGATCGGGATTGTGTCGGAGGGCGAGGAGGAGGACCCGAAGACGCGGGGGCAGTGGCGCGTCATGGACGAGAAAGAGATCGAGCAGCACCTGCTCGCGTACGCCGAGAAGGATTGATTGTACACATATCGGACTGCATTTTCCATTGCTCTCGAAGGTTTCGCGTTTCGCGGCGTTGAGGCATACCACTCATGGGAAGACTGAAGCAGGATGGATTAGGTTCTACACATGTAAGTACTAGGTCCTTGGCACTATCCGCGAGTGATGTTAGGCAAACCGCGACGCGCCGCCCGTCTGTACGCCGTACACCATCAGTTCCGCCGACTTGAGTGAAGCGACAAATGGACGCACCGCGACGAGGTCAACCTCCCACTCCTCCAGATCATGTTTCCAATACCGCTCCGGTGCCTCCCAGAAGTTCCCGAATACCTGCGCGTTCTCGCCCTTCGCTTGCGATTGCGCTGGACCTGCGCTCGAGCTCCCTTTGTCAACCACAGAAGACTCGGACACGGAAGCCTGAGTCTTCCTGAGCGAGTCGGTGAAGGCGGACTTCAGGTCTGGCGTCGCCAGCGGGTGTGGGCGCGGTGCCTTGGATTCTGGGGGGTACAAGTGAGTGGTGAGCCTATGAGCGCGAGGCTGTGAGGACGTACTCCACTGCCGCTTCCCGGCGAAGTGAATGAGAGGTTGGCGAGGTGCTGCTGATGCACAGAGGCGGAGAGACGGGTGCATAGTGGCAGGTGTGAGTTACAGAAATGGTGCGAGTGTGGTGGGTGCTGGGGTCAGCTTCAACCTGTGATGGGTGGGATGTCCTTGTAACGCAGCCTTGGTGATAGCCTACACTGGGCAAACCAAAATGCGGTCCAAAGTGAGAAGGTAGAAGCAATGTCGATGTTCGGTCTGTTCAGGCTGCTCAGGCTAGCGTCGGACTCACGTCCGACGACCAGGCCGCCGTGCGATTCCGGAAAAGGCAACTGAGGTACTAGCTTACGTCATTGTCTCGTGTGCTTGGCCGCTGTGTGGCTTCGGAATCGAAGTCCTTGTTCTCTGCAACTTTCTTAGCTGCTTCTTCTCTACTCATTCTCTACACATCCCTGCTTATTGAGTATCAAAGTATTGCCTGTACCTGCCGTTGCAATGGCTCGCGGCGCCGCAACACCACCGACAGTACCGGATTCCCCGCGCATGTCGGAATCACCACCTCCAACAGGTGTCCAGGGCGAGCTAGAACTCGAGCTCATGGGGCTTGCGCACGCGCTGTACAACCTCGGAACCACAGTGGTGAATGATCTGACCAAGGAGAAGGACAAGCCTGGGAGTAGTGGGAAGCAAGTTGGGATGAGAGTGTGAGTCTCTTGTCATGCATGAAGGACGAGACACGCTGGTCGTTTCCATCGCACCTTGTCTCCGTACTTCCTGTTCCCCCACATCATTATAGCGCATGAAAACCGGCCTTCTGGGAGCTCCTGAGATGCTTTTGAAATCAAACGCGTTCTTTACCCTTGACTTTGAGATTGACAGTGGCAGCAACTGATGTCCTTCCCAGCAACGAAGTGATCCACCACCTTGCGACCATCGACGATATGTCACAGCATGTGCACACCATGGTGCCAATGCAAGTGCTCGCGGATATCGATAATTCGCGCAACCCGCTGCTGCTGACAAGGGAGCGAGTCGAGCGCGCGGCCACGGAGAACCAATTTATGAACGGGAAGATCCAGGCTATTGATGTGCGCAGTAACGTGGTAGCTCGTTCAACCTGGCGTATGCTGACCACTGTCCATAGTCATACCGCGGACACTTGGACGACGTGCTCTCACAGACGTTCCCGGAGCTCGCGCAGTACCTGTCTGCGTCAGGGTCCAGCCATGCCACGCACATGAATATGAGCTTTCCTCCGCCAGAGGACCCCGATCAGAAGCCTTCGAATGGCTTTCACAGCGGCTGAACGGCGCCCAGGGTGAGCATTTCATATCTTTTGTCTTTTGTGGCAATACACTCATTGTGTGAATGTGCCGTAAGGCATTTGTTTCATCTACCCCCCTCTGCCCCCTCAGACACATGGCCACAAGGCAGCCTCCGACAGCTGGTCGGGAAAGCGAATGCACACTCGTCTTTCGGGCGTCCTCGGACACAGATTGGTTGCGCCGGATGTCATCGCGCGATGCGCGTTGCATGCTGTGCCCGCTAGGCCACACAGTAGTCCTGAACAGCGCTGCGACTTTCGGAGATGGGTTTTGCGGTACAACGTAACCAAGCCGGGTTGATTGCATGATTGCTGCTATGGTATATATGTGTCCGAGTTGTATGTACGCTCCCCAACTGTCTGCGGTGGTGTCCGACTGTACTACGGCTCTAGGCTGTCTTGCGAGTAGCTGTAGCATAATATTATGGCTGGAATGTCACTATAGCCTGTGGACGAATCGGACGCCAGACGGCAGAGTCGATCTGCATGCCGGGTTACCGGTCGCCGGGGAGGATTCCAGTGCGTATCATGCGCGCCTGCGGTTGTCTGGTCCCAGTCCCAGCTTGGTCTCCACTTTCATGCCGACCACTTCATACCCTTCTCCCTTTTCTCTCTAACGACCTGCGCTCGCCCTGCCCGCTTTCTTTTCCACGTAATACGCTCCGTCGCACGCCCGACGCCCTGACGATCAAGAACCCGCCCATCTTGCGCTTTCGAAGATCTGCGGAGAAATTCGCCCACAGTTCGGCCTCGAGCTCGCCTGCCCCTTGCTTCTTTCGATATTAAATCCTCGCGCTAGAAGTACAACGGCGCGGGCTGACATCTCTCCTGCTCTCCGTCCACGCTAGCCGCCGCCCATGTCCAGCTTTCTCCATGCCTACGACGCGCTCTCGTCTACCTCGCCGCGGTCAGAGGTGGCGTCTGTCTTCCAGTCCCTAATAGACGGTGCGCGTGTGGTCTGCTTGCTTCGGCTATCGCAGCGGCTCACCCGTTTCGAGTAGCGTACCCTTCGCAGATCGATCCCGCCACGCGCAAGACGCTAGTGCAGACGATTCTGGACGATCTAACGAAGTGTAGTTCCGGCAATGGGAAGAAGGGCAGGTTGACCGCCAAAGGTGAGCTTCCTTTCCGAGCGATATGTATTGGCGGATCTTGCCCTGAGTCTACGTACGGGAGGGTCAAGCTACCAGTGTACATGGGTTCCGCGGTGTAGACCGCCGCCGGTGCTCGAGGGTGGGCCAGGAAGCTGCGCCGGAGAAGAGAAAGCCGGACGCTCTCTGTCAATCATCCGCGCAGAATGCGCGGTGGGCGAAGCATCCGTCGGCCCTGACGCGCGCGCACGGCTTGTATTACTAGCAGTCGACGCGGGATTCTTCCAGCGTTGAGCAGCCATTGACTTTCACTATCTGTGTGGAGATGTGTGTCTGGCTGGCAAGTTGCAAAGTGCGAGGGGAGCCAATCTGTCTTCAGCGGGCCCCGTCGACTATGAAGCCTCACTGTGCGTGACTTTACATGGTCTTAGGCAACTACCTGTGTGACTAGACCTCTGTGTGGGTTGGCCATAGTTCTGTCGTCTTGACACCGTAACCCCCACATTCAGGACCTGAGCTAATCTTACTTTCTTAGATGCTTTCCCCGCTTTGCTCGCCACGAAGATCCTGGGCAAAGACCCCGCAGGCTCGGAAGTCATCGCCACGTCCGCAAACCTCTCAACGCTGCTTGCCCTCTCCCGCTTTTTCAAGGATGACGCGGACGCGTCGAGCGAGGCGTTGCGGTGCATCGCGAATGCCATGTTACTGATCAGCCATGCGCGGGAAACTTTCATACAGAGCGATGTTGGAGGTGGGGACGCTGCAGTTGAGCTGCTTGAGGTAGGTTCCGGGTAACAGACGACGCAGATCACTCCCAGACTCACTCGCCTTCGCTTCAGAAAACCACAAATGCAGAGCGCATCTTCCTTGCGTCGCGCATCCTCTTTCTATCCACGGTGTCGATGGCGTCTGCCAACTTCATACGTGCACTCGTTGAGACGAAACCTCCCGGCCATCCGGGCAATATCATCGAAATAATTGGCACGAAGCTGGACATCCTGTCCAGAAACATTCAGACTAGCGCGAAGTTGTCACGAGAGGCGATGACCGACTTACTCAAGTTCACGTTTAATCTGTTGTTACACTATCCTAAGGTGTGTACACTATTCACTGTAATACGGTGAACAGAATATTCATGCCCCGGCGCCCAGATTGCAAACGACTCCGAAGAGATCACGAATAGGTCCGAAGATGAGGCCAAGATCATGGGCGATAGCTGGAATGAACGCTTGGATGGGTATGTTCCCTGCCTTTGACATGCGTCTTACAGTATGCTGATCGATCTACAGTATTCTCCCGCCGCTTCTCCGAGCGTTCAATGCACTTCCTCCCTCCTTCCCCTCACCGCTCGTCCCTCCAATGACACACATCATACATTCACTCATCACTATCCCCGTTACCCCATCCCTCCACTCGAAATGGTTCCAATCAACAAGTCGCAGCAGCAGCCCGCGCTCCCCCAAGAGCCGGGAATCGTCGCTGGGCTCCCCGCCACGCAGTGCGAGCGGGAGCGCAAGCGGCTCGCCGACGCTCGGGCCGTCCAAGGACAAGTCTAGCGCCTTCGACCGCGCCATGTCTAAGCTGACTGTGGGTCGGCGGTCCCTCTCTCTCTCGCGGTCCACCTCACCAAACCGCCCCGCACTTGTCGACGTGCTCCTCCGCGCGTATGATTTGCTCGACGTGTCGTTTTCGCACTACCTCCCGGGGAACATCGACCCAGACGACGGGAGCGTGCGCGAGAAGTGCCGAGCGGAAGGCAACGCGAATCTGGACGATGTTCTCGTACCGCTGGTGCTTCTCGTCAACAAGCTCTGTACGGCAGACGAGGGCTCGCGGGCGCGCATGCGTGAATGGGTGTTGCCTCCGGACCTGGATCGCACTACGCCGCTTGAGGGCCGCGCCGACTTCTTGGGCCGCTGTCTGAGGCTGCTTGCGTGTGTGCACCATGCGCGCCTCAAGTCTGCTACTGGGGAGATGCTCTACTCGATTTGCGACTTCGATGGTGCGTAATACTCAACTATACAGAGATGCGTCATATTGACTGTCATTCTCAGCGAGCCTGCTTGCTTCCTACGTCGGCTATGGCAACGTGGCCGGATTCCTGTTCCACAAGGGCATCACTGGCCAACCCTCGCGGCCATCGAACGCGCCAGTGCCTCAAATGACGCCGTCAGGCGTGCCCATCAACCCAATCACCGGTATCGTCGAGGAGGAATCCCCGGAGATTGAGATGACGGACGAAGAGAAGGAGCGCGAGGCTGAGAAGCTGTTCGTCCTCTTTGACCGTCTCGAGAAGAGCGGCGCCCTGCAGCCCAATCAAAATCCGATACGCAAGGCCGTGCAGGAGGGCCGCCTTGGTTAGAGACGCCCACTGCACCCGTCTCCCTCACTATTTCCTCTTGTTCCATTTGTTCGCCGGCTCTCTTGCTCCCTGTGAACACTGGCCTTACCCTCATTCCCTTGCCTATTCATTCTCAATTTCTAGCCTGATTGCGCGGCAGCGGCATTCACACTCTCGCCTCGATGTTCTTTTGCGTTTAATACCCCCATCAGAATGTTCACTCTCGTGCTAACTTACAATTATGCTTATAATGCTCTGTTGCATGTCATGTCTATCACCGTACCTCTCCAACCAAGAAATGGTTTTTGATCATTTGAGCACACCAAATTGCGAGAGATGAAGCCACCGAAGCATGGGCAGCATGCATAGCAATAACCGATCAGTCGAGATAAAAGCATAAGTAAGCATACAACAGTCCAACGACGAGCCAATCAATCGAAGGTAACCTTTGTGCCCGCGGATTGTGCGATGGCACCGGTGCGGGGGCCACCTCGGCCACCACGTCCACCGCCGCGACCCCGGTCGCCGCCACGTCCACGACCTCCACCACGTCCGCCACCCCGATCACCTCCGAATCCGCCACCGAATCCCTGGTTTGTTCCGTCAGCCAACGAGTAAGATCAATGAAAGGTGCTAAGACTTACTCGTCCCCTTCCACGGCCACCGCGATCTCCACCACCGAAGCCCCTGCCACGGCCACCGCGGTCTCCACCACCGAAGCCGCGACCTCCACCACCATTGCTATCTCTCGGCTGGGAGTAGTCCAGGCGAATCTCCCGACCCGCAATCTCCGCGCCTGCCGCGCCCTCGAACGCCTTCTTCGCCAAGTCGACGTCCGAGAACTCGACGTAGCCGAAGCCCTTCGGCTTGCCGGTCTCACGGTCCGTCGGCATGCGCACGCTCTTCACCTCGCCGTACTCGCTGAACGTCTCCCAGAGGATGTCCTCCGTCGCGTCCCAGCTGAGGTTGCCGACGAACAGTGTCGCGGACGGCGAGCTCTGGCTGTCGCCAAACGCCTGGGCACGGCTCTCGCGCCGCTCGGTGGGCGCTTTGGGTACGCTCTTGTCGACGTTGACTGGGCGCCCGTCGATCTCCTTGCCGTTCAGCTTGAGCGCGGCCTCGACGGCCTCCTCCGTGGCGAAGTTAACATACCCAAAGCCGCGCGACTTGCCGGTGTTACGATCCATCTGCACGCGCGCGGAGACGACCTCGCCGCATTCGGCGAACTCCTGCGCGAGCCAGTCGTTGTCGACATTCCAGGAGAGCCTGCCGACAAAGATTGCCTTGGTTGGCTCTGAGCCGTCGGTGGCTGTGGCGTCGTTGGTGGCCAGCTTGGCCTTTTTTGCGGGTGCAGGAGCCTCATCGTTGGCCTTACGCTTGCCTAAAACCAGTGTGAGGACAGCAATAGGGTGAAGTGCTTGTGACATACCGTTCTTGGTCGTCTCATCCGCCATCACGACATCCTCGTCCTCTGAGCTCTCATCAGAGCTGTCCTCGTCGGACGCCTCCTTCTTAGCGGGAGTGGTCTTGGCCGTTGTGGCCTTTTGTTGCGGCTTCTTCGAAGCCTCATCGTCGCTACTCTCCTCAGAACTCGACGATGATGATGCAGCCTTCGCAGGGGCGGTCTTAGCAGGCGTCGCCTTCTTCGGAAGGGTGGCAGTAGCCTTCTTGGGAGCCTCCTCCTCACTCGAGTCGCTGTCGCTCTCCTCTGGGCTTGAGGCAGCCTTGGCGAGTGCTGCAGTCTTCTTCGAGGCCTCATCCTCGGAGCTGCTCTCGCCTTCACTGTCGCTGGAAGACGACGCCTTCTTGGGCGTCGCCTTCACCTGCGCGGCCTTCGGCTTCTCATCCTCAGACTCGCTCGAGGACGAATCACTTGAAGGGGCCTTCTTGGCCTTGCCGTTCGCCTTTACGGGCGTTGGCTTCGTAGGAGGCGCAGCCTTCGCCTAGATAGCGATCAGCTACAGAAAGATGGGAAGGGTAGAGTATTCTTTACCTTGCCGTTCGCCTTTTTTTTTGATGCCTCCTCATCACTGGACTCACTCTCGGAAGACTCATCACTGCTACTCTCTGCCTTCTTTGAAAGCTTCGCCTTGGACTGGAGTGCAGATGTAAGCATTCGGCGATAGATGACCATGGACAACGTACGCCGGCCTTGGCCATAATCTCCTTAGACGAGATAGGCTTCGTTGCAGGGGCTGCCTCCTTCGGAGCTGCGGCCTTCGCTGCGGCCTTTGCGGCCTTCTTGTCGGCCTTCTTGTCGACCTTTTTGTCGACCTTCTTGTCTGCTGCTGTCTTGGCCATGGCGGATGAGAAGGACAGGGGGGGATGGAGGGGGGTGGAGGGAGGCACAGGCGGAATGGCTTGAGATAAGTCCGAGCAAAATTTCCCAAAAAGCAAAACAGCTTCGTGGCACGTGCACGGTGCCGGGCGCCTCTCCAGGATCGCCGCTGGGCGCCTATTCCACGACCGAGCGCAAGTTGGCTGCCGTCCTCTTGCCTTGTCTTGTCATCCGGACATCATATATTGTCGCTATTCTTCATTCCAGTTGCATCTTGTGCTCTGAGAAATGGACGTCGATGCTGTGGTACTCGGCAGCGGACTGACTGAATCAATCGCAGCTGCGTGAGCACCCTGCCTGTGTCTCGAGACAACCTGTCTGAAGCGGCCACCCAGCGCACTCTCCAAGGCAGGATACAAGGTCGCGCACCTAGACGTCAACCCGTACTACGGCGGAGACAACGCATCTCTGACCGCCGACGAACTCGTCAGCTGGGCAGATGAACGGGCAGCCGCGGGACCCTCCAATCCCTCGTACGCCTCCGCGCAGCGGACCAAGTTTACGTCCATATCGCGATCAGGGTCGACCCTGCCTCAATCCCGTCAGTACTCTATTTCGCTGTCTCCAGCCATCATCCCCTCCGTCGGCCCGCTAATTGACGCGCTCATCGCGTCGGGTGTCTCGCGGTATGGCGGCTTCAAGCTACTGGAGAAGGTCGCGATATACACGGGGCCCGGTTCGGTCAAGCCAGTTCCAGGGAGTAAGGAAGACGTTTTTAAGAGCAAAGAGCTCTCCCTGCTGGACAAGCGGAGACTGATGCGATTCCTGATGTTCGCGGCGGGCGACTTCGAGGGCAAGAAGGAGTTCGAAGGCAAGGAGCACACTCCCTTCGTGCAATTCCTGCACCAAGTGTTCTCTCTCGATGGACAGACTGCTGCTGCTATTGCATATGCGTTAGCCTTCTGCGTCTCTGCTGCAGGTCAGTGTCCACGTTGCCTGGTGTGCGCGGGTCACACCTGATTATTCTTTGGGGGGCAGAACCGACGCTTCCCGCATTGCAACGCATTCGGAAGTACCTCCGCTCTACCGGTAGATATGGCCCTTCTCCCTTCCTCGTGGGTCATTACGGCGGTCTGGGCGAGATCGCACAGGGATTCTGCCGTACAGCTGCGGTCAGCGGAGCAGCATACATCCTCGCCCACAACGTCTTCTCCATCGAGATTCCGAGTCAGTCTGAGGAAGGCCGAAAATACAAGATCATCCTGGAAGGGCTAGACGAATCGCTCACTTGCGACCTCCTGATTGCGTCGTCGGGTTACCCTCTACCCGAGTTTCCGAGGGCAGTGACGAATGATTCAACCGACAATGAATCATCTAACATCCACCCTATTGCACGAGCCATAGTCGTGGTTGACCGCCCTCTCTCGTTCTCGTCTCCTGAAGTGCCGCCAGCAAGCACCGCATCTGATGCGGAGGGCGCGGACACCGAAGAGGAAGAGCAGACTCCTCAGAAGCAGGAGCTGGACACCGCTCTATTAGTCTTCCCTCCATCAAGCCTCGAAGGGGGCTCATCCGTAGCAGTCGCGAGTGTTCTTGTCACAGGCGAGGGCAGCATATCGGCGCCCAAGGGGAAGTGTAAGTGACCACCACCCAAGCAGCCATTGATCCTTGATGCTGATATGCTACGATCCCATAGGGGTTCTATATCTGTCACTCCCACTCCTCGAACAGACCACCCGATCTGCAGAGGCACTCCTGCGCCCATACGTCGACGCCACGCTCAGCCTGACCGTCCCAGACTCCGCCTCGCCAACATCCACCCAACCACTTTTCACCCTGTTCTACATCGAGCATCCCGATCTGCCTCCGTCCTCATCCGCTGCATCCGAGTCACAAATACCATCCATCCTGGCACCACTGCGGAGCTCGACGCTACTGCCGGAACAAGCAGACTCCGCCACGACGAACGCGGAGACGCTCTTCTGGAAGGCGGTCTCGGCGCTGAAGGCCGCTGGCAGACGGCCGAAGCGGAGAACAGGTGAGGGCGAGGAAGAGGGTGAGGAAGAGGTGGAGGTGGAGGGGTTCTGGCCGCCGTTGGATATCGTTGACGACCCAGAAGAGGATTGGTGATTCAACGTCTCGGTAGGTGCAAAAGTGTTCGTATGGATGAGGCGCTTTACCGAACCGTATTATCTGTCGTCAATCGTCAGCTCTGACCTATATATCGCGCTATTGCATAGTCTCACAGGATTCCAGTAATCACAAATACGAATACAATACAAATCGAGTGATGTTACAGTATTGGCCCAACGCACGTCTACGAATCCTTGTCGTCTCAAAAACTCCCGGAACTGTCCCAGCTCTTCGTCGCCTCGTCCACCAGGTCCAACAGTTCGCGCATAATCGGGAGATGGTCGAAGACGTCTAGCTTGCTCGTGCCATGGTTCATCTTGAGACTTGCGGATCCCTTGGTAGGCTGCTTCAGAGCCTTCGACTTGTCTCCTCTTCGAAATTTCAAGGGCGATACAGACGATGTTCTCTTCTTCACATTCTTCACAGGGCTAGGCAGGTCAAGATCGTCGTAGGAACTTGAGGAGACAGCAGTAATCGACATGTCGTAGGCAGGCAAGTCCGAGTCATCCTCAGAGGGATCGAAGAACCGGCGGACGCGGATGGGGGTGGTCAGCAGCGGCTTCGTCGGCGACCCAGACTCGGAGGCAGAAACAGAAGCGAATCTCGCAGCGAGGCAGCCCACGTCCTTCCTAGGGCTCTCCGTCTCGCAATCCGAGAACGACGTCTCGCTGATGGCGCAGACAGCCTTGGTTGAATCGAACGAGGCAATCGTAGCGCGCGCGGGGTTGACCCTCGTCTGCTCTGGGTCGTCGAACGGCACGGGTATCCCAGGCAACCCGGTGCCCCCGTAGATCGCGTGGCGCCGGGTGGTCTGGCGTCGCCTGAGAGAGCTGGACGGGGGCGAGGCGAGAGAGTGCGACCTGCTGTGGCCGCCGCTGCCTTGGTGGCGCTTCTCTAGCTTGTCCCAGATGGGAGCGGACTTGAGGCGTGTCGGCGTCGAGAGCTCGTTGTAGAAGCGAAGATCTGGGTCGGATGTCGTGCTCGGGAGGCTAGCGGGCGTCGGGAGCTTGACGTTGTCTCCGGAGAGCACAGGTAATCCTTCGCGAGGCAGTTTAGCGGATTTGACGTCGCATATAGTCGGCTTGCGGGTTGGAGTTGCGGCTTTGATCGGTGTGAGGCGTTCAGGCGGACCGAGTCGCGAGCAGTAGTAGGATGCCAGAGAGTCCAGAGAGGATGACTGAGAGGGCGAGTCTGTGGAGAACCATGGTCCGAGGTTGTCTACGTAGAGTGATTGCGTTGACTTCGGGGAGTCAGAAAGACGGCGCGGCGTCATTGCAGTATCAATTAATGTAATAGGACGAACTCACCGAAGAAGGCGACGCGAAGGCCTTGAATGGCACGGAGCCGAGGGACGTGTTCCTCCTGCTCCGAGGCACCGCAGATGACCATTCTTTCCCGTATCTCTTCTTTTCCTTCGCACAAGGAGAGGCCTTGTCTCCGCTATCATCTCCATGTTCTGCGGAAATCGGATCACCATGTATACGTGCTTGCTTCGGTGTGGATGTGATGAATTCCGGGTGTCCGTACGGCTTCGTTTCGAATATTGCTGATAGGAGTGGGCCATACCTGCCGGTTGTTGCGGTTTCTTCGTTGCCTGAAGCCCCGACCGTGATGCCCCGAGCGTCGGCCATATGAGTCGATGGTTTACTCTGTCACGCCGTCTTCGCAGAGTGCCAGCCTTGCGATTGCCAAGTCCGAGGAGCCTGAGCGGAACAAGCTTCAAGGCAGCCTGAGCGATCCGTGTTCAAGTTGGTCGCGGCGCCGACAAATAGGATGTTCCGCATCCAACACTCAACGCTGATGAACCCGGGATCAGCAGCACTGTGCAGGGTAGTGTACGTTCGCCTGGGACAACTGCCGGCGCTGCGACCAACAGTGGCACTGGCCCAGGCTCCGCCGTAGATTCCCGAACCACAGGACCTACCGCAAATGGAAGTCCAGTTGCCACCAGTGGTCGTCGTAGCCTACTGAGCGACTGCCACGAACTGTGCCAGTCAACTTCGCCAGGATGCCAACAACACAACCTTCGGGACTCCGAATGGCATCGCGGCTGTCTGAAACCCTATCAGTCAGGTTTCATGAATCGTCATATCCTCAGGTTCATTCTTTTTGTTCGTAGTTGCAGCCGCCGCGCGTCGCACATAGACGCTCGCGAGATGCGATATATAACATACCCAAGGTGGCGGAAAAGCTATAATATCCTGGTCGGAAGCATCTGCATGCTTATGCTTCCTTCGTCGAAAATGGACTGCGATCCGCGGGATAGCATCGATCCTCTCTGCGAGTCTTCAGTTGACGGCCCTGCAACCGAGCCAGTTAAGAAGAGCCCCGAGGTCATTGTTATGGTGCGCAGAGTCTTGTTTATCTCCATCACACGATGATTCCCATTCTAAATATAGGATGGTGACCTCCATGTCTGCCGCAACCAGGAGTGGTTTGCAGATATCGGGCGTTCCTATGCCGATTATATCGGGAGCCTAAACTTGCCTGTTCCGGCAGACACACAGACTGTTGGTGTTATCCGACGTTTTATAGATGGTTTGCTATTCTGCGCTCAGCCTCATCCGGCACTCGTGATGAACACAGGTCTGCTGATGAAGAGGTGGACGCCCGGTGATCTTACTGCATACAAATCCGGGTCCCAGCGGGTGCCCGAGGATACTCAAGCCCCAAGCTACGCAGGCTACTGGCAGCAATTGCTATTCACGGCAACATTCCGTGCTGCGTCCATTGCCACAACATTCGGGGAGGCCATAGCCGTGATAAGATTGGTCTGGACAGCCAAAGATTGGGCCCGGGCAACAGGATTGGCGGGTTGTCCGATAGGAACAGGTGCCATCGACCGTTGGACTGAAGATGTATCATCAAGAATACGTATCAAAGAGGATGAAATCCTAGGTTCGATACGAACCCCACACGTGAACGTGAGAGGGGTGCAGCGTGGAGGTCTTGAATCGAGACTAGATGAAATCCTTAGCAACTGGCACTGGATCATGCTTGACATGTTCCTACAGGGAAAACGGAAGAATATCCCCGAAGAAGGAAAGACCGGCGAGTTAAGGGTCAGTGTCAGAGTACCGTGGTCAGAGTGCACAGGAGGTGACAAACCCATCAGCCGCCACTCTTGTTTTGTGAATCAGCGGGTATTGTCTGCGACTCTGATCACTTGCACTTGACAATCGGGACGTTGTATGGGCAAGGCCCGGACATAAGCCAGTCTGAGAAGGCGGTAATCTCCGAACTCGAGTACAAGGGTCTGCGAACATCATACCTGCGTATGGGAGGACCGTTCAGCAAATATCTTGTTTGGCGGCAAACGGATGTTATTCAGGCTCGACGTACACTGTCCGCACTCCAAACGGGCAGAGACCAGGGAAAACCAACGCGGGACAACGCGAACCTACAAACGCCGAGTGATCGCCAGAGGACAGAGGACCGCCGGTCAGGAACAAAGCCAATTTCACAAGCCGCTCCAGTGGCCCCCACTGCGCCAGCATCGGAGGCCGCTGTTAAACAAGAAGGCAATGGCACACCACAACGCTCTCAGTCGCTTCCGGCGACAGGTTCTTCGAGGCCAAAACGCACTACGCATACGGTCACTGCCGGAGGATATGCTGAGGAAATCGCGAGGAACTTAAAGGCAGAGACGCTTACCGAGCACTCGGAGCAGCCTCCTGCACCGCAGCCTGTACTCCGTCTACGGACGACTACGTCAAAAACGGTCAGTGCGAAGGAGGAGGCTGACAGAATGACGGATGAATTGGCCGCGGCAAGGGAACGTCAACGTGGGGACCGCTTGCAGCGGCGCCAAGAAGCACCACCACCTCGGCCTCAGCCAATATCGATCGCCTCTCGACAAGCTGCACTGTCCGCACCAAAGCCGCAGAAATAACTCACCTATTACTTTAATAGTACTACAACCTGTTATTCGGCGCCAACGCGAATTGTGACAACTTGAACGTCCCGGTATATTACTGGCCATTGTTTGAGGAACCTTGCCAGTGGTTTCTGCGTGCGAAACACCGTACTATTCGATATGTACCACCGAGCTCGCTTCGCTGGGGACATGAGGATACCGCCGCAATGGAGAAGTCCTTGTCAACGCTAAAGTTGGCGTGTATCACGCGCGCACAGCCTTACAGCGGCTTGTCTGAGGGCCAAGTCAGTCATCGACGTCGGATTGGATGCTGAACCAGCCAGATGGCTGATGCTGTTAACTGACAGCGTGTAAGGTGCGTTAATGGAGCAGCGGCATGTATACTCACCGCTGTAGGTGGTGGCAATGGTATTGCCAGAGTAATCGGGCATCGACCACTCGTTTAGGTTTGTAATATTGTCGGTTATGGTTCGCTCGAATGTATCGATAATCGCGGGCAACGCACTGTCTGAATCTCGTCAACAAACGTAGAAATTGTCATCTGGTAAGTACAACAGTCTGCGTCTTCGGAAAAACGTGTAAAGTGAACCCGAGTTCTGGTTTGTGTCAACTCAGCATCTGCAAGCTGATCAACAGGGGCTGAGAGCGTATGTACCTTCCGAGAGCCTCGCGGGTAAGCGGCTTGGTGCATGCTTCATTTTGCTTGTGCAGTGCCCTCAGCGCCCGACCTTAAGGAGGTCAACAAGTCTTGGAACCTTTTCCGCAACTTCGTGACCATCTCGTCCTCGTCAGACGACGGAGCGGGCTAGATATGTCTTGCTTGAGTCTACATCGCTTTGCGACGAATGAACGTGAGACAGAGTCACCATTTGGTCGAGAAGGAACTGTGAGGAATTACGATCAACGGTATGGTCGAATACTTGAACTCGTGCTTGCCTACCTCAGCCTCATCTATCGTCTGTAATATATGTAGTATACGGGAAGAGGCATGTCATGACTCGGAGTGCCCGACTCGAATGTTCGCCGCACTAACCAGAATGATAGGACCCCTAGTATCCGTCGTGGTTACCACTATGAATTGTCATACTGTATCAGGGTGCTCGCACCTGTTCATCTCTGAAGGATTGTTGTCTTCAGTCACGGTCCTACGGCCACACGCTCAGGCTGGTATTGTTACAGGCGCACTGGTAAGTTACGCATCCGTGTGAGTTGTGACACTGATACACAAGTAGCGCTCGGCGGCAGCCGCGATCTGACGTCATCTGTCGCGCAGGCGAAGTCAAACCGGTTCAGCTCCTCCAACCAAGTACTGAAGTATTTCACGTCCACTGCAAGTACATACATAGCCTATACTGTGCAATGACCCGCCCGCGCATTCTTTTCGTCTGCAACCTGCTCTAATATGCAATTGAAAAGGTTTGGCATGTAGAAGCTCCTCAGTCGCAATCTCAATGGTCAACCACTCACGGTGCGTTTCCCGTCATTGGCCACATTCCATTCTGATCTATACAACAAGACAATCTCACAGTATCAGCGAGGACGATATGCTCTGTTATTCTTGGACTCAGCTGAACAAAGCCCGTCCGCGGTACTACTCAAGGGAGTGTCGACCGTCCGATCCCGACCACGTCATAGCTGAAATTTGTGAAAACGGCAGTGCTATGACCTCTGCATAGCATCCTGTTCACTTCCGCTTTGATCTGCAGCATCGAGGATTGCAAGGACATATAGCTTGTGTCTATCAGCAACTAGCAACTCCTTGTCCAAGAACAGAAAACGACAAGAGACCCCGAGGGAGGCAAGGCGCTGTAAACAACGACATTGTTTACGATTCATGAATACGATTGTCGTCGCGTCCGTGATTGGACAAATGATTTTGCATCAGTGGTGCGACCACCCCCGAACGTTGACTCGACCAAGTAGGCTGAAGCCTCATCTTGCAGATAACAGTTGCGTCGTGGGGGGCCGTGGCCACGCTTTGGCCACGCACCACATGTCGGGCCTGCCCTTTTGGGTCACATCAAAGCGAGGTGGCCACTCGCGCGTCGTATAAGTAGCATTCATGGCGCGCTCATATTAATTGGTCCTTGCTCCCGTAACTCGCAATCCCCCAGAACGGTTGACGCCACAGGCCCAATGTCGATGCAAGAGGAACGCTCCGGTCGCGCGATGCGTCGTACAAGAGACGAGCGCCAGAAGAGACCGACCCGACGTTCAAAGGAGCGGGTCGCAGATCGTGATCAGCGGCCCTCTCGCACCACAGAGCCTGAGGTACCTGAGGTCAGTCTATTTCCTACCCACTCTGAGTAGCTTGGACTGACGACGTGCCATGAACAGGTGCTCCCCTTTGACTACACGGCTACAGCGCAGGTCTGCAAGAACTTCCTCCGTCATATCTTGCAGCCTGCGCGGTCTGACGAGTCACAGCCTCCAACCTACAACTGCACGCTCTTCGGCATAACGACCGTCTACGAGTTCATCCGCGCCACGCTGCGCAACACTCGGTTCCCGGAGTGCGTGGCATTCGCCGCGCTGCTCCTCTTGCATCGCCTCAAGCGTTCTGGGGTCGCCCTGGATGTGAACGACGCGCACCGCCTCTTCCTCTGCGCATACATGATCGCCGCGAAGGTGCACGTGGACGAGACCTTCTGCAACGCGTACTGGGTCATTCTGGGGGACCGCCACTTCAAGACGGCGGAGCTGAACCGGTGCGAGCGTGAACTGTGCGGCATGCTCCATTGGAATCTGCTCGTGGACCCGCTGGTGCTGGAGACGTTCACTGAGGCTGTGAAGAGAGACTTCCGCGAGGACGGCCCGTACCCTGACTACCCGCTGGACGAGGACTTGTCAGACCCGGAGAAACGCTTTCCACAGCTGCCAGACAAACCAGCGGTCCAGGATGAAGAGGAGCCTGTCCTGATCAAGCCGCCAGTTGTGCCTCCCCGGGCAGTCGTTGCAGCCCTCGCGAGACACCGAAGGCCGATGGACATCGTCCAGCCGTCTCTCCTCGAACCTCAAGGACTAGAGTGCGAGACGTCGGTGACGTCTTGCGCAACCAGTGATAGCGCACGCTCCATGGAAGAGCGGCGCCCAGGCTTCCGTTTGCCATCATGCAAAGAGCAATCTGCAACGTGGCTGCCGCTCGCTGTCCTGAGGGCGTCGGGGTATGTTATGAACAGTTGCAATCCTGTCTGATGGTCGCCCACCCTATTATGGGCTTGAGTGTAGATTGGCCACGACTATCCGGGCCTCGAAGGCCTGCGACTTAAGGTTATTCTATGTATGTACGGTAGATTGACTCTGCCATACCCTTGTTATTCTGGTCCGTCTTGTATCCCGTCATGTATACATGTCACTCTTTTACTCGGTCAGAATACGTACCATGTATCTCCGGTCTCACTGTACTTTCCATGCCACGGACTTGTAGATATCGCACAAGTTATCCATAGATCTCCCCATTCCCACCTCCGTGCCCACACATACTCATGTAGCTGCGATGCTTGTAGTCCTCGCCTGTATGAACCTCCAATCACCCTGAAATACATCCGTCCATTCGTACCCCAACTCAACGTTCTGCCCTTCCTCCGCCATGATCAACCCCCCGAAAGAGACTTCAGCGGCGTGGTCGGAGTGCCGCTCCACCACGAGCTGCTGCTCACAACTGACGACTCGGCCAACGTTGAGAAGCATCTCCGGAGTGAAGCTTTGTGGATTGATGCCCAGCTCCTGAGCGCCATGTTCGTCAACGGGCTCCATGGAAGTGGTGAGAGGGCGCTGACCTTCCATCCGACGAATACGCCTGACTTGACTTGTGACGCTTCCGTGATTTTGGGTAGCGAAGACCAGTTAGACTCGACTTCGTGTCGATTGATCGTCGTAGGCGCCGCTTCTGATGTGGTCATGTCGTTCGACGGAAGGCCGGAATCCACGGCAGGTTCAGCCTCCATCGGATCGTCATACGGTAGCTCGAACACCTCTGCAGCCTCTTCCTCGTAATCAACAACCTGCTGTTGCTTCCTCTTCTTCCTTTTCCGAGGGAGATCAGCCTCCACGTCGACACTCGTCACGAACATATTCGGCGGTAGCAGACCCTTCTCTTGTTTCTCCGACGGCGGGACCAGTCGCGAGAACGTTGCGAGCACCTCCCGATCCCCAGTGTTCGTGAAGGGTATCGCCTCCTGCAGCGTCTGCTCCACAGCCGCCTCTTCCGCAGCTGACGAGAAGACGATCTTCGCTGCGATGTTCGAGTTCATCATCTTCTTGAAGCCCTTCTTCTTGTTCTTGTTCTGAAGCGTCGACATCATGAAGACAGGGGGCCTGCCGTCCTGCGCTGCAGAAGCTCGCATGTCATGGACGGAGGGTGCTGCGACAGGAGCAGGCGACGGGACTGGTGCGACGGTCTCTGCCCGCGTGCCTAGCGGGATCTCGTTCACGCTTGCGGGCTCAGTGGTGGCTTCTAGGCGCTCGAACATCCTCTTGCGCCGCCGACGGACATTGCGGCTCTGAGTAGCAGGTTTGCCGAGGCCAGGAGGCACAAAGTTCTCTGTTGCACTGGTACACGAATCTCAGACGAGTTCATCAAGAAGAATCAGGATCACTCACGCAGGCGCCTTGCCCTGAGTAGGTTTGGCCTGCGCGGCCACTTGAGTAGGTTTGGCTCGTGGCGGGCCTCCTATGAGCTTGCCATTTGGTCGTGTGGGCGCAATGGATGGCGCAGAGTCCGATGACGATTGAGACGTGTCAGAATCGGAGGACGAGCTTTCGCCCTCTGATGAAGATTCAGAGCTACTTGATTCTGTATCCGAGTCTGACGACTCTGAGCTAGAGCTGCTGGCGGAGTCAGAGCTTGAGTCTGAAGAGCTGCTCAATGGGTCCGGTTTTGTAGCATGGAGAAGGGCTGCACGCTCTGCGCCCTTGCGTTGCTTGACCTCCTGCGCCGACGTCTTCTTGGCTGGTGCTGATTGTTTTGTATCATCCGACCGCTTCACGCGCTTTCGCACAGGCCTTCCAACGTCCACGGCTTTGCGCTTCCCCCTGGTAATTAAGAGTCGCTGCTTGATGCTATCGAACGGAGCTACCATGAGAGATTTCAAGACACCGAAATCACACTAGGGAGTAGGCTTACAGAATAAGGTCGCCATCCCTCACGACATCAACCGGACTGATGTCTAGTAGCTCAAAATCATCGAGGACTAGGTCTATGTCTCGCGGTTCGAGGTCGCCATCGCGCAGCGCCGGAAGCTCTTTGCATAGGACCGACTTGAGTTCTTCTACAGTGGTCGCGGAGTGGACGCTGAACCATGCCCGACAAACTGGGAGAGGAGGGAAGCTTTGCAGCTTGATACGCATACTGAACTGCCTCGATGATTGAATTTAGTCTTGCGAGTACGCCAATTCGCCGAACAGTGAAGTGCTGACTTGCTCCGGCGGATTGCTAAAGCAAAGGCTATTAAGCGGAGGTGAATATGTCGACGTCTAGCTAAGCATACCTGGTGGCCACTCCCCAAAATTTTTGTCAATTCCTGCGGTGAACGGACTGCGAGACAGCGAGCAAGACCGGGAGCGGTGAAGACGGGCTGGAGGAATTTCAGAGGAGGAGGAGGACTCGGGAACGCCACAGACGCGAAAGTCGAGGATCGGCCACAGGCCGGGGATGCTTTAGGCAGGTCGTTCCCACAGTAGTCTCATGCGGGCGGTGAGACCGCCAGCGCGTCGATCCTCTCTACGTGTCCGCATCCTCTCGTCCTCCTCCTCGGTCCGCCGCCGCTCGTTTCGCAGTCTCTGGGAGTATCTGGGCCTCTTCCTTACGATTCATACTCTACTGTGCAAGTTATACTGTCATTATAGGCCACCATGGCCAACTACAGCTATGACGAGGCCGGTAACATGGCCGCCTACTTCCTCCTCACCTTCTTGTCAATCATCTTGATTCCACTCACGATTTCATCGCTCTCGCCATCACGAAGTACGCCCTTTCAGACCTCAACGCTTGCCCCGCTGACTGTAAGACTGTAGAACCGCGAGGAAAGTCGGGGTGCCAATGTCGGGCTTGCGCCGAACAGACAGAGAACATACGGAGACGAGAAGGAGGATCCGTATTATCTCCAAAATTGAGGCCAAAGTACGCGTTATCATACCTGCTTCCCGTGATTCTCCTCACGACAATACAGGACATTCATCCTTGCCGCGGGTTGGGCTCTTGTCGCGTACCTTACCTACAAGGCGGTGACGGCCGAGGTGGAGAACAAGGTGTATGACCCCTTCGAGATTCTGGGTCTCGGGAGCGTAAGTCGTGCAGACCAAGCTGCGCGCATACAATCCTCACTCGATTGATATGTAGGGTGTGGACCTCAAAGCAATCAAGTCGCATTACAAGAAGTTATCCAAGAAGTTGTGAGTACGTTGACATGTTATCATACATCGTGTCCTCATTGTGTATCACAGCCACCCCGACAAAGTGAAGTTGGGAGTGAATGAAACTATGGAGATGGTCGAGGCAAAATTCGTGGAGATCACGAAAGCTTACAAATCGTGAGACCTGTCTTACTATGTACTGACTGTGAACTGACCGTCATCCGTAGCCTGACCGATGAAACTATCCGGAAGAACTGGGAGCTGTATGGTCATCCCGATGGCCGGCAGGAGGTGTCTATGGGCATTGCGTTGCCGAAGTGGATTGTGGAGAGCGGCAACAACATTTGGGTCCTTGGCGCATATGGTCTCTTGTTCGGCGGAGCTCTGCCTGCTCTCGTGGGCCGCTGGTGGTTTGGCAACAGGGACAAGACCAAGGATGGTGTGAAGGCTCGCAGTGCGGAAGTCTTCTTCAAGACCCTCCAAGAGGAGTCTAGCATTGATGACGTCGTGGCCGGATTTGTGAAGGCATTTGAGTGGGAGCGCCCAAAGGCTACCGTTAGCAAACGCGAGAGTGAGGTGGACGACCTCGAGCAGCAGATCAAGGAGCGTCTCAATGGCAAGTGGACTGAACTTAGCAAGCTGGCCGATGCGATGCCGGGCGAACATGAGACGCGTCGTCGAGCATTCATTCTCCTCTACGCACATCTTCTCCGCATTCCAATCCGCAATGCGTCGCTGCGTCAAGGTAAGCAACTCACAGCAGAGATGGAAATTCACTAACTGTATGCGCAGAGCAAGCCGACCTTCTGCTGCAGACGCCGACCCTGCTCAATTCCATGCTCAACATCAGCGTCTCCCGCAACTGGCTCCAGCCGACTCTTTCTGTGATGCGCCTTCACGCTTACCTCGCTCAGGCAATACTGCCCGGTCAAGACCACCTCAGGCTCGCTCAGTTCCCTGATGTCAGCCCGGACGAGGCTGCGACGCTTGCCCCGCCTGAGGGTGCAAACACAGACGCCGTGACGGAGCTCATCGAAACCCTGGAGCAGAGGTCAGATGTTCGCGCGTCTGAGGTCAGGAAGGCCGCACAACGTTGGGGAAGGGTTGAGTTGGTCGATGCAGCACTCCGCGTGTTCGGCGAGCGATGCATCACACCGCAGGCGTACATCAACATCGTTCTCAAGCTCCGGCTGTCCCCGCCTGGTGCGCCGCACGCGAACGGGGATGCGCAGACAGATGGTCGGAGTGAGGAGCAGAGGGAGGAGGAGTTCCTTGCGGGCAAGACAGATATGGAGGATCTTCCAGGCGACGATGGCGTCAGCTATGCGCATGCACCATACTGGCCCGCAGTAAGCTCCGTCTTTTCACGCACGAGAACCTGCTTGACTGACAATCTCGGCAGCATCGCAAGCCCAGTTGGTGGGCAGTCATGTCGGACGCACGGAGCAACAAGATTATGATCGCGCCCATGAAGATCTCCGACATTCCCATGGGCCCTCAGTACCGCATGTACAGGCAGCAGTTCCAGGGCCCGCCGCAGTCGGGTCTCAACCGGTGGCGGCTGCATCTGATAAGCGACACCTTCATTGGCGAGGAGCTCGTTCATGACATGGAGGTACGTAACCACGCTTCACTCGTGATGTGGGTCAGATCTGACATGCGATCTACAGTGGAAGGTAGAGGACCCATCCGTAGTGAATGTAGTGGAGATGGAGTCGGAAGACGAGATCTCCGAACCCGAGGAGGACTCGCTCGCAGGCCAGATGGCGCTGATGCGCGGTGGCTCCGTCAAGCGACAAGAGGACGGGAGCGACGATGAGAGCACGACGGACGACGATCGTGACGAGGACGCAGAGTCGTCGAGCAGCAGCGATAGCGATTGAGCGTTGGTGTCGTCGTAGTGTATGGAGGATAATGGCGTTGACGGTAGGACGGCAGGACAGGATCGGTTCTCTGCGTGGCTTGTTCGATGTATTTATTCTCTTTAGTAATTCTGGTTTCGTCGACACTCTGACAAAAGACAACATCACCATCGATAGTGGTTAACCCTGTATGCGAGATGTAGGTGCGCACTTGTGTCCCGGTGAGGTACAGCGGAGAATGCTGGTCTACGAACTACCGTTGGTGCAGCGAGTCAAGCTGGTCAAGCCTGACATGTCTTCGACGCCTAGGTCACCGAACGCACTTGGGCTCGGGTCGTTGGTTCGATTAAACCGCTCGCAATATTTGCTGCCTCTGAATCGGGCTGTTGGCGTAGATCGTCCCGGAAGTATTCGTACCAGTTGGTAGTACTGCAAGTGATTCTCCCCACGGACGATCGAAGTACGCGGCCACATTATCGAGTTCCAGAGTAATGAATAACGTTGACTGGTGGCATTATGCATTGACGGTAGTACATGGAACCAACATTGAAAGGGACGTGCAGTATATCAGCGGATACAAGACAAGGAGCGACTGGATACAATTGTAGCAAACCGGACAGTAACGAGCGACTCGGATGGGGCCAAATTGGAATTGATATGTAAAACAATCAAAGCAACGATGAAACGTTACATAGAGAGAGAGCGTACAATGATAACGAGTGCACGGAAATGAGTCGATGTGTGGTTGAACGGCGATGGATGAAAGATCAACGAAGCTGCTACACCTTGACGTCTTCATCGTCCGATGTGAAAAGTCTGTCTCCTGGAGTAGCCGAGTCCGAATGCCCCAGGCGACGGAAGAGCGCCATCCCACCCGGTCGACTTCAAGAGTCTCGACGTCCTTACGATGTTGGCATGCCTGTGGATGGCGGCCCGGACGCGACTGATCCCCGTAGAGAGTTCGCTCCATAGGGCAGATCGACTCCTGTCGCCGGCGAGGGAATCCTGCACTCCGACATCGACGGGGAATACAACGGATAAGGTCTTGCACCAGAGTAATCGGCCTTCACGCGCTGTGTGAACGTCGCCAATTGCCCGGGGTCGATGTAGAGTGACCAGTCCATCATGGTGCAGAATTCGACCTCTGCCCGAAGCAGGTTTCCGACCGTGAGCCACTCTCTCCTCGTCGGGTTGACGGCCCTGACCAAGCTGGAACTGTTGTACCACTTGTCGCAGAGGATTTTACTCGCGACCAAGAATGCTGTCAGATATATATAGTGCGCGGTGGCCATCCAATATGGAACAGCATTCAAACCCAAGGCCCGGGCCTTGTCCGTAAACTTGCTTCGGAGCCGATGTATGAGTAGCAGGGCCCCGAAAGCAATAGATTCGTGCAACTTTGTGCGATGCAGGAGGTTAGAAATGAAGATTTGCAAGACAGAAAAACGCCTCTCGGCTAGCGAGCTTGAAGACGCTGTAGCAGGGCCTGATGAACTTGTTGCGCTTGAGTTGGCGTTCGCAGCAGCTTGACCCTGTGGCTGCTGGCCGGTCGCACCCGCCGGAGAGAATCCAGGCTGGTCTGCGGAACCGTAGCCAGGCATGCAATGGGTAAGAAGAAAATTAGCCCCAAGGCTCCCGAGAACCCTAGTGTCTTCTTCCGCTCGCCATTCTGTCTGGTAACAATTCGTTGTGATTAATTATGAATGCGTCTGCAGAAAGATGGAAACTTACAGCGGAGATGTGAACGCCATGTTCCTGAAGGCTCTCCTGCGATGAACTCCCAGAATCGGTATCGACAAGCACCTCTTGGCAAGACTTCGTAGTAGGTCCAGACCGAACCGTACTGCATTGGGACGATTTGTCGGCTTCCGCACGTGCGTCTTCTGGAGGGCCAGTAATGGATGCCAAGTCAGCCGCTAAGACGCTCCCTGGAGGGTAGGTAGGTAGCGGGCGGCATGTCCATGGAGGATTTTCATTAGCCGTGCGAGTGCGTGAACCTTGTCTCGACACGGGTCCGTCGTCGGGCGAGGGCAGAATATTATTGTGCGTATGGGCTGCAACCGGAACAGAGTTGGCTTTCGGCATAGGCATCTTCGTGGACCGGGTGATAGAACTTGTGGGCGGGCGTCTTCAAGATGGCAGAGGCAGGTTGCTGAGGCTCGAGACCCCGGGGCTCGCATCAAGTACTTGTGCGTTGTCCTATCGATCTGGGCCACACGATGCCACTACGATGCCACATATTCGGTGGGTGGGAACATCCGTGAATGGTATCGAGATCAGTGCCCATTATGGCAAAAACTCGCCATCCCAAAATGGCTATCCTTGTATAGCAGTTGCTTTCATCTTCGATCACTGACAACCACACTCAACGTGGCAAGCCTATCGTCGCTGTGTAAGCATGTTTCAGTGTAGAACAATGGACGATCAAACTCAACTGATTGGCCATTGATTGAGCAACATGGCAAGGCAAGGCAACCATGGTGAGCGGAGTATGAGATCGAAGACCCGGCTCGCCGGCACTACTCACTTAGGCAGGCATAGCCATCAGCACAGCTGTTTCGGAAACCAAAAAAAATTCCGCGCCTCGAGTTGCTACGTGAGACTGCGTCACAGTCCATGATACTAGCGCTCTGCGCCTTCGTGCATCCATTTTAGTACGCACATTGGATTGCCTGCCCAGTTCACGAGCGATGTACCTAACTACTGCGTTATAGAGCACCAATGTAGCAGAACTTGAATGGACTCAGTTTAGATGCGAGCGCGACCATAGCTGCCCGAAGCGGCCGCAAGATGGTTGCGGTTCAAAAGTAGGCGCCTTCAGATACCGATCTGCGCAGTTCATCGGCGGGTGGCGGTGGGCGTTAGTGTGGCTACTATCCACCATCACCTTCGACATCGCTCCGAAGTAGCACTTCGAGACTGAGAGCCACTCTAGATCATTGGGGTTCGATGTCAGATGGATTCCTATCGTCAAGAGCCTCTTCGTCCATTGGATAGTCTTCCAGTATTGTCTCTCTCAGGCTGAAGGTATGTCGCTGAGTCTGCCACGCATGATGGTCATATAGCTATGACTTCACGTACACTGCAGAAGCGTAGCGTCGCACTGACGCTCTCATTATACAGGGATAGCATCGAAATCATACACGCCAGTAAATCGCTCTCAGGGACAATGGACATATCATCTCTAGCGGCACTGTCAGCTTCGCCTACGTCCTCTTTTCCATATGCTCAACCCGAACTCCCGACGCTGCTCGTGGCACTGTCTTTCTTATTCTCCCTCAACATACTCCGTATCGGCGCAGATCTGGCTTTCCATGCTGGACTGGTAGCGGAGCTCTTTCTCGGCATGGTCTATGGCGCGCCGCTGGCTGGCATCCTTCCAACAAACTGGGAGGCAACGTTCAATGTTTTGGGGTACATCGGACTAGTGTGCATCATATTTCAAGGTCAGTATATGCTGCTTGTGAGGTTCTCGCGGTATACAGAACATCCCTCTGATCTCGCGGACGTCATGATGCATAGGGGGCCTCTCGACGAACCTATCCTTGCTATTGTCCAATCTGCCCCTGTCTTGCGTCTGCGCTCTGACTGGGATTGGAATACCCATAGCACTTTCGATAGCACTTCTCACTGCAGGCTACGGGTACTCTCCGTTGGAAGCATTCGCCGCAGGTGCAGCTCTCTCCTCGACAAGCCTGGGAACCACCTTGGCCGCCCTGAATAGTGTGGACCGCCAACAGACCTCCGCGGCCCGCATGGATCCTAAACTCGAGAAACGAGCAGAACGTATGCCATATGTTCTCTGTGACGATACCTGTGCCTTACTTCGAGCTTGCAGAATTCCGAGAGATGCCCCGTGACGCTGGACCTGCCGAAGAGACGTCAGGAAGCCAGGCACGGATGCCACTATCCGAGCCCTCTGCAACGATCTCAGCACCACCTGCCTTGCAGCAGACTAGGATCGGTACCGTGCTCACAAGCGCTGCTATCATTGATGATGTAGTCGGCCTTGTCATCGCCGCTCTCATACCGGCGTTGGCAAACTTGGAATCGCCATCACCATCCAAGCCAAACCTCGCATGGACCCTCATACGACCTCTGCTTTCCTCTCTTTTGATTGCCGTCATCACACCTGTCGCGGCGTGTTTTGTCTTACGACCAGTCTTCTGGTTTCGTGGCTTCGGCGAGCGGTGGTGCGCTCCCCGACGTGTAGGCGAAGAATGGGGCCGCGGACGTCTGTTTTCCGGGACCGATTGCGGGCCCGAGTCTCACGCGGATTTGGTCAAAATGTCCATCATGGTCTGCGTGCTTAGTGCGTTTCTTGCAATAGCATATTGTGAGTGACCCGAGTCGCTTCAAGCCTGACAGAGGCTCACTAGCAGATTCTCAGACACGGGGAGCAGTATGCTCTTCGGAGCCTACATGGCAGGCCTAACCTTGTCCTATCTCGTAACACCGCCGCGAGAAAGCTCTCATGCCCAGGATCAGCCTGCCATCCCACCGGAGGACAGGGCCGCTGCGCTATCCTTTGCGTTGGCGTATGCGCGCACAGTCGGTCCATTGCAGGAGTTCGTGTTCGCCCCTATCTTCTTTGCTAGCATCGGCTATGCCATCGTAAGAGTCTACGAACCTCTGTTGGGTTTCTCGAGCTAAGACGTGTTACATGCACAGCCGTTTCTATTGTTATGGAGACCGGCGATTCTCTGGAGAGGTGTGCTCTACGCCGTTCTCATGTTTCTAGGCAAGCTTGCAGCCGGGCTGCCAATCATGTTGTGGTCCGTTCTGACTACCCGTGGCCATGGCTGTAACCAAGACGCAGACGCGGCACCGGCCGAGTCTCCAGCTTCGCCAACTCCCCAGCTGGATGGCAATCTCACCACGTCTACTCGTGATCGCTTGCGAGCGTCGATGTATCCTGCAGCTTTCATGGGCATCGCGATGGTCTCTCGGGGCGAGATTGGACTACTGATCGCGCAGATTGCCCGTAACGGATCTTCCACGGGAGGGTCGGCGGAAAACGGCTTGCTGAGCGAGGAGGGATTCTTGGTGTGCATATGGGCCATTCTCCTGTGCACGTTGGTGGGGCCCATCTGCGTAGGGATTATTGTACGGAGATGGCGGTCTCGTGTCACTGCTGGTATCTGGGCGTAGGCCCCGATGCCGCGTTCTGGTGCAGCGACGTCCAATAGAGTAGCCGTTCTTCGTGTCACCATCTGTTCCAACCTGTAGAGTTCATCCACACGTACCCCAAAAGACGCCGTATAGCACCGAGTGGCGACGGTAGCAGGGTTGATAGAGTTGGATGTAAAATTTTGGAGTGCGATGTGGGGGAAAGGGTTTGTAACTTCAAGTTCGAGTAGCGAGGAAGACGCGGGTAAAGCCCCTACGAGCTAGACCATTCAGACAACCTTTACAGGCGCCATGGGGTTCTCGCGAACTATCGTCGTCGGAACTGCGCTGCGCTGCGGCCGAAATCCAAGAACGACAACGGTGATAAGGTGCATCCATACGGCGACCACTGGCACAAGGAGAAGGACCCGAGTGAATAATCACTACAGCGCGCGACGAGCACGAGGAAGTTGCGCCGATCCTACGTACCTGTCTGCCGTCTAGTATGAGAAAGCCATAATCCCAGACTGCTACTAGTCTGGACGATATTCGGCACTGAAAGTGACGAGCATTGCGATTTCCTGCGCGCTCAGATAAGCGACTTTTGCGTATAACACGTCCGCGCGTTGCGAACCACGGCGGCGGCGACCCCCAGTGGGAGCCTGGATCTGTAGCTGTCGGACCCCAGCGCCGCTGTGCAGACAGCTATCAGAATGCGCTCTGGAGAAGCATAGCAACGAGTTGGCAACGAGGACGAGAACGACTGGAACTGGACATGTCTGTCTTGCCATTTCCGTGACACATGACGTGGAGCACTTCATTTCAGCGCGTCCGTCTTTAAGCAGGCGCACTGTGGACGGACCAAAGGTACCGGTAACTTACGGGCGTATATGAATGTTCGAGCCCGCGAAGTGACCGAGTGAGAGACGGGCTCGAGAGTCAGCGAAACTTTGCTGTCAGCGGTACCTAGACTGGCACGCATTCCGACTCTGGCGCGGGCGGTCCGAGCCAGTCCGTGCTTCGATGACATGAGAGTCAGGCAATGTTATGCTAGCTTTTCTTGGTCTGCAGCGGTCTGTCGTCAGACTCGTCAACCGCTCGTCAGGGTGCTGCAGACCGTACTCAACGCGAGCGACATCTGTCGCTAGCACTTTCAATAAGTGACGTACCGATAGTTGAGCCTGGATGCTAGTCCCGTTATATTCTGGTTGCATTCAAGCAGGGTCCTAACCGGGGCGGTAGGGATTCGGTTACTCTGGAACGGTATGGACTGTCCACAACGTTTCGTCAAGAGACGTCGGGCGTGGGCGTAAACCTGCGGATTGCGACCTACGGCCCAGATACCGTTAGTTTTGATAAGCTGCCGAAAATCATTAAGGCTAGATGACCAGCTGGGACTATCTGGTAGATACAACATTCGAAGGAGTCAACGGGTCGGTCAAGACTCAAGAATCTGGGAGCGTGTCCGAGCCGGCAGCTACCGGCAGGCAAGGGCAGGCACGAATCTTGGACGCGTCAAATCTGGATCTGAGATTGGCACGTGGCACTTTGATCTCTCAGCCACCGCTCACCCACGCGGGAACCTGAGCAACTTCGAGCAATCTACTCCAGCACCAGGCGACATGCATCCTCAGAGCTACTGGAGGAGACGTACGTGTCCATCCAATCTCTCATGTGCAATATGTGCTTTTGTCAGGACTCAGCCTATCTAACCCGACGAAATCAGGGTTCCCCCACGGTGGCCCTTCAATTCACTACTCAAAACATGAGAATCCGGTCTGCGAGAGGAAAGTGGTTCACATCAGAAAACTGCCGCATACTGTGGGGAGAGCCGCGAAATGGATGCCTACTGGGACTGGATTGACTATACCGCTAGAGAGACCTATGACTCGAGTCACTAGCAGACTCCTCAAGTTATAGTTCGCATCTAACACCCTTGGGTCACACTTTGGCGCGATACGTCCATTCACTCGATTATTACTCTCATTCTCGTTCTCTACAGAACAGGGGTATGTTCTGACACGGCTCATTATCCGCAGCATGGATAGGGACTCAGAGTGACGTCTATGTCGAATCGTCGAGCGCGCCTGATGGTGAGGTATCTGGGAGCTCATATCTGAACCCTCGATGACAGGCTATCCATCCGGGGTATTCTGCAAGGCGGCGGTATCTCCGAGTCGTTGATGTATCCGCCTAGGCCTGAGACCCAGGCCGAGTAGTCTCAGGTGCGTCATTATACTTCTTGACCTTTATTACTACATTACTTTTGGCCGCAGGGAACATGATCTTGGGCGCCTTACAAATGCTTACACGTCAACCCAAGAGTTGCACCTGTGTGCGGGAGTGTGCGCGTGGGATCCTCGTCGAAAGCATAGCTTATATCTCTTCTATCCCTGGAAGTGTATCTCAGGTGCACTGCTGACGTGGCGAGGAAGCAGCAAACGGCCTGCCTCGAAATGGACATGCCGATCAGTGACATTTGCGCAGGTGGACTTGATTCAGGCGCCGGACGACCCTGAACGAGCGCGAAGGTACCATCTGGAAATCTTCCTCCGCAAAATGTACGTTAACACTCGTTCCGCCTCGGAGCCAGCGCGCAGAAAAGGCGTCCGGTCGCCAATTCTCAATTCCCCATCGTGTATGCGCCCATGAAGTCATTCAGAAGGGCTCGTACAGCCGAGCGGCTCCGCGTCGGCCATGCTCGCAGTATTGCGAAGGGGAGGAGAGTTCGTGCGTCGCGAGATTCTCTCCCTGTGCAGAACGCGTATAAAAGCACGGCCCTCTGTCCAGCAGTGCTCATCAAACCACCACTTCTCCTTCACTCACAACAACAGCGCAAGCTCCTCTACTAACACTCAGTTACCCAATCTATTATGCCTGGCCTTACTACCCTCCCGCCATTCCCCGACAACGTTCCCACTCATGCCCTCCTGATCATTGACTACCAGCTCGTGAAGGCTGGCGACCAGGAAGAGATTGATAAGTTCTGGAAGGCCGCGACGACGCTCGGCTTCTGGTAGTAAGTACAGTATTCACTGTGGTTTGCGAGGCGTCTCTCATAATCGTGGTACTCTAGCTTGAAGAATCACGGTGCAGATGAACTAGTCACCCAGATGTTTGACATGGGCTCCGAGACCATGGATCTACCCTTCGAAGAGAAACTGAAATTCGAGCAAGGCGACAGTGGCATGTCATTTGGGTATGTGTCGTCCCCACTATCAGCCCGTGCCATACGCTGACGCGATTGTGGCAGATACAAGGCACCCGGTGCTAATGCGACTGACGAGACCGGCGCACGCGACACGGTCGAGTTCATCAACATCTCGCAAGACGATGCGCTCGCCTGGCCAAAACCCGTGCACCGTACCTACCCCTCCACCGTCAACGCCCGCATGGAGCACACCATCCGCCCCTTCGTGCAGCACTCCGCCGAGGTGAACCTCGTGCTCATGGAGGTCCTCGCGAAGAAACTCGGGTTCAGAGAAGGGCTCCTCGCGGAGCAGCACCGGCTCGACGAGACCAGCGGGAGCGAGACGCGCTGCATCAAGAACCCCCCTCGCCCTGGCGGGATCTCCGAAGAGAAGGCGGCACTCGGTGCGCACACCGACTTCGGCTCCATGGTAGGACCTTCGCATTTTGGAGACTATGAGGGTGACTGAAGTATCTCCGTCGCCTATAGACCTTCCTCCACAACCGACTCGGTGGCCTGCAAGTCATGCCCCCAGGCTCTGACAAGTGGCAATACATCAAGGTACGTCCGTTTGACTGGTGGAGTGCGCGACAGCACTGACTCTACTGGCAGCCAATCCCGGGACACGCCGTCTGCAACCTCGGCGACGCTATGTATATCTTCAGCGGCGGGATCCTCAAATCGAATCTACACCGCGTCGTGTAAGTGCCAAACGCCACATCAGTCAAAGTCGTTCCCCCGCTAATCATATGCGGATCTTTTCTCGCACCCGCAGCCCCGCCCCCGGCGCTCAGGCGGCCCTCCCGCGCTGGTCGCTCGCGATGTTCACGCGCCCGGGCGACAGCGTCGTCCTGCGCGCGCTGACGGAGGAGAGCGAGATAGTTGCGGACGCGGTGAAGAGCGCGGAGGACACGAGTGTCTTCGAGAACAACCAGACGAGCAAGGAGTGGTTCGCGAGAAGGATCAAGTATCAGCGCAGTAAGAACCAGAAGGTGAGGCGCCTCGCGGTGACTTTGCTGAAGCGATTGGACACTGACTGTACCCGTTGGACTAGGGTCCGGAGACCTGGCGCCAGAGTCGCGGGACTGAACATCGTCCTGATGCTGCTTGAGGGGTAACCACGACATGTGAACAGAAGTCTCGGCTTGACGGATGGACATAGACGTCTTAGCGTGTACGAATGGCATGTATCTTACGATCATATACTAAGTTCAGTCAAGCAAAAATGTACTTATCACGCAGCCCAGAGGCCTCGCTACCGCAGAAGCGTGCCCTGTCTAGGATTGCGTGACTTCAGACGCCCAAGGTCAGGCAACGGTAGATCGGAAAGGACCTGACGGGCAGTGCACATTATGTATTAGACGGCAGGAGATTCATGACGAGCTCAGGTAGGTACATATACAGTGCGTCTTATGGTACGAGGAATTGCTGGGAGTCGATGGAAATACGGATGGGCAGAACGTCTATGTTTTGCCGCAATCACGGACTAGCCGGAATGAACGCGCCTTCGGAAGCTGTCAACCACCTGTTCCGTCGTGACAGGGGAGCTTCACTCACCGATGCTGTCAACGAGCAACCGCTGGGACTCGCGCAAGGCCCATGCTTCGTGCTCGAGCAGATCTTCTGGGTCTTTCCAGGACACGTCGGCTGTGTCGTATTTTGCCCTGGGTACATGGTCGATGACGTATACATGCGCGGGGATGGCTTGAGGGATGCTCGAGTCGCTCGCGAGGATGAGCTTTACGAGCATGTGGTCGGGCTCTAGCGGTTGGTCGGATACGTGAGCGATCTCACTGATAGTCAATGTTTGAGGATGATGAGCGAGACAGTCAGTCTGAGGATTTCTGAGGAGATGAACGCACGAGATCATGATGGCGGCGACATTGACTTTCTTCGCCTTCTTCTTGGTCAATTGGCTGGCACACAACCGCTCGACGAGCTGAACTACGTTTGCGTATCCGCCTGCGATACGCGGCTTGTCACAGAAGATGAGGCGCATACCCGCTCTGGGGAGGTCATAGAAATAGTAGGGCGGTGTGTTGTTGAGTTTGTGGTCCGCCTTCGGACGCCCTGTAGGTGGGGCAGCCCCTAAGTCACCGAAGACCGTCATTCCACCGGCGAGGCTGAGGACCATCTTGGACCGGCCTGAGGCAGAGGTGTACGTTGGGCGTATGCGTAGGTTTGCTAGTGGCAGGCGCGACGATCTGAACAATACTGAGCAATGTCCTGGAGCTCACCTTATAGCAGTCCTGAACATAGATAGCTAACCGACGTAGGCCGCCCAGTTGATGGTGGTCAGTTCCTGTTATGGCCAAGTCTGCTGTGGGTCAGGACGTCGTCCCCGCAAGACAATAAACTGTCTATTGTTTGCACAGCGTCCGGCGGGTTCCATATAGCGGTAGTGACGCGCCAAGTCATGTTTCGAGTCAAGGAAAGCATGGGCGCACCAGCCGTAGCACCGATCGGAAGTACTCATGATCATCTTGTTTCTGACCAACTCAACATTGAATGTCTGAGTGTGTCCCGCTGCGGCTGTGACACCGGAAGTACTCCACCTCCAAGTTTTGCGATTGCCAACAGGAGATAGAGGTGCAGATACAAGTTTCAGTCCGATTGTGTAGGTGAAGGAGAGGCTCAGCCTGCGAATGTGCGTGCACAAAGGATGGGCTAAAGGTTGGCTAAAGGTAAGTAGAAGGACTCGACGGAGAGGCGTGGCCCACGGCGGCGCTGTACCAAATTGGAAACCCCGAGTTTCTCGGAGTTTGTTCTCACGTACAACACGACCGTTCGTGTTGCAGTGACTTGAAAGTTGAGTACGTTGAGTTCCTACTGTCACTGACTTGCGTACGAACTTGTTTCGAGTGCGCAATCACTACAATCGCTACTTTTTTTGCACTACATGGATGTACCGTTATGTACGACTGCAGACGAAGAGACTGTACAGCATTCGCTATATAGCACCGACGAGGCCGGTTGCTATCGCCAAATTGAGGCTCAGTTTACCGTCGTTGCAATCAGGGCATAACTTCGACCGAGAACCATGACGACCGAGGCCGGAATCGCTGACCTATAATGAATTCACTGATGATTTTGAGAGGCAAGGCATAGACCTGGCACGGGCAACCCACGGGTAACCGTTCTTGATCCTTGTCCGCCATCCTCCTCTAGTGTATCCGCCAGGCGCGGCCTGCTCATACGACATTCTGAGCAATATGAGGCCGGCCTCGTTGCGCATACCGCTTTACTGTGTACTGGTAAGTGATGGATATTGATTACTTGGAGGGCCACTCAGTCGAGACGAACGTTTGATCCAGTGGCTGTTCTCTTTCATCCTCCTGGCGCTGGCGATCGCTCGCCTGAACTATACTCTTCATCTTCCCAAAGGAGATCCTCTCAATCATGGCGCTGATTTCTATGGTGGAGATTCTGTATTCTTGAGATGATTCTTGATACTGACGTTGGCGGATTACCCCTACTGTAATAGACCCTGTGGTCGTAGAGCTTCTAGTCGACTCTTTTCTTGCGTTTGCATTCGTGCCGTTCGTGTGAGCACAACCCATTTCTGACGTTAATCTCAACCACATGCCCATCTGGGAACAGATTTAACTTCCTCGACCGCTTCCTCAATCACAAGATCTCCAAGGCGGTCGTAGAGGTTATAGCACTAGCCATCCTCTGGCTACTCTGGCTGATTGGGTGTGGTATCGCCACCGTACGTCCCACCGTTCTTCATCACGAGCTATTCATTCTTGACACAAACCCTCTTGGTTGGTGCGCAGAGCATCTGGCCCAACCTCACCTTCTGCTACAATTTCACCACATGTCGCGTCCTCGCAGCGATGACAGCGTTCGCATGGCTCGGCTGGCTCACTATCTGCGCCCTGCTCGTCGTCGGCTTTTTCTCAGTCTTTGTGAAGCAGCGAGACTCCGACCTCGGGAGCAGCGACGGCATGGTCGAATGGGCGCGAGGTGTACCAGCGGGGTCGATCCCGTAAGCACGAATGACCATATGCACCCTTCTGTTTCTCAGCTCGGACTGCTCTCACCCTCGGACCCTCGCACTCTTCATACGTTACGTTCTCACGAACTCTTGCTGTCTGTAGAATACCCACTACGCCCTATGTATGTGTCTGTCTTTTGCCGTCGTTTACAACTCCACTCTATCTCGACGATACGCCTCCGGAGAAAGGATGCCGCTCACGAGTTGGTCACAAGAAGCGTCGTGTTCAGGTACGTCGTGTCGGACGTGCCCACCTTCACGGTGAAATTTCCCGGCTCGACGACGTACCGGTTATCGAGCGACCATAGAGCGAGCTGCGTCGAGTTGATCTGCATCGTCACTGTCTCCGAACCGCCCGCACTGCGCCCAGCATCATGGTCAGTATCTTGCAATCCATGCAGGATGCAGCGAGGGAACTCACGGGATGAACACTTTGGTGAAGCCGGCCAGAAATTGGTTCGGGGTCACAACGGAGCTGACCTGGTCAGTGACATAGACCTGCACGACCTCCTTTCCGTCCACACCACCCGTGTTCTCGACGCTGACCGTGACATTGAAGTCATCCGTCGTCCCAATAGCATACGAGGAGAGTTCCAGATTCGTACTGAACAGGGTAGATCAGCCGAAGTGCCGTTGTACGCTCTCAGCGAGCAGACCTACTAATTGAACGTCGTATAGCTTAGCCCGTGGCCAAAGCTCCATATCGGCTGCGGTGTATCCAGAACATACTAAAAGGTTTTACCAGTAAGTTACACTTGTTCGAACGCTCGCCTGAGAGCGTACCTGATGACCGAAGACAAGAGTTCCGTTCGGTGTCACGTAGCCAGCATCGACTGGTCGTCCGTCCTTGTAGTAGTTGTAGAACGCGGGTGCAGTGCCGACGCTCTGCGGGAACGACACAGGGAGCTTACCTATGCAGTGTGAGCATGGTCTAATCAGGCGAATGAAGAGGCGTAGCATACCAGACGGGTTCGCCACTCCAAAGACGATCTCGGCGATAGCAAGCCCACCGAGTTCGCCATAGTAAAACTGTTGTATCACTGCATCCGCATCTGCACAAGCCCATTCAATCCAAGCCCAGGCTCTTCAGACGAACAACTCACTTGCAGCGATCCACGGCTCCGCCACCGGCTTCCCACTAACAAACACCACCACCGTCGGCTTACCAGTCCCCACCACCGCCTCGACCAACGCCCTCTGTGCTCCTACCAGCGCCAAGCTGCTCAAATCGACATGCTCGCCCGTCGTCGCGTTCGTGCCCGGCTCCCACAGGAGCGTCTGGTCGAGGCTCCACGTGCCGACCATGACGACCGCGACATCGGACGCCTCCGCCGCCTCGATGGCCTCAGGGAATTGCGACTCGTCGTTCGACCAGAGCTCACAGCCCTGCGCGAAGTTGAGCGTGGGCGGGTCGGACGGGAAGATGGAGGTGTTGGCGAGAAGTGAGGTGAAGCCTTGGAGGGGCGTGAGTGCGTTGAGGGTTGCGTTGTGGAAGACGTAGTCGCCGAACTGCGGCGGGGTGTCAGTGTGGGTCTGCGGGTGAGAGGAGATGGAGCCGTACGGTGACGCGGTTGACTTGTGGACCGATCAGAGCAATTGAGCTGATGTTCTTGCTAACAGGTAGCACGTTGTTACGGTTCTCGAGGAGTACGATTTGCTCCTGCTCCATCTGGTGCAAGATTTCACGCGTCTCTGGCGTGCGCAGCGTTGACAGGTAGTCAGCGTACGGGTACGGGTCTAGTGCCAGACGGTCAGTAGATATGTAAGGAGCTGGACTGAGTAGCTCACTCTCGAATATTCCCAGCGCAAACTTGGTCCTCAGCACTGTCTTGACCGTCTCGTCGATATAGCTCACGTTTACAGTTCCTGCAGCCACTTGGTCTGTTCAAAGTACGTTCTCACATCAGTTCCTCACATGGAAGGCCAACGACTAAGCAGATACTCACCAGGCAGAGTCAAGTAAGTGTACGTCCCACCGCCCATCTCCATCTGCAACCCATTCTCGAGCGTCTGCTGCGCGACGCACTCTCGGTCCGCACATGTGTAGTGCCATGTCATGAGCAGGTCGGGTGAGCCCGCGTCTGTAGTGACAAAGTAGGGGTATTGCCACTCTTCCCGCAGCTGGCATGCGCGTGAGTGCGCATTTGGTATCATGCAGAGGCATACGCACAATCTCGGTGAGAATATCTAGAGAAGAGAATGTTGAGACACGAGTGCATGGCACGGAAGAGCGGACATACGGTAGCTCGAGATAACAGGGACGCCGTCGTAGCTCGCATACGCGCTCATAAGGCTCAGTGCTGTCGATCCACCCTCGATGGCAGGGTTGCTCGCTGCACAGGCGCGGTCGAAAGGCTTGAGATAGTACGTGCGGAGTTCACGTTCACCGCCCGAGACTTGTGCCAAGTTCCTGCCCGGCACGAGCGCGTCAAGTCAACGATTCGCCCAAGATTGCGCGCCAATATAAGACTTACAAGCCTCCTTGAGGTGACCCGTAGGCGGTGAAATGTTTGCAGGTTGCCGCGATCCGCGCGACAGCTGTGTCGCTCGTATTCCTTCTCCTACCGGTTTGCACTCCTCGCACATATGCGGCGCCCATCTCCCCCGTGCTACAGTGCAGTTCAGTCCGGATGCCCTGTATTGTTCACTCATCATACACGTACAGGAAGGGATCCTCCCCGAAGTTCTCCTCGACGCGCCCCCACCGGAGCTCACGCGAGAGGTCGAGAACCGGGGCAAAGAGCTGATGGAAGCCCAAGCCTTCTGCTTCAGAGCCGATGGTCTCTGCAGCGGCTTCGAGGAGAGGTGGGTTGAACGAGGCTGCAAGGCCGATGGGTGAGGGCCAGATAGTGCCATTGTTCGTGAAGCCATGCAGGCCTACATCGAGTGACCAGCGTCAGCAAATAGGTAGCATGCATGTGGGCGGATGAGCATGCAATACCTTCCGACTGAACGATCCCGGGTATACCAAGGGTGGTGTTCTCCATCAGATACTGCTGCCCGACTGTGATGCCATATACCCATTTGTCCCAAGGCATGAGATAACCGCCCCAGATTGCACCAGCTTTGTACGTGAGCTCCTCAACCTGCGAAGGTAGTGCAGATCAAGTATCAGTGGTGCAAAAATGATGCATTATACCAGTACTTACGAGGCCGGACGCATTGTACGTCTTCGTGTCGTCGTTTGGATCGGTGAGATTCATCCACCCATCGAGATCACCCTGAATTCTGCAAGCGAGCACTGTGGTTAGCCACCTTACAGCATTGTATTGACCAGGGGACATATACGCACAATTGAGCGACCTTCTCCTGGAGGGTCATTCGGAGCAGAAGATCGTCCACTCGATCTTCGATGGGCGCATTCGGGTTCTTGTAGATAGGGAGCGAACCATCAAGATTGGTAGCCCTCGCGTGTAGTGGGAAATGTAGGTCGCTTCGAACACCGAGATGCTCCACAACGTTGTCGGTGGTTCGCGCCAAGACCGTCTGCCAGCTTTGGAGTATTATCAGCAGACCCAGCAGACCCGCGAAGGCTGCAGTAGCACGCGTCGACGTCCTAGAATGCGCCATGTCCGCCGAAGACGCGTTTTTACCTCTAGAAACACACCGAGGCGTAGCGATCGACGTGCGACACGTCCTCCATATCTTTATAGTCGCGTTTGATCTATCGACGCGTCCATGAGAATAGGAATCATGGGAGCGAGTACGCGGACCGTCGGGCCCTGCTGATGTTATGGCTGGTCGGACCGCGGGCGGCCAAGCGGGGAAGGCATGGACAGACGACCTGCGCACTGCGAGTACGAACGGACGAGTTACCCCGAAATACTGCCATCTCGAAGAAGCAGTGATCTCGGTGTGAGAAGCCGTAGTTGTCATGCATATAGGCCATTGGACTTGGGAAGCTGAGCTATGTATATTGTCGTGGCGTGTATAAAGATCTTCCCTACCTACTGTTCGGTGAGCCTCACTCCAGCATAAGGCACAGCAGGTAGTACAGAAAGGCGGGGACGCCTCCTCGGGGCTAAGACCGTTCTGCAAGCCTGAGGTACAGAGCCGTGGGCCAGACGATCACTAGAGTTTCAACATTAACGGACGCACCATCGGCTGACAACGTAACTCTGCGTGAAGATTGTCAGGAGCAACAAACAAGGAAATATGTTGCAAAGCAGCCATCGAGTAACGCATATGCGCATGCAATTGCGCCGGTGTCGGCTGCGAGAATGAATCGAAGCACCGTGCATGAGTGGGTCAGCTGGCCGGACGGGGTATAGATAGCTAGAGACCTGAAGTTCTAAGCTCTTGAGCGCATGGGAAAGCATGAGATCAATCCATAGAAACAGCCCGAACCGACAGAGTAAGAGTGCATGTCAAGAACTCGAAGTCATGGTGCGGTACATAGAGGTCTACAAAGGAAAGTGACGAAAGTCGACGCTGCCGGCGGGGTCTACTACTCGATCATGTGACGTGCTTCCGTATATGGGCGTCTAATAATGCGGGGAAAGCTTCCTCTCCTTCTCACCCAATCTCACCCGCCTTCGCTCCTTCCGCCGCATTCCTACCTCGTAACGCGTGTTTCACGCGTAAAAGTGAGCTGAAATGGCTCATGTGAAGTGGAAGCTTGCTGTGGTGTCGGCAATCCTCACCACAGTCGTGCAAGCCGGACTTGACATACCCCCAGCATTCAAGGAACCCCCAAGTGATGAGGTCGACGCCGTGAACCCGTGAGCTGACCAGCGCCGGGGTGCTCGTCGAGGTACTCATAAGCTGGGTAGACTTATTGGCAATGGTGGTGACTCTCCCAATGGTTCGGGGGGCATGGTCCCGAGCACTGCACCACCCTTCGCCATGACACGTTGGACAGCGCAAACGGACCAGAACTACGTCTCCGTCACGCCCTATAATTACACCCACACCTCGATACATGGCTTTCAGGTATAGGCATACTATTCTTTGAGGCACAAATCATCGTACTCATACCCACTCGTCAGGGAACCCACCAACCCGCGATCTGGATGGGCGAGTCTGGTCAAGTCGTCGTGTCTCCAGGCCTCGGCACCGTCAAACCGGCGTTCGAAGACCGAGGGTTGGACATAGTGTACGATGGCAACGAGCGCATGGAAGCCGTCAGCGCAAATTACTACTCTGTCCTCACACAAACGACCGAAGCTGACGGCGGTGGAGTGCTCAAGACGGAGATGAGTGCCAGTGCGTCTCTAGCATATTGTCTCTGCTCCCTGATACTCATTATTGCTTGGCTATGCTGCAGCCTCGCGCGTCGGTCACCTCCGCTTCACCTTCCCTGCAAACGCCTCCTCGCCCTACATCTTCCTCGAGGCCACCCGCCCCTGCACGCTCGGCTCCCCCGCCTCGCCCACCGGCACCTGGCTCACCTATCCCTCAGGCCTGGTCAACATCGACCCCGTCAGCCAGGAGATTTGCGGGCGCAACCCCGAGCGGCAGGATGAGATTCTCGGCCCGAGTCCCGCGCCATCCTTTGCGGGCTACTTCTGCGCGCGTTTCAACACGTCGTTCAGCGCGTACGGAGTCGTTCAGAATGGCACAACTAGTGAGGGCGTGGTGAGCGGTGAGGGGCCTGTGCTGGGCGCGTATGCGGCATTCGAGGGAGCGCGCGTGGTGGATGTGCGCGTGGGCGTGTCTTTCATCTCTGTGGACCAGGCAAGGCGTAATCTGGAGAAGGAGATCCCGGATGGGACGAGTCTGGAGGAGACGTCGAAGGCGACGAGGGAGCTGTGGGTCGAGAAGTTGGGTAGAGTGAAGGCGGAGGGCGCGAGTGCAGACGAGATGGCGACGTTCTACACTGGGATCTTCCATACGCTGCAGGTAAGAGTGGTATTTGGTCGAGGGTGCATTGGGCCCGCACACTGACTTACACAATATGATAGTATCCGTACGAACAAGACGAAGATGGTATGTACTACTCTGGGTACGACGATAGCGTGCACGAAGGCGACTCGTACACGGGTTACTCGAACTGGGTGTGTCACTCTCCTATTATCTCATTATCTATGCTAAGTTTGCTATGTGACCGCAGGACACGTACCGCGCCGAGTGGGCCTGGCTGATTCTGCTCGCGCCCGAGCGCGTGCCCGGTATGGTCCGCAGTATGTTGCAGGACTACGTAGAGGGCGGATGGTTGCCCATGTGGAAGAATATCGTCGGTGCGTGCCTTGAATGAAACGACATATATCCGAGTCCGTTGACCAATGGTGCCACCTCCAGAGACGAACATCATGGTACGTCATCTGGTGTGGGTTAAGAGAGCTTATCAGTTATGCATGATATCCAGGTCGCCACGCATGCTGACTCACTTGTTGCGGAAGCGGTCGTGAAGAACATCACAGGCTTCGACCTTGACACTGCATATGCAGCTGTGTACAAGGATGCCACAGTACCGCCTGTAGATGACTGGACGATTTCGTGGGTTGCTCCTGCCTGAGACTGGGCTCTCCATTTACATGTAGGTTTATTACAGATACTACGATCGAGAGGAGGTACGAGGCTTCGCGACCTATCGATGTAGCAACGCCGATTGCCAAGCTAAACGCACATTAGGGCGTCGGATACGAAGTACGCGCAGGTCTCTCTAGTGTATACGACGAGACAGGCTGGGTCGCGAACGACATCCACTCCGAGTCCGCATCGCGAACACTCGACTACGCCTGTAAGCTACCCATGCTCACCATGCCCTCCAATGCTCACCGATATTATAAATTTATAATCATACAGATGACGACTGGGCGGTCGCCGCCCTCGCTGACTTCCTCGGGCACACCGAGAACGCGTCCTTCTTCCGGGCACGCTCACAGTCTGCGCCGTTCACGATTTTCAACAACGACACGGGCTTCATGGAGGCGCGCGATGCGAATGGGTCTTGGGCCGGCCAGGATCAGGGTTGGACGGAGGGCGACATGTGGGCGTACACGTTCGATGTCATCCAGGACGTGCCTCGCCTCGTTGAGCACCGTGGCGGCAATACAAGCTTCGTGGCGTTCCTCGATGAGCATTTCGATGGAGGGCATAATGATCACACCAATGAGGTGGGGTTGATTGCGAACGGATCAAGTCCGGGTGCTGATGTGATTGCCATGAGTAGCCGTCACACCACATCCCGTACCTGTATGCCCTTGCAGGTGCGGCGTCCAAGGGACAAGAACGTATACGCGAGGTTGCCGCTGCGAACTACAACTCAACTGTGGACGGATTGTCCGGCGTATGTCGCTCACCTTGGACAAGTAGACCATCTAGACACTCATGAGTTGTGCTGTAGAATGAAGACTGTGGCCAGATGAGCGCATGGTATATCTTCAGCGCGCTCGGCTTCTACCCGGTGGACCCAGTCTCGGCAACATACGTAGTTGGGACGTGAGTATCTTCTTTTTTATCTACTCGTTGCTTTTCTCATCGTTCCGGGCTCGTGCAGACCATTCTACGACAAAGTCACGATTTCCTTCCCCGACGCCTCCCAACCACTCGTCATCTCCGCACCCGGCGCACCGACCAAGCCCTACGTCAAGTCGCTCACCGTGAACGGCGAGGCTCTCTCACAGCCGATCATTACGCACCAGCAAATTGCTAACGGGGGCGAGATTGTCTTCGAGATGAGCGACACACCACAGGAGTGGGCGAGCGCGACACTGGTGAGTGGCGATCATTTAGACGCGTTCGCCGAACCTGAAGAGGTGAGGTTGGGGTTGGGACAGTATTGATGAGTGGGCCCCAGGTCACGGAAGGGAGTGTGGCAAGTGCCGAGGAAGCACGGCACGATGAGCTGTGAGGCGGTCTTTACATTGATCTCTCCAATGACTGTCTCGTCAGATAAAATTACGAACTGGATGGATGCCTTGTACCATAGCTGCAACGACTACTAATGGCATTGAAACCGCGGACGTCCATTTGTCTTAGTGACAAATCCGCCAGGCTCATGATTTGATTCAATGGTGGACTGCAGCGTACCTGGAATCTAGCAGATGGTCCTTGAACAGGACGCCAGTGTGATGAACTCTAGTTGGTGTCTCGCAGCTCTAATAATTCGCCAGCAAAATCAGGCATGTCACCGTCTGAGCACAGAGAGACATCGCGCGTTTCATCACTGTCAATATGAACCAAGCAGTCCTCGCACATCCTTAATGTGTTCCTTGGCAATGCTATGCCATCGTTGGAACGAATGCACGGATCAGTCGCGGTGCGTGATGTCATTCTGACTCTACTCGACTCAATCTAAAGTCGCCTCAAACAACGTACATATGATACAGATAATTCAGGAGGTTCATGTGGTACCCGTGACTTCTTCTGTACCCTCTGCACCTGGTTCAAGCAGCCTCCGGGCGATGCTCGGTACCACGGCTGGCACGCCACGTCTCGGGGCCCTGCAGGAGAGCGTGCATGAAGGCGAGTGAAGGCGCGGTAAGAACCGACAGCGTACCTTCTGGTTCTTCGTCCTCTGGTTCTTGATCCTGCGGTAGAACCACTCCTTTGACGTCTGTCCCGAGAAGTAGATGCTCTTATCAGCAACCTTTGCCGCTGCCTCAGCAACCATCGGGCTATCCCCGGTGAGCGCTTCCAGAAGTTGAGAGTACCCCGGACGAGTGAAGAATACGAGCGACCAGCGTTCATGCTGCGACTGAGCTCCCGGAGGAGGACTGGATCAGATACTTGATCAGCCGCGTGGTAGCGCTTCTATCATCATGGATCCACTCACACGACGCGGTGCAGATTCGAACGAAGAATGCCTCCGCTGAAGATACTCATCGCGTCTCCAAGGTTGCATATGGCATGCCCGGGAATGGGCTGCATTCAACAACGATAGAAGATCAGGAGGTCAGTGGACCATACTAACCGTGATCCGGGCTGTCACGTACCTTCACATATTGCCAGGACTCCGTGCCTGGAACCATGACCTGCAAACCTCCGAGGCGGTTGTGAAGGAAGGACTGATAGGATGTGATCAGTGATGCCGTACGTCAATCCGTTGAGGAAGAGAAGACTTCTACTGACCAGAGAGCCGAAGTCTGTATGGGCGCCAATAGCCGTCTTGGGCTCAGTGGCAGCGGGCTTGGGCGGGTTTTTAATGCACCTTGACTCGCTCCCGCTGGGCTCCTCCAGCTGGTGCTTCCTGGCCAGAGTGCCCTTGGGAAGCCCAAGCCTGTCGTTGAAGATGTCGAGGAGCGTGCTGTTGACCTCAAGCGACTTTTGAATGAACGGCCTGATGGTGCTCTCCATCCGCGCGTTGACCGTGGGCGGGTACGCACGATGTACAATACTCGGGTAGCTAAGCACATCGTCCTTCGCGACATTGATGAATTCCACTGTGTCCAGGTTGCCCTTTTCATCGGTCGCGTTGGCGCCAGCAGCCTTGTAGCTATGGCAGTTCAGTTAGAACCGTGAAATCGCGAAGGTAGGGCCTCGCTTACCCGAAGGACATGCCGTCGTCACCCTGTTCGAACTTCATCTTCTCCGCTAGCGGAAGCGCCATGGTCTCTGCGCCCATGTCGAACATTCCTTGCACCTCAGTGTCGACCTCATGGTTCTTCAAGCTGAGGAGGACGTCAGTCCGGACTCGGCGGCAAGATCATCGCATGTAGACTTACTACCAGAATCCCAGCTCGGTTGCAGCTTTCCAGAGCGTGTCGATCTCATTCTTGTCGCCAGCCTTCAGCAACTGATAGTCAACGACGAGCAGAGGGTGAGTAGACACGTCGTTCGGGAAGGGAGGGTAGTCGATGAGGCCTGGCATGTTGTTGTGAAGATTGGCGCAAAGATGTCAGCTATGACGAGGGTGCAAGCTTGTGCTGAAGTCGCAGTGCCGCCAAGACATCAGCCTTTTATACAACGAGGTATCAGGTCTGTGGCCGAGAGCTGGTGTGACATCCGGGCTGTGCTTCTCTTCCGCTTCTCATGCGCCGCGTCCTGCGTGGTGATGGAAAGCTGAGTTTGCATCAGTTCACATGCGGGTCGCCACATACCATCAGGTCATTACCCCGATTGGCGCACGAGGGACAAGCTGCTAGAACGAGGGAGCAGAAAAAGCCACCGCATTACCCCAGTCGACGTCTAGTCGGCTTCTCACGTTGAAATACAGTCATGTGTACAGCCAAGATCTTCTGGTTCAGGCGCAGCCTTTGACCATGGCGTATAAGTTGAACGTTAAATGTTGTCATTGACATGCCAAGTAGCAGGTACGATCTGGCGGGGACCTTATCTGGTCGAGTGCGGGCCCGAGCTCTGGTTAGATGGTACAAACGAGGTACTTACTCGTCATGTAACCGTGCAACGGAGGGTAAGAGATCGGTGTCTGCCAAGGAGTCTCTGCCGAACATAAACTGCCGAGTAACGTCAGCATTCTGGAATACAATGAAGCGTTTGCCCACTTAAATGCCGGTCAGGCCTTGCACTCTCCCGTATCTAACACCAAGGAGTTAATGTACCAACGGAACGCTGGTCGGGAGCCTGATGTCACTCGTGAACGCATGAACCCTGAAGGACGTCTCGCCGCTGGTGTGTCGGGCGCTCGGACGTACCTAGTACGAAAGCGATGGCTCCCTATTCGATATACATTTCATGTCATGGTCTGACTGGTCCACGCTTCGCGCCAAGGACCAATTTAGCTCCATTACACGTATCGAGGGTTCAGTCTGCAAAGGATGGTTCAGCTAGCGAATGTGAATCGAGTACGGAACTGCCTACCTTCACCTCCGTCCCAATCGATCACGTAGTTGTGGGTGTCTGATGGTGACTGACATGACTATGTTTGGCATCATAGGGGTGATCAAGGCTCTGGCGAGCGTTGCGTAATGCGGCGTGAGCGGATTGCTGCGGCAGCTAGCGCGTGTAGAGGTACGAGCTGACTCACGATTTACAATTGGATTTTGTGCTAGTCTGGCGTCCACTGCGAGTGACGATGTCATGATAGAGCTTGCTATGCTGCGGCTACTCCAGATGTGAACCCTACGTAAAAATGTGGAAAGGTATGATGGTACGAGACCGATCTCAACCGGACGTCGCAGAGATGTTGACGCGTCATCGGCGCTGTGGACATAGGATCAGAAACCTCCTCTAACCGTACTCCCCTCATTATCATGTTACCTACTCCAAGTTTCCGCCTTGAAGACGCCATGAGGGGCTCATGAAAGCATTGCGAATAGGCCGACACACAAGCGACTGCCACTGTTATCGTGCCCTTTCGACTCAGCCAAAGGGTTGCTTCAGAGAGGCGGCGGTAAGAATTGGGACTGCTCCGAACCCGACTGTGGATGCTCAAACACGCGGCCTATTCCCCATGGATCAGCAGAGCCGGCCAGTGTCCGACTGTAACTTCTCCCTCTGGTTCTAAAAAATAAAGTATGTTCCCGTATAGACGCACCTGCTGGCGTTCTGAGCTTCGTGATTCGAAGCTCATATATGATGAAATTCCATGAAGGCTGCGCAAGCTTTTGGCACGGCGATCATGAGACTCGGAGGAGGTGGAAGCATCCGCCCCTTGCAAACTGATCATGAAGTCAATATTGTACTGCATATTGCAATGATCAGTACATACCGCCCACGACTTCTGCAGTAACGTGCCGAAGAGAGGTGTCGGTCTCAGAGTAGGCCAACTGGAGAATTCGATATTGACTCCGTCATTGGATATTAAGCATTGGTCACGTCTCCAGCGAGCGCGCGTTATTGCAGTGAATCGCGCGAAATCGCATCCCGATATATGCGATGAATGAGGAAGACCGGAGACCGGACGGTCTTCGTCTGAGCTATAGTAGATGCCAGTGCCATGGAGATATTCCAGCTCTGGCCTCCTCAGACAATCGCCTAGCTGCTGTGAGCGGCGGCTATGTCCCGGTCCGTTGTAGTCCCCGTAATACTTGAAACATGAGCTGCCTTACCATACCAGATCATACAAGCCAGCGCAGAGCGTCTGCGAGATGTTCTGATAGTCTTCGGGAAAGCCTGAGTATTAGCCAGCGCGATACGCCCAAGTCCCTTGGTTTAAGCATGAGCATGAGGAGTCATGTGTCGAGGGATGGCTGAATGGGCATTTTCAGTGAAGCTGGTGCCGCCGCGCGACTTCTGTCCACACCAAGACAGCATGAGGTGGGAGGTGGTATGTTGCGACTCGCAACATCTCCATATGATCATTATGAGCCTCTGGCGCGTGTTTACGTAACTATGACGGAGTCCGATAACCGATTGTGACGCTCGCGAGCCTTACATAATAAAGTTTTAAAGGTTTCAAGCTTCACTATAGCTGTACGCGTACCTCTTGTACTAGTACTAGTAGACCCGTCATCAACGTGTAACTTTCTACTGACAATAGATTATATCAGTTCGAGCGTTTACATACAGTAGATCTGCAACCCAGCATCAAAGCTGCTAAGCTCGAGTCCCTGTAGTGCGTGGACCAGTGCATAGCTTTGCTGTGAATCCTGATACCCCCTGGCCTACGTGGCGACACGGCATCAACACCCAATAACAGGGACAATGAGCGGCGTACCCCCGGAAGGGTATAAACACAATCTCATAATGGAATGCGCGTTCGACATGAGACACACCAGCATGAAGCGCACCCAGACAGCCGACAATCCTGAGCTGAAGTACGAGGCTGCCAAAGCCACACTCACCTTCGGAGCGACCGAGCCTCCTGCGCCTGGTCTCCCCGCTTTTCAGACCAAGTTCCATTTCCAACCTGGAGCAAAGTTCGACTCGTACGTCAAGTTCTGACTTCGTCGACCACCTCGTGGGCTGCTAATGGTCCGTGCTTGGGTTTGAAGGTTCCTGCACTTTCATGCATCGCACGCCGAGTACCTGTATTGCGAGAAGGGGCGCATACGCGTGACTATCGGCGATATCGTAAGGATGGTAGGACCCGAAGATGGACAGCTTGAGATTTCTGCTTGGACACCACATCGATGGGAGACGCTTGAAGCCGATGTCGAGACTATCGTTTGGGAGCGCACCGATCCGAACGATGGCCAGAAGGAGCTCTTCTTTCGGTGAGCATGCCAATCCTCCAAACGGGCCCAGCGAACGAATGAATTTCATCGCCCCACCAGGAACCTGATGTCCCTGGTCAACGACCACAAGGGTCTGCCGCCAGTCCTGCAGACATTCAAGATTTTCAGCGACTATGACAACTACCCAATCAGAGAGGCACAGTGGCAGCTGGCGTTGCGGTCGCTGATTGTCTGGATGACGAGCGCAATGGGGTTCCTGGCGACTCTGGCAGGGTATCGCAGCGTGTATAAGGAGTACACGCCGAGGCGTCTGCTCGAAGGCTAGGGTGAATAGACGGTGCGGCTGCCTGTAAAAATGGCATCACGCTGATAGTCAGTTCTGTGCTTCGATCTTCCCTGGCTTCGAGGGTGCAGCTTCGCGTTGTATTGGGATTGGCTGACCAGTATTGCGAGCTACGCTGTTGAGCTAGCCCCCGAGGTCGTGGGGTACGTCGCCGCAAGTGTGCACCTTCATAAGTCCATCGCAAAAAACCCTACTTGAAGTCAAGGACAACAATAGTCCTACTGGAAGCTATGCACCCCGAAAGCAAACCTCTCAAAGAGATCAATCGGGAACGCGTCCGCGATCGCCGTGTACCCCGCGACGTTCGGATGCAAGTAGTCGCCTGAGTTATACGCAGGGTTTAGTTCCGTCACGTTGTTCGGGTCCCGTACGATCGCGTCAAAGTCGATGACCGCGTCGAACCTCCCGCTGTCCCTGATCCACGCATTCACCCGCTGGCGCGTGATCTCGCGCTGCGAGTCCGCGTACGGCTGGATGGTGCTGTTGGGCGCGCCGAAGGGCGTGATCGTCGCCGCGATGATCGGGATGCCGAACGTGTGCACGCGCGTGACGATCTGCTCGAATGCCTGGATGAGCCGGTTGCCGACGACCTGCTGCGAGTACACGTCTGTCGCGGCCGTCCCGATGTCGTTCACGCCCTCGAAGATCATCGCGTCCTTGATACCGGACTGCGCGAGCACGTCCCGCTCGATACGCCCGAGTGCATTAGGACCGAGACCGTCGTAGAGAATGCGGTTGCCTCCCGCGGCTTGGTTGAGGACCGCGATGCCAGCCGTGAAGGGGTCCTCTCGCATCGTCAGCTACTGACGGCAATGCAAACGCAAAGGTATTGTACCGGTTGTTCTCGTCGGTGTCACTACCGCGGCCGTCTGTGATACTGTCACCTACGATCACCCATCCGCTTGTCGTCAGAGGTGGCCAGGCCTCGATGGCGCTCAGGAAGAACCTTCATGGCGAACTTCAGTCAGCGGATCAGAAAATAAATTTTGAGGGAATGCGTTATTCACCAGTGCGCCTCGTATTGCGTCGAAGGATCCGTCAGGTTGAGAGCATCTACATAGTTATCAAGGCTGTACCAAGTGTTAGTACGGCTGCCAGGGTGGCTCGTGATGTAGAAGCCCTCTTGGCCAGCCTTGGTGTAGAGCGTCACCGTCACCATGCTCTGTGCCTCCAGGGGGTAGTAAATCGGGTCTGAGACAACCTGAGCTCCATCCGGGATAATGATGGAGGTGTTTCCGGAGAACGTGAGCGGCACGGAGGAACCGGGCACGATCTGTGGCGAGCCAGCCGCACCATCCAGGGGCAGGGCGACCGCGACTTGAGTGCTGGGAAAATCATTCACACCAAAGGCGTTCGAGATGCGGATCCTAATGTAGGATTCGGCTGGGATCGACGTGTGCAGCGTCTGGCGAATTGTGGAGTTCGTGAATATTGAGTTCGTGCCGTTCTACGAACACGAAAATAATCAGAGGAAGACCTGTTCGGTGACAACACTTCTACTCACGAACGGTGGATTGGGTACGTTGTAGTACTCGGTCAACTGGGGCATGGTCACCCATATGTCGACCCAGTGCCCGGCCGGCATGAAGGCACTGGCGCCAAGGGAGATTGCGGCGACAGCAACGAACTTGCAGTACAGCGTTATGCGCATGGCTGTATACTACGAGGTCGATTTGAACGCGTCCAATGTCGCAGGCTATAAGGACGGCCTTCCCGACGTTTCGCCGGCGCAAGGCATCATCAGAACCGTCCTGGCTGACCTTGCTATGGGTGCCAGCATATTCTGCGCGGTTTGTATGAGACCGTGGTCGATGCGGGAGTGCTAATCGCAGCTGTATGGCAAAGACACGAAGTTAACAACCCGTGAGATTGAAAATACCCACGTCTGCGATGAATATGCGGCCGCATACACGCGAGTCATCGAGGTCGCATAGCTTGCTGCTCTCAGCACATCGTGCAGCTTGTATGTCGTGTACTGTTCCTTGTATGCGTGCACCGCCCAGCGCTATCGTCGCCAATGATGCACAGAAAGGGTTTGTCGTCGACATATGATCAGAGTTGGCATGTATTCTCGGATGAAGGTGTAGGACAAATTGAAGGAGCAGACTCAGCAGAGGAACGCGTCGCGTCGCGCTGTCAGGTGGGATCACATGACGTAAGGCAACGTGGTCGAATTGAAGCGAGGTGGCTGCGAATTCGGATGTTCAACTGCTCCTCTTCTCGGACTCTCGTCTGCTGGGCTCGCTCCTATTATCCTTGTCTATTTCGGCTCTCAGACTGCACATAATAGGATCTGCACTGGATAATAGTCACAAGCAATCAGCAATATGTTGCTGCGGCTTCCGCTTTTGTTACCATGCCTGTTCGCCATCGTTCTTCACGGAGTGAACGCCGACTCTAGTGCTGGTGCACTGTACCCTCCTGGCCTGCAACCTCTCATAAGCCGGGCCAATGCTTTGCTTTCCGTGGGGCAGTTTCACGATGCCGCGAAGGCATACTCCGATGCAATCGGTGCGTTTCGCCAGCATTGCCTGAATGCTATCATACTTACACGGGCCGCAGACCAATCACCTGCAGACTACCTGTTGTTCTACAAACGTGCTACCGCATACTACTCCCTAAGCAGACACCAAGCTGCCCTCTCAGATTTCGAGAAAGTCCTCTCGCTCACGTCCGACTCCTTCGACAAGGCGTACCTCATGAAGGCGCGTATCCACGCAAAGGAGGGCCAGTTCACGGAGGCACGCGATGCGCTCAAGAAGTACATGGCGAAGAACAAGGATAGTGACTCGCAATCGCTGCTCTACTCTATCAGCGAGGGCGAGATGTCCGCGAAGAAGGCGGGGCAGGCGATGAAGGCGAAGCTGTGGAATGCATGCGTGGAAGCGGCGTCAACAGCGTTGCTCACTGCATCGCATTCTGCGGAGCTGAGGCAGCAGCGGGCAGATTGCTCGCTGGCTGCGGGGGATGTGGAAGCAGCTGTTGGAGACCTCACGTATGCCCTGTACCGCTGCTCCACGTTTGCCATGGCTGACGGACCCCTCACAGTCGTCTAACGCACCTCACGACACCATCTACGTCTCTTCTCATGAAGATCTTCCGTCTCTCATACTTCCTCGGCCCCTACTCTCCCAGCGACACCCAATCTACCGCCCTTACCACATTGAAACAATGTCTACACTACGACCCCGACTCCTCGCAGTGTCTCCCCGCCCACCGGCTCGTCAAGTCCCTCGACAAGTCTTTGAAGAACCTCGAGAAGCACCTCTCCAAAGAAGATTGGCGCGCGGTCGTCAGCCTCCTTGGTGGCGAGAAAGGCCTCATCGCGACCTTCGAGAGCGCACTCGAGGAACACACCACCCGTGCCGCGCTCGGACTGCCTACATCAATCCCGCTGCCCTCCGGAAAGCGTACATCCCCGAGGCGCGCCACGCTCCTCCGTGCAATGTGCCGTGCGCACCTAAAGCTGAACGACCCCAAGCGGGGCGAGCGATGGTGCAACGCGCTGCTCGAGATGGAGGGCATGCAGGATGACGGAGACGCGCTGATGTTGCGCGCGGACGCGCTGATGGCCAAGGAAGAGTGGGAGGAGGCCATCCGCGTGCTCGATCGCGCGTTCGAGGCCAGCGGACGCTCGAGCCGCGAGATTCGCGACCGGCTGTTGAAGGCACAGAGGCTATTGAAGCAGTCGAAACAGAAGGATTACTACAAGGTGCTTAACGTGCCGCGCGACGCGGATACGAAGACAATCAAGAAGGCTTTGTGCGTTCTCCTGCCGTTTGTGTCGTCTCGCAGAACTGACCATGACTGTAGCCGGAGAGCAGCAAAGGAAGCGCATCCGGACAAGGGCGGCAGCGAGGCGAAGATGGCCGCGGTCAACGAGGCGTACGAGGTGCTCAACGACCCAGGTCCGTCCTCTTTCCCGTTCTAACCGCGCACTATTGTCTGACCGACATCAATCGCAGAGCGCCGCGCGCGATTCGACAACGGCGAGGATCCGAACGACCCCATGGCGCAGCAGGGAGGGCAGCCGTTCCCAGGCGGCGGCGGCGGCGCCCAGCACTTTGCACAGTTCTTCCAGCAGGGCTTCGGCGGCGGCTCCCCGGGGGGCTTCCAGTTCCATTTCAGCCGTGGCGGACATTGAGTGTACTCGTGCTCGTGTTCGTGCTCGCCGGTGGCGTGCTGCCGTGCCGTACATTGAGGGCGTCATGCCCCTCGTCCGGTCGTTTCCTCGTGTCTTGCATCTCTGCTCCGCATTGTATATCATCATCTTTCACGTCCCATGTTGTGCTGTAGCAATCCCAGACTCTCGGACTGTTGCTTCGTTCCTGCTAAGTTTGTTTGACTGATTGTGATGCTCAGTTGCTCGTTGCCACTGTATCCACGCTCGCACCACGGCGAGGCTGATGGTCGCCTGCGGAGGGTAAGGTCAAGACAATTGCGGAACCTATTTCACTGATGACTCCTAGGATCCCAGGGCTATTTCAGTACGTGCTGTCTCTCACTTGCAGGTGTATCCATGGGCGTCGTACTCAGAACGTCTTCGTCTGGCGTTCTATGTTTATCAGTGATATTGTCAAGGGAGGTTCCTAAGGTGCGTGCTTCTCTTCACTGCGATGACTTGGTGTCATTTTACTGATATTCAGTGGATGGCAGGAACACACGACAGCACGACTCATACCATATCTTTTGTTCGGGGTATGGATGGGGCTACGCTGTGCGCAATGAGCGGCCTGGCATTCACACTGCTTCACACAACAGCCACCGAGTCACTCGCATTACTCGTCCATGTCGCACAGCCTTTCCTCGTATATAGGACATCTATCTCCGCAAGGTCTTGTCTCCTGAAGTGGGTCCTTGTGTTGGTACTGTAGTCACTTTGGCCCTATTGTGACAAGCCACGTGTCGTAGCATGTGGCTTCTGCCGCCGGCGCTGGCTGGCGCAGATCAAGTCGGCGAGAAGTCAATCTGGGCGGGCACTTGGCGACGGTGCAATCCTGGTTCAATCCTCTCGGCTATCTCGAGGCTGGATTGCTCTCCGTGCAAAGTCCGTATTGCGTCTTCGTGAGTGTTCTCCCTTGGTGGACTCGGGCCCTGACCGATGCCTCAGCATCGCACTGATCCTTAATTGTCTAGTCTGACAATACCGGCTATTGTGCAATCAGAAATCGAGGCGCGCGGCAGCATCACGAGACTACTTCTCCGGAGCCGTTCGATAAGTGAACGTCTTAATCCGGCCTCTGCATTGTTCTGCATCTGGTAGCCTGAGAGGACACGCACTGCGGTTGCCGTCTCCTTACGGAAGGTATTGTACTTTCATTACGAAGTGAAGGATTAAACGGGATGTTCCTTTATGTCCCTGCATTCCGTTCCTGACGCGATGCCGCGAGGCGCGATGCTCTGGCCGGGCATATATGGCCCGCGGCGGGGAGGATCCCTGCTACATTGCCTAGGGCTCCTTCGTTCCTCCGTCTCTCTCAGCTCAATCTCCTCACGTTCCTTAACGTCTGACGATCCCTCGCTATGTCGCAAATCAGCTTCATGCCGGTCGGTATCAAGGCCCACAAGATGCAACGCGCGCATCGTCTGAACATCACGCCGCCATACTATTGTTTCGACCTCCCGAAGTCGGGGCTTCGGTTTGTCGTCTGCGACAAGCCTTCCAGCTCGAAGGCCTACCGCAATCTGATCGACATCGTCGACAACTTCTGTGTCGATGTGCTCCGGCATAAGAAAGCACGGAAGTTCCTGTTCATGTCGGTGATCCTCTCGTGAGTCTATACTATCTCGCTCCAAATGATGCACTCATGTGGCACAATGTCTTTCAGTGAGATTGCGCACACCTCCGACGACCCAATGGAGCCTCCACACATGCTCGTGAAGTTCACGCTGCCCACCGAGAACGGCATGCCCAAGGCGATCCCCGCGCACATCTACCTGACGGGATCCCTGCCCCACGCGAAAGTCGACACGACATGCGTCTTCTGGAAGGACGCAGAGGAGATTGCTGAGCACGAGATCCTGGCATCGCACCAGGCCATTAACTTGCGCCTGGACATGCTCAGTGCGTTTTCCTTCGTCGCCACTACGGTGGGCCGCTGAGCTGAGATGTTTTGTCACCAGATTATTGCTCGTTCCCTGCAGAGCAGATTCCACACTTGTAGCACTATGCCACGACCATCTGGAACGATAGGACACGCCTAATTCGCATACCCGGCTTGTAGCGATTCCCCTCACTACTGGTATGTTGTCAATGCCTTTCGTTGCGGGCATCATCTAACCTAAGTCGCATTGTAGGCAGCAGGTCTGACATGTAGTACCTAGCCCTCATGAACTGTAATGCATCGTAATGCTATCGAATTGCTATCTGTGCTGTTCTCGTCTGCATCTTCGTCTGCTATTGTACATTTCAACTGTGATACGTCTTCCTATCTTCATCAGGCCGCTGAAGGCTGGTGCTCCATATCTCTGCCCGCACGTCAAGTCTCTGGCCCCTGTGAGCGAGGCCGTGAGTGAATGGGAGAGCCTATGAACTGAGAACCCAGCACCTACGCTACCTTTTTGTTCTTGATCTTGATCCTCTGGTTCCTTACCCGGTGCGCGGACCACTCCTGTGACGTCGCCCTAGTCCCCTACTTGCCCTCGGGGCTCTCGGCGGCCGCATTCGTGATGACCGGACACTCTTCGGCCAGCGGGCGGAGCACGACCGAGTTGCCCGGCCTTGTGGAGAAGACAAGGGACCAGCGGACGAATTTGGCTTGGTCCCTGAGGCTAGGAGGCGAACTAGACAATGGTATCCCGGGAGTGCCGGCGAACAATTGGACGTAATGGGGGCCGGCGAGTGAGTAATGCGGCTTACATCACACGATGGAGGTTGGACTCGAGGATCCCGCCGCTCAGGATCGTCATGGCGTTGCTAAGGTTGCAGATCGTGTTGCCGGGATGGGCTGCCCATTGTCATGTCGCTGTCAGTGGGGTCGCGAATAGCGTCTGATAGTGGATCGACGTCACCTGGCAGTACGTAAAGGTGGTCGTCCCTGGAACCATGAACTGCAGTCCGCCCAATCGATTGTGAAGGAATGACTAAAGCGGTCTCACGTCAAGTATGGTTAATTGTCGTCTGGACATGGGCTCACCAAGGTCAGTGTGAGCTCCGAGCCCTAACGCCGCCTTATCTGCTGAGGTTCCAGCAGGCATGGGTAGGGACCTGATGCACCGTCACGGTGTCCGGGTCTCACTCCCGCTGAACTCTTCGATCGCATGCCGCTTCGCGAATCTCCTTCCGGCAGCCCGAGCTGATCATCGAGCACTGCAAGTAGGGTATTGTTGACCTCAAGCGACTTCTGCACGACAGGCTTGATAGTAGTGGACACCATGCGGGGGTTGACGGTGGAAGGGTGCTATGCGTGGCGCGCTGGTTCCGGCCAGGCGAGTGTGCCGTATTTGGGGACCTTCATAATTCATGGACCCGGCAGGGCCTAGGATTCCGGTTTCGTCTGTTGCGTTGGCTCCCGCGGCCTTGTAGCTGCGGTTCAACTTGAATGGAGGGTGAGTCTCGCGCGGACACGATGTCGGCAATATCGTACCCAAAGGACATGCCATCGTCGCCCTGTTGATACTTCATCTTCTCGTCCATGGCCAGAGCCATACTAGTCTCCGCACCGATCTGGAGATCTCCTCGACCAATGCATCCGTTCCATGATTTTTGAGACTGCGACCCACGGCCGGTTTTTCGCTATCTTTACAGTGAGCAAAGCTTGAAGTGCGTCGCCGCGTCCCACATCTTCTCAATCTCATCTGATGTGTTGCCTGCCTGGATGTCCTCGTAATCGACTACAAGCAGGGGATGCGTCGGGAAGTCCTCTGGGAAGCGCGGGGGGAGGTGAATTTTGGCATGCTCGTGAGTGTTCTATGTAGTGGGCCGTGTAGCTTGACTACGCACTTCGCACGAGAGTTGGCTTATACCCACCATCGGTTGTCTCTCATTTGACCGCTCCTCATTCACAGGCAATCGCCGCCTGGTTGTAGGCGTATTTTCGCAACTCGATAGCGTAAAGCCGCATCTAGAGAGTGCTTGTGGAGCGTTCGTGGTGCGGAGCGTGAGAGACAGGCAAAGTGCTCACCGTTGTCCGGACCATGGAGCACGGCAGTAGAGCCTGAGATTTCGCTATTGACCGTTTTTCAGAGATTCTCGCTTGAGCAGCCATGGGCGGAGTCCGTAGGACGGCGGCAATTCCTCCGCATCGCTCGTGAGAAACAGCCGCTTGGACAACGTTCCGGTGTCACCTACACAGATTGTTCACGCGTGAGGCTGAGATGGAACGTGGCGCGGCATGAATAGCACGGAGAGGAGTACATCTGACGTACAGTATGTACGTTCGGCAGAGGGTAATAGCGTTCCATTTTCATTTGTCACAGAGTTTGTGATGACGGTACTGTATGCTCGCATAAGCTATGTCCTGTGACCATCTCAAAGAGGGTCAAAGCGGATCCTACACTCTGGGTGCTGCGATGCACTGGCAGACACGCACCGAACGTCGGTCCGCGAACGCTGGAACCAATCATCAAATGAATGGATGACGGTTTGTAGCATTGGCGGTGCATTGATTTCTATGGAGGCTGGGGGTGACATCGCCGACACCAAGTCTTACGACTAATGGTTGGCGTTGTGAAGAAAAACCTGTGTGTGTACTATCCTCAGAATTCGGATATTAGCCTCGCGTCCGGTGTGCCATGAAACCATACGCACATCTACTAGTATCGCTCAGTAGCGCGAACGGCGACAATCCGAAACAGGTGTAAATGTCCGTATAGCACCCGCATGTACTGGCACTCGGTAGTGACCATTGACCGCATAGATAGACACACAGCATCCACACTCACTGGCACAAGTGTTGTCGAGCTTCTCCATCACCGGCGGATGCACCGTAAGACGAGTGAGAAGTAACGAATAGGCGTCTAGGTTACATAGACCCGAGCTCGCGGCACAGCCTGTATACTCGACTCGGATGGATGAACGTAAAACTCCAAAACAGAACAAGGCGAGCCATAGAAAGCGACGTACTGAATGACAGCAGGGCCTCGCGCATTCCGACTGACCGCAGTAGCGCCCTTTTGTGACAACAGCGTGTTCCATTCCAGTACGAGCTGCGTTTCTCCCATGCGCGGTGCGATGGGCACGAAACAGATTGAGAGACTTGAAGGATCGGATTATCACGAAAACGACAGCAGAAGTCGGCGCAGCTGCATGAGCATCTCAACTGTCATGCGAGGCTTCACAGTGAGCCACGCTTCTTGAGCAGTGTCGCTCAACAACACCGTCACAGACGGGGCTATGGAACAATTGGCCAAACAAGTGACAGCAACGTCGATTACAGACTCGGAGTTGCGCTCATAATCGAATTTGATGATCAATATCAATATCGGCGCTTAATGCGAGCCGCGCTCAGCGACGACTGCAGTCTGCGGCTGTTACTTAGTGCATACATAGCAAATCCGACAACGTATCTGGGACTGACCCTGATACCCATGTGATCCTGAATGAGAGAGTCATGATATTTATCCAGTGGGCATAGCAAGATTTCATAGTTTGCTTTTGCTTACATAGATGATCGATAGCCGAGCCTCCAGCCGTCGACGGTCCGAAGTCCTGCCCGCATATTCGCCGCCGATGTTCGCGCTGTCCAGTACGGTTTGCCCAGATATGATGGATCGTATGCCTCCTGTTGCATCGCTGGTGATAAGCTTATGTCCAGCAGCCAGCTCTTCTGGGAGTCCGCCTCACGTTCAAGGCGACGATACACCGTGATACCAGCAACATTACAGGAAAGGCCGCCGCCACCGCACACAGGTGCATCAGACACGACGCCCCGGAAGACAGGACCATACAGCGTTGGGCGATGACTGTCGGCCAGTAGAAGCATCTGTCGCCAATGCGATGCTCGAAGAAAACAGCTCGTCGGCCGTGTACAGAGCAGAGGTCGTCGTCGCCGAGCGTCGGTGGCACGCCTGAACTACCAGGCCGCGGGTCGGTGAGGCTACTGAACGACGATCTGGATAGCGGATCGTGTACCTCGCTGGCGATCTTGGCGATCGCTGCTCGCGGACCTGGAGAAATTGAATTTCCCCGCGGAGCTGGATCTCGCAGGCTCGACGATCGCCCGGGATCGTGGAAGGCGCCGTCTTCGACGACGACGGCCAGATTCAAGCTCAAGTTGAAACGAGGGGCGGACGGGGCGGCGGGCAGCCTGCATTGCGCTGCTGGGGCAATGTCGGACGTTGGCTGGGTTCGTTCGCACGGCAAGATCCGCCACGTACCGCCCCTGCGACTCGCGCCAACGCACAAACGCTGAGGCCATTCCCGTACTGAATCATAATGGACTTCCTCAGGCCGTCAGTCGTGGACTGCATACGTAAGCAGGGATTGACATGTCGATATGCCATGGCCTCTGGATCACTGGTGATATTCTGTCACATTTCCGCAGGCCGTCTCTGAGATACTCGCGACCCACATGCTCCAGGAACTCTGATACTAATAGCATGCGCAGGGCCGGACCTCTCCCATCGTCAATTGCCCTCCAAAAAGAGAACATCACCGAACACCCATCGTGGAATCGGCACGCAACGATCTCCTATCTGCGCAGCTATGGATAGAACACGAGCGGCTCTGCCTCATGTTGACCGTCCAGTGCTCTGCGTAGAGCCATCAGGTTGATGGACCGCAGGGATCGGACGAGCAGCCGTGGATTCATCACCTCCGCTCACCATCCGCCGCAAGAATTCAATTGTTCAACAGCGCTGGGGGCGCCTTTTTCCATCCATCTCAGTCTGAATCCGCGGGCTCCGATGCTATCCATACTATGGAATGCCTCATGGACCGGCGCATCGGACTGGGGCATCTCCCATCTCCCTTTGAATTCACTGAACCTTCTTCAGCGCCCGGGTGGATGATCACGGCCGTCTGACTGCTGAACAAGGCATGCCTGAATGAGGAGCCGCTGGGAGCTAATCCCTCAGGCTCGTCACGTCAATGATGCTCGCCTCACCTCACGCTTCGCAACAGAAATGCACTGCTGTTCCTCTGCAAGGCGGGTTCTCCGCGGTCAGCTTGCAGGGTCGCTGGAGATCCCGTCCTGGGACCGCCGCAGCGATCGCAAAGACGCTCGCACTACTGGGTCCCCACACTAGATGCATAGGCGCATCTCAGCTGGAAGTACCCGTCTCGCGGGAGAGCGCGTGCTCATATGAGAACGCTCGAATCAGGCTACGGAGGACTCGGAGGAACGCACGAAGTATCGACCATCGACCGCCCAAGAATTCACCACTACCCGTCGACAGAATTCTATGCAACTGCACCCGGATCGACTTCCTGGCAGGCCCACCTCGTCATCGCATCGTCCGTGTCCAATCAGGGACAACTACCGGCGTACAGACACCGGATGCCGTACTGACAGTCGTACGAAGCGCGCAGAGGTTCCCTACTACGGGCCTCTAGGCTGCCACATTCCTTTCTCCGCAATCGAGTTGCCTGAGCTCCGATGCTCAGCGGACAACCCTGGATTCGACCGGGATTCACATCGTCGTCGTCTCTGACACACGCCACGCCGTAATCGCTCCGAGATTCTTCGGAATTGAACCTAGCAGCCTGCAGGGCGCAGGTTATAGCCTGTATGTTAAACACGCGTACCGGGCCGTCCCAACAATAGTTAGTACTAGCAGCTGTGTACAACATGCTCTACAATCTAAGCGCGTGCTTCTCCTGGCAGCCTGGGACGCAGCGTAGGATTGAATTCGCTGGGAAAGCTTCTTCCGCTCAGCCCGGCGGTTGATCATCTGGTAGGCGTCCACACCCAAATAAGGCATCCAGTATGTTCGTAGGCAGAACGCGGACTCGAACGGGACGCCGAGTCTCCCGCTGCCAGAGCTTGAGTCTGCGCGAACGTCTGGCCCAGATGTGTGAGAGCAGTGCGGGGTGCGGCACCGAAGGGTTCTAGTCATCCCGTCAAAGCGTCAAATGTCAGCGCACGTCAGAAGTGAGAAGGGATGGGCAGAAGCCATGTGCAACCACGAGATTCATTGCCTCTGGTGGCTCACACAAATGTCAGCGTAGCTGACTCTTACCCGCACAATATTCAGGATCTGTCTCTAGTTTCGCGGATCAGACTTCGGTCGGTGGCAGCGGACGTAAACGTCTAATGGAGCTGGGAAGGACGTCGTATATTGGGCATGAGGGGTAGGCTACAACGGATACAAGGATTGTCCGGCATATTGATACAGCACTGACAGCGAGGGCAGGTACATACATGTGCTACTTCGACAACGAGGATAGCGCGACGTGGGATTCTAGACAGCAACGAAAGCAATTGTTATGCGAAAGCGAGGAGGCATAGCGAGTCGTCACGTAAGTAATATGGGAATATGCGGCAATGGTGCTGTCGCCGCGGATATAGTCCTACGAGGGGCGATGGTACCTTCGATAGTGTGGGGATGGATGGCCAGAGTGAGCTTGGACTGCGTTCGCTGAAGACAGAGCGCGGATACCATCATCAGAGAGGCGGGCGCGTTCTGACGCATTTGCAAAACCGGCCCATTGCGGCCCTGCCTTTCCATAATCCTGACGATGGTGGAACGGCTAGCCCATTCTTGTGGCTCTCAGCCCTCATGGCCCATACGGCCGCGAGCGCTCGCCGCCGGCCTGCGACGGAGGCAAGTACTCGGGGAATGCAGGGCGGAGCGCCGTCGACACGGGGCGGGCGTTGCACGAGCACCCGGGACGGTCGCAGACGGGCTCGGCATGGCGCAGGGTGCGATCCTCACGGTAGCGCGGCATGGGGGACGAGTTCGAGCGCAGGCGGCACTGGACGCGGTCTCGGTCCTCTCGAAGGTTCGACTCGGGCACGCCCACGGGCAGGGCGGGCTCGGGCGTCTCGCGCTTGACGTTGGCCGCGTAGCGCGGGGACGGCGGGGACGGCGGGCGGGCGTATGGGTGGTGACGCGTGCTGTTGGGGGGCGGCGAGCGGCCGGTGTCGTACTCCTCAGGGTCTGAGTAGGACGCGGAGTGCTCGAGCGGATAGGGCGCCAATGAGTAGCGGTAGCTTGAACCTGGGGAGTAGACTGGCTCGGGCGAGCGCGACGGCGAGGCCGAGAGGGGCGGCGAGTGGGCTGAGCCAGAGGGATGCTGAATCAGCCGCGCGACGGCATCGCGCCGGCGGGAGGTGAGGTGGTTCCGGTAGTGCCGACGCATGTTCGAGTTGACGTTGAACCTACGGTTGCACCCCGGGTAGCTGCACACGAACGCTGCGGCGCAACACTCAATTTCAGCATCGAGATGCGTGTAGACGTCATCGAGAAGGATACGTACGCTTCGCGCCGGTGTGGGTGTTGACGTGAATGTTCAGGCTGCTCGGCCGGTTGAAGCGCTTGTTGCAGTGCGGGCAGCAGTGACGCTTCTCCTCAGACCCTGGTGGCCCGTCTTGCGGCGACTGGGGACCACGTAGACCTTGGCTGCTGCCCGCAGAGACCGCCCCGCCGGACAGGTATGGGTTCGCTGAGAAGCTGGGAGGGTAGGGCGCAGGGGTCTTGTGCTCGTCGGGGCGTGGGAACCGTTCGTACGGAGGGACGGACAGTCCGTGCTCGGACACGCGAAGCTCCACTCGGAATGTAGGCTTCGCTTTCGTAACCAAGGACATGCTCTGATCGGGGCCACAGCCCGCATATCCGAACGCACCGGGGACGGTATTTCGGTAGGAGTCGGGGACATTCGAGCTAGACGCCACAACATCCTATTGACTGATGGTCAGCGCAGTCCAGATGAACAAGCGGGCGCCGGCGCAAGTTACCTGTGTTCTGTTGGACAGATAGCTTACCGAAGATGTGGCAGAAGAGAGGCTCGGTCGTGGAACCTGACTGCAACAAGGCCCGGAACATGTAGCTCCGCCGTGAGCACTGGATGGAATGCTCGTTGGCGCGTATACATCGTAGCCTCTAAGCTCTCCTGAGCCATCGGAGCTTGTAGGCGGACTTGTATCTCGTCTGCTCCTGGCAGGCACCGCGATGATAGCGGATGTTTGCTAAGTAATTGGGATGTGTTAGACAGTCATGTGCATGAGACGCGAGACGCCATACAGGATAGTTAAAATTCGGTTCGGGTGCGTAATGCGAAGTTGGGCTCGTTCTGCATGACGAGGACGGGTATCTCTGTATAGGCGACGGTGGCTTCGCCATGAGGTGTTCTGATCGATTTGTGGGCTCAACTACGTAGCACGATCGAAGCACGCGCGGACGCACCTGGGAAGAGCTCGTTGATGCTGGGCAGGGAGATGTTCTTGGGCGAATGGGGAGGCGACATGGCGGAGTGGGGAGGAAATGGGAGTGGAACGGACAAGGGCAGGTTATAAGGGCAGTGGGCGGTCGCGAGGGTGGGCGCCTTATATAGCCAATGTGGACCGGTCGCACAGCCGACAAGCCATTTCAAGACGATATCTGAGATTTGCAATTGGGGAGGCTTCTACCAGATTGTGTTAATCCGGAGGATACAGTTCGACACCAGGCGCCCGGCCGTGCTGTGCCGGAACGCCAGCGGCCGAAGCTCCTTCTCCTTCCAGTCGCTCGCCGCCGCCGCGCCGGACGGGCGGCCGGCGACAATAGAGCGGGATTTGCACGCCTGCCGGATCGGGCCACGGGCACAGGGAAGCAGCTCGCCGTGGGCCAGGACCACAGTGGACGCTCCACCAACGGCAGTCCACCAGCCCGCAGAGCATCCCAATCGGACGCAGCCAGCCAGACAACGTGGGGCGGGGCCTGTTATCAGCCGCGCGAGGTCGAATGATTCGCCGCGCTCATGCTTCGTGGGCTTAATTTCCTGAATCATGGCGTAATGGGAACGTCCTGGGCGGGGGATCACGAAGGCCCCTCCGTCTGCGTGTATCGACGCGGATTTGCAGCGTGGGGAGGTATGACCGCACGAACCGCCATCATAGCCACACAAAAAGAACAAGGCCACCCACACATCTCCGTCCCCGAGAAGCCCAGAATGGCCTGATGCATGATGGCTGCGATGCGCTCGAGCAGCGAGCACCCGACCGTGCGCGGACAGACGAACCACCCGAGATGGGGCGTCGCGAGGATGAATGGGTGGTCGCGCTCGCGGGAGGAACGCTGGACCGACTGGGAAGGCGTCTGACGGGATCCTCATGATCGGCGTTTCCTTCTGCGGCCTCTGATGGGCCTCCGAAGACACCGGCCCCGGTCCCAGTGGCGACGGCCGCACAGGCCAATCCCAGACCTTCCTAGAATATACAACGCCCTCTTCCGCATCCGGCATGCAGATCAGCCTTCAGACAATCCTTATCCCGTCCGCTGCACACCCGCAGTGCCTGGGTGATGCAGGGCCGTCTGCGCGTGCCGCCATCGCGCTGGAAGCCCAGCACGCCGCTCTGCGCCCGCGGCGAGGTTGTGCGACACCCGCGAGTGGGTGCTATTCGCGCGGCAGTCGCCTTCGCCAGACGCACCGTCCATACCCGACCGTGCTCGAGTCAGGCTGCCGAAACCTTGTCCCAGTCGCAGCTGGGTCCCGCGCGCGATGCTGCGCCGCTCGTCATTATGTACGCAGGCTGCCTCGCCGCATCCGCCTGCCACGCTCATTGAGTTATCTGCGCGATCAGCGTGGAGCCCGAGAAAGGATTCGCGGCTGAAAATGGGCGCGACCGGCCACGCCGCGGGCGTAAGTAAGGTTGCGCAGACGTCGGATCCCGAGTCAGGTGGCGGCACACTCACAGGCTAACTCACATCGGTGGTCCTCAGATGTGCTAATGCGAACGCGGACGTGTGACGCAACCAGCGCGGCGCCAGCCGGTGTGCAGCGCGGAAGTGAATGGGCCTCCCAACTGCGGCCCTCCCTGGCAGTTACGTTCATTCCGCGCGCGGCTGTTCGCAGATGGAGCGGGGAAGGCGTCGCCGCTGACGGTGGCACCGGCGACCAGAAACCTGACGCACCGTCACGCGTTGAAGACCGGGTTCTGTCCGCCTCTTGCTTCCATGGTCGCCGCGTCCGTGTCGCAGCCGCAGAGAGGGACACGGGCGTGTCAGCGTAGCCTGATCAGCTGCCGCACAAGCAGCACGCCGCATGGTGGACGTGCGCGAACACGCCGCCGCAAATCCCCCCGCAGGGACGCCCACCGCCGCACGTGACATGCAGGGCCGGCGACCATGTGGTTGCCGCAACGCCGGCCTGCGCGTGCCCAGCGCTGATCGTGATCTGGCTCAGATCCACACACTCGCCCACTGTATCGGGCAAGTCCTTAATCGGGCCCTACTACACCAGCAGCTCGCTTCGGCACTGGTTCCTGTCGCCCGGTGTAAATCCCACTCGCCCGTCCACCAGGGTGCCGCAGACACGGACTCGGTGGAATCGGCGGAGCTTACCCCGGGGCTGTAAGGTTCCACGGAGCCACGTACAACGGGGAAGTTGTGTGGATTTTGCGGTCACGCGGTCTTGACCACTACATTCGCGGAACCTAAGCGGAAGCAAATCTCCCTCGCGAAAGGGATTGTTGAAATTGGGCCCATCACGCAAGGTTTGCGCATTCAACGGGTCTCTTCAGTTATCTCCTAGAAGGCTGCCCCGCGTGGGATCAGATGCGCACTAACATAGCATTGCGTCAAGCCAATTTCATTGCGATCCCTAGATACAACGGAGAACGCCAGCTCTCCGTCGGCGAGGTCAGGATAGCGTGTGCATGGCACGACATGCTGTCGTCAAGACCGCTGAAATTCTGCGCACTCGGGCCGAAACACACTATCAGCGAGAGCGGACACGAGCCTTGTCATTGTCATGCTCTAGTGGGACCAACACATGACGCGTAGAGAATGCAGGACAAAGGCTACACAGTAGGTTAGAGTTTTCCCCTGCCCACCGATGCTGACTCCTCCTCAACAGGAGCCGCGTATGCATTCGCCCTAGTACGTCATGCGGCGGCATTACGAGCGTTTGTGCTGACGAAAGTCGCAAGTGAAGCTCACTGCCAAAGTGGGCGGAGGCCATTCTACGACGAGCTTGCCCGAGACAAGCGTTCTTCCACCGCGGGCGTCACGCAGGGATCGGAGGGTGCGAGAAGCACGGAAGCAATCAATAAGATCCCCCGCGCGCTCTGCAGGTGTGGCTCGCGGGAGGGGAGGAGGCCAAACCACCTTCAAAAAGTCCTCCGCCCGCTCATTCCACGCACAAAGGCCGTCGCAACCACACACGCAAGGAGGCCCGTCGGAGTGCGTCACATGCTCTAGCTCCAGCCGGACAGGCTTCCTCGCCAGGGTGGCAAGGTCGCATGTTGCACCCCCGGCAGACGCTTCGAAGGCGCTTTCGAGAGAGGAAAACGGCGAAGCAGCCTCCCGCGGACTGTGTTGATTACGCGACGCCCCTACTCCCTCGCAGCGCCCTGCTATCATCCAGTGTCGCATTGGCATCGGCAGCACCGAGACCCCGGAGCAGCCGCGCTGGCAGACCGCAGAATCGATGAGCGTGCGGGACCTTCGTCAGACACGCGCGCTCCCACCGCTGCCAGCGCGGACACACCGCCCTCGACGCGGCGGGCGTTGGCGCCGGCAGCCAGGGCCATCGGGTGGCGCTTGCCTGGCAGCCCGACTAGGCACATCTAATCTTAGAGCGGTCAGGAGGAAAGTGCGTCTGCCACCGTGAGTCTGCGGCGCATGCATGCGTCCGCAAGGGTGCGCACGGCCGTGACGAGGACCCCGCGGCGATCCCCGGCGCCGCCTTCGCCTTCGCCGTCACTGCCATTCGATGTCCATCATGGATCACGCCCTCCAGTCGAGTGCCCGGGAGGCGTCACCGTGCGCGCCCCTGGCCGTCGGACTTCGCGTCGCTGTTCGCGGGAGATGTCTTCTCCGGCGAGCGCGGCGCTGACGCCCTCGGCCGATCCTGGCTGACCAGCTCGACACCACCAACGGATGTCGGTGCTCGTCAAGCGACAGATCCTCGCAGTTCCGAGTCAAGGGCATGCGTGACCTACGTCAGACGATGTCGAGTAAAAATCGCCGCTGGACACGGGTATGAGATATGTACTCCTCAGTGCATAGGCTGACTCACATGGAATTCAGCTTCCTTCCAAGGACTTTCCACTGTGATTTCAAGTTGACGCAGGATCCGGGTCCTCCGGAATCATTTCACCAATTCGTATTTGTCGCTCGTACTGCTCTTGTCGCTCCCAGATGCGTGGCAGTGCGATTTACCTCTCGTTACTTACCCATCGTCCACGTAGTACCACAGTCGGTGCCAGTTCCTGTTCGCCGCCTGTTGCGTCGGTGTCGCAGACGGCAGTTGTGGCTCGGCGCGAGAAACCCGCCGCCCGCGTTCGCCGATGTCAAGGCCAGTGCAGAGAGCACGGTGAGTGATGGTCACAAAGACGACGACTCGACGGTGCGCCTCCCCTAGCAACTGCTCTGTCAGATCTGTGATTCCCTGTCTGATTAACAGCACCTTTTTCCGTAGATTCCTTTGAGCCGCCTGGTTTGTCATGCTGCGGATCCACTGGCTCAATAAGCACGATTGTCATAAATTTGCAGCGACGTGCGCACCGTGCGGCTCGCTGTAATTTTCATTGCCTATTGGAGCCTGTGCCCTTGAGCGACAGGCGGCTCAGCGGACGAGCCGAGTCGTAGACAGGAGAAACCACGCGGACATATATGCAATGACAGTAGCCACGGCCTCGAGGCCACGATGAGCAGTCAAATGTCTTTGGCTCGCGCAGCCTCGATCATATGGTGGTGCGGAGGCGATTTCGCGGTCTGAAATTCTTGTTTGCCTAGGGTAGGGTGATTGTCACATGGACGTTTGTCACAATGAGCTCGCACTAGATGATACTTCGGCCGCACCCACCTACGTCCGCCGAAACGCATCAAGAGCCGCTCCACCGAGATGTCTGGTGCGGCAGGAAGTCCAGGGCGTCGACGGTGCACGTCGCTTTATCGAGGAGGCTTGAGGTCCACGGTGGCCTTGTGCGAGTTCGCAGAGCTAGAGTGCGAACTTTAATAAGGCGCGCCGTCTCGCCTAACTTATGCCACAGCGAAACGTTTGCGGGGATCAGAAGCGGCTCCGCGACGAGACCAGCACAGTCACTACCTCGCAGGCAGCGAGTAGGAGTACAAGGATGCAGTGAAGTGACTAACAGCCCGGGCTACCTGTGGACGACACACCAAAGGCGGCGGCCGCCGGGGAACAGTGAAAAATCAGCATCTCGACATCGTCAGATCACTACGCCGGCAATCGCACCTGTTTGAGGACACAAGGACTGCATGGGGCCCCAGGCCAGAGGCTCGGCTTGGCGAGGCTCTTGCGCGTATGAAAAACATGCTGCAGAATAACCGATACTTTGGACCACCGTGGATGCTTCGCCGGCGCCATCCGCACGAAGTCGCCCAGTGGATTCAGAACGCGAGCGCAAGTCGCCGAGACAGCGAATGTGTCAATGGGCTGTGCGTTCCGCGCTCCATATTGTGAGGGTTGTGGTGTCTTTCCTCGTTTTGATATGTGGGTTTCTGATATCTAGGACAGAGGGTGGCGGTTCGGCTCCTGAACTGAATTGGCACGACGCGGACGAAGACTAGAAGAACAAGGTGTCTAGCCGCAGTAGGACCTGCCAGGTGATCCAGATAAACTCATGATCCACCCGAGAGCGATGCGCCGGACTCACCGCTGAGATCTATCTGAGTCTCCTCAACCTATATACCTTTAAAGTCAACTCCCGCCGTTTGGCGGTCGTGATGATGGATCGTAGAGACGAGATCAGCGTGAAGATCGATCTCGCTGACCCGTGTGGCGTGACAGTCACACTTAACGGCACGGTCACATGCCTGTTTGCCCATCTGAAACCCTGTTACGCCACTGTAACTTTCACATAACGCCCAACAGTCACGCAGGGGGCTAGGTCAAATCAGGAAACCCTGGTTGATGCTGGTATTGCTGGCAAGCGGACTCCCTTCCAGCGCGCGGGGCGACGTGGACAGACAGAGTCTGGTGAGTTTCACAGCCTCACGAATGCCCACGTGCACTCTGGTGATGTTTGCTGCCATGCTTTCCTTGACAAGACATGTCGTAAGAGAGACTATTGATACTTGATAGCGTGATGAGTTACTGGTGGAGTGTGCTGACAGCCTGAGTCCTCCATCGCCGGCCTGGCATACCGTGGCGCGATGCAAGCCGATTCTACCCATGATTCTGCCACGCACTCGAAGGTACATACAGCCCTGGCGCGTCTGCCTGGGTGGCTGTGTCTATTACGGCTTGCTGACTCGGTGAGCAGCTGCCAGGCCTATCTCCCTTCAGTTCTCCCCTACAGTTCAGCTCACCGCGGGCCTCCCTCGCCGGATCCGTCAAGCTCGACTGGAGAGTGGTCTGGGAGCTACTTTGGAAGTTCTGGTGCGTGTATCTGCGGACTCTTTATTACCCAAGAATCTCACTCGGAGCGCCGGAAGCCTTCCTATGATGCCTTCTCGAGTACAGCCGCCCCCTCTTGTTCTCGCATTCGCCTTGCGCCGAAATCGCCCTTCCATAAGACAAAGTTCGCATTGCATCTGCGCTCAAGCGGCGAAGGCTCGGCTGCACAGCAGCTATGCCCGCCTGGTATTATTCACTCCCTCCTCGCCGAGTGCTTCTCAGATTGCTAGAGCTTCCCTGACAGATGGTGGGGGAATATTTGCGATCCGCAATCACGCACATCTGGTGCACACTACCGTGGTGCGAATTCAGTGTGGTGTGTGGCTGACTACGGAGCCCGTTGTGACTGTCGCCCTGAGCGTCACACGTCAGAACCGTATCCAGCGCGGCAAAGCAAGCCTCTAGGAAGCGCGGACGTGCACATTGGTATGCCTCTGCGCTTTTGCCTTGTCTCAACGGGATCAACAGGTGAATCATGTCTGGCCTGCTCGCGGCCGTGCGGCCGTGCCCGCCTTTGTACCTTCTATCGCACAGTCTGCGCTGCTACAGATGACATCTGGCTTCTGGGGATCTTTGATTCCAATGATGCTCGGACAGCAATGGCCTGTGCGTCCGATCCACCGTACCTATATAAGTTGCCGCCCAGCCAGTCTTGCGGCTCTTGTCCCCTCCCCTTTACACCCATCCTCCGAAGCATCCACCACAGTCAATCCACAGCGATGCCGCGCTCAGCATCGTCTGAATGCGTATCACTGCCCAGCATCCATGAACTACTGCCAGGTTTGTGCGATGTCCATGGTCTTGGGGTCACTACCTAGCTCACTATGACTAGAGCATTTCTGTCGGCCGTTGGACGCGCGGTCTCTTGAAGAGCCACGTTCGCTTCCCAACATGCCCTTAGCGTCCATTGGAAGGATGGTTCGTCGCCTCAATGATTCCTTTCAATGCCTCAAGCTGATGGGCTGCCTCGTCAGTCGTCGCCATCGCGGTATGTACCACCCTTGCAACAGATTCAGGTCGTAATTGACGCCTTGCACTCTCAAGACACATTCCCTTCCACACAAACCGGTCTTCGCAACCCCCGTCGAGGAATCCGTCGCCTCGGACTCACACAACATTATCCCCAACCCCCAATGCCGATCACAACCGGGTGGACGATAAGAGGCACGCCTGCCCCTTCTGCCCCAGGCGCTTCAACCGGCCGAGCAGCCTGGCGATCCATCTGAACACCCACACAGGCGCTAAACGTGAGTTCGCTTCCCTTTATGCCCGAGATCTCGTGCATCGCGCTGAAACCCCGCGACGATCCGCACTAGCGTATGCCTGCCCCGCATGCGGCCGCCAGTTCAGCGTAAACTCGAACATGCGTCGGCACTATCGTAACCATTTCTCCGACGGGCAACGCTCGGGCACGCTTCGGTCACCACGCCTCGATGTCCACCAGCCGGTCGATAGTCTGGACCGGAATGTGGTGAACGCAAACGTGAACATGACGCCCTACCGCTATCCCCCGCTTGCTCCTCCGACCTTTTCGCGCTCGACCACACCGTCCGCCCATTCAGAGACTCAGTATAGCGACAGTGACCAGGACAGCCTCGTGTCGAGCCCCCCGATGCATGCCCTTCCGGCGGAGCGCATGCTTCAAGGCTCGTTCGCCGCACGGAACGCCGAGTGGGGAGGTTCGCGTAGCCACCCATACGTGGTTGACCGGATGCATAGGAGCAGCCGTTCTGCCTCGTTGCATAACTCATCGCTGTACACGGTGACATCGTCAGTACGCCGTTAGCGCCTGCTGCGGGGGACAGTCGGTGATCGTTGCTAGTCTTTCTTTGGTAGTTTCCAATAACTTATTGTTTTGCATCACTATGCTCTGCTGCTGCTGTCGATCCATCCCTCCGAGGCTTTTGTTTATGTATATGTATCAATTATGCTTTCGTTCCCTCCCACCGCTGCGTGACTCCGAAATGATCTCAAATAACTATCATAGACGAAGCTGATCTTGTGTTGTGTACGGTATATGTGGAGGCAAATGCTGTTATTTTACGTTGGATGACTCTACATACCTGCATGCGTACTCGCGACGTGGGCGTCGGCGGAACTCTCCCGAAGCTCGGCCGCGGTGAGCGGTACCTGTCTGGACTGGTGATGCGCCGCAACGTCCGAGGCGCTGTACACAGAAGAGGCTACTACCAACTTGAAGAGCTCTGAGCTCATCCGAGTCGTGCGACATTGCAATACTGTTTCAGGCAAGTCGGCGAACTCGGGCGACAATGCATGGTAGCTCACACTCTCTCCATCAAGACCATACACCGACCATACACCTACTATATTTCGAGCCCTCACCGTGATTTACGCACTGTTGGAATGGCGCTGCATCACGGAGACGAGATCTTCGAGTTTTTCACATAGCGTGCATGTACTAGTGGCATGAAACTAATTGAAGGTCGCTATCAATCCATTACAATCATCGTCATCATGGGCTGCGACTCGGATTGTCCCGCATGCTGTCGATGGTAAATGAAGGTCTGCGGCGATACGCAAAACAGACCCGAGGCGATAAATTTCGTATAGGACGCACTCCTCATACCGTCCTTTCTTTGTAACCCGGCCGCGGGCCCGTCGGTGTCACGGTATGACTCGCTACAGATATCTGTGCGGCTACTATTCTTTCATATTCCCTGATTGAACCAGCAGTTGACTCACGATCTGCCAGTCTCACCGTGACTGTTCCTCCGGCTTGCGCAGGCTACGTACAGCAGTATCAAGAGTGGTGCTGTAGCCAGACCGTGACGATTTGTTCGAAAGCGCTCTATTGGAGTAACCGTAAGTATCTGATATACCCATAAAGACAATAAGCACATGCCGCGAACAGGGCGGAGAGTGGTAAGCGTCCATGGTCATCGCAATACAACAATGCCCCCTCCAGATTTGGCATGCGCCCGTCCCGGCGGGACGTCTATATGAGCGTCATCGAGCCCGGCGTAGGGCATCATCAGACAAATACAATGAGATTGGCGATTTAGTTCCGGACGGGAATCGGAAGAAGTACGGAAGTCAACAAAGGTGGCGGAGTATGAAGCTGAAGTGAATAGACAGAGCTCTGCGCAGTGGGATGGAAACAAGAAGGCTGATGAAGAGCAAGCTCCGACTGTACCGCCCCGACGTAAACAGATAACCCGATATCTCGAGTGTCAATGTCAACACGAGTAGCGTCGCTCCATCATGTGTCCATCAAACTTCCTCTAAGTACCTCGAGGCCCGGACATCACGCAAAATCGACATTGTGTGGTTCCACCAGCGGCAGCCTTCCAATACGGGCGAAGGATGACCGCCGTTCGTCTACGATGGGATCGGACTGACCAGCAGCTGCTACTATGACCTACAGACCATCCATGATCAATTGCACAGCAAGCATGATGAATGATTCTACACTTCTGTCACCGCAGGAAGGCCTGATAAGTTGGCTACTGAGACAATAATGGTGTGCATGTGGTATACAGGATTCGACTCGAATACGCACTGTGCTGCTGAATCGTACGGCTGCCCGTGCCCCAGGTCTTCAAGAGTCCACAGGCACGGGCACGGGCACCTACGCCTCTACCTCTCCCCCGCCATGGCCACCCGTACCCAGACGACTGAGATCCCAGATACGCAAAAGGCCGTCATCGGAGGATGACACGATGCGCGTCGCATCTGGAGAGAACCTCAGATGGCTCACTTTGTCGGAATGGCCAGTGAGTGTCGCGAGCTGGGTTGCACTCTTCGTGTTCCACACGCGTATGCTGTTATCCGCAGAGCTGGCGCAAATGCGCGAGCCATCTGCGGAAAACGCGGTGGCATTCACGAGTTGATCACTGGCATCGATCTCGTGAATCTTGTCTCCGCTATACGAGTCGCAGATTCGGATGGAGCCGTCGCTGGCTGCGCTCAGCAATTGTTTACCGTCAGGGGAGAACGCCGCGGCCCACACAGATCCAGAGTGCACTCGCAGATCCACGAGTTCTTCGCCTGTCTCCCCATTCCAGATCCGCGCCGAGCCGTCGTCCGATCCAGTGACTAGGCGACGACTATCGGGGGCATACGCCAGAGCGTAGATAACGCCTTGGTGGCCCTTGAGGACAGAGAGAAGAGTCCCATCTCGTACACTCCAAACTCGGGTACAGTAGTCCGCGCTTGCGGAAACGAGGCGGCGGCTGTCAGGCGAGAACGCGACAATCAAGACAATTGCGCTATGCCCTCTCGACAACGAACGCTCTTCTCCCGACACGGCGTCCCAGAGCCTGACAGAGGTGTCGACGGACCCCGTCGCGACGACCGAACCATCAGGCGAAAAGGCAACGGTGTACACGATACCCGTGTGGCCGTTCAGGACTGTCAGCTCCTCTCCAGTTCGGACGTCCCAAATGACTCCCAGCCCGTCGCCGGAGCCAGAGAGCAGCTTGCTACCGTCGGGAGAGAAAGCCAGGGAGCAGATGGTATCGGAGTGGTAACTGCACGTATGCACGCGCTGGCCGGTGCGGACATCCCAGATGACGACTAGGGTGTCGTCAGCACCGCTGGCGATGTAGCGGCCGTCAGGCGAATATGCAAGGGCGGTGATACCACCAGCGTGGTGTTCGAGCTCGACAAAGGCACCGTTGTCCGCGACTAGTATGTCCGCCTTCTTCTGTTCGATTGGACCATCCCTAGCAATGCTGTCTGAGTTTGCAGCGACAGGCTCGCCGCGTGGCGTGACTTTCTCGGATATCTCGGCATCCGCTGCTGTAGCCCCAACCTCGGGAGGGGCGTCTGTAGTCGGATGTTCATCGGCGAACGACACCGGCATCGACGCTGGCACAGTCTGCTCATCTGGCGCGGGCTGTTCAAGAGTAGTGAGGTCTTCGTGAGACAGCATGCCAACTTCGAAACCACAACAGTCGTGAGTCGATAGATCCACACAGACTAGAGAGAACAACTGACGTCCATCTTCGGTGACCTCAATCAGAGGTTTGACAGTTTCGAGGAAAGAAGGAATGTCGTCTGGTATATCACATCTGTGTTGCTGCGACGCAATTCTATCAGCACCTGATTGTTATTATTCAACAACATCTTACTTACTTCGCAAAGCCTATTGATATCACGGTCGTTAGCAACTGCGACCTGGACGTTCGGCTCATACTGCATCGGCGAGTTTCCTGGTGAGTCTCATCTCGCGCAATGAGAATAATGAACCATGACATGCCTTCAGGATATAATCCAGAACAAAGTCTACGGGGTCCCAGCTCTAATAAACACTGTCGTCAACTCGCTGCATACTGTGCGATGCTGAGATGTACCTGAAAGACTGAGGTGTCCCGTTCAATCTCGTTCACCTCTTCACCGCTGCTGGCGAAGTCTATTGAGTGACTCCTGTCTGCGGCCTCGTCAGGTCCTGGGGGAGGTAGCTCATCGTAGCCAGCCGCAGCCTTCATGACTTTGGGGAACAAAAAGCGACGCCTCAGACTATAGTAGTGGATGAACACGGATTGATTAGCCATGAGACCGCTGAGGCTCTCGCTGCTTGTGGACGGATCAGTGGCGTCGTCGCGCGGTCCCCAGTTCTGTTCGGGTGCAGCCGTGACCTTTGCCGCTGCTGATATTGTAAATGCGGCAGAGGCTGCACCCAAACTCGCGTTGAACTGGAACTGCGCCATCTTCCCTGCTTGTGTATATGACGCCACCGCCCAGTCAGCAGTCTTCCAGACCCCACATATGAAACGTAAGGATTCCCTGGGAATGTCGACGTCGAGGCGATCCCTGATGAACTCGTACCAGCTTGTGAAGCTCTGTGACATGTAGTTGACCATTCGCCGACTTGGAAGGATCACCTCGCGGTTCGCGCTGTGCTTCATTACGAGAACAGCACCCTGGTCGTCCATACATTGGAACTCAAGACCGGCACCAACGCCGTGGCTACGGTCACATCAGATTCTTGTATACCGTTGCGAGCATTGCACCACTTACCCTGAGGCACTCAACTCGACTTGCAGCTGTCTGATGGTCCTGCTACACAACGCTCCAGGAGCAAGTGCCCCGACCTTCTTCACATTTGAGAATTCCGAGGTCAAGGTGAATGGCTTGTAACCATCAGGAACGCCGGTTCTATTCGCGGGGTCATCCCCAGGTTTCGTGGCGTTGAAGACGCGATGGAATGAACCATCCGCAATAAATCCAACATCGCCTATCAACACTTCACCTTTCGGTGGATCAGGGTCCCAGAGAGGATAACCATGACCCAAGCGAAATAGTTGCTCGGCGTATACATCAGCAGCAGAGAGGAACGACATGGGAGTTTGAAGAATGAATGCAAGCACTTACTACTTACTGGAGAACCGAGACTGATTGCGATGCAGATATGGAGGCTGTGTGCCGGTGTGGTCGGCGAACGCCCAAACCAAATACACCACATCCACGTGAGCGAATTTCCGTCACATTAGAGGTATTCAGGTACTTATACCGTAGTAGAAATGGACACGGGAACACAACGAAGCATACCCAAGTACCGGACAGCGGTGAGGCCAACAGGTAACCGTAGAACGCTCGATTCACGGCGGCCTGAGCCCTCCTGAGCCATGTTGTTTGTTGCGTACGGCCCGGTGCTCGGATAAGGTTATGTCCGAATTAGGCATGTTCCGACGCAGAAGTAAACCAAGTTCACAGAAAGCTCCATGGCCATGTTCAGACGTACTTATGATAAGTAGGTGTCGGCGAAGAGCGAACGCTGCAGCACGATCTCGTCGCCACCGCCTTGCCGTCAGTTGGGTCGATTAGAGCTATATATTTTAAACACCGCCTCACTTACCATATTTAAATATTATTGGCACCTGCAGAACACCAGGCTGCTATGTTGTGGCGTTTGTCGTACTCACGTAGTATATCTCTTGCGATCAAATGCAGTGTCATTCGGTAGACATTGTCATGAACCTGGAAGTACACATATCGCACGGGAAATTGGACACGTCCGTTGGCAAGAAATCCTGAGAACCCGATTACAGACGTATGGTACAAGGTTCATATCAGAACGTCAGTAGAATTGCCTCTGTTGCACGCAAGTCAAAGCCGTCTGACAGATCAATCGTCTCCAAGTCGAGCTGACCCGTGGGGCTGACATTTGCAGTCTCCTCATAGCTCTGGCCGGCCCAGGTAAGGTTCTGCGTGTCATCTGCGTAGTTGATGACGAGCCTCCGCCCTGTAGCGGTCGAAGCTGACGTCGTGCCGTTCACGAAGTCGAGGCCGATGTGAACCACGGGGCGCGTACCTGTGCTATCGGCGACCCAAGCATTGAGGTTGACGAATACGGCACGGGTGAGCTGCCCGTTCTCGAACGCAGCGTATCCGGCCGTATCAGGATCATTGACTGTGAGCTCAACGATGCTGGCTGCGCCGCTGTTGCCGATGAAGGTGTCAATAACAAGGCCGCCGTAGTAAGCAGGCTGAATGTGAGGAGGCGCCGGAGGGTCGAGCGCGCTTCCGTTGATGGTCGAGTAGTTCAGGGTGACGGGTTGCAGCTGAAGCGATGGTCAACGTCAACGTCGAGCTCGAGAAAGAAAGTGTACTGACGAAGTTGTACTTGTAACCGATGCCCTCATGGAAGTACAGTTCCTCGATACCAATGGTAGACGCAAACAACGCGTAGTCGATGACCCATAGGGCCGCGCCTGCTGTGTTGCTAACCCCGGGCGCGCCATGGCAGGCAATACTGTTGGTCTCGCTGTTGCGGTAGCTCGTCAGTTCGTATCCATCAGCACTCGAGATGACGCCTGCTCACCCCAATACATACGCAAGGCCGTTCTCATGCGACGCTGTGATGTCCGCCTCGAAGATGGTCAAGTTTCCACGCACAGTCGTCTTGTTCATGAACGAGATCAGACCGAAGGCGCCACCATTGCAGAATGCTGCGGAGTACTGGTGTTGCGAGATCCTGGGGCGCAAGTTAGAACAGTGGTCTCAGCAGATCCAGCTCTACCTACGTTGAGATCGTCTGTCCAGCTGTGCTGTTCAGGATACCAAGTGCGAAGATCTCCCTGGGGGTGAACGCCTGTGATGCGAACGCCGCTCCTTGGAGGGTGACAGGCCCGTTTCTGCCGTTAATCGCCGCTGCTTCCACGACGGGATCGGCGATAGACTCCCAGTCGGGCACATAATCCTCGACGGTCCAGTTACCCTTTTCGCGGAGACCGTTGTTTCCGTACAGATCGGCCTCGTTCCCTAGACGCAGACCACAGATGAGCAGAATTCAGGCATACGTAGCACACAAGACGTACCGACTTCGATGCGCTCGAGGACGACACCGGAGTCAATGACATCTTGTGAACCGAAGGCTTTGACGATGGCGTTTGCCATGTTGACTGCGTTCGTAACATTGTTATAGCCGAGGTTTACTCCCCAGACCATGTGAGTGCCTGTGTCGGTCAGGTTAGCCGGACGCCTGACCAGTATATGACCTGGTGCAAACCTGAAGGGAGCCATTTTGACAGGACGTAGTATTCGCTCCCAACAGTGATATTAGTTGCCTCAGGGTAAGGCGTGATCGTGTTAGACGGCGGGAATACGTCCTCGTTGATCTGCGAGCCTGATGAGTCGAGAACGCCAAGAATTGTTGTTTCACATACCGTCACCGTGGGCGACCAGACTGAGTGATCCTCGGAATCAGCACCGACGCGGATCTTCGGCGGCTGTCCGGTGAGATTCGCATAGGTCGTCAACGCATTGTACGTGAATTCGTTGCGCTCGTCGATCCCACTCCACTCAGGCCAGTTGTCCTGTTCAATGGAAAACGAGAGCAAGGTCGATGCCAGAGGCAATGAATTTGTGGGTGCGAGGACAGGAACGTCAACAGACACATTCGACGCGCCGGCGGACGCGACGCCGAGGGCCAGCGCGGCCAGGAGGGCTTGAGAATACATGGGGGCAAAGATGAGGGCTGCGTACGGCGAGGACGTCTTCCCTGCGAAGTGCCTTTATACCCGGAAAAGCACGGCACGCTTCGCTGAGAGTGTCCGTACATCGCTACGGGACCAGGGCCGAGATCCTGTTTGTGATCCTCGAAGAAGTGGAAACGTTCGGGGCCTCGTGGCCAAAGTGCCCGGTGGGATTGCGATGCCGCAAGTCACGACAGGAGTCAGCCGACCCCCGAGGGAAGATGTGCACTGCTGGCCAAGGAAAATCGCTGCTCCCTGATCCCCGCAAGCTATGAATACGTGAGATCAAGTGACGAGACCTCGCTCGAACACGAAACAGCATTCAAGCTGTGTAGTACGCTTGTAGCTTGATTGCAATTTGCCTCCCGTATGCTCCACGTGACTTGTCTGGAAGCCGGCCTTATAGAAGGATGATGGACTAGATCACCATGGCGAGGTTGACGTTGGGTTGACGAGACCCTCAGTGCACAGGGGCACACGACAATAACAGAAGAGTCTATGTAAGACATCGCCCGCTCCCAATAGGAGACAAAAATACCTTGTATGAATCGGTAATCCGTCGGAGGGACCGAGGATCTCGAGGACAACATCCAAGCATCAGGAGTTCAGCGCTCTGGCCATCAGCGGGTCGGCACCATACGATGGACCAAACGCGGCCTCAGGCACTAAGGTATTGGACTATGAGCCCAGGTGATGCGACCATAATGTCTGCATGTCATCTGGGAGTTGTCGGACCGACTGCGACGACATTCTGGGTGACAGACAGCCTGTGACTGGCCTGTGAGCAACCTTCATGCAAGAACGATCGGCACTGATCGAGGCTATCACAAACATGTCCGATATGTGGCAATGTGGCAAGCTCGAGCCGGTACAGGGGAGGCCCTCTACAGCCTAACCCCTGTGAGCTGTAAGCCGGAGAGGTATGGGACCATTCGACATCAATGATGGACGCCTTACCTCAAGGACATGTCTTCAGAGTACCCATGTACATGTTCAAGAGCCTCACTGGCCGTCAAGATATGTTCTAAGGAGCATGTCATTAATCACCGCAGCGCATGTTGCATACAGCCACCTGACTCTTCGCGGAGACCAAGCTGAAGCCTTGCTTCGGCACCGGGCCGACGATGTCTGTGACGTCAATGTCAGCGATGGGGTAGAGCATCTCACGGAACACTGGACAGGTCACCAGTACAGTCATGTCGTGGTTGTGTTCCTGATTTGCGTCGTAGTGGAATTTGGAGGGCTCCTTCTAGCTGCTGAACGTCGGAACCCCGGAGTGAAAACGTATCTCCTCCTGACAAAGTCTCGATGACCGCGTTGTGGGATTACAGGGCGCAGGTAGTTGTGTCCCATCATGTACGTGACCAGTGAACTACTGTGAAGCAAGCTCAGCAACTACGGACACCAAGTGGAAGACATCGGCAACGACCCACCTCACCAACTGGATGATCCTAGGGGTATGTCACACTCACTTCGTCAGTAGACACGTTGGTGCATGAGGAGATGCATTCGGGATATCAGATACAACAAACATAACAAAAAACAGATCGTTGAGGATCCCTGCGACCACCTATTCGCGCTACACTAAGCCTATGAGCGGCCCATAACTCACTAGCTAAGTACTGTTACAGTCTCATGATGTTCGGATTTTCTTTCGCGTTGCGCCGAGGAAGGCGCATATGCTTAGACGTCGGGCCAGATCGCCTTAGCGGTGTCGACAACCAGGCGGAGCTTCTTCACGACGTCCTCCTCCGTGACGGGGTTCCCGTCCGCGTGCGACGCGAAGCCGCACTGCGGGCTGATGCAAATCCTACGCAGCAGGTGAGCCATCACGGATGGGTGGTATGCAAGGAACGACGCACTGGTTCAACGCCTCCTCCTTGGAGCGCTTCTCTTCGCCGTTCGCGATGACCTCAGCAGCGGCGTGCACCTTCTTCACGAGCTCGTCCTTGTCCTCCATCTTCGGGAACTTGCTCGAGATGATGCCGAGCACGACCGACTTGTTGCGCGGCAGCCAGCGGAGAGGCTCGAACGTACCCGCACGCTCGGTCTCGTACTCCAGCTGTATGCAGGGTATGAGAGGTCAGTGCGGGCGGAGGGAAGGAGCGAAGGTGACGAACGTAGTAGGTATCTGCGGCGATGTCCCGGAAGAGGCTGATAGCGATGTTATCGTAGCCGCCCTCACTGAAGTGACGTCCATCCTGCACAAGATCATACGTGTCAGCCGCTACCTGCTGCATGATCATTCGAACTGAGCTGGAATGTGAAGCGTACCCTGAAGTTTCCGCGGCACAAGTGGATACCGAGCGTGATGTCCTCAGGGTGACCCTTGAGGATGTCGTTGTAGACCTTGACGTAGAGAGCGAGCAGCGCTTTGTGGTCCACGCCGCGTTCCTCCATGCCCTTCAGCATCTTCTCGGAGCAGAAGTACGCGAGCAGAGGGTCGTCGAACTGGATGTTGCCTAGTGTCGGTATGCGGAGGAACGATATGTCAGATGATGCGAAGATTAGTTGAAAGGACTGTGCGTACGGCAACCCAACTTGTACAGATCCTGGATCTCCTCGCGGTATGCCTGGACGACGTCCGCGAAGTACTCGTCTGTTAGTTACTCGTTCAGCGCCGTATCCCATGTGCAGAGAGGCGGGGGCCGTACCATCAGTCGAGTAGACAGACTTCGGGTAGGCATAGGGCCCATGGCGGAGGTGGAACCATTCCGGAGCGCACATCGTGATCTTCAGATTCTTGTGCTCCTACAACATACGATCATCCATTAAGAGACTGCGCTACCCTTCGTGTCTGGCGGACGCACCTCTGGCTTCGTCAAAGCCTTCAGAGCCTCGTACTGGCTGACATAGAAGGGCTTGGTTCGCTTGAGCTTCGACTGTAGGAACGGGAAAACATGAGAGGCAGATCTCGGCGCAGAGATTATATAAGGCACCTACCTCGCAGATGTAGGACGCAGCACCCTTGAAGTTCTGCTTCTTGAACGCATCGATGTCGGGGACGTAGTCCTAGTTGCAAGAGGTCGTCATGAGCCCATTGACAGAGAAGGACAGTGAGTGTTAGTTACCATGAACCAGTCGATCGGTACTAGATCACAAGAACTTCAGTATCGCGCCCGCTATACGAAAGCAAAGTAGAACATACCGACGGGGATGTACTTCATGCCGTCCAGATTGTCGAAGACACCATCGTAGAACATATGTCTGCATCGCGCAAAGGTTCAGCACGTCGTCATCAACAGCATATATGCGGAAAACTCGAAGAACATTCCAACTAGACTGCGTCGTCTAATCGCACCGACGACAACGAAGCCGGCTCGGTCTGATGTCCTCCCTCCCGAGCACCCTATCAAATTCGCCCTTGGACATCTCAGTGACCTGACAGCGACAGCACAATCTGTACCGCGCTGAACATCTCAAGGCTGTTGGCATTGCTGCTGAGTCGCCCCCTTGCCATCTCGCGAGCTGCCCACCCGCGCCCAGCTGCTCACCCGGCGACGCATGCAAACCGACTCGCTTCGGGGAGGACCATGGTGATGGACCCAGCGATCGTGGGCGAGATAGAGATGCGACACAAGCCAGAACAAGACGACGTACCTCCTGAATTCACCGTCGGTGATCGACTTGATGCCAGCCTCCCTCTGCATCTCAACAATAGCGGCGATCGACTCATCCTCGACCGCCTTCAGCTCTTCCGTGGTGAGCTTGCCATCGTCGCGCTCCTTGCGCTTTGCGAGGAGCTTCGCGGGACGCTTGAGCGAGCCGATGTGGTCCGCGCGAAAAGGGGGGAAGAGGTGGGGCGTCGAGGAGACCATGTCGGCGACGGAGTCGAAGATGGATGGATCGGGGAGAGTCGAAGGGGACGGTGGTCGAGTATCGCACGACTTTAATCAAGGGGCGGGTTGACATTTTGTAGATCAGAGGTCGAGCAACGGAAGGACGGTTTATCCAGCAGCATCCGCTCGACGGACGCCCTGTGGCTCACCCGCCAGTCTTGTGGTCGCCTTCGCCCGCCTGGTGACCATGCGATGACCACAGCGATAGGATAGAATGGCATGGCTCCAGTAAGCAATAGTAAGCCAAGTCCGTTCTTTGAGCGAGGATGGAAGAACTCTTCCACGCACTGAGCGTCACCACACTCTGGCGGCCGGGTAGACTGCGAGGCGAACGCCTAAACCGCTCACCAGCCCTGCCGCCACACTGCCCATCATCCTCCTCCCCATATATATGCCTGCTCATGACGTGAATAGGTCGGATGTTCCTACCAGCGAGGGTCACGCCCCCATCTTCCCGCATTTCTAGACTCGACGGAAGGTTGTGCGACAGCCTTCGTTCTTTGTCCGGTAGCCCTCCGGTAGTACGTACGCGGGGAGAGGAAGAGCATTCGCTCGCAGCCAAGTGCATGGACGCAGTGTAGGTCGCTAAGAGGAAGACTGCCAGGCCTCGGTGGCAGCGAGGGTCCGATAACGCGCCGGCCCAGGTAGTCGGTTGACCAGATGGGCAGGAAGTGTAGGCTATAGGACTATGTGTAGGAGGTCGGGTGAAGATTGTCTTGAAGATAGTAGGTGGAGGACCTGTCAGAATCCAGGATATCGGCTAACCAGATCACGATCAGAAGTCATTCCTTCACCACATCCACCACTCACCACGGAGACATTACCGAGCTACCATACGCAACGAGAACCAAGTACGTGCGGGATCGGCGGGCTGCGTCTGCAGGCGCTACTTATGTATGAACCTCCCCGGTTCATTCGGTATCCCTCGGTAAGCACTCGCTGGCACGAGTCGCACGACATCCCACGCAGCTGAACTGATCTTCCAGCGATGCTATGAAGTTATAGTAGTAGGTTCCGTTTGGGACCCGTGCTTACAAGACGTCATTGGGTTGTTGAACGCGCCAGACGTCGAACACGCAGCGAAGAGCCAGGAGTGTAACGAACGTTTCATGCAAGTACTTGAGACCTCCAAAGCCCGCGTGCGCTCGACCTATGTGAACCCAACGAACATGCGATGGTACGTTCCCTCTTGCGGTTGACGTGACTAGGGTGTCGCTGCTCCTGAAGTATCTCTTTGCGCGATCGCGATGTACGTAACGTCCGTATCCTCGCTCATCCGTGCACCTCATTGCTCATAGCATTTCTCAGGCTGTGACATCGCCGTAAGATCTTCTCGCTGCTGCCACGTGCGATCCGTGTACCGTGAATATTGGCCACCTGGAGAATGTTGAGACGACATGGGTTATTCTCTCCAATACTTGCATCGAATCAGCCTCTGCCATGTCGAAACGCAGAGCATCTGCGCATTCTGCAACATAATTCAGCCAGCAATGCAAATGGCGTCATGTCATCATTCGCAGGCTACATCATGAGGTAAGTACAATACATGGATCCGTGCTACTACACTAATACGCTAAATAGATACACCCTAGGGCGATAAGGTATGCTGTCAGTCAGAACCTCCGTTGCCATCTACTTCCCGGCCTTCATGCTCGAGTTTTTTTCCCATGGACTTCATGGCTTGTTTGATGTTCCACGATCCGCGCACCGTGTCAAACAACGTCTGCTGGCGATTTGGCTTAAATCCTTGCGGGAACCGCTCGTGCTCCCACCACTCCCTCAACCAGTCCACAGGCACGCACCCGTCCTTCCCTCCAAAGATGCCCAGGACCATCGACATCTCCCCGCGCGCGATCTCCTCGTGCACCGCGTCCAGCGGGTGGGCGTAGTCAGCCTCGCGCTCGAGCCGCGCCTCCGCGAGATCGCGCAGCGTCATGGTCTCCCCGTCAGAGGAGTGCGCGAGCACGCGGTCGAGCAGCCAAGTGCTCGGCTTGTCGGGCGCGTACTCCTGTGTCACGAGCGTGTCCCAGTGGCCGAGCGACGCGTCGTGCTCGATGCAGTTGTGCCGCGAGAGGTCCGCGAGCGAAAGGAGGGAGTACTGCGAGAGCAGGACGTGTCCGCTCACGGTGAGGAACGTCGCGAGCGGGAGCGAGAGGTTGTATCCCTGCCGCAGCGCACGGATGTATTCCCGCTGCGTTGCGCCGCGGCCATCATGTGGGCTGTGGGTGATGTGAGCAGGTGCGGTCGTGCTCGGGGGAGATCTGACTTACAGGAAGCCGTGGTTCGCTAGCGCGTTCAGCGCGGGGCACGGTGATCGACTGTCCCAGTTCGGGTCAGGCGGAACGTAGGGGTATTTTTCCAAGGAAAATTCCTCGATGGGTTCGTTGAGAAGATCGTCAAATTCGTGTCTAAGAGAGAGTGAGTCTACATCCATCTAAGGGTCACTCGTTTGACATACAGAAGTCTGATCGTTATAGCCAGGGTCGCCATAGCTAGGGCGCATTTGAGCAGCAACCTGACTACAGTGTAGGGTTTCATTGGGGGCATCGTTGAGGTACGTGAAAGACGAGGCTGGTTCAATGAAGGCTGGAGGAAGAAGCTCGATTAAATAGAGGCCTAGAGAATACTCTGCGTGTATATGGAGGGACGGATATGGTTCACGGTGGACCAATGCCACGAGCTTTATGAGCGAAGAGAAGCCGTCGACTTGGTTAACGTGTTAGGGAAATCTTGTGCTCCATGCTGAGGCACATAACTGCCTTACGACAGATCAACTTGATGAAATGACCACATCGTGCCATCGGACATGAGACACGAGACAATGTCCATCCCTCTAGCGGACAGATTAGCCTAACGTGAGTACAGCATCATGTACGTCCCATCACGAATATTGACCAGCGCCCCCCTGCGCGCTCATACGGCGCGGAAATTGAACAGACTGGGAATGCAGTTCACAACAGTTCACCTGTACTGCTGAAGAAACGCCGTTGAACAAGGCAACTTGCAGCGACAGCGCCCGAGCGCCCATAGAGATGGTTGCAGGTGGTCAACACAGCATAGTGGCAGCCTTGCGCTTCACCAAATGCCCAGCCGCGTGCAATGTACGGCCATCTTCTGGATGCCAGGATGGTGCGCTACTAGTAGGGTGTGCTCCATGGCAGCGAGCGGGCACTACAGGATCTGTCACATCGGAGGCCAGTCTAAACATAGAGAGTGAGTTCCGCGATACCGACTCTCCGTTGAGACCGCTTTCCGACGATCTCAAGTATGGGATATATGTGCGAGAATCCGAGGTTCTTCGCCTTACCAGACATCGGCGTGAAAGCTTTCTATGGAAAACACAAAGCTCTCGCAGACGCAACGGCGATTCAACGTGCCACCGACTCGGCTTCTCTTCTCAAGCTCCGTGCACAGGCGAGCGCCATGAAGTTGAAGCATCATATCAGTGTATCGCCGTCCGGGGCTGTACGATTCAACGAATGGCTGTATGTGCGCACTCCATTTCTATTGTCTATTGAATGCAGGGAAGATGACTGCCGTTGCTTTGGCAACGAAGATCCCGTCGCAAACACAACACTTGCGGTCGCAGCGGCTGGCGCTGAGGCCTGTTCAAGAAGAAGGTGGTCATTTCCTGCCAGTAGTGATCACCGCTCACTGTCCCATTCTTATTGAGGGATTGTCCTGATAGACAGATGACGTGGCAGCCGGCGACGACTCGGTATTCGCTCATGTAAGCTGTTCAGGGTTTAGAGAGCTGAAGTGACACGCAGGTACCTGGCATCCATGCGGTACGTACCGTGCCTGACACGACAATGTTGCAGTACTCTGACTGCGTATATGTAGCAGAGCGTTCGTTCTTGCGCAGAGACACCGAGGCCGTACCAACGTCTAGCTGACTGTTAGCGATATCGAGCCAACGTGGCTACGTAGTAGGCGGCTGTTATGCTAGCCTCGAAACATATCAAGTTAAGATGCGCCGAGTTATGACAGAGCACAGGACACCTCGTGCATTTCTGCAGCGCTCTCGGAGGCTTCAGGAAGATTCGAATCACTATGGCATGGTCAATAGAAATTGAGGCGTGGTGATTGAACGAGACCAGCAAGTGTTCGGAAATATGAGCCACATACAGACGGCGTTGTATCCCGGGTCTGGAATGTCACTCACCATGCGAGCACCATCATCATCATTGTGGTACTGGGGATTGGAAGAGCGTGTGATTGGTCTCCTTAGATCGCTACAAGCACCAGATTTTTCGCGACGGATGGGAAGGGAACCTTCACAGTATTATACAAAGGACTACGGGATTATTGAGGCATGATAAGGGTGGGAGAGAACGTTGAAACATTAAGTTAATGGATGCCTTCCCGCAGAGGTTTACAGCGCGTTCTATCCTAAATTCGCACTGTAAATCTCTGCGGCAAGTCGGCATCTCGTGTGTACCGTTGCTTCGGATCAGTACACCTCTCTTCTAAACAGCTCATTTAGAAGGGGGGTAGGACCCCCCCTTCTAGGTACAAAACACGTCCGTAAAGTTGAGTTTGAGCCTCCGACGAGATTTGGATCTTACCGTCGCGCCCGCGCGTCGCACCCTGACTGTGCTCTGCGCCGTATTCGCACGAAAACAAGCGGGAATTGTGGGGATATTGAGTGGATGGGCGCCGGGATGGTCAGAAGACGGCGCTTAACCCGTCGATGGTGTCGACAGAGGGGCGTTGGTTAGTGCCCCCTCGACAACACAGAAGCCTGCTCAACGAAACTATGTGATAACACTGCCGTACGGTTCTGGGCTCTGGGTTTGCCGTGCCAAGTGCACCGCCCGGACCTGCATGCAAACTATGCCATATACCCTTGACCTACGCGCTACCCTGGAGACCCGCCCCGATGCCGCCTGTGCGCGATGCCACTTCTATGTAATGCCTCCTCTGAGTGATGACGTTTCTACGTGACGAGTCGCTTCGAGCGATGATACCGTCTTGTAGCGTACTTCCGTCGTGTAGTGTGCTCAGAGTGTGCTCGTTTGACGAAGCCGTCTCATACTAGCATGTCCGAGTCCACGCGACGACGCTACCTCGTTGCATATTCGCTCGACGAAGCCGTCTCGCAGCCGTCTAGCTCGACAATGACAGCAGACAAGCCTCGCCCATGGAACATGCGAGTCAGTGAGATATCTATGCTTGAAAATATACAGACACATTCGCACAGCCAGCCTGAGTGTCTTACGCGACGGTAACGTTGTGCCACCACGGCAGCGCGGCATCATTTGAACTCCGCAAGGTAGTGTCCATGGATTTTGAGTGGAGCTACGGAGGCGCACTGCAGATAAACATTCCTTAACCATAAGATTCAAGGCCCGCGCATGCATTTAGAATCACTGAAAAGCCTGCGGGAAGGCATCCAATGTTCGATTGAAACCAGTCCAGGCTTCAGCGCTTCAGCCACTCGCAATTAGCGGAAAGTGCCGATACGTAGATGACGGTATCGCAGAGCCTCACAAGTACCTGAAGCCTCAAGCAGTACTAGTCTAGTTATCCTTCGTGCCCTCGCCCTCGTACGCGTCCTCATCGAACACGCGTCATGCGAGCATGAAATTGAACATTCCGAGATGTAGTATGGATCAATTACGTCATGATTCCCAAATATGCTCATGGCGGATCTCCAACGGCGTACTGGCAGTGTACGCGCAAGTACACGCCGGATACTATGAATCGCTTGATGTCTTCGGTTCGCACGTAAGTAGATGTGCAAGGTAAATAGTGCGGAGGGAGACGGCGATCCTAATAATGGAGGCCACCGTGCTCCCATGATCAACCTGACCCGCGCGGCCGGCGGACTTATTCAAGCCTTCCATTTCTCTCGTGGACTGTATGCTAGCAATGAACATAAACATCTTGTTTGTTACCAACCTATGTCCGTCTCACCGATCAATGTCACCCTGTGATTCCCTAGGTATGCATATGGACGAACGTCGTCAAGCCCACACAGACCTCGCATCGCTCGTACGCCGCCCACCGCGCGGTCGAGCGATGTACAACAGCGGGTTGCTGTAGATGATCAGTGACTTCTTGTCCGCCCTATCTCCTTGTAAGCGCACGGGTTAGCAGCATGTAAGCGGTACAAACGCTCACAGCCGCGACGCTGATAACTGATCATGCACTCCCGGGGACTCGTACCCAGGGGGAAACCCGAAACACAAAATGACAGACTTACCACAGGACGAGCAACTACAGCCTGTATGACAGGTCCATACCCAGACTATAATACACCGTCCAGATCATTATCATACTCAGATTTCCACTGTCATGTCCACAAGTCCAAGTGGCGACGGCCGCGGACCCCAAACGAAGCGGGTACTTCACCCCACCCTCAACCCTAGCCTAGATGAAGCCAATGCCATCGACTTCCATCGACTTCCGATGTGGCCACCTCTCGGGCGTCCAGAATCTTGGAAGTTCAGCGGCCTGAGGTCCCCCTGGGCGAGCTTGCGACCCTGAAAAACCTTGACGCCTCATGCACCGCAGCGCGCATGGGCACAAAGGGCTTTCCGCATGCAGAGGGGGCGCACTCTCGTCCTCGAGGTATTCGATAACAACTATCTTGTCAAAACTCGTGAGTGGGCTCTGCCAGATGCGCCGATATCACATTAGCCCCCCGCGGTCAATGAACGTGTCACTCACGGGTACATTTCCTTGGGTAGGATTGGGCGACCAGGAGCTCGCAGAGTTGGCTACGCATGATCCCACTTCGGCTCTTGTCAGCCGTGCCTTTACGCAGTCGAACGAGCCACGATTTCTGGAACTTCGAAAAAAGCATCGCAGCAGCGGTGGGGTGAACTTTCCATAGCAGTCAACCGTCACGGTAAATTTTACTTCCTCAGCCGCTGTTGACTCACTCACGGTCCAGGTGGAGGTGTTTGATCCTCGAGAAGCTCACGCCTTTCGGTCGGTGACACCTGTGTTTTAAAATATCAGCAGCCACGAATCCTTCAACTTGTATATAGAACGGATGATTTACTGATGATGGGCGTGAGCAAGCTGTGCCTGAGCACGTCGGAGGCAAGACCACCTAGTCTGCACTGTATTCAGCTAACGCAGAAGAGTGTTAGGAACCGTGCTAAGATTCTGCTGCCGCCTCACTTCTGTAGGTGCAAGTGACCGGAGGAGGAGGAGGAGAGCCCGGCGGCAGATGCCGTGACATGTTTACATAACCTTCCTTTAGCGCCTGCTGCAGTACTTCCCAAGTACTTAACTTTCTGGCGATGTACACCAAGTTCGACCTGGAACCAAGCCGTCAATAGGTTCCATGTCATATACTATACTCGCCTACTTTGTTTCTCAACGCATCATTCCTATACAATAAGTACCAGGTCACCCCCAATGAAAATATTCCAGGGTGCCTGCACTGGGTAGATTTCCAGTCCAATACTTACTACCAATCGTCACAGAGTTCGTGCCCGTACGCATGCAACGTCGAAGACATCTTCAATACCACGCCACTGGCCATCATCTTCACAGAATCCTCCGGGGAAACGATAGGGCATTCTCTGGCCACATAACTCTATGAGAGGGGTTAGAACGACTGTCCGGTTCCCACCCGATCCTGTCCGTCGTTTAAACTCCCATACGAATTGAACGATACGCTACCGTTCAGTCTTGGGTACCGGTGTGCTGTGGGTCAATTGGATATCACTGATTCACCAAGCGAATTCAGAGACCTGCCGGAAAGAACCCCGTATGAACGACCGCTGTGTCCAGCTCGCAGATCTGTGGCGGCTGACATGGCAGACGGGGTCAGCCTCTACATATCGAAGGTCATAAACGGCGCACAGCTCCCGCAACTCAAACAACTTCGGCCGCATCTATCTCGCCCATCTGCACTCTTCCTTCCGTCTGAAGTCCACAGCAGCATGGCAGCCAGTGGTATGACCAACGATGTAGCTGCAGATAGCAAACGCCTCTGCTACACGAATGTTCTCAAGCTCGCAAGCGCCATACACGCCATGTCCGCGACCGAATGCCATCCGAGAGAGTGCGTCATCGTCCTCACAGACTCTCGACTGACTGCTGAGCATCTGACGCTTCGCTGCAGCGTACGCTCCCAAGTGACCTCTGCGCAGCTGGACGAGATCGAGAAAGCTCTCGCGGCCATGCCCACCGCACTCCAGTACGTCCGCAACGCACTCTCGCCGATCAACGCCATCCCTATCGAGCTCCTCGCGAACATCTTCAAGATGGTCGTCGAGCCCGCACAGTCCTTCCCCCACTCATACACCACCAACCCGGACCCCATCGACGGTATGCACGTGTCCCAGGTGTGTCGCCACTGGCGGAGCGTCGCCTTCGCGTTCCCGGACTTGTGGTCGACGGTCGACACTGCGCGCCCGATGTCGGTCAATGCGATGCTCCACCGCGCTCGCGGAGCGCCGCTGAAGGTGATCATGCGCGACCGCGTGAGCGACGACTGTGTCGTGCCTTGTCTGAAGGACACTGGAGTCTTGATGGACATCGTGGACGAGTCGCACCGGATCGAGGAGCTGCACGTCGAGCCGAAGTTTGCCTACGGGAGTCTGCTGATCGAACGCTTCAACCAGCCGGCGCCGAACCTGCGTGCGCTCACCATCAACCACGTCCAAGGACCCATAAGCAACTCCTTCCTGCCCAAGCTGTTCGACGGATGCACGCCACGGCTGGAGCGCCTCACCATGGGAGGCTTCACGTACTGGCGAGGAAACTCGTTCAGCAACCTTACTCACCTATGCTTGCACGACCATGCCCCCGAGAACCGGCGCCCTCTGTCTTCGTTGCTGCAGCTTCTCGAGTCTTGTCCCTACCTCGACGAGCTCGCCCTCGTCGCGGCCGACCTCAACCTCGAAGTCGAACGCGACCAGAGTTTGTTCAACACCGTCCTGCAGCCCGCAGTGCTGCCGTGCCTGCGTACGCTCGACATCGGCCACTCGTTCTCTCCCCAGGCTACCGCGCGGCTCCTCTCGCACCTCATACTTCCGCCGCACACCGCGATCAACATCTGGGCGCCGGCGTCGGCGCACTTCTTCGGCAAGATCAACGGAGCGAGGCTGGCGAACTTGATCCCGGACGATATCATCAAGCTTGGGCCTCTGCGGACGCTGCACGCTGTCCGGATCCTGGATCACAAGCATGCTGAGCGGCTCGCTGGTGTGAAAAGGCTGGGCGACAAGACGATGGACGTACTCTCTGTACATGACGGCGTCCTTCACCTCATCAGCAACTTCTGGAGCCAGGACGTTCTGGAGGGCCTTGTCAAGAAGCTGCACGCACAGGACATCCGCGAGATCACGCTTGCGGTGGACGCTGGGGAGTTCCTGTCGTCCGACGCATGGATGAGAGTGCTGAAGCGGACCGATGGCCTGACGAAGCTCACCGTCCTGCCCAAGTGTTCCGGTGCCCTGCTAGCCCTTCGTGTCCCGGGTATCTGCCCGAGGCTCTCCGAGTTGACCGTGCAGGAGGAGCGGCACTGCACCGGTATCCTACTAGAAAGCGTCGTTTCGCAGCGTGCCGATGAAGAGCGTCCGCTGGACCGGCTAAGGGTCCTGGAGGGCATCTCTACGTCGCCGGGCTCTCCCCAGCTAGACGACTACACGGAGCGGCATCTGCGGGAATGTGTCAGGAAGCTAGAATATAAGCCGACAACGTTCGACGAGAAGGAACTAGCGCCTACGGCGTGGCCGAGTGACGCATACCGGTGGAATCTGACTGCTCGATCTGGAAGGTGAAGAGGGACGAGAGGTATGGGATATATCATGGGTCAATGGATATCTTGGATAGAATAATCCGGATACGGGAACATCTTGTAGTACAGCGGGATAGCAATGGCAAGAGCGAGCAGACTGGGGGTTCTACAGGACATTAGCGAGAAATCAATAATGATATCTATTGGACGTTTCGGTTGTCGACTGATGGGTTGAGTAACGATTGCAGCTGGGATGGAATCGTGAGCGCAGTTCACTTGGCATGCTGTGTGGCTCCTACCTGATCGAGCTCAGACGCTACACCTTCATTGGTGGATGTGCCCTCTCCATTGCCGGACTGCGAAGCACCACCACTCTATAGGGCGGCATATTAGCAAGTGGACGAGCGAAGTGTGTAGAAGGAAATATTTGGACGAAGGCGGTTGATATCTCCCAGTAGAGCACGTACATCAACCTTCGCCTGTGAGCCACTCGCCTTCTTCCCCTGACTCCTGCCGGCATTCGCGGCGCCAGCAAGAGGCTCTTCGCGGGGGACGATGTCAATGAGGAAGTCGAACTGGTCAGACTTGCTGAGTGCCTTGGCGATGTCTGCCCGCGATAGGGTTCGCCGCTTGTTCGAGTCAGCGATGATGAAGGCGCGTGCAGTAATCTCCGCGATGAAGACTGCGATGTGAGTAAGTTGGCTGTTCCGCGGCCTTGTCTTGGTCATACGAAGCACGTACCCTCGCATGCCTTGCAAAACAGGATAGGTGCTAAGCCGCAGTGAGACGCGTCGCTTTCACGTCAACTGCGCGTGGCAAAACGTACCATCCGCGGCGATCATCTGCAATCGCGAGCGTACGTATCAGCGCGCTGCTCGGGATGCTGACTGGCAGTTATACGGCACGACTCACTTTCACCTCCGGGTCGCTTTTCATGACTTTCTTGATGCGGGCGAGGGGCAGAGGCGGGTGCCTGTAGTCGGGGGTCTCTTGTTCTGCTGCATCGACTTGGCGTTGCCAGAATGAACGAAGGAAATCCTGGAGCGGTTCGCCCGGCTGGACATACGGTTTCTGGTTGGACGAGGACATCGCGGCGCAGGAGATGGCTTGCTCCCCGCCGCCCAATCACATCGTTCTCAGGATTTATCCGATAGCATACAACAACTCTATGTTATCGTGGTCTCTGTAGACAGCCTTTTGTCTGCGCGCTTTCGGAGTTTGAACCTGCAAAATGCTGCTGCAACGGTCGAGGCGCGTCTCCTCGCGAACGCATCCAAAGTCTGCACGACCTCCTCCAAGCGCGACGCGTTCTTTGAATCCATCTCATCATGTCGGCATCGACGTCGTCTGCTCCAGTTGCGCACAATGCGCTGCCGCCACCTTCAACGACGTCTGCAGCCCGCTCATCACGCATCGCGCCACACTCGCACATCAAGGGACTTGGGCTCACCCCGGAGGGGACGGCTAGTGGAGATGCGGCCGGATTCATTGGACAGTCCAATGCACGAGAGGTATGCACCTGAGAAACTGTCCGTCAGATGGGTAGCATATGACCCATAAGCTAACCCATTGTATCAATAGGCATGTGGCGTCGTAGTAGACCTCGTCAAGTCACGCAGGTTTTCTGGACGTGCCTTGCTGCTCGCCGGAGCACCTGGTACAGGAAAGACCGCGCTCGCTTTGGCTATCTGCCAGGAGCTGGGTGCGAAGGTGCCGTTCTGTCCCATGGTCGGGTCGGAGGTGTATTCTACGGAAGTGAAGAAGACGGAGGTCCTTGCCGAGGCCTTCCGCCGTGCCATCGGTACGTTCTGAGTATCTATAAGGGCTCGTGAGGTTTACGACTGCTCCCAGGCCTGCGGATAAAGGAGACAAAAGAAGTATACGAGGGCGAGGTTACCGAACTCACCCCCACGGAGTCCGAGAACCCTCTGAGCGGGTACGGAAAGACCGTCTCTCATGTCATCGTTGGGCTCAAGACAGTCAAGGGCACAAAGCAGCTCCGACTGGACCCGAGCATATATGAGGCCATCTTGAAGGAAAAGATAGTTGTCGGAGACGTCGTCTATGTCGAGGCTAACACGGGTGCAGTGAAGGTGAGTACTAGTCTTAACGTACTGCGAGTCGCTCTGATTCAAGAGCTAGCGAGTAGGGCGTTCAGACGCGTACGCGTCTTCATACGACCTCGAGTCCGAGACGTATGTCCCGTTACCGAAGGGCGACGTCCACAAACGGAAAGAGCTCGTACAGGATGTAACTCTCGGCGACTTGGACGCAGCCAATGCGCGGCCTCAAGGCGGCCAAGACATCATGAGCGTTATGGGCAGCCTCGTGAAGAGTGGCCGCACGGAGGTGACAGAGAAGCTTCGGAAGGAGGTCAACAAGGTCGTAAAGAGCTACGTGGACCAAGGCGTGGCAGAAGTCGTCCCCGGTGTCGTCTTTATCGATGAGGTTGGCGCACAATCTGCAATTGCTTGAGCCTTTTCTCAATATCCGCAGGTTCATATGCTCGACATCGAATGCTTCACTTACCTCAACGCCTTGCTTGAGTCACCCATGGCACCAACAGTCATTCTCGCAACAAACCGAGGGCACTCCCTAGTGCGCGGAACCACGGACATCGTCGCTCCCCATGGAATTCCCGTTGATCTCCTCGATCGGTATGCATATCTTACGTGTAGCGGACGTCTTCTAGTCTGACCGAATCGCGCGATCGCAGTTGTCTCATTGTCAAGACAGAGCGCTATTCGAAGCCCGACATCGCAAAGGTAGTTCAATTGCGTGCTAGTGTCGAAGGCCTGCAAGTCGGCCCCGGTGTGGTCGAAAAGCTGGCGGAGCGTGGCGAATCAAGCTCCCTTCGGTCGGCACTTCGCTCCTGATTCACCTCGACGCTAGCTGACTAGCTGTCATAGATACGCGCTGCAGCTGCTCACGCCAGCGTCCATCCTCGCCATACTCGCTGGCCGAAAACAAATAGAGCTGGAAGACATCAGCGAGATGGGCGAGCTTTTCCTGGACGCGAAGACGAGCGCGGAGGCAATCGGTCCGCAAGGCGGCTTCGACGCTGACAAAACCGTCTAATCGCGCCAATCTATTACTGTGCTTCGTCCGTTCTGTATTTCTTGGCTTGGGTGCGTACGTACCGATGGTGGTGCCGATCCGAGTGCCATGGTCACTGACGGAATTTCGACAGTGCTGGCGCAGGCAGGGCTGGGGACGGCCACGAAAATGAATTGCGGACCTTGTGCGATGGCCCGTAGTGTTTGTACTGATATTCGATGTATTAGATCCTCGGGGCCTGCAACGTGACTCTGTATTGAATTGCATTGAACGGCCTGGTCGGATATGACCTTCGCAGACGTCGCCTTGGGTGTCCGTTGCTGTGATCAGCCAGCTCTATTTACATGCCTTATTGGGGACTGTGTTCTCTTCGGTAATCTAATTGAACTCAGAACGCACCCCCATTGACTTCTAGGTTCTGCGTGGAGGTCAGTTGCTATGCTCTGACCAATCTTCCGTCGTCCCTTGGACCCCTCAATGTCCGATGTTGTTGTTCAAGGCCCGCAATGAAGTGCACCACTACGACAGTCTTCTGCGCTCCGTTGTTCCGCGGTCAGCAGGGTGAGTTCGTTGTGTTAAGGTTATCATACCACCACGTTGTGAACTTCTTCCTCAGAAGATATACAGTATCGTGCGACGTCGCTGTTTCCGCCGGCATGAGGTACCCTTCGCTGCTGTGAAAATTTACATGATTTGTAGATGTGAAAGGACTTCGTGTTCAGCACGGGTGAGTACTATGTTCCGCTCGCGTTTTCGCCCCGCATCTGAGGCCGCCGACAGGTATGCTCGGAGAATCAGCGAATTTAGGTGATTCCTCTAGGCTAAGCACGTATGTAGATCCCACGTCTGTCGAGATACCAGCTACGTGGATGTGAAGCAGCGACCTCTGTCAAACGGCTCGGTCGGCTGGTCAGCTGATCCCCATACCACGCCAATCGGGGAAAGGTATGTGGCTTCAGGCTTCTTTCGATGTGTGCCTCATGCCGCTCTGACCATCACTACGCCAGGGATGCATCGACATCTAAACTCAAAGTGTGGGTTCCTGGACAAGCACGCATGACAAGCTCAAGTGAACGCCATCTTGGTTCATTCCGATGAGCTCAGAAGTGCAGCGAGTCATCAATGGGGTTCATAACGCCACCCAACCAACAGGTCGCCTGTGTGTCGAAGACCAAGACATGCATTCCATGTGGCTTCGCTTCCGAAGATCTTACGAGAAGCGCGGTCCATCGTAGGAGAGCTTGTTCATATAATTGGTATCGCGGTACACCGGCTGCCATTAACCGGAGGAACCTCCCAGTACCATCTCCTTGTCAGCGATCACGAGGCGTCTGGAAGAGCGACTCAGATAGCGACGATAGGTGGGTGCTACTGCTTCTAGGAGTTCTAGTATATAAAATCTCACAAGAGGTCTGTGTTTGCGCTCGTGACAAGTCGTTTCTGTGATACGACGGGAATGGTGTTACAGTGGCAGAATGTCCTTGATCTGCACCATGGTTTCGCGATATGGCCTAACCTCTGCAAGGGTGAGCCATGGCAGTCCGATCGCCGTGCCACCTCCGGACATGCTAAAAGCGGACAGATTAGTGCTTCAGCGAGCCCCGGACGACGCCCTGGTGGTCGCGGCCCGTCGACGCAGCGACAGGAGTGTCACACAAGTCAGAGACGTCGGGGCGCCTTCGCGGAAGCAAATCAACAGACGAGACCTATTTGCGCTAGCGCGCAGGTGAGAGCCATCCCGGGAGCTCGGGAGCTTCCCTGCTGGCAGGCCAATTCAGTCGAGTGCTCTGGATCTGGTGGCACGGATCTTCGCCCGCATGCAGGGCGTGGGGGATCTCGTTCGATGTCGCGGCCACTGCGGTACCCCCCAGTGCTGATGCAATTCGTATTGGGATCACGCGTCTATTCGGCCTTCGAGCCTTTATATATGACCGTTGTGCGCAGACACGCTCACCGGTTCACGACACATCCCCGCCTATACCCTTTCTTTGTACGTTCCCCTTCATACTGCGGCCACGCCGTCTACTAGTGTAACATTCCCTCACCACAAGGGTACCTACAATGATCAACAAGGCTCTCCCGTACTACCTTGAGGACCGTTCCGGCCTGTACACCGGCTCTGACTTCGACGACATCTATGATCGTTTGTTCCTTCGTGTGGCACGACCATCTGCGAGCCCCACGGACGGTCCCCCCACTGCTCTGATGATATACAATGTCGGTCGTCGGTCGTCGAACCAACGCGACTACCGACCCGTACAGCGGGAGCCGGCGGTCGCCCTCGAGTTTGGGTCCAACGGGACCCTTGGGCGGATATCTTTCATGGGCACGTCCATGTCTCTTCCCATGAACCAGTATCTCAAAAAGATCTCGCTGTTTGGAGGGTTCGTCATGTCTCTACACCTTGTCTGACGCAGGCTGATGGTTATGCTACTCACAGATCACTTGTACGGAAGTTCGAAGCGTCGAATGGCGAGGAATACAGATGGACATACAAGAGTGACTCTGAGCACGAGTGGTCGGTGAGTGTTGCCGGTCTCTACGTGACGTCTATATACCTATGGCTGACACTGCTTCATGTCATAGTGTACCGACTCACGCAACTACATTGTGGCACATTACAGCTTGAAGCCTCCGAACAAGCCCGCGTTTCGCACATCCGGGAATGTCTTGACAATTAACGAGGCGCACGCAAGTCTGGCAATCGGTGAGTGGCCACTCTTCGGCCGTCTGTCTTGTAAATCAGAAGGCTCACGGCTTTCGTTTCCTCTTCCAGAACTTTTGGCATCATTGACCATCATGCGTCACATTGCCGCATACCATCTATGATGGGAGCCGAACAGAGCTCGCAGAGAGCTGACATTGCGATCTGCTCCTCGACTACTCTAGTACTACTCATCGTCGAGGCGTCACTACAGTGGCCTCCGGGTCATGGAATGGAAGTATGATACCAGACTACGTCATAATAGGGAAGGGACACTTATCGTAGTGCGAGATCCAAAAGTAGTTCGGCCTCAGAGCCAGTATACATTGTACAGTAGCGGCAGCATTTGAACGACTTCGCACGTGTATTATTACGACTTTGCGGTACGCGTACGGGCCAGGTGTGTAAATATAGCAGCAATGTACCTTGTGACTGATACACCCGGCAAGCCTCATGACGATCTGGGATGTCTTGTAGTCTTTTGAGTACGTGCTAGGTATCGCCATCGCCCACTGCCTTTTGAGTGGTGAGCGTCTGCGGGAGCTTGGTACGAGAGCCATATCCGTGTTTCCCAAGCATCAGACAACGGTCCTGTGAACAGCGCCGTTCCCCATTTCTGATCGACAGCTTGATCAAAACCTGACGGAAGCATAGGGGAAGGCGAAGCGGTGTTGAAGAACAAGACACGAATTGAACAGCCGTATCAACCTACGATGTCTGTCAATGTTGTCAAACAGTTGGTACATGTGACAGACATTCGCACTTCTGGGGTACGAAAATGCGATGTTTACGCCCTTCGTGCGGCTGTTGTTTTGGATATGAGCGCACAGTTTGACACAGCACACAGAAGTGCTCACCTGAGATCGCGGCGGCAGCCACCAGGGGCAAGAAGTCCTGTCTACCCTGTGCAAACTATGATATCGTGATGATGGTCACAGCGTAGATTCCAGCAGCTATTGAATACTAGTCGACTTCAGTGGCCTATGATAAGTAGAAGCGAATGCATCTCACGCGCATGCTCTGCGCAAACAAACCTTGTCATCTTCGGGGATGATGACCAACTGTACTAGTCCGAAGTACGAGCGGATAGCTTTCATACAACAATGAGGGGCACGGCCCTGACCGCCCACCGCCCGCACCGTCACTGACAGGCCGTATGGAATAAGGAGTTCGAGAATTGGCCTTGGAGTACGCATCCGGAATTCTGTGGTTCTGGGGCGCGGTCGCTGCCGAACGCTCAGTTATAAATGCGATAGAGTTGATAGACTCCACCCCGCCTTCCCGCTTCCCGCTAGCCTACTGCTCATCTTCTCAACGCATTGCCGGGAATGTCTAGCTCCAAGGGGTCCGATGTGAAGTGCGTCGATCCTCCTGAACGGGATTGCTATCGAACTGACATTGACACCAGGCCGAACGATACGGAATCCAACCCTCAGGTTGCGCCTCCTACTTTGCCGGAGATCGAACCGACGACGCCTTTGTACGTAGCGATTTTCTGATGCTGCACTGTCACTGACCATTCGGTCACCTCAGATCAGAGACGATTGAGGAGGAAGATGACTTCGACGACTGGAAACCGAGGGGTCCAGTAAAGACGGTCGTCGCCGGCAACAAGGGCAACGCTGTGAGGCGTTGACAGCCTGGCCTACAAGGTAGCTTTGATGGCGCAAACAACGTTGGTTTGAGTGGAGGAGGACACTATGTTGGGATACGCAGCTCCGAGTCATCCGAATCGACTCGAACATGTATGTTGGCACAATCGACTTGCCTAATTTGTAAATCATATCAACCGCTTGGTATCGTCACGTGCTCCAAATTGTCTGGTAGCTTTGAGAATCAAGATGATACGGTGCCGACGCACGCATCATGAGCCTCCTGTCATAACGACTAAACATTGTCTCTCGATAACGTCCTGCATAAGTGGCCTTAGTCGCCATAACAGAGACATAATGGTCTGTTCAGGCCCAGCAGCGGGCACTTGAACCTCATTGTGTCTAGGTTTAGCGAATCAATGGGTGACATGTTTAGAGCAGACCTGTCTCTTACGGTCTCAAACCCCGAACTCATGAATGGAGGTCAGCAAGACCCGTAAGCGGGCGCCTGGTTATTGTTTGTTGAAGTCGTGATCGGAAACGCGGAAGCCCCGGCGAGTAGTGCGTGTCAAACCGCACACGTCGTCCATCGAAATTGGAGGCTGCTGTCGGTTTTGTAAGTTGACTCTGAGAGCCTCAATGCACGCCCCAAGCGCGCACTCTTGACGACGACTATTGTGAGTCCTGGCGAGCGCGAATCTTGGTGTTACCATCACCTAGTATCTTGACCGGCGTCATCAATGGGCCGCTGTAGCTCTCGCAAGCAGCGAAACAGCATAAAATAGCAGCTGTCGAGGCGGTCATAAAAAACGAGTATACCCAGTACTCACTCGGTCATCGACAGGGGCCATGTTCTACTTCGACACCGTGGCAAGTACAGGGTCGGGCATCGAGATGGGCTTTCCTCAGGAGAGCCACCGCCTGAACGTCGCACCGCCTTTTTATTTCTACACGCTTCCCAAGGCGGGGCTCAAGCTCGTCTTCTGCGACAAACCCCGATCCTCCGACGGATACACGAACATCACCCGGGTTATGGAGGAGTTCGTTCATCATCAGCTGCAGAAGAAGAAGACAAAGAAGTTCGATGTCTCTGCCATGATACTCTCGTGAGCGTTTCTTTCCCACATGCTCTGGAGGTCGATTGCTGATAGATCTGTGAACATGTAGAGAGATCGCACATGTATCCGGAGAGCCACTGGAACATACGCATATGCTGGTCAAATTGGTGCTCGCGGGAGATACGAGCATCCCGAAGGCGATTCCGGGGCATGTGTACCTCGTCGGATGGGTCCCGCATGCACGGTACGATACGGCGACGGTGGACTGGAAAGGGTCGGACGACCTGGCTGAGCATGAGATCTGGGCTTTGCGCGAGGCGCAGGTGTTACGCACGGACATGATCGGTAATTCGTTGTTGTGTTCTGCGGCGCTCTGATGCTAATACAATCATATAGGAGAAGTGATATCAAGGCCTTAGGGTGGAGGTAGGAGAAACAGACTCACTGCTTTTCGTGATGAGGCTGTGAACAATGTGACGTAGAGTACAGCTGGATTCCAACTGGCAGTGTGATACAAAGATCCCGAGCTATACTAGCGCGGAGCACTTCATTGCTATTCCACCTAGAATCCGAGGTAGTCCGAATGCATATGGCATGGCGAGGCTGAGCGATGTTGCTGTTGTGGCACTCGGCGGTTACGGTCTACGTATGTCTTGAAATTCGACGCGATGAAAGACGCGATGAAAGTCTAGCCAATGGCCCATTGCCGAGCTGCTAATGCATCATGCCTACAACACGAGCAGTATCCGAGTGTACGTAGGTTTTCGATACGCAGTGCCGACTCATTGAGCCGGTAGTGAGAGCCTGAGAAGGATGGTCAAGGGCAGTAGTATCCGACTGAACATATAAGCTTACCGCCTCGCCCGCCAGAACGGCGTGCAATTGCTCTCGGGGGCCTGGAGCTGCTTGTCTTTGCATACCAGATCTACATTGCTATACAGATTCGCGTTGTACTCTGAGCTTGGGAGATCAGCTTTGGCAACGTGTTGGTAGCGTCACAACCACGGCTGGCGCTGAATGTGACTGAGTACAGTTTGAGTACAATAAGTACTTACGGGGACGCCTGCGCGGGCGGCGGAGAACCGAGATGAAGTCGGATCTTGGTAGGATCTCAGACTACTACATACATTGATCATCGGGAGCCTCAGCCTGGGCCCTGGGCAGGGTGGGGCCCGTTTGTAGTGCGTCGGGCATGTACAACGGCGACGCTTACGGCGGCCATTCAATGTCGGTCAGCGACAGGTCAGCGGCACTATGCACCAGGGTCTGGTTACTTGCGCCGCGCCTTGTCTTGAACACAGTGTGGTTTGACACCTGATCCGATGCTATACCCAGCGAGGTCAGAGTTCGTGTGTTAGAACGGGCGATTATGATGACGATCATAGCGGCGTAGTCACTCACCTCATCCAGCGACATTCAAGTTCGCGCATCCCATCACAGCCTGAGAGTCCCCAAGGTGCGTTTCCGGTCTTCTCCATACTCGTGAAATCGATTCGGAGGCTACGCAACCGCGAGCTTGTATGCTTTAATCACGGTCGCAGCCTGAGGTTGGAAAGCGATCCTGAGGCGAGCTTCAGTATTTGGCAGGGGCGCCACTATGGAGATTGGTTTGAATCTTGATCGGATCTCACTTCCATCAGGTCAGCTCATGTAATCATCCAAGTCCGAGGTCGGCGTTGGCATCGGCCACCGTTCTGCGACATCTTGCACTGGATTTCTGTATGCAACCCTGCTTCTTTGCACAGTGTGGACTCAATGTTTGATCCTACCTTTTGCCGCACACCAGAGCCGCGCCCGTATAGGACATCATGATCACAACCGGTCACCACAGTGCTGACTCTGCGAATACACTGCGACAAGCTCCAGTTGATGCGCTTACTCTGAGTCGGGGCAGACCACAGGTTCTTGCATCTCCCTTCGTGTCGAAACTCGTACAATGGATGCACCTTCTACTTATGCACTGCCGCAGATAACAGCCACGAGCGTCTTGTGGTCCAGGGGAGCGTGTCGATAGACTCCGCCGAAGCCCGAGTCGGTACTTAACTCATCTAGAGGCCAACCCGTTCAGCAGTCGCGACTGTCTTTCTCCCTCGACAGTCCGCTGCACAGACCCGCGAATCACAATCCATCTCTATCACCCTAACCAAAGCCACATGGAGGAACACATCACTCTACCGGTCTCGAATGATTCTGTCGAGAGGTACGTGGCTGTCGTCGTGCAGATTGCTATGGTACTCAATCACGTGGATGCACTCAGTCTTACCTTTTCCGACGACTCAAAGCTCGAGAAAGAGCCCGTTGCGCCCTTGCTACACGTTGAGGTTCGAGAGACGACAGCAACACTCGTCATCAAGACTGCTGGCACAACAGGGTACGTAATCTCGGTTTCAACGGCTCATGAGCGCGCTTTCTGACCCAGGTTCCGTGATACATTCGTGCAGATCCGACGAAACGGCCTCATCGTACGTTCAAACCAGGCATCAGATGCACGTATACTGGACTGACATCTCAGCTCTAGTGAAGACGAGAATGATGACGATCTCAATGAGGATGATTTCGAGGGATGGGTAGCACGCGGTCCAGCCAAAAAGGTAGTTTCAGGACCAAAGCCTAGTCAATCGTCGGTGCGGAAGGAACCGGAGCCAAGTTCTAGCAAAGACAAGAGCAACCAGACGAGTACGAAGGTCCCGAAACGCAAGGATAGCAAGGCTCCCGACCGTTCCACCAAGAGCACCGACAAGGGTAGGGTCAGAACTTAGATGTCCGTGGCGAGGCTCGTCGTGGTTGTAACGTATTGGTTTCATGCGGACTGGATATCGGATTTGAGTTTGCTTCGTGTTACTCTGCCTATGGCTAAATATGGTCTACGACGGATCCCGCAACAACAACGGAGCCGGTTCATCGCCATCTCTTCACTCATCACGACCACCACATGTACAAGGCGTGTGCGCAGTGTGCGCTCGAAGCAAGTTCGAATTGACGCTGGGCCACACGAAGTCTTCGGTGCTCCTGAAGCAGCATTGCAATGGCTCAATGCGGTACAGTCTTTCGACTGCGGGTGGTTGACTGCGAAGGGATATTGTGTCGAAAGAGTGAGGTTCTCCATGATGCTGCTCGGGTGCGATAGCTAATTCATGGCCGAGACTCCCAGATCCTTGCAGGTGTCCAAAGGCCAATGAACACATGAGAGGCTTTGCTTCGATCTGCTTGACAGCGTGATTGAAGCTATCAGAGGTCGCCCACTCAATGCGCTCTGAGGGCTCTGCTCAGCGTGTTCTCTGCGACGTCAAATGCCTACTTTGAAGTTTCATCGTTCCCCGAGCTACACTCAGACTGCCTAGAAAGATTCGCCTGTCGTAAGTGAGCCTCCGACGATAGGCCACCCTTCACCTCTTCGTGCTATTAGAAGCAGTCTGCATGAGGCTCGCACGGTGACTCGTCGTGTGAGGATGGTCAAGACGTGGCGATTTGCAACAGCCTGTGTCTCCGAAACGCTGATACCTCGCTACTGTGTCCCACGCACTCGTGGTGTAGGTGCGTCGAATCGTCTTCTTCGCGCAAGACGTAAAGCTTACGAGGTCATAGACGTCCAGTTGAGTCGTCAATCTCAATTGCTCATTTGATAGTTGTGACCCTACTTGGAGCATTACGCCGTTGGCTATTCTTTCCGGGAAGGTACTGTTGTCATATTAGGTCTTCGATTTGATGCCTTGCCGCAACAACGCTTGTTATTCACACAAGAGCTCAGGCGGTGCTCATTTTGCCATCGGTAGGTTTAAAAGGCTTGTCATTCCGGGAGGGGGATGGCAGTACACTGTCCCTCATTTGACGGTTGTCTGAGGCACGAACAACGACTCACGAATCATCCCTCACGTCGGGTACGCACTCATGATTCCATTTGTAGAAGGTGCACTATCTGACAGGTCAATGTAATACATAGCGTGCCGCGTTATAAATCTTGGTATGCTGGAACTCCGTATAACACTGTTAGGTATGATGTCTGACTTCAGTAGTTTCAAGCTGTGATCACTGTGCGCGTTTGTTACTCTATTCGGGCAGTGCTTAAGGATGCAAAATGACCTTGCCACCAGCTCAGAACACGAGAATTTTCGAACGCACAAGGCGCATCAGGCTGTGCAATGGCGGCACAAAGACCTCCGCTGTCTCAGGTAAGTCCATCTCAGATGTACGGCGTACGACTTATGACTTGTATCTCCCGTCCATCAGTCAACAACCACAACGGTGAGGGTTGTTGCAAGTGGTTGCCCCCTAGCCGGTGGCCTTGATTACCTGCGTACTGACTCTTGATGCCGATGCCAGGAACTGACTCTCACTGAGACTGCTTCGTATTCCCCTGTACGTCAAGCCACGGTTTTGATGATGCAACAAATATTGATTTATCTGCTTGAGATAGAACGACGAGGGTAATGCCACAGCGACTGATGGACAAGGGGATTCGACGCATTCTGAATCGCTCCGAGAATCGGACTCACCCGAGAGCAATCAGGTCAGTGGTCGCTAAATGAGATATACACTGACATTGTTAACCAAGTTTTGTGTCCATGCGATCACACGTGGAATCGTCAAAACCCAATCTCAAACAGGCTCAACCCGCAGAAGCTACAAACGATGCTGAGAAACGAGTTGAAGACCCCTGGTCTAAGCTGGCAGAAACGGTGTGGCACCGCAGCAAGGACGACATCAACAGATGGTGGGAGGAAATCAACTCATTATTGACGTTTGTGAGTACTCTGCAAGCGGTCGGCGTCAATGAACTGTGCTGACGGTGTCGCGGTACGACACAAGGCTGGTCTATTCTCTGCTGTTGTAACCGGATTCGCTGTTCTGTGTTACACCGTCCTCGCGGATTCGGGAGCCACAGCCGATGCGCCTATTCTACATCACTATGTCGCGGCGCTCTGGTTTGCATCCCTCGTCTGTGGACTCGCATCCGCGTCCATCGCCATATCCGTCAATCAATGGCTGAATTACATGTTGACTCCGGCTGGCCTCGTCGAGTTTGGACCCCGCCAGAAGTTGCGGATCTGGAATTTACGCCAACTGACCTTCAAGAAGTGCCACGTGGCGTTCATCATCGGTATTCCACCAGTCCTTTTGCAGCTTGCATTGGCGCTGTTCCTCATCGGTCTAGTGGGCTTTCTCTGGACGTTGAGTATCATCATTGCTCTGCCAACTCTCATCCTTGTCGCCCTCCTTCTAGCATTCCAGCTCGCAATGTTGGTCGTGCCAGCTGTGCTGGCCTATAGCCCCTTCCAGTCCCCGCAGGCTCAATGGCTCCGTTGGGTCGTCTTTCGTATTGTCCACACCATTGCCCGCGCGGTTCACTACGCCATCTCACGTCATCCACTGGCAGTGTCGAAGCCCAACGCCGAGATGCCCGTCAACCCGCGTCCGAAGGGACGATTTGGGACGGATACGCTCACCGTCCTCATTTTTCGCCTCGAAGAGCTTTGCAAGCATAGCAGCTGGGTAGCGAACGAGAAACACTACCTGGACAATGTGTTGCACAGCGGGGAGATCGACTCGGAGCTCTTCGCTGCCACGTTCAGGACCGCCGTTACCAAAGACGACAAGCCAACACTCCAGTACATCCAACAGTGTCTTCGAGATATGCCTCTCCACTTGGCATGCTCCAACGCAGCCGCCCTCTGGACTGAATCCGACAAGGCTCGCCTGGACAATTCAATCCGGTGTACCAACACTTCCGAGTCCACTGTCACAAATCCTTCTGCATCAGACACAGCAGACGAGTCACGCGCCTCCTGGCACTACGACACGCTGGACAAGGACGTGACTATCATGATGGCGGACGTGTTGGTGGACGTTATGACCCGCCTCGTTCACAGCGACCCACAAAAACTTCCTGATCACATGCAGCCTGAAGACGTCCGGAGGCAGCTAGCTGATATGTCGAAGAAGCTAGACATATTGCTATGGCTTCTCCCGGCGATGGGAGGGAGGGAGGTCTATCGTCGCATTCTCGGGCTCCTACAAACAAGCTTTCGCGCTGGGGAACATATCCACCTTGGCGCTCGGTACCGTATTCTGGATGTGATTTGGGGTCACGTTAACTGCTTCAGTTTGAAGGGTGCGTAAGGTGTCTGCATACGTACTAACATCGAACTGATGGGCCCTTCTGAGCCTTAGACATCACAGGAATTCACACCGTCATCAAGAAAACCCACAATCAGGAAAAAGACTATACCATGAAGCTAGAGCTCATCACGTTCGCCCTCCATGTGCACGTCCACCACCATCAATCGACGGATGTCGGCGAAACGCTAACTGATCTCGATTTATTGTTGAGATCGATGGAGGAAACAGATTTCACAAGAGCGACCTCCCGCGTTCCATCGCACGTTCCAGTTTTGATACAGGATCTCGAGCACCAGGCGTACTCATCAAGTCAGCCAACTCGCCCGGAACTCTTGACTGGTATTGTGAACACGCTGTCCAAGCTCGCGCACGGTCGCAAGTTCCGTTTGTTCGATCGAGACATGCTAGCGATGAAGCAGAAAGATCTTTCCGATGTCTCGCACAATATTCATACCCAGTTCGGGTAAGTCGCTATACCGGTGTCCGTGCTGTACTACTCGAGTAACTCTCCAGTGCGTAGTGCGGCCCCTACACGACCCGCGCACCATACGAATGCACAAGACCAAAACCAACATTTGGGAGGCGCCTCGGATGTTGGAAGTGGTCTCGATGCTCCACTTCAGAACATGCAAGACAGAGGTTCTGGACGTAATCCGATGCGTCATCCACATGTGACATGTTGTATTCCTCAGCTTCCCGGCATTCCACTGTGAGTTGCTTACTGCTTTGTACTGGGCCTATCGTCATCTACTTTGTTCTCCAACGGGTTTGGCTACAGGAGTTGTTACCCCTTCGCATCTCTTCACAACACCAGGGGGTTCGACGTGGAAAGACAGGCTCCGGATCAAGCATTGCAATCTGACAACGTAGCGGAAGCGATAACCCTGGTTCCGGCGCACATCACGGACATGGAATCGCCGGTCAGCAGGCGGCCAAGTTGATGCGACGTATCAATCCTCGTACATGGTGGTCGTCTTGTGCGTCTCACTTTCAATTCTCGTAGCCAAATTTTGACTCATGTTCGGCCTCCAAATCAACTCCGTACGTAAACAGTGTCTATCGTCACACTAATTTGCTGCTCGCAGATTCAGAAGGATGAATTCATTATTTCCCCCCACAATCGCTTATTTACTACGGGAGGAATGGCGGTGTATGTTACAGTACTATCCTCGGACCTCTTGTTCCCTGTTCCAAGTGTCATATCTATAGATCAGTTCGCATTTCCCCTCGAAGTAGCCAATTCTTCACCAACTCATTGCAGCGTTCAAATTGTTCTGGTCGGGTCTCGCATTTCCGGGTCGCGGTGACAATTGACAGGTTTTAGTGACGCCGATCTAGTCTCCGGTAGGCAGACTCCAAGCATGTCCTTCTTGCGAAGTGCCAAGTTGCTATGTATGAGGGCAAGTAAGTCGATCACCCACGATGGCACGATCTGCTGCCGCGCCCCCGCCCCGGTCGCTCCGACTGACACGCTCCTTGACTAGTACAAATATCTTACAAGGCAACAGTTTACGAGACGGGTTTTCTTCCTACCACGATATAGATCATGCATCCCCTCTACGTACCTTGCTTCTTTCTACCAAACTGCTGGACAGGACTTGCATTTGGCTGTACATATGTATGCCGATGCGATGATCTAGATCTTGCATGAGATCGACTCCGAACCTTGTTCTAGGGTTGGGAGTGAAGGCTCTGTAACGCAAACATCAGCAGACGTAGGCACAGGCGACACGGACACGCAGCAGTCTATGGATGGTCAGTACTGAGGTCTGAGGCCTTGAGGTCTGAAGATCTGAGGTCTGAGGGCTCTTGAGTCTTGTCGATTTGCGTGCTGGCCTTACCAGCATGCCAATTCTCCATGGTAGAACCTACATATGTATATCGCGGAGATCCGACACGAAGTCGCGTCCAACGACGTGCTGCCGACGTCTTCAACGATACTTTCAAACCATAAGCGCGCTGCAGCTCACACATAAACGTCGTTGCAATCCAACTATCGATACAATAGATAACACACACGTACACAGACCAACCCAATCAAGCAAAAAGACGCTTCGTGTACCTGAAGGTAGAAAATCGATCAACACATGTATACGGCACGCGAAATTGATAAAGACAACTCACGAATGCAAGCCATGCACACCACCCTCTACCTGTGCACTCGCCGTGCGCAGCTCGAACCGCACCTTGCCCTGGCGCACCCCCTCCTGGAGTGCCTGCGCGCTCTTCACCCCGATATCCTGGAACGAATGCTGCAACCCGGCATACAGATACGGCAAGAACTGCTTGACCGAGCCCTTGTCCTGCACGTCGCCAGACACGCCCTGCGCGACCTTCACCACGGACGACTCCGAGAAATACCGGGTCGTCGCCGCGTTCTCATGCGTCTTCCCCTGGCCCTTCCCCTTGCCCTTCGCGGCCGCCCCGTGCGCCGCCGCCGACGCCGGGCCGGGCCTCCCCTGCTCCATCGCCTCGAGGCTGCCCATCCCGCGGTACGCCTTCACGCGCTTGCCCTCGTGGTAGAAGTACTCGCCCGGCGCCTCCGTCGTCCCCGCGAGCAGCCCACCCATCATGACTGCGCCTGCGCCGAGCGAGAGCGCCTTCACGATGTGCCCGACATTCTGGATCCCGCCGTCGGCGATGACGGGCACGCCAAACTTGCTCGCGAACTCGGCGACGGCGTATACGGCGGTAGCCTGGGGCCGCCCGACCGCCATGACCTCCTGGGTGATGCAGATCGAGCCGGAGCCCATGCCGACTCGAAGAGCGTCCGCGCCAGCGGCGATGAGACTCGCGGCCTGCTCGCGCGTGACGACATTCCCGGCGATGACCTCGAGCTTCGGGTATGTCGCCTTGATCCACTTGATCATGTCGAGCTGGAAGACCGAGTTGCCCTGAGACGAGTCGAGAACGACGATGTCCAGGCCAGCCTCCGCGAGGAGCGCGAGACGTTCGCGGTCGGCGGGACGCGTACCGACCGCGGCGGCGGCGTATAGCTGCTTGGACGACGGCGACTTCGATGCAAGTGGGTAGTCCTGGTTCTTCAGCAGGTCAGAGCGCGCGAGAAGGGAGGTAAGGCGACCCGCGCTATCGACGATGGGGAGCTTGCCCTTTTTTGAGTCGCGCAGAATGGTATTTGCTTTCTCGAGCGTGATGCCCTCGGAAGCGGTAACGAGGTCGGTGGTCATAACCTCCGAGAGTGGAGTAGAGGGATCACGGAACTGAACGTCGCGGTTCGTAACGATGCCCAGTAGCTTACCACCAAGTGCACCAGTATCTACATGATAATGTCAGCACATGTTCGACAGTGAGGCTGTATGATTCATATTCAGAGAGAAAAAAATTGAATATTCCGCAGATCACACGTGTATGACGCGTTGGCTCGGAAGAACGAAGGTAATATGAAGTGTCATCATGTAAGTAGATTATCGCGGTGCGATAACTCACCTGTAATAGGCACGCCAGCGAAGCCCAAACGCTCCTTGATATCTAAGACGTCCTCGGCACGGTGCGAAGGGGAAAGGACGACGGGGTCCGTGATGAAGCCGTTCTCGTGACGCTTTACGCGGCGCACCATTGCTGCCTGCTCCTCGGGCGTCTGGTTGTGGTGAATCACACCAATGCCACCAAGGAGCTACACGCCAGGGATGACAAGTCGGACAAAGCACGCGACACGAGCTAGAGGATGCTCACCGCCATGGCTATGGCCATGTCACCCTCAGTGACGGTGTCCATGGGGCTACTCATGAACGGTGTTTTTAGAACGACGTTGCGCGTAATCTTGCTCTCCGTGATGACTTCGTGGGCGCCGAAGTCAATCTTGCCTGGAAGGAGGAGGAAGTCGTTGTAAGTCAGACCCCCGTGGACGGTGGAGTCCATGAGCTCGCCGACGGAGAGCCCATCGAGACGATTGTACTGCTCGAGGACATCGAGAGCGGTGGAGGGGTCGAAGAACGTTTTGGAGGGCATGGTGGACGAGGGGTGGACGAGGGGTGGGCACGAGGATGGTGGGCGTTCGTGCCAGAGTCATGCCTGCCTCCTGCCCGCAATTTTTGTGCGGTTCACGGGCGCCTAATGTAGCTGAATGAGGCGCTACTGTACTGCTTAGTCAGCTGCTAGTTAAGTGGGCGCTTGTGCGAACGATTCAAATTCACTTCCGTGAAGTTGAATATCGCTGAACGTCGCGCAGGCCGTGTCCGAGGCCGTACGGACACCCACCCGGACCATGCCCGTGCACCTCGACTCTGATATCCTTGGCCGGCGCCCGGAAGGCAGTGTCGCTGTTGATGCGTTCCCGACGAGCGACCATGTGCTATGATCGCCGCCACCGGCTGCGCTACTCATAAGCTCGCGCCTCGACGCATCTGGTGTCGCTACGGTTCTACCCCCGCGAACTCACACAGCGATGCGGACGGCCCTCTTCGCCCTTCTGGCTGCTGCCTCGAGTGTCGTTGCTGCAGACAAGAGCATCGAGGTCTCGTTCAGCCCGAAAGACCTCCCAGAGAAGGCCGCGTCTTGCAAAGCGCTTAATCGTGCCACCAGCGAGCTGAAGGACATTGACATTCGTGAGTGGTGGCTGGACCTTTCGCGACTGGGCAGGCTCAAGTAGATGCCGTTGCAGATTATGTGGAGGTGAATCCGGAGGCGGAGCGTACGATATTGATGGTGCATGGGTGGCCGAGTCTTTGGCACAGCTGGAAGTACCAGATCGAGCAGTTCAAGGTACGTACAGTGCTTCATTCGCAGCCTTTATTGAATTTACATCGTCCCCACCACCCAGAATGACTACCATATCATTGCGCCCAGCATCAGAGGCTTCGGCGCGTCAGGCCACCCAGGCGACGTAAAGTCATCGGGAAACTGGGCCGACATCGTCGGTGACCTTGTCTGCGTGCTCGAGCATGCCGGCGTGTCCAACGCAATCTGCATGGGGTGCGTCTCCCTCTGATTTCTCATCTCTGCATCCATCGACTTACACCATGCAGCCACGACTGGGGCAGCCCGCTCTGCTTCCAAGCCGCACGCCAGCGCCCCGACATATTCACGGCCGTCATCGGCGCGGCCGTGCCGTACCTTCCGTTCAACGCCCCGTCCTTCAGCCCCACCTCCGCGCTGGTCCCTTACTTTCCTCACCTCGCGTACCAGGTCTTCCTCGGGGAGACGCCAGAGCTCGCGCGCGAGGAGCTCGACGCGGATATCCGTCGCACCCTGAGGGCGACGCTGAGGAACAGGATCGACCCGCCACCGAAGGAGTTCTTGACGGATACGAAGAGCTTCCTGGGTGTGTATAAGGATGTGAAGGAGGTGAGTGTTGTTGGGAAGATGGAAGCGGGAGGCAGTCGCTGACGGTTGTCGTCGTAGATTGGGCCTATCCCGTTCTTCACGCCGGAGGAAGAGGATTACTGGGTTGAACAGTACAGCATACATGGTTTCAAGAACAGTAAGCGGACTCTGTAATGCCCTTCAGAGTAACGCGAGACTCATTGCCGCCCGTAGCCTTGCAATTCTATTCACCCGACGTACGTGCGACTCTCTGAATCGTGTCGTCTCACAGGCTCACCCATGCGCGACTACAGAACCAAAAGGGCTCGTGGGAGTTCATCCACGCACAGGCAAACTACACCATCCCTCAGCCAGTCCTCATGATCCTGCCCGAGGCTGTACGCGTCCTCATCTTACCTCCGCGCCGATCCACTGACTGACTTGTTCTCTTTGCAATTAGGACCCCGTTGCTGACTGGGCCCACGTACTCAAACTTCTCGGGGGCGCCGATTTCCTGCCGAACTCCGTCGTGCAGGTACGTGTCGCTCTTGATACTCCTTTGCGTTCGGCTCATCCGGCGGTACGGGGCGTGGTAGATGATGCCCGGTGGACACTGGTTGCAGCTAGAGTACCCCGCGACGTTCAACCACTTCGCCAAGAAGTGGCTTGATAACCTCCCTGCGGCGGAGGCTGCCGTAGAGCCGGAGTTGAGAGTACAGCAAGTCGAAGACACAACGACACACGGGCGGCCTGTCGACGAGCTGTGAAGCCGCGGGATATTTACCTCGATAACGGTATGAATGTACTAAGTTCTTGTTACAGCGACGGCGGATCACGGATACGATGGTCTCTCAATCTGATTTGTTGACAGTGCTCTCGAAGTGCATGCTTGCATGTCCGTCTATGTTCAAAACTGCGTGTATATTGGTTTTCTGAACGTCCCGTAGATCAGCGGTGGAGACAGAGGCATCCAATGGATAAAGCTCTCACTGAAATACTGGTCAGCCATCGTTCGAAGGTAGTCTATGCAGCGACCTCTCGAGAAACGATGGCTGCACCCCCGAAGTCGTGACATTTGTGGGAGAGACTATCGTAGAGCCTCCAGCCTCATTCAGGTTTCCAGGGCTTTTCTCGGGATCGACCATTCCTCTGTCTTGATCATGAGTGCATCCTAATCGACGTCTGGGCATATCAGCACTTGACGACTTAAAGGACCGTAACAAAAGTCGAGCATACCTAATTCTGTTCACGAGTCGAGATTGGAATGTCGAATTCTGCGTGGCCGTGTCTTCATCATCCCGCATTACATTCTCTTCGTCTCTATGTGCGTAATCACTCTCTTCATGCTCGAGAGTCGGAATACTATCCATGTTCGAGGATTAGCAGGGCGAAACACAGGTGTTGACACTCGACGTACGTTTGTCCTACCTCCTGAAGACGCTGATTGACCTCATGCAGTACATCATCGAAACTGCGTGGTGCCCACAAGATTTTGTATGCTTCGAATTCCTCTTCACCGACCAACAAGCGCAGGCGTTGCAACACTTCGCTCATCACAATGAGCATCGGCGTATCGGCTTGGATCGGTGATGGTACACTGGGATCGTTGTCGAATAACAGCATAGTATAAGGATATGTTTTCATGTAGCCATCGCTCCACCAAGGCATTTCCGAGATTGCGTCTCGCGACACGTGTTTCTGACTCGTCTTGAGACAGTTCTTCAGGAAGTCTCTGAAGTGGGAGAGTGTGGTTTGAATGAGCGCTCGCTTGGATTGCAAGTCTCCCAGCCAAGTCACTATCTTGAATGTCAATGCTGTGAACATAAAGACCACGAGGAGGTCTGCTTTGTTATAGATCGCTACACGTGCGGCTTCAACGCGTTTCATCTCTGGGAGGAGATCATGAGTTTAGATCCGATGAAGGGAGCAGATGGAGACCCACCATCCTCCGTACTGACAAAGAAATCGTTGTCGTAGCGCCATATGAGATACAAGATCCTCTTCTGTGTTTCCACGTCATTTAGGCATTCGTCTGCTAGAAGGTCGAAGAGCCGCATATATACTGCGAACCCGGCTTCGTCTTCCTCCGTGGCGCTGAGCAATGAGTCCAATGCGTCAAGATGATCATCCAGTTCCAGGTTTGGAGGCTCCCTTCCCAAGGTACTACAGCTGTCTGCGACAGCCATGCCCATGGCAACAAGAATATCCTTGTCAGGCGCATCGCGTTGCCATTGGGTTGTGGCGTCATCTCCAGAATCCTCGTCCGCTCGAACTGTCGTCTGTCCAATACTAGTGACATCGCATCGCTTGCATAGAGCAAGGACGTTGCTCGACGCTATGTGGGGGGGCATCTCTATCAAGTATTCCTTGATGAGCGAGAGCAACGGGCTGACATCCTTGACAAGGAAGAACACGTTTGCGATTATTGTCTTGTCGACCTCGCTACCTGCTTCACTGCGTAGATACGCAGACTCCTGCGCGATCGAGCCGTAGGGGCCGCGGTTCCCGAGAGCGCGCAGATCGTCCACCCGTGCTTCAAATCGAGTCTTCATGCGACGAAGGAAATCGTCATCAATCGGAGCATACGCGTTGTTGAGCCAGAGCCAGCGAAAGAATTGAAATGTCGGAAAGTAAACAGATAGCTTCGTGAAGGTAGCGATCCAGCGAAGGAAGGTTGACTGAGGCGTGACGAAGGGACTGTATGCGACGAAGACCGGTATGATGGTTGTGATGAGCAGGAATGATAGGAGGAGGATGACGAGGACCATGGCCGGTATCGCAACTGCGTGGCTTAGTTGCCACAGGTAGCCGATGAGCCCCAGGAGGAATAGGACAACTGCAATCTGCAGCAGGACCGATGGGATGTCGACCAACGTTCCCAGCCGCCACTTCTGGAATGTTTCGTGACGGAGATTCCACACACGCAGCCGCTCGTGCGGCCCGCTTCCAGACAAGCCAGCGGGGGTCAACAGGTTATTGAGCCACTGGTTCACTGAGATGGCGATCGATGCCGCAGCAAGACCGCACACCAGCGCGGCGAACCATAGTGCGGCAACATATTTAGGAGCAGCAGGTGATCCGGAAATTTCGCTAGCCAGAGAGGGTTGCGATGAAGTGACATCGGATTGGTTGGTGAGACTTGCTAGCTGCGCAGAGATGAACTCCAGGACGTAGGTATTGTAGTCGGGAGCGGGAGGCTGCAATATGGTGTAATATTGAACGCCGAAGCCAGTGATCACTGCGGCGAATAGACCAGCCTGGTAGGTTTACGCGTCAGGGAATGATCACGAGGATTAAGGAATATGTACTTACGAAGGTCAGCAAAGAGTTTATCTCGTTTCGCCACCTCTCGACTCGCTCCTTCTCGCGCTCCCAAACTTTGTCTGCCAAGTTTGACAAATCTGGCGACTTCTACCATGCCGATGTTATGACACATATGGTCGTTGGCAGAGTGATAGCATGAGAGGCCCGTACCTTCTTGTGCCGACGTCTATCAGCGGAGATGGTGGACGAATCAGTCTCTGTGAGCACTGGCTTAGGCCGCCCATCGGATGCAGATGTGCTCTCGTTCGTCACCTACGTTCGCGGGTGAGATACATACAGAACCATGTTAGAAACGTAGAAAATACTAACGAGCGGCGGAGCGGCGGGATCGGAATCTTGCCCAGAAACACGACTTTCTTCTCCAGGGTGTATACTATCAGGTTCCTCGGCCGCGTTCTTCAGTTCGCCGCTCTGAATTCAGTCAGGATTGCTAGTCTCGTCGCTTGGATCAAATAGAGTACCGACCGATATTGATGACATTACCCTCGCGGTAGCGTCTATGCGAGTAGAGTCATCTGCATTCGGAGGAAGCATCGTAGCCTCGAGATCCGGAATGTTGAGAGTGTCCGGCGTACTCATCACTAAAGGATGAGTCAAAGGATGAGATCAAAGGTGTCTGGTTGTGCGTCAGCTGCAGTCATGCACGGAGGGAGGGGAACTCACATTGTAGGGCAGTGGAAAGTGGCAGGGAGCGAGTTCGACGGCTGACGGCTGAATAGGTGGTCTCAAATACTCCAAATGAATGAGGTCGGGGCGCGCATCCAAACAAAGGGCTTGGTGCAGACGCCAGTCATGCTGTGAGAGGATGATCCACACGAATTGACAGCTTCCCGATGTTATCCGCAGAGTCGCCGATAGTCTGCATGCTACTGTACGAGTCAGGTTAGTTGTTGCGAGCGTGTCTGCACTAGGCCTGTGTGAGTTAGCCTTTCTCTGATCATTCGGAAGACATGGTATTGAAGCATTCGTTGCATGTCATCTGAGTTCCTCATTTGAGACAGGTATGGCTGCGACTCACTGTTAGATTGCCTGTGTGTGACGACCCACGGCAGGGCTAGCAAGTCGCCGGTGGAGGGGTCGTACAGAGACCGGATGAATCGCAACCGGTTTTGTTCGTACGCCGATGCTTCTATGTCTGACCTCTGCGGTCAAGGAGCCTGTTTTATGAGCGATAGTCACACGTCAGGGATTGCTGACGCGCGTGTGGTTTGTGGCGTAGCCCTCTCCGACGTTTTGCATGCCAACATGCTGAGTGAGCGGCTGATCATCGCGAATCCAATTCTGTAACAGAAGCACGGCCGCTTTGAGTTGGCTTAGCCAGAGCGAAGGCGTGTTATCCCAAGAGCTTCAATGTTTCATTGATCAACTCACGTTGACCGTCACTTCAATATGACGCGATTGAACCTATAACATAACCGGGCACTGTGATGGAGCCATGCAGTACACGTACTGACGGCGGACTAAGTATGTCAATACGGGCCATCGGAAAGCACGGTCCTGCTCCATCCGTGCGGCCATTCGAGCATAGACTCCGTACTGAATACGTGAAGGATGAGCTTCAAGCGCGACAAGATATATACTACTAGCACGCACCTATGCAGAGTCCGAGCGATGAGGATGACTCGCACGAAACGCACGGGTATCAGGCTTTGCTGTTGGGTGGATTGCGCGTCATTGGTCAATCGCGAGCTATACATTATCGGCCCAACTTCAATCATAAGAATGGAGCAAATTGTGCATTGACTGATGCGTAGCAGACACTCACAGGTACAGCGGTCAGTATACATCAGTCAGAAACCCATCAGTCAGAAACCAGTACTTAGCGCAAAACCACGACACCCAGGCCTCCGAGATAGTGCAGTTGCATTGACTATCAGCATTATGCGTAACACATGGAAACATGCAGCCTACGATGTTTGACGTTGCGTATATGCGCGACGAACAGCAACGTATGAGTCGAAGATCACATGCATACATCTCGCCAGACACCCCAAAGGCATGCCCAAGCCAAGGAGATTGGACTCACGCCCAGACCCGCTTTGCTATCGATTGGTGCCCTGGGGGCTGCCAACGCATGCCCATCATATAAAGCCGGAAAGACACGTACGTACATAGTCGCTGCTGCGGGAGCATCACATACCAATCGGTATGAGTGACGGTTTCGCGGTAAAATACTTATAGGAAAGTCGTAGCTCCGCGGCGATTGACTTACTCTGAAGACTTACTTTCGCGCGACTTAGACTTAGTGTGATTGGCGCCCGGCCGACGTGCCCGAGGCGGCCTTGCCAAATCGGGATGAACATCGCACTTGCCGGGACCACTGCGCCAGACGGTTTCCCCTTTATTCTCTGTGATGCATGACATTTCTGCATTGAATTGATACACTTTCAACTTATGTCATAATATCTGTCCCTTTCGATACCATGAGAACCGCGGGCTCAAGGCCATGGCTCTCCTACTGAAGATCCCGGGCCATTCGTCTCGTCAATAAGGGGGGCTATGGAGTATGAAAAGGCATTTCACAGCTCCGAGTCTATAATATGATGATCGGGCTTCCGGGGTTCGTGCTATCCATGTCATGCAATGGACAGCCGCAGTGCGCGTAGACAAAGTTGCCACAACTGGCTGATGATTCCGCATTAGGCAATTGATCAGCCGCCGAAGCGGACTTTGGCATTCTAGGTGAGCAGACAACGGGTGTGTCTCACTGCAAACTATATACAGTATTAGTGACTAGACAAGAAATATATGCATGATTGTAGAGACCAAGTGCACGAAACGGCATGAATTTATGTCCAAAGGGTACGGTTCACGTGTCAACTAAGTGGTAAGTCTTACGCGACAACTAAGTTCTCACTGTAAGTATTTTTCCGCGATAACGACCGTCATAAATCGGACTGGAAATGAGTGCGGTGGGCTGAAGCTTACGCGAGGCCTTGCGACGCGGTCAAACAACATGATATCGGTTACTCGAGAACTGATTTCAGACGAATGATACTGCAATGTACATACCTCGAGCGTGCTTGAGTATCACTGCACGACGATTGAGTGCCTCCGAAGGCCTGATAGTCGGGCGCCGTGGACTATGACCGGAATTGTCAAGGGCATCTGGGCACGCCGCGCGATGCCCATCACTGGACAGGGCGATCCCAAGCAACGATTGTTGGGCGAACTCGAGCAAATAGGGCTGCTCAATTCTCGCCGCCCGTTCGTCGGTTCGTCGGGCACCTGCCCCGTAAGGCAGGTAGCATCAGATCCGGATCAAGCCCGGCAGATTCCCGACTAATCCAGCCACCGCCTACGGACAATGGCGCTCAACGACTCGTCGATACTTAGCACTGACCGATACGACCTTTCACCAGCCAGAGGACGAGCCTAGGGTGACTCGGAGCTCAAGCGCTCAAGCGCTCACGTCCTGGTTGGTTTACCGTCGCAGAGCTGTGAACGGCGATTTCGAAGTTAAAGAATGTAAATGTAAGATGCATTACATAACATTTTTAGCAGTCAATGTAGGTTATTGTCGGGACAGATGAGAGAGCGGCAGGGGAAGAAAAACGCGATGAATAGCCCGACTAAAAACGAGACTCAAGATTGTGAACTGACAGCAGTGAACGCGCGCGTTAACGGAAAGTTACTGCTGACTACCTATGTGATTATGTAAGCCCACTGATAGCGAGCCCTCGACACTGTGTACATGCATCCCATAGCAATTGGCAAGATTCAAATATTCTGTGGGTATCGTACACATCCGACACCTCGTAAGTAATGTACAGTCGGGAAGTGAGCTGACCTGAGCTCGTTCTCTCGTTGGTCCTGCCGCTTTCGGTAGGCGGTGGCTGGATCGATCGGGAATCTGTCGGGCTTGATCCGGATCTGATGCTACCTGCCTTACGGGGCAGGTGCCCGACGAACCGACGAACGGGCGGCGAGAATTGAGCAGCCCTAATGCCGCTGTTCACGAACGGCAGATGCGCGCCCCCAATGCAACTGTTCGTAGTACCGAGGATCAATAGACGAACAATGAACTGATTATAGAGTGGGCCTTGCCCACAGAACTAGTATCACCGAACATGGATGCAGATCGCGGCGACCGTTGAAACGACTGGAGGGGACGATGGTGGTCGTGGAAGAACCTGGGCTCAGTTGAGACACGTTAATCATGAGTTTAATATGGGATAACGCCGGATCAGGACGTTGTTGCGCTCGTTCTGCCTGGCAACGCCGCAACGTCTGATTACGTAAGGAGTCATGCAGCCTTGCGACTCTGAGTCTTCGCGCACAAGTCGCATCTCTTCCTCAGCCTGAACCCTCGTCCGCGAGTTGTACGTCTTTCGCTTCGCCTCTGTCGCGTGTCGATGGCATCTGCAGCGACACAGGAAAGTACAGGTGAATAATAAGCTCCCGGCTAGCATTGTGTGCCGCGTGAAAGAAGCGAGGACTAACTAGGACAACTGCAGACATCCCTCGCCTTTCTCTCTCCGTCGACCACATCGCATCGTCCTCGCCATTCCCATCGCCCGGGTCGCCGTTTGTACCCCCGCCACGTCTCAGCGCGCACGAGTTTGCCCTACGCACACCGCTCCAGATGCGCAACAACGTTCACAAAAAGCGGCCGTCGGGGAGTGAGCAGCCATCCACGTCCACCTTGTCGCCGACATCGGCGGTGGGATCAAGACAGGTCGACGACGATGTAACACCGACAACGTCATCGATGAAGACGGCTTTCGACCGTACGGGACCCTCGCCGCCGACAACACCCACCACGCTGAGCGAGGCAGGTCCCAATCCGCTCACGCCACCGGCCACACCCAAGATCACCATCCCAGAGCCCATAGCGAGCCCAGTTGCAGACTCGCTCCCCGATGCTATGCGTCCCGCTGCACTGACTCTCTCCCAGCGCAATTCCCTCACCTCGTCTCGCCCAGCGCCCCCAAGCCCCGCGCTCTCCCGCCGTACCTCTGCTGCACTCTCACGCCGCTCGTCCACTCGCTCTCGGCGCGCATCCAAGCTCCCCGGCGAGCCGTCCTCGTCCGTCCCGCCCACGCCCACACCCGCGCCCGCACCGGAGAAGGAGAAGAAGCGCAAGTCCTTCCTCGTCAAGATCCGCGACTTTGCCTTCCCGCGAGGAGACGACCGCCACGTCGGCAAGGGCGTCGACGTCCCGCGCGCGAATCGGGTGCGTCGCAGCACCGCGAGCACTTCGTCGACCTCAAGTGCGTCCGGCATCCCCGAGGACGAGCCCGAACCCGGCTCCGGCTGGGGCAGCTTCCGGTGGAACACCCTCAGCGCACACCTCTGGCCGCACGACACCGCGCGCGATTCTGTTGCGAGCTCGGGCACGGGCGGGCCGTCGCGCACCGACTTTGAGCGTAATTTCGACGTGTCGTCGCCCTCGGAGGAGGTCCCCGACCCGTACGAGGAAGAGGAGTACGACGAGGAGTACGTCCAGCCGGGAGAGGATGGCCCGCTCGTTCCGGGCCTCTATCGCGCCATGTTTGCGTTCGAGCCGGAGGGCACCGCCGAGATGGCGCTGGTGGAGGAGCAGGTCGTCAGGATCATCAGCAGGGGCGGCGGCGTGGGTTGGGCGGTCGTGGAGAAGGAGGACGGCGGGCACGCGCTTGTCCCAGAGAGCTATTTGGAGCTCGTGCAGGCTGATGAGGACGAAGCCGAGGACTGATCGTGATGTGTTGATGCCCGTTCGCGCAGGCGCAGGTGGGCAGTGTATGTAGATGTGTGCAGCCATCCGGAGATGTGCTCGCTGTAGTGTCGAGATGCTCTCGGAGTAGTCATGGTGTCACATTGTTGTCTCATTATTTACCTGCTCACAAAGTCTGTTTTATATCCCCAGTACGTCCCAACGAACCTGTGTATACCGTAGTACAGCAACTGGTCGTGTGAATAGTATAGATACACAAGGTCTACACTCTATGCTTCTGTCATACATAGAAGTCAGCTACAACTCCGACGCAAGTTCTCTGTTGATATTCGGATCAGCTGAAGTAGGTGGGCAGGATATAGGCCAGCTTCTGGCGATCCTCTTCCTTTTGCTGCTCCGACCGTGGCATGATTGAATACTGCATGGACCCCTGCTCTTCCTTGAGCAGGCTCCCTTCGACTGTGGCGCCGTGCAGCTCCTCGAGTATCCGCGCCGCAACATGGCGCGAGAGACGTGCGTTCTCCTGCAGAGTCTTGAATACCTCCGCGGCGGTCACAGAGGCCTCGTCCTCGCGCCACGAGTCGTAGTCCGTCGAAGTCGCAATGAGGGCGTAGCTATAGCAGCACATGAACTACACGCAAGACACGAGATAGCGAAGACGCACCTGAGCTCAGCCTCCCGCGCGAGCTTCGCCTCCGGAAGCACGCTCATGTTGATCACATCCGCGCCCCACGCACGGTACATCCTGCTCTCCGCCCGCGTCGAGAACTGCGGGCCCTCCATGCACACGATGCACTTCTCTGTGTGCAGCTGCGGCGCGCGCTTGCCCGCCAGCACCGCGGCCTGTCCGTCCTCCTCCAGCACGGCCCTCACGCGGCTTTCCAACCAACCGACTAGACCGCGTGCAAACGGCTCACCAAAAGCTGCGTGTGCTACGATGCTCGTGCCCTCGAAGAAGCTCGCGGGACGCACGCCTTTCGTGCGGTCGATGATTTGCGTGGGGAGGATGAAGTCGCCCGGGGCGATCTCCTCGCGCAGGGAGCCCACTGCGGAAAAGGCGAGAACAGCGCGGACACCGAGCGACTTGAGTGCGGCGATGTTAGCACGCGCGGGGACAGCGGAGGGGTTGATGGTATGGCCAGTGCCGTGACGAGCGAGGAAAGCTACGAGGGTGCCAGATGGGAGAGAGCAGATTGCTATGGGTGAACTGGGGAAGCCCCACGGCTGTGTATCACAGGTTAGGACCTCAAGGCGTGATATAAATCGTGGGTACATACCGTCTCGGGGTTGACATGCTTGCTGTTCAAATTGCAAGCCGTCAGTCCGTCGTCTGTACAGATCACGCAAGTACCCTGACTCACACAAATGTAAGGTTGTCTAGATGATACAGCCCACTGCCTCCGATCACGCCAACAAGTACTACGAAGTCAATATGAAGTGTCGGTCAATAGAAGGCCTCATGGATTCCTCATGTGAACGAACCTTTTTCAGTCTCGGAGCTCATCTCAACGGAAGTGCTGCCTTGTGAAAGTCGATGAGGAGTAGTGCGCAACACAGGATGCCTGATGTGGGATGAAGTAGACAAAGCACAGCAAGGACCACTTCTAGAAAAGACAACTGAGTATGTGCGACTGGCAAATAGGCTCAATGTGAACATTCATTTTACTTGGGCAGCAAACTGAGATTGAGGTGCGCACGCGATCTTCAACAATCACGATCAGATCCGATCGTGCGCAGACGCCATGGCGCGATATATGTAATGCTTCGCTTCAGAAACGGTGTTGTATTCTTCTACATACATGTCAAATACATGTACAGGACTTGGTTTAGACAACGTAGGAATACATGGCACAAAGGTTTGACATCACAACAAAGGACGGCTACAGGCTCGACGCGGGTTACCTCATAAAAATAGGAAACATACACATAGGCGCATAGGTGCTCATACTGCAAGGGAGTGGTGAGGATTTCACTTCTTTCGTGAATTCGCTTCGGCGACTTCTTGTGGGTTCATGTTCACTAATCGTTCGAACCCTCGTGGATGCTCGCGCTCGACATGACCAACGAGCGTGGGCCAGTCCGAGTTCGTCGGGAACCAGGCTACTCTGAGCGTCGGATCTTTGTCATGTCGACGCCTATGCACGAAACGTTAGGAAACGAGTACAAGTTTAGATACATAGGTACAGACGTACTTGCACATAACGCAGGTGTACCGCGAGCCGACTTCGTCGTACGCAAGGTGAATGTGCGAGATGGTAAGCGCCCTTCGGAGCGGCGGGCGCTGCTCCGATGCTGGTGAATCCGTCGTCGCAGGTAGATCCGGCCTCGGAGGTAGACCTACGCTCGACTTTGAGCGGAGAGATGTACTCGGCTTTGCGACGAAAAGTGGTTTCGGTGGAAGTGAGTGTAGGGTAACTGCAGGCGAATACGAGGTCGAACTTGTGCTCCGTCTCGATAAGTCATGTCGTTGTAGAGGTGGCGCCGGACGCGGTGGAGTTTCCTCCTTCGGCATTGGCAGATGTGGTGTTTGGGTAGGAGGTTCTGGCTGGGGAGCGGGGGCAAGCTGTGGAGACGGCCAATCTTCTTCCTTAACCTCGCCATCCTCGTCTTCCTGCTTCGCAACACTGTCTTGTGGATGTTGCTCCTGTGGTTCTGCACCGCGTCCTCCGAACACGTCCGGCTTGGTCTCAACTTCCGACATCACTTGCTCTTCGTTAGACTCCATCTTGGCGTCTGGCAGGACAACGTCACTGTCAGTTGCTGCACTGTGCCCGCCATCAACGAGTGTCTGGTCCGGATCAGCATCTTGCTCCATAAACTCTTCATGGGTGGTGGGAGAAAGACCCATAAGCAAAGGAGCTGTGCCAAACTCATGGATGCTCGTCGATGAGGAACCCGGGCGCTCAAGCTCGGCGGGGGATGGCTCTCTTGGCTGAGGGTCCTGTCCGTCGGCAATAAACTCTTCCGTTCTCCTCCTCTTCAATACACTTCCTTCGTCAAGGATGGACGGACTCGCGAATCTCTTCCGATCCCTGCTTGCCGACGGGGTCAACTCGCTATCTGACATTGTCAGATCAATGACTTCCGAAACGGCCCTGTCCATCGATGCTGGCTCTATATCGACCGTTCCGGCCTGTGACTGTGGCGTCGCCAGCCCCGTGAATGTCTCGTTGGCGGAAGGCAGAGGTGTTTGTCTATCGCCCGGTGAGTTGTCTTGCAAACGCTGGTTTTCTAGTTGTGAGTCGGGGAACGGATTGGGAAGCCCAGTGAGCTTCCACGTAGCACCGATCTCAGCCCAGCCAACGTTGGTCGAACAGTTTTGTTGGAGGAGGGCCTGAGTACCGTTTCAGCTCGAGAAGCAGACTCGGGCTAGGACAGACGCACCTGCTTGCTGACCTGAGCCTTCAGCTCTGTGAGCTCTCGTTCAACCTCTGTTCGCCTGTCACGCTCGTCCTTCGTTTGTGCAATCGCTGTGCAGGCAACGATGAGCACCACACATCCCGGTGACATCCCGGCGCTACGCACCTTTGGACAGCACGTCGTCGCCTGCCGCTGCTACGCTCCCCTCCCTCCGCTCCCGCCCGCTCAGATGCATATCGCACGAGAGCTTCGCCACCACCTCCTTCAGCTGCCAATTCTCCTTCCTCAAGTTCTCCCTCTCAGCCTTCACCTGCTCCAGCTCCGTCTGCGTCGCGCCCAGCTGATTACGCAGCGCCGTGCACGCATTCCCGAGGTCCTGCGCGGCCTTGAACGTCGCCGTCAGCGCCCCACGCTCCTTCAATATTGTCGCGCGCGCCTCTTCCGCCGCCTGCCTCTCCGCCTGCGCGCCCCTGAGCGCGATGTCCTTCTCGTTGCGCAGGCGGTCGCCTTCCGCGTTGGCCGCCGCGAGCTCCTTCTCGAGGCCCAGCACGTGTGTTTTCACTGAGACGAGCTCGCGCGAGAGCTGCGCCTCCATGTACCGGATCGTCTCCGCGAGGCGGCCCCCGAACGAGGTGAACACCAAACGCGCGTGCTTCTGCGGGTCCCACTGCGTGACAGAGAAAGGCGAGCGGATCTCCTGGTTCTGCGAAGGGCTCTGCTGCTCGGCAGGGGGTGAACCAGCAGATGCGGGGGTGTTTGGCTGCGGGATGAATGGAGACGCGGGGCCGGCAGCAGGTCTGGGCGTAGACGTCGTCGATTGCCGACTATGTTCTGATCCGTGGGGCACTTGAGGAGAGAACACCGGCCGTACCTGCGATGCTGCTGCGTCTACGTTCCCACCGTGTAAGGACGCAGAGGCTGCCGGTGCTTGTATGTGTGCGCTGTCACGCCTCTCGAGGTGCTCTCTAGCCGATGAGGAGGGCGGCCTTTGAGGAGCCAAGTTGTGGCTATGTCGGCGCAGCAACTCGGGCGGTATTGACGGGAAATAGCTAGTCGCTTGACTAGTGCCCGGCAGGTTTTGCTGGTAAGGCGCATACGTCGATGGTCGTTGAGCCACTACAGCAGGTGGGTGACCCGCGGGTAGCGTCTGACTCCGTACGTGCGAAGGGAGATGAGGGGAATGGTGCGGCTGATTTGCGAGTGACGGAGAACCTTGTTGTTGGTACACCGGAGCAGAAGGACCGGGCGGATAGTGCGATGCGGAGGCTCTGGATTGCGGGAAATTGCTAGAGATCGGCGAGCGGACATGCGAATGATTGGAGACACTGAAATGTGTCGACTGCGTCGATGGGCCTGCAACTGAAGCTAGTCAGCAATATGTCGATGATAGACATGGCCACTTCGTCGATGCATGTGCTGACACAAAAGAACCCCGGCTGTCGCCTATGGGGGACGCCTGATCTCCCTTGCATGACGTGGGTTCACGCGTCCAGCATTCAGCAACCTTGATGTCGATAGACCGCCCTGCGCTGCGCGCACATTTGGGTCTGGTAGCGCAGAATCTTTTGTGAACGCCAAATGGGGCAGGGCGAGAGACTTTCGCCAATAAATCTAGCCGCATAATCACGACTGGCGGCTCGTTGCTCGCTGAAGCATAGGCCCTACATACTCGTCGTCGTCTCGCCAGTCCCGTTATCTTTGAGAGTGCGTAGAGCGTGTCCGAGACAATGTTCTGTCAACTGAGCCTGCACTCTCGTCACGATACATGGCGGATAGCGCAATGCCGCGTATTCCGAATGTTTCGGACGAGGGGCGGAGGTGCTGTGGTCGTCCTGCCGGGGGAGTGTCGTGGAGGATGTGGGGTGAGGCCGGTGAGGAGCCACAGTCCGGCCCATACGCTGGGAAACGCAAACCGACAACCGGTTTGCAAACGTCTGTAGTGACACCTGACGACGCAGGTCCCGAATGGAGAGAGGCGATCGCACATGGCACAGAGAGCAACGGAACAGCGAGAGAAAGACGACACCACTAACACCTTGAATAACTCACCAGGCGATAGCGGAGCGTATTGAGGCAAAGTCGCTGCTTGTGGACGATGGGGCGAGCCCGCAGAGTCCGGAGTAGGAAGCGTGGCCTGAGGCGAGCCAACGACTGTCGTGTTCAACCTCGAGAGAGGTCTGGAAGGGAAAAGGGGTTGTTGAGGTGCTTGCATCGCGTCGAATGACATAGGGTCGCGGTCGCGTATGGGCGCCAACGTATGTGGGTCGCGTCTTGTTATAAAGGAGCGGGTGTTGGTACACGAGGACCTGCGCTGCTGAAGCTGGAGAAAGATTTACAGAGACAAGCAGCGATCGGCGAGGAAAAGCGGATACGGATGGCGGATGGTTGAGTAAAACGACGGGCCGTCTGCAGCACGGTGCTCGGGACGCCACTCGGCGATGTTCTGGTTCACACCGACGACAACGCGAGGCAGGTCAGGCTGCAGCTAGGCTGTGTGCAGTGGGCGAGACGAAGCTCGGGGCGAGAGCATGGTCGAGGTGCGGCCGTGCGTAGGCGGACTTGTATGATCAACAATGCAGACTAGCCTGTTTTGGATGTGAGATCGCCATCTCACAGCCTTCCGATCCCGCTCGATCCCCGCACGCGCCGTCCCGCCACACGCTACAACGAGGCAGCCTGCGATGCGCCCGTCGGCTGAGCGCGAGCTTTTATGTACATAAGTATCTGGCTCCTCAAGCTCATTAGACTGCTTTGAGCTCTCCGACATGAACATGACACCTGTCAGGGATATAGGGTCACTGCATCAGGACCGGTCCAGGTACGCTTCGTCGAGAAAGGCACTACCGGTCGACATCTGAACCTGCGCCATACGAATCTCACTGGCAAGTTCAATGCGACACATACAGCAACGTTCATTCGGAAACAGTCCAGGAAGCGGCACTGTGCAGTAACACGACTGGTGAACGACCATGCATGAGTGCTCCTGTCGAGCCGTATCTGTATGAAAGGCGAAACGTTCATTTCGTGAGTCCTCACTGGCAGCTTGCGCAGGCTCACATCAAGTGAAGACTTCCTTATGCTCTTGCGGGCGTTGGACACACTCGAGTCAGAGGCTTTTAGTAAGTCTACCCAGATATAGCGCGATTGTATCATGCTTGCTGCGGCCTCTGGATCCTTCTGATAGCCCGGATTCATGTATACGTCTGCCACCCTACCACTACACTGTAGCCTTCCGTCGCATTCGATGATACGAACAAGCCGTCGACCGTACTCAGTCTCCTTGGACGAGGCTTTCGTACTGAAACTATTCAGCACACACAAATTGAGACTGGTCAAGGTTCGCGTCTCCAATACGGACGAAGGGCATGGCTAGGAACGGCATGTGTTTTGACATTCAAACCTTCTCGCTTACATAGACTGACCCTTCCTGACATACAGTGAAGTTATAGACGCCACATGAAAGCTGGGATCCGGGAGCGCGTGGCGTCGTCTTGAGGTCGGTTGCAGTACTACATATGGCACGTCGCCCAGGACGTAAGTACGTTGATTCTCTCCACCGAAGGCAGGCTTAAGTGCATTTCTGACCAGCCAGCGTGTGAGGAATACGTGCGCCTGTAGTACCTAGGCCTGCCTTCCCTTTTACGTGAGGTACTTAGCGCCTGAGAAGACAGGAAGCAGGGGCGTGTGGGAAGCCGCAGAGAGACTGAGAGAGTACAAAACTGTGAGTGCCCCGCAGCTGTTCGTCCTCACGTTCTTTTCCTCCCTCGACCACTACACACACCGACCAAGAACTTAGCAGTCAGACCGTAAACAATGAGGAGGTGAGTTCAAAGACATGGCGTACTATCGCATATGCATGCCCGTGGCTCAAACTAGGCGTTCAGACGTACGCTTTACTTCATCATCGGCGGCGTCGTCGTCGGCGCGCTTGTGACGTCGCTCGTCATACTCCCGGCGGTTCTCCCCGGTGCGCTCGGTGGACTCGGTTTCACAGCAGCGGGTGTACAAGCAGGTACGTGACGGCCACCATCAGCTTACCGCTGTACAGGTCCAACCAGCACTAACGCTGCGCATACAGGCTCCGCCGCCGCCGCCATACACTCTGGGATCGGTGCCGTCGCCGCCGGCTCCACCTTCGCGCTGGCCCAGGCAGTAGGCGCGGGCGCGGCGATCCCCTTTGTGTGGACGATGGGTGCAGCGATCGTTGGCGCAGTCCTAGGAGGCGGGTTGGGCAAATTAGCTGCTCGGCTCGAGCCCATTTTGGCCCCTCACGTCGCGAACGTGATGCGTGGAGCCCGAACGGTCGCGAGTCGTGCTGTGCGCAACGTGGGGCGCCTGGCGTCGTGGGTGAGGTCACGGCTCTGAATGATTGTTGTAACTCTGTTGTATCATTGAAGGAACCTTTTCGCTGCTCCCGCAAGATCTTTCGGTTGAACCGAATGGTGTGATGTCATGATAATTGTGAATCAAGCTGGTGACCTATTCTGTGCCTGCTATCTTCTGGATAAACACGTAGAGGGGCCAGTCGCCCCATGGTGAGGGGATCATCTTCTCGCCCACCAAGTCGAAGTGAAGGGCCTTATAAATCGGTACCTAAAAACAATGGCTAGGCAGATCGGCGACACTGAGCAACGCTTCGACGTACGTTCCGTGTACTGGACGTAGACAGAGCCATGGTGTCCCCGTTTGCTGCGGCCTAAGACATGGCTCAGTTAACTCATGGATAGTCAATTGTTGCCGGGTTATCCGTACCTTGCTCCGGACAACATCGACGAGCTTGGTCGCGATCCCTCGTCTGTGATAGTCAGGATGAACCATGATTATGTTCAAGTACCACGAGTCGACTTTGCCCTTCCTCGAAGATGAGCTACGCACGTTCATTGAGAATGAGTGACCTACCGTTGGCCCAAATATCCCCGCCATGAATGCACTGACTTCCGTTGCATACTGCATCGATTCTTTGTTAAGGCATAATAGCATCACGATGCACCTTGGTACGCACCGTCTTTGTGAACCAATCCTTCCCCCTCTGTGACACATGCTCGAAGAAATCGTCCCAGCCTAGCTTGCGCTGCTCCGGTCTGTCTCAACCATCGGTCACTCGCAGCGGGACACCATTCAAAATGATGAAAACGGACGTGCTCAACAGATCTTGACCAGGCGGCATCCATACAGCATATCCAAGGATTCTATCGGATTGTTCCGCGGCCGTATATATCTCGCCATCGAGTGTTGCTGCACGAATCATAGCGCGAGCCATGGTGCCCATAAGACTCCGGTCACCGCCGCATATGCTGATGGCAGCCAAATCTACACAAAATTTGAGCCGACGGTCGTCGTGGAAAAATGCGCGCGAGTACCGTCATTCATGTTGAGTATGAACAGTGACGCGAGCTCTTCCAGTTGTGCATCTGTGAGCGACAGCGGTGGTCATTCTATCCTCCCGGATGAGCAGAGACTAGCGAAGGCCTCGAACCTGTTACATCGTAGACCCGTCGGACAGTCACCGAAGACATGCTTTGTCGCATCCGGAATCCGTCTCACCGCAGGGATAAAAGGACCCTGCGGGAGTACTATTCAGCGCGTATGCTATCATGGGCTTGATCGAGTTACGTTCTCAATACGTTACCAGAACGGAGGAGGCCCGCATGACGAAGAGAACCTGCATACGTATGATGCTCAGTACACGTTGTAGCAAACAAGCTCGGTGACGTCGGCAATGCACTACCAATTCTCCCGGCGTTGGTAATGACCCCGGCAAGCCTTGAATTGCAGGTCTTCGAATTGGCAAGAGTCACAGCACAAGAAGAAAAGAACAAATGTTACGCACTTTGAACTTTGAACCATACGCGTAAGCTAGTAATCGGGTAGCTCGGAACAGCGCGCAGAATGGATGACGCACACAGTTCTATCGATAGCAGCGATTTACATCCGTGTGGGGAGCGATGGTTCTATCAGGTGGATCATGAATGAACTGAGGCGCATTGCAGTGAGACCAAAACGTACTGGCCATCCGTGTTCCCGAGTCCGCAGACTGCCAGACTACAGATGTCACGCGGCACGTGATCGCGTCAGTCACAGCGCCGCGGCGTTTAGCGCGCGGGGCGTCGGACTCGTTCGACATCCAACGTCTGTCCGAGTCTATACGACCGCCCTCCTCCCTTCCAAAATGGTCGTATTTGCGGTCTGTCTACGGGAGACTAACGTCTGCTCATTGTATATGAATGCTCGGAAAGGGAAAGAAGATCTCAGCAGGCGACTCTTTCGAACACATACTTGCATCCGGATTAGAAGCTGGACAACCTCAGCGCACGCCACTTTAGAAGATGATTAAACTTCAAGTGGCCAAGGCCGCTGGGCTTTGTGCGCATGTCATAGCCTTCGAGGTACCGAGACGACCGTGAATGCGGTGGTTGTATGCGATGTTGGCATGTCGCTTACTGTCCTGCCGAGCCTTCGGCCCAAGGTGAGTAGTACGCTTTGTGAGGAAGCCAAGAGCTTGCTGTCAATCTCTGACCAAAACCTAGGTGACTACTAGTGGCGCTCGGCGACTGCAGTCAGAATGCTTAGAAAGTACGGACGAGTCGGTCATGAGCATTTGTACCGCCTGGATGTCAACATGAAGGATGTGAGCGAACGATTGAGTGAGTACCCTGCCCAACACGTGTGCGTCGCGCTCATGATGACCATGCTTTAGGGTGTTGTTGTCCCCGGTCTTCCGAGTCTGACTATGGCTTGCCGCTATCTTCTGTGTGCGGCATCCTTGTGGGCGTCGGCGTCAGAGGGGCTGATGAGGCGTAGCGAGCGGCGACCACTGTATGGGAGTGTCTCCCTGCACATCAGCTTTTAAGACGTTGAGGCACCTTTGCTTCTGACCACGTCTCTGGCTGAGCTTGTCATCTTCGTGCACAGTTGTATTGGCACCCATCCTGACGCATAATATGCAGAACAGGCTCGCTACCATCGGCGATGTTGCCGGAAAGCACTTTGATTTTGTTGTCATTGGTAAGATCTCGTTCTTCACCATTTACTTTTATGAGTTGACTTCGCGTACTAGGTGGTGGTGTGAGTGTGAAGCCGGCAGTGCCTTGTCAAAAGCCATCACTCACGCAGATTCTCGTCATGTAGACGGCCGGACTGACCCTCGCTAGTCGATTGACAGAAAATCCTCGAGTTTCAGTTGTCGTCCTTGAGGCCGGGGACGCACATTTTGAGGACTCTAAAATCCGTATGTCATTTTTAAATGCACTCGACGACCTATACGAACTGATAGGGAATGTGTCAGTGACACCCGATGGGTTCATGCGACAGCTGAGGCAACCGGAGTACGATTGGGCATTCTGGACTGTCCCGCAGAAACACTCCGGAGATAAAGTCATCTCATGGAGCAGGTATGTGAGATGTGGCCGTCAAGATTGTCGTCATCGAAGGTATCCTTCAGGGGCAAGGGTTTGGGAGGCAGTTCAGCGATGAACTTTCTCATGTGGACGACGCCGCAGCGCGAAGACATTGACGGTGATTCCGTTCGCACTTACTTGTGCTCTGCACTGATCTCTTCCCAGGATTCGAGAAGTTGGGGAACACGGGCTGGAAGTGGGAAATGCTCGCCACATATATGAAGAAAATCGAGAGGTCACCATCTGGTCTAGGTCAGTTGTCTTGCATAGCTCAACTTGTTCCGTAGCGGCGTAGCCTGTTGTATGGCGGTGATACGACATGGAAGGCTGGTACACTTAACTCACTGTCTTGGACTTGATGTGTGCACGATGTACCAACTGACATGCTATTGTAGGTCTGATACCAGTAGGGTATGCACATACACCATCTGGAGCTGAGCTGCCATTTCAGCAGGTTTGCCCAACATTTTGTATCCCAAAATTTCTCACCACAAGTCTCACAGAGCATGAATGCCAATGGAATACCCATTGCTTCTGTTGATGATACAGTATGTGCTTTGCATGGAGAGATACTGAGTCAAATGACTGAATGCAAATCCTGTCTGATCTCCCAGATAGCAGGACAGGCCAGTTCATGTTCAAAGTCACTCAGGCTGTAGGTTGGCTTACATGTTAGGTCAACTGTAGACCTGTGGGAGCTGGATGTCTCCATCAAGTATTGAACCAGAAACTGGTTGTCGTGTTGATGCAACAACTGTTGAGTAATCAAACATAAGCTTGCACTGATCATAATCTGATAGCCTACAATTTAGGCATATCTACTTCCAGCATTGCAGAGACCTAATCTCCATGTCTTGACTGGAGCATATGTGACAAAGCTTCTCACATCTGATGGCACCAGGCTCACAGCAATGGGTGCTGAGTTTGTGTACAATTCTCTCCTACACAATGTTTATGTAGACAAGGAGATCATTTTGTCTGCTGGGTAAGACATTCATTCTGATTGTATTGCATGGATTCATGATCAATTGGTGTTTCTAGGGCTGTGAAATCCCCACAAATCTTGGAGCTCAGTGGAATAGGCAACTGCAAATTATTGAGATCTCTTGGAATACCTGTGAAGATGGACCTCCCAGCTGTAGGGGGAAGCCTCAGAGACAAAGTCACAGTATCCATTGTGTTGGGTAAGTTCCTAGCATTGCAATTCTTAACCTATTATCTGATTTATCTCAGAGATGAAGGAAGGACATGACATTTTCAGCTTCAACTTGATGGCCAATCCTGAGTTCCATTCAAGGCTGAATGAGGTCTAGTAAGTCAACCCTTCAAAATGTTGTGATGTCTAATCATGGTTCTTTGCATAGTCCCAATGCAACTGGCAAATTCTCTAGTGTTGTCTCTGGGATGACTTTCATTCCTACACAGGCACTTCCAGAGGGCACTCAGGCCTCAATTTTCAGCACTGCAGAGACATTTGTCCAGAATGCCAAGCAACATGGCTTGTACACCAAAGTGCATGAGCTCCTGATGGATCATCTAGGGAATAGCAAAGTTCCAGACTTTGAGGTCATTGTGACACCTTTTGTACCTGGAGCACCTAGTAAGTAGTGATGACAACATTTTTCCCTGGTCTGAAAATCCACATTGTTTGCAGATCCTAAGAAAGCCTACATTGCTCTTGTAATCTGCCTGAGCCATCCATTCTCTAGTGGAGATACTGTCAGTCAATAATCTCTGGATTTCATCATGGCCCATTCTCAAAGCGTTTATAGCATATTCAGTCTGCAGACCCTCAGATAGCACCACTCATTGATCCTTGTGTCTTTGAGTGTGCTATAGACCTGAATATACTTGTTGAGGCTTTCAAGTTTACTAGAAAGGTCATACAGACAGCACCCTTTTGTGACTTGGTGTCGAAGGAGATAAGACCTGGGCCAGAGGTCCAATCTGATAATGAGATCAAGGGTATGTTCTCTATGTGTATTGGCTTCACTAGTACTAACTACTCATATTAATAGCTGCCATCCAAGGCAATATTGCAACTATATGGCGTGAGTTTGTAGCCTTGTTGGACATTTTATATGTTTATGGTTTTATAACAGACAGTTCCGGTACTGTATCAATGATGCCTAAGGAGATTGGTGGTGTGGTAGATACCAAGCTGAAAGTGAGTGAAAGCTGAGCAATAATTTTTCATAATCCATAGCTTACATGGCTGTTGTACAGGTCTATGGCACTACAAATGTCCGCGTGGTTGACATGTCTATTGTTCCATTGCCTATTGGCACTCATACTCAGTGTATGTTGATCTCAATATCCCATTGGTATGAACTTTGACACAGAATGCCACAGCTGTTGTATATGCCATTGCTGAAGAAGGTACTGCTACTGGTTATTTCTTGCAACCTATACTGACCCATGGAGACTTTAGCTGCAGACATCATCAAACAGGACTTCAGTATTTGAGTTGCATGTCTAGGTGTGCTTCTGGCATGAGTAGATCCAACTACATGCCTGTTGTCATTATTCACAGTACATTGTGTTACAAAGGGATTAGCAGCCAATATAGTATCCTGGAATGATAACAGTACTTGCACCCTCAGAATCATCATTTCATTATGTACTGATATAATTGAGCAAGCTCTGAGTACTGTGAAAGTACTGTAAATCTACTGGCTGGGTCGACCGAAAGCAAACGGAGGCCATGATGGTATCTACAACATTGAGTCAATAACATACACTACAAGAATTGATATAAGCTTAATTGCAAGTGCGCTGCCGATAAGACATGCGAAGAGGAATCAGCGCAACGCGAGATTATGCATGCAACCTCCCCATGGAGCGTCGAGATATAAGTGCTTAAGCACCCTACCACAAGAACGAGCGACCCAAGCCGCCGACGGAGGCCCGATGCGAAGGTCCGAAGGAGTGGTTGCCGCCACCGCGCTCTTCGACCTCAAACTTGAGGGAGCACTTCATGCCATTCTTCGAGTATGTAACATCCAGGTGGATGATGTCGACGTCCACGGAGCCCTGTTTGATAGACTTCGAGAAGTACGGGCCACCTGGTGACGCATGAGTATGACATGCCAAGGACGTATATCGACACAGACAACGTACCTCCCCGCGTCCATGCATTACCCTTCAAAGCTTTCAGTTCGTCTCCGAGTAAGTCCTCGATCGCCGCCGTGGTGCGCTGAGTGGCGGAGCTATGTCAGCAACGGCTCACGTAGCGACATGAGGCAACACACAAATTCGATGATAGTCACGGTGCTCTTGGGCTTGTTCTCCGGTGTCGGCTGGATTAACGTACCCTTGCCGCCAAAGATCGTCTGAAACTCGTCATATTCGAGCACCTCGTCGAACTTGATGGTCTTGCTTGTGCCTTGGAATTTCACAGACTCGCTTTTACACTCCTTCTTCAGGCTAGGAAGACGTTATTATCATCACAGGGGCACATTGACCAGGCTCACCGATCGAAGATCTTCTTCAACTGCAGTTTGCGTTTCTTATCCTCCGCCTTCGTGGTGCTCGGTGCCACGGAGGCATTTGCAGAGGATGAAGCCTCTGCAATAACGGCAGAGTCATTTACCTTTCGTGCACGTTTAGCCGGTGGTGGTCGCGAAGCCAACTGTTCCTCCAGCTAAACAGTGGCCCCACAGTGAATGAGATTGCCTCAGGGTCTGGACTGGAATGACGTCGACGTGTCAAACACACCTCAATAATCCTTTGCTTCATCGCCGCCACGACAGCTGGGGCAATAGGACTGTTGGGGTCCACGGAGTCGATATCCAACTCATCTGTTCACAAAGTGGTCCCGTGAGCGCGCGCTGTCCTGTCAAACCCTGGGTCGCGCGCGACTCCGAGTCGTCAAGAGAAGTCAAAGACGCGCACATTTGTCAACAACGACGACATTCCGCTTGCGTTTGACACCTTTGTTCTCTGTGTTCGCAAAATAACTTCCTATGGTTGCGGGGCCAGCAGAAGCGGCGGAGGACATGGTTGCGAAGAAGAAAGGACGAAGTCGAGAGTGGTGTGACACTGTCACTAGCGACCACTTGCGTGACACAGCGCGTTGAATGGTCACCTGACCGCGTCCAGGCAAGTGGCTGATGTTCGGTGGCTGAGCGCTGAACCGTGGCGTTGAACTTTACGGTCTTCCGGCCTTGCGACCAGTGATCGCAATTCAGTACTCAATTCTTGTCGGTCTCCATCTCCGAGTTCTACTGTCAATCTTTGCGGTCACTATCGACTTCACTGACCGTCTGAACTGTTCCAGATAGCTAAACCGCGGAGGTCTGGACCATTACGAACGTGACCGACACTGTCTGCCGCAAATTGGCCAGCCTCCGCAAACTCCCAGTTCATTGCTAGCCGCGGTCAGCCATGGAGTCAGCCATACTTGAGGGTTATATAAATGCAGACCCACACTCCTGCCCTGACTCGCCATCTCATCACGCACGGATCAAGTTCTCTGGAAGACGTCCTTTGCTGGTTGGAAAGGAGACTCGCCTGGTATTCTTGACTCACTGACCTGATTATCTTCCTCGAGTACCTCAAGGGCGGCTCTCGTTCCATCAATCGAGCTTCTACTATATCTATTAACTGGCTGATCCACCGACAATGGCATCGACCGTCACTCGCCGTCTCGCCGACTCTGTCTCTTACGTTGTGCTTTCCTCTAGCACCTCAGGCCAGCTCACCATCCCTCTCGTAGACCCGACGACAGGGAAGACAGTCCACTACGCGCTCGTCAAAGTCGACACGCCACTTACAGTCGCCGGCCTCGGTCTTAGCCCCCGCCTGCACATGCGCTCGGTCTCCACGAGCGGTCACCCTCAGGATTCCTGCCATCAGACCCAAACCGCCCGCAGGCTCGATCGGCTGGCGAAGGAGTGCATGCTAGATGTCTCCCTCGATGCGCTTCGTATGCTGGAGGAAGACAAAGAATGGCCTAGCCTAGCATCGACGTCCTACGTGACCTCTCCTCCTTCGCGCCTTCTTGTACCTGGAGTCATCTCCGCCAACGCCTTCGCATACGACGAGCAACCAAAATCGTATGCCGAGACGCCCTCCTTGTACAACGAGTCCCGGTCGGACGAGTCTATGTCCTACGTCGGCACGCCCGTCTCGCGGCCTCGGATGCGTCGACAGAACACAATCACTGCACTTGGGTCAGCAGGTGCAGCGGACTCCTCTATGCTGGTCGGCCTAGGTATCTCAGGCATGACGAAAGAAGATGGCTCTCCATTCGACGGGCTAGGGTCTCTCGCGCGCACTGCGTACCCCAGTCACAGGACCAACTCGCCCACCCAACCTTCCCCGGCTTACGCATCCACATCCCAGTCCTATTGGTCATTCTTACCTGAACTCTCCCCTGCTGCCTTTGCCAGCGACGCTCCAGAAGACCCCGTCGCGCTCTTCTGGCGAACCGCGACTGCAGCAGACTTCCGACGGTACCTCGACGACAGCGTCTCCTCGAATCAATATTCCGCACCCATCGGCGCATGCGGCTCGTGGAAGATCGCAAAGAAGGAGGGGTCAATCCACACGCGTGCAGCTGGCCTCGCACCGCCGAGCAAGGGCCACAAGAAGCGCTTCAGCATGCCCCGTGCCGAGGAGGATTTGTTCATGTGTGAGACACCGGTGGACTCGAGCTTGAGCGATAGGATCATGGGTCATCTCGAAGGCGCGAAGCTGGAAGAGGAGTCGTGGATGAAGGCGAGCAGTCATTTGGGCGTGTGCGCAAGCCGAAGGCCTGTGTCTTGTATGCTCTGATAAGGATTGAATTCATGTACAAGGTTCTCGTCATAGGACGTAGACATCAATTCGAGAAGATTTGACGAGTTGATTCAATGAGTTACTCAATCGTGTTAACACGATATGAACATGCACTTGAAAGACCATATAAGTCGTTAATTTCCATAAGTTCATACGTCTGTCTACGTGTACAAAGGCGTAGTCTACATCGAGCCGGGCGATGCTGTCGTACATTCTCCGTGATAGTCGTGTAAGTCTCACAGGGTTTTCCATATTTCCTCCCTTTTTCTTCCGCCTCATTAGCGGTCATGACCGTCCATCTCCATTGACATTTCCGTTCGGAATCAGAGGACCTAGCGCCTGCTTCAGCAGCAGCTCGACGCGGTCCCTGTCGTCCGTAAGCTGCTTCATCTCGTCGTGCCAGCGCATCTCGCGCCCCTCGTAGATCTTTCCCATCTCGCTGAGGCTGCCTAGCGCAGCTTCCAAAGCGCGACGCAAGTCCGCCTCCCGCGACTCAGCGGTTATGGGCGAGCCGTCGGCTGAGGCAGCAGACCCTGCGGAGAGGTGGAGCCTCTCGACGAGCGACATCCGTTGCGAGCGTGCGTTGCGCCGATGGCTAGCGAGATGGTTGAAGGAAGCACGGATGTTAGCGAGCTTGGGTGAATTGTACAGCGCCGCGTCGCGTCGGATCGAGCGCGACGTGAGCGCATGTAGTTTTGTTGAGTGCGACGGGGAGGCGAGCATGACCAACGTGGCATCCGTCTCTCTATCGAGAGCTTGGAACTGTGCGAATCATGTCAGTTGATAACTAGAGCAATGAAGAGCTGACGTACTGCTTGAATGAGCGCATCCCAGCGCGTCTCCCATCTGCGCCGCCGCCTTTGCACACTGCTCACATAGGTTGGGTGGTACTCCAACTCGAGTAGGTCCTCCTCCTCTCCCTCCTCTTCCTCATCCACCCACTCCCCCTCCTCGTCCTCGACGTGTTCGATACCGTTCCCGTTGGTCCAAGGCGTAGCGCTCGTGGTCGATTGTGCACTAGCCTCGCCGATGTAGTGATCCACGAACTTCTCCTCACCCGCCGTCTCCTCGCCCGAGCCATCTGACGACAACTCCGGGCTCGTCTCGCGGGGCTGGGTACTCTCAACACGGGGCGGGGGCTTCACTCGCCGCACAGGCCGGGCGCCAGGCTGGGGTGCACGCAGGCTCGGAGCTTGGTCGCGTCTGCGCAAACCCCGGCCGCGCATCGCCGGAGGAGGCGGCAAGCTCACCGGCTCGTGACTTGGGCTCGAACGCATGCTCATCACGGACGCCCGCGCGCCTGCCTGCCCAAGGCCTTGCATACCCATAAGAGGTACGAAGGCCAACGGGTTGTAGCCTGGGCCAGGGAATGGAGTGGCAGGCGGAGAGAACGTCGAAGCGTCAGATGCTTGCTGGTAGCCGTTGTTCAGTGCGTAGATCTGCATCTGCAGGGCCATCTGCTCGCGGACGTAGTCGAGGTTGTTCATGTCGGGCGTGGAGGACGGAGCCTGCTGCATTGCAGGCATGGTAGAACGGCGGATGTGCGTGAACGGGTACGGGTATGGCGAGCCAATTTGACGCGGTTCGGCGTCGCTATGCATTGCCGAGAGCAGAGGCGACGGCGATGGCGCAGCGGTATTCGACTGTGGCGTCGGGGGGATAGGAGCATTCGGGCGAGCACCTGGGGTCCGGAGGAAGCTGTGGATGTATGATGACGTCGGGTCCTCCAGCAAGCTCTGCAGTTCGTCAGGATGAGGGAAACGAGGAGGGTATATACCAGCCTGAGCCAATTGGTGTTCCGTCAAGTGCCCCAGCGCGGCGTGTTGGGCGGCATCTGCTTGTACCCTTGACGAATCCAGGCGCACTTGAGTCTGTTGAGCCTGTGCCGTAGGCTGCTGCTGAGGCTGAGGCTGAGGCGGGGGTTGAGGCGGGCGAGAAGACTGGCGCTGGCCGCCCGCAGGCGAGCCTCTGTCGTTGCTTCTAAGACTGTTCACCGTGCCTTCGAACATTGTCGGGTCGAAGCTTCGCATACCCAGTTGGTCAGTCGGCCCAGACCGGTGCTTGGCGCGAATCGTCTTCTGATAATCCGCATTCGTGTTTGCCTGATACTGCGCGGGCGTCGAGCTGTACTGAGCGGTCGTCGAGCCGTACTGCGAGGTGGGGCTGGTGTAGGGGGCATCCCGGGAACGATCTGGCAAAGGCACAGTCGGCGAGCGAGGGGTGAAACCCGACCCCGACCCCGAATCCTCGCCATCCTTGCCCTGCATTTGCTGATGATCGTCGTCCTCGTCGTTCAACGTCACATCATCCTCTTCATCGTCACTTCCGCGGCTGGGATGTCGTGCATGCTCGCGACGAGGCTCGTAGCGTCCCTCTGGGTACAGGTCTGACGACGGGGTGGGTGAGCCTCGATGGAGATCCTCATACTCTGGCTCACGATCGACATAGTGTGTTACCTCCTCCTCCGGCTCCTCCTGCAAGGGTAACGATCGTTCCGATGGACGTGAGGTCATGGTCTGCAAGGGCGGAGTGTGGCTCGAGACAAGCTTGGAGGTGGCAGGTGGTGTTAAGCGCGTCGGAGCAGCCTCGGCTGTGCCCACAGCAGGCACTGGCTTCCGAGTCGGGGGCGTGGGACCCTGGACCTGTGTATTGCCCCCTTGGTCACGGTAGCCCTCCGGGACGTACTGCGTATAGACCGCGGTGCGTTCGCCAGGAGAGACCATCGGCGCCTGGAATTGGGGCGATCCGCGGTACTCGGGCGTCCGAGCGACCGCAGCGTGGCCCTCCATTGAAGATATCGACGACACCGTCTGCGAGCGATCCCGCGTCTTCGGGCTGTCGCGCGCGTTCATGCTATCCTTGTCGCGCGACTGGCGCTTCGCGGTGATAGCGTCCTGGTCCTTCGGGCTGGAGCGATCACTTGCGCGCACGCGCTCAACGGCGGGATCCTTGGCGGGTTGCACAAGGCTCAGGTTGCTCGAGGCTGCTCCTCCAGCGTACGCGAACCCTGACTGACCAGCAGCCTGCTGCAGATCTGCTCTCTCGATCTCAGCTATCAACTCGGGGGTCATCTGCCATGTGTCGTTGCCAAACTGCGAGAGGAAGTTCGGTGGTGGGACGCGGTTGATGGGCCGGGGATGGTGAGGGTTCTGGGCGACTTGCGGAACGGCTGGAAGACTCTGGCTGTGCGAGGGACCGGGAGGCGGAAGAGGGATGAGGTGAGGAGGCAACACCTGCGGAGCATGCGACTGCAGAGGCGGAGAAGGCGCACCCTCTGGCGTATGCTCACGTGCATGTGCCGCCACCGACATCTTCGCAGCGACAGGTGAGATTCGTGAAGGTGGCGGCGACCTGCGAGACGGATGAGAGCCGGTAGAAGTCGTCGGGCTCGGTTGCTGGGCTTGGGGATATACGGACTGCCGTTCCTGCAACTGGTTCAGGGATGGAACGATCGGCAATGAATGGGCCTTCGTCGCACGCTGCCTCTCGCGAAAGGAAGGAGAGGGAGTCGACTCCCGAGGCACGATCCCCTGAATCGGACCTAAAAATGATCACGGATTCAAATGAGCGTTCGCGGGATCAATTTTACGGTGGTGTCAGAAACGTGAAAGGCCATGTCCGCCCAGTCAATGACCCGTCCGCTAGCCTATAAGACGTAAAAAGAGTCCATCACGGATCTTCGTAGCAGAAAAGAGCAACGACAGTGACAATTACCAGCCGAGCTAGCCTCGCCGCCGCGAACACCGAACACCGGAACAACAATAAACAACGCAACCAAGCTAGACCTTCAACGTGGGAGGTGACGGCGCGCAAGGAAGGTATTCGAAAAGACGCGACATACCCTGTGTGCCCGGAAGCATCATCGGCTTTCTGTTGCGCTGCGGTGATTGACTAGACATAACGTGGGTCGGCTCAGACTGGGCGATAGGGGAGGAAGAGAGGATCGCAGGGAAAGACGCACTCGGCTCGTGGATAAGAGAGTATGCTTTCAGAGGTGAATCCTTGTACTCGCGTTTCCAACGTGGCGGCGGGTCTGCAGTGACAGGAACATCGCCCCTGCCCACAACGAGGTGGATGGCCGTGTATGGAAGGTGCACGGTTCATGGCTGCCTCGAGGCTGATTACCGCCAGCCAGCCGCCAGCTGTGCCCTTCGATCCGGCTCTCTGCCCCTCGCTCGCCTTCCTGCGCTCATATCCGTCGATGAGGGCGAGAGACCGCGTGCTATGAACCCGAGCCGGCAGGCAGACGTCAAGGTCGTTCTTGTCGCTGTCAAGGCCGCGCTTGCCCTTGTATTCTTTTGAGACAGCCTTCTATCCATGCGGGCGAGTCGGAAGCCTATTTCGTAGATGATTTCACGCGCCAGAGAAGCGAGAAGCACGAGTCCGCAAGCTGATTCCAGGTGGTCGCCTTCGACGATGCACGAGGCAGGGAACAGAGTGGTCTATCCTATTACTCGCGCCCAAGTACCACTTATCTCGCCCGGGATGGCAGCATCAAATTCGCAGAAACCCTGATGTGGCAAGACAGAACTCTCAAAGCCCTTGCATCATCCCCGACGATCTGTGGACACTCGACGCGAAAACATGAGGAGGCCTGCCGGCCACTGCATTACAGCCTGGGCTCGTACTCGATTGATTTCGGGAGTGGTCAATTGGTCAATGCGGAGTGGGCATTCACGAGACATGGGTGGTCCAACGCCGCGCACAGCTAGCACGTCTCACTGCGACATGGCAATATGTGATCATGCATGAGACAGACAGAGACGTAGGAGCAGTATTGTCAATGTCAGCCTGAGCACCTCACACAACACTCGTTAGGATAAACGTCTGCTTCGTCACCAGTGCTGGTGATGCGCACGATGAGTCACCACAACTCTTAGACCCGAAGGAAGGCAAATTGATCGCTCGATTACGAAGACTACCTTCGAGGAGCCTGTAGCTAAATGTTCTTGAACGAACCATCTGCCTTCCTTGCAGACAGTGACAACATTCCTGCAGAGATAGATCACGGTCCGACGAGCAAGGGTCTGCGCAACCCACGTACTAAAGGATCGGCGCTGTATTGCAAAAGCCTCTCTAATCTACCCAAACTTGAATGTGCCTGACAGGATCGACGTACGTCCACAACGCTGACCAGGATCCACCACTTACTTATATGGTCCAACGTCAACTTTGTTGGTGCTTGTGGGTCCATCTTCGGAAGCGACGAAGGGACGACGAATATGGCAGTCGCCACGTTCCGTTGACAGGCACAAAGCAAGACGTTCTAGCGAAAATCTGATGCATTGCGTACGATACTGACGAGGCGAGGAAATGCGAACGAGCGGCAGCAGAAAGTCCTAGAGCTACAAGAATTAATAAGATAATGTTAGGGCGCGGGGTAGCATCACCGGGGACCAGCAAGTAGGCGATCAATCAACGTCCTCCATGCCGCCGAATCGCGGCCCTGAGAACACGTTTGCCACCACATCGATCGAACCGGGAGAAGGAAGCGACGGTGCTACAGGCGTAGGAATGGGCGGCACGGCGGTTGAAGGTCCCGCTACGGGTGCAGCATTCGCCTCGGTTCTGGGTTCTTTGTGCTTCGCTGCTGCCCGCATGCCGTGGGCCTTCTTCCGCTGCACTTTGACGAACTGCATAAGCCCATCGAGTGCATCACAGACATGGTGCTTGCTAGGCTTGTCCGCCAATCTGACAGAGCACACAAATTATCAGCCGCGATGATACATGCAGAATGATTGAACCAACTTACCGGCCTACCATCTCATCCACGATGTCGTTCGCGCGGATGAACGGCATCATCTCCATGATATCCTTGCAGACCTTGAGCAGCTGCACCGGCCCTCCTAAGATCAGCGGCGCGGTCTCCACCCAACCCTCGAAGCGCTGCCTCAGCCTCGGTCTGAACTCTTCCCTGAGATCTTCCAAATCCGGATCATTTGGGTCCAAGTCGAGGTACCCCAGCGGATCCGCGTCCTCTAAAGGGTCCATCCCAGGTACGAGCGGTAGCCCCATCATCATCGCTGCGAACGCCATCGGGTTCGGCGCGTTTGTCCCAGGGGTGGAGATCGCGTCGACCCACGCCTCAATGCGATCCTGCCTGCCCGCGGCGCCTGGGCGCATCTTCAGGATTGCCTGCACCTCCGCACGATGCGCGGGCGCGTCGAGGTGTGCGAACGAGATCAGGAGCGTGTTTCGCAGTGCGCGTGTGGTGTCAAGCATCTCCTTCTCCATAATCTGGACCGCACGGTGCTTATACGCCGCCTTCTGCGCCATGATGGTCACCGCGTGCTGAAGCGCACCCGCGTCGCGCGGGCGCAGCAGGTGCGAGTGAGTCGTCAGTGAGGTCGCGATCTCGCCAGAGAAGCATTCGTACGCCCAGATGTCGAGTGCAGCAGCGAAGGTGTCGGATGAGCTTGTGGCGACGCTTGACAGGTAGCCGCAGAGTTCTTTATGGGCTACTTCTTGGTCGCCAGATATCGCGAGGAGCGTGCGGTAGAGCTGGAGTGATGGTCTTCGTTTGAACACATCTGTCAGATATGCTTGTATGTGGTCGCGGAGCGCTGGCACGACACTGCTTATCCGGTATGACCAGTGTCGCGCAGGGTGAGGTCCACTTGGCACATCGTCGATGAAATCCGACTCTGCGTAGTCCTCCTCCTCTTCGTCGATCTCATCATCGAAGAAGTCTTCCTCCTCCTCGTCTTCTTCATCGACGTCATGTGGACCTAGACTAACATTTGAGCTGGTTGCGGACACATATCTGGGCTTCGCTCACATTTCTTCCCACCATAAATGATACGCTCCACTGCTGTCCAGCCGGAGACATCGTCGATCTCCTCAAGTATGTCGGGGATATCTCGTATGTCCCTCTTCGTGCCTGTAGCCAACATGCTCAAGAGGAGCTCTCGCCATATGAAGTAGAGAACCTCTTCGATGTTCTGAACACCGCAGATGTCCCAGGACTTGATGCATTTTCCGTCCCTATCTTTGAGCGCGACGTTCACAAACAGGTTGGTGAATGCACACTTGCAGCTGCCCAGAGAGTCAACTTATTGGGAATCAAACATGTGCGCCACATACGCACCTACTACGCCCACTGAGCATATGGTCTATTGTCCCCGCGATGAACAAGAGGCACTTATGCGCGTGCATGAAGTCCACGTTATGCTCATAGACCACTCTCCAAATATCACTCAGCCAATTTGTCAAGCTATCCACCGCCTCGCTGATGAGCTCCTTCTTCATAGATCGCTCCTTCACGAAGGATCGCTTGGAATCTCGATGTAGCTCGTCCAACAAGGCGTTGACTTCCAGCCGCTTCGCCCTAAGATCGAGCACCGGGAGATCCGCATGCATGGCCTGGAGCTCTGTCGCCTGGGCTAGTACTTTCTTCCAGTGCGTCCGGTCGACATGATTGAGCAGAGGTATTAGTTGTTTCTCGATTAGGCTTTGTTGTGCGTCTGAAGGTAAGCTGTCGTACACCGCCTTGAACCTGGTCTGCGAGTGGGTGAATGTTCAATGAATGTGGATACGCATCCATACCTCGCACTTGGAAGCTTTCCGGACATCAGCAGCGACAAGACGGGTGTATTGAGGGGATGTGAGTGTTGTAAAGGAGTTATGATGCCTGAGGACGGAGCGGTGAGGGGTAAGTAATGGCAGCAGTGACTGAATTCGTAATGGATCCCCGGAAAGGTGGCCGTCGCGAAGACCATTGTCGGACTTTCAAGCCGAATCAGTAGTATATCGACACAGTACAATAGGTGTTCGAACTCAGAAATAACGAAGTAACAATTCATTGATTGAGTCCATACAAAGTCCATAATCGGGTATCTGATGGGAAAGGCGCTCAATAGTAACAACGCGTTACAGACGCGTGACGGAACGTGTCGCGTCACCCACGGAGGCGCGTTCCTTCGCGTCCAGTGAGTCTGCCGCCGTGCATCGACCACCTCCTCGCCCTGCATCCGGTTACTCTTTGCCTCTTTTTACCTCTTTTGCTGAACACGCCACATATCTTGGATAGGAATGGCGGGGACGAAGATAAAGCCCTCTGCGAAGTCGCAGGGAAAGGACATCCGAGGGTTCTTTGCTGGTGGCGGAGGAGGCAGCAAGTCGGCTGGTAGTTCGATGTCCACGCAACGCTCGAATGGCTCTGTGAGTGTTCTTCCATTTATAAACTACCTTTTGCATAGCGGGAGGCTGTCATCGCACTGGACATTGCCCTGCTACATGGACCCATGCACGCGGTCGTCGGGGCAGCGTGCAGTGAGGAGGAGGATAGACGTGCTTGGCGTATGCGTGCGTTATGCGACATGCGCAATGCAACGAATCTAGGCTGTTGATTATGACCTCTGGTCTTTTGCATGTCTGGCCCTGACTAACGAGTGGTGCGCAGCTCAAACCCAGCGGCTCTACCAAGCCCGATGTCATTGAGATCATGAGTACGTGCTCTGCGTTGAGGTTGAGTCAACACCTCACTTTTTGATAGGTGATGAAGATCATGTCGAGTGAGTGCTAGAGACATTCCATTGTGGCCGCGCCGTCTGAATGTGCGTAGGTCAGGCAGCAAACATTTCCAGTACGTCGTATCCGTCGTATCCAGCGACGCAGCCTCACTTGCTGATGATCCTTCACCTTCTAGTCCTAAGGCCACGCCCCGGTCAACTGTGAGTCGGCTAGCAGTTGTAGATCTCCTATGCTCAGATATACCCGGATTGCTCAGCAGCCGAAGAGCGAGCGGGTAATGGATGAGGACGACACACCCAGCCCAGCTCCTACTCTCAAACGCAAGAAAACACTCATAGTATCGAGCGATGAAGAGGACGAGGAAGCCGAGAAGGCCTCCCCGCCGAAGAAGAAGGCTGCTGTGGCTGCATCCTCTTCGAAGGCGGCGAGCTCCAGCACCTCAGCGTCGAAGCCTACGCCAAAAGCCAAAGAGCCAGCTCCACGCCGAACCAGTACCCCCGCCAAGAAGCGAAAGCAAGACGACGACTTCATTGCATCAAGCTCCGAAGAGGAGGTGCATGATGATTACCAAGACAATGAGGACGAAGACCTACCGAAGAAAGGCAAGGCCAAGAGTAAAGCGGCCCCGCAGAAGGCGCCCTCGAAGAAGGCCGTCCCCGCGAAGAAGGGCGCGTCAGCCAAAGCTCCAGCCGAGAAAGCGACGGGCACCAAAGGTAAAGCGGCTGCTAAGGAAGAGACCGTGGACGCCGACGAGGATAAGCCAAAGCCTAAGTTCAAGTGCGTCTAATTTACCTGCTCTTTGTGGCTACTTCTACATATCACATCTGCAGCTGGGCGGCAGCCAAAGCCGCCAAAGCCGCCGGCCCTATGGCCCCGGGCTCGAAGCCCTTACCGACCCCAGCAGCGCCGGATTGTCTGGCGGGCTTGTCATTTGTGTTCACTGGCGAGCTAACAAGCCTTTCGCGAGATGAGGCCGTCGAGCTTGCGAAGCGTAATGGCGGGTACGTCGCATGCTGATCTTGTATTATACGTGATGACTTGACGATGTCTCAGTCGAATAACGGGTCAGCCTTCGTCGAAGACTTCCTATGTTGTAGTCGGATCAGATGCAGGGCCCAGCAAACTCGCTGCAATCAAGAAGAATAACCTGAAGACGCTCGATGAGGACGGCTTCCTCAACTTGATTGCTACTCGGGTGCCCGACATGAGCAGCTTAGACGACAAGACAAAGAAGAAGCTCGAGAAGGATAGGGAAGCCATCCGGACTGCCGCGGCAGAGATGGAGAAGCGGGAGAAGAAGGCTGCGAAGGCGAGCGCGGCTAGTGGCAGCACGTCCAAGACCGCCGCGGAGAACAAGCTCTGGACAGACCGGTATGCTCCTCAAACGTTGAAGGAGGTATGCGGCAACAAGGGCCAGGTCGAGAAGCTGCAACGCTGGCTACATGACTGGTAGGTCACTGCTCTTTGCGACGTCCTGAAGTTAATCACCATTCATGCATCCAGGTCGTCAAGTCTGAAGTCTGGTTTCAAGAAACCGGGCAAGGATGGCATGAACGTCTTTCGGGCAGTACTGATCACAGGCTCGCCGGGCATCGGTAAGACTACGAGTGCCCACTTGTGTGCCAAACTTGAGGGATTCACTCCCATTGAGTTGAATGCAAGTGACGCGCGGAGTAAGAAGCTCGTAGAGGTCTGTTGGTGCTCTTCTCATGAGGACAATGGGACTAAGACAAGACGTACAGAACAGCACGAACATTGCCAACACGTCACTAGACGGATGGATGGGGGGTGGACAGGTAAGGCTTTAGGACGTATTGACGCTATGTTGGTATGCTCATACGCTTGATCACAGACGACAAATGCAGCTGGCGTTACTATCACCGAGAAGTCCTGTCTTATCATGGACGAAGTGGACGGTATGTCTGCTGGTGACCGAGGAGGCGTTGGTGCCCTGGCTGCTTTGATCAGGAAGGCGAAGGTACACAAGCAAAGTGCATCCGTTACAGCGAACTGACGAGCCATGGATGTGTAGATTCCGATCATCTGCATCGCGAACGACAGGGGCGCTCCAAAATTGAAGCCTTTGGCGACCGTTGCCTACAATCTGACCTTCAGAAAGTCAGTCTCGTCATCTATTTGCAAAACATCTCTTTTGACTGTGGATTCAGGCCAGAGGTCGCATCCGTCCGCTCTAGGATACTGTCCATTGCTTTCAAGTACGTGAACATACCCTGATACATTGTGCACGATGTATGACTTATGGATCGTCCTAGGGAGAAGATGAAGATCCCAGCTAACGTTATCGACCAGCTCATCGAGGGTGCACAGTCGGACATTCGGCAGGTCTTGAACATGCTCTCGACGTGGAGGTTGCAGGCAGATACCATGGACTTTGACGAAGGGAAGGCACTGTGAGTGAATTGCCACTTTTTTCCGCCTGACACTCATGATAATCTCTGCTGACAGCGTCAAGATGAATGAGAAGTATGCGATCATGACGCCGTTCAACATCATCCAGAAGATGCTCGGACCGTATATGTTCTCTTCAACTTCAAGAGAAACTCTGAATGACAAGATGGAGCTCTACTTCCATGATCACTCATTTGTTCCTCTGTTCATCCAGGTCAGCACGACTACAATGTCGCGGATAGTCAAAACATACTCACATCAATGCAGGAAAACTACTTGAAGACCCAGCCGGCAAGAGTGAAGAACCTGGATGGACCGGAGAAGGCTCTGAAGCAGCTGGAACTCTTGGACAAGGCTGCTGCGTCCATATCAGACGGCGATCTGGTCGACTCACTGATACACGGGTAAGCAGGCCACCGAGATGGTCATCCGGATCTCTCTCACCCCCATCACTACAGGCCGGAGCAACACTGGTCTCTGATGCCATTACACGCTGTCTGCTCGACCGTACGCCCAGCGTCTTTCCTCTACGGTATGGGCGTAGCATACGGAGGGCCGAATGCTATGTCATTCCCACAGTAAGTTCATTCTGTCACGCTCAAACGCATTGCTCAGAACCGTCGCAGATGGCTTGGGCAAAACTCGAAGCAGAACAAGCTTACGCGACAGCTGACCGAAGTTCAGGCCCGCATGCGATTGCACGTCTCCGGAGACAAGGCGGAGATCCGGCAGTCTTACATCCCGGCGATGTTCCCGTACATCGTGAAACCTCTGGTGGACGAGGGTGCAGTGCGTATCAGATGGGCACATACGAGGTGCGAGACTGATGGTCAATCGTATCTCTGCAGAGTGCAGTCGACGAAGTGATTGAGCGGATGGACGACTACTTCATCTCTCGAGAGGATTGGGATACGATCGTGGAGCTCGGAGTTGACCAGAATAAGGATGATTTCGTGCTGAAGAAGATATCAACAGCCACCAAGACGTCCTTCACCAGAAAGTACGTGTCTACGGCGAGTCTATGTGACCGCTGGACTCACTCGACATAGGTACAACGCGAGAGATCATCCAATCCCCTTCCACAAGGCCGCAGACATGGGCAAGGCGCCCAGGCAGCTCGCGGCAGCGGGACCCATTCCCGATCTAGAAGAGGCCCTCGATGTAAGCCATCCATATCACCGGTGGAATACGCGCTGAGACATGACCCAGGTCGACGAAGTGGAGGATGCGGCTGACGAAGTTGAAGACGCATCGGACGACGACGTCTCAAAGGACAAGCTCATCAAGGCACCCAAGAAAGCTGCAGCGAAGTCGGCAACGGCGAAGGGAACGACGAAGGGAACAGCAAAGGGAACGGCGAAGGGAAAGGCGAAGGCCAAGAAGTAGGATGTATTCGTTCTTGATCCAGTGTATATAGTATTGTAGGCTTGTTCAATATCTCGCTATTGGTATAAGGATCGTCTTCAGCTGGAACATCCGTAGGTATTGTGCTCCATGAGCCCATAGAAGTTAATCCGAGTCCTAGGCTGTCCGCAAAGTATTAGTCCCAGTTCTTCATGTCTTAGAATAGAACTCCAGCGACGAGGGCACCAATGCCCACCGACACCAGGCCCGCGACGTTCGATGTCAAGGTTGCCCCACTGTCCTTGACAGACACTGACAAGGAGCCGTTGAGCGATACTGCAACAGTCTGTATTGCTGCCCCGTTCGCAGGGAGGGTACCCTCGTAGAACCCGAGCGTGTTCGTCGCGTTCGTCATTTTGCCTGACCCGCCGCACGCGCCAACGAAATCACCGTACAGCGCTTCTCTGTCCTGCACGAACGACACGAACCCTTTCAAGGAGCACGAGTCCTCCGGCCCGTCTGTACAGCCTGGCAGGGGTATCTGCGCGGCGTTGACCAGCACCCGGACAAAGTCGGTGTCGCTACTGTTCCCAGTCGCGCTTGCGTTGCACGAGAGGCGCTCGATCCCGACGTTCGCGAGGAAGGGCAGGATCTCGGAGGTGCGCCACGCGCGGTCGTAGTTAACGGAGTCGGTCGGCATGCTCGCGTTCGATGTGTTGAACAGTCCGAGAGCGGTGACCATGAAGGGCGGCTCTGTTAATCTTCAACGTCAGTCCAGCACATAGAAATGCGGTACATGAAACACACCGACCTTCACGGTGCGCGAAACTGATGAACAGCTGTTGGTTGCCTGCGCTCGAGTTTGGAGCCGAAGTGTTCGCGCTACCTGAGAGCAGGCGGGCAGACGCAGAGACCCAGGGCATGCCCAGCACGGGCGCAAGCTCGTTGCCATACCCGAGGGAGCGGTGGTACATCAGGTCATTCGCGTACTCGTAGTTGAGCCACTCGCTCTCGCTGAAGAGGTTGCAGAATCCGGAGACGGTCATGTTCCGGATGACGGTGTCGTAGCCGCAGAGCGACTGGGCGGCGAAGACGTCGCTCGCAGTCCAGTTGAACGATGAGTCGACGAGCCCGTTGAGCCGCGCTGCGATGGAAGGCGCGTAGGTGTTGATGAAGGTCATCTCTTCGTCCGAGCCTACTCCAGAATCGAAGGTGTCGCAAGATTGCTGTGGAGCAAGAGGGGTTAGATGCCGAGACGCGAGTCAGAAGATCGACGACGCACATGGGGAGTCAAAGTGTTAGCAAACTGGCTCTCGCCTTGATCCACGATCACGAGGGTAACATTGTCCATTGATGCGTTGAATCCTTGCACGAATGCCTTGGACGTCTCCTATATGAAGACGTCCGAGTCAGCCAAGACGCGAATGAACTGACTCTTGTGGTACAAACCTGGTCTCGCGTCGCTGCTGCCGTCCATACCTTGAATGAATCCTCGTCATTGATCCCCAAGATATCCTGGTACCTTTGGGCGAAGACCGCGCCCAAAGCGGCGGCATCCTGCTTGCCGGTATCCGTGACTTTCTCAATCTCAGCATCGGGATCGTCGATGGGACTCGTCCAGTTGCTAAGGAAGGATAAGAACGAGTTCCCGGAGAATGCCTGTTTGTCGGAGAAGTTCCCTAGCTTGTAGAGAAACGGTGCAATTATGTGTTCGTATTCGTACTGCGGAAGCATTTCAGGCTATGGTTGACATCGTGGAACTTGAACACGCGATTACGAACATCATTGCCATAGATATCTGCATGCCGGACGAGGTATGTTGCACGCGTCACAGAACACCCATCTGGGAGTGCTGCAGTGAGGCCTACTCCGGGCGAGTTGAAGTATGGCGAGTTGCCAGACAAGTCTGCAGAATGCCATTCAGTCAGACATGCCCGAAAATTCGAACGTAGACCGTGACACTTACGTTGCAGGACATCGAAAGTGTCATTCGAGATCACTTGTCGTGGACGAGGCGATGGGTGCACCTCTCTCATGAAGTGAGAACGCGCGTGCACTTGCCATTCGCCCCGATGTAGCTGTGCAACCGCAGGGGAAAGCACCGCGAGGACTACAGACATACCTAACTGTACCTTCATCGCTGCACAAGGGTTGTGCGTGTTCGGAGGTCGTCCGCCTCGCTGTGACTACCGTCGCGCTGCATTTATACGCGAGCAGGCGGAGGCAAGCTGGGCTTCATCGGAGGACGTCATGCCAAGACCGGCCAAACCTGTGCCCCGCTCGATCGGCGGAGCGGTCGCTGTGTGCTACATACCTCGGAAGCTTGGGATGGGTTCACTTTGTCAGTATTGGTGCGCAAATGCTACCACGTCCTATGTTATTCGGTGATGGTCTGACTCCCTCTGTACGCTTTCACGGCCACTGTTACTGTAATGTAAGTAAACGCAACAGAGTGAACGTTCGCTTGACTACACATCACCAAATCGTCACTACCATCTCCTCCGCGTGCTCCAGCACTGACCTCGCCAAGACCTCGCATACAATGCCATATACATCATAAGTGAACCTACGACAGGCGAGAGTGTATCTCATTGTCAGATCTACCACCGGAGCCGCATGTACTCAGACTGCGTACCTCCAGGTACCTCCGTCGCCTCGGACCTTCGCGATCGAAACCAAATCGAAACCAAATCGAAACCAACGATGAACAGGACTGATTCTGAGCCACCGGATGGAGTCCATGTACTATTCACCCAGACTGGTACAGAGTGAGTGGAACGGTACTGGTCCTCCTCCCCCAGCCAGCAACATGCAACGTGGCCTGCCCTCTCAGCAGCGTCCAACGCAAAAACACGTACTACCGCTCGCCGACTCGCCGCGTCCACGAGTCGGCTACCGCCATGATCAAGCTACATACCTTCAAATTTCAAGGGTACATACCGCCTTAAGCTTGCCATCGCCACCAAAGATTCCCAAGAGGTCCTTGGGAATAATGGACCTCGGGCACGCGGACGCAGGTAGCGCACTTTCTCCGAGTCTCTCTCTCTCTCGCCCGTCCCGCCCTGATCCCGCCGCATGCGCATTGCGCGCGCCGCTGGTCGTCCCTCATCGCAGCTGCCATGCCCGTCACTCAGAGTCGCCCGCCAGCATCCGCCGCCCTCCAGCACCCACGCAGCTCACGGCGCCCACGAACTTCACCGTCAATTATTCCAATACCTCGCACGACCAACGCACCGTCGATGGAACCCGATTGCGACGGGGCAGTCGCCGCCCAACGCTGGTCACATCATAGGGGGCGTGAAGAGGTTGGATAGATGGACGGCGGGGTGGTCGGATGACGGCGCTCAAAATGTCGATGGTGCATCAGCAAGCCTCTGAGTGAGTGTTGAAGTTGGACTTTGGGCGCGGCCGCGGCGGCTGCTTGGGCGGTGGCAGCACCCGGCCCTACCGAGCCATCAAGCACGGTGGTCCGCGGTATCGCCTCCTATAATCACATCCGTACTAGTGGCTGTTCAGAATCAGATCCATCGTGATGAGGAGCTCGCGGGTTGCGTATATTTGGAACCTTTGTGCGCGGCGACACTCATACCACTCTTGTCTCGCCCGGATTTCTGACGAGTCCTAGGTGACACCGCGACTATTCATCTCGTTTGCGTAGCGTTCAACATCACTGGTAGGTCTGTCTGTGACAGTCTGCTCGTCCATGCCGGAGATCTAGAGCTGAAGTCTTCGTAGGACCCTGATTTCTGGCTGAACACCATACACCGACCGTCACCGACTCCCGTACGTTCGTGCATCCCATGACCGCCCCCTCGCAGCCTTTGGTGCCCCCAGAACTCTGCGACATCGTGGTGGATCATCTTCACGATGATCCTCCCGCCCTTGCAACCTGCGCGCTCGTCTGTCGAGGATGGCTTCCCTCTTCGCGGATGCACCAGTTTCACACGCTTGTCCTCCACCGTTTTCCCGAATGGCGGGGCCAAAAACTCTCGCTCATCTCCGACCCTTCGTCGACAATCCTTCCGTATGTACGCCACCTTGCGCTGGGAGAAGGCAGAGGACGTGAAGTGGACCCCTACTGGCTCGACGACGCACTACCCGGCATCCGCGTCGACGATCTAGAAGGGCTGGAATGTCTCGAGCTATTCGAGATCATTTGGACATCGCTCTCGCCGGAATCCCTCGCGCGTCTTCTTGCCCTGTGCCGCCGTCCCCGAAGCGTAGCACTGCGGCTCTTCCACAACCACAGCGTCGTCCCCCTGATCCACCTGCTCCAAGCATGTGCTTCGGCCGAGAAGTTCACCATTCATGGTAGCTTCGTGCACGGTCATGACGACGAGATAGCAGCTCTGGTTCCCGGTTCGTTCACGATGTCGCCACATTTGCGTTATGTTGAAATGCCCGGATATATGTACCCCTTCTACAACGCCCTCCGTCGCCTTGCGCCAGAGCATGGTATCTGCACCATATACTTTGCGTCCCTCTACGCAAACAGCGCTGCATCGGCGGCCCGTTTCCTGCAATGGTGCGGACACACAATCGAAGAGATAACTCTTGACTTCCCGGATCCACGGCTGGAACACAATCGCACCGAGAATCACGAAGGTGAGATTTGTACTTCCTGTACGGCGCATTCTGCTGACGCTCCCACCAGCTCCGTTCTACGAGGTCGGAGGTCTCAAGGACAACACGTCACTCCGCACCATCAACCTGAACGGCACTCCTCCAGGCCTTCTCGCCGTTCTGAAGCAGGTCACATCCAAAATCGTCGACACGGTCAGCATCAGCCTCGATTCTGAGTCGCCGGACCTCGACTTTGGCGCATTCGGAGAGCCCTTCTCGAAAGGTGTTTTGGCGTCAGCGAAGCTCCGGATAATAGCCTCGGGCCCTGATGTGAAGTCTCTGGTCGAAATGAGGGACATGTTGTACGGCAAGCTGCCTCTTCTGCAGAAGCAAGGGCGACTCGTGGTCGAGCGGGCTGGTGGACAACCCATAGATACCCCTGAGCCGCCCACGGACGTGGACCGGTGGGGTGCGTTCCCTATGGTCGATATGGCGTTGGACCATTACTTCGTTTCACCAGCAGTCTGAGACGATGGCGGGACTCGACCCATAGACAGGAGCGGATGAATTGCTTGCAATGGATCCATAGAAAACGCGCCTCGAACCATGTAGCCTGCTTCGCGCCAAATATACTTCGCTCAAACTTCGGAATCGTAGTCAAATCCATGAACGATTCCCGACGAGGAAGCTTGATGGTCGGGCCTCGATGCTCGAGCTTGTTGAGAGCGGATTGCATCAAGTACAAAGCTGACCGTGTTCAAGTTGCTCTAGCGACGACGAACTTTTTCAGCTGGCGCGCGCATGAATTCGTGGCGTCAAGGCTGTTCAGGATCCGCCTGTGCCCCGAGCCGTTGTGGTGTCCTCACCACGGTCTGCAGATATTGCTTGCGCTAGTCTCGACGAGGACCACCGGTCGCGCAGCCTGTTCATTGCCACGAGTGGTACTACACTCTGACGGAATGGAACAAAGGCCGGACATTTAATGTTGAACAACAAGTAGTCTCTCTATCACGCACTGCACTTCTGGATCGATGTAGGAGGGCTGACACGGATATGCAGATTTTCCGCACCTGCTCTTTGACGCAGCTGGGGCCTGCAGATCTCACAACAAACCACCCTCTCCCATATTCTGTCAAAACCACGCCGCCACCTCGCCGCTCACGGTCCCCGCGCATCGTCATCGGTCATCTCTACAATGATCCCCGCATGCTCGCGGTATATGCGCTCGCCGGCCGTGCATGGGTCAAAATTTCGCGGATGCACCGGTTCTATACAGCTGCCCCCACCCTTTCCTGACAACTTCAGGCGAGGTGGCAAGCTTTGACTGCTCGCCGACTTCCACATCGTCGACCGTTTTCCCCTACGTGCGCGTTAGGAGAGAGCAGAGGGCGCCGCACATTGAATCCGCAAACGTACTGGATCAAGGACGCGCTCCCCGAAGTACGTATCGAAGATCTGGTCGCGCTGGAGTGCCAGATCGGGAGGAGCTCTCGCCTGGGTTCATTCCGATATGCCTGCATGCACTATACCATCACCCCCGGACCGTGGTGGTCTGCACCCTCGGCCCAGGGAACACCGGCACCGTTCTATTCGACCTATTGCAAGCCTGGCCGTGAGGAAGTTCTTTGACCTTGGCAAGTTCGGTTTGGAGGGCGCCAGTGCGCTGACTATGATGGCACAAAATCCGGCTGGCATTACACTACTGCTGCATCTGCCCGGAGGGCGAGTCTTTCGTGACTGGCATTATGGGTGTATTGCGCCATATTGAGCCCACCATCAAAATCCGTTATGATCAAGTCACCGATATATGGCCCGGGCAGGCGGGCCACGTCGCGGGTTTTGTGCACTGGTGTGGGCCCGCTCTCGAAGAGGACCATTCAGAATTCCTCGATTGCGCTGAACAAGCGTTGGCTACGTGCTCTTCGGAGGTGAGCCTGCGTCAGAATCGGTAGGAATACCTCTCACAGTCTCCCCAGATAGATTCCAGAGCTGCTGCGGTTTGGCGTGGCGGAGAGCACGTCACTTCGCATGATCAACGTCAGCGGTGACATCTCTCACCTGGTCCCGGTATCCAGCAGGTCGTGTCGAAGGTCGTGGAGTGTGCTGGCATCAACACCGCACCCGCCTACGTGGACGACGTCGACTTCCATAAGTACAGTCGATGCGCTCTTTTCCATGCATCCAGGGGCGCTCTGGAGTCGGCGACGCTTCGGATATGGCTGCGACACCGAAGTGCAGCCCCTCGCAGCGATGCGAGGCAAGCTATACGATAAGCTGCGTGCACTTGGAGATCAAGGCCGGCGGGTGTTCGAGCGGGCTGGTGGATACTCGATGGACCCTTCTACGTCTCCATTGGCTGGGCCTTGGAGGTCGAGTAAAGCTCTGCGTTCTCGCCGTCCGCGCTGGATCGTGAAGTCGTATACTGATGTCCTCAATCTCGTGGCATTTGAGTGCGAAAAGGACAAGTGAAGGACAAATGGAAGCTGCGAAGATACGCTGAGCGCCGGTCAGATCGCTCTGTGAACCGACGTGCAGTTACAGTATCATGGTGCGCTGGGAATTGAGCATGTGGAGGGTACAGAGCCTGACATCCCTGAGAATGACGAAGACTCCGAAAAATCACGGTGATATAATGATGAGCGAAGATGGCTTACTAGTACATAGTGACAGAGCAGCCCCAGACGGTTGCTGCTTGGTTGCTGCAGATCCAAGGAGACATCTTCCTTCGCTAACGATGCGCAGTATTGAGCGTATCTGATGTACCTTGAGTGTGAAACCTTCAAGTACAACACTTAGTGTAGTGACCAAAGACGATGTACTGATTGTTGGTATAAATGTGACTAGTGACACATAAGTACCAGAGCATAAGCAGTGCGGTTCCTCCACTAGCGAGTATACATACGAATAGCAGAACATGAATGTCGGGTTGCTCACCTGCGACGTGATCCTGGATGACTATTCCGCGATCATTGATATCAGAGCCACGTTCGATGCTGGCGATGCCAACAACCTGCCCAAGACGAGCTTCCGTTACTCGAGTCGATGATGCAGAGCCCAAGCCACTGACCGTCTGGTAGCACTGCCTAAACAACGCACAGCTGTTCCCTGGTGTGCGCCCTTTCAAGGCCGTGAGATACAGGTGAGATATGCCATAAGATGGTGTGTCGCGCGTACCTGTAATTCACCCGTGCTGACCGCGAGTCCCATGCCTGACTGAACGGAGCACCGTACCAGCTCGCGGACCGGATTCAGAGTTTTCAGGACAGAAGAAAATACGAGAGCAGCGTCTGAATCCTACGGTGCTGGAAGTTAACATTACTGGCTGATTGGTGAATTGCTCTGGGCAGCATGACGCCTGGGCCAGAACCACTGTTCTTGCTGAAGCTGTCCAGTGTACGTACCGGCGCAATTTGCATGATGGCTTGAACAATCATTTGGCCAATTGGATAATTCTGACGAGTCGCCATGTGGACCTCGACGACCGCACAACAGTGACATCGTCCAGAAGGGCTCCGCCCTAAGGGGACGACACACGCGTTACACCTCCGAGACTCCGAGTCGAGACCGTCATGCAGTGGCTGGTATTGATGGAGTGTCAGCATTTGACGTGAAACTCACAGAGAGGTCTCTGCCAGTACTGGCAGCAAATTTGCGGTCGAGGCTTTTGTGTAGCTCAACATTGTGCTTGGACATAGCAAACGCGACGGGTTACGCGAGGGGCAATCATGAGAAGTGAGGAGGAGGCTGGGCAGGCGGCGAGATCAAGCGCATCAATTGGCTGCAGGCTGAGCCCGGGGCCCGGGCCGGCCGGCTTTGGCAAGGCATCAAATGTTGGGACGGCGCGCCCTAGCGATCAATCAAGGCTGTGCGTTGTGCCGTCAGGCAGTGTGTATCAAGTAGCGGGGCGGGACGCGTCTCGCAGCGAGGCATTCTCCTTCGTCTCTTCCTTTTCGTTCGCCCTCGCCTCTGTTTCTTACGGGTTTTTCTACATTTCTTTTTCGTAATGGCCAACCAGTTCGATCATTCTGTAATGCGGGTACCGGGTGCCCATGCTCGTCGCGGAGCAGTATTCGTGCGCTCTCTCAGCGCATCGCCCACGTCGGGGACAGTGGGCGTTGAGACCTCGTTTCCCGGCCTCAACACTCGCTCAAGCGAGGAGCAACTCTCAAAGGGGGAGAAGGCGGCTGTGATAATATGTGTAGTCTTATTCTTTGCCATCCTGGGTGAGCATGCTGGGCGTGATACCCTGACAGACGACTGACACGTATCGGCCCTCTCTGATTGTAGGCCTCGCTGCATGGAGGATTGGGAAGTGGCGCCGCCGGAAGGCCCTCATGAAAGCAGCGTCCTCCCACGTCAACGTCTCCTTCGCGGACCAGAAGCACAGCGAGAAGGCGGCCTTCTACGTCGACTTTGACAAGCTCGGTCAACATATGGAGAAGCCAGCGATGAAGGTGTCCATGCCAGCCACGCCCGCTGCGAGCATGAAGCGGACGTCAACAAAGGGGCCATGGACGCACATCATCCCTGGCTCGCTGCCCTCCGGGAAGAACAACTACCTCTTCGCCCAGATCTCGGCTCGCCCACGTGATGAGCCATTCAGCGACTCTCCCCCGCCCTCGTATATCGCAGCAAGTAGTGCGAAACGAGTGGGACCGCCTGCCCTTGCCATTCCACCAAGGCCGGATTCCGCCAACGTCCCTAGTCCACGCTCATCCTCGTTCGGACCCGACTCGCCCCTGTACAAGACGCCCGGCAAGGACCTCAAGCATAAGTCCTTCCTCGGGAGCAAGCCCTTGCCACGCGTCATGCTCGTACAGAGTACCTTTAAGCCGTCTCTTTCGGACGAGCTCCCCATCAAGGCTGGCGAGAAGCTCAAGATGCTGGAGGAGTACGAGGACGAGTGGTGCCTAGTCCAGCGCATCGGGGGCGACATGCAGAAGGGTGTCGTACCGCGCTTCTGCCTCCGCGAACAATCATGAACATCCCCTCCGCACCCGCATACCTGCATGTCAGCGTAACGAACGATCACGAAGCCCCGCGACGCCATACGACGCATCGACACTCCACCGCATACCCACTGCGACAGCTCTACCTTACACGGCCATTCTTTTGTACCCTTTGCATTTACTTGATATTTATCGCACTAGTCTACTGTAAGTCCAGTTGCGCGATCCTTTCGAGCCCCTCCTGATGCTAACCGCTCTTGTGCCAGGTCGCTTGATCCGTGATGTTACTAGTGCTTTGTTCTTCGTTAGTGCGGTGACCATCCTCTCGCTCGCGTACCTGCTAGTCAGAGTCGATCCGCTCCTTGTAACTTATTGTCACGGACAGTGCTACGACGAACATTCCTGGACAATATACTCTATGTGGTTGCGGGTTGAAGTGCTCGCCTGCTAGACCATATCGATGTTCCGAGTTCTGCGTCCGTTGATCTGACTGGTTATCTGGTTATGAACGTGTTCATTCATTCGTATGCTTGAAGACTCGAGTTCTGACATGCGGGCCCTCGGATAGCTTGGCTAAGTCGGGGTATGTGAAGTTAAAACACGAAGAGGAGCCTTGCGGAGGGTATGCAGTCCACTGGGGAAGACTGGTATGACATGACAGTGGTATCGCAACAAGACACTTATGACAAACATCAGGTATCGCTACAGAAAGGAGTGCGGAAGAGAGAGATTACGTCGACAATACAATAAATGAGTGTTAATGGGACGAGTGCTATGGACCTCATGTGAGTCATCTCTCGACTGCAGATACCGAATGGAGCTTACCATGCTACAATGGGCGGAATGAACAGGTGAGTCAGAGTTTGGGAGACAGTGTTCCGCGGCCCCTTCCGTGCTCGGGGGTTTGGTAGTCACCCTTCTCCGAGTCAACTTCCCTCAAGGCCACACTCGCCACTCCCATCCTGGGCGAGCTCATCGCATGGTCCGAAAGCCCAGTGAGACCCAGCCCAAGGCCCACGGAGGACGGCGATACGACCTTCTCCCGCTCCCTCGGCTCCTCCATCGCATCCCTCCTCTCCCTCTCCGGCGCCCGGCCGCGCTCACCCAGTAACGGGTCCTCAAGTCTCCGCCGCTGGGCACGCGTGCCGTGATACGCACGGAACGTACGGATAATCATCGCAAAACACAGGAGCCCGAGGGCGAACACTGCTGTGATGGCTGTACGCACGCCGAGGGCCTGCGCGCGGGTCAAAGGAGTAGGAGGGTTCTGATCTGCTGCTGCGCCAGTCCTCCAGACGAAGGAGAGGATGGAAACGCAGAAGGCGATCATAGACCAGGCCAGCCAGATGGCCGGCGTCGCAAGCATGACCCAGATGTTCCATAGGAGTGAAGTCTTCGACCTTTGCGCTTCCTACCAGGACATTGAGATTAGAATGTGCACAAGCCGGTCTTTCAGACGCACCTCTGCCCAGCGGGATGCTCTGTCCATGGTGCGCATCGTTCCAAACTGCACGATGAAAACGCATCCATAGGAAAGGCTCATCAGAGCGAAGATTAGTCCAAACAACGCCGCTGAACGCGTCAGCGGGTCATCGTCTGCGTCGCTGACCTGGAACATCGTCAAGATTGCCCTAGAAAGTGGGGAGAAAGTAAGTGGGATGTCACCACTGTGTACATACAACAGAAAAAGTAAAGAGCGGACCTCTTTCGAGGGGGTGCGGAGATGATCAATACGCACGTGCACAGAAGCGCAGATACCAAATTGAGAGTCTTCCACTCGCGCAGGAGAGAGTCCACGAACTGCTCCCACGAGTGCTTGAAGCGCACTAACGCAGGAGAGACCGTTTCCGGGTTCCAATCGTCGGGGAATGGGAGGAGGACCGTGTGCGCGTGCGGCATGGAACGGGTCCGCGACGTAGAGTGATACAAGGCGGGAATGTCAAACGCATTCAAGAGAGACGCGTCAATCATACGTCGAACGTCGGGCTTGCTTATTTCCGCGTCTTCGAATACCCGAGCGACGCGCGACCAGTATAGCGCAGGTAGACCGAGAAGGAGGATTAGGTATGCCTGGCGGGGAAGAGTGTCGCAGAGGAAGATCCGGGTGTCATTGGCGAGCGTCAACCAGCTGCTATCCGAGTCCTCTGGAATTACACCAGCCTTTGCAGAGCTCGCTGGTAAGGGTAGGCACCCGAAGAATCGGTCGCTCGGGTCACTATCTTCGTCATCGTCGCGGTCATTGTTCCTTTGTGCACTGGCTCCTCTGGAGCCCCGGTTGAACGCGCTGAGGCGGAACGGATCTACAGGAATGAACGGCTCCTCTCGAGTGTGGTGGCGGTGCAATACCCGGCCGAGGCGGCGCAGAGGAGAAGCTGCTCTCGATTGAGACGGAGATCGCGAGGTAGGCGTCTGTGTCTCCCTGACAGGTCTGGGGGATAGATTGAGCAAATTGTTGAGACGAAGTTCAGAGGGCCGCTGCTGCGGTGTTTGTTTGCTACCAACAGAGCCCTCCCCTGACAGAGGGGATGGAGAGCGGGTTGCTGACTGACTGCGGCGGTGCGGGCGTCTCGCTGTTATGGCTGTACACGAGGATGAGAGTCGCTTAGTTCATGGACTAGTAATTGTGAAGCACCTCGTACCTTGCCTAATCCCCTGTAGAGTAGCTGGAAGAGAAGCGCGGTCGCTTTCCGCAGACTGTCTCTGTCGCGAGGTCCCAACACCAATGGAACCGTCCGACTCGCTAGCACGCATATGGGCGGGAAGCTGATGCAGATCTTGGTGACCTGTCGAGCCTGGCGAGTCTATAGAAGACAACGAGCCTGATATGTCTATGCTGCGGCGCGCTATACGACTTGGCGAGCGTAGACGTCCGAGGGCGGGCGATGACTGAGTCGGTAGCGCCGATAGTTTGTCTGAACTTGTCTGGTTTGACGAAGACGATTCGGACTCTGAACGCCTGTCAGTACATTCAGGATCACATGTGCGATAATCCGTCACCTTTCATCTGTGATTCCTGTGCCGTGTCTGAGGACGGAAACGGTACTGAGCTTTGACCTGTCTGTGGATCGCTTGTGCTTGTCGTCATGACCGTATCGTGAACACTGGGGGTATGGGAGGAAGAGTAGCGACTGTAGAGAGTGAGCGTGGAGGTCTCCTGCGCGCACGCCTTTATAGGACTCGGCGCGACTGACGCAAGTGGGCGGCTCTGAGAGACACTTATTCCGCACCGAACAGGTTCAAGAGAGGTTCCCAAAATGGGAAGAAGTGTGACGCCACGTGACAAATTCCCATCCTCAGCCGGAGACGCCACAAGGTCTTGGTCCTGTCTTGGTCGGTGAATACAGCCTGATCATGAATACTTACAGTACTGACAAGCGTTGTTCGGCCCATGTGCAGCTGGCTCGCAATGCCAGAAGCAATTCGCACGCGACTCATAATGCGGACGCGTCAGTGGAACCTTAACAATCCTCCTTCGTCAACCTGCAATAGCCCTTCAAAACGACGCTTCATCACTTGCTCCGGATCATAAGGATTCATGACTCACTCGAGCAGCCAACCGGACATAGCACAGACAACAGCAGAATACGTAGGCTAGTATCTTTGGCGGCGTGCTCGGGAGGGGGGCATGTCATCCATGCGCTCCGAACGATGGTAAAGCCATAGGAACTCACCCTAATATTAATATGAACCCCGAGGAGCCGCCGATAGTAATGAATGTGTCAGTCTTGATCATTGCGTTCATGGCATGCACAATGACAGGTAGATATCTGACACGATTAGAACGAGAGGCTCAGTGGGACCAAGCTGAGACCATAAGCGACTGGCACCAGTCTTCCACCGTATGCCATATGTAAACCCAGCTTCCAGAATGAACGCTGAAATCAAAAACATGCTATGATTGGTGCATCACTAGGAATGCAGAGCCTTCGCCATATGTAATGGACGAGTTCAACTTTGTCCACCGTACACCTGCGGGTGACACCGATGACGATGCGCCAAGGAGTGAGGCCTTGAGGATGAGGCCCCGTAGTAGCCAGAGAAACCTTGCCTCGGCAAGAATGTAGACTCAATACCGCAAGGGAAATCCTCGGACGCTGTTCGCGTGCCGTTCGGTCTGCAATGAACCCCGCAAAATGTGCAGCGGAGTTAGAGCGGCCATAGAGGACGGCGTCCAAGCCGTCTCGATTTTCGGTCGTTGGATGGCATCCACAACCTTCGCGGATCTGAAGTGCGTTCCGGTCCGCTGTAGTAGATGCACCTGAGATGCACATTGCAAATGCCACGAAGATAGAGATGCCGATGCGTTGAGATCTACATGAACCGATCGCTGGCCTGGATGGAGTCGATCGCTCTCGGAATGATCGAGGATTCACTGAGGTTCGCACCTGGACAGAATGTTCCCTCCGGAGGCAAGCTTTGTTGAATGTCCTCCCGTGCCTTCCTGTATGAGTCCATGGCTCTATCAACTTGGACAGGGGCTAGCTCATGGACATCTCCATGATACCCGATGACAACCGGTTTGAGGATTGAGATACTTTCCGTCTCTGATTGACAACCACACTCACCTCTGTGAATCTAAACAGTTGTATACTGTATCATCTGGCAGCACGAGTGACCGCGCTGATCCTTGTATAAATTCGTCAGTCTGTCGAATCTACGACTCACATAGGGTACGTCCGGTCGTGAGCCGGCGCATGCGAGATTGCCATATCCTCCTATGATCAGCAATGTTCGTGAAAGAGGATGTTTGCCTACGCCAGCAATCTACACCGTTATACGTGTTCAGGTTGGGAATCATTGAGCCGGAAATCTGAGGAAACGACGCGTCTCGCTAGCCACGTGATGCACGACGCGTCGGTGGCACATCGGCCTGTGGCGGGCTGCCGGAGCGGATCAACGTCGACTGGCAATCGAACTCAGGTTACTCAGCAGGAGACCCGGGGCTGCGTCCTATCTTCTACCGTCATGTCGCAGTCAACAGCCGCGATCCATATCATCTCAGGGAGGCCTGCTCTCGACGAGAGCTACTACAACCCGGATGAAGAAGAGCTAGCATTCTTCAAGTCGCAAACCGGTATCACTGACGAGAAGGCCCTGAAGGACCATATCGTCAGAATTCAGACGGACGCATACCAGGTATGCCGATAACAACGTTGAATTTACCGCACGAAAGCATATCGTATGGGCCAGGTGTACCCGTACCCGTGCATACGTCGGTTTGCCTTCATGAAGTACGTAGTCCCGGTGATTTCTAGCAATCAACCCAGCTGAATGAACACACGTCGGTCAATAGGCTCAAAATATCCCGCCTGCCCGCGTACTCAAAGCTGCTGCGCTTAGGAAACGAGCGTGAAGGAGCGATATTTTTGGACATCGGATGCTGTTGTGCGTCTTCGTGGCCTTCCTCTACGACTGGCTATATTTTAAGTACCTTCCAGTCGGAAACGATGTCAGGAAAGCAATCTCCAGCGGCTATCCAATGAGGAACTGCATTGCCTCGGACTTGGAGCCAGGTTTGTGTCACAACTGCCATGCGCGCAGCTGTAATATTTTAATCCCCGAATCAAGACTTCTGGAAGCTCGGCCATCGTCTCTTCAACACGACGCCAGAGACGTTCCCGGTCCCTTTCATTGCAGGTGACGCCTTTAATCCTGAATTCCTGAAGCCGGTACCGCCCTTTGACTCGGTCCCCGAGTCGCCGGGACCGCAGCTTTCCCGGCTCACAACCCTCACACCGCTGCTCGGGCACATCTCCGCCATTCACGCGTCTTCGCTTTTCCATCTATTCGACGAAGTACATCAACTTCAGCTTGCGCGCTCCCTTGCGGGTCTTCTCTCACCACAGCCCGGCTCGCTCATATTCGGCATGCACGGCGGGCGCTCAGAGAAGGGCTTCAGAACTGAACAGGGCGCCCCGGGTCAGACTGGGACGTACATGTTCTGTCATTCTCCAGAGAGCTGGGAAGAGCTATGGGATGGCGAAGTCTTCGAGAAGGGCACTGTGCAGGTGGAGGCGGAGTTGCAGGAGATAGAGCGAAGAGATATCAAGGCGGCACCGGGAACGAAGTTTTACGAGCTGGTGTGGTCCGTTACGAGAGTGTAAAATGCAGTATGAACCGGCGTGTCAGAAGGGTCGAGTTGTGCAGCGCGCAGATGTGTACTATGAATAGTTTGTATATACTTAGAGTTTGACTGATGAACACCGGAGAGGAAAGAAGCTCCTTTATGGCATGGTCACCAGTCACGATGCACCACCAATGCTCATGCGGTGCTACAACTATCCAGGGGCGATTGGACACCTACCAGCGAATCGCAAGTCAGCTCCGTGTCCAGAGCATCTCATCGACGCTGCAGGTGCGTTCCTAGTAGGCAAAAAGTCCGCCCATCGATCTCTTACATCGAGCGGTCATAGCTAGTATGACTTAAGTCAGCATATCCACGAACCTTGCTTGAATGAACAATGACACGGTAGCATAGTACAGGAGCCTGAGCATTTCCGGCCCGGCCCGTCACAGCCTTGGCGCAACGTCTCACTAGTACTCCGGCCATGCAATACATCTGCTACGGAGGAAGCATATGTGGTACCAGCGACTAATGCCACTCCTCAGGCTCGATATTGATGCGCTGACAACTTGGACGGTGGCTCGCCGGCATTCTCGGAGACACATCTGCTGCGCTGCTCAGGTTCACAGCTCCGACACGTCAGAACTATCTCAGTCTGTTATCGTGACGCCCCTCAGGAAAGGCGCGTCTACAACAGACCCGACCATCAGTTATGAAAGCGTGTCGCGCTCATAATATCAACCGCGGCGGCCCGGGCTCAACGGGGACGCGTTTTGAAAGCAAAGTTCAGCTCAGCATGCCCGGGGCACAGAGATATAGACCCGTGGAATAATGACGTGTCGGTTGAGAAGTGAGATATGGGATTGGATTTTCCTGTAAGACCATGCCCACCTGAGTGATGGTTTCCGAACCACAGACCCAATTCGCGGAGTTACCGTACATATATGGAAGCTTTGTGGCGTTGAGTAACCACGATGCCCAGATCTGATCGGGATATGCCGCATCTCGTTTGAGCGCCATGCCCTGCCACTGCCCCAGCCAGGGCCAGCCTGACTCGGCTGAGGCCAGCTTTAATCATACTCGGAATGACCCACGCAACGAAGGCGCTGGTCCACACGACTGCTTCGCGTCTACCCTGACGGTGATCGTTTCTGTACTGCTGTATCTCGCAAGGAACTTTGGCAGACTCGGAGCGGACCTTATACCCCACCCAAAGATGTCGTCTGCTTTGCACCTATCTACCCGGAAAGCGCTAGGGCGACGGTCGCTATACATTGCATGAGTCCTGGGCGGTACGGGGCAGGATACGCGCTACGAAGAAGCGTGTAATCTGATCAGCGCTTTTGCCGTGACGTACAGCTCGTCGTATTCTCACTGGCAGTGGCCCGAAGTTGGTCTGTGAGCCTTCGACCTCCGGATTGAACGCTTCTATGCTGCACGTTCCGTGGTTCCGTCCCAGATGCGAGGTTACATTGTCTCATTTCCTTGTAACTTCTGCATGTCTCGATATCGTACGCCCAACCTCGTTGTTATCTCCAACGAATCCGATTGGGCTCGTGCGCATCTTACTTGCATCATGGAGTTACATGTGAGTCTAGAAACCGACCTAGTTCAGGATTGAACTCAGTTTCGTTTCGCTCAGGCCCAATTTGTCTCCTACATTCTCCGACGGCTGACACTTGATGCTACGACATGCATCCTGACTGAGGTGCCTTCCCTCGATCCTCCGAGTCCGATCACCTGGCCTTCGTCAGTGCCCTCTTGCCCGATGACATGTATACCCAATATAGCGTGAATCGAGTAAGTGGTTCGTACTTTACAGGCGAAGTCTCTGCTCTGCGCCACTCAACAGGTCCCGTGTACTACCATTTCATTGATTGTGACATCCGCTGACACACGTAACATGTAGCGCGCCGGAAATGGCACTATTAGCAGGCACCACCACCAAGGTCATGTACGCCAGGGTACACAGCAGAAGACCATGTACTCCACGATCGATACCTTATTCCGCATCATCATATCAGGAGGTACGTTGCGTTAATTTAGACCAGCATAGCAATAGTGCTTATGCGAAATGAACGCCTTCACGGTTCATCCCGGGTCAAAAGACCAAGACTCTGAGATGTCACCGAGCGGTTGTCGATGTGGTGACCGCTCAGCGAATTTGACAAGGGCTTCCGATGGTGACGGAGCAACATTGCCGAAACCTACCAACAGTCACCACAGTGTTGGTCTGACCGCGGGTCAATAGCCGCATCAGGTACGTATGGCTTACTTATGGCGTACTGGGTTTGGCTATGCCTTGGGACGCATTTAGAACTACCTCGACTAGATGTTATGAACGTTCCGTACGATGGTGCTCCGCTTCGATCCCGAAATAAACCGCACAATCGGAGATAACTGAATATTTCATGAAAGTAGCCTCGCCTTATGCATACGTATCCACAGGTCCGTGCATCGTCGTTCATGTTGACACTCATCTTATGTGCCGGCTGCCGGGCTAGTATTGCGGTCGACAGGGTCATTTTGACCCCTCTCAACCGTCTTCATGCAATTTTCACAGGTGATCAACGCCGAACGGCGCCGGAAGGCGGCGCGAGGTTCGTGAACGGGGACTATCCACTTTTGTGACATCCACAATATGCTGGGGCGCGCTAGTTCATTCTTAGAACGAAGGTTCGTCGTCTGCACAAGAATTTGCTTCCGCTAGCCGATCAGTTACATTGCAGCCCCCGGTCATGTTCACTCTCTTGAAACAGCCGAAATCTCCGCCGCACAGTTAAACACGCCGAGTCCTCGTTCTACCGCTATATAAACCAACCTGTGAAGACCATATCGTCAGGCCTCTTGTCGCTGTGTCCTTTCCACGATGCCCAGCCTCCTCGTATTCGTTCTGACTGCAATCTTGACCTCCGGTCTAACGGCTGCGGCACCCACAGCTCCATCGGCATCATGGTCAAGCGTAGCATCTGCGGCAGAGCCTAGCGAAACCGTTCCTCTTGCAAGTGACAACCCTAACGGTATCTTGTGGAATACCACGACGGACAAGGACCCCCAGCCTATTCGTGGACAACTCGGTGGTGACATCTTGGCTCAACAGAATGTCCCTCTTCAGGAACAGAATCCTGACATCCTCGCGCCGCCTACTACTGACGAAAACATAATGTATACTTTTCAACAACGTAATTGTGTTACGCGCACTGACAATCCACTAGTCCAAACGTCAAGTGGCCCTTCAGTCTGAGCACGATGCGTCTCAACACAGGTGGTTTCGCTCGTCAGCAGAACAGTACGTACACATGTCTCTTATGCTCGCCGATCGCTGATAAGTTTCTCCCTCAACAGTCAATCAGATGCCCATAGCCACTTGTGAGTAGGAGGCCACTCAGACAAGAGTACTTGCTCACGCATTGAATTGATAGCTATGGCGGGCGTGGATATGCGCCTGAAACCCGGAGCGATTCGGTAACCCTCTAGTCAATGAGATACGAATAATCACAGCTAAGCAGGAAAAATCCAACAGTGAGCTTCATTGGCACAAGACCTCTGAGGTGTGTTATTACTGTTTTATATCCGAGACGAAATGACTGAAGTCTATTGCAGTGGGCATATGTCCTCAGTGTGAGCGATGCATCGATCAAATGCGAGAGCCAGATTTACGAACTCACTCGCAGGGCTACACGCAAGTGTCCGCGGTTGATCAGGATGGGCGGAACTTTGTTGGCACTGTTGTATGAGCATTGAATTCCATGATGCCTGCCCACGGCTGACATCAAATTAGGGTCCCGGCGATTTGTGGTACTTCCCGCCTGGGATCCCACACAGTCTCCAGGCAACTAACCAGACGGAGGGCGGGTCCGAATTCCTTCTTGTATGCATGCATGTATGATGTGCACCGATGCATACTGATGTCGCAACAGATTTTCGACAACGGCGACTTCAGCGATGACTCCACTTTCCTCGTAAGCAACGTCGTCGATACATTGCTACAGCACCTCTGACTCCGTACAGCTCACCGATTGGTTGGCCCATACTCCGAAGGAAGTCATAGCGAAAAATTTTGGAACCAATTTGGCGGCCTGGAACGACATTCCAGGGCAGCAGCTATATATCTTCCCAGGCGGTGAGTCAATTGATCCTGGCTGGCCCTTTACTTCGATTGACGAACAAACAGAGCCACCCTCGCCCGATGCGGTTGCTCCTGAGGATCCTCAAGGTCAAGTTCCCAACCCGTACATCTATAAACTCTCGGAAATGGGTGCGGAGCAGCTTGCTGGCGGTGCACTCAAGATCGCCGATTCCAGGAACTTCACTGTGTCTACCACGATTGCTCTTGCTGAGTTCTGGGTTGAGCCCGGAGGAATGAGGTTTGTGCGATTAAACTCAGTAATGCCTGGGAACTAATGTTCATTGATACTCGCTGCCAGGGAGTTGCATGTGAGTGTTTTGACGTCTGAGAAGGATTTAAGTTGGCATGTATTGGAGCTCACACACCGTTCGAAGTGGCACCCGACACAAGACGAGTGGACGTACTACATGTGCGTATCTAGTCAGTATGCATGCAGTTTCGCGTGCTAACGACGATATAGCTCTGGTTCTGCGCGTGTGACGGAATTCGCATCAAGTGCAACCGCTCAGACCTTCAACTACGTGGTAAGCTTCAACTTCATGTTCCTCCTGTCATTCGGCCCTCACCGGCATACTACAGGCGGGCGACATCGGATTCGTACCTGCTGCCTATGGTACTACACACCTGTGGTGATCTACGAGCTATACTCATCTACTTAAACGCCCAGGTCACTACGTAGAGAATATCGGCAATGAGACCCTTCACTACTTGGAGATCTTCAACAGCGGTATGTTGTCAATGTTTTTGGCCGTTATCGGGTCTCATGTAGAGATTGTAGATCTCGTGGTGGACGTGAGCTTGAACCAGGCCAGTCTTCACGCTGACTCCGCCGTGAACTGTGTATTGACTCTTCTGCAGTGGCTTGCGCTCACGCCGCCCGAGCTCGTGAAGGAACACTTGCAGATCTCTGACGAGACAATCGATCACCTCAGCAAGATCAAGCCGTACGTCGTTGGAGCCACGGAGGTGTGATATTCGGTATTCTTGGGACTTCGTTTCTTCGCTGTGTATGGCCCGGGACCGGGCTTTATGAACATGCTCTAATGGACACAAGGATGTGATGGATGATATGATGGGGCATGCATCCATGACAAGGGTTAGTAGAGTGTGACTAGACTGGCGAATTGCTGGCGAATTGTTTGCCCGATCTCCTATGGGAGGTCTCACATAGCATGTTTTCAGCGCCAGTGGGGCACACGCAAGGAAGCATTGGGAGCACGGAGTCGAGCACAACGACGATGATAATACGGATGCATTGGCCAGTCTACGAGGTACCGCCATGACGACAAAAGTACAATTACAGTACCCCTAACGGGACTCAATACCTAAGTTTACTGCATAACATAGTCGTGACACGAAGGTCGACTGCTACCAATCACTACATTGGCGAAGTGTGGCGGGCAACTGAACATCGTAGTCATCGGAGAACGTCCGATCACCGGGCGTAGGGATGGTAATTGTGCTGGCCTCGCTGGCCGGCGCGTTGCGGGCCAACACCAGCGGGTCCTCCAGGGCCTCCGGGCCCGTTGCGCGGACCGCGAGGAACGTTTGGGCCCATGCCACCGCCAGGACTCATCGCACCTGCACCAGCCATGCCTGCACCACCGCGCCCCATACCCATCCCGGGGCTTGCCATACCTCCACCCATGCCCATGCCCATCCCAGGCATCATGCGGCTGCCGCCCATGCCTCCGGCAAACCCTGCACCCATACTGCCCATCATGTTCATACCCCCCGCCATCATGGGGTTCATGCCCATCTGTTGCATCATGCGCGTGTACAGTTGCGCGAGCTGCTGCGGGTCGAACGGCGCGTTGCCGCTGCTTGTCGCGCCGGCTGTGGCACCACTGAAGCCGCTGCCCTGTCCGCTGAAGTTTCCGCCGCGACCATAGCCGCTTTGGGTGCCCTCAGAGAAGTTCTCGCGTTGTGAGCGTGGTTGGGCAAGCTTGACGTCGATCTGGGTGGGAATCTTCAGCGAGGGAGATCAGAAGGAGCCGAGGAGAGTGGATTTACTAGTTTGCCATCGATCTCAAGGTTACCGAACCCAAGGAGGGGCTGCACGTCTGCGTTTTCGAAGGAGACAAAGCCGAAGCCTTTGCTCCGGCCCGTCTCGCGGTCCAACATGACAGTCGCATCGACGACCTTACCGAATTGGGAGAAGTACTCCCTCATCGACTCGGAAGTAACGCTGCCCGCTAGGCCTCCGATGAACAGTTTTGTTGCTCGCTGATGTTCCTGCCTCGGAATCGCGCGTTTGGGATCGATCTAAGGTCTACATTCAGATGTCGAGCGCTACAGAACGACGGTATGTTACGTACAATCTTCCCGTCCAGGAAATGCTCCCGAACCATGACGGCGTTCACGGATGCCGGGTCTTCGAAAGTAAGGAACGCGAAGCACCGCGAACGACCTGCCGCATCGCGCATGATCGTGCATGCCTCTACTTTTCCGAACTGCGAGAAGTACTTGCGGAGACCCTCTGCCACGACACACTATTTAGCACTACGAACACGGTCACAGGACAGACTATGAACATGTATGTACCATCGGTAGTATCCCAGTTTAGGCCGCCAATGAACATTTTCCTGATGATCACGAGGTTTGACGTTGACGCATATTGCGAAGGCAGGAGGTCGGGCGAACAAGGATATGGGAAGCAAGGTCTGATATTAGCATCGGTAGCCTAAAACATGAGAGCGCGACCAAGGTAGAGAGACGGACGACTCTACTGTGCGTGACTGTGTAGCGAAGCGATGCTAGCCTAGCCTAGACTAGGAATTCCAGATGTGCTAGAGCTAGTCGTAGGCAATATTGGGTGACTACCGCGGCGCCGCGCGCATTGCTACACAAGCAGCCTTGTCCCATAATCAAGGCCCAGTTGCGACCCATCCTAGTCAAGCGGACAGCACAGCGAGCGCCCTGAAGAAGGTCAGCACCGCGGAATCAAGAGACTCACCCTTCCTCCTTCATTTCTGAGGGCCGCACGGGTCGGTCGGCAGAACCGCCAGGCTGATAGTCTTGACGAGGTTGCGGTACCTCCCGGTAGTCATCCGCTTGACGCTCTTGATAAGTCTGTATTGGCTGTGCCGACTCCGACGTGTAAGACGGTATTGCGGAGCCATTGGATCCGTTCGAAGGTGCGGTGCTTGGTGTAGCGCTCGGAATGGGCAACGGTGAACTGAGGGTTTCTGGTGGTTTCTCCGTTTTTATCTGTGCTGGCTGCGTATGTTGTGGAGCCTGTGCGTCTTGAGAGTGTGTAGGGGTGGGTTCCTCTGCGCGCTCAGTTGGGACTGCGAACTCTTGCTCATCGTTGCCGTAGAGGTCTAGGAGCTTTTGTAAGTCGTTGGCGGTCTCAGGATACTGAGCACTACCCACCGCCATAGAGGTCTGCGTCGAGGTCGGACATGACAGCAGGGGAAGAGTGATGGTGATGGTCGTCGTTGAAAGAGAAATTGCGGTGGCTCACGCGACGTGGCCAAGTCAGGCAGCTGTCCCGATCTGAGATCGGGCGTTACCATAAATGGGCAGGGTCCCTTGATCGCTAAGCGGGAGACTGCGTAGGAGCCTGGTAGACTCTCCGAATGCACCACCGTCTCGACGTCGTGGACATCGTTTTCTCCATCTCTCACCGCGACTACCACGAGATCGAGTCTCGGAAGTTAGCTCAAGATGTCTTCCACGTTCTACAGGCCGTTCAGGTCGCTCGTTCCGCCTCGAAACCACCTCAAGGCATGCGTAGCCCTTCTACGCGTACTCTCTGACATCTAGCAGCCCATGTCCTCCGGTTTACGCTTGCATTTGAGCTCGTTTTCTGGTGGAGGAGGAGCAGACGGGCAGCGGAAGACGGGAGGCGAGGCTTGATAAGCCAAATAAGGTAGTGCTATATCGGGCCGGGATCTCGGCCGGACCCCTTGGTCAGCCACCTCATGCATTGGTCAACAACGGTTGGGTATTTCTGAACAGACGGTACGCCGCTGTATTCCTCTTCATTGCAGGTATCGAATGGTATACCTTTTGTGAGAAATCGACGTTAATTTTCGCTTCTTAGACTCGACTGACTGAGTTCCCTCTGCCGAGTAGCCTGCCCGATATAGTACACCGCCACGATTCCAACAGCGCCAAACAACAACGTCCCCTTTACGCCTCAGCAACTCGGATTGTCTGCGCCATTCTCGCGCTCGCCGTCTCTCTCGTCCTCGCCGACTGCGGCCAGCTCGCCATCCTGAACTCTCTGCCGACGACCGAAGCACTCTGCGGTGAGGTGGCTGTAGCGGCGCATCTCATCTCGCCTTCTTTTGTTCATGCCATCCGTCGAAGATCTAGAAGACTGGCCCGCACCCGAAGACTCTACTGCGCCGAACGGACTCGCCACTCACAGCACCACCTCCAACCACAGCCAGCCCTTGAAGATCAAGATACCCCTCAAGACGTCGTTCATGCCACCCAGTACACGCTCGGCAGCCCGCGCGCAGTCTGAATCCGTTGCGTCGGGATCAGAGTATCACGAGAGCAATGCGTCCATGGACGTGGACGAAGAACCAGTGCCAGTAGACGAGGATAAGCCCGAGCCGCCGCAACCCGAATACGGGGTCACGGCTAGGGGTAGGAAGGTCCTCCGCAGGTCATACCGAGAGTCAGGGAGCGAAGACGACCTAGTGCTTGATCCAGATCGCCCTTCCTCGCCCGCGAAAGAAGCGGACGGTGCCAAAGACGAGGAAGAAGAGGAAGAGGAGTCGCATTACGCGCTTCGACGGCCACGCAAAAACATTCGTAATCTGAAGGGCTTTGTGGAGTCCGACGAGGGGGAGGGGGAGGAGGAGGCAGAAGAAGACTCTGGCTACAAGCTACGGAGCAGGAGTAAGAACGGCCAGTCGGCGGCCAAGGATACGCGCGGTGGCCGTATCACGCGTCGACCAGGGTCCCGCACCCAGGCAACGACATCGAAGCAGACTCGGAAACGCGTCAGCACGCGTCCGACGCGTACAAGGGCACGCTCGCAGCATGACGATGAGGGCTACGAGGACGAGCCGTCATCAGGGTCCGCTGACGCTGAGGGTTCGCTCGACGATGCCCCTCACACCTCCCCTGAGCCGGAACGGGATGGCGAGGCTGATGCTGAAGGAGAAGTGGATGTGGATGGCGAGGCTGGACAAGAGCAGGAGCAGGACGAGCGCCCGTATGCATTCCGGAAGCGCAACCACGTCAACTACGCTATACCGCCACCTCTGGAGGAAATGCGAGCCCCGCCACCCAAGTCGACTGCGAACGGAAACAGAGCGAAAGGTCGCAACGTGCACGGCAGGAGCAAGGTGCCCGGCTGGAGCGCGACGGGTGCTGAGTTGAGCAGATGGATGGGTGGCGCGGCTGGGGATGATTCGGTGCGCGACCTCTTTATCCCATGAAGTCAAATTGACTGAACATGAGAGCAGGATTCCGACTATCCTACTCGGACACCACGTAAACAGCCCTTCGGGGCTGGGGCGATGGGTGGTGGCGTGTTCGCTGGTGGTGCTGGAGGCCTCTTTGGCGACATCGCGGCCGCTGGGACGCCGTCGAATCTCGGCAAGGTTGGCGATGCCAGTGAGTTGACCGTTTGAGTTCCCCCTGGCTTGGACATAATGCTTTCGTCTGTTAGCCCTTGCCGATGCTGACCCCCTGGGGGTGAACCAGAATGTGACGTTTGACGAAGTGGGAGGTTTAGATGACCGTAAGCGCTTGCTGCTTCTCGGCCTTCGCCTGGACATTAATTTGCTGGCCAGATATCGACTCATTGAAGGAAATGACGTTGTTGCCTTTGCTGTACCCGGAGGTGTTCCAACGCTTCAATCTCACTCCTCCACGTGGGGTCCTATTCCATGGCCCTCCAGGAACCGGTAAGACCCTACTAGCTCGCGCGCTCGCGGCGAGTTGCCGTTCCGATGGCAAGAAGATTTGTATGTACACGCGTTTGAATATAATGCCTATGGCTCATCCTCTGCCTAGCCTTCTTCATGCGGAAAGGCGCCGACTGTCTCTCGAAGTGGGTCGGTGAGGCCGAACGCCAACTCCGCCTACTCTTTGAGGAAGCGAGGTCCCAGCAGCCCAGCATTATCTTCTTCGACGAGATTGACGGCCTCGCGCCTGTGCGCTCGTCGAAGCAGGACCAGATCCACGCCTCGATCGTGTCGACGCTGTTGGCGCTCATGGACGGTATGGACGGCCGAGGGCAGGTCATCGTGATCGGCGCGACGAACCGGCCCGATGCTATTGATCCTGCGTTGCGGAGACCGGGCAGGTTCGATCGGGAGTTCTACTTCCCGTTGCCTAGCTCGGAGGCTCGTGAGCGAATCCTGCGGATCATGACGAAGAAGTGGGCTGGCTGGGAGGGCGAGACAGGCGAGACCAACGTCAAGGGCCTGGCGAAGCTCACGAAGGGTTATGGTGGTGCTGATTTGAGAGTGCGTCTGTTTGAATTACATTGTGGGGTATCGTCCAACGTCATATGTAGGCTCTTTGTACGGAGGCCGCCCTCAACGCTGTTCAAAGGCGCTACCCGCAGATCTACAAGTCCAACGACCGACTACTGCTCAAGCCAGAAACGATCGAGGCGGAGCTACGCGACTTCATGATAGCAATCAAAAGTAAGTCTGGCAGCACTACACGTTTCTGAGCTTACATCTCATGTTGCTATAGAGTTGGTCCCTTCGTCCGCTCGCTCGGTCTCATCCGCAGCTTCGCCACTTCCGACGCAGTTAGAGCCACTCTTGCAACATTCCTTGGACAAGATGAAAGAGGTGATCGGCAAGGTTCTGCCTGTGAGCAAGAAGCGGACGGCACTTGAGGAGGCTGAGTACGAGGACGAGAGCACTGAAGGCGCGCTTGACCGCGAGCTGATGCTTCAGTGTACGTGAGCTCCCGAAAGTGAAAAATATGATTTCCAGCTGAACTCTTGATTTTCACAGCCATGGAAACACTCCGAGTGTACAGGCCGCGCGTCGTACTACATGGTCCTGTGGGGATGGGTCAGGCGTACGTTGCCGCCGCAGTACTTCATCACTTGGAAGGTTACCATGTCCAGAGCCTGGACCTCGGTAGTCTCATGGGCGACTCCACACGAGTACGTAGTTTAATCCTTTCGCTCCTCTATAGAAGCTAAGCGGTCGCATCGTAGACCCCTGAAGCGGCCATTGTCCAGCTTTTCGTTGAGGCGAAAAGACATCAGCCTTCGGTCATCTACATTCCATCGTTGGTGGGATGGTGCGCCGCCGTCTCCGAGACCACCAGAACGACCGTCCGCGCGATGCTCGACACGTTAGCGCCCACAGACCCCGTGCTGCTATTGGCCGTTGTCGACGGCCCATTCTTGTCCCTTCCGCGGGATGTTCGCTCATGGTTCGGACCTACGCGAGATAATCGCGTAGAGTTGATTCATCCGATGCTGTCGCAAAGAGAACAGTTCTTCGAGGGCCTACTGAAGGACGTCCGGCGTCCACCAAATCAGTTCCCGGATGGCGTCAAGCGCAAGAAGCGTGTATTGGAGGAGCTGCCCATTGCCCCACCTTTGGAGCCACGACAGCCGACGGCCGCGGAGCTTGCTGTTCAGGAGGAGAGTGATCAGCGGGTTGTCACCTTGCTCAGGTATCGCCTAGGTCCAATCCTGCAGGAGCTCAAACGTAAGTTCAAGCGCTTCACCAAGAGAGCAATGGTACGTCGCTCGACTTCCTCAATCGACAAAGTGGCTTACAGATTGCGTAGGAGGAATACAAGTACGACTTTAATGTCGTTCATCAGGAAGTCGAAGTGGTCACCACTAGCGTCGAAATTCGCACGAACGGCGACGGTATCGTCGAGATGACAGAAGAGCAACACATGGAGCATGTCGACCAACCACAGATCAACGGCATCAATGGAGTACACGAAGCAGTGCCACCCCCGCCCCCTCCGCCTCCGCCCCTCCTGCCTCCCCTATTCGACATGGATCTCGAACGGATGCATCTCGAGCTCTATCGCAATCGGTACCTTACTCCGGATGACTTCCTTGACGATATCCGCAAGATTGTCCACAACGCTGAGGTCAGGATAGACGAAGATCCTGACCGGCTCTACCGCGCTCAGGCGATGTTGACCGCTGCTGAAGTTAGCATCAACGACTTCGATCCGACCTTCAGGCTGGAGTGCCAGCGCATGGCCGTTCGGGAGAGGAGGCGCCGAGATGAGTACCGGAAGAACAAGGAGAAGGAGAAGGAAGCGCAAGAGGCCGCGTCACAGATAAACGCACCCGGACCTCGGCGGAGTACACGGAACAATGGTCAGCCTTTGCAGATCTCAATCACGGATCCTACACAGCTAGAGAGGCGACGCAAGAGGCATCGGTCCACCTCTGCGGCTAATACTGCTTCAGAGGATGAGAACGGCGACAGAGCCTCAAAGCGTTCACGTACGGAGGGCGATGGGATGGCTGACGGGACTGCTGCAACTCAATCGCCTGAGAAGTTTGTTGGCGTACGCTTTGCGGATGACGTGGATCGGGTTGAGACACCATCTCTACCTGCACCTCAGTTGAACGGTATCCACGAGCAGATGCCAGCACCTCACGAACCGATCCCAGGGCAAGTCCCTGTCCCTGAAGCTTCTCAATACCAACCTCAGCCCGAGCTCGAACCTGAGTACGAACCCCCGCGTCGCACTGGGGGATTTGACCCATCGTTGCTCAATCCGCTACCGTCACCTTCCGGTATCGCCCAAGCTGGTCCGTCTTCGGTGACCCTTGATATCCAGAACAATCCCTTCCTCTCTCACAACACACCATCAATTGCGTCCTTCGCCTCGCCCGTAGCTGATATTCACTCGCCACAACCGTCTGTAGCTGTGGAGCCTCCTCCTCCATCCGAATCACCGGCTCCCGTTGAGGAAGCTCAGACAAGCCAGCCGGATGTGCCCATGGAGATCCACCGCACACCGAGTCCGGTACCTGACTTCACCCTCGATGAGTACCTCTTGGATGATTTGAAGCGCATGTTGCAAGACGACACGAAATCCCTCAACGTGGAGCAGCTCGAGCAATTGCGCGCGACGTGTCTAGGCTGCGTGTGGAGGCATCGAAGCGAATGGAATCGCACTGAGCTCATCCGCGAGCTCATGGAGACCGCCAAGGTGTTCATCGAGGAGGTCTCCACCGATGATATGGACGCTCCTTCTCCAGGACTTTGACGAGATATCCGGGAATACTAGTCGGTTCTAGATCTGTATAGCTGCATAATCTGTTTTTATACATTCCATTTGTATTCTAGTACGTACTCGTACATCACCACCTGTATGTTATCCAATCCACATCGTCAAGATGTCTCTGCATATCTGTGACTCTACATCTGAGATAAACATGCCGCCAAAAAGTGACCAATAGTAATACCATGAACCTCAGCAAGGGCTGATCGGGACAGATCAGCCTGAGGTGACGTCGACAAAAACACAATTGTCCCATGTCAAAACTGTTCCACGATCAGTCACACCCTGGACGTAGAACCGTACTGTCTTCGCAGCCGACACCGTCGACGGAAGACAAGCGGGGTCAATTCGGAGCGCATTCCGCCTTCCGTCAAGGCCGGTGGTGCCAATCCAGATGGCGCTCTCTGGACTACCAATGCTCCCGGCGGATGGATACGCCTGTACGTAGACGTTAAAGAACGCGAATGACGGGAAGGTCCCGTTGAGCGTCCACAACGGTCTTGGATCCTCGGGGTCTCCGGATAACGCCGTGCTTGTCATAGGTCCAAGTGATGCAGCGATCTCCCACGACAAGGTGCCAGAGAACTGCGCATCAGCGACTCTGTTGGGCTGGAGCGCGTAGTCTGCCCACAAAATCTTCGGTTGGTGGGCGTGGACACTGGGAGCTTGAGTAAGAGGGGTGGGAAGGACGCTCATGAGTCCCAGTAGGATCTCGACGTCGATGGCGGCTGCAGGAACTCGGAAACGGATGTCAATCCCGAGTGCTGCCAAAACGTCGGTCGGATGGTCACCCGACAATATGACGTCTACTGAGAAAGTCGACCAGCCACGCTGTAGGCCCGAGCTCTGCGGTGTCTTCTGTTTGATGTCGAAGGAAACCGGAGGAGAATCCCCGAGAGTCCTTACTGAAGGCGCAACTTCAAGATCTGGGAGGGAGTTCGGAGCTACTTTGTACACAAGATTGACGGTGTAGGACACGTTAGGGGTGAAAGCAAGCGTTTGCACAGGTATCCAAACACGCCGGCTGGCAGCGTCCTCGTGTTCCTGCGCCGGCAAAGACAGTACGACTTGGAGCGAGCTGCCGCCGAGCCATGCGTCCGTCATACTCAGCGAAGTCGACGCTGCAGGTAGCGGCAGCTCCCCTTTGTTGTCGGCCCATTGCAGCTCTGGCCGGGGCCAGACGAGGTCGCCCAGCGATGTTGTCTTGTCCAAGTCTGTCCACCCGGCCTTTGTCTGGTACAATTGAGCGCCGTCCACAAACCACGCGTAACCCACCCCGGGAGAAAAGTATGTCAAGAATGGTAGTTCTCTGGGGTTGGGAGGGGCCTGTCGAGGGAAAAACGCAGTGATTGGGGTGAACTCGCCGTGCTCGCAGTCCGGCTCGCCCGCGCGTGGTTTGTGCGGCGGTACCTCGACGGCCTCGCCTCTCGTCTGCGGTCCGAGCCAGAGCTTGCGCTCGTACGCCCACCATGTCTCCCAGGAGAAGCCGGGCTTGTCCTGCTCGGTTTCCCAGGACCAGCCTGGCCCAAAGAGTGCCACACTGAGCCCAAGGAACTCTGGGTCGATGTGAGCCAGGGATCGGTAAGACCCGAACCCACCTCCGCCGTGTTGACCGCGGCCCCAGACGTCGATGCCGACGTAGATGTCCTGGAGTCTTTTGGGAATGCTCATAAGGGAGGGTTCGAGGGCGAAGAAGTATTGTGCTGTGAGCGATGGGTAGTCGGGGCGCCACTAGTTGACGGACGTGAGCTGCGTTATCATGCTAAGGACATGTGGATCACTAACTGTGTAGTTGGTAAAGAAACCAGATGAAGGTAGGAAGAACGGAAGGTTGTAATTATTCAATCTGTCTTGCCACCGAAGATCACCTGTGACAACGACGCTGTCATACCTGTTGAAGAATGGTTCAATGATGAACACCGATATTTCAGCCAGTTTCTTACCAAATAGTATGTGCGTGCGAGCCCACTTTGCGCTTGAGCTCGCTCTCTAGGATGCCGATCCAAGCTGCTAGAGCCCTGCTCTGCTCGACACGACCAATCAGAGGAACCTCTACGTTCAGAAGGTACCCGTCGAATCCTCGCTGATACGCCAAGTCAGCGAGGACCTTCGCATAGTGCGGTGACAGAGGAAGAGAGTTGTCCGCAGAAGGTGCCGCAGACCCTGTCTTAGACTTCGGCAGACGTCCCACGAGAAGTCGTAAGCAATCCTGCTGTCCAGCGTCATGCTCAAAGATTCTGATGTGAAGTGTTAGTGACACTACAAGTCTGAAGCGTCGAATGCGGATACGACTGAGCGGTCAATTGAAGGACTCGGACTCACAATGTCCCAAGTATCTTCACCCCTTGTCTATGGGCAGCATTTATCCATCCTGCCGGAGGCACTGTCACGCGGTGGTGGGAGAAACTGCGTTCCTAGTCAAGTGGGGGCGTAGCTTCGGCCGACCGAACTCACTAAATGAATGTATCACAATAACTCCAGAAGTTGAACGTGTAGGCGAGGCCAAAGGGTGTTTCAGTGTAACCACCCTGCGTTCAACCCAGGCAAGTAAGCTTGTGTCCGTACTGACTCTGCGACTCGGCACAAGTGTCACCTTGTAGTCATGGCACACCTGTGCAGCGCGTGAGGTGAGCTCTCGTAACACATGAATTCCTTAAGTAGTTCCGTTCACCAAGAGTCTGCCTCTGCTCTGCACCGTCGCATCTGTAGCAGAGCGACGCTTCACGTAAGGCAATAATCCATCTAGTTTGTTATGGTGCTTGCTCGCCCATTCGTCCAGATCGGCTAGCGTCCTGAAGTACGGGGCATCGCCTCGAGGATCCTCAAGGTAGTTCTTTCCGCTCAGAGGCATCCCGTCTCAAGGTGTAGGTAGTGTTGACGAGATTGGGTACCAAGAACCTAGTGTTACGAGGTTCGCGAGGGTCAGTATGTTTGCGACAAGGACAGTCGAGGGGAGTGGAGGTGGCTGTAACTTGTAGATTGGAGAATTCATTGTGGTCACTGTACTGCAACGGAAGATGTTGGGAAGATGATGATCAATGTATGTAAGTACAATGTAAGCCAGTAATCCGGTCCGACAAGTTGCCGACAAGTCACTGAATACTTTAACTTAGGTAGATAAAGGCGCATTTGGCTGCGATAAGACAAGTCGGGCGCGTCCGCCGTCGAACTCAAAAGTCACGCGTTGCGCATTCACGAACAAGGCGCGGAACCAACCCTGCTCGCAACTTGAACTTGGTCCACCATTCGTATGCTGCAACGGCGTGCGACACAGTGCTGAGATGTCCGAAGCAATGGTCGTAGATCCACCGGACTCTGGCGAAACGTCTTTCCTTGGCGAACAAGACAAGACGCAACCGACCGACGACATCCTGAACGCCTTGCGACAGCTCAACCCGAACTCTTTCCCGCACCCGCAGAATGGCGGCGCGAACGTGCAGAGCCCCATAAAGCAAGAACTTACACCATCACCGCCGTCAGAATGGGAACAGCTACGCGCACAATTGCGGGAAAAGCCACACGACGCAGACGGGTGGCTGAGACTGGTTGACCTCGCAGAAGACTCGGGTGACATGGAGAGGATCAAAGAGACTTACGAGGGACTGCTGGAGGCCTATCCGAACACCGTGCGCGACTTTTTTGTGTGCGTTCCAATCTATAGCTCATCGTCATCCAGTCTTCTGCCCAGATAGCCTACCTGAATCACTATACCGACAACCCTGAGACGTTCGGATCTGCCGTCACCTTGTTCAAACGCTACCTCACCAAGTCGTCGTCTGTGGATCTCTGGAAGTTCTATCTCACCTTCGTCAGGTAAGTGCCTCGATTGAGACACCACAAGGCCGCACGCAAAACCCGTCTGCATCAGTATCGTAACACGGGACGCCAACGGGAACGTGGAATGCATACATATCCACTTGCGTGATGGCTTTGGTTGCTCGCTACGCCTGTCACTACATGGATGTCTCGCGACCGCCGTTGTGCTGCTCCGATATGTTCGACGGCCGATGTGGCGCTACTGCCATGAGCATGGGGAACTGCGCAAATAGCTTCCAGACGCGTTGGCGATAGGTGTGACAGACTGCCTCAACCCGTGCTTGACACGATATTGCTTGCATCGTGCGACCTCCAGCAAGGCGGTGACCAATTCGTATCAGCGTGATCTCTAATTCCGTGTTTGCAGGAGAGTCAACACCGGACCGAATTCGCGTGACATTATTCGTACGGCCTACGAGTTCGCTCTCGGCCATGTCGGCCAGGATAAAGACAGCGGTGAGATGTGGAGTGATTACATCCAGTTCCTCAAGGCGGGCGAGGTGTGTGATATACCGAGAGTGCGTGTGCCACTTCACTCATACAAGCCCAGACAACATCAACATGGGAGGAGCAACAAAAGATGGACGCAGTGCGCAAGGCGTATCAGCGAGCGGTGCAAATACCGATGGACAACATCAAGCGCCTTTGGGAGGAGTATCAGGACTTTGAGAACGGACTGAACAGGATAACGGTGAGCAGCAACGTTGTCTGCACCAAGCCTGTCTGCACCAACGCCACCGATGCTCATGAGAAACCCAGGCAAAGAAGTTCTTGTCCGACCTGCAAGAGAGCCACATGCAGGCACGTACCGTGCTGACGACCCTGCAGGAACACCTAAATATCCTCTTTCCCCCTCCCCCTCCGTCGAAGTCCGCGAGACCGCCAATATGGCTGCCTCGGCCTCCCGCGTTCAATGCTGGAGACAGGGCGTTGGTAGGGCGGTGGCGCCAGTACCTGAAGTGGGAGGAGAGCAACCCATTGAAACTGGATGATAAGGATAAGGGCAACCTGCACGCACGCCTTCAGGGAGTTTACAAGAAGGCTGTCGTCCGCATGCGGTTCTTTTCGGAAATATGGTACGCGTCAGTCGCACTGTTTGTGGGCGTACTGTTGACTCATGTTTGGCAGGTACATGGCGTACGTATGGACGAATAATATTGGCAAAATTGACGAAGCTGTTGCTCTGTTAAAAGCGGGCATAGAAGCGAATCCATCTAGGTACGTCTCAGAATCGAACACTGTCGACGACCCTAACGTTGTTCGTAGCTTCGTTCTTAACTTCGCCTATGCGGAGGCTCAGGAAATGGCAAAGAACTACGCCGAAGTGCATGCGACATTTGAGAAGTTCCTTGAGGTATTGAAGACGGACCTCGACGCGGTTGAGATCAGGATCAACTCAGCGAACTCCTCATTCTCCTCGAACATCTCGCAGTCTCAGAAGACGGAGCCTGCTGACAACTCGCAGCCTGACCCCGGGTCGCAGTCACAAGGCGGGTCGTTCACGACGGAGAAGGCGGACGAGAAGCCGCCTAAAAACAAGGAGCTCTCCGAGCGACGGACGGAGTATGGCATCGCATGGGTATCGTACATGCGATTTGCGAGGCGCGCAGAGGGTCTGAAACCCTCGCGAGCTATCTTCGGTAAGGCGAGAAAGGAGCGGTGGACGCCTTGGGAAGTATACGAGGCTGCTGGTGAGTTTGTCCGCCTCCTCTGTTGTATGATGACTGACCGGATATGGGATCAGCCATAATGGAGTATCATTGCAACAAGGCCGCCGATGTCGCGAACCGCATCTTCGAGAAAGGGATGGAGTCGTTTAGCGACGAAGTGGAGTTTGTCCTCCGGTACCTGGGATTCTTGATCTCCATCAACGACGAAAACAGTACGTTCTCATTCCTCACGATGGACGTCGTGGGCTTACACATTCACGACAGACGCGCGCGCGCTTTTCGAGCGGGTCATTGGTACGTTCCCGCCTGAGAAGGCGCGGCCGCTGTGGGAACGCTGGTCAAAATATGAGTATCAGTATGGTGACCTCGAGGCCGCGCATAAGCTCGAGAAAAGGATGGCGGAGGCATATCCGAACGGTCAGCGCGTTAGCTCACAAATCATCGTTAGTGTCTTACACTTGCGTCCAGATCCCCCGATCAAGCGATTCGCCGAACGTTACAAGTATCTTGGGACAGATGCGATTGCTAACCGCGACCTCGGCTTCAGTCTCTCGCGCCAGGGCAACGGTCGCTCAAACGGCAGCGCCACCCTCGGTCGCACTGATACGCAGATGTCTCTTGTGTCCAATCCGCCTTCGCAGCCCCAGGCAACGCCGAGCTCCTCAAAACGACCCTCGTCTCCAGAGTCACACGGCAGGAGGCGTGACGATAGCCGCGCTCCTGATTATGGTCCGCCGTCCAAGCGTCAACGAGCCGTTTCGCGAGATCGCGACCGGGACCGGTGGGACGGGCCACCTCGCAGACGTCATGGTAGCCCGGGCTGGGACAGGGAGCGCGAGCGCGATGGTCCTGGACGTCGGAGCATGAGAGAGGAGAGAGAGGAAGAGAAGCAGGTCACCCTTCCCCCGGTTTTGTCGTGGTTCGCTGGAATGCTGCCGGCGCCGTCCTCGTTCGATGGTGCGTTGTTCTAGGTTTGTGTTGTCGTCTGGCGAGCTCACCGCGCGTGGACAGGTCCTGTCTTTCGGACTGATGATCTGATGCAAGTATTCAGAAACGCTGTCATCCCATCTAGTTCGAGCGTGACCACAGGTCGATCACCTCCCCCACCGCCCCGAGGAGGTCCGTCTGCTACCTGGTCTTACTGTATCTAGACTGACTGTCCCTACAGGTGGCCGCCCACCGCCTGACTACGGACCGTACCAAGGTCCAGGAGGAGGCCGTCGCGGTCGATATTGATAGATCATCGCATGGGTATTTGTAATGCAACGTTCCATGAGATACTTCGGCCTTACTGTCTTGTCACTATGCCTTATCTTCTAACATCCATGCCGCACGTTCTCTTCACTGTTTTCGATGGCAGTTATGTTTCAATGCATGAGCTGAAGGCGAAGAACGGCAACGGGCCCGGGGATGGCCTGGAAGCTTGATTCCTCCAGTTAGATCACGTGTTTGATTCGAACTGAGTCTGGGCTGCACCACACATCACAACTGTCAACAATGTCCTGCACGCCCATGTTCATTGTTCTGTCATCTCGACATTGCCTGCATAAGCAGTGGCGGCTGCGGATTGTGTGCAGACGTAACCCCACCTCCTACATTTGACCGCTTCCATCTCATGAGCGCGACCTCTGCTACGGATATTCAAGTTCACAGTAGGCCGGGACCGCTCTGAGCAATGGTGAACATACCGAACGTGGTCGTTCTTGTGGCTCGCGTAACCAAGAACGGCAGCGTGACCAAGCCTGAAGAACAGCCACTCCGGTCCTTTCGAGCTGCAAGACTTGTCGGTGACCCCCGACGATTTCTCTTCCTTTCTACCTTGAAAGAGGGCTTCGACTCAGACAAGCAAGGTATACAAGCACTTCTCAAGGATTGGATCGCAAATGGTATCCAAGTGGGGGGTATTCGGTCAGCAAAGCCTTTGCTCTGATGCGAGTGTACCCTGAATGCCTCAACTGCTATAGGTATACTTGGCTGGGTTACAGTGATGTGCATGTGAAAGCCGGGAAGGTCATATTCTTCCGCGAAGATGCAAATTGGACTGTGCGTCGCTTGCTTCAAGAGATTGGCGATGTGCATCAGGTCTTCCTCGATCACGGGCACGGAAAGTATGCGGCACGACTTGGCCTCTCTTTCTCGTCAACCGTGGATGCCAAGGATGTCAGTCAACTAGTCAACCGACGAATTTCCTTTGTAACGCCACTAACTGGCTTGACAACTCGCAGGTGTACGGCCGCACTGTGCTCCTAGACGACCTAAGGGCTCGGGATGGTTCATTGCATACCGATGGTTGCGGCATGATCAGAGCTTCATACGCTCGAGAGCTGTGTAACACTCTACACATTCCCGAGGACACCTCAGGTACGTCTGGAACGCACTCTGCCCCTTGTAGTGGCCTTTCGTACTCCCGCTCACTGCTTGGGTATAGTGTTTCAGATCCGTTGCGGAGGCGTGAAGGGACTTCTCTCCGCATACCCCGACCCCGACTTCGAACGCCTCTGCAATACGGAGAACAAGATACTTAACAGGGATATCGTTGGCTCTGAGGTCGTGATTGCCTTTCGCCGCTCAATGCTGAAGTATAATGGCGGCCCCACAATGCTGGAGATCAACGATCATTGCAGCCGTCCAGGTTCCGCACGACTGAATGAATTCATTATCCTGCATCTTCTGACTCTCGGAGTGGCTTGGGATGTAAGACGCTCTCCGCTTTGCTGCTGATAGTACTGATCACAATCACTTACATCCAGGTATTTCGCAAGCTGCTCCTAGACCAACTGGACTTCATCGGAGCTATTGCGAACGATCGAAACAAAGCATTGAGAGCAGTCAAGGGAGAATTGGACGCTTCCTCCACCGTGTTCGGCCAAGACCGTGCGTGGTTCTCGTCCATGCCTCACGCCAAAACCCTGATATATCTCGCTGTAGTCTACTCCTTATTGCTCGCATGTCAGGACTTGAAAGAACCCTACGTGCAGTGGAAATTAAGTCTCTTTCAGCAAAAGCAGTACGACAATCTACGCGAAAAGCTCAGCATCGCCGTGGAGGTACGAACTTGACATAACTTCTGGCTGTGCTGATATCGAGTATTCACCAGGACTCCGCGTACCTGTTTGGCGTTGTCGACGAGTACGGAATATTGGAAGCCGACGAAGTGTTCATAAACATACCTGGTCGCATCGGCGTGCTTGCAAAGCCGAGTATAATGGTTTGCAGGTGCGTATCGCATCAGGAGCTCCATACAGTACTGACGTCGGTGAATGCTCAGAAACCCTTCGTATGATCCAGGAGGTTTGTATGTCAACGCGTGTATGACGCACTCGGAGCTAAATGCTGATAGATATTCGCACATTCCGTGCTGTATATCGCGAAGAGCTAAAGCATCTGACTAATTGCATAGGTGAGCTACGCTTGGATAACATCTCTATTACTATGGAAGTTTTCCTGATACTTCCCCAGTCTTCTCTAGAAAGTCACGGCACTCTGTCCCAGATACCATGGCATCAGGGTGAGTGAGCTGAGAAAATCGGCGAGATACGCACCATTGTGACGCCTTGCCTGCCCAGGGATCTTGACGGTGATATGTATCTGACGGTGTGGGACACGAATCTGGTACCTCAGTCTGTCCGTGATTATGTAGATCGGCCAGCCTCAGCAAGCGCGGCAAGCGGCACTGCGCGTAGCCGGAATGACCATGTAGACATGGCTCAAGCCGCTATGTCAACGTTCATAGATCATCGCTTCAACGGACTACTAGGAATCATGGCGACCGAATGGAAGCTGGCAGCGATCTGCAGCCCGCATTTGACAGACGAGCCGCATGCGCGGAAGCTCGGATTGCTCACTGAGTCTGCTCTGGTACGTCGAGCAATCAAAGTTCAGTCTGCAATGCCTGAATCAGGCATGTGTTTTTTTTGGCTGACAGGACGCAATCAAGTCTGGCACGAATATGCAGGAGTTGAAGCGTAGATTCTTTGCGGTCCGCACACAGGCACGTAATGCCGCGGCAAGATACCGTGATTTTAGGAATCCTCTGAATTGTCTGCGCGACCTCGTCCCTCGCAAGGACGGGGCAAAGATATCCTCGTTTACTTGTGACGATGCACTGCTCATTCAAGACCAAGATCCGAAGGTGTGGGACGATGTGATGCGGGAGGCCCGTCAGGCCATGCGAGAATTCAACCGGGAGCTGTCCCAAGCTTTGAGAGTAGATGGCGAGTGGAAAGACGGTATGTCCCTCCTTCCGATTGCATTCAGGGCAAATGAATATGTCAGCACTGTATACAGAACAATATGGGGACACTGAACGAAACAGCTTCAGAAATCATCGTCCCAAACACGCTGATGACGTCACAATGCGCTTTCGCGAGCGTTACTTTGGAGGTATAACCATGCTACGATTTCGCTTCTCGAGGATGCTGACTTCCGCTTCCTCGAAAGGAGGAACATTTGCGGAGATGTACGTACAGAGGATGAGAGCTTCCGCGTGGTAACAGCGCTGTCATTCCACCACGAATTAATCACTCAAATCGCTTCCAGGTACCAATACGGGTATAGCGAGGCCAAACAAGCATTTGCCTGGCTTGGAATAAGCTATCTCAATGAAATCCGAGCCGGTACGTCACTAACCTTGCAACATGTCATGCATACTCATATTGCTGTAGTATGGTCCAGCTATGGCAAGCCCGTACTCTACGTAGGATCAACAAATCGTCCTACGCACCTTGAGTCGAGACCGATATCGGCCAGCAGCAGCATCTCACAAGAGTCTACACTTGTAGCGGGTGAACCTGCAAGCCACGATGGACACAGTCCGAAGCAGCAATCCGTTACCATTGTCTCCAATTCCGATCGAAGTGGTGATCCGCAATGCACTTTGACGAACAGCACGCCGCGCTCCCCCGTGGCGTCTATCTTGCCACCGTGTAACAACAATGAACCGCATGATTGGCGACTCTTCTCTGCGAATGGCACGCAACGCACGTATCTCTGCGGGAACTGCGGAATCAAACCCAAGGAAAAGAAGAAAGACAACCGATGGCAAGGCGATCCTTCTTGTTCTACAGTGTCCCAGCACGGAGCACCTGCTTCCTCTTCCTCAAACACGTCGATTATGGTTGCCTCTACGTCCGCGGCTCTCGTCTCTGAAGACTCTACGGGTCGGGAGACAAATCTGACGACACGCAAACCTTCCGGCGCGTCCGCATGTCCCTCGCTCGAACCAGCCTCTTCACTGTCTTCCATGGTCATCGTCACCGATGATGGTGCTGATTCTCCTACCACATCACTGTCTGAGTATGCTCCGTTCGCACGAGCATCTCAATTTGAGAGATTTTACGAGCAAAATGGGCGCAGCGACCGTTCACAAGCACCCAGGCGACACGGGCAAGCTAGAAGAGCTCAAGGAAACCTCACGTCCCCTACACCGGGTCCACGCACGGCGGAGGATGCTTTGCAGGCGTCAGTATCAACGCAAGGTGTTATGCCTTCGCCATCGCAAGCAATCGACCCTGCGGGCTGCCAGTCGGACCTCGTTTCTCGCAACCGCAAGCCCTTGAAGCCCGTGTTGTCCCATGATCATCGCGATCATGAACTCGGCGCCAAGCATGAATGGTTCGTGAGACAGTCCATTGGCTCGTCTTGTTCCTACGAATGTACTTGTGGTATCGTCGTGCACGAACGAAAGCAGGAGGGGCGCTGGGTCGACGCATGCCTATGATGGTACTATTGATTTGTAAATCCTCTCCTATTCGACCTTCCTTCGAGTGTTTTGGATTCGTTGTTTTGGGAATCTCCAGCGCGTAGAGTATACAGTACAGATTGTTCGATATGCTTCGGTCAATCATAGTAGGTGTGTTGATGTTACGAGACTGCGATGCAGCAACGCAGGACGAGGTGGAAGGCTATCTCCGGGGACCTCGTATTCGTCCCTTTGTTGAGCGTCCGGGTCGTTGGGCCGCATAATTGTATCGTAGTCAAGTTATTCACCCCGAAGTCATCATGTCTCAATCACTGCTACAAGCTAAGCAGGTACATGTCACTCAGACGCTTCGCTGGTGTCGCCGTAACCGAGTTTACCGAGAATTCAGCAAGGCTGCTTTTATCCTCGTACCTCAAATTTAATATATTCATACTAGCGATTAGATGAACAGCTAATTCTGCTGCATGAGGGCTAGGAACAACGCCACTAACACCCATCATTACACCTCAGTAGCACCTACGACGTATGGCTTAACCTTGCTCAGGCCAGCTATCGTCTCGTCAGAGATCTGCAGGTTCTCCTTCACGATATCTGGCGGTGTGAGTGCAAGCCACTGCGATTTGGGAAAGTCAGTCAGCAATGAAAAGTGGCATGCGGAAGGAGACTGACCTGGTTCAAGCTCACGTCCACCACAAGGTCTAGGTTGAGTGTCAGAACCGCCAAGGTCAGCGTAATGAGGAAATGGCATACCGCTGTTGAAGATCTCGAGGTAGTGAAGGGTGTCGTTGCCTATGTTCTCCACGTAGTGACCTACAAGAGAGCGGACAGTATTCATTGACCGGACCCATATACGCTGCCGCGAGAGTGTCTTACCATAGGAAGCCGGTACGAATCCAATATCCCCTGCCTGTTTGGATGCCCGTGACAAGTGGATGACGTGAGGCAGCATGAGAGGCTTACCACATAATTGAACGTCTGAGCCGTTGCGCTTGTGGCAAACTCTGTCACACGAGCAGAACCAGAGCTATCTCATTGTCAGCCGGTGCGAGTAGCCTGATTCCAACGGAGGTACAAACATGTAGTATGTCCATTCGTCTTGCGTCGGGTGCCACTAGTAGAAGGATTTCCGCTCGATGAAGTTGTGATCAACTTGCTTGAGCCACATAAACACTCACATGCAGCTCTCTGTTACGCGCAGCCTTGTTATTAGACCACAAAGTCACTGTCGCATAATGGACGGACCTCATTCCTCCAGGCTCAACCCAAAATTCAGCAAGTGAGATCGTAGTTGCCGCTGTGAAGTTCCTAGAGTCTGCGATCTTGAACGCACCACCGGCAACCTGCGTCGCATTGACTTCCGATAGCTTATAGACGAACGGATTTGGGATTTGGCCTTGAGGATCCTCAGGGGCGGTCGCATCCGGCGATGGTGGTCCTGGTTTGCTCATCAATCAATGTAGATGCCCTAGATCTAGGTAGACTCCTCACCATCGCCTGGGAAGATGTACAGCTGCTCCCCGGGAATCTTATCCCAGGCCGACAGGGAGGTACCAAAATTCTTGGCTATTACTGACTTCGGTGTATGCGCTAGCCAATCGCTCAGCTGAAGTGAGGTCAATAGGAGATCCGAGGCAATGACTCGGGGAAACCAATCGCTCACAGAAAAAGTAGTTTGATCGCTGAAGTCGCCATTGTCGAACACCTGTTGTTGTGTAAGCACGCGCGCGTCGAATGTCATGTTGAGCATTCATACGAGAAGGAATTCTGAACCGCCCTCCGTTTCGTTGGTCGCTTGCAGACTGTGAGGAATCCCCGGCGGGAAGTACCACAGATCGCCCGGTCCCTGAATTGAGATCAGCACAAGACAAGCCGTCTTATCAACATGCTCGTACCGCAGTTCCAACAAAGTTCCGCCCGTTTTGATCTACCGAGGTGATTTGCGTGTAGCCCTATGAAGGGCATCTTAGTACGGCCTTTGGAACGCGATCTAAGACCAGTCTCACTTTGAGGACATATGCCCACTGTGATGAGTCGATCAATAAACTGCCAGTACAACTCGGGTGTAGACCGGAACTTTACCTCAGAGGTGCTGTGCCAATGAAGTTCACTTGACAACGTGTCCTGCTCAGTTTCTGTCGTTCAAATTACAAGCAATCTGAGCTTACCGGATAGCTCCCGGTTCCAGACGCATATCCGCGCCAGCCATAGCTGTCATTGCATGAGTATATCCATCCCTGTCTGTGAACGCAATAACTCACAGCTGGCTACGGGCATTTGATTTACTGTTATGGAAGGGAATTGTCAGTGTTCGTGGCGTACGAGACATCGAGTCTACAAACGCACTATTCTGTTGACGAACGTAACCACCGGTGTAAAGGCGCATCGGGCTCAGACTAAAGGGCCATTTGACGTTCGGACTGTAAAGCTGTCAGCGCACATAGTTTTATTGGAAGCCCTTCCATAGAGCTGACATTGCATTATTGTCGGTGGTAGGCGGTGCGAGAAGATCAGGGTTCTGCTCCTGGAGAGGGATGTTCTGCTGGGCCAAGATAGTCCCGCCGAGCTGTCCGCGGATAGGCTGGGGGTCTGTGTCCGTCGTGGTATTCCAGGCGATGCCGTTCGGGTCTTCGCTAGCAAGAGGAACGGTCTCGCTAGGCTCTGCTGCGGATGCTACGCTTGATCCCGACGCCGATATGGCGGCCGGTGCCGCAGCAGCTAGACTAGAGGCGAGCACGACGGTAAGCACGAACTGTAGGAGCCTAGACATCATGGAAGAAGCACAGAGTGCGCGATCCCTAGCGATTTACCCCGATGAATCAGCTTATATACTGATTGAAAGAGTAGGAAGCGCACGTACACCAGTCCGAGTCCACAGCTCGCCTACTAGGTGTATCATCAAACTCTGCTTTGCCATCACGTCAAACATAATGTTGGCGCGACAGCACTTCGTTGCTAGGGGCCTTCATGCGCGTTCCGGTGCGTATGAGGCGGAATGCAGACCCATAGACATACAAAGAATGGAGACGTCCGTCGCCGCCGCCTGATCTCTCAGGAGCGGAGATGTCCACACGCTGCGGCGCAATTAGCCAATCGGCCAAAGCAAAATTCTTGATGCCCATGGCGACCGTGAAACAGTGTAGCAGTAGCCATAGATCAGCAAGCGGGACCAGGGGTCGAGAAAATGAATTCAGGTGTCCTATCCAGATCATCATTGTGGGAACAAACGCACCCAAATATTAGGCATAGGCTCTCCTAGTTGGATGCGCACCCAGCCCTATCCGCACTCGATGCCAATCCATGTGGAAAGGCTGGCACGTTCGCATTCCCTATCTGCCAATGCGGACATAGGTCAGCCTTGCGGTCGCTGGCGAGTTCCTGACGGCGACAACGACGTTGGAAGCCCTCACGTCGCCAATTGCGCAATGCAACATCATCTGTAGAAGGTGTCGATGTCAGCATTTGTCTGAAGCAGCATCGCATGCAGCAGTTCACCCTGGTTCCCCAGGTTAGGACTAGAGACCTCGGGCCGAAGCCAGTACTTCGAACAGGCAGATATAACCGGCAGCGGCGTTGATGAGTAGGTCCTGCAGGTATGTGCACATAAGGCGAGCTACTGACCTATGTTGTCCTATTAGGAATTTGGTTATCTGACAGTCCAACTGTGGAGCGTTGCGGCAGGGAACACTCATGCCGCCTTGTGTGAGCTTATGCTCGATAGTACGACCTGGCCCATGATGCAAACCATGGACATTCCGCTGCGGTGTTCCAACTGAGCCGATCGACTGGGAGCTGATATGCAAGTCAGTGACCATAAGTACCCGGATTATGCACGCGCTGACATTACACTATACCTTGCACAGTCTACGAGTGCTTGAATAAGTGTTGCACTGGTTATTGGCAGTGGGTCCCGGCAGGTTCGTTCCGTGACCATCGGAGGTCCTTGTCAAATGTATGGAGCCGTCACCACACCAGTGGCCGCTCTACCGTGAAAGTGCTTTGTCCGCATAAGCTTCTTTACTATCCCTGTGCAGCTCTCCAAAAACCTATTGTCTGGCATGACGATGCACATTGATTCGTAGCGCGCGTGCATGGTATGAGTGAAGTTCTGATGTCCAACGTGCATAGTACATACCTCGTCGGTGCCTGCGCAGTGTCATCTCCCGTACGTGTGATTCAGCACGGATCAATGACAGAATCACTGAAATGGAGTTACACAGCATCTATCCAGTAGCGGAGAGCGGAGACAGGGCCGCTCAAGTACATACTTCACAATTGGTCCGTTCTGGAGGTCCAAGTGCCGTCGCGACAAGGGATTGGTGAGAGCCAGCTGGATCGAAAAACCGCATTCTAGTAAGAGCGCCTGCAGTAAAGCTAAATATCGGTTCCGGTATGCCATACGACAGTTTGGTCCTGCAAGATTGAAATAGAACCGTCAGTTCAATCACTGGCATGGGTCCTTGCCGGTTTCTAGGGTTACATGTGAGTCCATGACGCAATTGAGAGGCACATCCTGATGTGCCGGATTGGACCTCCTCAGGGAGACAGCGTGAATATAAATGACCCAGGTACTGTCATTGTTGCCTCACGGTCGTCTAGAGGCCGTTTCGGAAGTCAACTAGTCACGAATGACTGCGCTGACTATCAGAGTTCACGGCTTCATGCCATGCGTATGCTCGCGCGTACCGCTCAGGAAGGGTACTACCAGGACAGCAACCGTCGCACTAGCACGCTAAGTGACAGGCGCAGAGCTAGTGTGGTAATTCAAAGACATCTACTGACCGTCAAGCTGTATCTCTAGATGATTTGTCCCACAACTTGAAGCGCCGCCTTGCCAATGTTCTTTCGCTATGCATTGATCACGATGTCTTCGAAAGGCAAGTTGAACAAGAACTAGCCGCTCAGACAGAAAGCCAGCGTCGGCTTGATGGTTGAAACTGGCGGGAACAAACATGAGACCAGTGTCCCCCGATGCGATCCAGAGGCGCTAAGAACATGATTCGCGCCACGTAGTAGTAGTAGTACATACTGAAATTTTGTGCTGGTTCGTTGACCTTTCCGTGATTGAGATGATTTGAGCAGGGGCAGGAGAACGGTATGCATAGCCTAACCAGTGGGAGCACGTCCGCTTCATAGTGTTATACTATTCGAGACTATTCGTTTAGTAGGCATGCTTACTAAGCTTCGTTCAACTATCATAGTAGGCGCTGGCTCTCAAAACTTCACCGTCTTGTCCGATGTCCTACTTCAAATTCTGTGTACATACCGCTCAGGGACGGGTTCCTGTGGTTCGATAGCAGTCGCTGTGCATCTGTTCGCAGCATGCGATCCCGACCATAGTCGATCATGCATGGTCTGGACAGTTCTCACTCGGGACACCACTGCCTGTGAGTACCAGATCCGCTACGCCGATCAACCAGCGCGCGCTGAATTCATGGCAGCAGTCTTTATTGATTTCTCGAGGAACAACTTCGACGACCCAGATGCTTTGAGTCGAGCGATGGGCCTGCTGCACTGTATTGGTTGCTGATATACACTTCCCGAAACGGCATTGCTCGCTGGCTCTCCGCTGGCATGGCAATGTCGACCCGTCAAAGCACGGGGAGATACTCATTCTACTGATTCGGGCATCTATTGTTCTGGGGCGATACATATACCTCGTGCCTTCGGGATGTCTAAGCTTCCTCCGCTCTCCCACTCTCCCTAGGTGAGTTCGTCTCCAAGGTTCTGCCGCCTCAAAGATGGGCTAAGAGAGCCTCAGAGTGCGCTGCAGACATTGATTCAACCTGTCATCTGACGCTTTGTTACAGAGTCGATCTTGCGAGCGGTATCTTGTCTGTGGTTCATGTAGGCCACCTAACTGCGATGTCGGACGCCGCGAGTATGCATGTATGGACCACCCGGCTGTCGACAAATGGACAAGTATACGTTCCTGAGCTTCGAGAGCAGCGGTCGTCGCGGGCGACTCGGATCATTGACGACCCCAAACGACTGCTGTTCCTCTCTGTCCCACGCACAACGTCTGACGACGTTGAGGGCATCATTCGTCAAAGGGTATCCGGTTTGATAGTGCATGGGCTATCGTGGGACGGACAACGGTACGTCGCCGCGATACAGCAACGTCTAATCTTTGCACATCGCTCATACGCACCTCGCCCAGATATGCCTTTCTAGGGTTCACCGACAAACATGTGACAGAAGGCACGCTAGTACTCTTCCGCGAAGACAGTGCTTGGACAGCGTCTCGGTTTCTGCAAGCACTGGGCAATCTGAACACCGTCTATACGAGGAGTGGCTACGGGAGATTTGCAGTCTGTTTGGGATTGTCGTTTGCTGTCACGACAGATGTACTTGACGTGAGTCGATGTTTCTTATCTAAGTATGTATGTGCCAACAGGTGGATGCCTCGCACAGGTTCCGAACGAGAGAGTGGCTGTGCTCGATGACCTATATAGCCCGGACGGTTCTCTGTACACAAAGAGTTGCGGCATCATCCGAGACTCGGTCGCCAGGCGCATCTGCGAGAATGCTCGAATACCTCCGGATACCTCAGGTACGTACGTGATCATGACTGAACGCGCAATGCTTCGTATCATCGCACTCGCTGATGCAAGGCTCTGAATGTCAGTTTTCCTCATGCAACGTGGCGGCTGGACAGGGGAGTTCGTTCGGTATCCAGATGATACCTTCTCAAGGTTGTGCTCTGCCGCACGTGGGCTTGCGGGGCAGGGCCCAAGCATCGAAGACTGTTGGATCGCTTGTCGGCGCTCCATGTGTCTCCATGACGGACAGATTACCACGCTAGAGATCCTGGGATGTTCTCGTCGCACGGGACCCGCGCGGTTAACCGCCGAAACAATTTTGAAGCTGTGTACGCTTGGGACGACAATGAAGGTACATTTCAATAATGCCTCCTTCGGGAACACGGTGTGTTTTACATGCGCTGCTTCCAGATTGAACAGACAGTCGAAGAGCTACTTGAAGATGAACTCAGCGCGATAGCGAGTATCCCTCGTGATCTCGAACAAGCTACGCGTTGCGTGACGAATGAGCTACAAGCGTTACCTACTGTCTTCAACAGCGAATGTGAGCTCGGATGTACGTTAGGTCTGCGAAACGTCCTGACTAGCGCGGCTCCAGTACACTCCGTCCTCCTAGCGAAGCATGATCTCAAGGAGTGCTACGTCGAATGGATGCTCAAGATATTTCAGCATCAGCAGTATCAAAGCCTCCAACAGAATCTGAGCGTCCACGTCGAGGTATGTCACACCTGCGACGCTAGATGACTCTGACACATCTCGCACGATGTTGATACGAGCAGGAGTCAGCTCGCTTGTATGGAGTCATCGACGAGGAGGGGATCCTCGGAGAAGACGAGGTCTTCGTCAATCTATCTGGGGGGAAAGGAGTTCTGTCAGGCCGCCGTCTGTTGGTCATAAGGTACCTAACAGTGGTTGATACCTTGGCGTTCTGCATGCTGAGAACCTGGCAGAGAGTCGTCTCTTTCTATTGCAGGTACTTAGGTTATCCTTTCGGTTCGTTCCGACAATACGACGATAACTCCGTAGATGTCTGGAACTTCAAGGCAGTGCGTTGCGAGCGCTTGAGACATCTCACGAACTGCATAGGTAAGTTTTGTTGTGAGTACCTGCACCCAGCTCGCCTAGGCACTGAGTTCGGATGTAGTCTTCTCGAGGAGGTCGAAACATGCTGTTCTTCAATCGGTCGCAGCATTGTAAGCAACGCATCATCTATATTAGCTCGTCAGCCCCCCTCACAGCGTAGCAGAGCTCCTGATCAGCACCAGTACTTCGTGACCTGGAATCCCAGCCTTGTCGTTCCCACTCAAACAATCACGACTTCCTGCCAATCTCGCATGGGTAGCCGGTGGTGCGATATCAAGATTGAGGGTTCGGCCAAAATCGTGGGCAGCGCAGCGTTGGATACCTTCATGCTGCACAAGTTCGGCATGCTCAAGGAGGATATGATGAAGCGCTGGTATGAATATGCGACACGATCTGAGGCATTGGCCCACGATTCTCAAGCTCAAGCCTTGCAGCCGCTGATTGACTGTACCCTTGTGAGTGGTCACGAGCGTCATCCTCGGGAAGGAATGCCCAACGATTGCATACAGGACGGCCTGCACAGCTCAGCTTTCATGCGGACGCTCCAAGAGGAATTCAGCGCTGTACAGCAAGCCGACCGAGCGGGACAACGACAACTCCACTTCACTAATCCCCTCGATAAGTTGCGTGCGCGCATACCGAAGTGCGAAACTCCGGCAATCGTTGGCTATGCATTCGATCCCATCTTGGATCTCAGAGATCATGACGAACACGCCTGGGATGACTCCTACAGAGAGGCAACGGATGTCTACTGTAGGTTCTGCCAAGATCTCGAAGAAGCCTTGAAGCGAGATGGGATGGCTACCAGCGGTCAGTAGACTTCAGACATGGCGCGCTTCGTTCCTGATCGTTCTCTCGCAAGACGGCCACGGGGTCCTAACGCATGGCATCAGTACGTCGTACAGCCACGCTGATGGTGTCTTTGCGAGCTATCGTGGTCGATACTTCGAAGGTTAGTGGACGCTCAGCCACGTGTTCCTTGGTGTCTGAACCTCTGCTAGGAGACTCGTCGTTCACCAAGCACATCCAATCGATCCGGGCATCCGCATGGTCAGCTGCCTTCTGCTCTAATCGGCCTTTGCGAGACCTTCATCACGACGATTGCCTCACAGGTACTACTTTGGATACGCACAGAAGAATCCTGCTTTTGCTTGGCTTGGCCTTGCATATCTGAACCGAATCCGCAACGGTGAGTGGTAAATCAATATAGTGTACGCCATCGCTGACGCTCTGACAGACCGGGTCACACAAGGCCCATCAACGTCCATCGGAGCAGCATCCGGTGCTCTTGGGGGAACCACATCGTCTACTTCCAGTGCCAGTTGTGTCTCGAGCACAGCTACTGTCGTTGGAATGTCCCTTTCTCTCAAGGAGGCAGCATCACGCGGTGCACGACGCGCTCAAGAAAATCTGCGTTCTGTAGAGAAGAACCCCACCCCACGTTATCCCGTCGCCTCAAATCCGCCGCCATGCGTCAACGCTCCTGAACACAAATGGAGAATGGGCCCCACAAATGGATTCGCACGACGTTACGACTGTGAGACCTGCGGTGTCAGAGTAAAGGAGCGTAAGGAAGGAGTATATTGGGTCGAGGATGTCGTCACTTCGGCGAAGGCGGCCCAGGGTCCAAGACGAATTGCCAAACTTCCTCGGCCTATCAAAGTTGCAAACGCTGGACGTGAACCCGTGCAGCGCGGAGTGGAAGCTCCTTCGGTGAAGGGAGAGGATATCGACGATAAGAAGGGCATACTCAACCCGGCAGCGACATCTGCACGCGCGATTGGAACTAGCCCCAAGTCACTCAAGGATAGCTCACAGCGCGATGTCAAACCTGTCCCCAGCTCGACGGCGAGAGGACAGCCTTCCACTACTAACGGTCTGCTCATCTCCCGTTCCTCTATCAGTACTGGCATCAAGTCTCGACCGACAGGATCTGACCTTGTCTGCAACAATGCGAAGCCCTCTGCACCTGTCGCTGCACATCCTGGCCTTGCAGAATGCCGGTCGGATCAGCATCTATGGCATTGTCGCTGGGCTAATGGGTATGCGAGGCACTACATTTGCAAGTGGTGTTCAATTGTGGTGAAGGAACACAAGCGTAACGATCGGTGGGTTGCTTACTGACGATGATGAGCGACATCGAGAGTGCGAAGATGGCTATGTGAACCGTATTCCTGTGTTGTTACATGTTCCGATCGTCCGGCCTGTACATGTAGGATGAAGCTGCTCCATTATCTGTGTTGTTGGTCCAACTTTTGCGCTGTACACGTACTGTATGTACAAATAGTTAGTCGTTCTGAGGCGAGAGGGCCGCAGAAGTTCCAGTCAGACTATCTGTATCATGCCAGCCAGGTCACGTATGTCTGCAACGACGTACGCGTTCGTGGGATCACCACGGAGGCACGGGATGCCGATGCCAGTGACCGATGCGTCCGTTCTAAGTTCTGACGCATCCAAGGGTTGCAGTTCGAAGTTACGAATTGAATGACTCACCGGCACTATTTGCTCCACTAAACTTGGTCCGCCCCTCCCTCCGAGTAATAGTATGACTCAAGTTCACTAGAAGCACGTCTCTGTGATTGCTGCGTCAGAACTCGATGGATGCGGCAGGGTAGTTCGTAAGACTTGTCCACGAGAAGCAGGGAGCGCCGCAATGGAGTCGCGCAGCAGCTGGAGGCGACAGGGAGGCAGCGGGAACGGTCCTTCAGTTCTGGATAGAGCAGCCTCACTGTCGGACACATGAAAGTGCGTGTTCCATGTAGCTTTCCTTAGTCACGCAATTCAAGTGATCAGTCCGATGCAAAGGTAACTCAGGACCTCCTTAGGCAGGATCTGGCTCAGATATCATAATTCCTTCGGTAGGTCGTCTAAAAGAAGCACTTTGACACCGGCGAAAGCATCATGCTACGGTTTTGTAGTCATCTCCAATATGATGCATGTCATCTGGCCAGTCGACTCCGTGCTTGAGAGTCGGCATAGCAACATCAGTCAACTCATGTCGCTCAACGCTAACCACCACCTACACGACATTTGAAGTGTATGGTGAGCATGCGCACATACACAAAACATCGCAACACACCTGTGCTGCTCGTCCCCTAGTTCCAGTTGACACCAGTTGCACGTCGTTCTGCTATAAGGCCACAAGAAACGGACTCAGTTAGCCACGCCACGACATGCGACGAGTTCAGACACTGACCCTACTCGTGGAGTCATGGTCGCTGTATGGGTTCTGACTAGACGATGCATTGGCAATGAGACTCCGCGCATTGAGACTTGACATGACGGAGTTGCCGTATCTGTTCATGGAGCGATAGGCAAACGGGTTAATAAGCGATACAAACAGACTCACAGCTTAACCAGTGCATAGTTGAACCCGATGTGATATCCTTTCGTCTGGTAGTAGGAAGGTCAGTGTTCGAAAATCATGACCACAAGAAACCGTACTTACTGTCGCAAGGTAGGATATAATGTCCGCGAGAGCCAAGCTAGCGGTGAGCAGGCCATTCGACATGATCACTGATTTCGACGCGTTAGAGCCTTGTCTTCTGACGGAACGTTCACGCACGCTGCACCAATCTCGACAGCATCTGATTTGTACGAAGAAACTTGGTGCGGTTGTTCCGCTAGTTCAAAGGCGCTGTTAGCAACGGCGACACAGGCTAAAATACTCGACCGTACCAAATGCCATATGAGTATAAGTGCAATGATAACATCTGCCACTGCTGCCCCAATGAGCCACGTGAGAACAACGGGCTGAGGCGCGTCAGTTCGAGGAGCGCACACGATGTAAGAAAAGCAATACCTTGAGTTTTTGCAGCTGAGAGAAGTCAGGAATAATGGCCACGCCGATAGCCGTTCCAATGCCGGCCACTGGGTGAATGCATATGTGAGCCTAGCTGACGCACATGGGAAGACATGACCTACACCCGCCGGTAACAGAGGGGATGATAACGAGAAGTGTCAACCACCAGTTCTGTGTGAGCTTCTTGATGCGCCAGGCGTAGTAGAACTGAACCTGCATGGCGATGATGCCCTGTGAAACCTCTGTCAGCCTGGTCCGGGTTCCCTAAGCGTCGTCAGGACTCAACCTACCGCCATGGCTTCCTCTGACGGATTAGGTGACGGTGACGGTGTTAAAGATGTACGGTAGTAAGCACGCTGTGGTAGAATACTTACCAGTCTCGAAGACTGCAAATGAATTATCAAGTTAATAGTGCATTCAGCGTCGATCACTGCATGTCCACTTACGCCAATTGCCTCGACCGAGTGCCTCGACGTTACCTGGCAGACACTGTGAGCCGCCAACTACATCCCAGGAGTGTCTCGAGTTTCCTGACCGAAGTTGTTGATGAGTACATCGTATATCCACCAAATGTTGAAGACGGTGTTAAGCGTGTCATTGAGGAGCAAAACCGCGACCTGTAGAGGTATTGAAGGAGTGTGAGAGAGCCGCCCTCATATAGAAATCACAAGACGCACGTAGAACTTCATCCACGAGGGATCCCTGGTTGAGACATTGGTGAGCCGGTGAGCCGATCATACAAGGTATCATACTCACCTCTTGTACGACGAGAAGTAAAAGAACGTCTGCGTGATCATCGCACCGTACAGCCTATACTGAATTATCAGCCTGGTTATCAACGCATCATACGTTGTACTTGCATCGTATTGAACAGGATTCCAATCAGCGCGGGACCGTCACTAGTATCATACCCCGTCAACGATGAGAACAAGGTCAAGGATGACGAAGGACATACGCAAACTGAGCAAGGAGCTCGCCTTCGGTATACAGACTGACCCCGTCAGGAATACCTGCAGCCTTAGCAATACTCTCCATCGTCAGGACCTACAGTACCGCGGACATCAGGTCGGTTTCTCGGGCGCACAATATCGGAATATCCGGATGCACACGTACAAGGGACAGAAGGCGATCTCCAGGATGTGCACAGTCTTCAGATGCTGGGAGAAAGGACGAGAGGGGTGAATTATGTGCACGCCGTCCCCGTCGCCAGCCTTTCTATCATCGTGGTCAATGGCGGTGAGAAGCATTGCGACGACTATGAAGCGACCCAGAAGATCACGGATCGGAGCGCTTGAGGCGGATGCTCCCCAGGCATCATCTAGTCTCCTCTCCTCAGGCTCGAGTCTTGACACTTGTCTCAAGATGCGACCGCCATCTGATCGACTACTACTGGCACCGCGAATCGTAAGTAGCCGACTACAAAATGATGCGTGGCAGCTCATTGGTGGGTGCCGCGTCGATGTTCCAATTTTCGAACATACGGCATACGTACCCTTAAACATATTTGTTTGTTGCTACATGCTACATAATCCTGAAGTCGTCAGCGAGTAGCAGTGAATCAACTTTCCGAGTCAATGTACTCAACGAGAACCGGGAAGATCTTAGATCTGGCGTCTAGTATACACGTTGGAGCTCTCACGAACGCGAAATGAACTGGAAGTCGCTTAGCGAGTCAATCAGGGTAAACGGCCTACGCATACGGCGATCTGGGGTACCCTGGTGGCAATGAAAGGCAGCGGAAGTCAGCAAAACGAGTACGGCTGCCAGCCGCTGGGGCTGCTCAACTCAAAATTGAGCAGCCCCGCTGAGCTTGTCAATGAGGCCGAGGCTCGGACACCCACCTACTGAGCTGTGATTGAGCCGCGTGAGAGCTCGCCGCCGCATCAGTCGCCGAGCCATTTACCGGCCTGCGCACATATGTACTCCTCCGCTTCTGTCGTCTTCCGACTCTTCGGTCCTGTCAGCTACACCCATTGATACTACGCTGTCAGACGTTGTCACGGACCATATGAAGATCTGACAGAAGGCTCAGTAAGTCACCCTGGCGATCAATGCTCCAAACGGGACAGCTACTCACCTGTATTATTGCAATCAGAGCGAGCATACCATGTACATCGGTAGGCCTATACATACTGTAGGGGTGAATGTCCCTTTTTGGACAAATGTTGATTTCTCCATCACCGACTCTGCCAAAGAATACGATAAGACTACCGAGAATTCTCCGCTACCTTTAAACCATCACTTTCCATCATTTTAAAAGACATCCGCTGGAGAACCGGCGCATTCAACGTTGCAACTGCCTGGGCCCCGAACATGACGGGCGCTAATAATGATGCACCTCTCAAGACCGCTTTCGTCACTCTCAACCACCCCATGCGCCTCATAGCTAGTGCACTTCAATCAATACCCGTTCAAAGGCTTTTGAATCTACACATAAGGCAAGGATCTGACTATTTACACACCTTTGTATGTGCCAACGTCTAGAAGTTTGCCCTTCGGCCACTTCGCACATGCTGGTCGCTCTTGCCGTGCAACCGCGGACGTTAATCTATGATCGCACATTAGTCCTTGTAGCGAGCCCCTCCGTGTCACGAAACGAGTATGTCACTTGCCTACCAAAAACCTGAGCGCTTGAGCACTCATCGAAGCGGTCGGATGTGGCGCCTCTCCGCGCTACGGACACCTGCTAAGACGTTGCGCAGGTAAGTCATGAGAACTGACGTCGTGGCTACACATCGAGAGATGATATATGTACCTCAATTTAAACATTACGAACAAGAGGCGGCGGCCGATTATTGGGCGGAGTTGCATAACCGATGTTGAATGTTGCGGAACGATTCCATATATTGGCGGGGGGCAGCCTGTGGGTGGAACAAACGATTGAATACACTGACAACACGATCAATGACTCACGTGAGTTCATCCTACCGACGCCGGGTCCCATTGGGAGACCGCTGAAGGTCTCATATCCGACGGCGTTGACATTAATTATCCGTCCCTCGCCGGATGCGAGATCGTCGAGCCAATGAGAGTAGCTAGAGCGCAATGTCCTCTGCAAAGCGCTCGAAGATTCGAAACCCAACATTCCATCTTCATGGCAAAGTAGACCTTCGGCGCCCTGGCGTCGTGTTCAAGCTTCAGCCTGCAAGTTCAAGTTCAAGAAACAACTCAGGCGTTGTCCGGCGTCGTTCAATGCACGAGTGAGGTAGCCGCAATATATGCGCGCAAAGGGTTCGCCGCCTGCGACCGTCACTTTCATACCGACCATGCCCCTGGACCCTGCCAGCTGCTTAGGGTCGTAAGTGCCCACAGCACAGGGGATACGCGGAGGTTGCGTACTTCCTTCCGCCCAGCGCCCGATGTCCGAACGTTGTTCCAAACGGTCCGCAGGTCTTCTCCAACACCAGAAACGAAGAAGCACAGCTGTCATGACTGCCTCCTATCTATTCACTAGATGAGCCGGCCGTTTGGGAAGTTTCCTGCAGGCCAAATGTCCCAGGCTGACGTACCGGGTTATGCATGCTAGCACGTTCCGCACCACGGCCTCTGAACGGCGGCCGACTGCGTTCGGTGCGTGCGACGTATCACAGGTTGACAGGATACGGCGGAGTAGATGGGCCCGTTTGGGAAGTGCTTGGTGCGTGAAAGGCGAGATACTGTGGGAAATTGCGAGGGCATCTCGTAGAGACGGTGGAAGACCATATCATGATGCACACACTGGGTCGTCCAGGTAGACTGGGTAAAGCATACATCGGCCCTACAGATATTGTGCGCGTTGAGTGCATCCTCGCAAGAGCAATCCGGACAGACGTAGCGGCGGGAGAACTCGGAAATTGCGTCGCCAGAGCATTGTGCCTACCACGTCCACGAGATGCGGTCTCGGCTGTGCCGCAGCATCGTAATGAGCGGAGTGGAGTAAAGAACCGACTTGAACCGGCACAAGAACAATGCGACACGGGTGGTACAGCACGCTGAGCAGCGACTTGACAGCTTGGAGCTACGAAACCGCACCCTTGTCGTCGATGCCCGGCCACCGACGAAGCAGCTGACCGACTACGGCGTCCATGCGCCTCAAGTGCCGAGACGACTGGTGCGGCTGCGTGACACTCCTCCTCCGTCCATTCAATTGAACAGCACTTCAGCTGCCAGCGCACGTGCAGTACACAATGCACTAGCACAGAACAAGAGAAAGTTCTGCGGCAGGAAACGCAGTGGTCTCGCGAATCCACGGCTCGTCATCCTGTTCAGCCCGACTTCTCTTCCGATCACTCACCCGGGGAGGTCGCAGGACGTGCATCTACGACTGATATGCGTTCATGAGTCGGATCACGATTGGTTGCAACGAGAAATGCTCGGGGATGGTCGTCTTCGACCCGGACGCATTCGGTGGACTATGTGGTCACTGGTGAGGCACGGCAGAGCGTCAAATCCGGAAGACATCAAGTAGCAATTACCTGCCAGTCATTGTAACACAGCTTTGTGTCATGCGACATGCTTGCACCTGGATACTGCAGCGAACAGCCCCGACGCCGCGACGGTTTGCGAAGGTCTTGTGAACGTTGTGCAAAGTTGCCATTTTGAGCCGAACACACTGTGTATGTCGGCCACGTGGCTCTCGAGTTGACGACAAGCGCCCGTTATGCGGTCTTCCAGCTTCGCCTTCGTGAAGCTGTCTCCCGGAATCTGCAGTGCTCTCCAGCAAGACTCATCGCCAGAAGTCCAGCTGACCAGCTTTGAATAGCAGAAGCTGATGGTATGCTCAAGGCCCAACGTAGATGTGAGAGGTTTCCCACTGCGAGCTGTACTCAATTGTACCTATCTCGCAGTTCCCTCTCTCTCAGACGACGTGCGTAGTCCCATTGGCAGCTCATTTGATGATGCGATACTCAGAGGTGTACAGGTGTCTTATTTTTGAAAGATTAAATTGGTGTCTTTGCGCCGACCACTCTCTGCGGAGACTGTTATCGTCATGCGTTCGACGGTTGTAGGGCTCGGTCGTGAGCTGTACTCATCTTCTCTGACTAGCCGGTGTCGTACAAGAATGACAAAGGTCTTAGTGGGCGTCATGTGCATCGACTTCCTGGGACTTTCAGTCATCATGTGGGAAGGAAAACAAAGGGTCGGAGTATGGTCCAGCCCTTCGCCCCCTAAAGCGGCGCAGAAGTACCATGACACTCCCGTCTACATCACCAGGACTTCTCGTCCACAGCGTTTTGATACTAAGCGCATTTCTTCACGCCAGTCATCTGCGCGGCCCCATGATTCTCCACAACGTCAGCTGGGAACTACTTCCCGACGGCTGAAGTCTGCAGCTTCCCTGAGCGCCCCTTGGAGATTCTGAAATGCTGACCATCAGGTAAGTGCAACGCTTTTTACTACTTCTGATAGCAAGTTTGGAGTGTGAGACGACCATGTTATGTCTTCTATCGTGTCAGAGGACTGAGCAATAGCCTCCTTTGTGCAGGCTTCAGCGATGGCGATGGGCTTCTCCTACAAGAGCGCTAGCAATCTTCCGCCAGCGCAGTCCACGGAATGATCGACGACGCGCAATTTGAATACCTACCGCTAGCTGGATCTATGAAATGCGGGGTAGTCTGGGGTAATGTGGGGGTAGTCTGGGGTAATGCGGGGTAAGTCGGGACACAGGTACACAGACTAACCATGGATGGTCGCGCAGTTCACCTGACGGGTATGGTGATGGGAATGCTTCTTACGAGGTCAAACTCATGACTTTCGCGAACGGCCTTTCTGGGAACGCCCGATGTGTCGGTGCCTCATGGGCCAGGACGCCAGGAGACATATAAATTGGTACCAATTCAGTGTGGTCGAAGCAGCGATCCATTCTCGACCGCTCTCCCCCTGTCTGCGCTCTTCTTCAGTCTCATTCTAACTCGTGAATCATCATGCATCCAGAGGAAGTCGACGTCATCGTCTGCGGGTAAGTCTCTTCCACATCGCTCTGGTCGTCGGTTACTGAACCCCCCCTGCTCAACAGTGGTGGCCCCGCTGGCTGCGTGGTGGCAGGCCGTCTCGCCTATGCCGACCCCACTCTCAAGGTTATGCTCATTGAGGGTACGCATGCTCTCTCCATCTCCCCTTCAACATTCGCTGACGAAACGTGTTCAGGCGGTGCGAACAACCGTGATGACCCCTGGGTATACCGGTCAGTGCATCCGTCGGTATTGTGTGCTGCACGCTTAAGACGTTGATGGCGAATTATACAGCCCTGGCATCTACGTTCGCAACATGCAGAACGACGGCGTGTATGTGACATTGATTTCCGGTGATTTATGCAGTCAGAGCTAATGCACTGCGTTCCAGAAACGACAAGGCGACATTCTACACCGACTCTTTGCAGTCGCCCTTCATGCGCGGCAGGCAATCTATCGTCCCGTAAGTGACATACGTGTCGTGAGCTCTGCGGCATCACAGCTGACCACCCTTGGCAGCTGCGCGAATATTCTCGGTATGCTGTGGCCTCCAAGAGGCGTCGCATTTGACTAACGAGACTTTTCTCTTCAGGCGGTGGAAGCAGTATCAACTTCCAGGTATGTTAAGCATAGAGTGGCTTATCGAGCGCCTCACAAACTCCTATGTGACAGATGTACACCCGTGCTTCGGCGTCGGATTGGGGTGAGATAGTCCCAGTACAGCTGCTTCCCGACGAGGGGATTGACAGTAACCTTGATCAGATGACTTCAAGACGGAAGGCTGGACTGCCGAGGGTAATTATCGATGCTCGCTGAGACTTCTTCTTCATCTGAGCGAAACATGACACAGATCTCTTCCCGCTCATGAAGCGTCTCGAGCGGTATCAAAAGCCGGTGAACAACGACAGCCACGGCTACGATGGCCCTATCGCTATCAGTAACGGCGGGCAGATTCAGCCCGTTGCTCAGGACTTCCTACGGGCCTCGCACGCCATCGGCATCCCCTACAGCGACGACATCCAGGGTGAGTCTCAAAAGCCCTCGCTACACTCGTGAACAGTACTTACAGGATGCTCAGACCTGAAGACGTCTCACGCCGCTGAGATCTGGGCCAAATATATCAACCGCGAGACTGGCAGGCGCAGTGATGCCGCAACTGGTGCGTCGCCACAGCACTTAGACTATGCGTTCCTCCTGACGGCTCTCCCATAGCTTACGTCCACAGCGTCATGGACGTGCAGGACAACCTTTACCTCCGCTGCAACGCCCGCGTCTCCCGCGTGCTCTTCGACGACAACAACAAGGCGGTCGGTGTCGCCTATGTCCCGTCGCGCAACCGCGGGTCCGGCGGCAAGGTCCACGAGACCATCGTGAAGGCACGCAAGATGGTCGTCCTGAGCTCTGGCACCCTCGGCACCCCCCAGATCCTCGAGCGTTCTGGTGTCGGCAACGCTGAGCTCCTCCGCCAGGTCGGCATCAAGGCCGTGAGCGACTTGCCGGGCGTCGGGTATGCATCAATTTTGTACACGAACTCTGCATCCCGCTGACAGTGTTGTGATGAAGCGAGGAGTACCAGGACCACTACACGACCCTCTCCCTCTACCGTGTCTCGAACGAGACCCAGACGACCGACGACTTCCTCCGTGGCGTCAAGGAGGTGCAGCAGGAAATCTTCGCCGAGTGGGAGCAGAGCCCCGAGAAGGCTCGCTTGTCCTCCAACTCTATTGACGCCGGATTCAAGGTACCGCACCCATCTCACATGACAGCGCAGTCCTAATCTCCCCACGCAGATCCGTCCGACAGAGGAGGAGCTGAAGGAGATGGGCCCGGAGTTCAACGATCTCTGGAACCGCTACTTCAAGGACAAGCCCGACAAGCCGGTCATGTTCGGCTCCATCGTCGGTGGCGCCTACGCCGACCACTCGGTCCTGCCGCCCGGCAAGTACATCACGATGTTCCAGTATCTCGAGTACCCGGCGAGCCGCGGCAAGATCCACATCAAGTCGGCCAACCCGTACGACGAGCCGTTCTTCGACTCCGGCTTCATGAACAACAAGGCCGACTTCGCGCCGATCCGCTGGAGCTACAAGAAGACGCGTGAGATCGCGCGCCGCATGGACTGTAAGTCTGTCTGCTGTGTTCAAGTTTAGCGGCTTCGCCTGACATTCGGATAGGCTACCGCGGCGAGCTTACCTCGCACCACCCGCACTTCCACCCGAGCTCGCCCGCGGTGTGCAAGGACATCGACCTCAAGACCGCGAAGGAGTTGCTCCCGAACAGCTTGACCGTCGGCATCCACATGGGCACCTGGCACAAGCCGGGCGAAACATACGACGCGAAGAAGGTGCACGACGACCTCCCCTACACCAAGGAGGACGACGAGGCGATCGACAACTGGGTCGCCGACCACGTCGAGACCACCTGGCACTCGCTCGGTGAGCATCCGTGCACATTCGCTTCCATGCAAGGCGTTTGCTGACTGGGCTGCAGGCACCTGCGCGATGAAGCCGCGCGAGCAGGGCGGTGTCCTGGACAAGCGCCTCAGCGTTTACGGCACGGAGAACCTCAAGTGTGTCGACTTGAGTATCTGCCCGGTACGTCCATGCCTCCTGTCATCGACGGCGATGTGAGGCTGACGCCTGCTCAGGACAACCTCGGTACGAACACCTACTCCTCTGCTCTCCTCGTCGGCGAAAAGGGCGCAGACCTCATCGCTGAGGAACTCGGCCTCAAGCTGCGCTTCCCGCACGCGCAGGTGCCGCATGCCCCGGAGCCGGTTGGCAAGCCGTCGACTCAGGTCCGGTGAACGATCTCCTGGCCCGCTTGCGTCCGATGTCTGTTCGCTGCATGAGTCGGTATCGGAGGTCTTGTGTTGTACGAATACCCTGTATGTGCGGAGTTGTATGTTGTACCAGTAGCCGGCACTCTCAGTCTTGTACTTCTACCTGCCCATCATCATATCACAGTCAATGCAACCATGGTGTCTGCATTTCTGTATTTCGGACGTGACTTAGCTGCGCTATGACAGGAACTGCATGCGATACGTAGTCTTTCGACTGGAAAATAATTGCCACTCAAGTTTCTACGCGCGCCAGCGGCCGTGCAACGGTAGCAGATGCTCAAGTAGAGCGACTCTAGTACGTTCTACCGCGACGCATATGTACATCGAACACGTGACCGCGTCGATGGCGTTCACGTCCGAATCGTGAATTCATGACCTCGGCGTGTTTACATTGATGTTCATCGACTACGACCGCCATCTGCGTGACATATGTAGTGCCGAATATTTCTTCGAATGCGCGCAGCCAGAGGGCCACCAAGGCTCCGAAGCATCACCTCTACGCGTCTGAAACAGGACCAGCCACGGACCACCATGTGCCAGCACCGACGCTACGACCACTGCTACGGCCTCATACATGGCTGGAGGCTGGGGGACACGTCGAAGACGAGTGGCAAAGTCTTTTCTCCCAACAGATGTATCAAGAAATCGCGACATGGAGAAGCGCTGCTGGAGTGACACTCGCCGAGTTGTCAAACAGCATGAATATCGGTACGACGGAGAAGCGTACATAGGCTTTGGATTGGGCTGTCTTACGGAGATTGCGCCGTGCGCGCATATCTCCATCTGAGAGGCCAATTGACAGCTACGCAGTTCATGGATGATGCGGTGGGCATGAAGGAGCGCACGCACAAATGTCCATGCTGTCGGTTGACTCGGTGCTGTTGTCTACGATGTCGGCGCGCGTGGAGGGTAGAGCGCGCTCTGCGAGAGACCGCGATGACAAGCACGTCGAGGGAAGGACACGCGGTCAGCTGACCGTTGTACGAGGTGACTTTGGCATAAGAATCCGTATGCGAAAGCGACGGGCGGTGTCAGCGTATGCGAACAGTGGCAGGCGGCGTTCTCGGTGTCGATCGTGACGTCATTGCGCTACGACTTGGTTGTGTTGCTGGCCATCTGGATATCACAGGAGTCACTAGAGCAGGCGCGACAAGGTGACACACTGAGCATCGACGACGGATTCGAGCGGGTGGCAGCGAGCAGCGAGGGTACATTTGGCGTACGGAATGCGTACGCGGAGAAACCAGGAAATGGGACGGCGGAGGTGGCAGTGACGCGGGAAAGATGCATGGTCAACCAGTGACTGTAGGAAGAGCCGCATGTCATGAGCATTCGCGCAGCGTGGCGCCATTCGGGCGAGGTCGTGCACGGAGGGTGCAGCATCTATCGACGGTGAGTGGGCCACGGAGGAGACGAGGGCAGCCGCGGACACTGCACGGTGCAGGCGATGGTGAGTGGCAAGTCGCCGTGCACCGTGCACGGCGACCGAGCCGGTAGATGCCGGCTCCTGTGGCCACCTCCGTCCTCTCATATTGAAAGCAAATTGAAAGCTACCACCACCTGCTATAACGCCGTCGGGAGGTACATCCTGATATCCCATTCGAGTCCCGCCTGGCGCTCTCTGCAACTCGAAGAATACCATCTCGCCGATATGCCACCCGCGGTTGTGACCGCAAGTACACACGCTCTCCGGGGGGGCCTACCGTTCAGCGTCCGCTCGCTCAGGCAGCCAGCGACGCGCAGCCTACGCTGTGTGTCGGTCAAAACTCGCGCGTACGCCTGCGTTTCCCCTCTCTCGCGTTCTCTTCAAGCACGAGTGCATTGTGCGCGACTTTCCGTGTCTACTGCGCGCACCTCAGATGACCGTATGCGCTAGACCCATCCACTTTCAGAGCCTGTCTCAATGGGCGCTAAGCGGCCTTCAGCAGCAGCATACCCGCTCGCGCTGAGGACTTTCCATTGGTGATCAACCCGTCGCCGGAAGAGACACTCAACGTCTTCGAGCGCCTGGCGAATGACCAGTACGACGATCGAGTGCCGGGCCTGTACCAGACTCCGAGCGAGTATTGCGCGGCGATAATCACCAATACACGTCTCATCATGAAGTTCCTTCATACGGTGGACGTAGCTGTGCGTATTCGCGTATTCTGGACTCTGGCGCATCTTGACGTGGTGTGTTCAGGAGTTTCGCTCGGGCACCGACGTCGCACCCGACTCGCCGATTGCCCGGGGCCGCGCTGCCCTCATGCTCACCGCGCGTACCGCCCACCGGTGGATGCAGGAGGCGTACCCTCCGTACGCGCCGCCTCCGGAAGAGGATATCGCGCAGGTGATGGCGGACTTCTTGGGGAACACCCGCCTCATGGACGTGTACGAGGCCGGCGCCCCGGAGCCCGTGATGCAGTTACAGTGGCAGGACATCTGCGACGCCATTTTACTTGTGTACTCCGAGGCACTGCCTGCTCTGCAGAGAGTCGCGGGCCCGATGCCGGAGGAACTGGTGATCTACACTGCGGTACCAACGGAGGGCGCGGAGAGTGGATAGGTGTGTTCTGGGTGTGCTTACGTCCCGTGTACGAGCATGTCGCTGCTTTCTGTGTCTTGCTTGCTGTCATACACGGCAACGAGAGTGCGTGGACTTTTATGCCGCTTCTACACTCGTGTATGGCCAATTTGAGAGCACTAGCGCTCACCATCTACCAAGGAAGTCCGTCTTCGTCATTTAAGAAGGGTTAATTATAGTTCATTAGTGAACCTAATCAGGATTAAAATGAGTTCCTTAAGAACTATGATTAGGTATTCATTCTGTTAATCATGGGCTTAGGGTGGTATGATTACCTCCATTAATCCATGTTGGCATGAAACCATATTATGATCCCAAATGAAGGCACTAGCCCTGACACAAAGGGCTAATTCTCTGCAAATCCCAGTCAATTTACACTGAATCATGGCATAATCCCAGTCATGATCATGCTTAACCAATTCATGACTCTTAATCCTAAGATAATCCCATTATTTGGATATCATAATCATGGCATAACCTCAGTGTTGATCCTGCTGAAATGGGCATAATCATGACATATGTACAATCCTAAACATTCATTATCAAGCCCTAACCTCAGAGCTAATCTATGGCAGGCATCATGAATGTAATCATTAATTCAATGCTAATCCTGGCTGCTGATCCTGATATATTGATGTCAGATTAGTGCTGATTAGCCAGATAATCTGCAGAACAAATCACAGTGATCAGATCAATTAAAAAAAATGTTGTGCAGAAGCCAGGACTGAACCAGCGACTTTTTGAAGCATTACATAATGACCTTATTGGGCAAAGAAGCATACACTATAACCACTGCACCATACTGTCTTGTTATGTCTGAGATGTTATTGATCTATGTCATGTTCTTTGATTGCTGGACTTAGACACATTTCTAGTGCCCTCCCATGATGCAGTCTAATCCTGATCAACCTGAGATTAGCAACCAATCAATCCTCACTAACCCATGAGGATTTGCAGAGATTAATCCTGAGGTAATGCTTCTTTGCCACATAAGACTGTGAACAGATCAAGTCCAGATTAGAGGTGGGATTAGATAGTCTTCAATCTGATTAACTTACTGCTAATCTGCAGTGTACAAACAGGATTAGGGTTCCACATTACTGAATCATGATTAAAAGTACCAAGTACAGCACATTGAAATCATCATTGAAACAGCAGATTATATTGGAAATAAATCTTTGAAAATCCTCATGGGTTAGTGAGGATTGATTGGTTGCTAATCTCAGGTTGATCAGGATTAGACTGCATCATGGGAGGGCACTAGAAATGTGTCTAAGTCCAGCAATCAAAGAACATGACATAGATCAATAACATCTCAGACATAACAAGACAGTATGGTGCAGTGGTTATAGTGTATGCTTCTTTGCCCAATAAGGTCATTATGTAATGCTTCAAAAAGTCGCTGGTTCAGTCCTGGCTTCTGCACAACATTTTTTTTAATTGATCTGATCACTGTGATTTGTTCTGCAGATTATCTGGCTAATCAGCACTAATCTGACATCAATATATCAGGATCAGCAGCCAGGATTAGCATTGAATTAATGATTACATTCATGATGCCTGCCATAGATTAGCTCTGAGGTTAGGGCTTGATAATGAATGTTTAGGATTGTACATATGTCATGATTATGCCCATTTCAGCAGGATCAACACTGAGGTTATGCCATGATTATGATATCCAAATAATGGGATTATCTTAGGATTAAGAGTCATGAATTGGTTAAGCATGATCATGACTGGGATTATGCCATGATTCAGTGTAAATTGACTGGGATTTGCAGAGAATTAGCCCTTTGTGTCAGGGCTAGTGCCTTCATTTGGGATCATAATATGGTTTCATGCCAACATGGATTAATGGAGGTAATCATACCACCCTAAGCCCATGATTAACAGAATGAATACCTAATCATAGTTCTTAAGGAACTCATTTTAATCCTGATTAGGTTCACTAATGAACTATAATTAACCCTTCTTAAATGACATCCCTGGGAAGTCCAGCATCGCATGTGGTCCATTGCCCGCTCAAGAGGGAACAAGCCTTGGTTTCGGAACATCAGCTGCTGTCCCTTGAATGGAAGACAGTTGAAGGGCTCGCGTGATAATGCGATGCAACTCAAGAACTGGCAAACATAGATGCTGCTTCCATCTGCTCCGTTCGACTGATCACTCTCACTGGCATAGTCCAATCCTGAACGTTGAAATTTGGTCAGCCTTCATCATCAACTCGTCCACAGCGCATGCTGAGCTTCTCTGAACCTTCGGCTTCATATCACAGCCCGCTGGATCATCTCCACTGTCCTTCTGATCATGGGCAGTTTGGGACCCCTGTTGGACTCGAGTACCGAGAGAGGAGTTCCTCACACTGATCGGAAAGAAGGCTCGAGCGACGGAACATGCTCTTAGTGTAAGCTCTTACATTCGTACAGTAGTTTCTGAGTAGCCAAATGTGGATCAGCAGCAGTAGGATTTGTACGGGTATGTCCTGACTCACAACGCGCGAGAACTACGCAGTGCTGTAGTTCAGCATTGAGGAATTCCACAAGACTTTTGCTATTGCTCGCCGTCGCCGAGCACAGCAACCGTCATCTTGCCCCAATGACCGTAGCCTTTGGTATTATAGCGGAAACGAAAGCACTTACAACGATTACATCATGAAGGAACAACGGCATCGAAGTACCAGACCTCTGCTCCAACGCTCAAGTACATGCTATTTGGGTATGGACAACACGCGTGGTGAGTGTCGTCAACGTGGATCCATTGTGACAATCTCTGACAAGGTGTTTCGTTATACGCAGTCCGGGTCGATTCTTCGCTACTCTACAGCTCATCAGCAAAGTGACTTTCACGTCTAACTTGCCTAATTCAGGCATTTAGGCACTTAGACTGGTTAGATCGAGTCTCTAGGTTAAGTAGATCCATTTCTGGAGTTAGAGACGTGTTAGACGGTTAGGTCGTGGGGCCAAGAGGCCAGTAGACATACCGGAGCTCAATTCAATCACTCAGGCAATCAGGTATGCAACAGAAAATGTATTGCATTCGATCTATCTACAAACACGAAGTACAGAACTTCTCACTACTTGTGCCAATGAGCCTCGAGAGCACATTCGCGAGCTCCAAAAAGAGCGCTGCCGTCCGCGTCGCACTCGTTGAATGGGTAAACCGAAGCTAGCCCGCGCGCGGCTCGTTTGCATGCTTCGACCACGGTCACGCTGGATTGTACACGGCATATGCGCCATACACCGACCTCGGTGCATCGAGCGCGCGAAGGTCTGACACCGACTCGGGGAAGTTGTGTGACGTGTCCAGCAGCAGTCTGCAGACCGCAGTACAGCTGTCATCATGTCAGTTAATGGTAACTACGTAGAACAAGATGACATACATAAGCGGTTTTGTTCTCGATTTCCAGGTATTCTCAGGCCACGCAACTGATGGAGAACCGACGTCGCTGTGATGGTCGCGGCAACTGTTCGAGGATACGGTGAGTGTATATACTTCAGCTCGAGGGCTTCTGCACCTCCGTCATGATTAAGCTCACCTTTGAGCCCGGTGGTACGAGCTTCGTGAGGTACGCCACTGACTTGAACGCGCTGATATTGCTCGCACTGAGGCCTATGGCGAGGCAGCTGAAGCTGTGATGAAGACACGGGCGCGGGTTCCCATTGTCAATGGCCTTGTGGAGATCGAACAGGCGACGCAGGGTGCGGTGATGCAGACGCCAGAACAGCCGCAGGGCACTCAAGCCGCTCTGGGCATATGGCCAGAGCACCCCGACCTAAGATGCGATCGCTACAAGCGAGGCTGCGACAATGGGAACAGTCCATTGCGCAACCTCGCGGGGCTGCCGACATTGAGGAGGGGTACTGAGGCAGCATAGAGGATGGGTCGCCCCAGGGTCGCCCGCTGTTGCGAGGGAGAAGTGCCAGTGACGGAGGACGCACATGGCGTGTGACTCAAAGCGGAGTTGCAATTCGCTTTAGGGCAGACGCGCCGCGGCCTTGCGCGTGTTTGCGCAACGCGCATTGCCAACATTGTCGTCTCCAAGCCTTAGCCTAGTCCCAACATTCCAGTCAACAACGATGTAAGTGGGATACTCGCAGCCATGCATGCACTCAGTGCTCACATCATTGGGGTCTACATCCCGTTCATCCATGCTCGCTCGGCCTTTTCCGTAGTCCTAGTACCCTCGAGCCCGTCGAGAAGGCCTCTGTGACTCCAAGATCAACAACAGCCACGGCCGAGTCCACGGGACCGTCCTCGTCGGCGGTTCGAGGGCCTTGCATCCCGCCGCGCGGCCCAGGGCCGAGCAACAAGGCCGCGCGGAACATGAAGAATGTGGGGCAAGCAGGAGACATGCAGAACACGAGGACCGCGCAGCGACTCGGAGGAGGACGCGAGGAGACCACGAAGAGGAATGAGGAGGAAGGGTACGGTGTGTACAGGCAGAACGAACACAGAGGCTCGATACTGCCAGTGAAAGGTACGTCCTCGCCGAACGCACCTACCTCGCTGCCACCCTTCCTGTGTATCGGCGAACGAAACGTTCGCCGTGCGCACTGCGGTTACGTCGATTGCGTGGACGTGCCCGGGAACAACCTCAAAGTTGTCTTCTGTTCAACATGCGGCGATACGACGGACACGCATCGCTGCACGTCCGATGTATCCCCACCTCGCCCTGTCTCTGCGCCAACAGACGTATCTACGAATGCGGAGCTCGTAGTGCCGTACTGTTGGCCACGATGACTGCACGACCACGCTCCTGGAACAACCCAATGGTCGTAACCGCTACTGCCCGCCTGTTCCTGTCTACCCAATATCCCGCTCGCTTATGTATACATGCCCGCCCACTCGCTCGGCTGTACCTACATCCCGTCGCTGCTCGCGTATGTAGGCATGTCCGCCCGCCCAATTGACCGCTCGCCTATCCTAACTAGCATGCCAGTCTAAGCCTGTAGATTTCGTAAACATAATTGTTTGTAATGATTCGTATTGGATGATTTGTATTGATCTAATATACATGGATGGCTGCTTTACTGAAGGTATGTAGCCGGCCGCAGAGGCCGGAACTTGTTAGACAGTGAGATGAATTAGGAGCAAGTTAGTTGGGTTAGACAGGTTAGGGCGAGTTAGATGTGGTGACGCTTTCCTGATGCTGAAGGCGCTTTTCACCCACAATGTCTACGAATACGACGTCAGGATGAAAGGCGAGGGGCTTCCTGCGAAGGAGCTATATGGCACTGCGCATTTGCCCTGTAGGACAGCAGAGGTCCTCTTTAGGCGACGGCGAAAGTAATCTAGGCACACAGTAGGCTGCTTGGGCGGATGCCGAACGTTGATTGTAACTCAGACTTCCGGAACATGGAGAGCCGAAGGGTCCAGTGGGTCAATGTACATAGTACGCCTCGCATCTGCGACCTGACTCGTCACAGCTCTTCTGATCTCAGCGCTACGCCCGCCGTCGTCGAGAGCACATGAAATCAATTTGCCGGTGTACTAACGATGCAGTCAGTCGTAATTTAATGTGACTCATGAACTCGATAGAGCAAGGCTTCTCTGAGCTTCACGGCCCACTGGCCCAGCGTACAGAAGCACACATGCAGAGCATTTGTCTTGTACTGCGGTATCTCCTGCATAGAGACGTAGCTTTCTTTGTTGCGCTTGCGAAGCCGCCCTTCATCCCGGCGGTGAGCGTGTCCGTGTCTAGCAGTCAATTGTCGTCGCTGGTGGGACCTATGCACGTACGGTCAAAATCAAATCGGAAGGAGTCTATGTACGTACCACAGCATCAAAACAAAGCGTGCTTGCGTCGTGTATGACTACAAGGCAGACGGGTTATGTAGCGAGGCTGCGGGCCGTTGCGAATATATAGCTTCATTCGGACCGGAGTGCAGTGCGTGGTGCTGCCCCGGCTATACTCGAGTTCGCGCAATGCGTGCATACCGCAGTCCTCAGGAATAAAGCAAAGGATCGACGAGGTAGAGGTAGATGACTAGACGGATGCGTACGCCGTCAACCAACCGTCAACGCGTCAACCGCGGTCACAGTTCGCGAAACGAGGTGCGCTGTGTTGCGCGCATCACATGATCGCGAAGGACGCCCGGCTCGGACGCTCGGCCCCGGCCCGGCGCGCCGTTGCGGTGAACATGCCTCCAGCATGCCTCCACGTACCTCCACGGTCCTGTCTCGCTACTACTACATCCTCTCAAGCTACCCTTTCCCCACTGCTCTAACGCCGCCAGCAGTACATCCCGATCTACTTGAATCCCACTCGGAGCTCCCTGAAAATCGGATAATATCTCGTCGATATGCCCGCGACCGTGCCCGCAAGTGCACACGCTCTCCGGGGGGCCCGGTGCATAGTACCGTTCAGCGCCCGCTCGCTGAGGCAGCCAGCGACGAACGGTCTGCGCTGCCTGTCGATCAGTCATCGCTCGAATGCCTGCGCTTCTCTCTCGCGTTCTATTCAAGCACAAGTGCATCGTGCGCGACTTTCCGTGTCTACTCCGCGCAATCCGGGTGACCTTATGCGCCAGACCCATCCGCTTTCAGAGCCCCTCTCAACGGGCGCCGCGCAGCATTCAGCAGCAGCGCACCCGCTCGCCGTGCTGAGGATGAAACGTCTGTGCCGCGCGATGATATACCGAAGGTAGAGAACCCGACACCGGAGCAGACCCTCGATATCTTCGAGGGCCTGGCGCGTACCCAGTACGAGGGACGAATCCAGCACCTGTACGAAACGCCGAGCGAGTATTGCGCGGCGATCATCAACAACATGAATGTCATGGGGCATTTTCTTTTAACGGTGGACAGAGATGTGCGTGTTCCAGTCTTCTGATTCCTCTGGTGCGTTGCGAATGCAGTATGTTGCAGGAGCTCCGCTCAAGCACCAACGTCGCACCCGACTCGGCGATTGCCCGGGGTCGCGCTGCCCTCATGCTCACCGCGCGCACTACACATCGCTGGATGCAGGAGGCGTACCCGCCGCACGCGCCGCCGTCGGACGAAGACGTCGCGGAGGCGATGATATACTTCGCGATGAACGACCACCTCATGGACATTTACGAGGCAGGCGGCCCGGAGCCCGTCCCGCAGTGGCAGGACATTTGCGATTTCATACTGCTGGCGCACTCCCATGCGATCCCAGCCCTGAAGAGGATCGCAGGCCCAATGCCGGAGAATCTGGTGGTTTTTGAAGAAAAAATGAAGGAGAGAACTTAGATGCGCTGCTGAGGTTGTTTTGTCAAGGATGTAGTACGCGGATAGTAGACCTGTTTGATGTGGTGCACGTGTGAAAGTTCGCGAACAAGTCCTCTTGAATTGTACAATCGACGCCATTAGAATCTAGATATACGAACCACTAGTAATATGTCGACAAGTCCTCGAGCGAACATCGAAGCACACATCACATCGATCTACCACCTATGTCTGTCTCCAGGTCTCGCAGCCTGTGCCACGGAAGCATCGAAAGAGGCGGCCGCCTGAAGGATCAAGTCGGCACATCGCTCTGCAAACGCGTAGACGACGGCCTGAGGATGAGCAGCAGGGCAGTTCGGAAAGACGCTAGCATCCGCTCTGCGCAATTTCTGTATACTGTGGACACAGAGTTCATCGACGACTCCAGGATGTTCGTCAGTCTCCGGGGCCATTCGGCAGGTGCTTGTGTAATGATACATCGTCTCGTGGTTCTTGTCGATGTATCCATCCAGAGCCGCGTCGCTTGAGGTGTCCGGATTGTTGACATTGTCCAATTCGTAGCCGTCTGCACGCAACTGCCTCGCAATGGCTACCGAGACACGGAGGGCAGCCCGCAGAGCGAGACGGTCCGCTGGCGAAGTTGCATAGCGCATGTCGCATACAGGATTGGCTCGTGGGTCGTTTGAGCGCAGACAGAGCTGGCCTGTAGAACTCGGGAGCATGAGACCGGTGTCGATGCCTATGGTTCCCCTGGATTTGTTCGCTTCGGGGCGATTGGGATTTCCGGTTGTCGACTACATAATACAAGGCGCGTGACTGAAATCCACGTAGTTCATGGATACTGTACATACAATCATTATGCATATATCTGGAACGTTCCTAGGGTCGAATGGATCCCACTGCTCCGCTGAAAGAGCCCTAGGTGTTCCGTCAGGAGCGATTACGCTCGACAGACTGAAAATCTCCGTTTCGACCAGGAAGCATAGGAACGACCCAACGCCATATCGAAGATACTTGTACAGTCCCCGCACGAGTGCGATAGGACTCCGGAAAGTTGACATGAGGGAATCGGGCATCGGAAAGTTGTAGGTTGACTGGACAAGAACATGGTCTTGCTATGTGTTCGAGGGTAATCAGTGAACTCGAGTTAGTGAACAATTGAGGTTACCGCTAGTACATACGAGATGGTTTCCTACTCCTGGAGCATGCTTGATGACCGGGACATCCATTTCACGAAGATGCTCTGAGCATGGCAGTAATAGATACATACCGATCAACCCGTGGAACTCTCGCGGAACAGGGCCTGTCCAGTTCTGCGATTTCATGAAGTACGGCTTCATGTCGTCAAATGACCAGCCTATGCGGCCCTGTTCGTGCCAGGCATTGTATTGAGATGGGGCTCCGCAAGTGTACATGTCGGCATTGATTCGCGACGTGCCGCCGAGACCGACTCCTGTGATCAAGGATGACGTGCGTCCGAGCCGCTCGTCGTAACACTGTCGAAGACTATACTGTGCTTGCCGGTGGAAATATGGTGCATGGAGAAGAGATGCGTAGTGTCGAGGAGCCTAGAAACATGCCTAAGGTATATAGTGTGACATGCTCACATATCAGACGCATCGCCTCGCTCAACTAATAGTACAGTGAATTGTGGGTTTTCACTGAGGCGTCGTGCCAGTAGGCATCCCGCCGTGCCTCCTGTGATCCGCTTAGGTCAGTCAGTGGTCGAGTCTGTACGTCGGAACGGGGCTGCCTACCGCCTACCACGATGAAGTCGTATTGGGCTCTCAACGCGTGCAATGACTTTTGCGGGTAACTGCTGGTGAACGGCCACATTTCAGAATCGGGATAGCTGGTGAAAGGTGACGGTGAGGTCGGATTCTGTGCCTGTAGGAACTGAAGGTAGCATTGAGGGATGTTGCCTAGGCGTGAAGGGTTATGAAGTACTCCACCGGTATGTGGTATGATGGTTTCTCACCAGCCTTGCCCTAGATGAGCGATGCGGCCATCTCCACCTATATAAGGATCATTGTGTGCATGTTCGAAGCCGTGTCACCAATGGCAGAGGGCCTGGCCACTGGCTCGATGATTCTACGAACAAAACATACGGTAGATTCTACTTCGCGGGTGGCTGGCCATTGCATCACATGATCGCGAAGGAGCCAATAAGGAGGCGACGGGAAGAGCAGCCCCGCGCGGCTCGGACGCGCCGTTGCGGTGAACATGCCTCCGTCCTATCTCGGGTCGTCGTCCTCGACGCCCACGCTGCCTTTCACCCGCCCCCGCATGTTCTCCTCGTACACCGTTCTCTAAGACCTCACAGCGTCTCGTCGACGACCCTCGGCGAGCGGTACGAAGCATGCATACAACCACACACCACGGCGTGCATGGGCACGCACCACCGCCCGGCTTGTTCAGCGCAACGCGATTAGCAAGCTTCACGACGTGTCTCCTGGTCGCGCTTGCATCCGGCACGAACTATGTGCGTCTACCGTCATATTTGAGAGGCGGAGGGTTGAAGGCTGATTGGCTGCCTCGTGCCGTAGGTCTTCTCTGGTGAGCTGCGTTCCATCGTTCTGTTGTCTCACGCAATGTGAACGTGTTCTCGTGTCCGTCTCTTCATGCACGTTTTGACTGAGAGTGCATATATACGCTACATATGCGGCCTCGACTCCCATGTCAGAAGCGAAAGGCATATTGCTTGCTTGCGAGGGCTTTCAAGCTAGACCTACGGTCAGTCACAGCCAGTCTGACCACAGCGTAACGTGACGTTTGGGGGACACCCTTCAAAGACTAGATTCGTATCACATTGGCACAGAGATCTTGATTGTACCACGTCTGGTTTGTTCCCAACTCCTCACACGCTGGGGATGATACTCTCGATGATCATGAGCTGCTTCTTGAAGTGTCCATCTGACACGCCGTTTGCCTGCCAGCATACGCCCCGCAACTCGGCTCGCGACTTGGACTATCCCACACGCAACTCAATGTTATAGGATTGTCAGGCAACAGTCAGTACTGGAATAATCGCAATTAGCAAATGTCCCACTAACTCCCCGCCCCTAGTCGGTGTCTACGGCTCAGCACCGCTATGGGGACGAATAGTCGACACTCGCGGTCCGCGCGGACTGTTCATCATGGGGTTCTTCTCCCTACTCGTTGGCTACCTCGGTATCCGTCATTACTATGATCAGGGACTCTCAGACGGCTCGTCCACACTGGGCACTTTGAGTATCTGCCTCCTTGCTGCGTTCAGTTTCCTCACTGGAATCGGCGGGAACGGCGGCCTGGCGAGCGCCATGAACTCGACAGCGAAGTCCTGGCCAGACAAGATGGTACATCATCCGCCTGTCCAACTGGAGATTACGCTGACTGGGTGTGTCTGTACGTGCAGCGCGCGACGATGAACGGCGTCGTCATCTCGGGGTTTGGGCTCTCCGCCTTCCTCTTCTCGACGATTGCGCACGTCGCCTTCCCAGGGAACACCTCCGACTTCCTACTCATTCTCGCGGTGGGCACCGCACTGCCTATGGTCCTCGGCTTCTTCCTCATTCGTCCGATCCCCCTCCCGCATTCCGTGGTCGAAGAAGAGGCATTCGAGTCGCCCGCCGCTCACGCACACAGGCCAGCACCGCCACCCGCAGCGATCGCGTCTCCCGTGCTGTACCGCGACAGCACGAGCCAGACGCACCTACTGTCGCCACACGTGCATCATCATGACGACGAGGACGACATGCTGGCGACCGCCGAAGAGGTGGACGAGCTAATCCCCGGGTACACGGCGGGCCCGCAACACACGGCGCTCGCCTCAGATTACTTCGTGCCTGCGAACGCGGAGAGCGTGGCGCTGAGCCCGACGCGGGGCGAAGGGCGCTCGAGAAGCAGAAGCGCGTTCTCGGCGAGGAGGGGGAGTGCGAGGAGCTATGTCGTCCCGCCTTTGACTGAGCTGGAGCCGCCGAACGTGCATGGGAAGGGGCTGTTCGTGGACGTGGACTTTTGGGTAATCTTCAGCATTACGGCACTGTGTGAGTGTCTGTTTGCTGGCCGGCTGAGAGACGGGCTGATGGTCGATGCAGTGGCGGGTACTGGGCTAATGTGTAGGTCTACTTCCTATACTTCGCGAGAGCATACCTGACTGACGGTGGCGTAGACATCAACAATGTCGGCTCGATATCCCAAGCGCTTTTCGCGATGGGCAACCCTGACTACGACGAGTCGAAGGCTGGACAATGGCAAGCCACACAAGTATCCATCGTCAGCATCACGAACTGTGCAGGTCGTTTTTTCATTGGTGCGTCCTAACCTTCAACCGTCCATTTCCGCTACCACTGAGCACTGACGACGTACCCTTCTGGCAGGCATGGTCGCGGACTTCGTCCGGAACTACCTCCAGCGTCCGCGCTCGTTCTGCATCACAGTCGTCGCTGCCATCTTTATCGTGTCGCAGGTGACATGCTACTATGTCTCAGCGGTCGAGAACCTCTGGAAGGCGAGTGCGCTCTTGGGCCTGGCGTACGGCTGCATGTTTGGGCTGTTCCCGACGATCTGCATCGAGTGGTTTGGGCTACGTAAGTCTCGCCTACCGTGCACAGTGGAGTAAGCTGATGGTGTGTTTCCGACCACTTGGGCAGCGCACTTCTCGGAGAACTGGGGCTTCGTTTCGCTTGCGCCCATGCTCGGCTCGAACATCCTCTCCATCGCCTTCGGGCGCAACCTCGACGCACACGCGCCGCACTCCTCAGAGTCCTCTCCCGCCCTCGCGACGCCCTCTACATCCGCCGCTTCGGGCGTGCTCGACCTCGCGCGCCGTGCGGGCCTGCCGAGCAGTGCGCAGTGTCTCGAGGGCCGCGCATGCTATCGTGACAGTCTGAAGCTCACGATCGGTGCGTGCTGTGTGGCGTTCGCGTTGGCGATGTACTCCGGCTGGCGGGATCGGACGAGACAGGTGAGGGTTGCGTTGAGGGTGGAGGGTCCGGCGGATGAAGTTGTCTGGGAGGAGGAAGAGGAGTAGATTGCATACAGGGCTGCAGTTTTGTGAAGCATGGTTTGGTTGAGGGGTTCGACGTGTTCGAATGCCCTATGCATTTTGGGCTTGACGGTGATGATAGGGTGCGTTGTCTAGACTCGGATGCGCAGGAATGTAGTACATAGAAATGTATGTAGATATCCCATCAGGGGAGGACTATCTTCTTGATAAGTATTTCAGCTGTATCATGAATCATTGAAAGCAGTGTCCGAAATTGCACACACGACACGTCTCACAAGATTTGAATGAATGCGTAGGACGAAAACGCTGACAGTCAATAATCACTATGTAGCAGATGTCACGACCTTCAGCGGTCGCCGCCTACAGCCCAGGCCTCATACAGCAGAAATATTCGCCCTGAAGCCCATCAAGTATTCCATGATCTGGTACGAAGCCTGTAACACGCTGATTTCAGCTCTCGTCCAGGTTGCATAGATGATTTTGATCGCTCACCACCGGTGAGAACTCGGGCACCATATGACCGCTCAGTGCGACTTCGACGTAGGCCAGGCCGCGCTCGCAGTGCGCATTGCCCAATGCGCCCACGCCGTCGACGATGAAGCTATCATTCGCGATGGGCGTCTGAAAACCTTGCAGCCCATTCCCTGCGAGGTATGTTTCGGTCAGACGGTGCGCTATCTGTGCGAGAGCTTAACCGTACATGTCATGCTATGTTGTACGTGGCCATGTCAGCCAATGTCCCTTGTGATGCAGCAGATGGAGTTTCATGCTTACTTCTGGATCGCAATTCTCGTTCCGTCTGCCATGAGGATGTAGTCCGCAAGACCGTGCACTATGACCGAGCGCTCGCTCTTCTCGATGATGTTCGGCAGCACGGTCATGGCAGACGGGAGGCTAGTATCACCGCTGCCTGCGAATACAGCCTCGGTGCTGCACACTGTCCAATTGACGTCCATTGGTGCGTGTATTGCGGCTTTGACGTCGTCTCTTGCGAAGTAGGGTGTGGTCTGTGTCTCGAAGAACGAACCTGGGAATCCGAGGATGTCGAAAGGAACGGGCCACTAGTAGGAGGGAAGTGTATTGCTGTTAGCTCTGTTGCATGAGGATCTGTGTTACTAAGGATGTCTGACCGTGTCAAAGATACGGTATATGTTGAAAGCGGGGTTAATCTTCAACGCAGCCGAGAAGATGGTCTCCCACATGTCGCAGCCTTCGACGGGATAGATGCTCCCGCCCGGCAATGGTAGGAGACCAATCGGAGGATAGGTGACGTATTGCTCCATGTAGCCAGTGTAGTGGCAGGCTGCGGCTTTCGTATCAAGCTCGTTCATGTACGATTGGTTGAAGGCGAAGACGTTATGGTACTTATGGACGAAATCCATAGCAGGGATGTCTGCTTGGACGACGTCCCAGGAGATGACGGCTGTGTGTAGCATGGCGCTATCAGCATATGCTACGGGCAAGATGGAGCATAGACAGGACGCACGATCAGAGATCCAGAATCCTGTCATGTTGAGTTCGAGGGCATCGGGGTTCTCATAGATGTAGTTCGTGATGTCTGGAGTACATCAGTGACACATATGCATTCAAATGCCGCATAAAGTGCTCACAAGAAACGTACATCCCAGCGTACTATGTGATGTATCATGATATACTATTCTGGCGAAGGAATCTGAATTGACTCACGCTCTCCCCTGTGGTGTAGAAGTTCTTCCCTTTAAGCTCGGTGAAGACGTTCAGGAACTGCTGTAGGAAGCCAACCAGCTGCTCAGCCAGTTGATTTTCATCCTTCACGTACAAATGTTGTCAGGCTCGTGATGCTGCTGCATAGAACCCGAAGACATCACCTCTATGTTCGGAGTACCCTGTGAGTAGCCAGTGCCGACTGGTTGGTCGATGAACAATATGCTCGACAGGTTTGTCCAGCTGTGCTCGTTTGGATGTGGTATGGCCTGACCGATGTCCCATGAGATTGGCTGTTCAGGTCGTATGAGCGGATCGGCCGTATTTCAGCACGCAGGATGACCTACGCCGACTTCTTGCAGTAAGCCTTGCATGGACGAACATCCAGGGCCTCCGTTGATCCTGTACCGGAAAGCAGTCAGTCTATGGGTCGAATTCGTGCTGTGATGTGAACTACGCACCAGAGAATGAGGTCATCGAGACTACCTTGCGGGCCAGCAGGGAAATACCAGAAGAAAAGCTGACAGCAGATATCTCGCTGTATAGACCTGTCAAGGTATAGATTCGCGCATGCATACCTCTCGAGTTTCATTCGTGTTATTGCTAATTGGCAGCAGACCGGCCCAGCTTGGCCCGATGTTCCAAGGAATTTCAGGTAGACTTGAACCGTCCACATAGAACTCTACAACCGCCGCGATATGGTCATGTAACAATCTAGCAATGACATTGCGAACACACCTGAAGCCTGTGGGTTCGAGAAAGTAATGTTCTGCACAGTTCCAGGTCCACCAGTCGCATCTGAACGAGGCTGTCGCGTCCAGTCTTTCATCGTTTGGTCTTGATGTTCACGAAGCCTATGGTGCATGTTCTTCATCCTCGAGCTTGCGTCCACGCCCACCCTACAGAAGGCTGCGAGGACTATCGCCGCCTTGAGCAGCGACGGCAACAGCATATTTTACGACGAATGTCAGAAAAGTAACGAACGTCAGATCACAAAGGAATGGCGGGGGTTCGATGCCCGGTGGTCGAGCAGAGCCCCATCTTATGTACATGCAGAGACTTTGAGTACCCCGGCCGAAGATCACCTTCTTTGCGCATGATGCACTCGCGCTTCGTTTCGCCGGGATGATGGAGGTCTCCGTTTTGGCTCGCGAGGAGTCCTGATGCGGCCAGACAAAGAGCGGCCGCGGGCGCCAAAAGAGGGAGGGTACGCCAAGCGTCTTCGCAAGACCTGTGAGCGTGAGCATGCAACACTGAAGACTATGGGATGAAACATCGTGAGCAACCCAGACATAACAAACAAGAACGAAGGCGGAGCAATATGATGATCGAGGGGGTCTTTTAAGGAGCAGCCTGAATTCCCCGACGGACCGAGGGAGCGTTGGCATGTCATGTTGTATTCCCATTGCGTCGGTCATTCAAGTCGAAGTATGACCATACGCAAGCAAGGATAGACCCCGAATCTGCTATGCTAGAACGACGGGCCTACGGCATCTCTCTGAATCCCATCAAGTACTGCATAATTTGGAATGCAGCCACGGGCGAGAATTGTGGTACCCTGTACGTAGACCGCACCGATGAGTCACCGAACGGAACGAAACGCTGGAGGTGACTGAGAGCGCTTACATGTGTCCCGACAACGCGACTTCGAAGTATGTCAGGTTCCGCTCGGAGTGGACGTTCCCGAGGGCTCCCATGCCGTCGACGATGAAGCTGTCGTTCTGGATGGGTGTTTGGAAGCCTTGTAGGCCGTTCCCTGGAACGAACTTTCAGTTCGTGCGGGCACCGTTATGAGATGATACACTTACAAGTCATGCTAAAAGGTGGACAGGTTCAAGTTCGTCATCTCAAGAATAGGGAATCGGGGTGTAGAACTCACTTCTGGATAGCAATTCTCGTTCTACAGGGGCCAGTCAGATATTTCCTAGCGCATGTCGAATGCACATTGCCAGACGCACCCGTCGGCAATCAGGATAAAGTCCGCCAGACCATGCACAATCACAGCTCTCTCGCTCCTCTCGATCACACTCGGAAGGACCGAGAGGGCCGGCGGCAGGCTGCTGTCACCGTTCGGGAAGACATTGATGTTCGAGCATTCTGTCCAGTCCACGTTCAGAGGCGCATGGATGGCCGCCTTGACATCGTCACGATTGAAGTACAAGGGTGAGACTTGCGTTTGCGGGAAAGAACCAGGGAATCCGAGGACGTCCCACAGAATCGGGTACTGCACAGGCAGTCGTCCGTAAGTCATCGACATATTCGTGAAAGATATGCAATCGGATTGGTCACTTACTGTGTCGAATATGCGGTAGATATCGAAGGCAGGATTAACCAACAACGCTGCGGAGAATATCGCGTCCCAGACGTCGCATCCATCATCGAACTCGACGCTCGACCCCGGCAGGGGAAGGAGGCCCTGTGGCGGGAACGTCACGTATTTCTCCATGTAGTCTGCGTAGTTGCAGGCGGCGGCTGTCTCGTCCAGGTAGTCCATGAATGTCTGGCTATCATTACAAGACTCAATGGGGGAGACCTGGGAGACGAGAGAAGTATGTACTTAAGAGCGAACACGTTTTGGTACTTGCGCACGAAAGCGACTGCAGGGATCTCCTCTTGTACGACATCCCACGAGACCGAGGCTACCGAGGGCTCAGTCAATCACGTTTCGACGTACTGTGAGCTTACTCACGATCAGATATCCAAAAGCCCTTCAAAGGCACAGGGATGGAGTCGGGATTGTCATATATGTAGTTCGCAATATCTGTAACGGGCGATGAGGAACGATGTCCACAGAGATTGAGGCACGCCCTCACGCACAAGGGATGTAGGTGCCCGCGTACTACAGTCCACGACGATCAGAAACAGGCCGGCACAGCCAAAATGTGCTTACACTTTCGCCACTCAGGTAGAAGTTCTTGCCCTCGAGTTCGGGGAAGACGCCGAAGAACTGCTGGAAGAAGCCAACCAGCTGCTCCGCGAGCTCGTCTTCGTTCTATGCCGCACCATTAGCCATGCGAGATCTTACCAGACACCTGAGCAAAGAGCACTCACATTGATGTCCGGCGTGCCCTGCGAGAACCCCGTCCCAACTGGCTGCTCGACATAAATAATACTAGAGAGGTTGGTCCAGCTGTACTCGTTCGGCGTCGCCTTCGCCTGGCCCCAAGACCAACTGATAGGCTGCCATGTGCGGGAGCCAAGCCCGGCGGCGCGATCAGTCATGATCGACATACATATGTCATTGTCGGCGCTTACCCCGTTCTCTTGCAACACACCTTCGAGGGAGGAGCAGCCCGGCCCGCCATTTGTCCTGCGAACCTCAGTTCGTCACAACGTCGCGCTTGACGGGGGGACAAAACAAATAATCATACCAGAATATCAGGTCGTCCAGGCTGCCTTCAGGGCCTGGTGGGAAGAACCAGAAGAAGAGCTGAAGAGTGGTGGTCAATCAGCGCGCCCATGCAAGCCCGAGGTGCCCGGGTCGAAGTCCCTCACCTGCCGTGACTCATCTGTTTTATTGCTGATGGGGAGTAAACCTGCCCAGCTTGGACCAACGTCCCAATCGACAAGTGGGAGGGTCGAGCCGTCGACATAGAACTCTACTCTGCAGTTGAGCTGATACACATCGCGCACGCGACCACTATCGACTCACCAGATGCGCGGGGATTCGTGAAGGTGATGTTCTTCACCGTCCCTGGCCCTCCGCTGCTCGACGCCGCGCGACGCTGCGGACCCAACCTCTTCACCGCTTCCTCCTGCCGCGCCCTCAGGTCGGCCTTCGTGAACGTTCGCCTCGCTGCAGCATCGATGTTTTGCAGGACCAAGAGGGCAGTGAGGGCAATGAGGACCTGTAGGAGTGCCGAGAACATGTCGAGAGGAGCGCTGCGGTCGGCGACATGGACCACGATGCCCTCGAATGCTATAAGTAGCCAGGAGTCACGGCGCGCGTCCTGGAAGGATTACGAGAATAAGACTTGATGAAACTGTGCCAGCGACGATGTGACGGCACGGGTGGCAGAGCTGAGTATGAAGGACACCGACACCTTCTCGGGCCATGTGGACAAGGCCTCTCGTGGAATCCTTATCGTGCATCAACTATGCGGGAAAACTCATTGACTACTCAAGTCGAGTGTGGTATGATGGGAAAACGCGTGTCGTGCGCCATGAATAGCGGAGAACAGAACCCGAGCAGGTCTATGATTAGTATCAATATGTGCGGAATAGGTGTCTAGAAGATGGATAGCCTGTGTATACATATGCAGCAATACATAGATTATGACGCACACGTAGATGTCGATGTCGTTCCGTCTATAGTCTGTACCCAGGAACACTCTAGGCTCTTCACGAGAGCGAGGGTAGGACGCACTGCCGGATGAAGTACTCGTGGAAGCGATCATCCTTTGTCAGCTCGGGATGGAATGTCGTGAGCAGGTGGTGCCGCTGCCGAAGGGCCACGATGGTCCGCGGGTCGCATGGGTCGGTATCATCTACGTCTAGAGGGATCGCTGTTTGGTTGTGGGGAAGGAGACTTGCGGACAGGCGAGAGACGACCTCAATGGGCGGGTCGTTCGGTGAGGGATTAAGTGAGAGGACGACCTGGCAGAATCATGACACAGCCGTATCTCAGAAACAGAGGTGCAGACGTACAGGGGCGCGGATGAAAACGCCATGGAATGGCCGGTCAGAATCGCGCAGGCCGTCGACTTCCAGTGGTGCCTCGAACGATTCGACCTGAGAGCACCGAACGGTCAGTTGTCATCGCATATGGGCTGGTATGAGCTACGCACCTGCGACCCGAAGCCATTCCGCATCACCGTCACAGACATCCCACCAAGCAGCTCCTGTCCGCCCTTCTTCGTCCCTTCGACCGCCTGCGCAAGCAATATTGCACCAGCACATGTTCCCCACACCGGCTTCGCTTTCACAAAGTCCCGAAGAAGTCCTAGCAAACCAGCAAGCCGCGCGAGCAATGCGATTGTTGTCGACTCTGTGAAGGTCCGCGACCATCCCGTCAACACCCGCCACAAGGTACACGACCAAATGGGTCGGCGTACCTCCACCAGGAATGATGAGTGCATCACACTTCGCCAGGTCCTCCGGTGTCCGAACCTGCACGATGTTTATCCGCTGCTTCAACGATAGCTTCTGGAGCATGGTCTGATGCTCGACAAAGGCACCCTGCAGGGCTACGACGCACGTCAGTTCACGATTCCTTCCAGCTAGCATACATAACACACAAGGCATACTCACCAAGGATCCCGACGGTGATTTCCTCCCGGTACATCGACGGCTGCATTGTCCCTGGACGACTAGGTGGTGGTCGAGGTGAGAGTGTCTGACGTTAGCTCAAGGGGCAGTCAGGCGCCGGAAACTGGACCGCAACCCTAGTGGTGGTGGTCCAAAACCGGTGTACGGGGTCCTTGATTTCACTTTTCAGACGAAAGTCAGCGAGATTTCGCACCGTTCGGCACATAGTGAGGATATGCGTATGATTTTTGTACTGAGTGTCACTCATATATGTAGCAATTATCCTATGTGGTTTTTATGACAGTTCGATGAGTGCACGTCCATACTGTTGAATTTCTACTGTACTGTATAGAAGCGCCGGAGGGTACGCCTGGGATAGGGAGAGATCTGAGATCTGCAGCCACCACGACCGTGACATTCGAGTTGAACTTGAAGTTCAATTGAGCTCTGGTCAATGGTTTACTTGCGATGAAATCAACATTTCAATGTAGCGTACATGAGTCCGTCAATGATACATAGTGTACAATAGGTTGTGTCGCTGTATTACAATACCTCAGTACTTCACATAGTAGATCGTGTGAATCCAATTGGCATCAATGGACTCGCGATACTCGAGAATGGAACGGGTCGGGTCAGTGTCCAGAGGCTTGATCAATGAATTTTTTGGTGTCGAGGATGCTGGAAGTGTTGATCAAGAGGATGATGAGTGCGACGTGCAGAAAGGAAGCTTCTGAAGCATGGCCGCACTCGGTTACTACTTCGAGAACTCCCGTCGTTGAAGATGAGATTGCGTTGGGAAGGGCCAAAGCATCGTACAACGTAGATGCATCCGAGCGCTCCTGAAGCTGAAGACTTGTCAAGGACAAGTCTCGGAGAGCAAACGTAAGGGTGGCGTAAGCGCCGATATACATCGCACGAGCGCCCAACGTGCATACCAAGATGTCTTTCAACGTGCGCGGTACTGCAGTGCTGATTGCACGGGGCAGGGGCCATGGGAAGTTCAGTCAGTGCGAGACTGATCGAATCAATGGATGACTCACCCGGGGAATCTGCAGCGACTGACCGGTATGTATGTGTATCTGCGCAAAACTCGATGTTTGCCTCCATGCACTCTATGTCAAACCTGCGGAGCCGAGCTGGGCGCAGTGCGTATAGCACACGGCATAGAGCGTACTCAACACGCCACGCGGGCGTCCAGGAAGTCACTCGCTCACCGTACAGAGGACGAATGAGTGTGCGTGGGACAAGTGTACCTATCAAGGGGCATGTATTGACGTGAATGCTACATACATTGCGGAAGGTGTGTTCCGCATCCTCAGTATCCGCGCATAAGTGTCCTATGCTGTTCAAGTAATCGGAATAAGGGCCTGGGAAGGGCAAACGAATGAGTCACGCAGGCGAGCAACAGATGGGTAGATGGCCGAGGTACTCGCAAGTGGGTAGTCAGTCGGCGGGTGGATGTCTGTGGATGTGCGGATGAACGAGCCCGCGTGCGCACATGCAAGTGAATAGACGTGTACACAGCCGGACATGCGGACATGCGGGCAACTGATCGGGTGCTGGGAGAGCAATGCACCAGCATGTTGAGCATGGTCTTGTTCATGCTATACGTCGCAGTTGTCGCACCGGCGTCCCTCACGAGGCTCGCTACTAGGCTCAAGCTGACGTTCATGATCATTTACTTCGTCCCTTTCTCGAGGACTCGGAGCAGGCCGTAAAGCTGCCCGAGCAAAGCAGGTGCGGTAACATTCGTCTGTAACTTGCTGTAGTCGAAGGAGAACAGATTGTTGAGGGGACACTGTCATCGGTCGATCGATCAGCATACCATTAGTTTCTCCAGGCACGAAAGCACTCACAACGCCAGCGCGCTGTTGTATAAATAGTCAAGAACACTCGCGTTCAGCACCTTCTCGACCTGCATGACACTCACGTGGAGGTTCGCTTTGCTGCTCACACTGGCATCGAGCTGCGCGGTGCGTAACTCCGCATCGTCCGCTGGCGCGAGGGCCTGGAGGCCCGATGCGGATGTAGGGGTCGGGAAGGGCAGCTGTGCAGGAGTGATCGACTGGGTGCGTAGACCAGCAGATGCACGGGCGAGGGAGTGCGCAAGAGCAGAGCACTGATGAATGCACCTGTTCACGCGGGCAATATAAAAGGAGACCGTAAGTAATGAGCGCATTGAACAACGGCATAAGTACCCAATATCGCGGTCTACGCGCCCGCTTTCGCTCCCCTCGCCCCTCCCTTGTCCTACCATCGCAGCCACCTCATTCTGCACATGTCACGTTCGCGTTCAGACTTTTGGGACGTCGCAGCGGCTGACCAGGCTCTGATGACTTATCGACCGCGATGTAACGATAAATTGATGCCACATAAGACGCGGCATACCGGGGAGTGAGTGTTGACACTGAATAGTTCTGCAAGACGACTGAGAGAAGTCAAAGGAAAGTGGGGTATAGCAAATGAGGTTCAGTCGATAGTCGTGGTTGACGATGAGCGAGGCGCGAAGTCGCGATCGGGTAGTACAGACGAGGTTTGCTAGAGCGGATGAGTGTCCAAGATCGCTCATAGCTTGTCATCTCATCTAATCTTACCATCTTATCAGAGTGGTGGTGGTCGGTCTGGTGTTCGGGGGACGGCGCTAAACTTTTGAGACTTGCGGTCCATAATTTTCCCATAGATTGCCCCTTGCGTTAGCTGTATGTCGAGTCATTTTTGCGGGGCTTCCCCCTATGGCTACTCAGTTGCACGGCGCAACGTTGGAAGCTCCGACTCCGAGTCTCAGGGACGGGGAACTTTAAGGCTAAATGCGGTGGCTTGCCATACAGATGATGGTGGAAAAGACATGGCGCTGTCGCAGACTGTACATGGCGTATGATGGTGGTTCACAACCAGAACGTGCAGGGCGCTTCAAGCGCCGACTCTGACTTGGCTCGCGACCAAGAACGATCCCGACGCATAGTATTACGCCCTACCTGCTGAGATAATGACTAGTTCCTGTATGTAAGACGGATGCGTCCCGCGGATACCAGCGAAGATGATGTCTCAATGATTATTAGCTCCTCGGATGGCCCAGGTGAATTCGAAGTGAGTACCCCAATCAGGAAGTCGTTGTCGAACGACAATAATTTGAGCGCATCTGTCGAGTGTATGAGAGTTAACCGTACATACTCATTGTCCACAGCAGACGGCACATCAGATTCATACATATGCAATATGCGTGACACAGGTTCCACCAACTGGAGTGGTAAAGGCGGCCATACCCTTAGTTATCCGCCTTGACCATATCCGCGCACTTCTCCGCGACAGCAACAGTAGGAGCTGCCAGATGTGTAGCCAATATCTGCGGAAAAATACTCGAGTCTGCCACTCGTAAGCCGCGCACGCCATGAACCCTGAGGCGGTCATCGACTACGCCGCCCTCCTCCTCAAGAGCCATACGACACGTCGACGAAAAATGGTACGTCGTCTCGCACGCACCCCGGATGAAAGCGTCCACGTCCGCGTCCGAATCGCTCGCGGGAAGTTTGAAGTCCGTGATGGGATAGCCCTGCGTGGCCATCTGTTCCTTGAGCTGTATCGAGAAGCGGACGGCCTGGCGCATGATGGAGAAGTCGCGCTCCGTAGAGAGGTAGTTCGGATCGACGATTGGGTCGTCTTCGGGGTTACTAGAGGCGAGACGGACGGTGCCAAGAGAGGTTGGGCGCAGGTTGACGGAGAGGAGACCTAGTCCACCGGGGGCGATGAATTGGGAAAACAAGTTGCCACTTCCCCCACCGAGCCAATAGCGCTGTGCAGGCCCCCTGACGCTGACAGTTGTGGTCATGTCCCGGACCGAAACCTAAGCAGACGGGTGAGCTGTGACCTCGTTCGTGTCCACCAACGGGACTTACCGGCATGATCTCGATATCAGCGATGTTCCTCGAGAGCGATGCGTCACTATCCGCGTCACAAGACAGAGCAGAGTGATACTTCTCGTCAAATAACCGTGATTGCAGGAAAATGACGATCTCGAAGGTTGGGCTCAGTAAGAGTCCGATTCCGAACAAGAGGTACAGGAGGAGCTCTTTGAGGATGAGCCATGGTTGAAACTTGAGCTTGAGGAACGAATCATGAAGCGGTATACAGTATTGCGGTGCTATACCTAGATGATCTTGCTTGTAGGTCGTGAGCACGCGGGTTGAATGTGCAGGGTATCTGAAACAACTCACGAGATGGCTCCCGACTCCAGGAAGGTCTTTCAGCACCGGGATGCCGTGCTCGCGAAGGTGTTCAGCAGGCCCGATGCCACTGTTTAAATGAACAATGGGATCAAATCAATGTCTACGATTCGGTTGACTACGCACCTGAGTAACAGAATCTGGGGAGATGAGATTGGACCAGCGGACAATATGACTTCTCTCTTTGCTCTTATATGCCGTGTTGAAGCACGGCGATCGAGCGATTGAATGAAGACGCCTTCTGCTCTGAGTTCACCCTCCGCGTCCCGTTGGACGTCGATCCTAGACACCAAAGCTCGTACGCAAATGTGCAGATGATTGCTACGTCTCCGGATGAGCTGCAGGGGTAGGAATGCACTCGATGTGGAACTGCGACGCCCTTGACTGTCAATGGAGAAATGTAACTTGACGCAGCCGTGGGATGGGCTGAGAGGGGAATTAGGATCGTCTACATGATATGGCAGACCCATTGACCCCGCTGCACGAATGAGCCTGTCAAGTGGGAGAACCTGCTTGTCACTCATACATTGGATTATAGCGAGGAAGTAAACCTACGCCTTGGTATGTTCCCAGACAGGCTGCTTGTACGACATGTTCTGCCATTCGCCTTAACATCATGCTCAACAACGATGACCTTATCACATGACTCCGACGAGATGTACTGACCAGAGATACCATGGTGGCTAGCAGGTCTGTCACGATCCTGATCAATGTCGGTTTCTGACCTGACGAAATACGGCAGCATCTCGTCGTAGCTCCATCCCTTGCACCCAGCTTTGCTCCAAGCATCGTACTCCGCAGGGACCCCGCGCATGTATAGCATTGCGTTGATTCGCGAGCCGCCTCCGAGGGAGTTGCCGCCCGCTAGCTGGAATACGCGCGAGTTGACGTGCTTCTGCGGGACCGTGTTCCACACGCGCGAGCGGGATCCGTCTGAGGCGAAGTGTGAGGAGAGCAGCGGGACGCTGGATAACCAGCCGTCTCCGACTGCCCCTCGCTCGATGACGAGTACGGATACGGACTCCTCCTGGCTTAGGCGGTTCGCCAGTACGCAGGCCGCGGTTCCTCCTCCTGCATGACAACCGAGATCAGAACAGTAGCTTTGATCGCCGTCGAAAGCAGACGCTCACCTACTATGATGAAGTCATATTCCTCCGCGAGCCGGGCTATCGGGACAGTAGGGTATGAGAATTGGAACATATGCGCACTCCGAGTGGTGCGGTCAACGTCAACAACCCGCGAGGAGTAAAACTGACTGGCGAGAGTGGGACTGATATGCGTCTTTATCCGTGTGTCCGCGTGGACATTTCCAATGGCGGAGACTATATGTCTGATTTTCGCATCCACACACAGGCGTACACAGCGGTGAAACGCATGATGGGACACGGACTCTCGGCCAGGTGCGGGCCAGGATTAGAGATTCAATTGTGCTATTCATGGGCTAGTACGTTGTTGGAGATCTGGACAGTGGGCTAGATCGTAGTGGCAGAGCGGCGTCGTAGTCAATCACCGCGCGCAAAGTTGCAACATAGCGTCTCACAAAACATCAGAACGCAGAGCCAGAGTCTCAAGGGGCAATGACTCCGAAGGCTTGCACATCCGATCCTGGTCCACGAGACAGCATTTGGGCGGAAAGATAGTAACCTGAGGCGGCGGGCGGGCCCGTGTTCTCGAGTTTGGGTTGCTCGTGTTCCTTGACTGGAGGTGTTGCACATACCGTAGCGAGTTATGATTGTACGAGAAACACTAGTGCGCCTATGACGACGGGGATTCTGCAGTGAGAGGAATGGCTCGAGTTAGTATGACTGTCAACAATGTGATGAGTCACTCTTCTTGCCTTTTACGTGGTCCATGACGTGGTTCTTCATCACCTTATAAGTACCTCCAAGGGAATGCGGCCAGACAGGCCCTGCGGGAGCGAGTGGGGTCTGTCAATTGGCTACCTTCAACGTACGGGCAGGTCATCGTCAGGATAGTCTTGCGAACGGCAATGAGGGTCTGAATTCGAGGACTCTCACCGTGAAGCCCGAGCCTGAGGGTCGATCACAGGATTCAGTACGTGTTTCATCTGCAACCCCGACATTGTTATGATAATACTGTAGCACAGGCCCCGGGCACGCATAGGCAGGCTGTGGTACTTGCGGTCGACTTTGATTCGGGTATTTGGACGCTTGTAGGACCAAGGGGCAGTCAGGCGCCGGAAACTGGACCGCAACCCTAGTGGTGGTGGTCCAAAACCGGTGTACGGGGTCCTTGATTTCACTTTTCAGACGAAAGTCAGCGAGATTTCGCACCGTTCGGCACATAGTGAGGATATGCGTATGATTTTTGTACTGAGTGTCACTCATATATGTAGCAATTATCCTATGTGGTTTTTATGACAGTTCGATGAGTGCACGTCCATACTGTTGAATTTCTACTGTACTGTATAGAAGCGCCGGAGGGTACGCCTGGGATAGGGAGAGATCTGAGATCTGCAGCCACCACGACCGTGACATTCGAGTTGAACTTGAAGTTCAATTGAGCTCTGGTCAATGGTTTACTTGCGATGAAATCAACATTTCAATGTAGCGTACATGAGTCCGTCAATGATACATAGTGTACAATAGGTTGTGTCGCTGTATTACAATACCTCAGTACTTCACATAGTAGATCGTGTGAATCCAATTGGCATCAATGGACTCGCGATACTCGAGAATGGAACGGGTCGGGTCAGTGTCCAGAGGCTTGATCAATGAATTTTTTGGTGTCGAGGATGCTGGAAGTGTTGATCAAGAGGATGATGAGTGCGACGTGCAGAAAGGAAGCTTCTGAAGCATGGCCGCACTCGGTTACTACTTCGAGAACTCCCGTCGTTGAAGATGAGATTGCGTTGGGAAGGGCCAAAGCATCGTACAACGTAGATGCATCCGAGCGCTCCTGAAGCTGAAGACTTGTCAAGGACAAGTCTCGGAGAGCAAACGTAAGGGTGGCGTAAGCGCCGATATACATCGCACGAGCGCCCAACGTGCATACCAAGATGTCTTTCAACGTGCGCGGTACTGCAGTGCTGATTGCACGGGGCAGGGGCCATGGGAAGTTCAGTCAGTGCGAGACTGATCGAATCAATGGATGACTCACCCGGGGAATCTGCAGCGACTGACCGGTATGTATGTGTATCTGCGCAAAACTCGATGTTTGCCTCCATGCACTCTATGTCAAACCTGCGGAGCCGAGCTGGGCGCAGTGCGTATAGCACACGGCATAGAGCGTACTCAACACGCCACGCGGGCGTCCAGGAAGTCACTCGCTCACCGTACAGAGGACGAATGAGTGTGCGTGGGACAAGTGTACCTATCAAGGGGCATGTATTGACGTGAATGCTACATACATTGCGGAAGGTGTGTTCCGCATCCTCAGTATCCGCGCATAAGTGTCCTATGCTGTTCAAGTAATCGGAATAAGGGCCTGGGAAGGGCAAACGAATGAGTCACGCAGGCGAGCAACAGATGGGTAGATGGCCGAGGTACTCGCAAGTGGGTAGTCAGTCGGCGGGTGGATGTCTGTGGATGTGCGGATGAACGAGCCCGCGTGCGCACATGCAAGTGAATAGACGTGTACACAGCCGGACATGCGGACATGCGGGCAACTGATCGGGTGCTGGGAGAGCAATGCACCAGCATGTTGAGCATGGTCTTGTTCATGCTATACGTCGCAGTTGTCGCACCGGCGTCCCTCACGAGGCTCGCTACTAGGCTCAAGCTGACGTTCATGATCATTTACTTCGTCCCTTTCTCGAGGACTCGGAGCAGGCCGTAAAGCTGCCCGAGCAAAGCAGGTGCGGTAACATTCGTCTGTAACTTGCTGTAGTCGAAGGAGAACAGATTGTTGAGGGGACACTGTCATCGGTCGATCGATCAGCATACCATTAGTTTCTCCAGGCACGAAAGCACTCACAACGCCAGCGCGCTGTTGTATAAATAGTCAAGAACACTCGCGTTCAGCACCTTCTCGACCTGCATGACACTCACGTGGAGGTTCGCTTTGCTGCTCACACTGGCATCGAGCTGCGCGGTGCGTAACTCCGCATCGTCCGCTGGCGCGAGGGCCTGGAGGCCCGATGCGGATGTAGGGGTCGGGAAGGGCAGCTGTGCAGGAGTGATCGACTGGGTGCGTAGACCAGCAGATGCACGGGCGAGGGAGTGCGCAAGAGCAGAGCACTGATGAATGCACCTGTTCACGCGGGCAATATAAAAGGAGACCGTAAGTAATGAGCGCATTGAACAACGGCATAAGTACCCAATATCGCGGTCTACGCGCCCGCTTTCGCTCCCCTCGCCCCTCCCTTGTCCTACCATCGCAGCCACCTCATTCTGCACATGTCACGTTCGCGTTCAGACTTTTGGGACGTCGCAGCGGCTGACCAGGCTCTGATGACTTATCGACCGCGATGTAACGATAAATTGATGCCACATAAGACGCGGCATACCGGGGAGTGAGTGTTGACACTGAATAGTTCTGCAAGACGACTGAGAGAAGTCAAAGGAAAGTGGGGTATAGCAAATGAGGTTCAGTCGATAGTCGTGGTTGACGATGAGCGAGGCGCGAAGTCGCGATCGGGTAGTACAGACGAGGTTTGCTAGAGCGGATGAGTGTCCAAGATCGCTCATAGCTTGTCATCTCATCTAATCTTACCATCTTATCAGAGTGGTGGTGGTCGGTCTGGTGTTCGGGGGACGGCGCTAAACTTTTGAGACTTGCGGTCCATAATTTTCCCATAGATTGCCCCTTGTGTCACCGCGGGCAAACCAGGTTGTTCGAACTCCGAAAACGCTACGAACATCGGTCCCTCATGGGAACCTTTTGCGAGTTTTGATGGACCCAGAACATGCTCCGAAAATGCTCCGAACATGCGTGTTTTCGTCGAACATGCTACGAACATGCTCCGAACATGCTGAAATTTGGCTAAAATACATCATGTTCTGAGGATGTTCGGAGCCCAAATGCCCCCAGAAAAGGTTCCCATGAGGGACCAATTTTCGTAGCGTTTTCGGAGTTCGAACAACCTGGTTTGCCCGCGGTGTGTAGGACCATTGTGAAGTTGTGCTGGCCCGGGCTGGGCCCGGGTCTACAGTACTTACTGACGCCGGCCGGGATCTCGGCCACCTAAGCAGTCGATGCGTCCTCCTGAGCCTATGTGTGCATTGAGTGCCCAGGTGAGTGTCTATAACTTTGATAGAACATCCTAGGTATACAGTAAAAATATTCAAAGAATTTTTGGGTCATTGAGATGGCAATGGGAGGGGATTTCGTGACGAGAGTACTGGCGGCTGAGTTAACTATGAAGTCGGCCACGTAGTTGCACATGAGCCTATACGAGGCTGTTGAGTGTCTATATGGGCATCAAAATATTTTGTGACGCTCACAGACATTATCACAATACCTCAACAGCCACTGGGCCTGAGCTGTGAGCACAGTGACTGGATGCAGTCAAGGTGTACAGGATATGCAGCCGGGAATTGCCAAATATGGGCATCACCACACGGATTGATTTTTCCTGCTTGCACTTCTCGGTATATGGACTTCATATATGGTACATGGATAGACAGGATGATTAGTTAGACCCTAGTAATTATTTCATGACTACAGAATATGTTTCAGTAGACAAAGAGGACGGTGACCGACTACCTAGGGTGGCCGAGATCCTGGCCGGCGTCAGTAGTCTAGTACTATACGTAGTAGCAGTCGTGCGCCAGTGATTGGCGGCCAATCACAGCTGGCGGAAGGTTAGGGTTATACGCAAGCAGCGCACGCTACTACTACATTCAAATCTACTAGTAGTACATCACGCGCGACCTCGGTCTATAAAGCATGGGATCTTCGTGCCACGTATCATATATCAACACGCACACGAGCCTTACATAAGTCGCTCACCTACGCTCTGAAGATTGTACTTGATGAATTGGTGGAGACCGTATCAGTATCGCCGGGTCCATCGTGCCAGTCCACGTTGAGTCCACGCCTTTGGCATCGTAGTTTCGGGCGTCACGCGTCAAGGTTACATAACGTTCACTTCACATTCTGTCATATCCAGCACGGTCCACACGATCGGCGACAGGACTCAGATTCTCAGTCCCATACAGTCACGATCACATAGCTCCTCATGTCCATTACCAACGTCTTGAAATCCCGCACTCGGGCCAAGTTGCCAGTGCGGCCTCCAAGGGGCCGTAGTGATCATATCTTGTCTACGCAGCTGTCTAGGAGGATGCTAAGCCCACATGGGAGTGGACCTTGCGCCACTCGGTTGTTGTTCAGTACTGCCGTAGTCCCGTATCATGATGCTGCCAGTGCCACAGGCGAACACCCAGCGTCAGAGGAAGGTCGACAGCCAAATTCAAGCGTCGGCGTGTTTTGGGACTATGGTACGTCGTTCTCCACAACGTTAGAAGCGACGGCCTGACCAATTCCGACGAATACAACTTGGTTGCAGAGAATTGCGCTGTGGATTCAGAGAGCTCGATGTTGCGGCTGTCTGCGCTACGCCGATTGGCAAAGACTTTCGGTCGCAAAATCACGATGAAGGTCTACCTGGATCGCGCGCAGCTAGCTGCGCCTCGTGCTACTGCCATACGGTCAAGGTTGTATGCGGCGGGCTTTGAGCTGGTAGACTGCCCTCATGACGGTATGAAGGAGGTCATCGACAAAGCCATCACGGGTATGCTGGTTATTCCGCTCAAGTACGCAGACTACTAGGCACTCATCGAGCTTACCTGGCAGTTGACATGTTTATGTATGCACTCGACAATCCGGCGCCGAGTACCTTGCTGCTCATCTCAGGAGATCGGGGCTATGCACCCATGCTCTCCAGGCTATCGCTACGAGGCTACAATATCATTATCGTCACCCCCATCACTACTGCTAATGCAGGCTTGCGGCTGGCTCAGTGTCATTCAGTCTATGAATGGTCGGACCAACTCACGCTGTTACAGGTGAGGCCAGTAGCATGCTCCTATACTAGTTGTGAAAATTGAACTCTTCCGTTTGCAGAGCCAGGAACTTGAACAAGCGCTTCCACGTCAACCTCCAAAAAAGTCTGCGAAAGCGAGTCAAGCGGTGAGCGAGCTCCGCGTATAGGCGTATGGGTCACTAATGCATCATCTCACTTCACAGACCTTTACACCTATACGTACCAGCAAAAAGCTCCCCGAAGGCACCGGCTTCTTCTCGTCTTCCGTGAAACCTACGACCGACACAAAGTCAGACACAGCCACTAGTTCACGCCCGACGAGCGTGCGGAGCTCTGAGAAACAGCCATACGCATCAAAGTCGCCCAAGAATGCCGGCCCTTCCCACATGTCCATCGAAGTGGACCCAATGTTCCAGGCCCTAGTGGACATCTTGAAGGCGAATCGGAGTGAGGGCGTTCTATATCTCTCCTCTTCGGCGTTGGGTCAAATGCTCCCGAAGAAGAACCCCAACGTCTTCGGGGACGCGGGAGTGTCCAAGCTGAAGGAATACACGATTCTTGCCGAGGAGAAGCAGATTATTGTCTTCAAGAGCGACAAGTCTGGACCTATCGAGAAAGGAAGTGACAGGTTCATCAGCCTGCATCCGCGATTGTTGTAAAGTGAACGTTGTACGTGTACTCATGTGGTTCCGAGTCTTGGTCATTGCGACTCGGCGCGGTCGAATATCCGCCGCATAGCATGTATGATGATGTTTCGGAGGGACAAAGCTTTGCTCTACAGACGTTCCGTTTCTCAGCTGTAGATACATACTCTTAGATACTCATACGAAGCACTTCGACCGTGGAAGATCCTCCCGCACTACTTAAACCACAAAGGCAGTATACATAAGAGAATGCATGACGAACCCGCAATAGATTACAGATTGGATACAGAAGCTCGCAACTCTATCAGTGAGAACCTGTGGCATCGCTGGCCATGGCATACAACGTCTCCTTGTCGCCGCTCTCGTCGACGAGCGCACGGAGCATACCCTGTTCGTTTTTCAGAAGCTCGCTGGGCTTGCCGAATTCAGCCTATAGAGAGTACTCAGTGTCCAAACCGGTAATCAGCATGTGATGTTCACGTACAATATTGCCAGCGTCGAGCACCATCTGCATGGGATTTATGAGCAGCGAAGTCAACTGAAAGGCAGCATAACTCACGATTTTGTCGGCGTCCATGATGGTCTGTAGGCGATGAGCGACGATAAGCAGAGTGACGCCCGTGTCCAGCTCTTGGCGGAGCGATGACTGTATCACAGCATCTGTTGCATAGTCTGAAGGCAACCGCGTCAGCCTAATTCTCAACCTGTAGGAACAACGCTCTCACCGATGGCAGACGTAGCTGGATGAGCGACAACACAATGGTTAGATAGCTAACAATACGATGAACACGGCTACCGACCTTCATCCAGAATCAGCAGCTTGCTCTGCCGCACGATGGCTCTTGCAAGGGCCAAGATCTGACGTTGCCCAACGGAGAGGTTCGTTCCACCGCTTGCGATGGGCGTGTCGAGAGTGATGCGACCCTCGGTCATGTCGCTCTGCAACGAGAACAGGCCGGCAGACCGAAGGGCATCGTTCAAAACGGCGTCGTCATACTGCTGGAAGGGATCTAGGTTTTGACGCAACGTCCCACTCAAGAGCTCGGGCTGATACCGCAGTCAGGCTAATGCGAGCATCTACCGAGAAAGAATGACGCACCACTTGCGGAATGATGGTGATATTCGAGCGGAGAGCGTCCAGGTTAATGTTGTCTGTCGATAGACCATCATAATACACTTCGCCTTCGGTGATGATACACCGTAAGAGAGCCAGAGTCAAAGAGCTCTGAAGGCATATTATCAGCATGCGAACGTCTCACATACATGGCGCGGTGCTTACCTTTCCGCTACCGGTGCGACCGACTGGATAGCAGGGTTAATGATGGATTCGCAACTCGGAACGATTTCCACTCACCGATGCCAACGCGCTCTCCTGACCTCACCTCAAACGAGATCTCGTGCAAGACGCGAGGCCCGTCCTAGATTTACTAAGCATATGCTTGCTCGCGCACCAGAGAAGACGTACTGGAGAGTATCGAGCGGAGAGTTTCTCGACTTTGAGGTCTCCGCTCGCCGGCCAGTATGCAGGCGGAACACCTTCTGGCGTAGCTTTGGGTTCATGCTCGATCTCCATGTATTGTTTGATACGCTCGAGGCTACGGCAATGATGGGTAGAGTCTCATATCTGCATACCACCGTCTCTTACCTGTTGCCTGAAGGGAGGAACATGGTCAAAGGCGATTTTCACCTGCTCATGTTGCGACGTACCTGATACCTCCAACTCATTGAAGATCCTCACCCACCAAAGAATCATGCTGCTGAATCCGACTGCATGATATCAGCACGGTGTGGGGACAACAATTTCCGACTCTCCTGACCTGCCATGTTCAGGGAGAAACCGGTATTGGACGCGGTGATTGACTTCCCATACACCAAGTAGGCTGCCAGAGCGGCAGAATAGGCGGATCCTAGGGCGGTAATACGGATAGTTACCCAGCTACGAGGCGATCAGATTGCCTGATCAGTCATCTGCAGTATTCAACGCACCGATTGAGACTCCAGAAAGTCCTTGTAGCACGAGTATATCGGTTGATGCGTACGTACGACTCCTTTTTGAACGCTTCCTGTGCACCGTAGGCGCGGATAGAGGCTGTCCAACCCGTCAGCTAGAACCCTAGGTAATCGAGCAATCCGTTACATACTGAGACCCGCAAACGCGGCTCCGAAGTGGCCGAGCACTGGGGCCTTTGCATTACTTCTTTCACGTTTGACCGCGAGTTGGGCCTTCATGTAGACCTCGCCGATCCAACCACCGACAGCGGCAATGAACACACCGGGGATAAGGAAGATGGGCGATATCACCACCACGACGCCAAGCTTCATGAGCATCTCCAGCGACATCTCTGTAAGGACACTGAACCATCTCGCAACGGGACCGTCAACTTTGTCAACCTTGTTAGTTGAGGACACGCTATGTACAGGAAAGATTTACCTTCTTGGATGTCTTGCGTGCATCGAGCAATAATCCGAGATGTAGGTGTTTTGTCAAGCCAACTACGAAATGATCATTGATATGTCACGAAAGTAGTATTTTGAACTTACCGCAATGTTGTAGCCAGAATCGAGCGAATTAGCTCGTTGTGAATGACTCTCGATGCTCTCAGCGTCCCGTACATGTAGACATAGAAGGCCGCCACGTAGAAGAGGGTCGATATGATCATGATCAACCCGTATACACCCAGGAAGCTATCATAGATCGTGGTCAGGAGTTTCGCTCGTATTCGGCGTCGGAGACTTACTATGGCACTTTGACTTCGGACGCGGGCATTTCTTCGTATTGCCTCGCCCAGAAGCCTAGGAACCAGGTCTCAAGGATGTTGAAGACCATGTACAGCATGAGACCGCCGATAAAGCTGAACCAGAAAAAGACTTGGTGGCTCCCTCCAAGCGCGCTAAAGAGAAGCCGCACTGATGTGTTCATTAGAAAGACACCATGACCAGAAGAAACATGTGACGTACTCGCTTGCCAACCGACATGCCCAACTGCGACCTCTTCTTCGACGACAAGTTTGCCATCCTCCTTCTTCGGAGCCTCTTCCGGAGCTTGCTCGTCAACGGTAGCTTCTGCTTTCTCTAGTTCGGCCTCTTCCTTTGCTACTTCAGCGGCCAGCTTCCTGTCACGCTCTAGCGCGTTGGCTATGGATCCTTGACTGGATATTCTGCCATCTGTGCCGAGAGCGACAACGTAGTCGGCAATCGGGCTGGCCATCGAAACGTTGTGCGTCTGCGATTGATACCATGAGGAGCCTTGCAAAGTCTAGGACAAATGTGGACTTACAACGAGTAGCACCGTTCGGCCACGTACAAGATCGCCTTTGAAGCACTTCTCGACGATCCATCGTGATGTGTGGACGTCTAGCGCAGCGAGTACCTAGCAAACAGTTCACTCCTCCAAACCCATGGAAGGCGACTCATCACTTACATCATCCAACAACAGTGTCTGCGCCTGCGAGTATATAGCGCGGGCAAGCGTGATACGTGCCTAGGATGGGTGTGAGTACAATGACATCGCCCAAACGGACCACCGAATACCTTCTGACCGCCACTGGTGTCAAAAGAGTCAATGATTGCAATCAACAACATCCGAAGTCGAACTTGTACCTGAGTGTGATGCCCCTTTCGCCCACCTCCGTCTGATCACCCGCAGCGAACAGCTCGAGATCGCGCTTGAGAGCGCACTGTTCGAGGACTATATGCGCAGATGAGTAATCTGCTCTCTACGGCAGGATGCATCAACGTACCCTTCTGGTAGCGTTCCTCATTGTACGGTGCCCCGAAGAGGACGTTGTCCTACTCAGACACATATAATCATTATGCACCATTCCCGCGATGAAGCACCTACCCTGATAGTCTCGTTCTGTACCCATGACTCCTGCGCAGCATAGGCGATACCACCGCCACGGGGAAGATTGAAGAACGAATCAGGACCTGCCGGTATGTAGTGCATCTCGCCCAACAACGCCATCAACAACGAGCTCTTTCCCGAGCCAGTAGGGCCGATGACGAGGTTGATGCTTCCTTTCTTGAAGATCAGGTCGCCGTCGATGCGCAAGGCGAAGTTCCTTCGCCCACTTCCAGGGGTCGAGGCAGCCGAACCGCTGGCTGTGTTTGCCCATGTGAAAGAAGTGTTGCGGAAACCGATCACGTCTTCCTCGGGCTGCGCGCCGATCTGAGTCTGGATCTCGTCAGGCTGCTCCGAGTACTCATCGAGGAGCTCTGTCTATGGCATGACATATTCCCATCAACCATCTCGGAATGCGAGGCAGAGAAAACTAACCTTCTGCAAGAACTCATTCACTCGGTCCAACGATACTTTGGCTGCGATACAGAACTCAGTCCTCTAAACGTCTCTCGTCGGTTTCATGACCCTACCTCGGATCAGCGCAGGCACGAAGCCGAGAACCATGTGCATCAGCTGGCTGAAAGTGTCGAATACTGCACATTTATGAGTATCATGCAGACCGCCGGAACTCACAGTACGTACCGGTGATAGACGAGAAGACGGCAGAAGCTAAACACAAACCGGTGTGAGATTCACGCGCATATGGGGAGCAGCCATCTCACCAGTGAGCTCTCGTTTCATGATCATGGTCTATAGGCTGATGTCAATTTGCAGTCTAGATCCATTCTGATGGGGCAGACTCACGTATGTCGCATAGGTTGCTATCATGGTCACCAAAGGAATGACATGGCTTCAGGCGGTTCAGTGTCAGCTGCATGGGTGCAGAAGACTGCATACGCACTTCAGGTTACCATTGATAAGATCGAGCAGCTTGTTCTTTTTCACGAGCTCCAGCTCTTCCTCACGCTTTTCAGCCAATTGTTCGGTAACCCTGGGTTCCCAGCCGAAAAGCTTTATCATGCGGATGACGTTCATAGCTGACAGGAGTCAGCGAGAGTACACCGGTGGATATTCTTTGAACCCACTTTCTGTCGCAGTCTGTACGCGAGCATCAGTCTAGAACGGTATGCGTCAGCAGCTTGCACGTCCAATTATACTCGTGGACGGTACCTTCTTCATTTTGGCGACCTGGATCTTGCGAATCATCGTTGCAATCAAACCAGGGACGGGGAATAGAATGACGATGGAAGCGAGACCGACGAACGCACTGTGAGGCTATCAGATGCGCTGC